TGGAAGCAAGCCCAGCGCGGGCACAATCAGGGCGGCAGTGGAAAAGGAAATGCGTGCGGACGGGCATGCGGGATGGCGGTGCCTGGCCGTGACTGTGAACCCAAGGAGTGAGAATCTCATCAGAGTTGTCTGCCGAGATGATGCGGAACACCAAATGGTCAAGCAAATCGCGGAGACAAAGATCGCCCCGGGTATACGTGTCCGAGACGACGACCTGCACCCAATCAAGGTAGACTTTGTGCGATGGACATCCGTGTGGGAGGAGAAAGGAAAGTACAGAAGTAAAGCAGCGGAGGAATTTAGCAAGGAAAACCACGCTACTGTCGCCAAAATCGTATGGCTAAGCGATCAGGAAAACCCGAAAGCATACGGATCGATGGCGGTCTACTTGACCAAAGCCAGCGACGCCAGAAGACTTATTTCAGAGGGCTACTTCCACGCAAGCGGAGAATCAGGAACCACAGGGGTGTTCAAACCCCAATCCCGACCACAACAGTGCTTCAAATGTCAGCAGATCGCTCCGCACAAGGCAGTCCGATGCCCGAACCGCTTGGTGTGTGGAAGGTGCGCCAAGGAGGACCATCACCACAAGGATTGCCGTGAAACGGCACTGAAGTGTGTTCCTTGCGGTGGTGCGCATGAGTCTTTCAGCAAGAAGTGTCCGAAGCTCTACCCATCTCTCCATGAGTAGAAACTTTCAGGTTCTTCAACTGAATGTGAGGAAACAGGATGCAGTGCACGAGAGCCTGATGAACGACGAGAGACTGCAGGATTTCACGGTTATAGCCGTGCAGGAACCGTGGGTGTGGAAGAGAGAGGGGAAGATCTTGACGGTGCCGATGCGGCACAGTAGGTGGACTAGGATGGTTCCGACGGCGTGGAGGGAGGAAGGACGGTGGGGCATTAGGAGTATGCTGTGGGTGAACAAGGAAATCGAAGCGGAGCAAGTGCCGATACCGTCACCGGACATAACAGGAGCCGTTCTTCGACTCCCGGGTCGTCGGGTGCTGATTGTGTCTGTGTACGTGCCGGCACAAGAGCCCGAGATGCTTCGCCGCACATGTTCAATGTTACGGCAGGCAATCGCGGGAGTCAGGAGTAGCGCAGGCGAGGTGGTGGACGTGGTCTTTGTTGGTGACTTTAACCGGCATGACCAACTATGGGGAGGAGATGACGTCTCGGCGACCAGGCAGGGAGAAGCCGACCCGATCATCGAGTTGATGAGCGACTTGTCACTCAGGAGCCTCCTGCCACGGGGGACGAAAACGTGGCACAAGAACGACGCGGCAACGACGATCGATCTGTCAATCGCATCTGAGGACCTGGCAAGGATGATGACAAGATGCGCCTTGCACGAGACAGACCACGGATCGGACCACCAAGCGATTGAGACAACGTTTGAGATTGCGACTCCTGACACGGACAGCAAACCTCGACTTTTGTTCAAGAACGCGCCATGGAAGGCGATTAATGCCAGGATCGAGGCCGCGCTGCAATGTATTCCTACGGGAGGCACAGTGCAGCAGCAGACAGACCGGCTCATGTCTACTGTAACGGTAGCAGTAGAGGCGTTGACGCCTACAGCCAAGCCGTCTCGGTATGCGAAGAGGTGGTGGACGGAGGACCTCACTCAGCTGCGCCGGATCCACACATTCTGGAGGAACCGAGCGAGGGCGGAGAGACGGGCCGGCCACTGCCCGCCGGACCTAGAAGAGCAAGCGCAGGCAGCGGCGAAACAGTATCATGACGCAATCCGACAACAGAAGAAGAATCACTGGCAAGGGTTTCTGGCCGATGACACGAACATCTGGAAGGCAGTCAAGTACTTAGGCGCCGACAAAGGCGCCTCATTCGACAAGATCCCCCAGCTTATTAGGGCGGACGGCTCCAAGACGGCGGAAAAAGGAGAGCAGGCGGAGGAACTGCTGTCTACCTTCTTCCCTCCGCTCCCGAACAACATCGAAGATGAGGGACAGCGTCCGCAGCGGCCACCTGTGCCATTCCCCGATATTACGTTGGAAGAAGTGGAAAGGCAACTGTTCGCAGCCAAATCGTGGAAAGCACCCGGAGAAGATGGGTTGCCGGTGGCCGTGTGGAAGCAGACATGGCCGATAGTGAAACACCGGGTACATGCGCTGTTCCAAACGTCGGTGAACGAGGGAGAACTACCGAGGCAGTGGAGGCATGCAAAGATCATCCCGCTGAAGAAACCGAACAAGGATGACTACACCGTTGCAAAGGCTTGGCGACCGATCTCGCTGTTGTCAACACTGGGGAAGGTTTTAGAGTCGGTGATGGCTGAGAGGATATCTCATGCGGTCGAGACACACGGGCTCCTGCCTACCAGCCATTTCGGTGCTCGGAAGCAGAGGTCGGCAGAACAAGCCTTGGTGTTACTTCAGGAATACATCTACAGAGCGTGGAGGAAGAGAAAGGTCCTCAGCCTGGTCAGCTTCGACGTCAAAGGCGCATATAACGGAGTGTATAAAGAAAGACTGCTCCAGAGACTCAAGGCGAGAGGAATACCAGAAAAGCTGGTGGAATGGGTTGATGCATTCTGCTCGCAACGAACGGCAAGCATCCAGATCAACGGGCAGGACTCGGAGGTCCGCTCCCTGCCTCAACCTGGGCTGCCTCAGGGCTCGCCGCTGTCGCCTGTTCTGTTCCTTTTCTTCAACGCGGATTTGGTCCAGCACCAAACCGATGAGAATGGAGGATCACTAGCATTTGTTGACGACTATACGGCGTGGGTCACCGGACCGTCGCGACAGGCGAACCGGCAAGGGATCCAGGCCATCATTGACCGAGCGCTCGATTGGGAACGACGAAGCGGGGCGACATTTGAGGCAGACAAGACGGCTATCATACACTTCACGCGGAACTGGCGACATCCGGAAGATTACGCAACCTTCAACATCAAGGGTGATACAGTTCGGCCCAAAGACCGCGTGAAGGTCCTGGGCGTGATCATGGACACCAAACTCTATTTTCAGCAACACATCGCAGAAGCGGCGACGAAAGGTCTCGAAGCTGTGTTGGAACTCAGACGACTGAAAGGCCTATCTCCGTCAACGGCAAGGCAACTCTTCGTGGCGGCGGTAGCGCCGACAATAGATTATGCGTCGAACGTCTGGAGACACAGGTGCAGGACAGCCCAGATGAGGGTCATCAACAGGGTACAGAGAATTGGAGCCCAAGCCATCATTGGAACATTCAACACGGTGGCCACAGCGGTTGCCGAAGCAGAAGCAAGCATACAGTCGGCCCAGGAACGATTTGACAGGAAAGCGATCAAGTTCTGGGTGCGTCTCCATACATTGCCTACGAGTCATCCACTGCGACGTATCAGACCTCAGGGCTTCAAGAGGCACATCTCGCCTTTCCAGAAGATGGCCGCAACATACCGAAATCTGCCGGTGGACAGGCTGGAAACCATCGAAGCGTTCCCACAGGCACCATGGGAAAGCCAAATGCTTACGGTAGTGGAAGAAGACGGCGACAAAGCGACCAAGGCGATCCAGACTGGCTGGGCCGTGAGAGCTGTCACAGGTAGCTCGGCAAGAAACGGAATCGTAGGATACGGAACAGCAATACTGCTCCCCCTGTCTCACAGGAGAGGCGGCTCCACGACGACAATATCAAACACAACTGGCTCTAGGGAAGAGCAGAATCCATATACAGCAGAGCTCACGGCGATAGCAAAGACGCTGGAGACCCTCTCGAAAGGGATCCGTTATCGTGCCATCTACGTGTTTTCCACCAACAAAGCGGCCGTCTTAGCAGCAGGGAAGCCTCGACAACAATCAGGCCAACAAGAGATCCGTCGCATATGCAAGGCAGTCAACACTCTCATAAATAAAGGCAACAAGATTACACTCTTCTGGCTTCCGGCAGGCGTAGACTCTGACATCAAACTGGAGGCCAAGGCAGCGGCGAAAGAGAGCACGCAACAAGGAAAGACGCCGAAGAAGAAGCCAACCAGGGCATACTCAACCACAATCAGAAAGGCATTGAGGGGACTACAGAAGTACTGCAGGTTACCGGAAGGGGTAGGAAATTTCTCGAACAGAGTCGACGCCGCCCTGCCGGGAAAGCATACACGGCAACTATACGACTCGTTTTCATGGAAGGAGGCCAGCATACTGGCCCAGTTACGGACGGGGATGGCCAGGCTCAACTGGTACCTGCACCAGATTGGAGTGGCCCCCTCGGACCAATGCGCATGCGGACAAGCAGCAGAGACGGTCGGGCATTTCCTCTTCCGTTGCACCCAGTGGACAGAACAACGCGCACCGATGATTCAACGAACTGATACACACAGAGGCAATCTGTCATTTTACTTAGGCGGGAAGACCGCATCCGACCCTGACGATTGGTCGCCGTACATGGACGTTGTAAGAGAAACAGTGAAGTTTGCCATGGCAACGGGACGACTCGATATGCAGATCAATCAAACTTAGGACAGCAACAGCACAACACCACATTTCCAACACCAACCACCGACTAACCCCTTACGCACCCTCGTGCCACCGACAGCAGGACTCGCTTCAGCCGCCGAGGATAGGGACCTGAACACTTGGAGGAATGGGCTCCAAGATCACCTGCTACTAACCCTCACGAGAAACCGCAAAGATTGGAAGGAGTAACCAATGACACAGACGGGAGTGGATCTTGCTTATGGGTTTATATGAGATCAGGGTAAAAACTCAACAAGGAGAGCATGTAAGATAGACGTAAGAGCCCTTTATGGCTTAGCCAGGGCGTAATTGACTCTGTGTGTAATGCCTTCCGTTACTACGGTTGCAGGCCAAAGTAAAACCCCCTCGTCAGGCCACTGTGGGGCGCGCTAAAACCCCTCGCTAGTCCCAAATAGGCCATAACCTAGCTTAGTCAACGCGTATACCAAACTTCCCCTCAACACCTAACTTTTCCCCCTTACAACCCCAAAATCGTTAATATAGTACGCGCAAGAGATATTCATACAAAACAGCTTACAGAAGATGAAAGGCAACGAATCAGAACCCTCTATTCCGACGCGCACCTTAGCCAGGCTGAAATCGTTAAAAAAACAGGCTATACAAAAGCACAAGTACGCGGGGCTATTCGGGCTAGTTCAGCTAAAGTAGGCGTACGGTCTGGGCGGCCTCGGGTTATGACCCCCCAACAAGAGCAGCAGCTAGTTGAGTATGTGACTTCCTCTCAAGAGGGCCGCCAGGCGACCTTCCTACAGCTATCAACAACCCTTTTTAATGCGAATTTTGGTATATACGCGATTCGGGCTGCCCTCCGCCGCCTAGGGTTCGCACGGCGCGTAGCAAGACGGAAACCCCCAATTACAGAAGCCAACCGGCAGAAACGGCTAGTATGGGCCTACGCGCACGTCAACTGGACTATGGAACAGTGGCGTGGGATACTATGGAGCGACGAGACTTGGATCACAGGAGGCCATCACCGGAAACAGTACGTCACGCGCCGCCAGGGCGAAGAGTGGGATCCGACGTGTATTATCGAGAGGCGTCAACGCAAACAGGGTTGGATGTTCTGGGGCTGTTTCTCCGGGGGCCGGAAGGGGCCCGGCTTCTTTTGGGAGAAGGATTGGGGCTTTATAACTGCCGAGACGTACCTGTTACTGTAGAAAGATGACAATACTTCCTTGTGGAATCCATAATCAGCTCTTTCCTTTGCAAACACAGCGCTAAGAGCCCATAATGGCTGCCGCTATAGGCATCCTTTTTTCTCTGGAAGGTGATGTGGAGACGTCCGCAATGCTATCGCGCCAAAATGTCTCCGCTGACTTTCAAGCTGCTTCTGGCCCTATATCGTTCCAGCCAAACCACGGGAGCCTGATTTGGCTTCATTCTCTCTACAATGAGTTCGAGTCAGCATTCTTACATACAGTACGGTGTATGTACTGTAGTAAGAGAGATGGGGGGCTTTATTTGTCCAAAAGCCAGAACTTGATCTACGCAACCTTTGAGTCTATTTCGGTGGAAAGGGCCCATTAGCGCCGATACGGTTTACATTAGCGTAGGGTAACATAGAGCCGGATTTGGATTATACCTTATGAACATCCCAATCCTTAGTCAGAAATCGTGCTCATGTGGCTGAAGCCGATCTACTGTAACGTGCTCGACATCATGTAAGGTTGAGGAATTGCGAAAAGCAGCCATTGATTGCGATTTTTGCACACCGTGATGTTAGGATCTTAGGCTTCATATCCCAAAGTGCCATTTTGGGCTCCTCAACACCAATTCACGTTGAGTGTAGAATGTCTGCCACCCAATAGACAGAACATGTTTCTTATAAGATTGAGCATCTTGTCTCTGGCCTCAAACTGTATGGTACTGCATAGAACGGGAGACTAAAACTTCGCTACAAGCAGGATACGTCAGCAAAAAACCAAATATGGACAAGGCAGACCAAATCGCAGCGGTATGTGTTCTTTCTTTGTTTTTTATTTTCTTCTGTATTAATAACGAATTTTCTCTTTCCCTATCATTCAGTGCAATATCTGATTAAATCTGCTGGTAGTGCTCTCAATTACGAGCTGTCGGGCTAGGCGACCGAATCATCTTTTCCGACTCTCGATATCGAGATTTGGTGGCACCGCACTGGTCTTTGACGGCCGAGCTCACCCCCTACTGCGTCATTCAACCGGAAACCACCAAAGAAGTAGCCAAAGTTGTGTCAGTACTTAGCCAAGCGGAGGGCTGCCTCTTTGCCGTCCGCAGCGGTGGTCATACGCAGTGGCCTGGAGCAAGTAATTGCAGTGGAGGCATCGTCATCGACCTTTGTAGGATGAAGAACGTCGAGTACGATGAAGATCGAAACATCGTTATAGCACAGGCAGGCTGTCGATGGAGGGATGTCTACAGCAAAGCTGATGAGTACGGCGTCACAGTCAATGGCGGTCGTATGGGTGATGTTGGTGTCGGCGGCTTCCTGTGCGGCGGCGGCATCTCGTGGCTCTTGCCTCGATACGGCTTTGGTTGTGATATGGTGGTCAACTACGAGGTTGTTCTCGCTAACGGCGATATCATTCATGCTAATCATTTGGAAAACGCTGATCTATTTCTCGCGCTAAAAGGTGGAGCATGTAACTTCGGCATTGTCACACGTTTCTATCTCGAGGCGATTAAAGGAGCGGAGGTTTGGGCAGGTATGTACATCTGCCAAAGTTCAACGAGCACACAACATATCAAGCACTTCGTGGATTATATCGATACGATTGAAGAGAAGACGGACACATCCTATTGTCTTCTTTGGGCTTGGTCTTCTGAAGCGAAGGATGTGGTTCTCTCCGTAATGGTTTGCAACACCCTTGGTGTTGTCGAACCCCAGGCCCTCTCCGGGGTTATGGAAGTCCCATGGACATCCAAAACGGTAGACAGAAGAAGCGTGACGGCGCTCGCCCTGCATCTGGAGTCGCCACAGCCCTTTTAGTAAGTGCCTTAATTAGCCTGTGGCACTTCGCTGGATCTAACAAGCTTACTTCCCTAGCAACAAATGGTTGACGGCTACCTTTGCAAACGACGGCCAAATTCTCACCAAAATTGTCGAGTTTCACGAGAAACTGATAGAAAAGCTTAAGGTTAGGATACCTGAAAATGATTTTAGCACCGTCTGTTGCGTACAGGCGCTTCCTAAGCTCTACGCCGAGCGAAGCCTCAAGAGAGGCGGGAACGTTATGGGCGTAGAGAGACTCGGAGAGAACTGCTTCATACTGTTGCTAGGCGCCCACATTAAGGTGTACAAGGATATGGAGTACGGGTTCAGGGCACTTCAGGAGTGTTATGAAGACATCGTCAAGGACGCCAAATCGAATGGTGTATTCAAGGAATGGCTGTACCTCAACTATTCGGATATGTCGCAGAACCCACTGCCGACCTTTGGCGAGGACAATGTGGAGAAGATTCGAGCGGCTGCATTGAAGTATGATCCCAACGGCATATTTCAATCAAGGTGTCCCGGCGGGTTCAAGATCAGCAAAATCCCAGGCAAGGACTGCAAAGAGACATAGAAACCAACTAAGCAGAAAACCGCCTTAGTCTGCGCTCATTAATTCTAGCTCCATTATGAACTTAGTTTGAAAATCTAATTTCTTATGTTCGTCTGGTGTATTCAGCCAGCATTGGCGTCAGCTGTGACAATCATTTTCATACTGAACAGCCCCAGACCGAGTCGCTCACCATTTGCGTAGTCCGCTTGATGAATGGTGAAAAGTGGTCATCTCATATGTTGGATCAGGACTGTTATCGACGTCAGATGTAAATTCCTTTCAACTAGCTGTCACGCCACAACTAAGATGCTTTTGCCAGAGCCTTGGCCAATTCTGTGAATTCCCCGCTCAACTGACATGCCGTAATACGTTCATTTGGTGTCGGGCTCAACATTCGTAGTGTTAGCTGATGAACCTGGTCTACGTTTCTCTTTAACTGCTCCCGTACCAGCCTAATGCTTTGCAACCAGTTCCACATAGCTACTGCTGCAGACGACGCGTCACTGCTATGTACGTCCGCAATCAACCATTGCTGTCCAGTTTCCGGGATGGCAATGTAATCGAGTAGATATACCGCCACGATCCCCAAAGCATAAACATCACCTGGTGTCCCACGTCGTCCTCTTGAGAGGAACTCCGGTGGCAAATACCACGGCGTGCCGCCAGTGGAAGACTCCGCTGTTGTGGATGTTCCGAGGCCAAAGTCTATCAGCTTTGCACCTATCTTCCGATCATATAAGATGTTGCCCGGTTTGATGTCATTGTGGATGAGCTTCTTATTGTGGAGGTACTTCAAAGCTGCCGCCATGTCTCTGAGAACACGCTCTGCGTCCGAAGAATCTCCCAGGAATCGCTTGTCACCTTTGAAGTCACACCACTTGCTCTTCCCAAGGTCAGGCGCGTTGACATGTACCATGTACAAGACTTGAAAGTGAATATCGCCTCCAAGTAGTTGCACAATATACTCCTGCTATAAATTAGAGGCGGGGTTTCTGCCGGAATGGAATCATCACTTACGGATTTGATTTGTTTGTGGGTGTCGAACTCTCGTTTCCAGGATGCAGCACATGAGTCAGCACTTCGGCCAGGCCTTCGCTTCAAGACCTTGACAACAATAGTTTGTTTAGGGAATCCCGAGTGCCTCGCCTGAAAGAGCAAAGCCCCTCTTGTATCCCAAATTGTTTTCATTCGAAAAATTGAGAATTCACATGATGGACCAGTGGCAAGCACCGTGCTGTGTTTCGGCACATCTATCAAAGACGCGATAGACTTAATCACCTGAAATGACGTTGAACCTTCCCGAGCGTTGCCTTCTGAACAGTCGACGTCTGCTGGTGGCCGCTTCTTCCTCGGCACCCGTTTGGGTCGGCAAACTAACGAAAGGCTATGTTTTCGAGGGAAGACTTGGATTTGAAAAATGGGGAAACCAGACGAGATGCACAGCCAATATCCTGGGCTGAGGGCAGCAAGGCAAGATCGTTTAATTGATTGCGCCGCAGCTACGTCTTGCAGGACCAGTGGCTGGAATACAAGGGGAGCCTCGGAATGGTTTTTGACTCTGACTTCATCGGTGGTCGCGTCGTAACACAGGTCGCACAGTATCGGAGATTGAATTCGGCATGTTGTAGGCCGATGTTCATCGTAGACGGCCAGACATGATGCTGGCGCACATCTGCGTACTGTCTTTGGCTTGGGGTTGACCAATTCTAGGCGATGCTGGCAATCGGTGACGTGGAGGGTCTCGACATCGACGGGTAAAATGAGAATCCTGTAAGATAGATGCTTCGTGTCCAAGTCGCAAATGTGGACCTCCAATGTTTGGGAACTTTGAGAACAAGTCCCATCACCGAGAGCGTTTTGGTCTGCAAGATGGCTGTGCTTGGAGGCTCCGTGGTCCCCTTCAGAGAATGGGTTCGTGGCATCTGTCGTTTGGGTCATCCTCGAAAGTGGCAAGGCAAGCGCCCATACCTCACCAAATGTCATCAAAGACATCAATTTAACAAACCAACAATTTAGACTTTGTGTCTCAACAACCGGTACACTGACTTCAACTAGGAGGCTACACATCACAGACGGATCCCATTTCCTAGGTGGGCAAATGTCAGACGCAACAGTGACGTCTTGTATCAAAAGTCTCGCACAGCTTAATGAGCAAGTTAACTGCCTGGGCAGACCAGTTATTTCACTGGAATTGGCGAATTTTCTCATGCATGCTTATCGAATACTTTGGTCTTGGCACTGTGCTAGGAAATGAACATGCACTCTGCGTCTAGGAAGAGCTTGGTTTCGAGATTCTGCTTGAGGAGACTTGGTTGATGGGCATGATCCATGGTGCCTGTAACGCTCCGATTTCCCTTCACCAACCCGCTTGATGGCCTCCCGGTGCCCCATCATGGCACCTGATTTAGACGGTACTAGGCCTTGCCATTTTGAAACGGCCATATTTGTTTTTTCCATGACACAGTGGTATCGAAAAGCACAGGCAGAGCAGTCGGAAACTCGCGAAGAGGAGCTTCGAGTTGCTTAGGATAAAGCTCTCCTCATTCCCACCCCCACTAATGGCTGAGCGTCGTCATGTTATTTTGAATCAAGTGCGGGCAGACGATGAAGGGACTCTAGGGGCGCACGGAGTAGAGACGGTTGGGAAAGCGTTACCCTCACATCAAACACAACATGTATAGTTCTTTTCTCGTTGGAATGAGTGTTATTGGATTCTAAGGTAACGTTGGGCCGTTACCACATCACATGGCCGACTGTCGGAACGAAGCAGTGGAATGGCTTGTAGTACGTCGGCAAAACCACACGACACCACAAAAAACCTGATATCCGATCCGTCGTGCACTCCCCGTCGTGGGTCCGAAAGAGTGACTCACTATCTATAAACAACGTCTGAACGCCGTTTGGATAGGTTGGGAGCCTCTCGTAGGCCTGATCAGGCCTACGAGTGACAAGCCTTCACATATAAACGTCCTCGGATTGGGTTTGATATGTGTCGTGATGGCCATATAGCCCACAGTAACCGACTGGTAACTGTGGGTCCACTTTTACCACCACAATATGCCTTGAGGGCCGGCTTATTTATGAAAAACACGTTGCTTACGCTTTCTCTAAAAGATCTGTAATGGTTGTGTACGATGTCTCTTCCATCCTCCCATGGCCTTTTCCTCGCGCGCTGCCCCGTGCCTCTACATTAGTGGGCCTCATGCGCTTTCAAGCCCCTTCAGTTCAAGAGCAAGAAGACGATCGTCATACTTCGCTCTATGGCCCCGGCAGTTGGACTGCGCTACTAGATGTACTAGGTTCGCCGTTTCCCATCAAGCCGACGGACGAATCTTGCAGGAAAGAGCCATTCACTCCGCTGTTGGGAGGCGTCAGATGGGGAGGGCCTTCCACACCGTCCGATTACCATCAGTCATCTCAAAGAGAAACATGCACTCTGAATAATCGGTCAGGCGAGGTAGAAGAGTCGGACGAATTCCTACAATTGAGGGTAGACGAGACGCATTCATAAAGTGACACCAAGAGCGTGACGACGAATCTTGTTTTCTCCACAGAGGTGGTTCAGTAGACATGAACAGCAGCCACAAAAACAGTTCCAGCCTGTAAATATCTTATACCCAACATAGAAGCTAAAGAAAACATAACCTCCCGTCGCATGCTGCGCACATCCGAAGTGTATCGTTGTTGTTCTTACACGAAGTAGCCGCATGTAGTAGTTATCCCACACTGGATTGCTATGTAGATACCTGAATGATGTCTTGTTGTGATGGCTCCTGGCCTCCGGACCCACTCTGCCGCGCCTTGGCCGCGAGGTCACGTGAACCGTATCCGCTCGCTCACTTGGAGAATATAAGCCGTTTTGTTCCTAGTTGATGCCGCCCGTGCCTGACGTCGGTCACCACCTGTATAAAGCGGGACAAATTGTATTCACATATGACCAACTGAGTTAAAAGGTGGGAGTTTTGACCCACTAAAATGTAGACACAGATTGTGCGGTGAAATCTACCACAAAGTCTCCTCCTTCACGAAAGAGGTCTCGAAAGGATTTTTTCTTCCAAAGGTTCTCTCCGTTCTTGTGGGCGGTTAGCATCACAAGATCCCTCAATTTATGATCAGCCTCTGTGGTTGACTCGTACGTTTCTCTAATACAATCAACAAATCCTTCGCAAGGCCAGAGCGTCTCAAGCTTGGTCTCAAGCTTTCCAAGCGAGTATTCTTTGAGATCATCTACCTGGAAATAATCTGCAAGTGCATAGACACGAACTTCCTTGGTCAATTCGTCGTCATCTGCGAAGCAGTTAGCTACCCGATAGAGAATCAATCCAGATATCACACCTGCAACTTCCAACTTGTCAAAAGGTTCCTCGGCGTACTCGCCGGTATACATAAACTGGAAGACCCGTCAGTAAGCATGCAGGCTCCCTTCAGTATACTCCAACTTGTTGCTATTGCCTTCCTTGAAAGCGGATTGCAGAGCCGTAGCGAAATATCGACTTTGGCAAGCTAGCACGAGGCGATGACCAGGTAACGTGTAACCGCCGATGCATATTTGTATGTCCGAAAGATCTGAGCAGTTGAAGTATCTGGTAGCTGTGTTTGAGTATCAGTATTTCATCTCGCTTGTTCACGATAGCATACTTAGCTAATTTTGTCCCGAGGACCGCGCCTGAACTAGAGTCCATGGTCTTCAGGGCGGGACTTTCTATCGAAGTCGATCCGGTTAGAAGGCGTGTGGATGCAGTGCCGCTGCGTTTTATTGCTTGGGTAAGGCGCCTGTTAATTGATCGATGCCAATAGAGCAGAAAGTCTCGTGAGTTAAGCGTCGTGAGTTACGGGGTGCTGCGTTTTCTTTCCCCCTTGTTAGCTATAGACGTGGCAACGGTAACGCTCTTCATTGCGGGGTTGCGGCAAGTTTCGCATTCTTGTCCACTCCCCTGATAACTACCACCTTTCTATATTTGCTGGTAGTCGCCTCCTTAGGTGAATATTGCATAAGGAGCTGCTGTACCACCGGGCACAAGGAAAGGGGGCGCTTCCTGATGCAGTACGTGCTACCGAAACATTTGTTAGTACCCCAACCGCCTGAAGCAACATGGAACGGACAGGATGCTGCACTGTGGCTGGGACAAGTATGTTTTGTGAGGGTTTTCGAGGCCGGGGTAGATGTTTCCCTAACCAATTGGCATCTAATTTGAGAGGCATCAAGTCACATGATGAAGCGAAGGAGCCTGGGCGTGAAGGGTTCTACGTCGACGCGATGAACAAGCAAACGACGTCACAGATACAGCAACCATAGCATTAAGATATTCATAAATACCTTAGAATTAAATGCTTCGTAATCAAGTCAGAGCTGGATCAATAGACTGCAATAAGAGGCCGAGGAAGCCTGGCGCGTACCAACTGCATTTGAATTGAGACTACCAACGGCTCCGTACTAAGTAGCACCTCAACTCGTCCGGTTATCAAACAGTTTGACACCATGCCCATGCTTCTTTTCAAATTCTGCACAGGTAGAGCATGCATCTTCTTGAATCCAAGTACTCATATTCTGTACCAACTGCTGTAGTGATTCCGTGGAGTAATGGCCGCCAACTTGTGCTGCCCGTCGCCCAGAACTGTTGTTTTTGCCACTGATCGTGTTCCCATCGGTCGACACCAATACCTGAACGGCTTTATCCGCATCAGCATGGTTTTCGATATAACTGACGTTTTTCTTTGTTCTTCCATCATTAAGGGCTTTTCGAATTTGGCGGGCTGTGCTCCACAACGTTTCAATTCTGACAAGCTCCTCCTTTGAGGCCCCTCTCGTTTTTGCTTGGATGAATTGATCTTCATACTCTATCATTATCCTATCCATTGTTTCCAGGTCTTCGAGATAAGCCTGAGCAGGTTCGCGGGGTTGAAGACTATCGATGTGGTCGATCGCCTCTGTACAAAACTGGAGACATTCCCCAACACACTCTCCTAGACTTTCCTCTACACGCACATCGATTTCATACCCGGAAAGACAGTCCTTGAGATAAACGATCGTTGTTTTAAGACACTCGGGTATATATCCGTAGCTGTCCCAGCACAATCATTAGAAAGGTCTGACTTGTCAGGATATATTGCTCACAAGTGTGTGTTGGTGACCGCGGTCCCACCAGCGTCAAATTGCAACAAAGATTGAGGTGCCAAATTTTCTCGTTGGAATTTTTGGAAGGCGTTATCGACTTGTCGCAAAGGCTCTTCGAATGCAGACTGGTCGACGTCAGGTGTTCCGGTAAGCGAGACCAGCGCTTGGCTGAGGTTATCGAGCACCTTCACAAGCCCGAGTACGTCGTTTGGTTCATGTTGACGATCCTCAACATCGCCGCGAAGTGCCACGATGGTACGACGGGCGGACAAAGCCAGTTCCCGACTTGCAGCTTCTGCCATTGCGGCAATTACCTCATGCAGCGAGTCGTAAGAGCAGTTGATCCGGAAGAAAGGAGAGGAGGGAGGCTCTACTTGGTAGGTATGACTCGCGATAGTGTGCGGGGTTCAATGGGCTGGTTTGTTCGCATGGATGCCCAGGACCCACAGCGCTAGGGAAGTCCCTCAGCCCAATAACATGAGTTGAAGTGGAAGGGAAACTAGAACCCTTAGCGCCTGTATGTAGAGTGATACGATCGCCCGCCAGTGATTGGCTCTTGTTTGCGCATGGCCTAATGCAAGTCACACAATATCCCTTCCGCCTATTACTGTATACCTTAATCTCTGAAAACGGTTGGATATTGTACCTCTTTAGAAAACATTTCACGATACGCATCATAAAGCAAGTCGAGTATCATAATGTTGGACTACTAATCCTCGAAGAGACATCAACCTCTTAGGGAACAAGATTCCTTGGGAACCAATCTTTAGCTTATTGATCGTTTGACCGAAAGTACTCGATAACCAATTGGAGTACTGTTACGAGCAGGTCAGGGCACCCAAGTGTGGTACAAAGCAAAAGCTTCGGTAATGATGACTATGGCATCATTATCCCCTGGTCTACACTATATAGCTCCGCCAGCCAGTTCCCAACTGGTTGGATCGTAACACCGGGGCACCGCAGAGTAGGCCCGAAGATCCGGAGTCATCACCTCGGCCGATCATTATGTTTGAAGTCACGAGCCAGCTCCGGTTTTGGACCTATTAATGCGGTAACACCATTATTTTTTCAAACTATCCCTAGACAAGGTCATCTCGATTCTTCCGTTGATGTTTCATTGTTTGGCCTTCTAATTGCTCGTCTCAGAGTTACGTTCCTCATCTCGTTCGGCATAGGTCGTCACTGCGTTGCCTTTTTAGCTGCCGCCTGTCTATTCGCATCTTGTTAATGTGTAGGGACTGCCATAACGATCCGAAGAAATATGTTGCGTATATCTGTTCGTGTACTTGCCCCTGTTAAATTCGAAGGAGGCCGTCAGTACTTCAGAAACCATCTTGACCGCCTCCCGAGAATCTTTTAACATTTCGAGTCCTCTCTCCCATCGCAACCTTTCGCGCTTGTTTTGATGCGTTTTGTCTACCTCTGGGAGCTCTAATCATTCCTTCAGCCGCCCGATTGATTCCTAGAGATCCTGTCGGATGCGATCAAGCCTTTTGCAAGTTGAGACATGGGTCTCAAATTGACCATGATCGTCGTCAGCTGCTGTTGGTCGCTTGGAAGGTTCCCCTCGGTTTATTATCGTCTCAAGGTAGGTCTCCCGCAGCATCACCAATACGCAGACATTGCTCGGTCATAGCTCTCTCGTCCTGCAGGTCTGCCAACGTGTCGGGAGAACTGCTGCTCTCTGTACCATTGGTCATAAGCGGCGCCAGCTTCTCGTCAATTCGTTGCAACTGAATTTTGAGAGCGCGAGTAGTTCCCTTCATCATCTTGCTGTGTTCATCAAGGGATTTCAGTTAACTTAGAAGGTTAGTGAATGTTGGCTTGGTCAACTAACATCATGATCGTGTTGTAAAAAGCTAGTTTGGTTGCATTATTGCGATATATAGGAACCGGGAAGAACGAGTAGATACAAAACAGAACCCCGCTGCAACCGGGATAGGCAGAATCGGTTAATCAACAACGTGAATCACTCTTTGCTCATATCGCGATATCGATCGTGGAATGATATACAGACAGTAAATCTATACGTATCGCAGCAACGTTGAAGCCGTTCAAGTCATTGTCAGTCGACGTCTGGATGGTTGGTAATGGTCTCAAGCAGTGAAATCGAGGCTTTCTCTAGGCCTCTAAGTTCTGATTCGCTATAGACAAATGTGAGAAGGTCCGTACGAAAGCTTTTGCTTTGTGCCACATTTGGTTGCCCTGAACTGCTTGTAACATATGGGTAATTTGAAAATGATTAATGTACTCCTCACTGTTCTTACCAGTAAGCCCCCTTTTGGAACAAGTTTGCTAGTGGGCCACTTTTGAGCATCGTGATGCCGTTCGATATGTCTACCAAAGACATGAGCCGAAAGAACATAGAGAGCTGAAACAGCGCAGCGTTGTTATCATTGGGATCACGTTACACATAGAGGCGATAGGTGCGGTCAAACTTGTACTGTATTCCGTTTGGCGTGACTGTCTCGTATATAAGAGAAGATTGAAGGAGTCAGGGCTGGAGTAGCTGGGAGGAGACCCTCCTGTTTGGCCGTCGCGTGGTCTGCCAGCCACAAAGCCACTTCCACCCGGAATTGCGATAATCGCAACATCTATCCAGACAGTGAGAAACTGCTTATGACCACTTAGGCGGTCTGCTTCCAAATAGTTTGCAGTCAGTATTGGAGCTCTCGTCTGGGTATCGTCATCTAACAGCTTACCGACTGCCAGCGCTCCCCGCTCTGTAGGGTGGTGGCGGATCTCCATACGGCTCTGCACTGAGGACGGATTGCTGTCCGGAACCAGAAGTCAAAGCTCTGGAGCTGGGCTGAGACGTAGTGTTTGCAATTTCAGATGTCGACGTTGACGGCGTCTGTGAAGGAAGCTTCTTTACCATGCCATGCATACTTTCAATGAGGGTTTTCTCTTCCTTGGTGCTAGTGAGTGCATGACAGGTTAGCGTTGTCAAAGCGTTGTGTTTGATGTGAGAAGACTCACATCTGCATGCTACCCTTGTGAAAAGACTTGATCTCAGTTGTGAGTCCGCGCACCACCATCGTAAATTCCTCGATAGACCAGCTCATGTAGCGTACATCTTTCCAGTCTTGGAACAAATCAAAGCGACCTTCGAGTTTCTCCTCCACAAGACGGGAGTAATATTCGCAAAAGCCGTCGCACAAGTAACATGACAATGCCAACGATTTCTTCAACTTAGAAATATTGCTCTGCTCAGAGCCAGCGGGCGTGATCGGGATTGGCTGTAGGGTTCCCATCAATAGATCGACGTTTTCCAGGAAGTCCTCCACATCCCAAGGCGGATCTGGCGCCTGAGAGACGATGTTCTTCATATTCCCGGTGAGCGTGAGCGCCATTCTGGCCAAGAAAACAAGTCTGCCCGCCATTACGCTCAAATTTGCTAGTATAACGACGTGAAGATGTTGCTTGGCTTTGATATGGAAGCGCAGTCGAACTGGGTTTTTTATTTGTTGTCGTTGAGGGGTTCACTCAGCCTTAGCTACAAGCGCCCGTAGGATGCGAACTAGCGTAGGAGAGGAATCCTCGTTGCCGTTGGTGCTAGTGAGCTCTATGACGAGGGGTTCCCAAATAGCCATTCCGTTACAGGGGCGGGGAGGCGGGTGCTGTGCGGGCTGTGCTCTTGCAAGGTTGGCGCCCAGCACAGACAAGGGTCGTGACAAGTACTCCATGCTAAGACCACATGCTGGCCCTCAAGCGTCGCATCACTCTTCAAGATCACATTCGTTACGACTATATTCTGCCTGTCTTGAGTGGTTCCGTTGCCCACAAGTCTGATCTGATAGCCGCTTGGTTGTCGGTGTAGATCATGAGTTTGCTTCTGTTGTTTCCTTTCTGCTTGTCGTCGTCCGCTGTATCCGTATCGAGTTGAGGATGCCTTATAGCTCTCCTGCATATCCTGTCAAGGCGGTTATCGGGCCCACATTGGATGGTGCGAGAGTGTTGAGTGACCGCAGAAACCGATAAGTAATCGATATTCCGCGCATCTGTGTTTCAGAGTCATGCCATCAAGCCCCACTGGTTACTATAATCGAGCATGTTTTCCACGCTTAATTGCACCTCTCTTTCCGCCAAAAAGGTGCTAAGAATCAGCTTGGTTTGAAGCAGCAATGCAGATGTGTAGAGGGCACCGCGTGCAAGTCCTAAGTAGGGCTACGTGCACAGGCAGATGCCGCCGACTGAAGCTTTTTCATCCTGTCCTGTACAGTAGTATGAATAGCGTATCGCCCCGCCCGCCCTTGATCTTCTTCATGGCCGGGCCATGTCGGGTAAAGGCAGCTCGTTGGTGCTGGTGCGGCGAGTCAGACGTGGGCGGACTCCGTGCCACATCGTCCGCGCTGTTGGTACGCGCCTTATGGCAGGATTCATCTGCGCCCGAAGTCGCCTCCGGCGAATGGCAGTGGTATTTCTTGGTTTTGACCGCCGCACTGCTAAGGCCCCACCCCCTATAGGCCAGGCGGTGGCGGCCATAAAACTTCGGTACGCCGTGAGTGGATATCCTGGCAACCAGACGAGACGTAGGTTGTGACTCCCAAATGCTCGCTCTCTTTCGCTTGCGTTCCCATTGACGAGAGCCCACCGGTTACCCTTGCTTTTGTGTCCTCCATCCGGCGGTCAACTTGAGACACTTAGTGCGGGACAGTGATAACCCGCCGCTTCACGCCATAGTAGAGATGGCCAATATCCCTCTCGCAGCATGCGATGACTGATTCAACGGCGAAGTCCCACATGCTATCGACGAGACCGAGACGCCGAATGCACTGTTGCCAAAGTATGTTGCATTTTCCCTTGTGGAAGACCCACAGATCTAGCTGAGGTTTCCTGTAACCACGCTGTAAAATAACCGCTTGGCACCACTGACGACACCAAACACATCAAACCCCCGCCTTCGCAACTGCACCTTGACCTCCATTCGCCCTGGAAAAAAAAGCAACAAGACTTTCTGGGAAGATGAAGATGCGTAGAATCAGCCGCTTGTTGAGTTAAAAACAAGGAATGAACGTGGCGAACCGATTTGAAAAGACGGTCACATCCAGAAGTACATGTGATTTTCCAAATCGACATTGTCACCGAGGGGCTATTGCTTGAGTTCTTGACATATTTTGGTGCTCGTCCATTCGCACGCCATCTCAGCGGCTCGGAAGAAGTTGTTAGCGTAACTGCCATGAGGCGGCGGACGATTGATTGGTGTTACGTCCTCTACGCTATGTGGACCATGCTGGCGACCGTTTATTGGCCATTCGGCCGCGGTGGTATCTTCGGCAAAGTCTGGCGAGCAACCTGCTGTATGTGTTGACACGGGCAAGGCAAAGCCTTCAGCTGACCGTGCGAGGACGTATGATACTTAAGTCTTCGGCGGACGTGTCTCGCGTTGAGCTTTTTTGAAATTATCGTCGTGGATTTTTCTAGGTTTGGATATTGAAAATACGCTAGGTTAAGCTTGACGCTTTTTGAGACTGAATGTAATGTTACATTGATGGTTATTTTCTGCCTTTGAAGGATGTATTACGTCGGAAGTCTCCTTGGCCAGCAGCGTGATGTCGCCCCAGGCTTGCTTCAACAGCGTGCGCATTTTTGTCGGTGAACATCTACTGAGGGTACTTCGTGGTGCGAGTCAGAGTGTCCACATGAGAAGTTCAAGGCATTACTTGCGGCCGCCAGAGTACTTGAGAAGCGAATCTTTGGTTCCAGAAAGATCCTTTGTCGACGGGGACCCTTTGCCAGCATCCTACCTACAGCTCTAACGAACGTAACGGGCCAAGACCACTTTTCTTCTTAGCATTAGTGTGACGATAGTGTCAACGCTCACCGAACACACCGAGCTAGGTGTGTTTTACTTAAGCTACATGAATCGCACACCGTAGTCGTGTAAGTAGGCGCTTCCTCACGCATATACCCTCTTTCTAAATCAAGTCACTCTTTCACACCTTTTCTAGCCTGATTGCTATGTGCCTAGTTCGTCACAATTAGATAGGTTCAAAGCTTCACAAAGTGAGCACGGAGACGTTCAGTGACCACGCTCATCGAGACGTCCCGCATCTACCCGTGTGAATCCAGGTAAATGATCACACGAAGAGGTAGCCGCAGAGGCAGGCAAGTACCTGAAAGTCACCTGTGCATTCGTACAATAGGACCACGCAGGAAAGCAGTGAGATGCCACGCATATGTAAGAGGGACCAATCGAATCTCAAAGAGCAGATGGGAGAGGATGTCTAGGATGCTGATCGGATTCTTACCTAGAGGACTCATAGCATCTTTCTTTCATGTTCTTAAAAATGCATGGATCACGTTCCGTCAACTGCCGCATTGGGAAGAGCTCCTGATCTTGTGCGTCACAGATTTATTTGGCGTTTTAAATCTCAACAAAAAAAAATGCTCAAGATGAATTAACTGCAAGTCTAAAAAGTGAATGATGGTTGGGAAAGGTAAATACTGAAGATTTCAAAGCAATTTCTGCGTTTATTTTGTCGTTACCCATAGCTTATCATTAACAAAAGGTTGTAATTATCAGCTCACGATCCGAAGAGTTCGTTGGGACCAATACTCCTGCTTTTTGGCAGCAGTGGCATTAGAGTTCTCATCTGTCGACGCGTCCTCATACTTTACACCCTTGTCTGTTTTGACTGCCAGGGCCTTAGGGGGGCGATGCAACGTCGAGTTGGCGATTCCTCCTCCTCCTCCTCCTTCATCTTCTTCTTCTTCTTCTCTACCCTCTCCTTCCCTCCTCATCGATTACCTCGCCTTTCCGCTTCCCCCTTCTTTCTCTTATCCTCTCTACCTCTACTACTATTACTACTCCTACCTTTCGTTGTTTCCTAGATGCCATCTCGGTTCCTCACTCACCCAGGCTTGATTAGCATCTACATTATTCTTTCTTTATTACTGCTTCTTTAGCTCAACTGCCTTATCCGTTTGAGTAGACGATATTGGACTCTCTACTGCTATCGCTGTTACTTACCTATCCTTCTCTTCCTCCCCTTTCTATCTCCGTATTCTACTTGCCTGAAGGGGTAAGCAGCTTCAAGGAAAGTTTCTTAAGCTTCGCTTTTATCTCTGTCTCGCTTAGCGGATTTCTAGACATATCTATCTTCCTACTATAGTATAAATTTACCTTTTGGGCAGAATGATTTCGTCTTATGTAAGCTGGCTGAAAGGTTGACCAAGACCAGTAGTAGCGACCGTCGGCCTACGTAACGGGCTAGCGAGGCCTGCTACCGACATAAAACCTGACGATTCCCTTTTGTTGATCGTGAAAGAACACTAATGAGATTAAGTTGGATTTCATCGACAATACTCGGGCAGAGGATAGCTTCGAATAATGCATTCAATAGACTTACTGAGATAGAAAGACTTATCAAAGAAAGAATCAATTTTTAACGCTATAAAGTATATACCTACACAGCGGCAAACCTCTACGATACGTAATGGGTAGGCGTAGACCAGACGGCGGTACATCAATTGAAGAGATGGTCACGTCACTAAGTAGTCCCCAAAGCCTGCGAGGCTGACGGCAATGTCTCGAGGCACGTGATTTTCGATATCATGAGTTTCCACGACACATACGTTGAAGACCCAACAGACCTCAGCAAGGGGAGTGGTTTGCGTCACGTGGATGAGGCTAGAAGACTGCTAACCGTATTCTACATAATCGCAATGAGGTCATCCCGGGCTGAGTAAGTTGGCCGGGCTTGAGGGGTTGTATTTAATATTGTGAAGTGCCTAATCGTGAATAATATTAGGTTTAGTGGTGTCTTGGGTGTAGAAGAAGATAATCCCTATACTAAGCGACCGAACCGGGGCACTAAAGGCTGAGGTGGAGGGGATCAAATTGCTCCTCTCAGCATATTTGACGACAAAACGTAACTTGGTAAGTGTAGACGTGGTATAACCGGAATCGAGGACGATATCATACCGTCTGATAGGTTTATTGCGGGCAATAGTAAGAACTACTAGGCTAGCAATGGACGCAAGGGCTGACTGGCCCAGCACTGCAAGGGATGCTTTGTCGACGGTCTGGCGGCTGCCACCAACAGCGGTAGGTCGATCTCAGCGGTAGGTCGATCTCAGCGGCAGGTCGATCTCAGCGGCAGCGGTCACCCTACACGTGCTTCCTCGCTTTCTTAATCAGCTTATCCCTGTTGACATAGCGAAAGGGGATGAGATTAGGGTGGGCAACGTGGCACTTTGTGGTCTCGTAATCATATTTATAGTAGTCGCAATCTCTCTTTTCTTTAGCAGCGGTGACAATGGAAGTAACAATGATAGAAGTAGTGGCCGTGGTGGCGGCCCTAGTGAAACCCAGAATTCAAAGTTTAGCTTGATCACAATGTCCCGCCTAGTTTATATATACCTTGACGCCGACGTAATGGCGGGTGGTTTTATAAACGTCCACATGATCTAAAACAACGTGTTTTACCTTGCCGTCGAATCCTCGCGCCCCGGATGAAGAGGGACACAGAGTTATAACAAAGGTCATTGAAATTCTAAACGCAGTACTTTCGACGACACCGAATGGGGTAGAAAATGCGTATAGCTATAAGAAGGATTTGTATTGATTCCGCGCTCGTCCTTTGTAGAGACTAATTTAAGGAGCTTGGGCTAATCCCAGGTTACTAGGCCCGGGGTGAATCCGCACTAACTCTAGCTCGAAAGTTAAGAGGAATGTCACAACTCAAATATACCACTTGGGCAATGAGATGGTCACTTTTGGCGATTAACCTAAAGCAAAGGGAAGAGAGTACTGATGTCTTTGTGTTCCTATCGCTGTAGACTAGCGTACTCTTCTGACATGCTGTGAATAGGAGCTCATGACTAAGTTAGAGCCGTAAAAAATTAAAAGGGCAAATTGCGTTTAGAGTCACAGTTAACTCTGCACTTCAGTTTGAATCCTCCTTAACGCCCTCGATACGATCCGCCCACCATCCCAAGTCCATCCAGGTCCCCGTCGACGGACCTCCCTGTATTCTTTCCAACTTCGCAACGGTATCTTCCACGTCCTTATAGTCCTCATCTTCAGAGGAGTCTTCTTCTGACGCTATGGCGCGGTGTCGTGCATGGCCAAGCTCCCACAACCAGCTCTGGGTGGGCTTCATGTCACCAAGCGTAGACCTGGTCTTCCAGGTGTCGTCATGCTCGATTCCACTGTTATGGAAGAGGGTAGACACTTCGGACATACCCATGAGAAGATTAAGGCGTCCGATAAAGAGCTCTTCGTATAGAATAGCCATAGAAGATCCGTCCTCTTTTTCATCGGCTCTCGTGCGAATAACAACGTCACCTTTAATCATAAAGGTGCCGTTTCCCATTCGCTGCAAGTTAATCGTAGCTTGGAGGCATCCAGGGTTCTTTTCATATGTTCCAGTAGTATCGAAGAATGGGCCAAACTTTTCGACGAGGTATTCCTTCGGCCAGGACTGCCCTCCGACGATGCCTCCGTACATGACAACGATGATGGTGCGGCTGTCCGCATTCAAGGTTTTCATAGTGCCGCCGAGCTTATTGTAAAGGGTACCTGAGGGGGTGATAACTAGGTGATACTCTTTCGGGCGGGGGAGGTGTTGTTCGAAAATAGCGGCGAGACGGTCATCGTTCAGCATTTCGCCGGCGGCTTTGGCGTTACGCAAAGCGGCAATAGCCATGTCAAGGCTTATGGTCTCGGTGGTTGCCATTGCAGCGGTTGCGTGGAACTACTGGCATAGTAAACATTAGTCTGGTGCTAAACTATAGTATGATTAGTATTACGGACGTACCTGCCTTAGCAAACTTGGGCTGGATGTGAGATTTCTTGCTTGGTTCTGGTTGTTGATGTAGGAAGACGCTGGAAGGAGCCTTTGATATCAGTTCTTATTAGCGAAACGAAGACGGTACGCTCAAGAAGCAGACTAACCTTTGAAGAAAGAGGCGAAGGATTGTGAGTAGTTTTGTAAATAATTGAGTGTGTAAAAGAGGAAATAGTGAGAAAGTCTTCCTGGTGGTGTTTTTTTTTAGTGTTGTTGGTTGTAAGAGTGAAAGCTTGTAAGAATGTTGTTTAATAGGTAACGTTTCTATAGCGAAGTGAAGAGACAAGTAGCAATTTGGTGGGGTAATCTTCTAGGGAAGGACCAGTTGCGTAGCAGGGAAGGTGCCTAGGCCGCCCTTGGGTCGACGCCGCTTACCTCTTCTTCCGTAAATTTAGACTTGGTTTTCGTAGCCTTGAGGCTTCACAACACTACCAGCAGTCCTGTTCCCGATCGGGTGTTTATGAATACCTGAGTCCAACGCCCGAGGCATGATACGGGCTTAAATTCCCTACAACCACCGAACACGGTCCTCAATGCGTGCTTGTGGTTTAGCAGGAAAGGCAGTTCAATAGCAATAGCCGTACTTACTGATGAGACGTAGTACGTGACGATGTCCCTAAATAGACAAGGGGAGACTATTAATAAGATCAGGTTGGATTTCGTCGATATTATCTTTGATTAGGAGAATGTAGACTTGCTGTTCTGTTTGGGGGACTTGCTGATATGGCTTTATTTACAGCGTATGGTAATAAGTTCCGATATTATAGAGTGAACCCCCACACCGCGGTGGGCTGGGATAACACCTTCCGGGTGGGCTTGAACCGACCGGCGGCTTATGATATCTAGTAACGGTAACTAGGTCGCTTAGAAGGCTGCGAGACCGAATGATTAGGCTAGTAAACATGGTCTCCCCACTCTAATAAGTTGTCATAACGCAGGCATTTAAAACCAAGAAGGCTTTAGCAAAATGAATATACCGCGACAGGTGAATACGTCTGGTGCTCTCCTAGACGTATTCCACATGCCTTCAACGAGACCCCTTATTCCCAGGACGAGCAGGTTGCTTAGCCGGCCCGTGATGTTTATATTCAACGCTATGGAGGGCTTAACCGTGTACTAATCTGGCCTTGGTGGAGTCCTAGGATCCCGGGTGCGGCGAAGACGGAACCTAGATTAAGCGAGCCGAAAAAGAGGCCCATCGCGTGGGAAACCTAGCTGCCGGCAAGTCTGCCGGACACGGAGCCACTTCATTCCGGAGTTCCTAATATTCAAACAGCGTCTGTAACTTCACATCGATTGGGCTACTAGCAAGTAAAACGATGTGGCCGCCAGTGTAAGCCCATCATGTTCTTAAGCATCTAGTATAAGTAGGCTATCGAACAAGGTGCCTTTTAATATGAAAATGGGTCTTGGAGATCCAGAATGACCCTGCGACTGATGCTAACACCATAGGCTATGCCTACGCGCGCGCTAGCTACCTAAAGGCCGAAACACTAAACTTGTTTAATCTGTGTAGACGTAGTCTTCGCCGATCGGATGGTCGATCTTATGTCATGGGCTCTATTGATTTATCCACCGAATCTCAAGGCCTAGTATACTAAGGCTAGTAAAGAGACCGCATCTTCACCTCCCACCTTACGAACAGGCAACTGCACCTTCCTTTACATAATGATTTTCCTCTAAAAAAAAAAAAAGCATCTATTTTGCTAGCTTTTTTCAAATTCCTCTCGAGCGATGAACCGCCTGCTTCACCTACCAGAAGCACCTCCTTCCCTTTCGGTTTTACTATCCCTCGACCTCACCATCATCTCCTCTTCAAAAATACTTTAACAACTCTTCCCTTCTCTACCTCTCCTCCCTCCTCCATACACAGTCTGCTCAGCGCAGGGAAATACGGTTACCGGCACCAACTCCATCAAGCCATAGGTCCGTGGCCCTCGCACCTTTTCTGTGAACCCTCCTTGCCGCTGCTAATTGCCTTGGTTCTCAGACTTCACGAGATTCATCTTGTATTGGCTTGTCAACACCACCGGAGCGCCTATTGTAAGGCTAGGTCTGATTCAACCCTGCTGCTGCGTTGTTTGCCGGTCCTTTTTATTTAAACAAACTAACGTTTATCTGCTTTGCCTAGTAAATCGGAATAGCTTCGGTAGTCACCTCCCCCAACTGTGCGACCCGCGACCAGATCAAGGCCCTACGTGCTATTATTCGAGAGATCAACCCCCATGCGAAAGACCTAGGCTAGGTCGCCACAAGGCAAAAAGTCTTTCAGATACTCGGGGCCTCTAGCGACGGCAAGGGCGTAAACCGACGTTTATTAGCATTTGAGCTGCAAATCCCTTGTACGGCGACGCACATGGTTTTCAAGGCCGCCATGCTCATCCTGATGCTCGACCATCCTCTCGGCCCACCTGGTCAAGCGAAGTATCCCCTCATCCCCACAGACGTCGACACCTTGCCTCGGGCTATTGAATCCTGGTTTGCCGATGCCGAAGAAGACCTCAGCGAGTACGACCATGGCCGATCCTGTGTCACCCTGCTTGTCCGCTTCCCAGGCGGTTTTACCACATACATGCCCGATCATGCCGTTCTTACCTGCAACATCGAGAAGAAGACAACGGAGGGGATGTCTACCATCACCATTGTCCTCTAAAACTTTTACAGCTTCACCCAAGACACGGCCAAAAGTGAGGGTTACTGGCTGAAGGTGGTTGGGGATTTCCAAGAGTATGTCAGCGCGCAAGAGCATATACAGCTTGACAGTAACGGAATAGCGATTCAAGACTTTCTCGTTGATAATGCGATGTTTAGCGCCGTTTACGCAATTTAAAAGGCCCTGAATCCTGACTGCAGCGTCCAGCCCAGCATTAGGACCTGTCTAGACAAGGCCGTAGAGCTAGCTCGGCAGACTTCTTTGCTTGATTCCTTGCACGAACAGCTTACATAGTAGGAGAAAACGGCTAGGTATAGGCATGTGTATGGCGAAGACGCGACATGGGTAGCACCGAGGTGGAAAGGTACTGACGAGCGACACGGGGGATTTCAGGTCTATGCGATTTCACACCCTAAGTATGAAGGGGCCTGGTGATGACTTGGCGAAGAGGCGTTTACTGCCTGCTGTGGTGTGGTCTGGGGCTTACCTCACTGTATTCCCCGATCTGCTTCCTAGTGCCGCATGCTATGTAGATATACGACATTTCCGACTGAGTTTCTGCTTGTATCAGTATGGCTACTCTTCACTCCAAGCACTAAAGGCTAGTTTAAGACGGTAAACCAGCCGGTGCCCTGTCGGGAGAGGTATCTTCAACTGAGAGGCGGTCGGGATACCAGCAGAGTTGGTAGACCACATAGCCTGGCTGTTATGTTGGGCCTAGGCTGACGGCTCGACGTAGAGGGAAGGACCCGCATTGGCGCTACACTCGGGAAACCGGGGATGCTAGCTACTCCGGATGGTCCCGAGTGACCGGGTACCGCCCCGGGCGAGTTGCCGACGGCATGGTTGAAGTGGACACTATTGACAGCTGCCGGAAAGGCACTAGCGTAGCCGGGGGGGACTTAAAGTTATCCCCGCCATCTGGGTCTGGCCTAGTGGCTGATGGAGCTGAACGACCTGATTGGCGTGGCCGGGGCCGCCATGCGGACCAATATGTTATTTGTGGGCGGAAACGCTGCACAGAGCTCAGAAATGGGAAAAAGGTGATGTGTATGTGTGAAGTGTTGAGTGCCTACTAACTGGGCGGAGGAGGCTGGCTAAGACCAGTGGTGGCGGCCGTCAGCCCACGTGACGGGCCGGCGAGGCCTGCCACCTACATTATTAGTAAGAGCGTTCTCAGGCTTTTGACTACCGGTATAGGCAGCAAGCTCGGCCGGCGTAAGCAGGGCCCCAGCAGGGGTGAGACTAGGCCATCAACTATACGTGTGGACGAAGAGAATGATTGTGATATTGATAAGGCGGTACTTTATTAGACTTATCAGGCGTTCGTATATGCTTGCTTGGTATTTTGCGATATATAGCTGCTTACATAGGTATGTCTGCTACTAATGAAGGATAGAGTAATATTATTATGATTTAGAACAAGGCCGGGGGAGACAGAGAGTTTCCATTCTACTGGTAAGAGAGAAGTATTTAGCACTAGTTAATTACATATGGGGTTGTATGCTGAGGGAGCGAACAAGCGGGCAAGACGCAGCTGTGACTTACTCCTGGTTTGGGAAGGAAAACTGCATTAGCAGCATGTAGAGTTCAGTATGGCAGATCCCAACCAATTCAGATGCATAATAGTGAAGCAGGAAGCTATACCGAGCCGTTAGATAATACTATATGTTTACTAAAACTAGGGTACTAGCTGTGAAGACCTGGCTGTAAGTTCTCTTATGGCTGAAAAGTATGTATAGTATCAGCAGGGTGAGTTAGGGAAGAGCTGGCGTGGCTAAAAAAGATTCCAATACGGGGTTTGCTCTTCTTCTGACTTATGGTATGGAGACGCTGAGCAGGGCTACATCGTCTGACATATTACAAGCAATGTCACCGAAGAGGTCTGTATCTAATAACCTATGCCGGGGACTTCCTGATGAGATGTGACTAGATAAGATGAATGTTTTATTCCGCCGTCACTATGACTAAGACTTATACGGTATCGGCTTTCTATGCCGAGATGTTTGTAGCCCTCGTCTCTCCTCAATAGAAGTTTCCTCCCTCAGCCATATATACCATACGGGTGTGTCTCCTCACGCGTTTGCATAAGCAGTTCGTACACGGGGTAAGGGATTTCATAATGCTTGAGGACTTTGCTTTACTCCTCAGCCTCATGCCAGACCGGGGCCCTGTTTTGCATCTGTTATTAGCCTGGGCGCTAGAGAAATGACGGGTAAGTGATAGAAAGGAAAGGGATGCATACTGGGCTGTTCCTTTGTTCACAAGAATGCGAACAGCAACCGTGAGAGGCGTGCCGACGATGGAGTTGCTGCCGAAGGCTGTAGGCGAGCTTGCCTTACCGATAAGCATGAGGCGATTGGCAATGTTGACGGGCATCGGAGAAGTGGAGACGACCATGCTCTTGTCAGCCCCGTCGGACTTGGTGGTATACACGGCGACGCTGCCATAGGCGGCATCGCGCTGCCGGTAGGAGACATGGACGCCATTGCGGCTGGGCTGGCTATGTTGGGTCTTCTAGTCCACGACGATAGTACCAACCAGGCCAGTGTATCCGATGTCGTGAGCGGCCGTGAGAGTAACGGCGCGACCGCCGGCGGTGCTGGCGGCGGCAGAGGTTACACCGGGTCCGGCGATCTTGATGTCAACCTCGGCTAACTTGGTGGCCTGTCCGTCGCGGTGGAAGGTAGCGAAATAGGCGTCGGAGCCCATCGTGAGCTTCACTAGTACTATGCCGCCAATGAATGTTAGTCGCGAGGATTAAGGAGAAGACCAATAGGCAATCGAGAAATGAGAGAGGAAAGGCAACGAAGGGGGGAAAACATGACTTACGACCGTCGGCCTTGACGGCAGGCAGGTCCTCAAAACGCTTGCCGGCGAGGAACTCCTGGAGGCGACCAGCAGAGCAGGGCTCATCGTTAATCTTGATAGCGGTCGACATCTTATGCAGTGTATGTAAGTGTTCTGAATTTTCCTGCAGTGGCTTTTATGTTAGGAAGGAGCGCTTCCCTTTATGCAGGTGGGCTTTAGATAGTAACCATACCTCGTTCTTTCAGAAGCACAGCTTAGAGTGTGGTTTGGTGAAGTTGGAAGGCCGAGGAAAGATTTGAAGGCAGAGAATTTTGTATTGAGGAGTTGGCGGCGTAGTGGTTGAAGGCAGAGAGAAGAATGGATTGATTAAAGTGTTGAAAGTGTGAGAGGTTGAAGAATAACTATGGTAGGTAGGGTGGGACGGTTGAGCAAAGGTGGGGAATATGGGACCGAGTTGTTCTCATCGTCCCCAGCCTGATCGGGAGGGGTCATACGCAAGACCAACCAGGGTTGAAGGTTGCCTGTGTGATTGGCTGCTTGGCTATGGTGCGCTGATTACAGCAGTCTACCAGGGTGAAGCGAACCAATAACCCTTTCAATCACTGCCCAAGACGATAACTGAGAACAGCTTAACGTATTAATTAAGAGTCGCATGACTCTGCAGTGCCTTTGGTAGATGAGGCCGTAGAACTGCGTCAAATAAGGTCGAGGCCCATTTTGCGGATCTCATCGGTTCGCCCCAGTCGGATCTCGTCGATAGACCCCGGTTGAACTACAGTTCAGATATAGGACTTCAGACGGTAAATAAACCTGCAGTAAAGCAAAAGGGAAAACTTCTAGTTCGGTTAGCAAGCGGGTGATGACTAATATTCGATATGTTGCACCGCAGTGACGTAGGCCACACCTGAACATCAATTATCTACAGCCTAGGGCACCCCTCATTGCTGAAGCTAGCGATGGTCTCGAAGCAATAATTATTACTCAAGCTAACCAAAGATTAACATTGGTCACGGAGATGCATTACTGTATCTTACAAGCCGGTGACTTCAACCGACACGACCAGCTGTGGGGTGGTGACGAAGTGTCGATGGTAAGGCAGGGAGAAGGAGATCAGATCGTCGACTTCATGGATGAGTTTGGCCTGAGCAGTTTACTTCCACAGGTTACGAAAACATGGCAAGGCGAAGACCACGCATCCACGGTCGATCTGGTTCTAGCGTCCGAAGGCCCGACGAACTCGCTGATCAGGTGTGCGATACATGGGACGGAGCACGGGTCGGATCACCGCACGATTGAGACAATTGTCGACAGCTTGGTCCCTGTCGCAAAACCAGCGGACCGGCTGCTCTTCAAAAAAGCACCGTGGAAAGAGATCAACGCGAGGATTGCAAGCGAGTTGGAAAAGACGCCATGCTCAGGGACAGTTCAGCAAAAGACCGACGTTCTCATGGCGGTGGTGTTGGAGGCAGTCCAGTCCCTGACACCAAAGGCTAAGCCGTCGCCACATTCGAAGCGGTGGTGGACAAGCGACCTAACGCAGCTCTGTCCAATTTACACGTACTGGAGGAACCAAGCTCAAGCGGAACGGCGTGCGGGGGCAACGAAAACGGAATTGGAGGAGATAGGAAAGGCGGCGGCTAAGCAATACCACGATGCAATTCGACAACAAAAAAAAGAAGCACTGGAACGAGTCTTGGACAGACAACGACAACATATGGAAGGCGGCCAAGTACTTGAAGGCTGGAGAAGACGAGGCGTTCGGCGAAGCACCTCAACTAGTCAGGGTGGACAAAACGAATACAATGAACAACCCTGAGCAAGCGGAGGAACTGTTATCAACCTTCTTCCCCGCCCTTCCGGCGGATATCGAAGAAAAGGGCGATAGACCACAGAGAGAGGCGGTGAAGATGCCACCCATTACGATGGAGGAAGTTGAACGTCAGCTGTTCGTAATAAAATCGTGGAAGGCGCTAGGGCATGTCGTGTGCACTGTTATGTAAGTTATTGAAGAGGGTATTTACAACTTTGTTGGTATACTTTTGAGTACAAGTAGCGCAAGGTAATTATGGCTTAAGACGGCTTACTTTGGAGCTATTTGTGGATTATTTTCGACTGCGCTAAGTAGATCCAAGTACCTGTTCGGCTCCACTCTAGCTTAATAGAGAAAGTATTCCAGTTGAAAGAGGACAATATATATGCTCGTAACTGTACCTCCCTGTGGGAGACCTGGCGCATATACAACAGGCCAGATTGGAATAGTGCAGAGCTCCTGGGATATTTATCAGTGCTAAGTCTCGCACAGCCGGTCGTCTATAACTCACATTTAATGCGCACTGGCGATCGCATTGAGCCCACGTGTCCCATCCAATCCACCGGAGTAAATCCTTCGTGGATTTTCTTTGTTGAAGAATCTCAACATGAAGAGAAAAGGCGCCAAAGTCTTGTTGACTTCCATGGATATTTTTTGTGCGCCTCTCACTCCATTCGAAAACGGACCACTCCCATTGACACAGTTTCTTCATGACAACCTCGGTTGACTTAAACAGCAGTCTCTCAGACCTTGCTAGACTTTTTGGTTTAATTAATTTTCCGTAAACTGATGTGTACCGAAAAATAGTCTGCTCCTTCGTCGTAGTAGTCTGGTCGGGAGCTTGATACTCCAGGTATGGAGCAAGAATCGCATGAGTCAGCTCATGAACCTTGGTAACTATTTCCATGGCAGCACTCTCGGTGCTATGGTCCTAGAGGAATGTTGCCCTGATCTCCTTGGCACGCATCCCATGTTGGGCTCGAACGCTTGTAAAGAGCGAATGCCAGTCGATACCGGAGCACTTTTTGTTTCTAAACTTGGGCAACGTCATCTCCTTTAACCACGATCGAGCGAGTTCAACATCGTATGTGTCAATCTCAACCAATTGATGTCCTCGACGTAGGCCCCATCCATTCTGGTAGGTCTGATTCCCGATGATGCCTCCATGGTGGGAGTGAGCGAGACTAGAGAGGTCAGGGTCGTAGAAGGACATGAGACAGCAGATGTCGAGCTTCACTCTCCTCTCTGATGGGCCTCCCCCACCATAAGCTCCGTAATGCCAAGTGGCGCTCCGAAGCCACTCATAGGAGCCTTGTTCCGAAAAGATATTGCCGAAACCGCGAGGAGGCTGCCGGTTGGCATCCTGAGAAAGAGAATCGTTGTTCTCATTTTCCTTGTTTCCGGGCACTGTGATATTGGTCACGGATATCTCCTCAATATTGGCGGCCGTATAGTCACATAAGAGCACCTCAAATCCAGCGTTCATGCGGACTACACCATCAATTCCAAGCTCAGCAACGAGCTCGCACAGGTCAAGCGCCCTCTGATCATCGTCGTATGTAAGGTCATAAGATGGGGACTTAGGCACATTTCCCTGCAGAAGCGCCATCTGTGAGTCGAGAGTTCCGACGGGAGTCAGAGATGCCGACTGGCCATCTAAGTAGATGATAGTAAGGGCGCGGGTTGTTCCATAGACGTGCAGGAGAGACTCGTCGAATCCTCCATAAATGCCTACCGACATTTCGCTTCCACTTGGTCAGCAGAGCAGCCTCGATAGGGGGGAGAAGACGAGAACGCACGCATCAAACGCGAAAAAGGTAGGTTTCTCGGGAAAGCCAGCGCCGTGCTTGGCATGGTATCCCATCGACTGGCAGATGACCTCAAAATCGCCAAGGGCGGGGTAAAGCCTTTCAGGGCTTTAATGCCCACAACTTCTATCAAATCATACACTGAGATTTACAGTACATCTATTTACTAGAGGTTCTGGGTATGCCAGAGGTACCAGCAATCCTTATCGATACATAACGCTACATCACAATCTAAGCAGCCCTTCCTAGTCTTCTTCCGTCCCTGACGCGTATTACCAGATATCTCTTGTAACGTCCGAAATGCCCTCATACTACCACAATAGGAACAAGGCGAACAAACCTTTCGTGATCCCTTCATATGCTGTTGCCACGGAATTGAGGTATTCCTCTTGTCTGTTGCCCGCCCGGGCCGGGATCTCTGGCGAGCTTTTCCCAGTGGCCCAAAGCGTTGAATTAGCTGGGCTGCAAGCAATCGACGCCATTGATACTGGCTTTTAACTGTTTGCCATTCAGGGTTTCCCCAGAGCTCTAAAAGGAAACTATTCACAACACCTACTTCAAGCAGGAAATCCCAAGCAATTGCCTGCCAGCCCCCTCGACGAATAGAACGCCCGTATTGATAATATGACCTCATTTGATCACTTGTATCAACGCCGTTCATATTGTGGTTATATTCGTCAATTGGCTTAGGGACTGGGAGGTTCGGGAGAACCTCCGGCCCGAAGACCTCCCGGGCGGCCCGCTTAGCTGCGGAATCCCCAGCTGGCCGGCGCCGGTTTCGTATAACTTCTTCGTTATCACGGAAGACGGTTGTAAGGAATAGAACAAGAGCGTTATCTTTCCATGTGAACTGGTTGACCTAAGTAAACCTATTAGTATGGGGATATCTATAGTAAGAAGATAGTAGTTAGATACCTTGCAATCTGACGTAGGGATACTATGTACTTGGCCCCATGGGATATCCCGGCCCTCGGTCTCTTTTTCGGCAACGAGATCCTGATGAATCCCGCTATCCCTCCGACAGGTGCCGGAAGCTCCGATCTGCTGCTGCCGAAGAGCTCGGAAGAGCCGTACGGAAGCGAAGAGATTATCAAGGAATACGTGATAGCACGTTCGGTTGGGCAAGGCCATCACAAATCTCGCTGGCATTGTAATACAGCACATAAACTCAGCAAATTTTCCATCTGGATAAATAAGAATCTATGCCTCATATATCGTAGCTGCTGCACGTTGAATATGACCCAAGTCACGAGACTAGAAGGCTTGAAATGCTTTACAATGACCACAATACGATTTGAGAGGTATGTCGTTGAAGCGATGCTTGTTCTGCTTCTAGCGCGAGTCGCACAGTTTCTCGTTCGAATCCACTGGCAGCGAATAGTAAGACCAATTCCATGTGTCACGTGCGGAATTAGGGATGGCGCTATGAGGGATGTGGAGATTAAGGGGATAAAGGGGAAGGGAACTACTAGCCCACTAGTAGCCCAACCAGAGCTATAAAGAGGGCTCTCGATCCCATAAGGGATTGAGAGGCCAAGAGATGAATGCAGTCGCCATTGAAACCCCTACATTCTGACCTCTTCACTCTGTGCCACAAACCCTCTGACACCATGCAGGTCATGTTCGGTTTCAGGGTATTCTGAAACCGTCGGGTCGACTGCATCTACGCAACGAGACCTTAATGATGGCCCGGATGAGAAAGCGTAAATGGAGACATCATCTGCCGAGTATAAAAACAGCAAAAGGCTTCAGGGCATACGTGCGACGATTTCCGCCGTTTACTCGTAGCAACGCAGCTTCTCATGTTCATTCTCTAAACAAATCTCATTTAGTAGAGGATGCCTCCCAAAATCTACAACTGGAAAGAGACGTTTCAATTCTTTTATTGGGACATATCTCACTACCGTCCGTATGATTTGGTCCGGGTGAACCGGCTTATTCTAGAATTCTTCGAGAAAGTCTGGCCAACAGCGAGAGTCAGCGGCTGCTTGACAGCTTGGGACGTTTTGCTCTGTTCACTCATGAAGTCCCTAAATCATCACCTAGGTATTTCAAGTACAGCCTGCGACAATATGTGATGTAGCTGACGCGTCATAGCTTGCAATGTCTCTCCCGAAAATACAGACTGGTACTCGTGGCTCTTCAACAACAAAGAAGAGACATGGGAATCGCAAGAACCGTTTGTTGACTGGATACGGCTTCAAGAATCGGTGACATCGTTATGCAGTGAAGCAAGTGCTCAGGCTGAGGCGGTGCTCACTATCATGTCGCACCTGGAGAGTATCTATAGACAACGGGAAGCAAACGAAAAATGGGAAACTGCTTCGATCTGTCCAAGGCCCTTCATATGGAAGGACAGCTGGTCCGAGTCGATTCCGCCAAAACTCCTCTGTGAGGGATACGCCAACCCCATCATACGAGACTTTTGGCGGGCTCACGATCTCATTCCTTGGACTGTGCGTTACCCTACACCGATCCTCATCCGTGATAGTAGCCAGTGGACAAAAAATGGGTCTCTCTTTCGAGAAGACGATGCGAAGATAATGGGGAAGTCATCAATATGCTTCTACTCTTCTCGAGTTGGGCTTGGCCTGCTCTTTTCTCCGTGGCCCGGTAACGACAAAAAGACCCAAGTCGCCCTGACTCACCCAGTACTAGAATCCCGGAGGTACCCTTGTTCGATAGCCGTACATTCAATTTAGCGAAACGCCTGTACACCGGACTGCTTTGTTGGGTTGGGTCCATATGTGAGACAGGTCAGATTGACACACCCTACCGCTTCCTGGATCATCAATATATGGTGTGGTGCGAGGAGACTAGGAGTTCTGCGATTAACATCAATAAGGCCTTGTGGACTGCAATGAGAACTATGAATCTTGAACCCGTGCGACCAGATCAATGCTAGTATTATTTTTGCCCCCTGAAATCTCAATGAATATAAAGATGATGAACCTTCCGCCAGCAATCTGGCTGCAAGCCTAAACTAAGTGAGACAGGTGAGACTCTTCGCCGCATATTCGACTAGGGGAGCTTGAAGGTTAAGGAGCCATATGCAACTGACCGGACCCCCTCATTGTAGTTCACCGAGAATACCACCCAAGAGAATGCCAACATGCCACCGGTTTTGTTGGCTACGACTGGCGAGGTCGTCCACACGAAAATAAAGCTCCTGATGAGACCAGTGCTACCGTTGGGCGTCAATGATGCTCAGGAGCAGATCAGGGAGGATTTTCGGCCAAAGCCGCATGGTCGCGTTTCACGGGAAGATGCTAATTGGCAACAGACCGCACCACCGTGCCGTACTATGTCAAATGTCGAACGAGTCTTTTCCATATTACAGCACACATTGACATATCTTCAGCTGACAGCTTGCTCAAACACCAAACTGTCTCTGTTCCTGGTGCACCACCAAAAACTACAAGGCTTTGATCATTGACTTCACCAAAGCCGCGTTACCGGTTAAGTGGCTTGGCATCAGAGAAAGAGCACAGGGCCAGCCCACTCGGCAGCTGAGATATGCCGAGCAGGTGACGAAACTCAATGCCTGGGCGGTCGTTGTGTAGGAGTGGGAGCAAATGGTGTTCGGCAAACCTCTTCGCCGCCTCGTCCCCAGCTGTGTCGTTTTCGACGATGAAACTGGAACGTTGATGCGTGACCTCTGGGTTTGATCTTCTAGTGCCGCTGTTGTTGCCGTCTGTGTTGCCAGCAACATTGTCGTTGCCGCTTTGCCATCCTTCAGTCTAAGTTGCATTTGAGACCGGCCATACGCGACCGGTTCGATCCGAAGGCTTTACTCGCTAGTACGGCATCCCTGGGGTCCGGCTCTGGGTACGCGCCGTAAGTTCCGTAACGCTGATGACAATGCCAAAATTGGGCTCCGCACCTTTCATCGCCCACAGCAGATTGCTTTCGTTGTCGGGGCGCACGCCAGCGGCTAGATGGTGTTGGCGTGGTAAAGTGCGCGACCGACACAGTACCTAGCCAGACTCGAAACTGACTATTACGGCGCCGACGACAGCGTCGCATGCCAGCCAGTGAAGCCTCGCCAGATGTCCGATGCCGCCTTGTTGCCATAGTCTGGCCCCTGCTCGAGGCACTGCACACCCGCCGTCACGGACTCTTGGACGGCCCGTCGTACAGCCGGCGCCGGCGATGACCACGCAATCTGAGCTAGATTCCAGTTCGCCTACGTCTTTCTTCTATCGTGATAATGCGGATCTGAGTAATAGCACCCATATCAACTGCGACTTGTTATTTCTTCATCGTGTTTGGTCAATATGCCGAAGCTATTGTTGGCATTAGGTTACCTCAGTCTTTCGTCAGCGCAGAGAAATGCGATTTGAGCCAGCAGGCATGCTGTCACAACCCACAACAGGTAGCTTTTGGCTAGTGACTCGATCTCGGCGCACATACTAGGTTATGTAGTAAGGCTGCATGTAATCATTATGTTATAATTGCAAGCCACGCGGAACAGGAAGTGGCCACTTTCCATGGTCTTGCGGGAACTGCGCAGGAAGCCGGACGGACGGCTGTGCTTCCAGTAGATAGATATGCTATGCCCGTAAGGTCGTTGATTCAACGATGCAGCTTCCTTTTGCATTAGTGATGCCCACGCTTTCGGCCTCCTGCAGCTTCATCGTATCATCTTGTAGGAAACTTGCGTATGAGCTAGCGGCGAAACAGTTAAGTAGTCGAGTGATTGGAGGAAAATCCCGCCGCTTCCTGCAGTTGTTGGGGGTGCTGACCGCCCCTACTGTCCCCGCTATCCAGGCGCAAGGGATTGGGGTCATAACATCAGTACTCCAGTGTACGTACGTGTTGGGGCAGAGCAAAGCAATCACACAGGCTCTGACTAGACTAGACGTACTAGACCCTTGACCATGAAATTACCATAGGCTACTCGAAGTACCCGCTCCGCACATCGCCTTAGACTGCACGGTGGCACAACTTTTTCACCACTATCTGGTTACTTTTAAGACGCAAAAAGTAGCATCGTAACCATAAAAACCAGCTCACAGTACTACTTTTGGAACTAGGAACCTTTGCCTGCAACCTCCATCTGCTATCTGCCAGTGATTCACTCTGAGAAGTCTCCCTTTTTGTCGATCTTCCTAGCTTCCTTAGTGGCTGTCAATTCCAGCCGTCCCTCCTTCCCCATTCGCAATGCTCCACTACGCTTCTTAACGGCTCTGGAGCTACGGAGTAGCTGGGTTGTTGCAGCGTACTGGGGCAAGTACAGTGTGCTCTGACTATCACTACGGAAACCCGGAAGTTTGCCGTTTGCCCTGTTGGTGCTTGTGGCCACGATTGGGGTCCCAGCCAAAGCCTCCTTCTCCAGTTTCGGACCTACATTTCTCCGGGTTAAAGGGTGAAAGGGATTGGGATCACAGCGGAGATGCCCAACCAGACAATGCGATGAAGCTTGGCACACCATCGCGTGGAAAAAATGCTCAATGGCTTAAGACGTCAAAATTTACTTCAAAACTATGTACAGTATACCTCTTGCACTATCGAAGAATGTCGCTAAATAGAGCAAGATACTCTTGAGTGTGATTAGTTGCCTATGCCTCAACTATCCGTACTTGCATCGTCGGCCTCCTTATCATGGCTTTGGTGATGACCCGCCTCTTCCAGCCTCGTCAACGTCGTTAATTCCCAAGGACCCGTCGTCTTGGCTCCAGTAACGGTACCAAGATAACTTCGGCCTTCCCCCAAAGCAGTTGCCTTTCATGCGTATATGCGTGGTTACTTCTGACCGTCTAAGCTAAGGGGTAGTCCTCCAGCTACTCTCAAGCAGGCCTCTACCGCCTCTTGTAAGAGCTTCTCGGTCTTCTTCCACTGCTCTTGCTTTATGTACGTCATTGCCAGGTCGGCCATGATCGCTACGGTCGGTAGGTGGTCACGTCCTTAGATCTTCGATCTCATTTCTATCACCCGTGCCTGTAACGCCTTCACTGTTGAACAAGTCCAGCAGATCATCATCCCCAAGTGGGCTGCAGTGGAGGCAGACGGCCTTAAAGCTTATGTTTTCTTTATTCGCCTATGTGCAAGCCTATTCTAAGCAAGCGTTTTAGTGTATGGAGGATATTGCGGTAAGGATGTTTTCCTATTATCCTCTATAGAAATTCCTGCCCTGGTCCTCCAAACCAAAAGAGGATTTTCTGCAAAGCAGATTTGTGCCTATTATCAAGGCTGTCAGCGAATTTTGTTTTTGGCTATAGCGTGTAGCTTGTCTCTCAAGGCACGTTTTGTCCCGGTGTTTCTTGCATTAGACGACCAGTTCTTGATGCTGTCAAGAGCAAGTCGCAACTCAATCTCAGAGGTAAACTTCGGGCAATGGGTTGAGAGATATTGAAAGCTGCATTTAGCACAGGTAGCTGCATTAGCATTTATCAGGGATAAACCAGATGAGGATCTGCGAGCTCTATCGGGCATATTGATAGTCGATAGTGGTTGGTATGGTTCTGAACTTGCGGTTGGCTGATGGTGTTTGCGACTATTACCCCCTTGTGTATTTTTTTCTTGTTGCATCACCAAGTCCTTCCTTTCATTATTATTCCAACCCATATCGTAGTTTACTAGAGGATCAGCTCTCTTTACTTGGAAATCTTGTCCGGCGTTGGCAGAGGAGTAGAGTCGCTTATTGAGCTCTGTCGAGGAAAAGTGGGAGGTGGGGTGAACAGAGGAGATTTCTGGTCCGGCTTCTCTTCCGTTCTGGTTAGTTCTAGAGTTTGCTGTGGTATGAAGTTGCCACTTAAGCTGGACCCCTTGGCTTGCGAAGACTTCGGCGTCCTTTTGGGGTTTTGCTTTCGAGGAGTTGGCTTGGCTGGTTTGTTTTGACTTGCCTTGGTAACTCTGTAGGTTGTCGCAGTGCTAATCTTAAATGACTTACGTAAGAGCGTCTTCTTCTGTGAGGTCGACGAGTTAACCTGCTGTTTCTTGTTGCTAGATGCTTTTTTGGGAGTCGAATAAGGAGAAGCAAAATTTTTAGCTTTACCTTTAGTTATCTTCACTATAGCGCTGTTCTCCGCGTCAGTATCTTGCTCCTCATCCTCACTAACAAAGTCCTCGTCATTATCGGAACTAGCGCTACGATCACCAGGGAGACCGGCCGCGAGGTCCATAGGAGCGTTTTTTTTTTATAGTTTACAGCTTTGGTACCACTTGTTAGTATGTGACGACTGTAATGAACCTGACTAGCCTGGGCTTACCTGACGTCGACGACCGCCACGACCGAGGACTTCTTTGTTTAGCTCTGCAATTCGCTTTGCTTCAGCTTCGCGTTCTGCAAGAATTTCCTCCCAGACGTTCGGGTTCACAATCGGCTCGTTTTCCTCGGCTAGGTTATCTTCAAACCCGCCCTTATCGTTAGCCCACACGCAGGCAAAACGAGAACGTCGATTCAGCTGACTCGTCTTGTCCCATCTCTGCCTGTTCTATTTGAGATCGATCAAGGAGCTTTTTGATGCTGGCTTCATCATAGCGTATGATATCTTTCTTGTCTTGATCTTCGCTAAACAATGCAGAAGCTCCAAACTTGAGGATTGACTCTAGATCGTCTGGCTCACCCTCTTCGTCCATAGCCTTAATCAGGACATGATCAAGAGCCATCTTCTTCCGGCCAATCTGCATAATCTTTTCTTCAGCTGAATTCTTCGTCATGAGCTGGAAGCAGAGAACTTTGTGTTTTTGACCGATTCGATGTGCGCGGGATATGGTTTGAATATCTTGATGGGGGTTGAAGTCCGGGTCTAGGATTATAACGGTATCTGCTATAGCGAGATTGATACCTACTCCTCCAGCTCTCGTCGATAGAAGAAAGGCAAAAACAGGCGAGTCTGTGGCATTGAAAGTATCAATATGCTTTTGTTTTTCATGGCTATTGATCTTGCCATCAAGACGTCTGTGTTGGAAGCCAAGGCCATTAAGGAAATCCTCAATGATGTCCAATTGGTTCAGGAACTGACTGAAGATTAATACGCGATGGCCAAGCTCCTTGAGCTTGGGTAGCATGATGTTAAGCAACATCAGTTTTCCGGACGCGGATACTAGGTTCTCTTGCATCTTGATTTGATCCGCCGTCCTCTCTTCGATCGCCTCGCTATACATGAACGGATAGCAAAGACACTTTCTGAGCTGTATGAGAATATTGTTCAGACTTCCACGCTCCTTCTTGTTTATTTTATCGTCAGCAAAGATTGCTTTGATAAGGTCAGGACTTTTCGACATAATCGATTTGCATAGCTTCTCCTGCAGAATCGACATGGAGACCGGTACAATAATCTGCGCTATGGGGGGTAAAAACTTAAGAACTTGGGCTTTGGTTCTTCGGAGGAAATACTGTTTGATCCGACCGTGAAGCTCAGGCAGATTCTGCGCTTTCAGTTCTTGATACTCTTCATCTAACTTCTCAGCGTTTTGAGTTGGATCAATGAACTACAGAAGGTTGAAAAGCTCTCGTTTGTTGTTTTGCAGCGGTGTTCCAGTAAGAAGGACTCGAAAGGGGAATTTCATTGCCCGCAAAGCCAAATAAAACAGGCTCTTGTCGTTCTTTAACCGCTGACCCTCGTCAACTACCAACCCAGCCCACTGAACCGAGCGGAAGAGACTCCTTGTCCGGTCATCCTGGGCAGAGTCTTAAGACATGACCACAACGTGGGCTTTAATATCTGACGAGCCATTCGGGAAAAGCTCGTAGTTGTAGGCTAGCTCCTGAGGTTGCTTTCCGCCATGGTAAGTTACGACCCGAAGATCTGGTGCCCACTGCTTTATTTCACGACGCCAGTTCGGACAGGTGGAGTTCGGAACAACGACCAGAAAGGGCCAGCACTTAATAAGTTCGCTGCTGATAGTCCCGTAATATAGTAAGGGAATACATACCTTTGGCTCACCGTGAACCAGAGCCGAAATCAAGCTAACTACTTGGACTGTCTTTCCTAGTCCCATCTCGTTTGCTAGATTAACATTCTTGTCCTCGTGATAGTTATATAATAACTAGTTGACGCCTTCAAGTTGTTAAGCTACTAAGTTGCCCCGGCGAATCCCTTGCGGCTGCTCCTCTAACGCGGTAAATCTTTCTTTTTTCCACCGGCTCACCTACTCCCTCATTTTGACATTTGATGAGCTGCCGAAGTATTTGCCCGTTAGGTATTCGCAGTACGCGGCCTTGAATGCGTTGTAGATTTCACCAGCATCTAGTTTCGGTGGTTTATCCCACACGGCCTCGTCATAGCCAAGACCTTAGAATTTGACGTAAATTTTGTCGACGCTCTCGATGCGTTCCATGTCCTCCTCCAGAGTCCGACCTCGTCCAGGTTTCAACTTGGCGGAGAAGATAACATCTGGGAGAAGGTACTTCCAGGAATAGCGTCATCTTTTGTCATTTTCAGGGCTAGATTTTGATCCGCATCCTTCTTGGCGAATGAGCTGCGCATGATTCCTGCTGCGATGTGATAAACCCAGGCGCCAGGCATCCAGCTGCAATGGAAGTAAGAGCATTCCTGCCATTTTATAAGATATTCTTTCTCATCTTCAAAAAAGTCGCTGTATGTCATTCCCTCCGTGTGGGATTCCCTGTTTGCAGGCCGCCATGCAACCAAGGTGTGAATTTTGTGTGATATCGTGCCACAGTCGTGGCACTTCCAATCCACGGAATATTCCGAAAGCCGTTAATCACGAATGTCTGATACGTCCGAGTCCATCTGAGATGAAGGAAGATGCTCGTAATGCCAGCCACGTTTACAATTAACACAACGGAACAGAACGTTTTCAGCATTGTTAATGAGAGAGGAATCAATAGGAGTGATTAGATCTTCACCACCGTTCTCGACTCTGATCTTCTCTTCCTGTCTTGGGGTCCTTCTGGGCGAAAATGCCTCGCATGAGCGTCCTGATTCTTCACATTTTTGACACCGGTGATGTCTTGGGGCACGTTTGTCCTTTTTGTTATAGAAGCCGATGCAGTACTTGCACTAAAGGACGAAGTCATCTGCCCCGACTTTAGTGACTATGTGTTCTCTGGCTGATCTACATCCTAAACAACTTCTGTAGAAAGACAGGGAGCAGCCTTGACAGCCGATCAGTGAACCTTTGCTAGCGATTGGTCCAGTATTGCAAGTGCCGCAAATCTCAGAGTGGAATAAAGTAAATGTTGAATCGTGTGGAAGTTGCTTGAAGACTTCCTTGAAGTTGATAACTTTAGGTATGCCTGCAGGTGCTGTGTCTTCGACGTAGAAGGAGTCCTCGTCCATCAGGGCGATGTCAATCATACTGGCCTTATTTCTAGTTGATCTTCCAGAACGACGTCGATCCTCAAACTCAATCGATGAGCCACGTGATCTGGATCGCACTGCAGGCCTAGCCCTGGCCTTGGACCGTTTCGATTTCTTCCGCCTCGATTGCGAAGGTTTGGAGACAAGATCTGACGTTACTAACATGAAGTTATCATCGTCTTCATCAGATTGCTGCAAACAAGGTTCCTGGGATAGCTCATCCAAGTCTTCATCGCGGGTTAGGCTGGTGTTACTAAAGGTCATACTGGTGAATATAAGCTGTTTCTGTGTACGCTCCCTCAGTTGTCGACATTATCATCAAAAATGCTAGGATATTCTTGACGTGTGTTTTGCCTGGAGGTACCGTGTTGCTGCCGCAAGGAGCGACAATCAGTTTCCGTGTCGCCGTCGTCATCGTCGTCGGAATCAAGGGTAGAAGTGAGACGGGTTTGACGGCGACGCATGCTTCTCTTACGGCTGGAGCGAGCTGGAGTCTCTTCTTCGTCAAGCTCCATGAGGTCCACGTTAGACCCAGCATCGGAGTTTCCGTAGCTCTCCAACCAGGACCTCTTCCTCTCACGCTTCTTGAAAACGTCGCCACTGTTATCTATATCCATAGTGCGTTGTAGTTTCCGGAGTGCAGCTTCACCACCTTCACAATCCAGAAGGTCTTCAAGTAGTGTCTTAGAAATGTCAGTTGCTATTTGAAATAGGCCTAGAATGTTTGTGAATTTCGGCAAGAGTGCTGTTAGCTGGAAAGGGAGGTGCCGAGAAGCAGGATTTCCGGATTTCCTGAACAGCTCTACTGCTCGCCGCTGGTACCTTCCAGTATCGACAGTAGTTTCAAGGGCAAGCTAGTATGCAAGTGTTTTGGGTATCGAAGTTTCGTGGTAGGTTATAATATCAACAAGACTGGGAAGTAGAAGGAAGTCGGAGGAAAGAGCCTCACAAGGTATGAGAATAATTAAGGAAGAACGGGAGGAGAGGTGCTCAAAACGAAACGGACAGAGTTGCTGACTTACAATTTCCCGTCGAGCGTCGGTAAATTCAATATTGTACCCGCGTTCTCCATCCAGATTCACATCGTTAAGGACTTCATCCACTACGTCACTTCGAATCGATATATACTTTTCACTTTCCACAAGTGGCATGGAGTGTAGAACGACTTCAAACTTGGCTGAGCGCATTTGTTCTGGTAGCCTTTCTTCTCTAGGTCTTGATTCGGACGGTCATTCATCATAACTTCTTCCAAGTCAACTTCCGGTTTATCAGTCTTTGAGTCCGACAAAGTGGCTGCGAGCGCAGCAATAGCACGTACCTCAGCCGAAGTCGTTTGCTCATCTAGCTCAAGTGCGCCGTAGCCATGAATTGTCTGCTGTTCTGGGGGATAGCTGCTCTCTGAGATGTCGGCAAGGAATGTATCGTCATGGCTCTATCGGCAGGCTCGTTGTCGAGCGGGGGGGGGTCGGTCGGTGCATCGTTAAAGAAATTGTCTAACTAATCAAGTCCGATCAGCGCATCGCTTGGCGATCCGGCGTCGGATAGCCCCTCCATGCTTCAACTCGTAGCGATTTGGGAGGCATATGAAGGTAGATGTGTTCGGCTGCACGTCGAATCCAACAGCCAGAGGGAGGCGCGAAGCAAAAAAGAAAAGAAAAAGGGGTGTTGAACCAAAAAAGAAGGGGGAAAACCGGAATCAAGAAGAAGCAGGAAAGTGTCCTACCAGAGCAGACGTTCGATTGCGGGTAGGCGCATGAAGGAGAAGCTTGCTTCGAAGTTGTTACAGTTCTATTGAACAGTCATCAGGGGCACGTGATATCTCACGTGCTGGCCGTACACGTATAAGAGACACCCTCGACAGCATCATCGTCAGTAGGTCAACTCAATAGAAGACCAACTGCTTATACCTACGTTTATCGATTTGTCGTTGTTTATTGCCTTGTGACCGTTTGTTTGACTTCTGTACTATTCTGTTTATATCTCTGTTCTTATCACGGTTCCGACCTCTGCCTGTTGTAGCCACGTGCTAGCAGGAAGAACTGTGACAGAAGTGGACTTGACGAATATTCAACGCGCCTGCAGAACCGCGTTGCAATTAAACTACTATGGGACTTCGTGAATAGAAGGTACGTGCCCCACGTAACTAGCGGCTCAATATGGATTAGCTAGGAGGTTGCTTAATAACTCTGTTACGGCAGTCCGCAGGGACCACTGGGTCAAAATTCAATAAATTAGTAGGTATATGGTATGAGGGTAGAACTTGCCTAATATGGTGATAGTCTCCACTAAAGTGTGTTATCGATAAGATATGAGTGGCTAGAAATTTTAGGTAAGTATGGAGCCCGTGCCTATATACCCATAAAAAGTCAACCCTAGACCCCTGCTAAAGTCTGACTCCCGGCTTATACCCGTAGTAATCCCCTACCTATAGTTATAGTAGTTTATAATGCTTACCTCGCTGTAGCTATAGCGCCTCCCCCCTTAACCCTAACTACCCTACTACCCTAGCTACCCTAACTACCCTAACTTCCCTGACTGCCCTAACTGCCCTAACTGCCCTAACTGCCCTGACTGCCCTAACTGCCCTGACTGCCCTAACTGCCCTAACTGCCCTAACTGCCCTAACTGCCCTAACTGCCCTGACTGCCCTAACTGCCCTGACTGCCCTAACTGCCCTAACTGCCCCAACTGCCCTAATTGCCTTAACTACCTCAACTACCCTATATGCAACCGCCCCATATATAATTACACTGCCCGCATTTACCCTTTTCGCTCTTGACTCGCGCAAGTGCCTAGTAATTCTCAGCCAATCAGAGCCTTTTAAAAATCCTCCCCTTAGGTGTAGACCTATTGACCCGATGCGGAAATTATTGAATTTTGACCCAGTGGTCCCTGCGGACTGCCGTAGATCACAATACTCGTGTTGGTGCAAAGCCCCATATTTAGGAGTAACCCTGCTGTCCCGCAACAAGGGGAGGGCGGGGTAGGCTGCTGACCTCCCCAATCAGCAGGCAGCGACCATTTTTGGCCACTCCAGATAGCCATTACATAGTAAGTATGACAAGGATAAGTGATTGTGATTGCAACAGTGGCGTGCGCTGCTGCCCCTAACGATCGTCCACAAACACAATGCATTAATAAGAGTTACTCACTTGCGTAATAGGGCAGATCTCGGCGATACGCCGGGCGAGCTGCAAAGCCAGCAGTCTTGCAGGCACGAGCGTATTCTGAGGCTTTTCTAGCAACTAATGAAAATGAAGTTCCGTAGGCGACATGTGTCTACGTTGTCATGATTAGAAGATCCTCCAAAGTAAAATGTTGGCGCACTTGCGAATGGTGTGCATTTGCGCGTATTCCTGACCACGTCGAGTGCCTAGATCGGTGAGAATTCACAGTGACTCATTGGGGTGTGAGCAGCAGTAAGCGACAGCGGATGATGCAACCTATTCGTCGTTGCTTTTCCTTCATTATACCACTCACCAAGTAGTCTTGAGCCCACGGTGCCTGTGAAGGGAAGTGGATATCAGCCAAACGGAGCGGCTGGGAGTAATTGCTGACAGCCCAATCGTCATTCATAATGAGCGACTCAACGCCTAAGCGGCCACTGTGCCAAATACAAAGAATGCTATGGCCGGAACAAACCTTCTAGACAGGTTATCGCTGCTGGAATGTTCTGGCCGGGCGGGCATTTGTATCCGTTAGCTGCAAGGTGGATAAGCTGTAGCCAGCGAGGGGAATCTCTTGTTGGCGGCACCAAAGCCCCATGTTGCGGGGTTCTTTTGCAACGCGGGGCGCCTACAGAGAAGCTCGAGGAGCTCTTGGTAGCCAAGAGCATGTTAAGGACCGGCGGTCGCGCAACAGTTGCGCGACTGCTCCTCAACCAGCGGCTACATATCACGCAATAAGTCACCAAGAAACGATGCTTACGAATGCATTTCAGTGGAACCCACTTTCAGTGCCTGCACAAAGGCGCAGGTCACAGGGCGACATGCAAGTCGCAGACCATCGTGGGTGTGTAGCCGCTTTCTAGACTCACTGAAAGCCACGAACGGCATTAAGGTCTCCAAGGTCCGCTAGGTATTGCCTGACCAACTACGAGGAGATCTTAGGGAGAGGACTATGTGGATGTAATGTGTTAGCGGGTGCAAGACTAAAAGTCATCAATTACCCCCTTTGAAAGTCGCTGGCTGTACCAAGTTGATAAGTTCCTTGTTTAACTGGTTTATGTAACTGAGTAGCCTTTGCCTCGAATGATCTGGAATATTGTGCACCTTATTTCGATCATACGGTGCACAGCACCAAGACTGAGGACGCCCATCGATGAGCATGTACCTCTACTGTACATCTTGGCTCAGGCAAGCCCGCAAACCCCCCGTCGGATAAGGCTCACTGTCCCCTTCCAGCGGGCTACTTGTGTCGCTGTGAGTTGCACGTTAGTGCATTCCCGCCTATGGCCGCACCGCCACTGATTTTGCCGCGCCACCTAGCAGTCGCCTACGGCCTGCAGCGTACAGTAACAGCAAGCAAGGCCAACAAATTGCAACAAGGCATTTTTGCATCCGAAGGGGAAAGAAGGAATAAAGGGGCGTACGAGCACCAATGGGGTCCTTGCCCACTACGAAGCCAAGCCTATCTGGCACCCGAGTACCTGACGCTCCAGGATATGGCTTTTCATCGACAGACTTGCGCCTCTGCCCCGCTGATGGCTAGTGGTTGATGGTAAGTCTGGTCGTCCAGATCGCCACCCCCTGCCCACCACATGGGTTAATTAGCCAAGCGAGCCTGCAGCCTCTCCTGCAAAAGCATACGAAGGGGCCACGACATTAGTATATTATCCTGTGCGGCAGTTTTTGCCTCTCAACTTGTTAGCCAATTCGAACTGTCACCACGAGCAAAAATGACCGACGCAAGTTTGTACCAAATGGGTCAATCAACAGTTGGGGATGCTCTGCGACGGCATACTTTGATGAATTTCGCGCAATGTTCAAACAATATGTCCCAGCAACCGTCACCACTTCATCACGGGATTATTGAAGAGTCCGAATCGCCAGCATGTCCGGGAAAAGTTGCGTGAATGCGAAAGTTTGAACACCACTTGAGTTGACTGGCAGATTCTGGAAAAAATGGATCGAAACTGCTCAAAGGAAGCTACGAGAGCCGTGTCGAGGTGATATTGAACGCGTGTACAACTCATGCTAGCAAGTAGGCATCGACTTGTCAGCCACCTCGCTCGGTGAATTTAAAAGCACCAAAAGATTTGAGGGTAGGGTGGTACCAGAGCTTTCCTCCGCTATGCGCATGCTATGTACCCAACTGGGAGGGATATGTACACGAGAGCTGGAATAACCCGAAGCACCAACTTTCGATGGATGCCGACCAGTTTTGGACGGGTGTTAAAACCCGAGCAGTCAAAATTATGGAGCATTGGGACGAAATACAAAAAATCAATGTTGAAGCCTTCCGAGCAATCGCAAGACCAAAGACAAACTTCACAAAATCCCCAGTGCGCACATATGTGCCTATCTGAAAAGCTTTAGGGGCCAACGACCTTCTCCGCAACAGTTTCGGTCTCCGATGCTTCACCTCGAGGACCTTGTCTAGGGCGATAAACTTCCACCATTTTTCGAGGTACCTGCGAAGCGTCACCCGACGACATTTCGCACACTTGACAGTCACTTCGTCCCATTGGGCCGCGCCGCGCTCTGCATTACCGACATCCAGCTGTCGGGATGGCTCAGACGCACACATACGAAATCCTAGTCCAATGCGTTTAGGGCTTGGTGGAGGAGGTTGAAACTAGCTTGCCTTGGATTTGGACTCTTTCTTGTCGAGCATCCACAACAAGGACAATGGAGACTGGTCATTCTTGGGTAGATCTTTCCGGCTGAGGTGCTCTGAGTCTGAGCACATCGTCGACGTAGATTATCTGTGTATCCTGACGAGAGCCTCACTCGACGAGCCTCAAAATGACTTGTGGCAAGTGAGACTTGATCCCCGGTATTGGGAAGTTCGTCTTGAAACGTCTGAAAAACACGACGTGAAGTTGATGAACCTGGTACGCACCACTTTCGGGCGCATCGACATGTTCAGCACCGTCAGCGGCCTTCTTCAAGAGATGTCAAAATCCCCTTGTCCAAGACAGCCCCAGAGAGCTTTGCTGAAGATGACAACTTCTTGAGACTCATGGCCTCTGTGAGTGGCGTCGTCGACAGGTTTATAGACGAACAATTCAGCCAGCTGAAATATATCGAATGGCCTAACCAGGGTTCAATCATCTCGTTGTTTTCTTGTTTATTTGCGCAGATGAAGGAAAACAACTATATTATCCGGCTCGTGAGCCTATTTGAGGTCATGCAAACGGTTGAACGAGAGCTTGTAAGAGCAGAGTCGATCCCGCTGAAGTCTTGCAGGCGCTGAGTGACTCATCTGTATTGTTAGTGTGTTCACAACATACTCTATTTCTGGTTTGTATCCAATGCGCTGCAATACTGCCTCACAGCCAACAACTTAGCAGACTGGCAGATGAATCGAGCGCGTCCCTTGGGGATGCACAATCAGGGTTCTCAGTGAAATGGGCCAAAAACAAAAATGCAAATTTGACTACTTGTCTCGGAAAGGGAATGCTCAACAGTCCGAGTTCTGGAGCTATTTAGACTATCTTAGTTTTCAGGTCCTCTCTCGTCAATTGAGCTTTCGCAAGAGTCCCCTGTAACAGTTTTCCGTGTCAAAGCTGGGAATCCTGTGAGAGTAGCAAAAATTCGCTGGAATATAGTGGTGCTGGGTTCGGCTGCAGGGCTTATTTAAAAAGCCAAATTGATGATATTGCACCATAAGATACATCCTAACTCGTTTAGTGAAAAATGAATCTAATGGCTGCAGAAAACCAGGAACCTGGTTTCGCCTGCGGCCCCCATTTGGCGTCCTCGCTCGGCCTCGTCCATCTATACTCTCCAGCCACTTCGACGTTACCTATACCGGATTTCTCCGTGTGCTTAAGGCCTACCTTGCCAGAATCCTCCATTTTCAAATCACAGCTACCATACAAATCGGTCTTAGCACCCTTGCGCCCAAAACCGCGCCACTTCTTACTCAACTTTACGTCGCAGTCTGTGAAGGCAAGGTCCAATCCGCCGAGCCTACAAGCGACGCACTCATCACCCACGATGCCCGGTAGATGGCTGTGACGTGTGAACAGACTGATATCGATGCGGTCGAGAAATAGGTTGCGTTTGATCCAGTTTTCTTCTGTTGAAAGTTCAAGCCGTGTTCTGTGAAAATTTGTTTGAACGTTTGTTTTCCCCGACAACGACACCCACTGGTACAAAGTATCTTCGTGTGAAGGCGGCAAGAAGCCGTCATCACGGGACCATGTCGTGGGAAACCCTTTAGTCAAGTTTATAGACATGGAGAACGACCCCAGCGGTGTTTTCCCACCCACCTTGCCCAAAAGGTCAGCTTTAATTAGTTGGAAGTCTCTCTCTTTCCCATCTCGCTCTTCGTCGTTTCTGGCTTTCTCGTTGAGAAAACACATTTCCTCAATTGTAGGAACAGTGATGAGCCTTGGAGATAGGTCGCAAATGAATTCCCATCGCTTTCGCTTCTCTTCTTCCGCAATTCTCGGGAATGACGGAAAAGGCGTAACTGCTTGAATCATGGGAGCCGGCACATGTCGCAGGTCTGGAAGAAGAGCATTATCTCGAGGCGAAAAGATGTCTTGGTCATTATGGCAATTCTTAATGTGCTTGCTTTTGGCCTGGACTTGTAGTGTTCTTACCTGGACCAGTAAAGCCGCCAGGAAAACTGACATGACGGCGGCTGTCATGGTCAACAGCCTTGTCTGTGCCAAAGCAACCTACCGCAAAATGCCCGAAGCCTCCATTGGGGCGATGATCACCGTCGTCTCCAAAGTCATGCCCTATATTACCCAAGCCGCGCAAGCTGCCCCAACCGCCCATGCCGCCTAAAACTCCCGCAAGTTGCTCGCCGCTGAAGCTACTAACCATTTTAGAGTTGGTTCGTGTTCCAAACTCGGTGAGAGACAAGTAAATCGACGAAAGGAAGTTCAGCTTGAGTGTGTCAAAGACAAAGAACTGACCTCTACTATTCAATTTTCCATAGCCATCCCGTCTCCTTTATAAATACTTCCTGCTTCTGCGTGGACGCTCAGGCTAAGGATAGGATTCTGGCATGATGGCATGAAACAAACCTACGAAATATGAAGGTTTCGGTAGATTGATGGCGACCTCTGTGTGCCCGCTAGATTTGCCTTTGCTATTGCATATTGTCAAACTCCCCCTCTCCAGGCCATGGTTTTTGGGCAGGAAAGAATGGCGGATGCGTTTTCAACTAAAGCCCGATACAGCAACAGTTCGAGTGCTCTGCCTTGACGGCGGCGGCACAAGAGGCAAGTATCCTTTGAAGGTGCTGAAACAGCTGCAAGATAAGATCAACTTGCCCAATTTCCCCGTTCAACAACACTTTGACATATAGTTAAGAGCATAACCATCTTCCTCTTAATACAACACACCGTCCTTCTTTAACTGCCCCACACAGTACGAAAGATGAGTGTCATCATCACTGTATACCCAATCATCGATATCTGTAAGTGCCCCTAGAGTTGAGGCTACGTCCAGCATGGGTGATTTTGATGCATATATCATCAGCAGCCTAGAAAACCGGTGGTGAATGCGAGGATAAGAAAGTTGAACTGCAGTCACATTGTGGTAAATTTGAGATTACTTAAATGTAAAAACTCATCTTCGAGTCGCAATCCCACGGGTCAAATTTCTTCTTGTCCCCCTGGGGCTCATACGATTTGCTCTGGGATTCCAAAACGCGCTTCTGAGTCTCAACCTTCACCTTCTCGCGCCAACCGTTGCTCAGGCGTTCCCAAAATCTCTCTCTAAGTTGTGGCAGGTATTGGACATCATTGATGCAGTAATCTTTGATAGGCATCTGGATCGGCCGGATATTGAAAACTTCGTACGAACCACCATGCTTAGGGTGGTAGAGCTTGAGTCCTGCTTCCTTCACCGCCTTCCAGCGGAGCTTTTCAGAGTATGAAAGGGGTGCATAGATATCTATGCACTTTTCCAATCCGATGAGGAAACGCCGTCGCCCAGGCCGGGCCGCATTTTCCATTAGTTGTACATCTTCAATCCCGCAGAGATTGACTGCAAAGTGATAAAACAAGGCGTCAGAGTCGTTGCGGACATCATAGAAAACCTTGGTGATCATCGGTGATTCGAGAATGGTTTTAAGAGTCGTTCCATCGTCCGTGGCAGTTCAGAAAGCTGAAGATTGAAGTGCATGGACATCAACAAGATATACATGCTTCTTTAACGGTATAAAGATCGTCATGAGTGAGATGCTACCATGGCGAGACAGGCTTACTCCTTCCAGGTCTAGAAAGAGGGATCGCGCATCACTCGGGAGAGTCTGTATCGTGTAGAGGAGACGCAACACCGACTCTGTTGAGTCAACGATGCTGTAAGTGACGCTGTTTGCATTCATTTTGAGCGTAAAAGAAAAGCTTACACACGTAACAACCACCGACTTATGTGTGTGCGCGTAGGCAGGTACTTGTAGCTGGCGCTCTACCTCGGTGTCTGGCACCATCGTCATGAATTAAAGAGCCTTTCTAGTTGCAATGTTGCCCCGCACAGTTAACATGTGAGAGACGTTGCCAGAGACCTGTTGATATTCTCAGCGCTTTTACAGCTTCAAATGAGAGCTCTTGCCCTATTTTGCCGTTCTGCCGTTGACTACCATAAGGCTACACGGTTGAAAGTCATATAACCGTTTGAGCTTAATCTGCCCGATCTTGTTTCCTCCCTTATGTTTCCGATTTTGAAGAATTTTACTTTGCTGCCTACTCGGAGACTAAAGCCCCGCAATCTTGGGTCAGCAGGGTTCTTGGGTCGGCGGGGTGTTGTTACAAGAGGGGAAGAACAACGAACTGCGACACGAAGCAAAAGGTTCCAGCTTTCCCGTCCATGCAAAATAACGGGTTACATCTGCATGTATCCGTTTGTTGGAGCTCCAGGGTGCGTTGCGCTGTTCATTTGGTACAACAGAAAACTCTCCTCTCCACTGCTTTGGCCGTTTTCGTCGTTTGCACTATGGATGCCGCATATGTCGATGAATTGGTCTGGTCTAAGACGTCATCACAGCCGCCTACAGATACCTGTGCATAGAGGAATCTGAGTTTGCTCAGTAACTCTCTTCGTCTACACGGGTAGGATGCTATGCTCTAGTAGCATCAGAAGAGGGGTCTTTGACTTGCCTTTTGCGGTTAAGACGAAGGGCTATACAGGGAGACCGAGGAATCACATGGTTTGGGTATTATTATCGCGTTATGTAATACCGATTAAATGGTATTGATAGTGCCGTCGACGTCATCGTATGAGGCGGTTGGCGCCATTATATATTGCGAGCTATGTCCGCTCGTACTACTTCAATAGCAACTTATGTTTCTTCCGCTAATCAGATTTAATCAATTGCGAAGAACCCATATATCACTGGAAATCATACGAAAAAGATATACGCCTGTGATGTTAAGAAGCCATGTCATCTGCAGTTGCAAGAGTCATACGGTGGGACGAGAAAGAAGCAATTGCTGAATGCCCCTATTGTTGGAAGCAACATAGGCACACCATAAGCTTCTTGACTAACGCGAGCAAGGATCAACAGAAAACTCTCAAATTGGGACATGTTCGCACCGGATTAAATAATGCGAGCATTCAGCAAGCAGTGGCTCCATGTTTGGAGAATTATGAACATCTATCTTCTCCAATAACATACAGACTCCTCTTTCCGTTCGAGGACGACAACAGAGTTCGTGATTATAATTGGGAAATCAGGCCTTTCCCGTTAAGACCGACTGATCGGTCGCACTGTAAGTGCTTCCAGACGGTTGGCATGCTATCAAAACCCGACTATATGGAAGAAAATGAGATCCAGAAAATTTGTCAGAAGCTCACATCCATTGGGCTTGAAGAGGTGTGTTTTCCTCTTTTGGATATATATCCCGTTCTAAACGAGCCGCACATTTCTCGATGAATGCGCTAAACTAGACCAAATGCCAGGGTAGGAAACGCGAGCATACGTCATGCTTCATCTCTGTTCCTGAGATGGCAATTAAGTGTGCAAAAGGCAGCACCGAATTTTCTCTCGCTGTTGTAAGAGGCGAAAAGGAGAGGGTACTGGAGCTGCTACACGAAAACGCCGATGTCAACGCACGAGACATGCTTGGCCGTACGCCTCTTATGGAAGCTGCACTTTGGGGCCATGTTGAAGTCACGAAAATTCTCTTAGAATCGAAAGCAAACCCCACCAAGACAGACAAAGAGGGAAGACAAGCTGTTGATCTGGCAGAAGAATGCGACAGAAACGACGAGGAGAGGGAAGAACGCCATCTCAACTACATAGAGAAGCCCTCTGAGAAAAAGAGGGCCCGGAGGATTATTCGTGGACTACTCGGAGCCGTCCCATCCAGCGGAAACTCACTGGTGAAAAGCTTGAAAAGCTACTACGCAGCCCGTATCTATAAATGTCGTAATCTGTGGACAGCTTCTTTGGTACTTCCAATTGTTGGGGTTGAAATCAAGCATGAACACCAAACAGTCGCTTTCCTAGATCGAGATGAGCCTTTCGACATGATTCATGCCGCAAGCGGATGGTCTGGCTCAGGACACTGCCCGAGAAGTGGACACTATGAAAAGCTTGATGCCAACTACTGGACAGCTCAGGCTCTGAATCTTGCCAGGAAGATTGGTCTGCCTTTCCCGTTTCACCCCCGAGATGGGAACATGATGATTGGGACTTATAACGCATGCCACGCCGAGGCTCAACTGGTTGCATTCTTTGTTGAGCATCACCTACCTATCGTGGAAGCTACTAATTACCCATCGGAAAACTTGTTCAGTCAGCAATGCAGGAAACAAAACCCGATACAGAAGGCTAAAATTATTGTAAGCCAAGATCCGTGTGATTCCGGTATGGCTTTCATAACATGTGTTATGTGCAAGCAAAACTGTGATTTTGAAATAGTCGTTGCGAGAGAAATAGTCAGTTGAAAGACGACAAATTGGTAAGCTGCTGAGCCTTAAGTAAGGAATTCGCTTGAGCAGATATTGAAGAGCAACTTGGACCCGGGTCGGTGGCGAGACGTTCAAGATAGGAAAAGCAAAGCACGGGTAGCTACACAATTAGGTCTGATTGAGCGAGGCCTCTGGAGTTACATTACAGTACAGTACACTCAGTTTCAATATCTCTTCTTGTGTACAAGTTTTGAATGGTTAGAAGAGCTACAATCTGCTCCTAAGTCTATTTCAACAGTCTGTTATTGCCTGTGGTTGCCTTTTTGCACAACCTTATCGTTGGGTTTAGCGCTGTTACCCAAGTTGGCTACAGTGATAATTGAAAGGTGTTAAGGATGCGCCGGCATCATTATCCCCTGATCTGCCCTATAGTTACGCCAGCCAGTACCTCAACTAGTTGGGCCGTAAAAGCGGTGTCTGATAATCAAAATGCGAAGTGGCTGCATAAGCAAGTCGAGCAAAGTAGCCTGCTGACCCGCTCGCACTGTCGTAGTGGAGCCTCGGCTAAGCATCTGAGCGGAGCAATTTTCAATACTTGTGAGTACATGATAATCATGATAATCAGAGTAAAGACCGGATTACAGCTTACTATGCAGCCAAATCTGGATCTTCTTCCGTCTTATCAAGTATACTCATGTAGCCTCAGGTCATCACCACATTATAATGATTGAATGTCTTTGCTAAAAGCGGAAGATCGATTTGCTCCAAACTGTATCTTGTTGTATCGTATAAATAAACTAAAGTATGTATGGGGGCTGTAAAAACGACGCCTTACTTATATGCCCGAGACCTCTTCTATGCTACAAAATGGGTGACAGTACAGTAGTGGCTAGCAAATACTGTATGTATACTTGGACATCTCAAGTGAATTTTCTATTGAAGAGCCCAAAATGGCTATTGAGCGTGTTGGACCAAAGTTGTAAACAATGATGGTATTGTACGCGTGAGATCACGATAAATAGAGCTTGTCACTGTGCCTAAGCCTGGTACAGTACAGTAACTGTAAGAATCCCGATGTCATGAATTCATGTTTGATCCGGTTTTAGCTCCGCCATTCAAGCTGCGAACTTCAAGAAACACCGCATTTGGGAACTAGCTCGCGCCATATTGAGTTCATGTTCCAAAGGCAACTGCTACAGTAGCTTGGCGGGATTTCTAGAAAAGTCAACGCAGCTTTGCCAATTGTCGTGATGGCCATATAGCCCACAGTAACCGACTGGTAACTGTGGGTCCACTTTTATCACCACACCAATCAAACATATGCGCCAGCTCTACGAAGCGACAACGCGAGCACAGAATGGCGAGGCTGAACACATTTTTGCATCGAATCATGGCAGCACCATCTCATCGATGTGGTGGTGAACAGGCGGCAGAGACGGTGGATAACGACAATGGGAGCCAAATATGGAGTCGGCTCGGACAACGATACGGCTTGCGTTGGCTACGGGCCTACTTGACCCAATTTGATGAGGGCCAGAAATGGCATCAATCCTTCCTTCTCCTCCACTCAGTAAACACAACCCTACCTTAACCGCGTAAAAGCTTGTAGATCAAATACCCCGCAAGACTTCAGCTGCCGTATAGTAGATAGGAGGTTGAACACTTGGAAAATAGGCTTCAATATGGCTCGCTAACAATTGTAACTAAACCGTGGAAATCCAACGGAAACGTCAGTCAAGGAGAGCAAGCGACAAGCGGAGATAGCACGGGTTTCAAGGAGACGAGGACGTAAATTCGGGAATTTACATGTAGTCAGCTATAGTTTCCCTTTCGGCTCCGCCGCCGGGCGTAGTAAACTGTGGGTTTGCTGCTGATTTCCTACGACCCCTCTTGCAGTTTGAGGCACATCAGCCGTTCCAAGCTTCCGCTTCGCATCGGCGAGAGATCTCTACCCACGCCAATTTACGGTAACAGCGTCTGTTTCGCTCTATAGCATCCTAATCCGACTCTCAATAAGCTCGCAGTTGTGGTGGGACGCAAAAGTGGCTTTACTTTGTCAAGTGGTTCAGCACGGCCAAATGTGGCTTCTCCAACGGATTGAGTCTGCCCCAGTATGGAGCTGTTGCTACAGTCGCATTCGAAATTGGTTTCATGCTTTGCACTTGAAAAACATTGTTTTCCCAGATATTTTGGTATCCACTTGCTTAGAAAGTACAGAACGACCCATGCAACGTACTTGTTGGAAAAATGTTAATACTCCTGTGTAATCCATAATCAGCTCTTTACTCTGCAAACAATGGGCCAAGTGCTCATAATAGCTGCTACTATCGGTATCTCTTTCTCTCTGGAAAGTATTGTGGAGACGTCCGCAGGTAGCGTGTCAGCAAGCAGGACCATTATTGTCTCTTGGTTGGAACCGCCAGAAGAGCAATATCGGAAACCAATTTCGGATCCACCTGTAGTAATACGCACAAGTGACTACTTTGATGGGTATCGTGTGGAACTGACTCTAATTGGGCAGGTCCGCCTCACCCGCAGATACGCTGATGTGTTGACCGATCGTGGCAATTTAGTGGATAGTCGTGTGTTATACTTCGTGCTCTGCCTCGCTGCCTTGTCCAATGTCAATGGATGGTTTTCTCACGTCAGTGTCCCCCGTGCAACCCGTTTGCTTCGGATGCAGCATGTGTGGTGAAATAAAACCCCTTCGAAGCACCATCCGATCGCGGTTTCGGCTTCGCCCAAACCACCGCGCCACACCCGCCACACCTGCTGATACAAGGAACAGCGCAAGGGTAATTTGACGCACTGATCGAGATTGAACATTTAGCCGCGTCGTGCAAACTGTAGTACATGCGGTCTCGAAAGCCTGAATTGGCCTTTTGGCTAGCAAAGTCAAAAACGGCTTCTGTTAACTTGTAGTACATCAGATGCCGTCTGTATAAAGCCTATGTTCAGTCACGAATGCTGCTCATAAAACGTCTTTGGCCTACAGTAGAAGGGTGCATCTCTATCAAACAATTGATATCTAGCCCCCATGATGGAATGCAAGATGGTTGTGCCATCACAGGGTAGAAGTCTCTTTCTAGCATTATCAGATCAATCAATGCTAACACGAGCCATGTAGACATTGTCACATTTGCCCGTTTAAAGAGACTATATCCGACGTTTACCGTCGCGTCTGCGGTCTCCGGGTGCGCTGCTATAGTCATGCTGCTCGACAAGTCGCCGGCCATTCCGTCAATTTTACATAGTTTATCAACGTGCCTGATCGTCAGCTCGGCGGTCACTGCAGCATTCACCGCGACGACTGCAATTATGCTTTCGCTTACGTTCCAAGAGAACCACAAGCCTACCCGGATGTGCTTAGCACTAGTTTGGACACCGGTCTTTTTTTTCGACTGTATGATAATACAACTAGTACTGGGACTTGCGCTTTGGTTTGTAGCCGGACATTCTTGGCAGTACTCCATTGTTCTTGGTCTCTTATCCGGATTCTCATTCTCGGCAACACTGGTTATAGCAGTATTGATACGGAAAAATATAAAGGAGACTCATGAAAACTTGATTGACGAGATAGTTCCTGAGAAATGAGCGGGTACTAGACGAAAACGTATAGTCAGAATCCAGGAATTACAAGTTAGTATTGTAACGGAATGCCGAATCGCTCTGTCTCGTTGTAGGTGGCAACTTCAGATAATTGCCCCTGAAGACATCAGACATTATCCCAATCACAGGCATCATATCTGATGCTCAGCTGTCACTTACAAACAGCTATCGATATTTAATGCAGTATTTGCTCATCGTTTCATTATAAGGTACTCAGGCTCCGGAGGTGCCCAATTGGTGACCTCTCTAGGGGCAAAATGAACTGGAATCCCGGAGTCTCCAATGGCCTTCTGTGTGCTAACACCTTGTATTGGTCCATCTGCTGGACTCCCATAGCCTTCGTTTGAATGATGAGCCACACGTTGTGTCTGCCATGCAGGTGCTGCAGACTGGCCAACTCCCCGTTCAAACCTTTTACCGGACTCAGACTTCTTTCCTAACAGATCAACGGCCGTGATATAAACCGGTCAGGGCTTCTTATCCGAGCCATTTTGCCATTGTTCAATAAAAGGCTGACGAAGGGGTGGGGGGGATGGGTGAATTGAAACTCCATGAGTCCGGATGAACATGGTGATCAGCCGGGTGGTTTTCCACCCGCCTTGGTAAATGTACTGTACCTCTGTAGCTTGCAAATACTATAAAAACAGTCGTTGCAGCATGAAGCTATTCACATTTGCTTCGATGGCCACCCGCGTTTCTGGGTTCTACTTAGTTCCAAGCCCAACAAAACAGCCACTGCAACAACCTCTCGGCCACTCCCACATTTCGGCCGATGAAAGATGAACAAACTAGTTGCTTGTTTTTATACAGAAGAAAGTAAGAAACAGCAGTCCGTCGCCAGCGTACAAAATACATCTTGACGTTTTCAGTTCTCGCCGCTCAATCCACCCAGATCGTCTTTTTATTATGCTACGAATATCCGTCTTCTCTAAACCAAACCACTGGTGATTCTCGTCTCAGCTCTCGAGTCGGCGTAGCCTGGCTTTGGGTCACTTGGTTTATTTCACCACCTCAGCCAGCCTTGGCCAGTCCTGCCATGTGCACTCGTGTCTTTCAATATGCCTTTTCGTGATCTTGTACGTCGCCTCAGATTTCTGGGCCAAGCAGTACCAGTGGGGCTCGAGAAATACCCGTTCAAGTGCTGGACACAGCCGAAAGAGCTGTTTCGCATTCTCATCTTTGTCCTCGTTCAGAGGATGGTTCTCAACCTGCTGCTCGTGCTCGTTGAAATCGTCGTCGTTTAACAGAGATGGCGGCAGTGGCGGCCATGCAACATCCTGTTCGACAGTGACCGCAAGTTTCTTGAGGTCACAAAGCTTTTGGAATTCAGTGATCAGCCGCTTTGTGAAAGTTAGTTAAGAAGCCATGTTGCCATAGATAACAGTACTTGCTGATATTCTAACTCCCTGAAGGTGACCCTTGATAGAGAGGTGTTCAATGTTGGGGAAGATTTCAACGACCTCTTGTATATCCAGCAGAGTCCAATTATGATTTGTTATTTCGAGCGATCGCAAGTCACGGAGAGAAGCCAACTGCTCCAACCCCGGTGTTGATCTTGGAGACTGCGAAATTCGAATGCCCAAAATTCGTAGATTGGGAAACATAATTGGAATCGATGAGAATGTCGCTTGACCTTGGTACAAGAAAGTCGTCGCAGAACACGAGGGTATTTCGCACATGACAGAGCTGAACGGGTCGAACTGGCATGTTTTGCGCAGTATAAAACGTAAGGAAACCTCTTTCAATTGCTTCATCCCCGCAAGAGCCTCGGCAAAATGTAATAGCCAAGCTGTGTTTGAAGGCTCGTTAGCGGCTGGATCATTTTGCTTGAGGATATTAATTTGCAGGTAGCTGAGACGGATGTTAGCGCGGCAACCTACGCGTGCTAGAAACTCATAAGACGTACCGGATTGATGAAAGAATCAACTTGTTATCAATAAAAGCTTTTAGAAACTTATCAAGCTTGTCTTTTGTCATCCGCAGTCGTGTCTCCTTAAAGATATACGGAATGCATACATGCCGAAGACGACTGTGCACAAGAGAAAAATTGATAAGGTCCTTCGTATTGCTTTTTTTACAAAGCTTGATGATATCCATCACCAGCTCTATGGGTAAGCTCAGCAGGGTAAATCTTGACATGGAGCCTGAAGCGGATTTCGTCGAGATCGACATTTTCAATACCAGTTGCGCACGGGGACGGCTCAAGGTATAGTCCGGATGATGTCCTTCAGATAAGTTTACTCAATATCGGAACTAATGAGGATGAACCGAGGACTATTTATTTGCAAACACTTTCACAGCATGAGCGAAGGAGATGGGGCAGGCGTCATGGACCGGTTGTGCAAGCCAGAGTTGGGCGCAGGGTTTGATTCGTTCGGCGCATCTATCTTGTCAAGGTTGTCTACCTCAAGTTCCCCAACCAATGCGGTGACATTTACACCGGGATTACAGCCATTGCCGCAGATGTGGTCATCTTCCCAGTGTTGTGCACAAACCCCCTCCAGTCGGCGTTCACTAAGCTTTTGTGGGTGAGTAGACTAGTGCTGGTCCTTGTTCTGATGGCAGGCACTGGCTTGATCGCAACACTGCGCTACATCTCGCAGACTCAGCAGACAAACACACCTCGTGTAGCAGCATTTAACAGCCCCCTCGTCGTGTTTGTCAGGTGCGTAAGGTGGCTATAGTCTGTGTCTCGCCCACCGGTTTTCAAACAATATATTGGTTATCCGAAACCCGAAATACGTAATTCGTTTGCCAAACAAAGAGAAGAAAAGCCCGATAGGCCCTTTCTGGGTACGGGGTCTTAAAGTTTGAGGGGAAAGCCAGTCCCTTCCTAATTGTGCAAGCCATCAGCTTGCTGCCGCCTTGTACTTAACTACCCAAATAGATGTTTATACCCTGACCAGGTTGCACAAACCTATCCCCCTCTAAGTACGTCACATATGTTTTTTGGAGCCGGACGCAAGCCAGGGTACTGTAGGTCCCTCCTTACGTCCAGTTTGTAGAAAGCTTCCGCAGAGTGAAGCGCTGTCCTGGAGCAAGAGTTGGCCGTTACTTTCGTTGCCGAAACTACGAACCCAATGAGGGCCTGCTTCCTTGAAGGCAATCGTTCGGAATTAACTCCCTTTAGCATCCCGAATGCGCGTCGAATTCTGATCCTTGCTGTGGCTGGCTGCTCGTCTCTGGGCACAACTCACGGGGTCAGCTTTCCATTACCTGGGCCGTTTTGCATATGTTCCAGCCCAGCAACCGGTTTGGGGTGGGCAACCTGGCCACTGCTAGATCGGATGTTGCAGTGGGCCGGGACGTGAAGCAGCAGACTTAACATCACCGAATGGACAAACGGCCACATTTGGCTCTGGATGAATTGGAGTGGAATGACTAGTTGTCATCTCTTCTGATTCTGCAGAGTCTGACTTATGGCTCCGTGGCAGAACCAAAGACAGAAGGCTTTATACTGCATAGCTCATTAGCACGCCTTATCAAAAATTGTCGGACGGAGATCGACCAAAGTCATATCTATCAACAGATTCACATCTAGGAGTTTTCTAGGATACTGTTGTTCAGGATCAGTAACGGCAGGGATGAGCTCAGATGTACCTAATGCAGTCTTCCTCCCTCCTTCGTCGTCCGCTTGTTGTACCTGACCGTATGTTGGTGCAGGCGCTCAAGTGGAAGAAGAAATTTCGATGCCGAGATCGGAACGATCACCGGAATCGAAATCGACATGGGTACGCGTAAAAGACACCACATCGGAGGCACTGTGCAAATGGTGATGTCAAGGGGTAGGTCTGTACACTGGTACCTCAGCATGGCATGCATGATAAGGCATGGTCGACAAATGCGTGAAAAAGTTACATAGGCTCGCCGAGCTGTGAAGATGACAGCGTTGCCTTTTCATCTAGCTCTCTAATTACTCACCTGGCGTATCTTTCAGGACGGCCCCGGGGAAGGAGCCCTTCGCAACCGTCTAACGGGGCACTGAAAAGATAATATGAAGCCGGCGACAGTCGTGCCGCTCGGGAGGTGTTTGACGACGAGGCCCGGAAGAACCTTCTTGTCTCACTTTCTATTGATAAATTCAACCGCAATTTGAACGGCGTAGATAGAAGGGATCTCAATTTGAAAGGCGGAGGACGCTTTCTACCCAGCTCCATTGTCCAAGGGGAGACAACAGGACCGGTCCCAACGGGCGACGGATCGAAGAAATGATTCTGTTCCTTGGGAGCAACATGCGAGGGATAACCGTACTGTAAGAATTCAACCGCTTGTGTGGTCCACAAAAGAGCCTAGGCGAGACCACAGGAAACTCACGAACCCATAGGGAACGACGAGGTCTGGGTGCCAGCGGTGTGGAGTAGCGCTTTGTAACTCGGATGATTGCTGTTACGTCTTCGATGGTACTGTAATCATAGAAAAAAGAAGTACCAGTAATTAGTTAGGGCTATTTGGTTGGCTGGAAAAGTCTGGGCTAGCCACTGACTAGCTAGTCCCACTCACGGGCATGTACCTGTTGCCAGGCCGCAGTCTATGGGACAGTACGTATTACTATCCACTTTCAGCCAACCTCCATCTGATTCTGGGATTATGTATAAAATGGGGCGAATAAATGCCGCTCCCTCATGTGGGTGCTCGGGTATTGAAAACTTTCTCATTTGGCTTCTAAGCTCCAGACAACATGGACAGACTCTCGCCCGAAGGGCGTCATATCTTTTCCATCCATAAAAGCTCAATAGAAGATGCGGCTAGACTCTACCAGGATCCCAAGATAATTATCAACAATACCTTCTCAGTTTCCAATCAACGCCTCGCGGAACAACTCCTTGGAGTAGCAAAACTTCCCATCAGTGGGCAGAAGCCCAGTGAGATAACAATACGTGTAGAAGGCGGGATCGACGATTCTCCGTACGAGGTCACGGCTGCATTTACCCGGCCTCCCTGAAATCAGATTGTATGTGGGACATCTTCAATTTCACGATTATTCTGTTTAGTCTTTTTCTAACAGCAATAGGTTAGTGGGACAGGTAGCGGCGGAATGAAGCGAGAGTGAACCTGGCGAACATAACAACATGTGTAAAAAGCAGGGGTATAAACAAAGAACCCCGCAAGGTCACGGCCGCATAGCAAGCCTACAAGAGATCAGATTGAATGCGGGACATTTGTGTTTCACAGATGTATCCCTTGGTCTTTCCACGGCAATAGGTTAAACAAACTGAAGTCTTGTAGTTGCTGTAGAAGAAAGGAATTGAAGTAGTTTTGGAGCGTCGCAATGGCTCGACCGGAAACTTTTGATTGCGATAGCTGGAAAGAGTGATCGCGACTTCTGATTGCAGCGAACCGAGACGCAGCAGAAAGGGGCGCAAACAAGGCAGAGTTGAATACCCCGCGAGAGGCACGCGCCGGCCATAATGGACCTGACGAGTACAGTGCCCATTGCCCGGGAATGACTGGAATCACTTCGCTTCTTGCTTATATCTCGAACACCTACTGTACTCTAGTCGCGATTGACCGCAGAACGAAATTCCGGGGGTAAATCGGATGCGTTAACAGTAGTCGCCGCAAGGTACGAAGGGAGAGCCCCGTCGAAGGACCCAATCGGAGAATCCTGGGACAAAACCCACGCAAATGGTCACTAATTGAGTGCGTGGTATGGCCACTGGTGGTGGGTTGGTGCTCGCTGACCATTGCGCTCTACGGCCTCCAGCGGGATGGTCATAGCGTCCTTCTTCCAAGCCGCCTCACTGGAATCTACTAGTACGGATGTACGTACGCTCGTAGGGCATTCTTAATTATAGGGAGCTTGCAATCAATCTTTGGCCAGTGTAACCAGTGGCTGCCAGCAGGCCCTCTTGAATTCAGAAACACGTGAAGCTAGACCTAGCTGGTACCGCATGCTATTCCTCGAGTTTTGCTCATACCTTTCGCTTGCGACGGCTGTGGACCTCGTCTTGCTTGCATTTACACGTCCACACAATAGGTAAAGGAGCCATATTGCAGCCCTCTTAACGTAGCTCCCGGCGAGAAACCGGTATTGGGCGTGCACTCGCAGACCTGGTCATGCCCGGAAAGTAGGTGACTGTATGAGCGGATGTCATTTTCAGTCTCCCACGTGGGGCACTCATACCCTGCCCACTTCACGCCATAGTAGAGATGACCGCTGTCCGTCTCGTAGCATGCAACGATGGATTCTACGTCGAAGTCCCATGCGCCATTGATGAGATGGGGACGCTGGACGCACTCTTGCCAGAGTCTTATGCTTTTCCCGTCATGGAAGACCCACTGGAGCCCATCCACGCGGGGCCAGTCCCAGGACGCCAGGTCCAGGTTCTCCGTAACTACGCCATAAAATGTCCGATCGGCGCCGGTGACAACACAGACAACGTCAACTACGAGGATGCGTGAAGACCACCCCGCCTCCGCAAGCGCACCGCAGCGTACCTCCATTGCAAACTCGAAGAAGAAAGATCAAGACTAAAACGTGAAGACGAAGGTATATAGACCGGCTAGCTTCTTGTTGAATTATGAGCAAAAGAGGAATGAACCAGCTGGTTTAAATAGAAGGCTATCTCCAAAAGTGGATGTGGAATACCCCGCCAGCAAAAAAGTGAAGTAGGCTGCTACGGACAGCAAGCAGACACTGGCAAATCTGCATTTCCTTCCGCTGAGGAAAAGGAGTGACTGGCTTGCCATTACACACTGTACAAAGAGATGGCTAGTATTTGATCTTCAAGGGGGCAGCACTGAGGTTCTTAGAGAACATGACAAGACTGACCACTATAGCTCCAATATCACCGAGAATGTCCCGCGCTCGCTGCTCAATAAGGATTGGGCGGAAACGGCCACGAGGTAGCTAGGCCAAAGACAAGAATCATTAGATTGGGCTGGCGCGAATACACACAGTACAGTAAAGCTCACTGTCTTGATGTCATTGTACATGATTCCTTTGCCTCTGAGCTATGCGACGACAGATCATGTGCTCCGACGTATCGTTCACACATCGATTCAGTCGAAGTGGGAGAGAGAAGGGAAATCTTTCTGTTTCTTTCTCTCTACAAGTTATACATACAATGGTCGGGCAAAACATGTCTCCATCCAGCGACATTTATTACTCGTCACTTTAGCATATCAGAATTCTCATTTCAACTTTAGTAATAGTCATAATATAGTGGCTCGAGGGTAGTCTTCCAGAATTGTCCAGTGATAACTCAATCATAATCAACTGTAAACTTCTCAAGTCTCTGAGATCTTTGCCGAGGGGAGAGGCTAGAGGCGGAGTCTACTAATGTTGTCACTCGTCTACCACATAATGTCAGTAAGCACGATGTATACTGTACCCTGTGTGTACCCCTCTGTCACCAGTTTGATTTTTTCACCATATAGCACTATAACATTGTATGAATCGGCCGAAAACGACAGCGTTGTAGTGAACGAACATGTAGAAGAACATGTAGCCGATTGATTTGTGCTTGGGAGACAGTTTACTGTCAAATTTTGTACCGAATTAGCATATTCTTCAACTGCTGTCAAACGCATGGCTGCTGGCCGGATAGACCAAGGGATAATGGCAACATAATGTCTCAAATTTAGACAAGTAATCTTGCAAGTATACAGACCAGGTCTTGTCCTACGGTCGTCTCAAAGAATTTTGAGAAGCTGTTACGGAATTCACCTGCCAGCTCAAATATCATCGTAGCATAGAGGCTACAAGAAGATCCACAGAGGCACAAAAAATCGTCCATCTGATCACAATCGATACCGGCCTACCACGCCCGAGAACATAGGTTAAAGAAGTAGACGGCAGAACATTTCTCAAATTTATGTAGCTGTTTGTTTTGCCATACAATCAACCAAATGTAAATCTTTGTCTCCCATCCCACTGATGCAAACAAGAACGTCGCCAGATCTCCTAGATCCTGCCAACACCATGGCCCCGTGTATTGCATGAGCGCACTCTAACGCAGGTATTATTCCTTCGAGCTGACATGTCAAATGAAAACTTTGTAACGCTTCTTCATCTGTGGCATGGACAAACTCGGCCCTTCCGATATCTTTCCAAAAGCTAAGCTCGGGGCCAACGCCGGGGTAGTCCAAACCAGCAGCGACTGAGTAGCTTGGCATAATCTGGCCATTGACATCCTGCAAAACATAGGACATCGCGCCATGGAATACGCCTTTGCTTCCTTTGGACAACGTCGCGCTATGCTGAGTCGTGCGAATGCCTTGACCTGCAGCCTCGACACCAACTAGCCGCACTGTGGTATTGTCAAAGAAGGGGTAAAATGCCCCAATGGCGTTAGCACCGGCACCGACACAGGCAACGACCGCATCCGGAAGTCTTCCTGTCTTTTCTATGATTCCCTCTTTTGCTTCCTTTCCAATGACCGACTGAAATGTTCGGACCATCAGCGGAATGGGATAGGGGCCAGTGGGTGCGCCAGCCAGGTAGAATGACGTGTCTCCATCAGAGGAAAATGCGCGGAGTGCCTCCGTCATAGCATCACGAACTGTTTTGGTGCCTACATTAACGATTACGATCCGAGCTCCAAGGGCCGACATCTTGAGTATGTTAGAATGTTGTCTGGCCTCGTCATTCTAGATATATTAGCTTTCAGCCAACGACATGAGAGGCGAGCCACTTACCGCACCAACAAAAACAACGCATTCTAAACCAAACTTAGCGCATACTGCAGCCGCAGCCACACCGTGCTGGCCAGCTCCAGTCTCTGTGATGATCTTCTTTTTGCCCATCCTTCTTGCAAGGAGAACTTGGCCCAAAACATTGTTGATTTTGTAAGAACCTGTGTGGTTCAAGTCTTCCCGGATGAACCATATATTCGCGCCGCCTACATACTCGGTCAACCGTTCAGCAAGATAAACTCGACCAGGTCGGCCGGTGTAGTCATAATAGGACCGATACTCATCCCAAAAGGCTGGGTCGTTGACTTCTTTGAAAAACGCGACCTCTAACCTCTCCAGGTGCGCTATAAGCCCCTCCGGAACATACTGACCCCCATGGTCCCCGAATCGCCTGGATCGTGAATCACTCCCGTTCACAGTTGTGGCTCCCAGATCTATCTCACCGGTGAAACGATCTGGAGCCACATATTGGCATTTAAGAGGAGAACAAGCCATCGCTGCCGGCTTTCCAACATAGATAGGCTCCTGTTGGTTTCACTTTATTAGCACAATCGCTGCAGTCTGGAAAACCCCGAATGTTACCATTTGTTTTTGAAAAACGCTCTATGCAGGCTTTGCCATTCCAACTTCAGTTGCCAAGTATCAAAACGGTAGTCGACAGCGAATGCGTCACGAGGAATCACACTTTGGGCAGCAAGATACTGTACTGGATGTAAGGTCAAACAAGATATAAGACACTCTACAGCATGTACAACCAGAGCGAGAATTAAAGTATGGTGCATTAATCTGTTCCTCTTTTGCACAAGCTTGCAGTGTTTAGGAGAGCCAGAACCTGCTGTTATGTTTGTTTCAAACGTCTGTCATTGGCTGTGGTTGCCTGTTTGCAAACACGATGTGGAGTCATGTAGCTTATGATAGTGCGAGTGGTACATGTAGTTTGAGCTGAGAGTACACTTGATTATACCCATTTTGGCTGTGGACAGGGGCCATTCTCCGTACAAAGTTCATCAATACGTAGTACACAGTGCTGAGCTCTTCAATCAGAGCTTGTGTGGGGCAAATCAAGAGAACTGAAGTGTGTTTCCAAGTGGAAAAGATAGTATGCTCTGGAACGCCGCTTTATGATTTTTCGGATGTTTAAGGTACACCTGGAAGTGCTTGTCGTGGCGCCATAAGTCTCCATTTTGCTTTCGACTTGATATTATGGGTGGGTGAGCTGTTGCAAAAGCCATTTCTGGAGATTGGTAAACAAAACTTTAAAAAGTGAAGCCTCATCATTTTCTTCTTCACCACAAACAAGATCCAACAACATGATGTTCTTTCCCAGAATAAAGTCAAACACATCTCTGCTCCTTATCTTGGAGTTCTGCGGCGCCCTTGTGCGTGGAGCCATTGCCCACACTTTCTCTGAAAGAGGCATTTCGAGCCGATCCCAAGGGTTTTTGTCTTCGTGTGTCGACTGGGGCGTGCTGACGAACGAGAAGGAGGAGAAGTACAAGTTGGCCGCTTACTGCCGAACAACATCCGGCGTCTGGCATTGGTCGATTTTGGATATGCGAAACTGTCTTGTTAATAATCATGGTGCTCTCGCTGCGCAAGACAAGTGAGCCACACTACCTATTCATATTGCTTCTGGTTCTGATTCCTACAGTGGACAGTTCTCTAGCACGTGCGGCTCCTGTTTGACTGATAATTCTACGTCGTCATGGGCAAATTATGCGTGCAGCTGTGAGATATCTCCTGGGGAGGGACGTCACACTGCACATGGCATTGATCTTAGTATAACCACAAACTTCAAGACAAAAGATAAGAGCTAATGGCTTGTAGATAAAGTTGTCGGAAACGACGACGGAAAGCTGTATTGCGGCATTAACAAAAAGTTTTACGGCGACTTCTTGAATGTGGATCAAGTAACTTGGTCAGGGCTTGACATTGCCATTAAGGACTCATCCAGCAACAAGCAATAGGTCAGAAAGCGTGCGCTGATAAAGCTATCTTGCGAGAAGGCCTATTACCACAAAATTTGCGGCTGCCCTCTTTGTTGAGCCGGAGGAGTGGTGGCTTATACAAAATGGGGCAGGACCACGTCACTATTTCGGCAACGAGGGCATAGAACATAACGAAGGCAGACATCAGAATGTTAAACGAGCTGTAATTAGTGTGAATCTATTTGTTGCACAGGAGTCTCTTGATTCTTGTCCCCTAGCTTTCCCAATATTCGTACCGTATCGGAAATAGTTACTCTTAAACAAGCAAATCTAGCTAGCGACTGCGGCCACTTTTAATTCACCACGTGAGGCAGTTGTCAAAAACAGTGACGCTGCATCGTCGAGAAAGCATGCACGCCAACTATGTGACTCCTTATCATGGAAAGAGGCCAACATACTGGCTCAACTACGGACGGGGATCGCCAGCCTCTACTAGGACCTGCGCCAGGTTGTGACGGCCGCCCTGGATCAATGTGCATGTGAACAAAGATCGTCGAGCATTTTTCTCTTCCACCTAATCGCCAGCACAAAGTGCATCGATACTCCAAAGAACTAAGTCCGCGTATTGATGTTACAAGGAAAACAATGAAGTTGTACAAGGCAACGGGACGACTTGATATGCAGAACATGTAATGGCGAGATGTCAGGGGTATTAACGGCACAGAGTGAAGAGATCAGAAAGTAGGGGTTGCGATGGTGACTGCATTCATCACTTGGCCCCTCAACCCCTTGTGGGATCGAGAGCCCTTCTTTATAGGCCCTGTCGTCCACCGGCTGGGCACTGGTTACTGTAGTATCTTACCGCCCGTGTTCTCCCTATCCTTGGTCCCACTTTAAAACCGCCGACTCCGAACCTAATTTCCGATCCTAACTTCCGGATGTGGATCTCACCGATCCGTGTGTGACACGAGACGAAAAGGACGCACCATCACATATTCCATACTAACCACCTGCTAAGCCCGTACGCAATCTCGTGTCATCGACAGCCAACCTTGGCCCTGAAAATCAAATGACTTTCCGGCAGACACTTTTGCTTCTTTCAAACTTTCAGAAGCTAACCAAAAGAAGAAACATCCACGTCATGCTAAACATTCATCCGTTTATCGTTTTCATTGACATGTTCTGAATATCAAGTCGCAAGCTGTGCGATCATTATTTGTGCTAAGAACGTTGTATCCTTAATCTGGGAATTGCTATCTTGGGTCGAGGGGCTAAACTTGTGTATGCAGCAAATTCTTTTTCCATCATCGCCCTGCCCGCCTTCAGGTGATACGTTTCGATCAGTAAGTTGCTAGTAGCCTGCAATCGATCGTCCACCTGGTCTGCCACTAATAAACAACAAATACCGTTTGCCTTTCTGAGATACCCTAATAGAGGATCCTGGTCATTCTTCAGCCGCGACTGTAAATTGGAAATAAATTTCTGCTGTTCAGTAGTTTTTTGAAGGTTGGACTTCTTTGCCAAAACACACAGCAACGTAAATTTGGTTAATCCCTTGTCCAGAACATTACCCAACTGGCAAATGTCGTGCCAGAACTTGAAATCTTTAAGCGAGCTTTTCATTTCTTTTCGATCTTTCGCATCAAATAAAGTCTTATCGAGATTATGATTTTCATCATCTAGTTGTGTCATTTTTTCGTAGAATAACACACCGTTATATCGACGGTAGAACTCGCTTTGTGAACCATTCCTGATTGAGGACCATATGGTTGCAAGTTCAGAGTTACTTGTTAGCCGAGAACCCTTGTAGAAGGCTACTGCCTCGCTGAGGAGGTCAAGAATGGTTCGGCATTCCTGAGACATGCTCGCTGGCAGAGTGGCCAGCTGTCTAGAAGTCCTGCTTGTGATTGAGACATTGGGGATGGCAGCCTTTGCGGCTCTCTTCCAGGATCCGGACAAATCACCAATTGGTGATAGACTTTTCGCATGGACCGTTGTTGAACCTGTGACCAGCTCGCCAGGGTTTAAGCTTGGCTTGGCAGCAGACAAGTCCTGGCCGACCTCTACTGGGCCTATTTCTGCTGTAGAACTAAAGTCTGAACGACACGGGGAGGGAGTTTTGAAGGCTTCGCGGAAATAACAAGCATCTTGTTCGTTACGAATTTGCAGTAGTCTTTCGACATCTTCGTCACTTGCATCTAGCCTTCCCGTTGCAAGTTTAACCAAAATTTGGCTTCGAAGATTACGGATGTATGCCGCATCGCTTCGGCGTACAGGCGCCTTACCATCTATAAGTATTTGAATGGCAAGGAGCATTAGAACTCCTGAATCTTGATCCCGTACCGGTTCAGGAAAGCCACAACCATGGACAACTAGTTTTGAAAATGAATCGGAGAGCCACCTTTGTATCTTATCCGCTGCGTCGCATTTCTGGCCCGGATTGTAGAGGTGGATACAGTCTGGATACAGAACTGCCGCGAACCAGAGGTCCTCAATTTGTATTGGTAGGAATGTTGTTATGGCACCTCCCTTAATAACATCAAGATTTATTTCAGTACTGAAAATGATTGGTCGATGGAACTGGCATGACGACGGAGCAGAGAGCTCTAGGAGATCTAAGTAAGCAGTAACAACACCGACATCAAGAGGGCCGTTCTCAGCCAGTTGTTGGAGCGATAGTCCGTCGTTTGTTGTGTTTAAAGAGGTAGCTACAATGTTCATATAATCGGTCCATCGACGATCGGCGGGTTGCTCAGAATCTTCAAATTCTGAAAACCAGTCTTTTTGCGGAAATTCGAAACCTCCTGTTCCCGTATTGGACATTGAAAACTGCGGGTAACGACTTTTAATAACCCTCAACGCATTTTCTAGCATAAGTAGAGATTGGGATGAGAATGGATGTAAACAAAGATCGCGGAAGAAATCGTAATCATACATTTCTGTTGAAGATAAAAGCTATTTTAGCAAGGTGTTGCACAATGGTGGGTGTACTCATTTTATAGTCCTGCTTTGTCTGTCGAGCAGCCAGATCCGGCTCATAGGATCTTTTTTCGAGCCTCCTAACCCTGCTAGGTTGAACTTATGTAACTCTGGATGCTTGAAGATCAGGGCAAAAGACAAAGTGGTTTGGGATTCACGTCCACAAATGGAGCTATGAATGTGTGGACTAAGCAACCATAGATGTTGTCTACAGTACTGTACTGTATGTATAAGCCTTTGGTTCTGCTTCTTTACCGCATTCCACTGTATCCTTTGGAAAATTATACATGTACTGTACTTACAGAACACTTTAAATCGCGAGATAAAAAATCAACAAGAGAATCAAAAAACAATGCATTCAACCGCTTCAACTGTCACCAAGAATCAAACAAAGTCGATTAGGCAGCAGGACCGACCAACTTCACCCAAGCCAATAAAATCGCGAAATAATACGCAACCGCCACCAAAATACATATCAGAGACACCTCCGGAGTTCTCCTTAGAGCCATTCGACGTTGCTACGGTATGGGCCCTGTCCATGTCGCCGTAGAGCCAGATCGATGAGTACGATTGGCGGGAAAGGGGATTTGACACATAGCCCAGCCGCTTATTATGAGACGCAAGGACAGGTTGAAACAACATTTCCGAATAGGCTTAGGTATTCGGAGATTGACTCTGTAATGTTGGTTGTAAATTACTGAGAAAGCTGAGGATATCCGGCACTTTTTTAGAAGAGCACAGACAGTAGGCCATGTTAGCCATCGGGTGCTATGAACAATGCTTCTTAAAACCAGTGGTCCCTAAGTTGCATTAACACGCATTTGAAGGAGAGAATTGCTTGCTTAATCGCGAAGTCTGACCGAGTAGAGATTGACATGCCCATCAGAGCCAAGAGTGGGAACCATGTGATTCCTCTCACTGATACGTGCAGAAAAAGAAGTGACTAGGCTGCATGCGAGGCGATGGGGTGGATGGGAGCTGCTACACTGTGTGGCAGCTATCAACGTATAAAAAGGTGATGACACGCCCTTCCCCAGTCTACAATCCGCGTTACCAACTGAATCTACTTTTTATCCCTACCTATCTTCATTGCAGGAAACCATGCCATCGCCACGTACGCCGGTCCAGAACCTTCCTTCATCGTTCAAAGTTGTTGAACAAGAGCGTCTGTGGGAAAGTCAGTGTCCGTCGCTTGGATTCGATGCATCAAAAACCTCATGGCTTAATGATTCATTTACTGCTGTACCTGAGCCTGAGTCTTGTGGAAAAACCACCGAAATCTGTAGGCAAGTAAGCAATAAGGTGGTCCAAGAAGAATTATCGTCGCCTGCAGACATGCCAGTCCCTCATGGCATATCACATATGAATTTCTCATCACTTGAGAAGTGGTCTAACGGTCTCCTCTCATCATCTTTGGCTCTTCAGAAAATGATGTTTGACGATATACCGCTGAACTTTGAAGAGCTCCAGGATATGGCTGCCAGTTGTTATTCTCCATACTACAGTTCGCCACTTGCTGATAAACCGTTAATGAGGTATATACATGTCTCTTTTCTATCAACAGAACCTAACGTCACTAGTGTAGATTGGACTGGCAATGGTCCAGATCCCAGCTGGAAGATTATACCAGGTCGAGACACCACGTTCTACGACCAAGATCTTTTCTCCTATCTGCCACCAGTACCGGCGTATCTCGATAACGCACCAGAGGACGTCGTCAGCCATTCCGCGCTAACATGTTTCACCGACCTTCCTTACGCAGGCAAAGATCACACGGAGGGGGAGGTGTATGAGTCTGAGTTTCCCCATCAGTCTTTTATCCCTAAACAAGTAAGGTTTGATTGTGAAGGCCAGAGCTTTGCGCAAATAGACTGGCCGCAGTGCCCAAGCTACTTGAACGAAAGCCCCTACGATATAAACGACTTCAAATAGAAGTCGGCAGGTCTATAGAATGCTTAGAAATTCAGTAGTATAGGAAAAAATGTTTGTTATTACCAAGGGAACTTCAAGCATCATGCATCGTTGATTGAGGATGGAATGAAAACATTGTTTCAAGTCCAGACTCCCTCAGGTCCAAGAATTGATCAACGGCACCTGGCGTGGAGTAGTGCACAAACCTTATTGAAAGTACTGGTAGTCACAATCCAAACAAGTCCACTATAACTGGGAATGAGCCCTATACTGTGTTACAGTATTATGTGATATGACTTAATAGGGGTATTTGCTATATACTTTTGAATACCTTTAGCGGTAGGTAATCGCTGCTAGATTGCTGCTGACTTAGAGCCAATTCTGGATTATTTTCGACTATGTCAGGTAGATCTGAGTACCGAACAGGCTCCACTCTGATTTAATAGAGAAAGTGTTCGAATTCAAAGAGGAAGATGGATTTGCACATAAGTGTACATCCTAGTACTGTATCCTAGTATGGTTAGGAAATGTATGTATTGAGTTCCATAGTATTCCATAGTAGTATGTACCTTGTTTTGGCCCATTATCGAGCTGCATTAGCTAGCAGCCTAGGGAAAGGCCTGAGAAGATTGAGACCTTAGAGAAAATAGGCGGATATCGTTATATCATCATTTAGAGGTACTGTAGGTTTCCCCTCGTATAGTCATGCTAGAAGCAACCTCTGGTCTTGCAGCCATTCTCGGCTAAATATAGTTAGACTCTGTGACGAACGCCTTCCTATGTATGTACTAAGTCCATAATATGAACAAACACTGTATAGACATACCTATAGTATGTATGTAACAAGGATTGCATACGTACGTCTAGCTCTCCGATAACTTACAGTATGACTCCTTTTTGATTTCGGATACTGTACTGTAATGAAGTTGCAGTATGTACGAGGTTTAGCACAAAACAATCATTGCTTTTACGTAGTAGAAACGTGAAGCCACATTTGGCTCTTCACTTGCCCTCCAAAATACGTTGAAGACGACGTGAAAGAGCCATAATTGGATTTAACATGCCTCTCACAGCACAAACCATGGTTATCCTATAATGAGATAGGCATCACTCTAGCGTTGGTTAAATTGCGGCTGGTTTTGGCTCTTCCGGTACGTACCATAGTAATTAGGTTTTCATTGGAAGGACCCTTGTCCCTCCAGCTATTGTACAACAGGCATACCCTAGTAGACGCCGATAGGGCAAGGCAGGCATTACACATGACTAAGTAGCACGCAATACGTGAAAAAACAGAATACATGGTTCAAGGTTAGACAGGTGTGTTCTCGAGTCATGCACGCGATAGATGACAACAGGGAATCAGGTCATACCAGATGCTGTTGTTATCATATGACTCGCTTTCGCTTAGATGACTGGTTGGCCCGTGGTTTACTTGTGTTGCTGGTCGATATCTCCATCCCAATCTTTCTTCTAAGTTTGTGGACTTTCTCACTCGTCGGCTGGACGGCCCAAATAGATTTAAGACGTCCCCTGATATCGATAGATTATTATACTAGGTATATGTAGAAAGAGGTTTATTATATTGGAGTCTCAGTAGCTCTCGTCGTCCTCGTCATCTTCAGTGTTCTCGTCGTCCTCGTCAACAAACGATTCAGAGCTTTCACTTGAAAATTCTTCACTATATGTAATATCCGACCCTAAACTGGAGTTTGATTCTGAACTTGGGGTTCCTATTTGATCTTGTTCAGGTGACTCGCCATCCAATTCAAAGACAGATAAATTATCCGAACTCGACTCTCTCTCACTCGATAGTCCATTGGACGACTCTGAAGCACCAAGAGGTGCCTGTTTAAGGAGGCTACGTGCCCAAAACAGCGACCTCTCATGAGAGTTTGGACCCAGAACTCGGCTACAGCAATAGACCTGCAGTAATCGACTTGACGTCGACGCAGGAATAACCCCATAGCTTTGAGGAAGCAAGCCCGGCTCGAAAGATTCATCTGGAGAATGGAGTTTGAATTGCCCAGTCGAGAATCGCAAAGCTTGTTCCAGTACTTTCACACTGATATGAGGTTGGCTGAAATCATGGTCGAAGATCTTTTCGAGCTCATAAAGGAGATCTATCTCCTGCCAGTAATCAAGGCTTTCTAATCCGGCCCTGATTTTGAAGCAAGCAAGCAATGCAGCTACTCTCGTCACGAATTCACGCCCGGATATTGGTCCGCGGAGGCAGCTTACCAAGTAGGACATAAAGGTTTCGCCCGTAGCACCATTAACATCTTTCGTTATGTCTTGGAAAGTAGGATACCAAGCCCCGGTTAACTTTCCGTCATGAGGATGGTTTACGGCCAAGCAGACTGCAAGGCAACAACGTTCAGCTTGGGTCACAAGACTGTTCCTGTTTCTTTTGTAAGCATCACATCACTGCTGTCAGCACATCACTTGCCACAAAAGGTGCATTGTAAAAGACCGATACCAAGATGTCGTAAGTAGATTCAGACTATCGAGAAATTAGAGCTGCGCAATCTGCCAAGTTTATATAGTAATCAAAGGGGATCAAAAGTAACCAATCCTTGTTACACAGCTAAAGTATGTCTATTGGTCTAGATGGTATAGGTCAAAACTAGCTTTCAAATATATCATGTTTGCTTTTATGAGGTCTCTTATCGGCCAGATATGGCTATGGCTGTTGTCAGCTGGCACCTTTGGGATAAAGATTGTGCGGAGTACATATCGGAGTTGTCGGAGTGCAGCGTACTTTGTGCAGGGATCAGCCTTGTTTTTCGCACCACCATGCATCGCTCGTCATTCTCTTCTCCACATGGCCCACTATCTATAGAGCAGCAGGCCCCCTTGGTGAAGTCCCTCCCAACGTCTATAAAGAGGAGCGATCCTGTCGCAATTTGAACTCAGTTTGCTAGTAGAAGGCTGGGCATATGACCCCAATGTTCCGCTGCAGACTGGTTTATCCTCACAGCGATGCACATTTCTTTTTTTCTTTTTACCGATTAGGCTAGAAAAGTGGTTTCTCCTGCTAGCCATGATGGTTCCTTCTAAGTTCGTTCCGCAGCAGATGTGGTTTTCTTCCTGCTAGCAATCCATCTTTCATATCAAATAAGTCCGCAGCAGATGTGGTTTTCTTCCTGCTAGCAATCCATCTTTCATATCAAATAAGTCCGCAGCAGATGTGGTTTTCTTCCTGCTAGCAATCCATCTTTCATATCAAATAAGTCCGCAGCAGATGTGGTTTTCTTCCTGCTAGCAATCCATGTTTCATATCAAATAAGTCCGCAGCAGACGTGGTTTCTTCCTGCTCCCTATGCGTTATGCTTCAAAATAAGAAGACAAGCAAGTCCGTAAGAGACAAATCTTTTTCAGTTAATAAAAAGTACCCAATGTACTAGTTACAGTCACGCTAAATGTGAGGTGCAACAACCTATCTGATTAAACAGAAGGCTATCATAAGATAACGATTCATTTACCCCATCTGCCATTGCCACGTTAACTTCTCTTGTTGACCTCTCTCTGTCTTTGATTCCTTTTCTTTTCTATTTAGTGCTTGGGTTGATCCATTTAGCTTAGAGAGCTTCCAATACTCCCCTTGCCTTTGCTTAAAGATAGAGGCTGTAGGTTGGAGACTGGAACGTGCATTCATACTAGACAAGCTGTGTATCGCTCGCCCGGTACAATCCAGACCCTTTATGGATTATTAGCTTACCTTTTCCTTCCCAGAGAAGCTACTTTTGGCGTTGGTATATCGGTCTAAAGTCAACACAAAGTGTGTCAATGTATAGAATCATGGCTGATGCTCCAATTTTGGACCGATTGGCACGAAAACGCTCATAAATTAAGGAATAACACGCATAATTCATTCTCTCTCCCAGTGAATACTTTGATATGGCTGCTAGTCAGACTTCCAGTATATATTCTGATACCTTCGAACTCGATGACTTACTTTGTAGAATTTCCAAGCAGGCTGATGATCAGAATGAGACTACAATTCGGGCACTATACCAGGAAAGAGATTTCTTACAGAAGAACATCAATGTTTTACAACAATCTTGTAGGGCGGCTTACAAGATTATAAACTATTTGCGCCAGCTTGTAGCGCAGTTGGAGCAGTTGCTGGATGATGCTAGCTCCTTAATGGCTAAGGAGAAGAACGACTATTTAGCCAACTGTACAGCATTTTAGTAGCCTTTTGATGAATTCAAGAGGTTTAGTTTCATACGTCGTAGTTTATGATACAGAACCAACTACAGTAACACACCACCCACCTAAGCATTACTCACAAGGGATTGGGCAGATGATTCTTTGACCATGAGACTGTAAAGAGCCAATTCAGGCTGCGAAGCGCACCAAAACTATAAGAATGTGGCCTTTTCCCCAAGAATACATAGTCTGATCACAATACAGTAACCAACCACAACCAGGATGGACCTTTGTAAACATACCGGTTGGCTGCGCTTATCAACCAAAGACAGAGCATACGTACTCGAGATTTCTGACCGTGCTCAGCGACTGCTGGACAGTCTGCCACGACCGGATAATCAGTTTCCCGGCGTGATCCACTTAATAGGAAATGAGACCAAAAGGCTTGCAATGAAGAGGTTGGGCGTGGAAATCGCCAGGCCTAACACTAGTAGAGGTCATGGCGAAATACATCTCTCGTTATCTGCAGATACTGTGGCGAGCGACAGACCCGTCGTCGTTGCCGACAGCGATATCCCGTTACATAACCGTCTCGGCCGACCCAGAAAGCCGCCGCTCTGTCATGAGATAACAGCCCGGCCGCTGCTCCAGCCGCTTAAGAACGCTAGCTCTTCGAAGGTGGAATGCATTGCCGATCGCGCCTATACCCGTATGCTACTTCCATTCGCAGACGTGATTTGCTTCTTTGCTGGCGATGTGGGCGGTCTACCAAGGGTCGCGCACCGTTTGGCGGCATGGTTAGATCTGGGAAAGCAATCAACATCGGCTGTGTGCCCCTGGCTTGTGATTATTGTCGAAAGCGGCGAAGAAAACGTTGCCCGGCAGACCTTGCTGAAAAGTCTCCGTACTATGACTAGTATTGACGTTTTGACGCTCTTTCAGGGCATTCGGGTAGTTAGTTTAGCTGGCCTGGCGCCAAAGACGGCGCTGCGTCGAGGCTGTCCGTCCGCGCGATGGGATACATTCAGAAACGAGCTTTTATACATGGTCGAGACAAAAAGAGTTGAGAGATTACAGGCAAGTTGCCTTTTTTCGGCTACACATCTTGCTGCTTTTCTACGCCACGCGGCCGAAAGGCTGGGAGATGTAACCTCCCCGCCCCTCGATTTCCTTGGCGCAGCTCGAATAGAAAATCCCGTCGCAGGGGACCTGGAACATCACCTGGCGAATTTCCTCCGGGAATTTCGATCTCTCGAATCGCTAAGGGCTTTTGCAGTTCCGGTTATTGCTTCGACTTTCCTCCTTGACCAGTATCCTCCTGGGATGCACCGTAAGCAATGGAGCTGACAGAGATGGATGTCTATTCTAAACATGCTTACAGACTTTGACCCCCGTGACGTGTTTCAGTCGTTGTATAGGGACGCCTGCTATAACATATGTGGGGCTGTAGTGCTCGCACACGAGGGTTCGACCGAGATGGTATTGCCCTCACAGTTTGTTAAGCTGATCGAAACGGAGATGACGCGTAGGTTCAGACGGTTGAAGGTGGGCGAGTCGGCTGCGTCGGTTCATCGGCATCTTCTCGCTCAGTTTGGAGACGAGTGGGCTCGTTTCCAATCAGAGAAGACGTGCTACCATTGCCTGTCACGCCGACCACAAGTCTTCCCCCCTTGCGGCCATGGCTGGTGCAGAAACTGTGTCTCTGTGTTTGGCACGCCCAGCCCGGATAATGAATGGGCTGTTGAAATTGATGGCTGTCTTCTATGTAGGAAAGAATGGCGGATGCTTTTTCAGCTAAAGCCGGACACGGCAACGGTTCGAGTGCTCTGCCTTGACGGCGGCGGCACGAGAGGCAAGTATCCTTTGAAGTTGCTAAAACAGCTGCAAGATAGGATTAATCTGCCCAATTTCCCCGTTCAGCAGCACTTCGACATAGTATATGGAACGAGTTCGGGTAAGTTCGGGTTCCTTCTATAGCACGGATACTAGTATGCTCTGACTATTGTTTGAATAGGAGCTACTATATCAGCGCCGGTGCACTGTGCCTCAATGGCTGGACCATCGAAGAGTGTATTGCCTCTTTCGAGTCTTTGGCAAGCCAAGCGTTTACGCCCCGCCACCTGCCAGCCGTGCCTGTTGTGCGTCCGCTTCTCGAGCTGGTAATGTGTCTGCCCCTTGTGCCCACTTTTGTCCGTCTTGCAGCTCTGGTACTTCTTGATAGCCGTTACCCGTCTCGGCACATCGAGAAGGCTTTGCGGAGTGTTTTCGGCCTAGATAAAAGCATTGTAGACTATTCCGCCGCGAACGCCATGGGGACGATGGTCGGCATGACAACTGCAACTATCCAAGATGCGAGCGCTTGCGTCTTCACCAACTACAACGGAGTAGGGGTGCGAGATGATAATCGAGGTCTCGATCAGGTTCCATCCCCAATTCGTCCATGTTATAGCTCTGACGATTTGGGTATGGCAGACTACCGCGTTCTCATGCCGGAAAATGGGGCTCGAAACATCCCCATTTGGGAAATGTAGGGAGCCTTTTGCCTTTTCGTTCCATCCGCACACTAAAATGTCACAGTATCCGATGCGCAACAGCAGCGCCATAGTAAGCTCTATTTAACCGATATTAATTTATTTTTGTTTTGTCGATTTATCTATTGTCTCTCTAGTTACTTTACGCCATGGCACATTAGGGGAGTTGGTAAACTCCAAGACGGCGGCCTAGTCGCCAACAACCCATCCTCTATCGCCTTGCAAGAAGCCGCTGCCCTATACCCCAATGCCCCGGATCCCAGCATTCTCGTTTCCCTCGGGACTGGGTCCTCGGCTCAATGTAATGAGTCACATGTGTCCGAATCGCGATGGCCGTGGAGAGACTGCTTCCCAATACGGCTTTTCCGAGCGTTATGGAACCTTGGTAGCACTAGGAGGACTTGGCAGCAAGTGATAACCCATAAGAAGGTAGGACATGCGGGAGAGTTCTTCTGCTTCGACGTCGAGTTTGCCGGTGAGGAGCCGCCGCTAGATGATTTGTCCTGTCTGGAAGACGATGACGAGAACGACAGAGGCACCATCATAGGACTGCCTGAGTTGGAGCGCTTAGTACTGTGCATGCGGGCGGAGCTGTTTGTGTTCGAGTTATGCCCCGTACGGCCGTTCCGCTTTGTTAACGGCGAGTATGAGTGCCTTGGTTACATACGGTGTCGGCTGGAAGCAGGATCCGACACACTGCACGAGTTCATGTCGCAGCTAGGCCAAAGTTTTGCTTCGTTCCGTGTCGGAGACCGTGCCCTAGCTGGCGGGTTTCCAAAACATCCACTTCTAGACGATGACGGCAAGTTTTGCAAGGAAGTTCGGTTTCGGGTGGCAAGCCGAGAGCAGCCAGTGGGTATTTCTCTTTGGGAAAGTTCCCGGGAAGGCTGCAGCATCAGCGGCTCGCCTTTCAACCTCCAGCGCCTGGTACGTGAGCAGAAGCTGGATGCAAGCTTCGGCACCGCCGATCATCGCAAGAGGAGGAGGGAGGGCAAAGAAGAAGCTAGCGGGCGACACAAGCGCCAGAGACGGTAGGTACATCTTGCGTTTTGACTTCTTCGATGTATCCTGTCGCTTTAGCGCAGGGAGTACAATAGTACAGATTGTAGCCTATTTGTACCATATTAAGAGACAACGCATCGTCTGTTGACATGGCATCCGCGAGCATCGCACATTTCAGACAGCGGATCGTAATCGCTCTAGCCGCAGACATTATTAGTATAACAAAGGGGTGTGATGAGGAATAAGGGTCAGTAGATAGTATATCGTTTAGGGCTCTTTTGGAAACCTGGACGAAGATGAACGTGTGTTAAACGTTGGGGGAGGAAGAGTGATACCATTTATATAGGTTTCTGAGGATATCAAACTCTTTGGGGCGGGGCGTGTGAGAGAGGCATCGATTAACAGGAGAACGAATGAAAATCAAAAACCCCCAAATGAATTGCATATTCGCCTATGGAGTTTTAAGCTGCGTACAACTTAACCAAGCCAGGGTACCACAGATAACTCATAGCAAGGCATCTAATTGCATAGAAGCATGGTAGTAAATTCGTTCAAACCAGCCATATGACGAAGGTATATCATTTTTACGCCCCTTGATTTGTTGATTGCTATTGCTAGCTGTTACGACCCGGTCAGGGCAACCGACTGTGACACAAAGCAAAACCTTCGATTATGTCGCTGCGTTATGATCACCAGTTCTGCACTGTGTAGCTATGCAGGCCAGAATTCCGGTTAGTTGGGCCGTAATACTAGCCATAGGGAAGGCTAAGTAACCAATAACGTCAACTAATACTTCAGCTCCAGATTAAAAGGCTACTAGAGTATAGCTCTGCTTCTAGATGCTTCTAACATAGTCACAGAGCAAACAATAGCGCCGTGTTTGAGCTCTGTGTGATGCATGTTACAGTCAGAAATAGCACATATAGCAACAGCAAAGGATTCATTACTAAGAACGCCCTAACATATGGATAAATACAAACATAAGGCAGATTGCTGATGAAATATGCATAAGGCTAGCTCGTGCTGGAAGACCGGTCAGAGCTGATTTAGTCACCTATTGATAGTTGTAAGGCTTGCTAGCTGGTAGATTGAAGAGCAGGGATAATATCTCTCAGCGTACGCCTAGGCTAAAGGCAAGTAACTTTGAGTCTGCTAAAGACGGCAATGCTACCAGTTAGCCCCCCAAAGAGAGGTGACACAAGCATATTCGAATGCTTGAGATGACAAGCGGCAAGCCGAGTGCTAGGTGTTTACGTGGAGACTATTGAGGTGGATCTTCTGCGAGCACACTTGACTTTACGCAGTCAAGTCGCAGGCTATTCAGTACGTACCTGGACGAGGCCGAGCATGGGTTTAGACGAACCATATGGGGCCGAAACTATGCTTACTGATTTGCTAGACTTAATCCACTTGGCTTTGGCTCTCGCTTGATCTGCTTTTGGCGTTAGAGACAATACGTGACAGTTGAACGTTGGCGAGCATGACTGGACTAGGGGGCAAATAAAAGTCATGACTCGCGCTGGAAAGCCCCATTACCATACGTGGGGAACGCCTCCATCGTTTGACAACAGTAATGGCTCGTGAAATGAACGCTGTCGGACCCTTGACTGTGCATTCCGTCCCCACTACACTGTCTGCATGGCATTGGCCCTCCAATCTGCTGTGGTTGTCCGCATGGGTTCCTCGTCACGTGCCGTTCAGAACAGGGCATCTTCGGACGGCAAATAAGGAGTCGGAAACTAAAGCCAGTTCACGCCCCCTCCTGTCACCGGTCACCACATTCGTGCGTGACCAATACTACTAGCCAGCGATTACGTTCCACAAAACTCTCAAGTCAAAGTCACTAGCCTGTCCTGCTTGTCTCAAAATTTGGTCTTTTTATTATTTTTTATGGAGAAAATAATCACATATGTTTTCTGACTTTAGTACGGCCATCTAGCCAGCCGTAAGACTCTTTACTATCGGCCTTTACCCATTTTTCTTAATCAGGCAAAGAATGCGGCTGCAGGTTGGCAACTACATCTGGAGCCTTAAACTGCTTTTACAAGAGTCCAAGTGGAGTTGCATCACTAGCTATCTCAGCCGAAGTATTGCCGATAACGCCGCTCTACCTCGGCAAACGGATAGCCGAGTCCAGGGATGGATAACGCCCGTTTCGAACTTTTTGTTGGAAAGACACATATCGCCCTCCCGACAAAGCCTGGGATTCCAAGTCTCGCCGACAGTATGTCGTCGCCCATCCGCCCGGTAGCCGGACGCTGTCACGGGCCTAGACGTTAATCGGAGCTTGGTGTATCAAGCTTCTGGCCTTTGACCTAAAATTCCGATTGCACGAAGAGGCTGTAGTTTAGAGATATCCATGGCTTAGTTGGGTTTAGCAGTATGAACTCATATCTCCGCAAAAGCTGGACTATGTATCAGCAAACAACAGCTTCTGCTGTGTAAACGTGATCGCAACGCACCTCGACGAATACCTTTTGCAGTTCCATCATCGCTACGTTACGTCCCAGACACTTCCCCTTGCCATGGCCGAAAATGAGCTCTAGCGTGCCTTCCATTAGTCTCAGGTGCTCCGCTTTCGCCTCAAGCCATCGTTCCGGCCGGAACTCTTCGGCATCCGGTCCCCACAAGTCAGTGTTGTGGAAGATCCCCCATGCTCCATACCCGATACGGGTGCCCTCTGGTAGGTAGACACCTTTGAAAGTATCCCCGCCCTTGGGGACTTCCTTGGACATCTGTCCGACGACGGGCGGAAAGATACGGAGTCCTTCCTTGATAGTGGCTTGTAGGTATGGCATCTTGCGCGCTTCCGCCTCTGTAACAACGGGCCATGAGGGTTTGGTCGACCTAATTTCGTCGCGAAGGCCGGTCGTGACTCTAGGGTTAGTGATAACGTAGAGGAATGTGGCGCGGATAGCTGTCGCTGTTGTGTCAGACCCAGCGAGGCTGTTTACATGTATTTTAGTATAGAAGCTACCCTTGACGGGGTTTTGGGAGCATATACATCTGCATGAGAAGTTCCGACGAAGCTTCTTCCTTAGTCAGACCGTGCTTGATAAAAGAGCCAAGCATGTCATTTTTGATCTTCCTGTCCGGACCGAAACGTTCGGCCACAACTTCCCTTGCAATCCTATTATTAGAAGATCCGCAACCGTTAGCTCAGGTCCGTCATAAAAGCTAAGAACATGGCACAGGTAGAATGTCTTTGCTAAGCTATCCCCAGTGATGTTTAATTTGGAGAGAAAGAAAAACTCAAACCTGATCATCTTCCCCAATCCAATCGCATCCGTTTCAGATGGAAGGAGGCGTCTGAAGAGTGGTGACGACAAGAGTGCCAGCAGCCAAGGCAAAATAGCCGTTAAAACGACATTCGGCATGTTCTTCTCTGTCGTGCGGATGTATTCGTGGACGTCAGAGTCAGTAGCAACGTCACCGAACGGCTTGCCAAAGGCGATATCCGAGATGATGTCAAGGGTGAGATACTGCGCCTTCAGACCGAAATCGAAGGGCTTGTTTTGGGAACTGTATTTGTCAATCAAATCCATGAGCCGAAGAATGTTCTCGTCAATCTTGGCTTCGAGGTTTTCGACTTCCTTGCCCGAGTACTGCGGAAGTCTGGTTAGAGCCATGTTTAAAGAGGCTCAGGCGCGAGTTGACTCACTCCAGCAGCCATCTGCAACCGAAGCCGCGAATGTACCTGCTCGTTTCTTGTGGATAAAACGTTGTCTTTGCCGGGGTCGAGTCTCATGGCGTCGTACCAACTCGAACGCTTGTATTTGGAGCGCACAGATAGCATACGCCTCATCAGGTCGGGGTCACTGGTTACAAGGTCATTCGGCCCAACGCGTACAATGGGTCCTGCTAAGTTAGCCTAGCCGCGTACAAACTACCATGCAACACACACCATATCTTTTGTATGCCTCGTAAAGGTCGAGATGCAGCCTTCCGCCATATGTTGCGCGGACGAGCCACCACTTGGAAAATCCCGCACCAGGGGGCCCTCTGATATGCCATAGACGAACATACTGACGAAAGATTGAGTAAATGCTGTAGAGGACGACAACTAAGACAGCGGCGCTCATATAGGCAGAATTATCTAGACCCATACTGTATTTGGGTCCGTCGCTGATGTGTAACCCACTTCTTCTAAGCCTTTGCGTAATGTGTATGCTGGGGAGCGGCGGTGGCCAGTTGCAATATTTTTCGTTGCGTTATTGCCATTATGAAAAGGGCGCCATGGGCTAGGTGAGATTTATAACCAGTGTCTTTCGCGGATAACGTTGGGACAAAGCTACAGTTTGACTCGTAAGCTTTGTAATAGTGAAACGCTCAAGAGCCAAGTTCTAAAAAGGGCTAGAATTAGCTGTTCAAAGACCTTTGCTAGGCCTCTATTTGACGGGAATTGAAACGAAAGCCAGATTTTGATTGGTAGTTAGGAAATTGCGTAGTTGAGGTGATTTACAGATGACTCCTGTGCGGCGAACACAACGTAGTGTCCAATTGTAAGACTAAAAAGAGGGATAAGAATGACTTGGTCTCTTGACCTGCAGACGCCACATAGGATTTGCATAGTATACATTTGCTGCTTGTGTAAAATCATGACAAGTAGAGGAAATAGAAGCCTCTGTAGTAAGGAAAGCCAGCTACTGAAGCATCTGAAGCCTGGCCGCCACTTTGTCCATATCTTCTCGCTGTAGATTAAGATTCCACCCCAACTCTTTCAGCAGCTCAGTTTCAGCATGATTAATAACATTGCAAGTATAAGGAGGTTTGAAGAAGATTGCTGAGGTAGCTAGCCAAGAGATTGCTCGGTAGTTGTAATCATGAATGTATTTCTTGGCTAGCATCAGCGAGGCTAGAACGCGAAAAGGCCGTTCGTTTTCTGGAACGGCTTTTGCCCCGCGGTTTTCCCACGCTCGTTCGAGGTAGACGAGACTGCCGCATAAAACAGCTCCGTCAACAAGGGGATAAATTGCTGTTTTAACGACGTATACAGACGACGCCAAATGTTGCATGAACCTTATTAATCGCCACGAGAAATTCGGCATATCTGCTTCTACCAGCAGAAGGCTGGGTAGTAAAATCTCAACTGCGACTGGAATAACTGACGGGCTCACAGGGTTCCGATAGAAATATGAAAAGTCTGGTTGCCGAATAATGCCTCGTGGTATGGGCGGCACAGTGACGAGTTGGGGATAGTAATGGTGAGTTATCGACATAGCGTGGACACGGAAGGGGAAGGCGGAGGCAAGATACGGTAGGGCCGGTGCTCAAAGTTGATTATTTGGAAATGGTTGTCGTTTAACCGCTGGTTGTCGCTATCAGTGCGTGGCGTGGGCAGCTCTTGCTTTTAAAACCTTGTCTAAGACATCACTGCTATATCAGGGGTTTCTTTACGAAAATCTATCTCATGATAAATATCCACCGCATCACGAGTGTTCAGTTCGATTTGTTATCAGCCCCATAGACTTTCCGAGCAAGGCTGCCTACTTACCAGGCAGCCTTGGTACCGCCAAGGGAACAGACCAGGATAAGGGAAGCACCGCGAAGGAAAAGCTTGGGTAATGCCGACTGGGCCGTCTTTTCCCAGCCCTGCACTATATGAATACGACGCGTAGTGACAAATAGCCAGGTCCCAAATTCACTTTTTAGCCTAGGCTTATTAGATAAGAGGCGTCTAATCATATCATTTCTCTTCCCGGCGGCTATGCTTTGTAATATACCGATGGCCCACGTTGTATAGACTCAACATATTATTCGCAGCTAATTGGGGCATCTCGGAGAGATCCTAGTCAAAATTACGAGAAAAGGAAAGCAGCTCTTCGCTTGACGCACGGTTCGAAACTCCGTACTCCGTAGTCAAAATAAGGTTAATATGCACAAGGATTTCGCCAAGCCTGCTAGACGCGATTTCATAGGCTAGTGAGCTACTTAGTAACACTAAACAAAGGGGCACGTATTTTCTGTCCAACAACGACAAAGAAGCCAATTATGCATAAGCGCCCTAGCGTCAGCCAAACGCTCCAATTCTATACAGGTAGGTGCTAGCTGTCTTTGCTCCTGGTTTTGCCACATTCTCTGTGGAGGGTTGTTCCTGTCTGGAAAGATCCAAATTCAGCTGACTAAGAATGCCTTATATTGCATACATCGGACATGCAGTCCTCCGCTTCCAAGGTTCCACCATATCACGAGTGAACCAGCTCATATTCTTTACAAGTTTGAATGGTTGCAGCTAACGGTAAAACGCAAGTTCATATACAGTACCTAGACACTGCAAGATGATTAGGTGTCTATGAAGGGTTTGAGAGAGGTTGTGATGGACTTGAAATGGATAAGACCAGCCTTCTATGTACATGTGTATGTCCTGATATTTTATTTTATCTATGTATTATCTTGCTTAGGTACACTAAGTGGAACAAGTCGAATATCAAAACTAGATCTCAGCGGCTCGATGCTGCCCCTCTGAACATCTCGTACATCGCTTTCGGGCATTTTCGCCAGAATCACCGCTGCCGGGGCGGCTAATTCCAGGAACTCGGTCATCATGTCATCCTTAATAACATGAGATACACAATGACTATGAAGAAGGCGAAAGATCTCGAATGAGTTATAGTCTCTCGAAAGTAGTGTTCTTAACTGCTCGAACGTCGAAAACCTCGTTACCGGAATTATCCATTCGAACGAACGTGGTAACAGCTTGGCCCCGTATCTTAGGAGGACAGAGACCGTTCGAGGATTGCAGTGACAGTCCGAAATCGCCTAGCTAAGAGCATTCCTCCCATCTGAGTCTTGAATATTGACATTCACCCCAGGAATTTGAAGAAGACTCTCAGTTCCGAACGCGGATCGCCGAGCCAATTGTATAAGAAGAGGCGTCTCCTCTGTATTCGAGTCGAAGAAGTTGCCTCTGCCGTTCGGATCCGCCCCATGCTTGATAAGCTTATTCAAAAGGTTGGACTTCAGGAGTTTTGTTCTGCCCCGTGCCGATGTTGGTCTTGCATCCAGTGTTAACGAAAGGAGACGTTGCAAATCCTCCTCCGCTCCTCTGTCAAGAAGTAGCCTGGCGAAGTGGAAGAGACCCTCCCAGCAAAGATAGCTAATAAGGGAGGCTTGACTATCACCCAAACCGGCCTTAGCGTTGACATTCGCTCCATGGTTGAGGAGACATGAGACTGTTGCCTCATTCGCGAAGGGGGATTTGGTCGCATAGTATAGCGGCGTGCGGCCCTTTTCGTCTGAATAATCCACTTCTGCTGGATTCGCCTCTAATATCTGTTTGACGATCAGGGAAAGGCCAGTGGCTGAAGCCACAAGGATAGGCCTAGGGTTTGCCTCCCACTTCAGCCCTCCCCTTGTGATCCTATTCAAGGACTCATTGATCTCTCGGGATACCAAAGCATCGAAGAATCGCCCTGCGGGCCTTTGCATGAGATTCGAAACGAGGCCATCCCTTCCTTTCATAATGGATACAGCCAGAAAAGACAGCTCGAGTGGTGTTTGCCGTAAACTACTGGACAGCATCCGAATACAACTTTTGGGTGCAAGGTCCTCTGCCATGACTGAGAAAACATGAGTAAAGGGATCCATTCCGGCGCTTTTTGACGCAGATATTATACTGCAGGCAACAACCTCATCGCGACAGTGTACGACTGCCCACAGTGCAGCAGAACAGCTATCAAACTGAACATTCTGTCGATAGATAAACGGGATTAGCTTTTGCCGAAGGCTTTTGCTACTTGACGAAAGTGCAAGCAAGGTTTTTCGATTTTTGCAAGCACCGAGGATTATGTAAAGAAGCTCTATTGGCAAGCGGTCGATCATGGCGTAAATGAAGTCAGAGAGGATAGCAAAAGGGAAAGGAGCAGGATAAAATAAGCATGTAACGTTGGAAAAAACCGAGCAGGGAAGATTCTTCTCACGGTTATATAGCATGAGTCTTCTACTCCACAGACTGACGCTTTTGCGCATGACAGGAGAGGTACTTAGCAACCTAGACTGTCTATGCGGGTTTATCGAAGAGGATTGGTTGACGAAATCTTTGATACAGATCCATTCAGGCAAACGCAAACCCCGAGGGCTTGGCTTGGGGACTGGGGCGGTGCATAGCCGGAACTAGCCAACTATTCAAGCTTGGCAGATGGGTACAGCTAGGATACTAGGGAAATAAGCGAGAGTAACGCAACTAAAGACGCAATCCTTAACGGCCAACCGATCATTTTATGTCTGTACATCTCCGATGCCCCTGCCAGAAGGGAAATCATCAATTTGCTACGTTACGGGTTTGGTTTCAATTGGTGGAAAGGCTAAGTAATGCTTCATACTTGTGGTTATAAAACCCTACCGACCTTCTACCAATTTGAGATGTCTAGAATCACGAACTGCCCTTCAAATCTTATGTAATATGGTTACCAGTAAGTCACATCATTGCCAAAGTTACAAATGCAACCTCAAAGATGAGATGGCCGCCGCCATGGCTCTTGTTATGTTGTCTTCGGGTGGCGGGCCAAATATACTCCCAGGTAAGGACTATATATAATAACGCCAAAGGCCAAAGCTCATAAGAACAGAAGACAATAAGAAGTTTGGTTTTGATGACCACGCCGTGATCACAGAGGAGGCTCTTCTGTTGGAATCGCAAGAACATTGCGACCGCATATCAAAAAGGACGGAGGCTACGTTACCCACGTCGCAGCTTCTTATGTCTCAGAATCTCACGTCTTACCGCCTTGCTGAGTTCAGTTACTATAAGCATTGTAATTGCGGGTGTCGCAAACATGTAAGTAGTCTTTATGACAGATGCTGGCTATTGCTGACGCATTTAATATAAGCGTCGCCGCCACGGACCGGATGAGCCGCGGCGAAGCAAGTACACTGTCTACTGGCCCACAGGAGTACAATTACCGATGACCCGACCTTTATTGAAATGCATGGGCTGCTGCAAGGTGCCTTCTGGCGAGTTACTCAGGTTGCCTTGTGGGCACAGGTTTTGCATCTATTGTCACCAGTCCTCCTGGGGAAGCTGTCCGCGTTGTAGATATCCACTTATGGGCAAAGTATCAATAGAAACCTGTAAGGCTTGTTAGATAGTATGAATGATTGCGAATTGAAAAATTAGAACGCTTGATTCACACAAATAACTGCTTATTGTTTCGCTTGTTAATCCGCTCCTAAGAGCTATTTACGAAGCTTACTTTCCCTTCCCCAATGGCGCTTTATAATAAAACCAGCATAGGGTTCCGCTGCGGCTACATCAGGTATAATAGTTAGGAATAGTATAACGAAGCAGTGGAAAAGTTCGTATATACGTAGGAATACTACACATCACCACACAAAACCTTTACCTCGATGCGCCGTGCACTCTCGTCGCGGATCCGTGAGAGTGACTCACTATCTGAACGTACTTGTGGATAGTTTTGAAACCTCTCATAGGCCTGATGAGGTCTAATCGAGCTTCGTCAGGCCTTTTGTGTGTGCCTTTCGTGCTGTTGTTGTGCCCTTGGCTAGCTAGCCCGAGGAGAAAGCCAAAGCAATGAAAAGTAACCATCCTCATCCCTGGCCCCTTTCATTATCCCTAAAGTTGCTTTCACATATTTCACATATTTGTATCAGACTAATAGGCATTACTACTAACAGATCGAATAATTATTTCTAACCGCCAGAAATTTGACAGAGAACATCGGAATTGTGTGGGACACCCCTTACCCCGAATCTATTGCAACATCTTACATAGCCAAGCAACAAGACGCCTTCCACGGATGCTCATAGAACCGTACCGTATGGAGGTATTCTTCATGGTCAAGATACTCCCCAATCCAGAAGCAAACATCCTGTGTCTGCCGCCAAACTCTATCAGCCAAACGTTCGACTGTTAGAGACCCTAGAAGATCCTCCATCGCGGCAAAATCCACAATATTGCGATTCGAGCTCTCGCCGAGAAGTTGCTTCGACTTTCTTCCAATGTCCGTCGGCGACAGTACATCGCCGGTACTCCCCTGCTCAGCCCACAAAGCCGCATGTCCCATTATCGCACGGAGCAACTCCATACAGTTCCATACAAAGGGAGGGTCTCGAATGAAGTTTAAGAGACCTGCATGATACGCATCCTGCGTATATAATTTATAAGATATCCCCTTCGTCCGAGAAAATCGAAAGCTTCCAGCTGCGACGTATTCGCTATCCTTCATCATCTCGAACAGCCCCAACGCCTCCAAGGCCTGCAACCTGATGGTCTCTAGACAAACAAGTTAGTTTCATATGTCTCTTCCTCTCGTTCAACCTTACATACCAGCACCAACAAATTCAATACGACCCCCCATTATGTCATGTCGTCTTATGTTTATTCAATATTTCTTTTCTTCGTTTGGATTATTTTAAGCAAAAGACCGTACGCCTGATAACTTATCGCAATGCAAATCCAATGCAGTATCCAGCGAGGCCGAAGCGTAGGGAGAGCCAGCCTTTGCTTTCAATCTGAGGGGCGTATTTCCTTTATATATCTTCAGCTTTCCTTAATCCCTAGCTCTCTTTTAAGACTCCCTCGTACCTATTATAGATTCAAATGATACCCGAGGGAACAAGAAACCTACGTCAGGGATGTTGGGGACGAACCTGATCGCGAGAGTGAGCCTGGTCTCATCGTTTTTAGCTACATTCACGTTAGATACCTGGGTTTGTGATAGGACAAAGTATATTTTGAGATCCCTACCGCTCTCAAATTACCAGGCTCTTCTTGGGAGACGTTTCTTTTCTTTTTCAATAACTTGACTGGTTCCTTGGCTCTTATAAACAGAGTGAGACGACAACCACCTTGGCCATGAAGTATTCTACATAGGCACGAGCAAACGCCTTCCAGGGGCATTGAGTAAAAATTTCCCGTCGTGTTTGCGTAATCAGAAAAGTGTGAATAGCGCTGCGCTGTAATTACATACATAGCTTTCCCACTTTGTATCTATCTCTTGCCAATGTGACCTTCATTTTTTGTGCACGTTGCCATGCTACAGTACTATTCCATGGAGTGCCAATTGTCATGTCCCGGAGCTTTGTTGTATAGTTTTCTCCTTACGAAAAGGATACGTGGCGACGTGCCATCTGCCCCTGCATTCCCAAGCTCCGTCTATCACCGAAACTAGTACTAGTCTTGGCTGTATCTCAGGTGGCTAAGTCCTTTTACGAGACACGTACCTTTTGCCAATTATACATAGTAGTGCTTAATAGATACAGTATGTACTGTACAGTACAGTACTAGATCATTTCTGAAACATATAGTACAGTACCGCAATGTAGAGAAATCCGCCTTACGTACTGGTATTTGGGTAGAAAATAGCTTTTTGATATGTAGCATAGCTCTTCAAAACAAAGCGGCAAAAGTCAATTCAGCTTGAATTATGTATAAATCAGCGTTTTTTACAGTATGATTCAAATCGTTAACCCCACGAGTAGTAGGTACGATGTCACGCCGGGAAATCAAAAGGGCTCGTTTTCAAAACAAGCCGCATTTTGCTTTTCACAGAAATACTATCAGGAGCAATTTTAGGCGGTGCTATTACTATATAAGACTGAGATTGCTAATTCCTAAAACCTCGGATCCCTAAGTGCTACAGCAAACATGGTTAGCACACGTTCCCAAACAGCAGCGCAGAAAGTCAAGCGAATTGACAAGTCTCCCAAGGCAAGCACAAACCTAGCTGCTGTGAGGCGTATGCCGCAAAGTCAGTTTTAGTCCAAAGATCATTACAGGATGAGTTTAACGAGGCCTCTCCGGAATTTAAAAATGAGGTACTCGCATTACAAAATCATATCAACGCCCTCGAGTCACAGCTGGCTGCAGCGAATAATCCGCAGGAACTTAACTTGAACATGAAAAGTGGAGACGAGATGTCAGCCGATGAGGACGAGGAGAGCCATGTCGAAGTTAAGAACGAGGAGAAATACGAAGAAAACGTTAGCCTCTTCGTGACCGAGTCGATTGAACAGACTTCTGGTCCTTTCAAAAGTCAGGATCAGCCTGCAGACCCCTCTGACCTGTTGTCATCCGATGATATCATAAACCCACCTAGGCTTCCCACTACAGATCCAGAAGGCCCAGAGATCGAATATGGATTCCTTCGAGGACCCTTTGGTCGAGTTTATCAAGTCGTAGGACAAGGACCGAAAAACGCCGAAAAACTATTGGTTTTGCCTAGGATCGGCAAAGCCGCCAAGTACCTTAACGAAACTAGAAGAGCTGCTCATTTGGGATTAGAAAATGAAAAGGGACAGAGAATCAAGTTGATAATTCAAGGTGTCGCCTGGACTAATCCGAGCGGCCATGATGATCCTATTATTTTGATGGACCCTAGATACTGGATATCAAGGCAACAGGAGGAAAATGAGAGGGCTAAACAGAGCCAAAATGGGAAGGCACGGAGAATAACCTTTCCCTTTACCGCGGTAAAAGTCAAATGGGAAGGTAAGGGAGATGCTACGTTCGAAACAAGGTCAACAGTGCGACGGTTTCTTGGCCAAAAACCTACGCCGGCTGCGGAAGACTACAAAATAGGCGACAGGGTTTTGATTGAAAAAGGAACTTTTATGCCGGCTGGAGATCTATTTATTTTCGCGGCGGCTATAGTGTCGTGGCGCCGGCACGCTCAATGGAAAGCCGGACTCAGAGAAGCCAGCAGGAAAAGTCCGACTCCGGAGGTAATAGCTGAAGTTCCAAAAAAGGGAAAGCAAAGGTAAGAAGTGCTCCAAGCGAAATGAGCGAGATTCAATAGCACGGGGTAGATGATTGTTATATTATATGGAACTATCGTCCTTTTATTTGAGTTACTAGCAGATAGGTTGCGTGATACTTGGATTATATAGATTAGGTTGTGTTTAGTTTTACAATAAGTCTGTTTTAGTTAGGTTATAAAAACTTGTTATTTTAACTCCTCTAATTACAACTTCCTCATCCGCTGAAACGATGGCAGTTTTAGGTGCTATTTACATAATAGTCGTAGTAAAATCGTAATATTATTATAAATTGTTGTTGGATAGGCTGTGTGAACTTTACGCTTGGTGACTTTCGAGGTGGTCAAAGCTGTTACGAGCAGGTCAGGGCAACCAACTGTGGCACAAAGCAAAAGCTTCGATAATGATGCCGCAGTCATCAGTATCCCCTGCTCTGCACTCTATAGCTACGCCAGGCAATTCCCAACTGGCTGGGTCGTAACAACATGATATAGCATGGATAGTTTCGTGAGCTCAACTGTTTCAGGAAGTTATCAAGGTATATCAAAATAATGAACACGACTCATTCCCAGAGATGAATCGTGCAAAACTGCTCGTACAAAGTACAGTGATCTAGTTAGGAAGATAATCACGGAAAATAGATCTTTGGTTCACCCTACTTTTTACGATACGATTGTACAGACAGCCCATTCAACAATTTTACTTTTTCTACCCGTACGAAACCACTTTCAGTTTATGAAACCCGCATTAGATACACAATTCCAGTCCTAGAATAATACTTTCAGTATAACCATACGAAGTAAGGACTACTCGGCAATAAAGTTAGGTTCCCCCAGATGCCGGGTTATCTAAGAATGCTTTTGCCACGACCCAACCAGTTGGGGTGCTAGCCGGTGTAGCTATATAGTGCAGAACAGGGGATACTGATGACTCCGGCATCATTATCAAAGCTTTTGCTTTGTGCAACAGTTGGTTGCCCTAGCTTTCTCGTAATACAGTTCATCTCAATTTTACTACTCAATACAACAGAAGCTTTGATACCTTACAACCCGGAAGCTGAATAGCATAGAGTAAGCAAAATGTCACTCTATCACCCAGCAGATTGCGTTCTACCCTTGATACACCCAGGTCCAGATCTGATCGGCGCAGATATCTTCCTGTAATTTTATAATCAAGAACTTTTCCTTCTCCTCCTTATCGCTCTCCGTAGCGCAGCTATATTCCGTACTCAGTATTCCGCCTTCCTTATTTGGAGTTGATATAAAGTAAGACTCGGATATCTCCATGGAATCCTCGTTGAAGTCGACGAAACAGTTGGGGCTTTCGCTCAACTTTCCTCCTCTGGCAACCGGGTTGAAAAGGCTCTGTGCATGCAGCTTAAGCGTTGCCTGACCCGCAGAAATCGTGATGACACCTTCGCCCTCGTCCAAAGCATGATTGTCTACCAGTGATCCAACGAAGCGTTCCTTTGAATCAGAGTCAAGAACGTCTGGGAACTGCTCCGAAACTGTTTTGCTTTTATGGCCCAGAGCTAGGACTAACTGGAGGCTTTCTTCGTTGTCTTTGGCCGTGTTCTTAGTGAACTTGAGAAGGTCTCTTCCAATCAATAGGAGAACCAAGCCTTTGTTCGATAGCGAACCGAGGAACTCATCGTTCTTGAAGATTACCCCTTTAATGTCCTCCCAGCAAACCGCAGTGTTACTTGTGGTTGAAGATGCCATTGCGTTTTCGTTGGAAGTGATTACTTGTGTGTGTTGGAAGTGGTTGGAATTCAGCCAGGGAGTGGTACAGTACCGTCATTTTATACACGTTTCCAAAGGCAATACCGGCTTTTGATCCTTCTGTCCAATAGAAAAGAAGCGTTGTCTCTAGGTATATGTACTGTAGAAAGGTGGATATTATGAAACCAAAGCCGAGGCTTCAGCCGATCTGGGCTGGCTCTGATATTGCTTGCCAAAGAGGTCCGAGTACGGCAAGACCTAAGTTTCTGCGAGCAATTTAATACATATGTACTGCAATGCGGCACTGCATTTGAATTCACCCACGTTTGATCACGTTTTTACACCCTAAGTCTGACAGCCACTGTACAACTAGCCAACTTCAACCGTTTGTAGATCGTCTATACTTGGTGTCAGTATGGCAGCCTTGGATCAGCAAGAGCTTCACATGCGCTGTTCATCATTAGAGCAGCAACTAGCCTGGACACGATCGGAGCTCGAGCGAGTCAAACAATTGCTATATCGCCGAGAGGAAATGCTAGATGAGCAAACCCTGTGTCGAGATATGGCCGAAATGGCGTTAGATCAGCACAAAGACTACCTGATTAGTGCTAAGCGGGAGGCCCAATACTCCTACAGCCTCGGAAGATTGCAGGCGCAGGTCGAACAAATACGTAGCAGAAATATAGCCAGCGTAGGACAGGCGAGAAAGCGAAAGCTTGCGGATCTTAGTTAGTTTCTATTATTGTACACCAGGCCACCACAAACACGCACACACACATTGTATCACGCCCGGTGGGCAAAACCGAAAGGGTCTTATCGAAGCTTATACTGTCTCTACTTCGTACTTGCTCTCCCAAATCTGCCTTCTCGTATTGTAACAGATTCCCGTGGTTTGTTTTAGTGTAATGTATGTACTGTTTTGTTGGCATGTCATCTTGAAACCCATTCTCCAAGTTTTCAAGGTTGTTTTGGTAATACAGTATAGACTACTACTGCCCGTTATACAACGACGCATGAGCTTGTCACCCGCCTTAACCGCTCTTAGCTGGAACCGCCCTTATAGAAGTTAAAACTGGTTCCTAGAAAGAGCTGGTTATGGGTCCAACGGACAAGACAAGTAATGTGATGGAACGCGCATAACAAAGCCGGGCACTGATTTCGGTCGCGACTTACTGTGCTGTACAGTATACATTATTTCTGAAGCGGATACTGTACATACATCAAGGTGTTGAACGTCTTAGTTAGCCCTTACCCACAATCTAGAGCGGAAACCGAACGCATCACATTCGCAGCCGGCTCACAAACTGGCTTCTGCCTCGTTAGGCCACAGCTTTCTCGAGTAGCGCTGCCCTAGAGGGAAACGCGCACGCCCATGCGTCTGGAACTCTTGCTCCCAACACCTTATAAATGCCTTTTCTTAACTAGCTTTCTACTGTTCGCACGACACAGTACATATATGTACTATACTAAATGAAGTGCTGAGTTGCACCAAAACTAGCAATGGCACCTTTCTTGCTTATCATCTTTGCTAGCTTTCACTGGCTGGCCTTTGCAAAATGTGACTCTGCGGATCTTGCGAGATGGAGTCCTAACCCGGGCGAGACATTTGACAGCATCCTTCGCCCGCTCGGGATCGAAGCATCTCTATTCCGGGATCTTAATGAGATAACAGATGGGATCAATCGAATCGATTACATGTCTACCTACTGCGTTCCATACATATCATCGCTCTCAACGAATTATTACACTACCTCTGGATCCCGTTTCTTTTCCCTACCGACTGCCCTGTACGGGGCAATCTCAACTGATGCGAGTCACCCGCAATCCTTGTCCTCGGTGAAGACGTCAATGATGGCGATTCAAACCGTTAGTGCTCCCAGTGACACAGAGCAAGCAAGCAAGCCCCATGCCACAGATGTCTCGGAAACACCCGGTCCTACGTTAACAATTACGACGAGCAAACCGTCAAATACCGAAGCTGGAGCTACTCTGCAACCGGCCAAACGGAGGTGCTGTGCGCAGAAAGTTCGAGATTCAGACATTACCGAAGACTTCCATGCACAAGCCAAAGACTTCTGCGATAAGCACGGTATCTTGAACTACTATTCTGCGCCAACGCCTAAGAGTAGTACCGGAGATATAGAAACCAATGTCGCAGGGGAGGATTTTGTCTTCTCCATTAGCTGGCTTACTCAATGCGTCGATTATCAGGTGCAAAACGGACTTCAGCCCACCATTTTCGATAAAGACGTCACCTGTGAGTCGTTGATGATGAAGAATATAAAGGAGTGCGGGAGCAGGACATCAAATGGAGGTTATGTCGATGTTGGCTGCCTAAGATTCTCATCTAGAGCCAAGGGGTGGGCTCTGGACGGTGTATAACAAGAACGCTAGGGCAATTTACCAGGTTTCAACGTCCTTATACATAGTAACCTATACAGTTTAAAAACATTGCTACCGCCATCTTGCCTAATGCTCTTGGTGATTAAGAAGAAATATGTGCCGAGCCAAGCTGGACTTGTCTATTTCCAACCAATCAGACGGTCCAACCTAGCGTTCTATTCAAACTAACAACGGAGTCATTAGATCCTTACTTGCTTGATTGTGATTGGGACCCTTGCCGCTCCGGGGCTGCATGAGTCGACTGGTGCAGCGATGACGTATGATCTAACGTAACGTTTGCAACCAGCGTGTCCTCAATAACCGGTATATTAACCAGCTTGCCGGCTGTAGAAAAGAGCTCCAGCTCCGTAAAGAAAATCAGCTCCGTAATACTGTGGAAGCCAACAAGGAAAGATAGGTTTTCGCTAGTGAACTTCGTGGCAAAACATAAAACATACTGCTAAGTGGCAAGCAATGATCGGCTGTTTACAACATCCAATATTGGCTTTAAGCAGCTATATACTGTACTTAAAAGGAGGTTGATACAGTAAAAGGCGTAATGGGTTTCGCGAAATATTTTACTTAACATCTTTAGTAGTGGTGGTGTGGAGCCGTGGCTTACTCGGCTTGGCAGACTACACTTGTCATGACCAGGTACTCATGGGACAACTGCTAACAGAGCCAGAATTGGCCGTTTTCCTCCCACTGGTAATCCGTTTGGGGTCCACCCCAACCAAACGGTGACTTGCACTCATTTGTGCTCTCCTTCTTCGTTCCGGCCGCCTCTTCTTCCGCCTCACAATGACTATTGTAGGATTCGCAAATCGTTCAGCATAGTTGGTTTGTTCGGAGTTACTCTGCAATTGCTTCTGTTTGTCACTATTCCAGCTAAGCTGTCATCGTCTACATAGATCACGCTTAAAGCTAACTCGCTTCTTCCGCTTCGGAACCTTGAAGATGATTCGCTTTTTTGCAACTTCAACGTTTTCCCACTCCTCAAGATTTAAAAGGGAGGATATGGTGTCGGGATGATTGACTCCAAGGCAGCGTTGCTGAAGCCCAAGGCAGTCACGCATCAACTGGATTGCGTCGACCCGCCGGCCCTGGCTTTTCCACGTATGAGCCAAGTTGGCCATGCTCGTTAGTGTGGAGGGATGCTCCTCTCCAAGCACCCTCAAACTCGTCTCCATCACCCGCACCTCTAGCTCCTCGGCCTCCTTCCATCGGCCTTGGTTCCAAAACGTTGATGCTAGGTTGGCCATGCTCGTCAGTGTGGAGGGATGCTCCTCTCCAAGCACCCTCAAACTCGTCTCCATCACCCGCACGTTTAGCTCCTCGGCCTCCTTCCATCGGCCTTGGTTGCTAAACGTCGACGCCAGGTTGGCCATGCTCGTCAGTGTGGAGGGATGCTCCTCTCCAAGCACCCTCTTTCTCGTCTCCATCACCCGCACGTTTAGCTCCTCGGCCTCCTTCCATCGGCCTTGGTTCCTAAACGTTGACGCTAGGTTAGCCATGCTCGTCAGTGTGGAGGGATGCTCCTCTCCAAGCACCCTCAAACTCGTCTCCATCACCCGCACCTCTAGCTCCTCAGCCTCCTTCCATCGGCCTTGGTTCCAAAACGTTGATGCTAGGTTGGCCATGCTCGTCAGTGTGGAGGGATGCTCCTCTCCAAGCACCCTCTTTCTCGTCTCCATCACCCGCACGTTTAGCTCCTCGGCCTCCTTCCATCGGCCTTGGTTGCTAAACGTCGACGCTAGGTTGGCCATGCTCGTCAGTGTGGAGGGATGCTCCTCTCCAAGCACCCTCTTTCTCGTCTCCATCACCCGCACCTCTAGCTCCTCAGCCTCCTTCCATCGGCCTTGGTTCCTAAACGTTGACGCTAGGTTGGCCATGCTCGTCAGTGTGGAGGGATGCTCCTCTCCAAGCACCCTCAAACTCGTCTCCATCACCCGCACAAACAGCTCTTCGGCCTCCTTCCATCGGCCTTGGTTCCAAAACGTTGATGCTAGGTTGGCTATGCTCGTCAGTGTGGAGGGATGCTTATGACCTAGATATTCCTCACGAACTCGTATAGCCTCTTGTATAACAGCCTCAGCCCTGGAATAGTCCCCTAGCATAAGTGAGTACCAACACATATTCGTCAACAGCTTGCTCCACTTTAACTGGTCGCTTTCTTCAGACGGCTTTTCATTCAACAGCGGCTCGATATGGGGCATTAATGTTTGACACTGTTCCCACGTTTCGAACACGCCTGATGGAAAGTGTTGCGAGGCGGACTGAAGGAAGAGTTTCCTCCACCGCTCTGGGCAACCGAGCTCTGAAATCCATTCCTTTGTACAGAACTGTACTAGTGAGTGCATCTCGCAGAACCCAGACACCACACTCAGTGAAACAAGTGAATAGCTTCGGAGCATATCTAAATCGTCCTCAAAATCATGATCGTCGTCAGCTTCGTCATGGTCGTCGTCGTCGTCGTCTTTGTCGTTGTCGTCACTCTCCTTAGGTTTTAATGGGTTGCTGTTATATCTATACAGCATATACTCAGGTATGTTTTGTGCATTGAAATAGCTCATCAGTGACAGAAGGTTAGAAGCTCGGGGTTGCTCCCGTTTGATCTGCTCAAACGTCACTTGCCAAGTTATAATGATAGAGTTAGACACCCCTTTGTATCGCCTGATATCCCCTCTATCACTGCGAAGCAGAGTGCCCTTCCGCTTTTCACTCTTCTGGAACTCCTCTAAATAGGAATGAATAGTCACCCGGGGACTTCGTTTATGGATGTATGCTGCTGCTTGGTTTACAGCGAGCGGGATACGGTTGAGAGTGTGAATCAGACGCAACGCGGCGGCCTCATCGATGTCTTGGTCTAGCTTGTTTTGGAGAAGCAGTAGTGCCTGTTCTTTATCCATTATAGGTACTTCAAGAATCGTCTTGCCGCTGCCTGTCAGCCTCTCTGCGGCGTCCCGGCTGCGCGACGTAAACAGGATCTTGCCGTTATCCGAATGGGGTAGATACGATGCTATCGGCGTCGGTGTGCTGTCATCAATACCGTCTTTTGACAACAGCAGCGTGACGTCATCCACGTTATCGACAATCATAAGCCACGCCCCCGCATCCTCTCTCTGCAGCCAGTCGCGGACCAGCGCCGCGATATTGACGCCAGGATCGTGGCGACGAGGAAGAGCTAGCACATCTGCTATAGAGCGGTAGGACTCTTCGAATGTTGCGTTTGTGCTGCCGCGGACCCAGAAGACGCTAGTTTTGGACGAGGCGGCGTGGACGTGGTAAGCGAATTGGATGGCCATCTGCGATTTGCTATAGCTGCGTTAGCGTAGCCTACTAAATCCACCGAAGGCGACAAACCCAAACCCACCCAGACCCACGAGACCGAAGCGGCTCTCAGGTCCAGCATACTGCCTTTCCATCCATTCCCAGATCTTGGGTCGGCTCACGAAGCCAGGATCAGAAGCAAACGGTACGACGAAATGAGGTTTGCGGGCAATAGATAGATCCTCGGCTTTACCGAGCTTTAGATCCTCTATGCCCTTTTGTACGTCAAACAAAAGAACCCTGGAGAAGTCAGGATATAGCTTTATTCAGCAGCAACCAGTTTGCTCTTACGTATGTTTCGAGTGCATAGTCTCAACTGTGTGATTCAAGCGGTGTATATCTCCCTGAACTGCTAAAACGTTAGATAGCATTACCAGAGTGGCTTTGTGATACTGACTAGTGTTGAGTACGTCAAGGATTGGCTTCTCTGCCTCAACGCTATTTGATGCGATCTGAAGTAAGAGATCCTTCGCATAGGCCGCCGCCATCATGGCTGCGAATCCTTGCCACTCCTTGTTCTTATGCGAGTCGGCGTAGTCGCAAATTCCCCGGACGACTAGACACGGGAAGTGGTTCAATAGGCCTGCGGCCTCCATCTCGAAGCAGAGGACATCCCTTTCCGCCGATAACTTATCCCGGATACGCGCATCCTTCATCAGCTGATTTCCACTAGCAATCAGGCCGTAGTGGATGGCAGGATCATCATCGTCTTCGTCTCGTTTGGGTCGGGCTATTAGGGAGGTAGTATCGTCGCCGCACATAACGTCGCAGTCATCGGATGAATCCGAGGGATGCACAATGTCAGATCTATATAATCTGTCGCTTGCTAAGCCAGGTCGTGTATATTTCTTCCGTTTCTTAATCTTCTGTAAGGCCTCGTCTATGTTATTGGCCAGCTGGTGGCCCTTCATTTCATACAAGCTTCTAAGTGCGGCAAGCGCTGTTCGTAGTACCATCGGCGGTTGGTTTAAAAATCCGGTTTCTTGGAAAGAGAGGTTCTGGATGGTTTTACCAAAGTCATACTGGAAAACGCCGCCTTTCCCGCCGCTTGGGCTACTGACAACGACATCCCCGAGCCGTATATCATGTTTGCGGCTAGGCGCGCCGCCCCCAATACCGACCATCAGCCCGATGCGGACGTTTGGAAAGCTGTGGAGCATGTCTCTGGCCACTGCTGCCGCCGTGGTCGTCCCATATTCGCCATCGGGTAGGGTGGCAACGACAACGTTATGGCTGCCGATCCTGCCCAGAATATAGCTGTTGTTGTCGTTTTGGGCGACCTGTCGCGGGGGTTCATGTTCATCGTCAAGGAAAACTCGGGCGGCGACGGACTCGGGAGTGACGGCGCAGATCCAACCGACTGTATAGGCTTTGGGATCAGACATGGCGGTTGTGCGTTCGAATGAGGATTAGTGGTTTGAGACCGCTCAGAACTCAAAGGTGATTAAGACAGCGAGCAGAAGATGGCGAAATAAGACGACCGGACATGCGCGGGGACGTTCTCCTATATCTGCTAGGCACAAGATCAGGCTGGCGCTTGGCATGTCCGGATGTGCTGATGCCTTACGACATGCAGCTAGCTGTGCCAGATGATTGGCGAAGAGCTCACAGTCACTTGGTGGATGTCTTTGAAACGAATCACGAGAACGAACCAGGGACCTCCTTTAGCATGTGGGCGTACGGTGGTGCAGCGATGACATGTCAGCGCAGGGCATGGCGAGGTTCTTGATTGGTGAGCTATAGGCGAATACACATTGCCATTGGCGAACTAGGCTCACCAGGACATGCATGCGAAAATGTCCTAGATCAGGTCGCATCGTTCTTCAAGATAGTGGGGCAAGGTATATGGGTCCAGGGGCCAGCTTTTGCCCCAGTGCGTTGATGTAGCCCTTGCTTCACTGGGCCGTTCATCCCGTTGATGATCTGACGATCAGATTAAGCTTGTTTTGACAGAATGTGAGGGCGGGCGAAAGGTTTGTTTGTGGTGCTGTGAAAAGCGGTCTTCGTGGCTAAGCTTTGAAAAGCAAGGACATCGGTGGGCGGGTCCATAGAAACTCATGGAACCCTGTGGAAACTTTCTAGAAGGGCCACGCTGTCTCTTGTCGTCGCCACGAAGGTGCGACGATGCAGTCTGACAACGATACCGCTGCCGCCTCAACCAAGCTTGATTCATAAGGCAAACCATCATGGCAGGTCCAAGCTTTGACTGGCCCGACGACGGCTTTACTATCGGTTATGAAACCCCCGAGCTTCCGACCTACTACTTCCCCAGAGACGGATCGGTTGGCGGACAACCAAGTTCAACCGCCGACCGAGCCGACTCCGTTGTCGAACAAGCCGATCAGCCAAGTGGCGATCTTGCATTACCTCTTCTTCGACTAACCGATTGGGACAGCACTAAGCAGTATAACAAGGACAGCCCGGTGTGCATTCATTATGATTTTCGGTGGAAGGTCTCTCAACGTAGCAAGATCCGAGCAAGGCAAGTTTGTTCGGATACGGATCTTGATCTCGTTCTGGCTCCAGGCGATTTTTGGGAGACTACTTTCAGGCCTCGACTTACAGCCCTATTGGAGGATGAGCACAAGTTTCCTGCGGATAAGTATACGTGTGAAGAAGCGATTGTCGACATATCTATCGAGCGAAGCCGTCAGCAGGGCCTGAAGAAACGATTCAAAGGCCTAGAGATCGATTGGAATATCCTACACAGTCATATGGAAGGCCTCGGCGCCTTATTTAGTAAAGAGGAGGAAGATCACTTTTGCTATCGAGATCGTTTATAAGGAAGCCACAGGCGATGCCACGTCGGCAAACGGCAAAAAGAAAGGGCAGAGCGCTACCGAGGCTCAAAAGCTTCAAAGAGCGGCTGATGCCGGTCTTTGGACTCGAGTATATAAGCATCATCGCTGCAGAGGCAAATTCTGCAAGCAAGGACCCCACTGCTGGATTGACGAACGGGGAAACCACCATAGGCTGCTACCGAGGCACCTAGAAGAGATTTTTAATCATATCCAGAGAAATATGAAGGAAGGAGAGAAAGAGGAGGAGGTTAACATCAATATCGAGATCCCATCCAAAATTCTTGGTGACATACTAAATGACAGCCGGAAGCGGAAGGCGGAGGACTCCGTCGATTGTCGTGGCTGCAAAGCTCATGCCTCGTCAAACGGTAGGCTCTATGGTAGCGGCGAGACAAGCTTCAGCAGTGACGCTGGGGAGGTTGAGGGTGATAGGATGGATAGACTTGAGGAATATTGCGACTGGAATCTGCAACAAGTTAAAGACGATAAGTGGAGAGAGGCCCTGCAAGTTGCGAATCAGTTTGCGATGGACCAGTTTCTCGAACTGAATTCAATCTTGAAGCACCCAAAGGTGGCTGCCGATTTGATGGTAAAAGGCGGGGTGAAGCCGGGCATTGCTTTGCAGTTCGTTAGCAACGTTGAAAGGTTTCAGCAGAGATAAAGCCTTGAAGGCCAGAGTTAGGCGCTAGCATCTTATGGCGTCTTTATTAAAGTAATTATATCTATTCTGGTGGTTTTGTGATAGATATCCCCGCGTGACGAAAGTGAGCCTCTGCTACGTCAGCATCGTCGCCAACCACGTCAACGCACCATTCCAGAAACATCTTAAACTCCCTAGAAATAAAGTCCTCATTTTCATGCCATTTTTTCTTAATAAACTTTTTGAGGACTCCAAAGTGTTCCTCAATAGGGTTAAAGTCGGGTGAGTATGGAGACAGAAATTCCACTACCACTCCCGCATCTCGGCATATCTGTATAATCTTCTCCGAATGATGCCATGACGCATTATCCATAACGAGGACGGATTTTGGCTCTGGATATCTGCCACAGTGGTGCAGCAGCTGGGCTATAAAGTCCTCGAATAAGTCACTGTCGGTTGATCCTTGGTATACTCGCCTCAAAACAATGCCATCTTGAGCGTAGGCTGGCAGAATGTGCCATCTTTTCCCGCGACCGAACTTCGTCGTCTCCACTGGAGACGACCCTTTCGGGGACCACCCCTAACGCCGGTATCCCGCTCTCCTGTCGCATCCAGACTCATCGACAAAGACAAGCTGATACGACTGGTACTGCGAGATGCGATGAAGATAATGGTCTCGAAGGTCGTCGTCACGTTGTTGTGCAATACGATGGATCGTCTTTCTCGTCCACCCAATTGACCGCAGGGTCCGACCGATTGATCGCTCCGATATTCTCATCCCAAAACTACGATAGAGGAAGTCTGCCATTTCGCATCGATACATGTATGGCTGTTTGATTAGTCTATCACATAGGGCCTCCTGCATGCGTGTTGTCATGCGGCTGCGACGGCCAGGACGGGCTGGTTTTCGGGTGGGCATGTCAGAATCCGGTCCCTCGCGACGCATCTTCTGAACGGTACGCAGAGAGCATGATGCATTTGAGGCAATGGTCTTGTTTTCGAATCCTTGTGTTAGAAGAGTTTTGATCAGGGAACGCTGTGCGGCATCCAGTTGCGGCGCCATAATGATGGCTGCCACCAGTCGTCTCCAATTAAGAAGAGGGAGAACCACGGGACCAAGGCCAAGGGAGCAAAGATGGGCGCCCTGCCGGTTTTCTTAGGCTGGGTTGCTGACGGCTTACCAGAAAGTCAGTTCTGGCTCTGTTAGCGACCGTCCAGTGGGTACTTGGTCACTACAAGTGTAAGCTGTTATGCCAAGTAAGCAACGGTTCCACACCACCACTACTAAAGATGTTAAGTAAACATTTTGGCGAAACCCATTACGCCTTTTACTGTAAACCACTGCTGTTTTAACCCGCTTCAACTCTCTATCTGTATTTTATGTAATATCGTTATGTACATTGAGACTTCGGAGCAGGGAGCGAAGAATAGCCATAAAAAGATGAAATGAGGATTTGTAACTTTTTTATACAGGAAATACAGATAGCTTAGGGTAATTGTACAATGATCAGATACAAGGAGTAGCATGTGGGCGTTTGTAGACAGAAGTGTAAAACGCAGAAAATAAACTAGAAGGCAGTGTAAGGCATGATAATACAGTACAAACGGCGAACCGCAAGCCTATAAGTATATACTGGCCAAAAGTAGAGTATAGCTTGAAAAGAGGTCGCTCGATGGGATTCTCTCTTATAGGTAATGAATAACATGCAATTTATACGGGTTTAGTGCATACAGTCCTACATCGTATTTGTTACGTCGCGGTCCGTATATTAAGTATGTATCCTATGGCTCACACTGCATTTCGTTCTTCCTACACTGCCAATCTGACTCGTTCCCTCCCCGAACCTACATACCATGCCTTCCATAGATACTGTGACCATTGCCTATGCAATATGTATCGTAAGCCTGCCTGTCGGCCTCACTGTTATTAATCTTCTGGCAAGAACAAGCGGACTAAGGCGGCGGCTAGCCTACCAAGCCGAAAAACAGTTAGTTTATCGTCTACTCGTACATCGGCACTCGCTTTTCGGCCCTTGGAATGCGATCTCACTACTCAGGCCCGCGATCTTGATTAGCATCAACGTTTTTTGTCTAACTTTCCATCAGCCGCCGCTACTCGCACGCTCTGGCCTGTTAACCCTGTTTAACCTTTTGCCTCTGTTTATTGGGCCATACTTGGAATTTGTTGCTGACGTATTGGGACTCTCGTTTTCAACTTTTGTCTCCTGGCACCGCTGGCAGGGGCGTATGACATGCGCCATGCTGATCGTCCACGCACTCAGTGCGGTAGCAGACCAAAAGCCGGTTAGCCTTGACAGTACCAAGGGCATTTTCATCTATATAGTGATTATTCTTCGTGCTTCCCCCATGTTACTAGCAAATAACAAAGCCTTTTAGGGATCACTATCAGTACTCGCTTCGGCCTACTGTTTTATACCGTTTCTTCGCCGCCGTATATACGAGATCTGCCTTCGACTGCACCAAGCACTGGCAGCCCTCGTCGTCGTTGGCGTCTGGCTGCACCTGCTGACGATGCCCAACTGGCCCTGGCTCTGGATATACGTTTTTCTGCTTGTCATAGCACTCCTGTTACTGGTTCAGGTATGCTTAACAACATACCGCAATAAAAAGCTAGGAAGGACGCTATCTCGTGCCTATATTCGACATGTCACCGGCACAATTTTGATCTCTGTCAAACTTTCCAGGCCCGTCAGCGTCGAGGCTGGACAGTACGTCACTTTGTGGATCCCCCGAGTCGGCCTCTTGCAGACTCATCCGTTTGTTGTGAGCTCATGGACAGAGTCGCCACAAGAGATCCTGGAACTGTTTATCAAGCGACGCCGGGGATTGACGTCTAGCCTACTGCGCTACTCGGAGGAAAGACCAACCCCCCACGTCGCTCTCGTTAGCGGACCACATGGCGTCAGCGTTCCGGTGTGGGATTATGAGGCGGTCTTCATGGTAGCAACCGACTATGGCATTGCCGCACAAGCTCCTTATCTGAGGAAATTGGTTCATGGCTACAATAACTGCAAAGGCCGCACACGCCAAATCCATCTTATCTGGCAGGTGTCGAGCCTCGGTAATGAATTTCTTGAACACTTGTTCGGCTTCAGTAGGCTTACAAAAGTCATAGGCATCGTTCATGCGGCCGAGTCGTTTCTCAATCCCATTCTTGACGACGATACACTAGACCAGGGCAATGTATGTGCAGCCGAAAATGGCTTCATTCGTCACCTTCGCATCAGGAACTGACTACGAACCCCCTGACCAGATTCTGGACATCTCCATTTATTACGACATGCAGCAAGGAGGAATGACGATAGAAGACCTTGAAGCAGTTGCGCCTGTTTGTCTCGGGGATGCGTCGCTTGCGGAGAAGCCGATGATGTACACGATGGCTGCACCAACAGTGGAAAAGCTCCTAGCGAAGTATTACTCAGCTGCTGCCGAAGGCAGCCAGGCGATGGAGAGGCCGACAAGGGTTAAGAACTTTGGTGATAGGGCACGGCTTTTCATAGGAAGCCCAGACCTTTCGGAGAGCCTGTACAAGGCATCTCGTATGTTGAGTGACACTGTGAGTGAGTCGTCGACCAGAGAAGGCGACATGCTGCTATTAGGTAGGCAGAAAGATTTTCTTCCACGGTCTCTATATACTAATTTGTATTCTAGTTTCCGCTTCCGCCAATGTTAGAGACCGGCTACATGACATAGTAGCAACCTTTGAGAGCAACTTTCAACAAGCGCCGTCTTCTGTATACAGAAAAGAAAACGATCCGCGATGTGTGGGAACGAGAGTGTGGTTAAGGGAGCTAGATTTCCAGCCAGATATGTAGTCGCTTATACATCCTTCCAGACATTTAAAGTATAAGACATTGCAGTCATATTTTCTATCTTACTGGGCCAAGACTCGAATTGAAGAGAGAATACAGTCCAGCGCTCTGTCTGGTAGCCTTCTCTTGCCAGAATACTCTCTGCCGTTTCGACTGCGTTAGTTAGGTTCATACTCGCATCGGCGACACTGTGAGCTGCTGAGTATGTATAGTAGTCGAACTCCCGCTCTAGGAACCGTAGGAATGGGAATTGGTATGACGACATGTTCGTATTGATACCGACCGATGTAGCTTTGCATCCTTAGAGATTCAGTTTCTATTCGCCGAGTTTTGTCATCGACACCTGCCATTCCAATCCATATTAAATATTAACAGTATTGTTGTCGCAATGGTAGGAATATGTCTTCTTAGTGCATAGTCCTGTGATGGGTTGTCTGCCGACGTTTTAGAATGCACTCAATTTGCGGCATGGAAGTAGCCAATTCACAACTCTTTTATGCCCTAATAAACGCCACTACTTGATTAATTGTGGGGTGCCAGAAAGTGCAATTCCTGCCGTCGGCTATTTATAATGCCGACGTACCAACTAATCGCAGAGGTAATGGGCCGAGGGCACAACGTCGGCTTCTAACCTCCGCCGTTGGACAACCGCAGGTCCGGCCTACAAAATGGCAGCATGTCACAAAGTCCGTAATGAAGGCGAGAGCCTTCTGCGACGAGCGCTCGAAAACGCGCGCCGGTTGTCACAGCAGTTGGCTCTGTCAACCCCCCGTCTCGTCGCACCTCGGAGCCAGCGGCAAACCTTAGAAGCCTTTCCACTCAGCATCACGGATACATGCGTGTGGTCCCGGACACACCCAAATTTGCCCTCTAATGTATTTCCACGCAGAAAAAACGAGAAAGCAATGGACTAATGATTATCTAACCCATTATGATAGTGCGTTTCCAAACAAGCTAGTTACTGGATTGTCTAAGAACTAAACTCGTAATAGGAGCTCTATCTTATCGCACGCGACCAGACTTGCATTGGGATTGGTTAGAACTTATGATGTTGCTTTCTAGGCCACTTTTGTAGGCTTGAGGATACACGTCGTTTACTTGTTATTTTTACTTTCAGCCTTGACTTCTACTAGAAGAGATTTACCATTGGGTGTAAATGACTAGTTGTGATTATCTCATCGAAATTTCTCACACTATCCTAGCGCTACAAATTATAAACTGAGATGGGGCTTAGGGGCGGGGTGTCTGAATCGTCGTATTCAAAAAGAGCTTCCTCTGATCGAATTCTGGTCTCTGGATCATTAGGGTCCAGACTCTTGTCTGTATCATCGACCGTAACGCTGCATGCTAGCCTCGTCGTTTCTTCCTCACATTTTTTATGGGGATCATGTTTCTGAATCCTAGACTCAGGATCGTCGTCTGCTCTATCCTCTATTTCCGATGCATCTTTAACCGCGCTGGTTTCCGAAGTAGTGCAGCCGATAAGTGCGGATAACTGTCCGTCCGCTTGCTCTTGGGGTTGGCTTGCGAGGCGGACCCTCTCTGCTGAAATCCCCAAAGAATTCAAGGCCTGATCCAACACTTGTCTGCTGACGACAACTGGGAAGCCGTCCATGACACTGGACTGGGAATGACTTGTGTTGTGGCTGACAAACTCTTTTAGCTGGTCCGAGATACCTTCCGTTGGCTTCTCTAGCCCTGAGATGTAGACTATTTTTATAGTCACAGAAGTGACCCCGCGAATATGGCAGGCCATAACGATATAGGATGTCTTTGGCGAGTTGATACAATATTCTACTCTTGTCTAGAGTGTGTATGTACTGTATGTACTGTGAGTTGTAGATGCTGAGGGGAGAAAGTTCGCTGGCATGGTAATAAAGAAGGCGGTAATGTGGCAAAGCTAAGTGCTAGATACTAATATACCGCGTTTGCCGTTATAATACCTTGTTCGCCAGCTCTACTTCCAGCGGCGCTGGTTTACTAGTTGGAAGTCGATCCTGGCTTGGAGCCGGAAGACGCTTAGAAGACGAACTCTACACGCCATAATATATTCGAGCGACGGAATTGGCACTAGAGAGTGAGCAATGCTATTTATACCCGCAAATAACGTCACGGTACAGTAAAAGGCGTAATGGGTTTCGCCAAAATATTCAACTTAACATCTTTAGTAGTGGTGGTGTGGAGCCGTGGCTTACTCGGCTTGGCAGACTACACTTGTCATGACCAGGTACTCATGGGACAACTGCTAACAGAGCCAGAATTGGCCGTTTTCCTCCCACTGGTAATCCGTTTGGGGTCCACCCCAACCAAACGGTGACTTGCACTCATTTGTGCTCTCCTTCTTTGTTTCGGCCGCCTCTTCTTCCGCCTCACAATTATTATTGTGGGATTCGCAAATCGTTCAGCATAGTTGGTTTGTTCAGAGTTCCTCTGCAATTGCTTCTGTTTGTCACTATTCCAGCTAAGCTGTCATCGTCTACATAGATCATGCTTAAAGCTAACTCGCTTCTTCCGCTTCGGAACCTTGAAGATGATTCGCTTTTTTTGCAACCTCAACGTTTTCCCACTCCTCAAGATTTGAAAGGGAGGATATGGTGTCGGGATGATTGACTCCAAGGCAGCGTTGCTGAAGCCCAAGGCAGTCACGCATCAACTGGATTGCGTCGACCCGCCGGCCCTGGCTTTTCCACGTATGAGCCAGGTTGGCCATGCTCGTCAGTGTGGAGGGATGCTCCTCTCCAAGCACCCTCTTTCTCGTCTCCATCACCCGCACCTCTAGCTCCTCGGCCTCCTTCCATCGGCCTTGGTTCCAAAACGTTGATGCTAGGTTGGCCATGCTCATCAGTGTGTCGGGATGCTCCTCTCCAAGCACCCTCTTTCTCGTCTCCATCACCCGCACCTCTAGCTCCTCAGCCTCCTTCCATCGGCCTTGGTTCCTAAACGTCGACGCCAGGTTGGCCATGCTCGTTAGTGTGTCGGGATGCTCCTCTCCAAGCACCCTCAAACTCATCTCTATTACCCGCATATCTAGCTCCTCAGCCTCCTTCCATCGGCCTTGGTTCCAAAACGTTGACGCTAGGTTGGCTATGCTTATTAGTATGTCGGGATGCTCCTCTCTAAGCACCCTCTTTCTCGTCTCCATCACCCGCACGTTTAGCTCCTCGGCCTCCTTCCATCGGCCTTGGTTCATATATGTTAACGCTAGGTTAGCCATGCTCATCAGTGTGTTGGGATGCTCCTCTCCAAGCACCCTCAAACTCGTCTCCATCACCCGCACGAACAGCTCCTCGGCCTCCTTCCATCGGCCTTGGTTCCAAAACGTCGACGCCAGATTAGCCATGCTCGTCAGTATGTTAGGATGCTCCTCTCTAAGCACCCTCTTTCTCGTCTCCATCACCCGCACGTTTAGCTCCTCGGCCTCCTTCCATCGGCCTTGGTTCATATATGTTAACGCTAGGTTAGCCATGCTCATCAGTGTGTTGGGATGCTCCTCTCCAAGCACCCTCAAACTCGTCTCCATCACCCGCACAAACAGCTCTTCGGCCTCCTTCCATCGGCCTTGGTTCCAAAACGTCGACGCTAGGTTGGCTATGCTCGTTAGTGTGTCGGGATGCTCCTCTCCAAGCACCCTCTTTCTCGTCTCCATCACCCGCACCTCCAGCTCCTCAGCCTCCTTCCATCGGCCTTGGTTCCAAAACGTCGACGCTAGGTTGGCTATGCTCGTTAGTGTGTCGGGATGCTCCTCTCCAAGCACCCTCAAACTCGTCTCCATCACCCGCACAAACATCTCCTCGGCCTCCTTCCATCGGCCTTGGTTCCTGTACGTCAACGCCAGGTTGGCCATGCTTTTTAGTGTGTCGGGATGCTCCTCTCCAAGCACCCTCAAACTCGTCTCCATCACCCGCACAAACAGCTCCTCGGCCTCCTTCCATCGGCCTTGGTTCCTATACGTCGACGCCAGGTTGGCCATGCTCGTCAGTGTGTCGGGATGCTCCTCTCCAAGCACCCTCAAACTCGTCTCCATCACCCGCACCTCCAGCTCCTCAGCCTCCTTCCATCGGCCTTGGTTCCAAAACGTCGACGCTAGGTTGGCTATGCTCGTTAGTGTGTCGGGATGCTTCTCTCCAAGCACCCTCAAACTCGTCTCCATCACCCGCACCTCCAGCTCCTCAGCCTCCTTCCATCGGCCTTGGTTCCTAAACGTCGACGCTAGGTTGCCCATGCTTTTTAGTGTGTCGGGATGCTCCTCTCCAAGCACCCTCTTGAACGTCTCCATCACCCGCACAAACAGCTCCTCGGCCTCCTTCCATCGGCCTTGGTTCCAAAACGTCGACGCCAGGTTGGCCATGCTCGTCAGTGTGGAGGGATGCTCATGACCTAGATATTCCTCACGAACTCGTACAGCCTCTTGTATAACAGCCTCAGCCCTCGAATAGTCCCCTAGCATAAGTGAGTACCAACACACATTCGTCAGCAGCTTGCTCCACTTTAACTGGTCGCTTTCTTCAGACGGCTTTTCATTCAACAGCGGCTGGACATGGGGCATCAATGTTTGACACTGTTCCCACGTTTCAAATACACCTGATGGGAAGTGTTGCGATGCCGACTGGAGGAAGAGTTTCTTCCATCGCGCTGGGCAACCGAGTTCGGAAATCCATTCCTTTGTACAAAACTGTACTAGTGAGTGCATCTCGCAGAACCCAGGCACCATACTCAGTGAAATAAGCGAATAGCTTCGGAGCATATCCAAATCGTTCTCAAAATCATGGTCGTCGTTAGCTTCATCGTCGTCGTCGTCGTCTTCGTCGTTGTCACTCTCCTTAGGTTTTAATGGGTTGCTGTTATATCTATACAGCATATACTCAGGTATGTTTTGTGCATTGAAATAGCTCATCAGTGACAGAAGGTTAGAAGCTCCTGGTTGCTCCCGTTTGATCTGTTCAAATGTCACTTGCCACGTTATAATGACAGAGTTAGATACCCCTTCATATCGCCTGATATCCCCTCTATCACTGCGAAGTAGAGTGCCCTTCCGCTTTTCACTCTTCTGGAACTCGTCCAAATAGGAATGAAATGTTACCCGAGGACTTCGTTTATGGATGTATGCTGCTGCTTGGCTTATAGCGAGCGGGATATAGTCGAGAGTATGAATCAGACTCAACGCGGCGGCCTCATCGATGTCTTGGCCTATCTTGTTTTGGAGAAGCAATAGTGCCTGTTCTTTATCCATTACAGGCACTTCAAGAATCGTCTTGCCGGTGCCTGTCAGCCTCTCTGCGGCGTCCCGGCTGCGCGACGTAAAGAGGATCTTGCCATTATCCGAATTGGGTAGGTACGATGCTATCGGCGTCGGTGTGCTGTCGTCAACACCGTCTTTTGATAACAGCAGCGTGACGTCATCCACATTATCGACAATCATAAGCCACGCCCCCGCATCGTCTCTCTGCAGCCAGTCGCGGACCAGCGCTGCGACATTGGCGCCAGGATCGTGGCGACGAGGAAGAGCTAGCACATCTGCTATAGAGCGGTAGGACTCTTCGAATGTTGCGTTTGTGCTGCCGCGGACCCAGAAGACGCTAGTTTCGGACGAGGCGGCTTGGACGTGGTAAGCGAATTGGATGGCCATCTGCGATTTGCTGTAGCTGCGTTAGCGTAGGCTACTAAATCCACCGAAGGCGACAAACCCAAACCCACCCAGACCCACGAGACCGAAGCGGCTCTCAGGCCCAGCATACTGCCTTTCCATCCATTCCCAGATCTTGGGTCGGCTCACGAAGCCAGGATCGGAAGCAAACGGTACGACGAAATGAGGTTTGCGGGCAATAGATAGATCCTCGGCTTTACCGAGCTTTAGATCCTCTATGCCCTTTTGTACGTCAAACAAAAGAACCCTGGAGAAGTCAGGATATAGCTTTATTCAGCAGCAACCAGTATGCTCTTACGTATGTTTCGAGTGCATGGTCTCAACCGTCTGATTCAAGCGGTGTATATCTCCCTGAACTGCCAAAACGTTAGATAGCATTACTGAAGTGGCTTTGTGATACTGACTAGTGTTGAGTACGTCAAGGATTGGCTTCTCTGCCTCAACGCTATTTGGTGGGATCTGAAGTAAGAGATCCTTCGCATAGGCCGCCGCCATCATGGCCGCGAATCCTCGCCATTCCTTATTCTTATGCGAGTCGGCGTAGTCGCAGATTCCCCGGATGACTAGACACGGGAAGTGGTTTAATAGGCCTGCAGCCTCCATCTCGAAGCAGAGGACATCCCTTTCCGCCGCTAACTTATCCCGGATACGCGCATCCTTCATCAGCTGATTTCCACTAGCAATCAGGCCGTAGTGGATGGCAGGATCGTCGGCCTCTTCGTCTCGTTTGGGTCGGGCTATTAGGGAGGTAGTATCGTCGCCGCATACGTCGCAGTCATCGGATGAATCCGAGGGATGCACAATGTCAGATCTATGTAATCTGTCGCTTGTTAAGCCAGGCCGTGTATATTTCTTCCGCTTCTTGATCTTCTGTAAGGCCTCGTCTATGTTATTGGCCAGCTGGTGGCCCTTCATTTCATACGAGCTTCTAAGTGCGGCAAGCGCTGTTCGTAGCACCATCGGCGGTTGGTTCAAAAATCCAGTTTCTTGGAAAGAGAGGTTCTGGATAGTTTTACCAAAGTCATACTGGAAAACGCCGCCTTTCCCGCCGCTTGGGCTACTGACAACAACATCCCCGAGCCGTATATCATGTTTGCGGCTAGGCGCGCCGCCCCCAATACCGACCATCAGCCCGATGCGGACGTTTGGAAAGCTGTGGAGCATGTCTCTGGCCACTGCTGCCGCCGTGGTCGTCCCATATTCGCCATCGGGTAGGGTGGCAACGACAACGTTATGGCTGCCGATCCTGCCCAGAATATAGCTGTTGTTGTCGTTTTGGGCGACCTGTCGCGGGGGTTCATGTTCATCGTCAAGGAAAACTCGGGCGGCGACGGACTCGGGAGTGACGGCGCAGATCCAACCGACTGTATAGGTTTGGGGATTAGACATGGCGGTTATGCGTTCGAATGAGGATTAGGGGTCTGCGACGGCTGATAACTCGAAGGGTGATTGAGACAGCGAACAGAAGACGGCGAAATAAGACGACCGGATATGCGCGGGGACGTTCTCCTATATCTGCTAGGCACAAGATCAGGCTGGCGCTTGGCATGCCCGGATGTGATGATGCCTTACGGCATGCAGCTAGCTATGCCAGATGATTGGCGAAGAGCTCACAGTCACTTGGTAGATGTCTCTGAAACGAATCACGAGAACGAACCAGGGACCTCCTTTAGCACGTGGGCGTACGCCGGTGCAGCGATGATATGTCGGCGCAGGGAATGGCGAGGTTCTTGATTGGTGAGCTACAGGCGAATACATATTGGCATTGGCGAACTAGGCTCACCAGGACATGCGTGCGGAAATGTCCTAGATCAGGTCGCATCGTTCTTCAAGATAGTGGGGCAAGGTATATGGGTCCAGGGGCCAGCTTTTGCCCCAGTGCGTTGATGTAGCCCCTGCTTCACTAGGGCCGTTCATCCCGTTGATGATCTGACGATCAGATTAAGCTTGTTTTGACAGAATGTGAGGGCGGGCGAACAGTTTGTTTGTGGTGCTGCGAAAAGCGGTCTTGGTGGCTAAGCTCTGAAAAGCAAGGACATGGGTGGGTGGGTCCATAGAAACTCATGGAACCCTGTGGAAACTTTCTAGAAGGGCCACGCTGTCTCTTGTCGTCGCACGAAGGTGCGACGATGCAGTCTGACAACGATGCCGCTGCCGCCTCAACCCAGCTTGATTCATAAGGCACACCATCATGGCAGGTCCAAGCTTTGACTGGCCCGACGACGGCTTTACTATCGGTTATGAAATCCCCGAGCTTCCGACCTACGACTTCCCTACAGACGGACCGATTGGCGGACAACCAAGTTCAATCGCCGACCGAGCCGGCTCCGTTGTCGAACAAGCCGATCAGCCAAGTGGCAATCTTGCATTACCTCTTCTTCGACTAACCGATTGGGACAGCACTAAGCAGTATGACAAGGACAACCCGGTGTGCATTCATTATGATTTTCGGTGGAAGGTCTCTCAACGTAGCAAGATCCGAGCAAGGCAAGTTTGTTCGGATACGGATCTTGATCTCGTTCTGGCTCCAGGCGATTTTTGGGAGACTACTTTCAGGCCTCGACTTACAGCCCTATTGGAGGATAAGGATAGGTTTCCTGCAGATCAGTATACGTGTGAAGAAACGATTATCGACATATCTATCGAGCGAAGCCGTCAGCGCGGTCTGAAGAAACGGTTCAAAGGCCAAGAGATCGATTGGGATACCCTTGATAGCCATATAGAAGGCCTCGGCGCCTTATTTAGTAAGAGGAGGAAGATAACTTTTGGCATCGAGATCGTTTATAAGGAGGCCGTAGACGATGCCACATCAGCAAAAGGCAGAAAGAAAGGGCAGAACGCTACTGAGGCTCAAAAGCTCCAGAGAGCCGCCGATGCCGGTCTTTGGACTCGAGTCTATAAGCATCATCGCTGCAGAGGCAAATTCTGCAAGCAAGGACCCCACTGCTGGATTGACGAACGGGGAAACCACCATAGGCTGCTACCGAGGCACCTAGAAGAGATTTTTAATCATATCCAGAGAAATATGAAGGAAGGAGAGAAAGAGGAGGAGGTTAACATCAACATCGAGATCCCATCCAAAATTCTTGGTGACATACTAAATGACAGCCGGAAGCGGAAGGCAGAGGACTCCGTCGATTGTCGCGGCTGCAAAGCTCATGCCTTGTCAAACGATAGGCTCTATGGTAGCGGCGAGACAAGCTTTAGCAGCGAAGCTGGGGAGGTTGAGGGTGATAGGATGGATAGACTTGAGGAATATTGCGACTGGAATCTGCAACAAGTTAAAGACGATAAGTGGAGAGAGGCCCTGCAAGTTGCGAATCAGTTTGCGATGGATCAGTTTCTCGAACTGAATTCAATCCTGAAGCACCCAAAGGTGGCTGCCGATTTGATGGTGAAAGGCGGGGTGAAGCCGGGCATTGCTTTGCAGTTCGTTAGCAACGTTAAAAGGTTTCAGCAGAGATAAAGCCTTGAAGGCCAGAGTTAGGCGCTAGCATCTTATGGCGTCTTTATTAAAGTAATTGCATTTATTCTGGTGGTTTTGTGATAGATATCCCCGCGTGACGAAAGTGAGCCTCTGCTACGTCAGCATCGTCGCCAACCACGTCAACGCACCATTCTAGAAACATCTTAAACTCCCTAGAAATAAAGTCCTCATTTTCATGCCATTTTTTCTTAATAAACTTTTTGAGGACTCCAAAGTGTTCCTCAATAGGGTTGAAGTCGGGTGAGTATGGAGACAGAAATTCCACTACCACTCCCGCATCTCGGCATATCTGTATAATCTTCTCCGAATGATGCCATGAAGCATTATCCATAACGAGGACGGATTTTGGCTCTGGATATCTGCCACAGTGATGCAGCAGCTGGGCTATAAAGTCCTCGAATAAGTCACTGTCGGTTGATCCTTGGTATACTCGCCTCAAAACAATGCCATCTTGAGCGTAGGCTGGCAGAATGTGCCATCTTTTCCCGCGACCGAACTTCGTGGTCTCCACTGGAGACGACCCTTTCGGGGACCACCCCCAACGCCGGTATCCCGCTCTCCTGTCACATCCAGACTCATCGACAAAGACAAGCTGATAAGACTGGTACTGCGAGATACGATGAAGGTAGTGGTCTCGAAGGTCGTCATCCCGTTGTTGTGCGATGCGGCGGATCGTCTTTCTCGTCCACCCAATTGACCGCAGGGTCCGGCCAATTGATCGCTCCGATATTCTCATCTCAAAACTACGATATAGGAAGTCTGCCATTTCGCATCGATACATGTATGGCTCTTTGATTAGTCTATCACACAGGGCCTTCTGCATGCGTGTTGTCATGCGGCTGCGACGGCCAGGACGGGCTGGTTTTCGGGTGGGCATGTCAGAATCCGGTCTCTCGCGACGCATCTTCTGAACGGTACGCAGAGAGCATGATGCATTTGAGGCAATGATCTTGTTTTCGAATCCTTGCGTTAGTAGAGTTTTGATCAGGGAACGCTGTGCGGCATCCAGTTGCGGCGCCATAATGGCACCAGTCGTCTCCAATTAAGAAGAGGGAGAACCACGGGACCAAGGCCAAGGGAGCAAAGATGGGCGCCCTGGGGGTTTTCTTAGGCTGGGTCCCTGGCGGCTTACCAGTAAGTCAGTTCTGGCTCTGTTAGTGACCGTCCAGTGGATACTTGGTCACGACAAGTGTAAGCAGTTATGCCAAGTAAGCAACGGCTCCACACCACCACTCCTAAAGATGTTAAGTAAATTATTTGGCGAAACCCATTACGCCTTTTACAGTATGCCTAGACACTTACTCATTGTTCAAGATATACATCCATCCCCTGTCTATTCGTTCAAACATACCTACGCCAGCTTGTTGATAACTCCCTCTAATTTGTCTCCGCCTTACTGTACTGTACCGGACTACATATATCCATCAATGGTTTTGAACATGGGAAACGACTCGCCTTCACTTGTGGATGAGCCCACTATAAGCGCTGGCTCTACTTTGTCTACTTGCTTTCAACCTACTCAGCTGGAGGGGCACATACGAGTTCCGGAGACGCCCAGTGGCGATGAAGAATGTTTACAGGGCCCATGCCGCTGTTTTGACTGTACTCTGGCCTTGTCACTACCTTCTACAGCTTTTGTGTCGGGAGGCATGGTTGACTCGGCTGTGAGCAGCCCTTTTGCAGGGTACTTCCCACAGCACTACAACATGGGCTTCATCGAGCTGTCAACCAACTCGTCCGACATGGACAGTCTGCCCAAATCCATAGAAGATATGGTGCCTATCAAGTATCTACATCGCCCGCAATGTACTACAGTACTTCCAACGCTAACAATAAAGTTTAGTAGTTCACAGGGAACAACGGAGATGATCGAAGCGATCGAAGCGATTGAAACGACCGACACCGCTTCGACTATAATCCCTTCAAGTATCTTGGCTGATGACAGCAAGCCCGTTAAGCGTCGCCGGACCAAACCCACACCAAAGGCAAAATCTTTTTGCCGTAACTGTGTTTGTAGTAGCTGTCTGTCAGAAAGTGCTGCCCTGATCGCCAAGAGTAAGAGAAGAACGGTTCGGAACAAGTCTGAGGTTTAAACAATGTGTATATACACAATCTATAGAAAGTTGCAAAATATCTTGAATTCGTCCGTATTATGTCCCTAAAATCAAAATAAGTATTGTGATGAACAGCACATAGCAACAAAGCTACAGAGTGTAAAAGAATTGGTTGACTTGGAAAAGTATGGAATGCGCAGAAAGACATCGACTCATATGTCTTTGGCATGCATTGCAAAGGAATTATGTAAAAACAACACGCTCGTTCCTTTATGAAGCACACGGTACGGTAGACATAGAGGTTATCTCCCAGTCGTACTATAATTCTTTTATGTAGATGACTCAATTCGAAAGACTACGGGCTGTAGATGATTTATGATTGTTCTACTGAAGTCTTTACGTGCCGCTAAAACCATCAAGACTACGCACCCGTGACTCCATTCTTCTATTTCCCTTGTCCACATAAATTGCCTAATCCCTTCCCCCCCTTAGAACGACAGTTATCTTATACGTTTGTAGCCAAGGGTAATGTGAAGGTAGAAGTTGACGTCGACGTCATTGTTACTATCACAATTGACGGCTTATATGTGTTGGTGTGACTGATGTCGGATGTCTCCAAGGCTTTAGTAGCACGCGAAGATCCAATTGTTGACGCCCTTTCTAAACCATTGCCGCATGTCAGGCCATTACTTGGAGCTGTTGAGGCTACAGGCGTTCCGAATGAACACACGCACGTGGCAGGATATGTTCCTATCTCATGACAAATGGTTCCGGTAGCAAACAATGCCACGAGTAAGCTGTAGAAATAAGCCATGCTTCTAATAATGTAGTCACTGATATGGTCAGATGAGTAGCTTCGAAGCTTGTCTACTTGAAGGTGATTGGGGTACAAGCGGGCAATTTATGGCTTCCCAAGATCGCCAAGATTAGCTCTACAGAAGTTGACGGAAATGACTCCGAAGACTGTTGCTAGATATCCGAGCCTCGCACAGTATAAGTAGTTTCCGAAAGTAAAATGTAATTCTGTAATGATTGTACTGTGTAGTACATACAGTACTGTACTGTAGCACCAACGGAAACCAAAGCTTGTTAAGAAAAATGACTCCGGTTGAAATTAGTCTCCTCGGAGGCATCGGCGGCACGATATGCATAGCACTCATCCTGCTATGGAAGGTACACAGAATCAAGAAATCCCAGCAAAACCATACTTTCCGTCATGGATCCTTTGTGAGATATACCAAAAAGTAAAGATTTGGTAGTGGCCTACATGACGCTAATAAGATGGCCTTCAGGACCCCTGATACAATTATGATCATAAGTCATTAAGATGCCGGCTCAATTCAAGGATGGATGTCTACAAATATATTTGCATCATCTTCTGCTCACTCGCACTGTCATTCAGCATGTTGGTCCCATATCTCCACTGAATTAGGCTTAGGTTTATACAAGGTATGGCTGAGGACCTAACGAGTGTAAAGTGGAATTTAGAATGATTCAATATATGATTTATGTTGAGCACATCAAGTACAAGCCTTTTATGGTGCTTACGCTGGCCCATAGTACGCCTCACATTACTCCCTTCAAGATGGTACTACACAGCAAGTATAACAGTGAGCCTTATGCTGGGACCGGCAGAAAGTTGACGTAGACACCTTTAAAGTAGATGTCTGTTCTGCGCACACTCATCAGGAACCGCTCCCAACACGAACCATTCGCCAGGCGCAGAGACACGATGCATCTGGAATTCCGCCGGGTGACCAAAGCTTTCCATCATGCGAAGCATTTCTGCGCGTGAGACACAAAAAAAACCTTTGTGTTCCGTGGAAGCCGCACATGCGCTATTAGAACTGATTCTGGCTTTCGAGAACCAACATGAGGAACATATGTTTGATTACGTCGTCTTTGTTGCTCGCGTTCCGCAGCTTTCAAGCTGTTACTGTATAAAAAGATATGAACTGTGTAGATTTTTTACTTCCCCAATCTAGATGCTGACGCATTGCAGAGGGTGTTATGACATGGCAGGCAAGCATTAGATAGATATCGGGATCCATTCAACAGTAATGAAGGTTGAAATGACCGGGTAACGCCGTTTGTGCCTGAAAGCTTGGTCCCGAATCGTTCACGATTCTGGCTTGCGAGACCTCATTCCCTTAGATACTATACAATAGTGTGTATAGGATACATGTGTGTGTGTGTGTGTGTGTGTGTGTGTGTGTGTGTGTGTGTTTAGAGCCATTTCCTGCTGCAACAGCTAGGACAATAAGCTATATCATTCAGAAAGAACTGAATTTCGGGGGATGTTTAATACACTTTTGACCTTAGCCTGAGAATGTTTATACCCAAATTATTTAATTCCCCAATAAGAAATAGCTTGCCCGCTAGTTACGCACCCCTACTACCATGCCGAGCATCCCTTTGGAAGTTGCGTGGCATATCTACAGCCAGTGCGATCTTCACACACAGTCAGTCTTCCCATGCTGTTCTCGCGCCTGGCACACGTTTTTCAATCCAATTCTTTATCGGGATAACGTCAGACACCATGGTTCCTCGTCTGTGTTCAAGGCAATAGCGAAATGCAAGGATGAAACCATTACCCTCGCAACTCTCAGAGCTGCGCATAAGGGAGGGGCAAGCTTTAACATATCCACACCAATGGTCCTGCCGGAACTGTGCAGCAACACCTTCTTCTCTGTTACTCCCTTGTATCTGGCTGCGTCCCTGGGTCGAGGGCAGATCGTTACTTTCCTCCTTGATCACGGCGCCGATATTGACGGCGTTTTAGACTACCAACTCAGGACTCCGCTATTCATATCACTAATCAATAAGGATGCGGCAACTTCGATGATCCTCTTGCGTCGCGGGGCTTGTCTTGAGTCAAGTAGTTTCGGCATCAACGCGCTGCATCAAGCTGCCGCCGCTGGGCTCAAAGACGTTGTAACCTATCTCGTAGACGAGAGGGGTCTCGACATTGACGAAGGTGATAGCAACGGCGACACTCCCCTGATTCACTCCTTGCTCTCTCCCACTCCGGACGACATCATTCTGCATCTTAAGAATCACAACGTAGACATTAACAAGCCGACCAGCATAGACATGTGGCACGTGACGCCCCTCAGCATGGCGTGTGAGGAGGGCATGTTTGCGGTTGCCCGCAGCCTCTTGGAAGCTGGAGCAGATGCCACAGGGAGCGGGGACACTTTGGTCGACGGCGCGGATCCATATTTCGGCCTCTTCGTACAGTTTCCGCTCGAGCTAGCTCTACTCGCGACAACTGAGCGGGCAGAAGGCAGGACATTAGCCCAAAAAAGGCGTCTTCTTGAGCAACTACTAAAGTCGGGTGCGGACCCAAACGTGATGGTCTGCATATCTGAACGTTCTAACTGGACTGGGCCGTTGCTACTGAAGCTGATCCGTATGAAGCGAAGATGGGAGGCTGAGTTTCTGCTGTCGACAGGACTCGTGGATATCGACAAATGCGACTCGAGAGGGGTCACAAGCCTCACCTGGGCGCTTTCGACCTCCCACGGTGATTCTCGCATGGCGTCTGCCTTGCTGCGGCGGGGTGCGAGGCCGGATCCGGCGGCTTTGCGGAGGGTGATTACGAAAGTTGGACTTTTAAGCCAAGCCACCAATTACTGGGGACTGGTAACTATCCTGACCAGAGAGCCCAAACTTCTGACGGTTTTCCAAATTCTATATGGCTATTGCTTCCATACGTCGCTAAGGGGCAGAAACCCTACTGCATCATCGTTTCTGCGGGAGTCACCAAGGCCAGTCATTCGCCTCATCACGGAGATGCTTAAGAAGAACGTTACCCTATCCAGGGCGGGGCTTTTGAAGGTGCTATCGTTACAACCAGAACGGGATTTAGGCGGAGGACCAATCATCGCTGGGCTATTTGCCTAGAAATAGATGTTGCTTTTTTTCACAAAAGTAAGACAACGAAAGAGAGACGACCGAACAAATCTTTAAGAACATGGAATCCAAATACAATGGCTATAACTTGCTATTATCGAAAGTTTTGTTGGATTAGTCGCCTGGTGTGTAGGCTAATCCTGCCACGCGGAATGAAGTTCTAGGGGCAACCACGGCGACGCAAGTCGATCTTGTATAATGGTAGTAGATTTAACGATGCTTAATAAAATGATCTCCGAGATTATCCACCCAGATGTCAATTTCAAACCTTCTGTGTACCTACTCATGAAAGTCAACCAATCACAAGATGTCCTGTAGGGTTCAGCCAACTTTTGATATCAAGCCGTCGCTGAAATACAATCTGCCAGGCTCAGGCGTGAAAGGTTTGCGGATCTTAGCAAGGCGTTGCCATCGGCCTCGGCGACTAATGCCTGGATTCGCACACCGTACTCCAACGCATAAGAAGAGTCAAAACGCCGCTTCACTTCGTTCTAGTTCCCCTCTTTCCTTCATCAGCATATGCTCAAGCCCTTACAATGATGAACTACGTAGACCTAACCGAAGAGGATGAGAGTATGTCTTACGTCTGTTCTTGGTGTTATACACCGCTTCAAGAGCAAGTCCTACTTCCGGATTGTTCATGTGTCAGTCTCAAGAAACGTCGTCAGCAGCATAGACTAATTTTCAGAGCAGGTTATTTGCGTCAACTGCTGTAAAAACTTTCAAGCTTATAACAACACCAAAGAGGTGGTTTGCTCCAAGTTCAGCCATTGGAAGCGTTCCAAGGCCCAGAACAGCCGAAAGATTTACGATCTCGACTGCGCCATTTGCCAAGATGCTAGCTTGCACAAAAAGCTCATAGCCGGGTCCTGCGGTACGCCTTCTATTCATTTTCGATAGAAAGTAGTGGCTAATTCAACTTTCAGGTCATGTATTTCATAGAGACTGTATGCGAGCGCCAAGGGAGTGCCCCTATCGTTGTGAGAAAGGGAAGTGGTACCGCGCATCGCCAACTAGGCTGCTAGGGAAGCACGGCAAGCTGTCGACTGGGGAAAGTATTTCGACAAGTGATTATCACCGGCGGAAGAAGATGAGACAACGGGTGAAGCAGCCTATCAAACACCCCAAATCAAATCTTTAAGTTATTCAAATCATGTACTGTACTACCATCAGTCAAAGGCAAGACAAAGGCATGCTACGGTCGTGACGACAGTGCCGTTAGACGTAGCTATATGACGGAGAGCAGGTGATAATGAAGACGAATCAATCATTACCGAAGCGTTTGCTTTGTACCATATTTCGTCGCCCTGCCCGAATCTGGATATGTGCTAGCTTTGTCATACGCCCGTAGAAGATCAATTTTTAATACGATAAAGTAGAGGTTATAACTATGCTTATTAATTAAAGCAAACATGTTGTATGGTGTAGCATCACGATGTTCTATACTGTATAGGATCGATTTTTCTTCCTTTTGTTATAAGTGTTTTTCCGACTTTAAATACTGTATTGCTACCATCGCCTATTTTTGCTCTCAGTAGGATATAAATATTGTTATAGTAGTAATAAGGACTTAAAAACCCACTTCATGCTTATCTATGAACGCCGGACACAATCATATCGCAACGGAGTTCTACGAGTCATGCCTCCAAAGGCGAGTAATATCGAGCGGCAAGCGTGGTGTGCTAAATGCAGAAACCTACTTGCCGAACACATCAGTAAGAGCCGTTCTCCCGTTGCTACCTATGGAGGGCTAAGCGCATGTAGAAACACAGACGGGAGCTGTTGTTGAACCGTCCCAAGTTCGTCTCAAGACGAAAGAATGCGACGAGTATGCATGGAGCTATCGCCCTTCCATTGCTCCATTATTCGACAAGAACCTGAGCGCGCATTCGGTGGGTGGATATAAGCAGCTCTGTGCAGGAATCGGGAGGTTGTTCGAGGCGGTCCCCGCAGCCAATAGAAACGTCGAGGATAATAGTCTGGTGGTAAGCCGATTTATCTATTCGGTGTCCTGTCGAGCGGCTTCTAACAGACAGGTAGCGGGCAGAGACCCACTCGAGTCTGCTTTTACAGACACAGGAACTTCAAGAGGAGAGAGACGCACTGAAAAGGAAGCTTACGGAAACTGAAGAGCTTGTGGGGCAGGAGCGATATCGGAGGGCGGGAACGGAAGCAAGCCTTGCAGCTTCTAATGCGCGGCGCGAAACCCTTGAACAGCAGCTGCAGCAATTTAAAGAGCAGATAGAGTTACTCAAGGCCATGAACTCGAAGCATAATCTTGGATTCACTCAAATACTCGACATCGCAAAGAATAGGTTAGAGGCAAGCATATTGCGAGGATAAAAATACATAAGCATGTAGATAGAAATAAGTACATAAGCTTACGAGAAAGGCGTCGTTCTATACATGCTCCCATACAATAAATCCGCTATTTTGGACATCATTGACATCTCTGATAGACGTATCCGCCTCGGCCAAAAGTTTTGGGAGCAGCACAATCGACAATCAATCAGAACGATAAGGATAACAAAAGGAGATTGTCGGCTTCCATTTAGCCTCATGAATGGCACAGACATGGTCTGCTTGGGGCTGATAATGCCTGCTCTGCCAGAACGCCGTTGATGGTCTTTTCAGCCATCAGGAAACACTTCCTTTTCCGGAATTCAAGTAGCGACACAGCGGTTAGAAATAATCATTCTCGCCATTTCTACCACAGCTAATAGTGATCATAATGCAATTGCTGTTGGTCTTGATCGTTGGGATTTTGGCGGCTGCAATTCAAGACGATGCTAGAGTAAAAAAAGCAAGATGTGAGGAATTCATCCGATGAATCCCCGAGCACAGGCCCTTGACCAAGCCACATCAGCCACACTATGGCCACAGAGTGAGAAGGGAGCTCGGGCTAGGTGCCAAGTTCGTCACTGGGCCAATTTCCGCCCAGCAGTTTTACCGTTCCCCGAAAGAAACGGTAGCGAAACTGACGATAAAAACAACATCAGCAACAACGATGACGACAAGGACGACGACGAGGAGAAACGACGAAGGCCAGCAGACACAACAGCGACAACCAGACACAACCAGCAGATTACACACCAACTTGTCAACAACGTTCAACTCTTTATGGTCGTCGTCGCCGGCTTCGCCGCCTTTGCCAATGCTGGAGGACAGCACCATTCGCAACTGGCTGTCCACACTATCGCCGACTTCCGACCCCGATGAGGAGAAGAGTCTCAAACGCAAGCGAAGCTTTGAGTCCTTTTCGCCGCATCGTCTTCCCTCGCCGCCGTCCAGCCTGCCGCATCCTGACCAGGACGCCATGAATCCCCACGAAGCCGGTACCACTCCGGCTACCCCCCTTCGAAAGAACGCGCCGCGGTTATTACCGAATGAAGATGCTACCGAAGTGGACCTCGAGACTCCAAGGGGTCCGCGTGTAGACCCCTCTCAGGCAGCTCAGCAGACAGCCCAGTCCGACGCCAGTAGTATTGCGTCTTCAATCTCGGAGCAGACATCGATGTCGGAGCAGACATCGGCGGCATCTAAGAAGCGGAAACGACCAGTCAGTCCTCGTAAACAGTCAAACTTGATCGCCATTCAGAATTCCATGTACTATAGGAGCTTCGACGGCGAGGTTGCGCCCCCCCCCGCACTCGATCGTCTCCTTATCGGCATCGAGAGTCTGGGGAACGGTATTGGTATTGTTTCACCTACACAGGAGGAATCTGTTCGGGCAAATGCCTTGACAAATCGCCAATTTCGTTGGGTCCGAGACGAGACGTTTGCCCCTAACCGTGATGAACTGGGTCCGACACCCTCCGTCAAAAGTGTCCGGAAAATTTGGTCCGCTGCCTTTGGGGCGGAGACGGCCGGCCATGAGGAAGGCCAGTGGACCTTAGCGGTTCACGGGCCGCTGCTCGGCAGCGCTCTGGAGGAATTTGAACGCATCGGCTGGTGCAGCTGGTCGGCCAGCCCCTTTCACAATCTCCCAATTCCATGAGCGTTGCTAACGGCGATCAGCACGACGGCGCAAATTCTTCCCAAGTACACGAGATCCGACAAATCCGCCCACCATAACAAGAAGGTGGACTTGTGTGTCTACGTTAGTGAACAATCGGACGAAGTCGATGCAGCGATCCTGGCTTCACAGACGGCATCGATTAATCAAACCGACCACCCCAGTCTCATTCGGACACCGATCGGGCTGTCAATCGAGACGAAAATCACCGGCCATGATTGGGTAAACGCAGTTAATCAGATTACAGTTTGGCTTATCGCCCAGTGGGATTCGTTGGACGACTTCGTATCAAGTGGTCAGCGCGTGCGTCCCGGCTATACTCCAGCAGCCGCAGCGGGATTGACTTTTCTGCCCGGCATTATTGTTCAAGGTCACGAATGGTGGTTTGTCGCCGTGGTGAGGAAGCCCGATGGTGCTACGGAGTTCTGGAGTAAGAAACTGATTGGATCAACCACAACAACGGAGGGCATATACCAGGTTGTGGCCGTGCTGCAGCTTCTGGGACGTTGGATTGAGACCGAGTACTGGCCGTGGTTCCAGGCGGCCATCCTCAAAAAAGCATGAGTCTGTCGCGTTACGTTTGTGACGGTACCCTGTGGTGACGAATGAGTAGACGGCTCGGTCTTTATGCACCTGCCACACTTGCGAGTGCGCCAAAATGCTGCCTTGCACAAAATCTGGAGGGATTCGACGACATTAATGTCCTCGATAATCATATGCCCAATGACGACACAGCATTCAAGGGTATTCGTCTGCGTACTTACCAGCTTTAAATACAGTTATCTCACGATGTACTGGGCAATCTGAATCAGGGCTTAACTATGATGGTGTTAAGGCGCCACTCCACCTGCATGCTGGACTGGATTTGGTTTGTGATGTGAGACCAGTTATGTACGTCCGCAATCAGCCATTGTTGTCCGCTTTCCGGGATCGCGTTGGATATGGGAAGATATAACGCAACGATTCCCAGAGCATACACGTAACCTGGTTTTCCGCATTTTCTTCTCGAGGGGAACTCCAGTGGCAGATAACACGGCGTGCGGCCAGTAGGAAGGATCCATGTTATGGACATGCCGAGGACAAAGTCTACCAGCGTTGCACTTATCTTCCCACTACACGAGATGTCGGCGGGCTCGATGTCATTATCACGAAGGTAATCTGCAGCTGCCACCAACTCTTGGAGAACAAGCTTTGCATCAGAGAAACCTCCCAGGAATCACCTATCACCTTTGGAGTCACACTACTTGCTCTTCCCAAGGTCAGGCGCATTAAGTTGCAGCTATTCAGTCATTATATGGTTGCCAACGGCAGCCAATGTTCCAAACTCTTTTCGCAACGCGGGCTCGGGCAGTGACAGAGATCCTGTTGATGCTTAGACGAATTAAGATGCTGCTTGAGCGACCCGAGGCGGTTGAAGTGAATTCTTCAAAGTAAACACTGAAAAACTTCAGCGCGAGCATTGGACGTTGGTTGTTTTTAGCCAGTAAAGAATGCATGCGGTCGGCAAATTGAGAACAAGATGCGGCTAGGGACAACCCATATTTCGAAGGAATATTCCTTTCCAGCCCGTCACGAGGCTTTTTAAGCAGTGTTTTACGAAGAACCCAGAAGAGCTGGACTTGTCCTTTTAAGGGCAGAAAATGTTCTCTCAAAGTTCTCTCAAAGTTAGATGTGAAGTTCCGAACGCCAACACCTGAGGAGAGGGTCCCCTCAGACACCAGACCACCTTGGATCTCTAGGGCACCCAGCAACCCAAGCAAAACAAAATCACAATCTACTTTTGTTAAGGGTCAGATCTCACGCCACCGAAGCAAGCAGCTCTTCAGCTTCTATCTATATTGCTGTAAGTAGGCTAGCAAAAGGGACCGAAGGACTAGGGCATCAGATAGCACTACTAGTCAGAGGTCCAGATACTTCGAGAGGAGAATGCAATATTAAGCCGTTGTCAACGTTTACAGAAGGGAAACAGTCTTATCTTAGCTGCTGGAGAAGATGCACAGTCGCAAAGAGAGGCGGATACGCAACTACAAGAGGAGACGTAACGGAGAAGTGGTCGCAAATTAATGCTTGAGACGACTCAACAACGGTATGCGGTATATGGGAATTCAGGTCTAGGATTCTGAGTACAGTTATGAACATATATGTACGATATCTCTTCCTCTTGGAAACACACTTCAGTTCTCTTGATTTGCCCCACACAAGCTCTGATTGAAGAGCTCAGCACTGTGTACTACGTATTGATGAACTTTGTACGGAGAATGGCCCCTGTCCACAGCCAAAATGGGTATAATCAAGTGTACTCTCAGCTCAAACTACATGTACCACTCGCACTATCATAAGCTACATGACTCCACATCGTGTTTGCAAACAGGCAACCATAGCCAATGTATGACAGACGTTTAAAACAGACATAACAGCAGGTTCTGGCTCTCCTAAACATTGCAAGCTTGTGTAAAAGAGGGAGCGATTTGTACAGTACTGTACCGTAATCCTCACTTTCACGGGCTAAAAAATTTGTTCTAGCTTGTTCTGTTGTTTGCCATGGACTTGGAGGCGGCCGTAAACAGGAGTAGTTCACATGAAGAAAGAATCGCCAGTCCTGGCTTAAGGATCGTTAAGTCACACAATGCATCCCAGCTGATGTGACTTGTCCCAGTTGCGGGCTCGGATTCCTACAAATGCGGATATTGCAGCTGCTCCGGGATGCAGAAGTGGACTTCTAATTTAGTATCGGGACTTGAAATATCTATATGTACTTCAAAGTACAATGTATTACAGTCCAGTATGCACATACAAAGCCTGGACTCACTGTACAGTTACATCTTTGAGCTTTTTTTCTGAAACATTAAAATGGTACGAGAACAAAAAACGATAGGCCGCACTTGCTGGCTATGCAGGAAACAAAAGAGGAAGTGTAGTGGGACATTTCCATGCGCGAAGTGTAGTAGTATAAACTTCCAATGCGTTTTTGATTACTCACAGAAAAGAAAGGTCAGTTTGGCATTCTCTCATAATCGGATAGAGTCCTATACTAATCGGCTTCAGTTGTGCAAACGATGTCTGCTTCTGAAAATCCCATGTCTTGGTCCCAGTTTATGTTGCAATACTTGTATGGAGATGGATGAGAGTTGTGTTCAAGCTACAAAGCACGATGTACAACGCCTCCGACATCCCAGATTTGTAAGCCTATTGGTCACTCAATTGGTCGCCGTACTGACTTATCAGGCCTGCCATAACTGCAGAGCTCGACATTCAAAATGCACACAGACCTTACCGTGCCATCGTTGCAGTAAGCGGGGCTTTGATTGTGTTTACCCCACCCCGGAATATATCGCATTAGACGAAGATTGCAATACCTTCGTTGCCCTACCCGACCTTCGGCTCAGTAATGAATCCGGCGCTCAAGCTCCTTCGTGGGTAACGGAGGACTGTTACTTACATAATGAGAGGACGAACAATAGTCTCGACGTATCTTTACATGAAAATGGCCTTGATACTTACCACAGCATACCCGAAGCCTTAGACACGGATATTTTAGTCCCGCAGGTGCAACGGGTGTTAGATCAGCAACATCTCTCTGAGCTATGTAAATACGAGACGATCCCTTGGGTTGTTTGTCAGCTCTATGTTAGCGGCAGACTAATTCACAATGGGCTATTAGAGAGTCACTGTGATTCGCTAGTTACCGGATACCCCTTCACAAATCTTATTTACCAAGTCTTGTCTCAGTATCTGTGTTTTTCTATCGGATATGACGGTAACTGGTCACGGCCTTTCCATATTACATCTCCGTTCTGGAACTCGTAAGTTTGTGGTTTCAGCTAAAAGAATACAAACGATGCTAATTCCGAGACTGAAGCCGATTGTATTACATCGGCTGCTTTACTTCACAGCCTCGGAACCCGTTTATAAATTCCTGGGCCGCGGCACAAATGTTGGACGATATTAACAACGTACGGGCTTGGATTCACATCCCTCCTGATCAGGATATAGAAGTATATCACTAGCATGAGTGGCTGTAATGACGCGGGAACTGAAATGCTGCCCGTTGTAGTTAAGGTCACTTATTAGACAACTGGGTAATGGCGCTGTTAAGCCCATTCGCTCCGTTAACTGATGTTGCCAAGAGAAACAAATACAGGTCTCTCCGACGACATTTTCGCATTATACTGTACGGATGGTATTGATAAATATTACTCTGATGTAGTCGTATTGTAAAGACCGAAATCAGTGTCCACTCTTTTCAGTATAAATCGGAGCCAGTTTAGCAGGTTGTGGCTAGAGCAGTGGGGGCTCACGTGGCGGCGAAAGGTTCTGTCCAGCTCCTGGGCTAACAGCGGGCCCCAGGCCCATGGACCCAGATGGATAACAAGAGACCGTGCTCCTCTCGGCTTTAATCGGCATTGGAGGTACGCTTTTGCCTGAGGCACGAACGGTAGAGTCATATGAGACAAAACAAATGCGGGCAGGACCGGCCTGCGTCGCCAGTTTCACTCGCCAACCACAGGAGGCGAGAAAGCTCCTTTTCCCGACGATCCCCATATGACTGATGCAAATATCGACCTAACCTCAATATTTGAAGACCAATATGACATTTACCACCGGACTCCTAGCCTCTCGGATGGCGACAGCCCTGGCTCGAGCCAAGCTGACGAGAGCCAAAGCCAGCGCCATGGAGCCAGATCAGGTCTCCCTCTACTGCAGCTGGACGACTGGGATCCCGACCTCTTCTATGATGAAACCCCGCCTACGTGCATCCATTATTGTCTTGAATGGAAACTATTGCTAAGAAAAGCCACATCTACCAGACCCGCGAAGCTCGCAAGCGATACCGAGCAGAACCTTGTCCTGGCACCAAGTGCTTATTGGGAACGAACCCTCAAGCAGAAGCTGCAACAGCTCGTAGAGAAGAAACAGCCACGAGACATGCGTTACGAACCCGAGGAGACCAATATCACTGTATCTGTTACCGGGCCCAGCGGACGCGCCCTAACTAAACGTGCTGATGGCCTGGATATAACCTTTTGGAAGGACGTCGAGGACCAGCTGACGACCTGGGGCCATCTATTTCAGAAGGGTAAAAGCCTCCGGATCACACTCTCGTTTATATACAAAGAACCGGAGCATACGGCTAGCACAAGGACACGGCAAGGCACCAGACGGGGGGCCACTGGTCGGCAGCATGCCGAGAGGGCCGATCTCATTGAGGACCAAGAAGCCGAAGGTGTACCCACCGTCTGGAGCGAAGTCTATGCCCTTATGCGATGCCACGTAGAGTCGTGTCCTCATCCGTATTGTTGGCGTGATCCCGACACCAAGAAGCATCATCCACTTGATACCCGTGTCTTGAGTAAGCTCGTAGACTGCGCCGAGGAAGGCAAGCCGCTCAAGACACATAATGATGTGCCAGTTAGCATCCGTGAACTACTTTACTCCCAGGAGCAGAGCAACGAATCTTCTCGCAAGCGGAAGCGACGAGCGTCTGACTTGCCGCCCATTCATATTAACCTTAATCCCGCTGATCAAGGTGCTGATAAGCCATCCCTACTTTTCGATCTCCCATGGTCGAGAGAGGAAGCTCTTAAGCGCTGCTTTACATGGCACTGCAGTAATGCCTCAACTCGGGAATGGAGGGAAGGGTTTAAGAAGGCATATCAGATCTGCCTATTAGAGTGTCTCGATCTGGAGTGTCTTTACACTAACCAGGTCGAGGAGGCAAAGTTTCTCGTTGAGAAGGGTGTTTCACGCGGTATTGCGCTTCAATGTGTAAAGAAGATCGGGGCTTGGCTGGAACATGTCCGGATTCAACCGCTTGTGTGACTATTTCCTTCTGATTACAACAAAATAACCCTTTTAAGCAGGGTCATTCTGGACGCCGTAGCTTACATTCCCTCACCCCCCCTATTCACATAGTACTATACCATCGCGTATTATTATAACGAGAGGGACCGGCTTCTTTTTCCTCCTTGTTAGTATTTTTACTGTCCACTACCTCAGGATGCTTAGCGAAACAAGAGATCATTCGAATTTTGCAGGCCGCTTTTTAGTAGGATGCTGTGACATCAGTGGGCATGGGTGTAAGGCATTTTCTTGATCGATTAGTTGAATGTGTTGTGTAAAGAGCGTAAAAGTAGTAGCGAGCTGCTCAGCAGCTTGTTTATATACGTAGCAAACCCCCATCTTGATCGCCGACGGGCAGCACCTGATCCCTTCGTCCAGAGATGCTTATTGTCAACAGGCATGCAAGTATGGGTCCCTAGCGCTGTTTAAATACATTTTTCGAAATGCCGCATTACACCGCCTCACGCGCCTAGGAACTAGGCGGCAACACTTGCAATGGAGATTTATCTGCAGCATCTCGATTCACGTACGTACGCAATATCTAGAACAAGCAGCGCTTCCTAAGCCTCAAAGCTCCACACATATTTTCCCGATTACTTTGGTGATCACGAAACAAGCAGAATGAAACACACGGTGCTTGCGGGGCCAGAGAACGAATATCACGTGAGTCACGAGTTATGCTCGACGTGCGAACAATTGTTAAACCGTCCAAAACACCACTGGAATATGGATAAAGCCACTCAATCTGGCTACTCAAAGCGCCTCTATAATGATATCATTTCTGCTGCAAACAACGGCTGCCCTATATGCAAAAACCTGCACAATAGCATCTTAGCATCGCCACATCTTCAGCCTGACCTGATGGAGAGGGGGATGTCCTGCACACTCGACTGGAATAAAGAAGCAAACAAATTCGATACTATTCGTTTTTCCAGCCCACTGACTCATCTCAAGTTATTTCAGGAAGAAGGTATAGAATACGTTGTTGAACTACACCTTTTTTCCGGAAGGATTCTTAACTAAACGAGGTGAAATGCAGATGTATCTTTCTCAGTCCATGGGAAAGAAAATGACCTAATTAGTACATCTTCGGACGCGTGTCTAAATGTGGCCACTGACTGGATCACAAATTGCACCAAAACCCACTCGCAATGTAATCCAACAAACCAGGAAGTTTCTTGGCTTCCCACGAGGCTTATTGATATTGGAAGCTGGGAAGACATCTGCGCCCCCAGACTTACCGATGCTGCCAAAATAATTTCACACGAGGGCCGGACGGACTATGTCGCGCTCACTCACCGTTGGGGTGGCAAAAAGACGCTTACCCTCACCTCAAAAAATATCAACGATCTTCAACGAAAGATTCCACTAGAAGGGTTGTCCACAACATTCAAAGATGCCATCCTATTCACAAGACATCTAGGCATCAGATACTTATGGATCGACTCTTTATATATAAAACAAGATTATAAGATTGATTAGCAAAATGAATCCGCTATGATGGGGAATGTCTATAAGAGATCATATTACAACATTACTACAACAGCCGCAGCGGCTAGTCACGACGGTCTATTCGTAGACAGAGACGTCCTATCACATTTTCCTCTCAAGATCAATTTGAATTAGGAAGGCCATCAAAGAACATATTACTGCGTCTATAGCGATTTATGGTATTTGGGTGTAACCAAAACACCGTTGAATCGCCGTGGCTGGGTCCTTCAAGAACGCCTACTCAGTCCTCGCACTTTGTCATTCAACACTCAGTTGTTTTGGGAGTGTCGGGAGCTCAAAGCCTGCGAGGTGTTTCCTCAAGGCTTAGGAAAAGACGCAAGTTTCGGTCACGACGATATTGACGAGGATTCAGAGCTCTGCTCCAAGGCCTGGGCGACAGAAATCACTGAGCCTTACAGTCGATACGATCCTTGGGCGAGAGTCGTTGAACAGTTCACGGTATGCAACCTAACAGAAGCTACAGATAAATTGGTAGCGGTGTCTGGGGTTGCTAAAGCAATGAAATCTGTAATTGGTGGCAACTATGTCGCTGGGCTATGGGAGCGAAACTTGACCTTTGATCTCCTATGGTACGTGGAAAATGGGCGGCAAGGAGACTGGCGAAACTCGACAAGAGTCGAATGTTACCGCGGTTAGTCAATATCCTACTTATTCTGTACGAAGTATGGCTAAAATTTCCTAGCACCATCATGGTCTTGGGCCTCTATTGAAGGCCGGGTTCATTTTGCCCGTGGACATCGTGATTATAGCTGGGGACCTCCTCTGTTTAAAGTGTCTACCATTAAGATCGAATCTACAACTAACGATGTGACGGGACAACTAAAAGGTGGACACATTCTTGCATCGGGACTATTACTAAAGTTGCAAGCACTCCGAAACGTCGGAGACTTTGCTCTGGAACTCATGCCCGGTGCCGGGACAGTTTATTGTCTTGATGATCGGCAAGACTTGTGTCTTGAAGAGGTACTTTTCTTTCCAGTGAGATCAATGAAGAGTGCCAATGGAGTAGAACTTCTTGGCCTAATCCTAACGCAAAAGTCTGACGGATTTCGACGAGTTGGGCTTCTTGCAATCAGAAGAGATGAGATTGATGATTTTTATTGGCATAATGAATGGGATCATGAATTTGAATGGGATTACGAACACTGTACCGGATGGTCAAGCGGTCAAAACTGTAAGGATGAAATAATTAAACTCCTCTAGAGTAACTATTTAGATATACTCTATCCAGCTGAATTCCGCCCTGGCAGGCGAACGAAGTGTTAGAGTCGAGCTCATAGTGTTAACCCCTTAGATCAAGGCCTGTGATATTTACTCCCGGTATATACTGCAATAATATTAAGGCGTTGACTTCGGAGGATACTCGATGGAAATCCCAGAGTGACGAAAATGCCCCTCAGCACTTTCCCTTCGAACCCCCACTGCATCTACACATATTTTTACGAAGGCCATGAAATCCTTCTCGTACAGGTCGGCGTACTGGGGCCGTAGACGTTTAATGTACGCCTTTAGCTCTGCAAAATACTCCTCAATGGGATTAAAGTCGGGCGAATACGGTGAAAGGTAGCACAAGCGGACTCCTGCGTTGGCACACAGTTCCTTAATCCTGTCAGAGTGGTGAATGGAGGCATTGTCCATCACCAGGACCGAGTTCGGCTCCGGCCACCGCCCGCAGTGGCACAGGAGCTGCTCGATAAAGTTCTCATATGTGCTAGCATCGGTTGAGCCCGAGTAGACTCGAGCAAGCTTTACGCCGTTCTGTGTATACGCTGCGAGAACCTGGAACCTCTGCTCGCGGCTAAAGCGAGCAACCTGGACGGGCGTTACACCTACCGGCGCCCATCCGTACCGACGGTGGCCAGTCCGCTTATCGCAGCCCGACTCGTCGATAAATACGAGTTGATACGATTTATACTCAGAGACTCTATACATATAGAAGTCTCGAAGGTCCAAATCCCGTTGTTGGGCTACGCGGCCATTGACCTTCCTTGACCATCCAATGGACTTCAAGGTTCTAGACATCGTGGTGGGAGATACTTCGACCCCGAACTTCTCGCGAATAAATTTTATCATCTCGTCTCGGTACATAGACGTGTTATTCGCTAGCTCCTCGCGGAGCGCCGCTCGCATGAAGGGGTCGATCTTGCCATAGCGGCCAACACGGGTTGGAGGCGACGTCGTGGTTCCGAACCGTTTAAGTTTCGCTTCTATTCTGCGCACAGCGCGGTCACTGCAGCCAACATGTTCAGCTATCACAGCATATTCAGTTCCACGACGAAGCAAACCCTCGATTTGTGCATGCTTCCAGACAGGCAGTCGGGGAGCCATAACGAGACGCAGAGAAGCCAGCTCCGGCTCGTCGGATGCAGGATGCAGGACGCAGAACGGCCAGATTGACTCGCTCCTCTTCGTCCCTGCGTATGACTCACAGGCCCACTCTGAACAGAGGCCAGAACAAGATCTTCGGCTAGATCAGGTACAATCTACCAGTGGGTCAGGTACAATCTGGCAGGGCCCACCTTGCACGAGGAGCCAAGAACGCTATCTCTGTTAGGCATGTTGAAGATAGATACAAGGCCGACTTGCCCCACTACATGCGCCACAAGGCTAGCTGGTCTGTGCTATAAGTCGTTAAATCTTAGAATCTGGACACTGATTTCGGTCTTTACAATAGCATACTGTACAATACAGTAGTTAAGCAGCAGAATACAGATTCCAAAAGTGGTTCTTGCAACCCACTCACGCCATATGTTATATAATGTGGACAGTCCCAGCGGCTTCTTGCAGCAAGGCTATGCTGAAATGAGTTATATCATGGATTTCAAGACCGAATCTACGTTTGTGCAGTTAGAACGAACAATGGCTGATGTTTACGAGGATGTGTTGTACTATCCTCAGTTGGCAACCACGCCGCTTTCGCCCGTAACCAATCCTGTTTCTCCTTCCTCATCTAGCATTTTTCTTCAGAGATTGCAAGAAGTGAATAGACACAGGGTGGAGTTTATACCTACAAAGGATGCCGCGTCACCATTCCGGTTGGGAAGCCCTTTTGCATCACAGGCATCTGTTTCTGAGTCAAGCACAATTATGCCTCAAACCATATCATGCAAACAGCTAAATTTAGAGAGAGTTCCCCTTCCCAGCTCTCAAAATCGGATCATACCTGTAGCCGGAGAAAGCCGCCGCCGGAGGAAGAGAACTGTTAGATAGAGATTGAAGATATGCCACATTAGGCCCGGCTACCGGCACTTACAAGAGCTGAATTCAATACAGTGAAAACTCGTACTGTACTGTACCAACGGGTGGTAATGAAAGCAGTTTCACCCTCTAAAACCCTCAATAATACATACTGTAATGACTGGAGGTTTTTTCTGATTGATTAGATTTTGACTTTTGCTAGAGATCAATCTAACTCCACAGTAAGAGCACAATACTGCTCTGCTGCTAAGGTGACAGGTAAAATGAGCACTGCAGTGTTGTCAGCTATTGCTAGAGCACTATTGCTTTATTCAACGGCTGGGAGGTTGACACAACTGCGATCGATGGTGTCGCGATCCCAAATAGAGTCAACATGTAAACACTGGACGGCGTTGGCTATTAGAAAGGCTATGCCTGTAGAATAATCAGTAGTGCGAGAGCGCGAGCAAGCCTTCGAAACGAGATCAACGGAAAGATTCGCACCAAGAAGGGCACGATGGAAAACTTCACCACAGCCTGAATCATCGCATAAAGCAGTAAACCGACGTACAACAGCTTAAGTTAGTTAACATTCCTTCAATCCTTATGAGAGATTATCAAGTCCATGTACCTTAAGAATGACCGTACAGTTCCCAGCAGGTATCAGCACCTAGGATCATGATGTAATCATCGACCCAAAAGCCTTTTGGCATATTAGATTCGGGCGAGCGACCTGAGAGCGACGACCGGGAATAGAACAGCAAAGCCGACAAAAATAGTCAGCTTAATAGCCTGGCTGCGCGACGCTTTCGGAAATGCATTACACAAGGCTCCTTCAACCAGTATAAGCACGTCATACGAGCACGTCACGCCGACAGACTCTTTTATCAGACACGCCCGATAGCCTAAAAAGACCGCATTTTTGCGCCGCGGTTTGCATCGAAATAAGGGTGGAGCGCCTGAACTGACGCTTAGTGAGCAGTAAATGGCTCTTTGCGGAGCGACGTTCTGCCGATTAATGATGTTTTCTTTCCCAGAAACCAGATGGCTTATAACAAGAGCTTGTTCTCCGTTTGGAAGTACATATGTACAGTACAGTATCTTAATCTTTCACTACAATACAGTTATTCTGAACATCACTCTCTCCTCCGATCTCAAGTCATCCGATCATGAACTGCCAGGATAGCCGCAAGGAGGAACCTCCAAACCAAGCCGGCCCTGATAGTGAGGTCGGCTGCGAAAAGCTCATCGTCATGGGAATTCTCGCCGTTTTATCTCTGATGGTAGCTCTTGATGCCTGCGTTATCGTTACGTCCCTGCCTGTATGTTGATGTTCCTGATGTCGACTATTGTATGCTAACTTCTCGCAGGAAATTGTCAAAGGTTTAGAGACCAATACTAGCGGAGGCTTTTGGATAGGCACCTCCTACCTGCTGGCTAATGCTGTCGCGATGCTCTTTATAGCCGACCTGAGCGAGGCTTTCGGCCGTAAACCGTGTCTGACGGTGTCCGTAGCTTTCTTCACAATCGGCACAATCATCTGCTGCCTATCTGACACCATTGCTCAAATGCTTACTGGACGTTCTCTGCAAGGTATTGGCGGAGCTGGCATTATGATGCTAAGCATCGTCATTTACACGGACTTAGTCTCTCAAAGTATCCGGCCGAAATGGTACGGAATAATGTGAGTAATCTTCGCCCTTAGGATGAAGTTAATGGACGCATCTCATGTAGAATTATTCTAGACTCGGAGCGTGGGCCTTGGGAAATTGTTTGGGCCCAATCATCGGCGGCGTCATTGCTCAACATACCACTTGGCGCTGGGTATTCTATATCATGTTTCCCTTCTGCGCTGTCGGTATGGTCCTCGTGCCATGGAAGGTAAACGTCAAGCCACGCTCGAAAACAACACATGAGAAGCTGGCCATGATCGACTGGGCTGGTGGCGTCTTATTCATAAGTTCTTCCACCCTTTTTCTCGTTGCCATTTCCGGTGGCGGCATACAGTCTCCCTGGAATAGCGTCGGCACACTAGCACCATTATGCCTCGGCATAGCTGGTTTTGTTTCGACTCTCGTCTATGAGACCCGAGTAACGCAGAAACCGTTCCTCAATCGCAATTTGTTTTGGGGTCCGAGCCCCATCGCTGTCTACATTTGCGGAGCCGTCCAAGGGCTTTTAGTAGGTTGAGTAAATCTGCACAAGGAAACAGCACGCTGACCCAAATAGCTATATGGCCAGCTTTATTATATTCCTCAATTCTTTATCCTTGTTAAAGGGTTCTCGCCTGTCAATACTGGTCTCGCGCTTCTCCCCGTGATGTTCACACTCATGCCAGGCTCTATCGCGACTGGCTTCTTTATAACTCGAACCGAAAATTGCCAATACCCAATATGGGCTGGCTGGATGTTAACGACCATAGCAACCGGTTTGACGATTCTTTGGGATGCGAATACGCCAGCGAGTGTCTGGGCCACAACGCTCGTGCTCCTTGGGTTGGGTCATGGAGCCGTTCTCAACGCCCAAACCACCGCCGCCTCTCAGGCTGCTTTTAGCAGTGTCGCCACCGTAAGGGGCACTGAGCCGAACGAAGGCATCGCAACTGCAATGTACGCATTCTTAAGGCAGTTCGGTATGGCAGTAGGCGTCGGTATTGGTGGCTCCACCTTCCAAAATGTCTTTTTACTCAATCTGGACATGGATGGCCTGCCGGGAAACCACGAGGCGAAGAGCCAGGTAAATGTGGCAGAACTCTTGCAAGTCGTTATAGATAGCAGTGCCAGAGCGGAAATCCTGGACGCGTGTATTCTCGGGCTACGCGGAGTGTCTTGCCTTTACGTTGGGTTATCAGGGGCTGCTTTGTTCGTGAGTATGTGGGTTAAGAGGTACCACTTGAATCAGTTTGTGACTACGGAACAGAAGCTACAAAATAGCGGGAAAAGGGTTTTAGGAGTAGCAGAGGCTGCCTGATAACAACAGGCAGAAAAGAAAAACCGTGATGAAATCAGGTTCTGACCTATAGGTCCTCATATCTTAGTAGGTAGTGAGACGACAACTTGAACTTAATGGTTAATCACTATCATCCTTTTTTGAATCATTTGCAAGCCACTAAGAGAAGCCGTTGTTAGTATTATGTTGGGCAAGTTAACATTCTACATGCCCGCTTAAGAACTGCGATGTTGGGGAGCGTTTCCGTTTCACAATATACGCCTAATCGCTTTCTCATTCAAATTCCAATAGCTCCCATAGAACACAGTCTGGCCTAACTCCGTAGTGGATTGCATTTTCTCTCTCAATAATCCATTGATATATGTATGTATTGACTATACGGCTGTGATTATGATTTGGTCTTGATTGCATGTGGGGATCTTTGGTTTCTGAGCACAGGACAGGCTGCAGCCAGTTGAGGCTGCATTAGTATTTCTATTGCGAACAAGACCAGAACGCCTCACCGTTGTGAAGTTGCTGTGAACGCATATCAAAGTTGAAGTCACCGTCTGAGGAGTCACCGTCTAAGTTCAAGCAGAGAAATGTCTCAACAGGTGTGTCCACCAACTGGAACGACGTTGGTTTCCTGGTCGTTTCGGTGTGTCCGTTAGGTTCCACTTACGTTGTCTCATGAATAATTGAGGCTGCCAGCTTTATGTTCACAACGTTAACGCCAAGAAATACAGGGAAGACGAACGTTCAAGTGCTTCTATTCGAGGACTTGAGGTTTACATAAAAGTCCGGTGCCTCCGGTCCCTATGGGATATTATGGCAACTGCAGTCCGTGTCATAGCTATGATCAAATGCCATGCCATACTAGTGACACCTGAATTGCAGCAAAATTACAAAGTAGGTTTAGAAATTTGTTCGCACCGGTAGTCTATTCGACTTCACTGCATTTCTATAAGATTTTTATCGCTACTAGGAGGCATGTGCAGACTATGTCTCCTGAAGAAAGTACCTAGCTATAGCTCGTTTCATAGTAACCTGAAATCTGTTGATGCAACCCCATGCTCCCTGAAACATATACTTCGAAGCTCATACAGATGTGCTCCGGATTTAATCGGACCGAGTTAATGCTTTGTGGATCCTCGCTGAATGCTTACGGCCAAGAATCCTAAACAAGGTTTGCCGCCCTGGACACATCGCTCCCAAGAAAAGGACTCTCTTGGGTAACACCGGGTTTTGCTGCTTGCATCCAGTTACTGCTCAACCTATTAATATCTTTATGAAATGAAGCGATGGCATCAATCTGCGTTTCTACAGTTGTGCGGAGTCTGGCTCTAGGTGTTTTCAGGGTGCCAATGGCATTTGTGCTACGTCCTCATGCTATCACCTCGTAAGCAATATCTGTCGGTATTTGTGGCCATCCATCTATCGACACGAAGTGGGCTCTCTGGCTCCTATACTTAGCCATTGCAAATATACTAGACAATCAAGTTATTAATTCACAAAGCTTAAAATGTCGCTCCAAAGATACAGTAGACATGCTAGCAACTCTTCGCTTACATACTTGGCAGTTCAGCCAAATATGGATCTTGGTTTCTGACAGTAGACGGTTCTACCCTAAACAGTCCAAGCTATTTGGTAATGCACTCGGCACAGTATATATGCTGTGTGGCGTCCAGGATAAGGCAAATAGGAGAAGAAGCCGTGTGACCATTTTCCATATGTACACAAGTTAGTATACAGTATTACTTCTTGTTTCGCATCCCGCACTCTTTCGGGATATTATACACACAACATAATGGGCAGCTGTTTCTCTAAATCTTTGACAAATGACGCCGAGCCAGATTTGTTCCGCGCCGCAGACATTCCTAGCAACTTACCACATGCCATCTATCCGTTCAATGAGCACAACGAATCCTGCCGCGTGCTGCGACCCTGGCAGATTCACGGAGAAAAGTCTCGCAATTTCAGATACGTTATATACACTATTAATAACAACCTTCTTACTAAACAACAATCTATCGCCCAGGAGGTAACCTTGAAACACATATTACAACTTGCGAGTATTCATGGGTTGAATGTCTTGGTTAAATGCTTGGACTACTCGTCAGACGCAGACCATGACCCAGAAGCAGCAAAAGAACAGCAGCTCTATATGGATATGCTGGCGGCAGATTTCGCGTCAGACCTCGTCTCTATGTGGGACTGCCGACGGCCTCATCCAACTTCTAGTCGTGGTACTGCCAGAATCCTCACAAGCGAGGAACGCATTGATGCAGCAATCAACAAGATACGGCATAGCCGGGAGATAGGCGACTCAGACGCTAAAAGCCAGGTTGAGCCGGAGCTGGTAGCTGCTCTATCCCGCTTTACCCAAGAATGGCCTCTAGACGAGTTTCTAATGAGGAAAGACGAGATATGTGATCAAGCGCCTACTGTTACCGCGGAAGGAATCTCCAAGCTACAGGCGCAATTTATTCTGCAAACACGTGTCGCCTACGCTAGCCTCACCAGCGAGACTGGCGCTGCGCCGACAGTAGCTATTAGTTTTGTCCCAGACGAAATTCCGAACATCACCCTTACCAATATCAAAAGACACCTTAAAACTGTTTTCGACATTTTGTCCGAGGAAGTAAACGAGTTTGGAAAGGCTATGCGCCACGATCTATATACGATCCAGTTGATCTCGCTTGGCACGACCAGCAGCAGAGGCGGTGGGCAGTGGAACATCCTAGACGGCCTTGGGCAACGAGGCGGCGACATAATCGACCATTTGCATTTGGACTGTAATGCGCTCCTTACGCATGGCCCGGGGCCCTTTCTTGGGCAGAAAATAATGCTCGGATCAATTGAGCCCGAGATTGATCGTGTTCCCGCAGGTGGAAGCGCAACGCAAGAATTCTATGGCAATGGGGGTTTTCCAGTAACGAAGGAACATATGGAAGAATGTTTCTGTCAGAAAAAGCCAGCTGAGGCGTACATCGTCAGGTAAACTTTCAACAAACGGTTGTACAGGGGGGAGGCAAAGGGTATCATGGCAGTCATTACAATAGAATACGGTCGAATATAGCATGTGTCGTTCTGAGAACCTCCAGCAGCTAGCTATTGGGCGTATCTATCATGACGTGTGTGTGATATATGTGTTCCAGCACCAGCATTGATACATTCACCATCCAAAATCTGTGTCTAGGGTAACTGTAATAAAAACCAGGTTCCGCTTCCGCCATTAAGCGTTAAGGGTATTATAAATTAAGTTACTGCCTAAGGTGCCCGTGTCACCGAAGCGCCTAACAGGAGCCACTTTTAGTCCACTAAAGGCCCCAAAACCCAATTCCCTAAGGAACCCCGTCTTTGTCAAAAACCAAGCTCGGAACATCACGTTATCACCGAATCCACTTTAGGTGAGCTCACCGCGACAAACTTTTACTTTTCGTGCAGAGTACGAAAGAGGCGCATGCAACCACAGCGGCGATACTGTACTATATAGTGTCGGATAGATATTTTGTCGCGGGATATCCGACACGCCGACGATGACTCGCTCACAGGCGGTCTAGACACGAGCTGATAACACGGCCCATCCACTGCCTTCTGGTCGCTATAAATCCACATTATTGTCTGACAAATATCTGCAGAGTATCTCCGCAGCACCGGGTGTCGGTTCTCCTATAAGACTCCTTACAACTCTCGGTTTTGCTACCTGTGGTTTTTCATCTTCCCATCTTGACTTATTCCATTCTTTTCTGTTGATCGTCTTCAAAACAAAATGCTGTTTGGCAAACCATCTCGCACGCGATGCAGCTTCAAGCGACGGGGAGAAAGGAGGATATGCGTCACGTATCAGCGCGGTACACCTATATAGAGACTTCCTTACGAAATCCTGCTGATGATTCTCGAACGTATGGAAGATTTCGTGGACCTAGCTGCTGCTGTCGAAGCTTTCAAGCCTTTCTACAAGATTTATGAGAAATACTGTGCTGTAATTATCAGAAGCATCTCGACCAACATATGCGCCAAGGTCCGCGGTTACAACGTGTGGGATTTGTATCAGTAACTGGCATTTGCAGTTCACCGCTGCTTTATACCAACAGTCTATGCTAAAGAGGCCTTCATTATGTCGTGGCCGATCTTTTCAACTCGGCAATTAGAGGAAACGCTCTATCCACTAGCAAGGGCTTTGGCTTGGTCCTACTGTATCGACGGTAACGAAGAGGCTGCCGTCGAATTCCTGAGGGCAATATGGAATGAGTCGCAGCCGTTCACTGGAAGGTCGTTTAAGATAACGAATGCGTCACCTCGACCACCACTCCGATCACCCAGCTATGCCTTTGTAGGGTCATTACTTCAAGGCCTGATGGATAAGGCCGAGAAAACATCAATACAAGAACAACTGGAGGAAATGAAGTCTCGACAGGAGCTCCAGTTCTGGGTCGGAGTTCAATTTAACAAGGAAGGCGCCCTAGTTGTGCGAAAGACAGTCGGTTCTATACGTGTCTACTATCCACCACGTATTCTCCTCAGCCAATCTGGTGTTAAACTACTAAGAGCTATGCCCGGGGGGAAAGCGCGGGCGAAGGAACCACGCAGGAGGCACAAGCAGCGGGGCGGAACCCGAGCGACGTTTGTATACCGCTTACGCTCTCTGCAACCCTGATTGCGTACAGCCTGCGCTGAAACTGCGGAAAAGCCGCAAATGGTATGTATGATTCTCTTTCTTCCTTTAAGCTTAGATCACTACAGTAGATCCACCCCTAGAGTAATATAGATGTAGGCTTAGGTGTTTATACATATATCTAAGACTTCCTTCCTTTCCCATAGTTAATTGCTAATCATATAGCGGTTGCTAGTAATACCCGGTTTATTGTATCATATTGTTAAAGTGAAGGATCAAGTAAACCTGCGTCCTCGCCTCACATCTGTATTGTGAATAAGCTTGCAAGCTCCAAACATACTCTCGATCGTCAGTGGCCGCACGCTCTCTCTATCCAGCAGCCTCTTTCCCGTACATGAATGTCGGTCACAGCAATGCAGCGCTTACAAAAACCGGAACAAGCGCAAGCAAAACAGTAAAGCCCTTGCCATGCCGTTGTGAGCCGCTACTGACAATCCTAGAGGGGCTAGGGGCTGTGGGTGTGTTGTACGTCCATGACGGGCTTGCCGTTGCACTAGATCGATTCCATATGCCTGTTTCGATACCGAGGCTTGATATACCGAACCCAAAACTGGCAGGCTCTCGGGTCACCTCGGCAGGTAGCGTAGTCTCCGTTACCACACTGGAGCTTACTGGGCCAAGCTGGATAGCAGGAAATAGTGTTGGAGGTGGTTGCGTTGTAATCGAGGGAGTGGGACAAGCGCATAAGCAGTCGGCGCTTGATACAGATTGGTGCGCGACAGGTGAAGAGTCTAAGTCGGCCGTGATGATCTTCGCGGCTCCCCAGATCTCCATGCTGGAAAGAGTATCTTTTTGGTTTTGTTTTATTTTCGCTGGCTTTGAAAACCTACCGTAGAGCAGTAACCAAGGAAGGCAGGTCCTTATGTATTTTCTGTTCTTGGAGCAAAAATCCGCTGTTGATATCTAACTACATCCGGGCTCCGATGCAATAGTCACGTGCTACCAGAGATTGCTTATCTACAACTCTAGCCTAAGCTGATTTGAAACTAAGCTCCAGACAACTTACATCGAATTCCAAAATCACCATTATGATTTCTAAGGTTATAATATTCTTTCATGTCGTCTTCGTCGGAGTAGTCTTATACCTTACCATTAAGGTCTTACGCGACGAGGACAATGAGAAGCAAGGCATAGTGCAGATCTTAGTAAGTAAGCCCCGACACAGCAGGCAAGATGCGGTATGGTTCTCATTACAAAGACAGTTGCGTGACCAGGAAAAGCGGTTCGTGCCTGTCCCAGACATCGTCGACTCCGTAGGCGCCGTTGCAACCGTCATTAAGAGTGCAGCTTCGAGCCTCGCAACATCTGCTATTGCTGCGGGCGAGTCTTTGATAACGGAAAGCCTTCCGTCCAGCATCTCAATAGGGACAAAATTTGCCTGCATAGGATCCGAATGCACAGCGATTCCGGGTTCCGGGTTTCAACTGGGCGAGAGTCTGGCTGTATTCGTCCCTTCTGCCGAAAAGATCCGGGAGCTTGAAGGATTTGTAAACAAAAGCCCGAATTTTGAGACTATTCTGTCGGTTGGACTAGGTCTGGTCTTAATCTCTGCGATATCACTACTCGCAAGCCTCAAATTCAGACCACTTAGATTCGCAGCCCTGGGATTGAACATTGTTGCCACAGTTCTATATCTTACGTTAACAGTGTTCACTGTGTTGATATGCGAAGCATCTCGAACTGTGGGGGACCTACTCAAAGCTCGGACAGAGCGAGGTGATGTGTTCGAGACGTCGATCGGGAATCTCGTCGTTGGTGTATGCATGTGCGGCATGACCCTGGCGTATATGTTTTTTTAACCAGATAAGTAGATAGCAAGGATGTCTAAGTATATTCGTTGTTAAGAAGTTGAATCCTTGTGAGTATGATTTGAAAAAATATGACTTGAATTACTTTTCTACAAATATGTGGTTCTAATTGAACAAAGACCTTAGGATTCTAGGTACACCAGATGTTGAGCCTGATGCTAGTCCTAGTTAGGGAATAAACAGCATGTTATAAATTGCAGATAAATGCATACACGTTTATGATCTAGCTTCTACAATGTTAGTAAAGGGTAATGCTTATTAAGAATACACATCTCCAGCATTTAATGGGCTCAACTGTCTATCGCACCGCCGGTACACCTACATCACCTAAACCTAGACTCAACCCTTCCATGATCCGGTCAGCCGATAATAGCTGGATAAATTACTTTCCATTGAGTTTATTACGGCCTCCTGCGATACGCTGCAAGGAACTTATTCAGAACTAGCCGTTTGGTGCTGGATTGGAGCGGCAAAGTTATCCGATCCGTCACACAAAGCGGCAAAGATTATGTATCAATTGGTTCACTTCATAGCCTCTTCCCAAGCCGCAATCTTAGCTATCCTCTCCCATCTGCATGTGCTCATCAGCCAGTAGTGGAAGTGGTAGTACGAGATTGAGGCACATAATCAAGCGTCTGCCATGCTCATAGAGTCTAGTAGATCGCCATTCTGATTTAATAGAGAACGTGTTCGAGTTCAAAGAGGAAGATGGATTTGCACATAACTGTACATCGTTGAATTCAACATTGTCTTCAAGCAAATGGAGGTTATATATTCAATTCTGTTTCTTCAGCATATGGCTACTTTAAAATTGCTTGGGAGCTGGATCCGTTGACTGGTACCGCGAAGTTCCAATTTCTTTTGATCACTTACGAAGAAGATAGATCGACATTAAAACCGACAGCCACCAAATTTCTTCCTCTTTTACTTGATTAATAATCATCTAAAAGTGGGTTTAAACCAAGCTGCAACGTGGTGGCTTCTAGTCACTCATTACGAACGGCTGAACGTTGCTCCAAGCCGCTCTATATCTCATACTTTGACCCTCGCATTCGTCTCTAAAGCCCACCAGTGCCTACCTCTAGCGGTGATTATCCCCATCACAATGCCTGACGCTGGGCAGTGTTCGACCAGTAGATAGCCCATATCTTCTGTTGTGACTTTGTCGGGGAAAGTTGCCTATGGAAGTCACCGGGATGACACGATTGGCCTTCTGTCACTATGGCTTGTGGTCTCATTGGGTAAAGTCTGTCTTACTGAGCTTCTGGCTGCTGATTGACGCACAATTTGAGTTGCGGTCGTGTAGAATGAAATGTTGTCAAGAGTGATGGGCATTTTCGGTTGAACGTTGGGATATTTCAAAGTTCCAAGGTTTGCAAAGTTGAGAGCTGAAGATGGAAGGAACGCCATTAAGCTTAAAAGCTAGTTTCGGATTTCTCGATCTATTTTAATGCCATCTAGACTTTCTATCAATTTACAAGTAAATTTCGTCGTAAAACTAAGTACTGTATTGCGTACAGTACTATAGCAGCATAACCACTTATCAATTGCGCCAGGTTTAAACAGGCAACTTACTTACTGATATTTCCTCTTGATCCCTTTTCCAAAGTAGGCTATAAAGTTCTACCTTATATTTATGTTTTAAACGAAAACATTATTAACAGACATAGTCAATAGAAAACGATGACAATCAAGTTTGAGGATGTTATCGGCTTTGTGTTGAAGAAGCGTATTTATCTTGTTCTGCTATGGCCGCGGTATATGCCCCGAGCCTTGGCAAAATCTCTATTCATTTTGCTGTCTGTTCTCTGGCTTTCTAATGTCTTTCCCATCAAGGGAAATATCACACAGCTCAACAGCGCTGGGTGCATGGCAAAGCACAGCGTAAGCTCAGCCCGATCAGACTGGACAGAGCCGCACGCGGAAAGCCCAATCCCCAGGAAGATCTGGCAGATTATGTTACCCAGAGATGGCACCAAAAATACTTTTTTCACGCCCGAAAAGCTAAAGGAGACAACAATGTGGCTAGCCTTGAACGTTGATTATCCATAGTGAGTGCCTCCAAAGTTGATATTCTCACTCCTCTTCTAATCGACATGTGATTAGCATGCTCTTAGGCGAAACTGGAAGCAAGTCCTTTATCAAGCGCTGCTTTACGCATGACCCAACAGTGTTAACAACATACAACTCCCTCCCCAACGTTGCAATGAAATCAGATCTTCTGCGGTACCTGCTCCTCGCCGTAGAAGGCGGAACTTACACGGATACTGATACCGTCCCCCTTAAACCGATTGATCAGTGGGTGCCCTACCACCTTCGTGGACTGACGAGGCTTGTTGTCGGTATCGAGTTTGATCAGCGTGAAGGTACCATCTGGTCTGGCATGCTACACCCGCTACAGTTCTGTCAGTGGACAATTGCTGCCGCGCCCGGCCATCCCGTTTTTCAGAAAATATTAGCACGTATTAGCCGTTCCACCGCTGAGCTAGTAGAAAAAAACAAGGCAAAAGAATTTGGGTCAACTTGGAAACCTACCAGCTTAGAGGTCATGAACTCAACAGGCCCAGCGGCTTGGACGGATGTAGTCTGGGAGCATCTGCAAGGAATTGACGAAGAATTAACAGACATTAGGAATCTCTCTTACTTAGAGGCACCAAGGCTATATGGTGACGTTTTGGTTCTGCCAATTGATGGGTTTGGAATGGGTCAGCGACATTCAGGCAGTACTAATGATGGAAGCATTCCTGATAACGCGCTGGTGAAACATTTATTCGAAGGTTCTTGGAGAGAAGATACCCGCTCGATATGATCTCATGTGTTCCATCACTACTCCGTATATCCCTCGGGTTTCAAGGCATACGAGCGTGTTTTGTTACAGTTGTAAGACCATTTGAATTGTATTTTTTTTCTCAATTCCAGTCCACCTGCTCCGTGTCTCTACGAAGACTCGTACAGGGGATTCATCGACACATCGTCCTGGCAAGCAGCCGATCTAATCTGGCAAGAAGAGCTGAAAAAAATGCGAAGGATCGCAACGGATCCTATCGTCTACCAAGGAATCTGGCGCGGAAGTTCTTATCACAGGATGCGCATTTCGGTGATCTTAATCTGTATCAGCACCATGTGAGTTGCTATTGACGGCGATATCTTCCAAACATCTAGGCCGATGAGCTGGGCGGGCTTCCGACACTGACGATGGAATTCAGTTCCGAGATGACCCACAACTTCAGTGCCAGTCTCCACTCTGACAAACACTCAATCCGGAGCGCCCTTAGAACCCGGGTTGACATCGGAGCCAGTTTTGGCTCCCTCACCATGCAAAAGGACGCCGAGAGACCCACTCTCCCAAAGAAATTCTCTAAGAGTCGCAAATGGCGTCAACTTCTAAGTGTGGTCAAAGTCGGCCGACACTCTGTTCACTAATAAGTTGAAAGTTGTGTTTCATGATCAAGGTTGTCAGGTGCCGAAATAGCTTTTGGATCGAGCGATACCAACAAAATTTGGAAAAAGTTACCGCCAATATTGTCCCAAGTTAAGACTAATACATTAGGAGAGTGACGAGAAGAATAATTGGAAGCCATCACGGTCATATCTTTGTCCCCGATAACCCACGACAATGAACCTAACTGAACAACGTCAATTTTACTCTAAATTCTAACAACTGTACGGCAATGGCATCACAACCTGCAATCTTTTTCGATGTTTCCCACGGCTTTCTTCCCTTCGAACCTTCTGCGGAAGAATTTTCCGACCCAATTTACCAACCATGGGACCACTTGATCAAGCAGCTGCCGGCATTGATCAGATCAAAGAGCATTCAGTCAGTGGTCAGAACCCTCCCGCTTCTTAACATAGAGAAGTTGAGAGGCGAAGCGGAATTTCGACGCGCATACGTCGTTCTTTGCTTCTTGTCCCATGCTTACATCTGGAGTTCTACTCCGCCGAAAGAAGTACGCCAGTCCGTCGCTTGGGAACAAGAAACATGCTTATTGTGTTCAGGTATTGCCTCCTACTCTGACGATACCTCTCCTTGAGATCTCTGTGTTTTTGGAAGTACCTCCAGTCACTACATATGCTGCTTTAACCTTATGGAATTTCACAAGCACCAAAACCGGCAGCTTCGAACTAGATGATATCAGGATCCACTACACATTTACCGGTACGATCGATGAAGCGTGGTTCTACGCCGTGTCCATAGCTATTGAGGAAAGGGGTAATCAGATAATTCCTCTCATGCTCTCCACCATTCAAAGCATGCGAAACAAGGATTATCTGACTGCTAAAGACGGTATGCATCGACTGGCAAACCATATCGATGGACTGTGCAGCGTTTTAGGCCGCATGTATGACAAGTGCGACCCAGACGTGTTCTACCATCAGATCCGGCCTTTTCTGCAGGGGACGTATGACCCATTTCATCTTCCAAACGGCGTGTACTATGCCGAGGGAAAAGGTAGTAGAAGCTGGAAACGGTTCAGAGGAGGGAGCAATGGACAAAGCTCTCTTTTCCGGTTTCTCGATATCACACTAGGCATTGAACATGGCTCAAACCACTTTGGCGGCGGTAGCTTTTTCCAGGAGATGATGGAATACATGCCGGGGCCGCATCGGCGATTCCTTGACCTCGTCTCTCGTGACACCAGCCTCAAAACACATGTCATGTCAAGCGAAGACACGGATCAGGGAGAACTATTGACTGCTTTTAGACGGTTGATTACTCAAATGACGAGTTTGAGAGACAAACACTTGGTCGTTGTGGCTCGATATATCACCATACCCTCCCAGCAGAGTGGCGATAAGCATCAGGGAAGCGAGGGGCTTCGTGGCACAGGCAACACTTTGCTCATGCCCTTTCTAAAGCAGTCAAGAAACGAAACAGAACTGACAGGCAACGAAGGCTTCAGTTTAGGAGGCAGAGACGGGGACTGTGCTGCTTAGTTATCGACGGTTGTGGTGACGGAACGAAGGGCATACGGAATGTGTGTTGAAGACGGGTGTGAATAGGGGTATGGAGCGAAGGGTAGATACGTTTGTAGAAAAGGAGCCACGTCAATGCCTCCATGGTGGGCCACCTAGAGAGCCGAGGATAGTCAGCGCGAAACTGTTGATACGGAAGTATTGTCCTATTCGTCGTTTCCGAACTGATATATAGGGGTGACGATGCGCATATTCTTGGCCTCATCTACCTAAGTCCCGGCTAGCACAACAACCGGCGCTTTCTGCGGCGTCAATCTCAGTCATTGATACCTTCTCCACTTCACAAAGCCAGGTCCGCACAACGGCCCGGATGAGCAACCAGGTGTTATAGAACGAGCCGTCAGAAGGGAGCGATCAATCAAATCTAACTCTTCCCACGTGATTAAACTCCTACCTTATCTGGATCGGATTCTGATTCGCCATCTCGAGGAGTATGTCGATGTGGACCGATGTGAGAAAAATATCAGGGGCATAGGCACAGATAAGCCGATTGACCTTCTTGGGCTTCTTATATAAATGCTGATTCCGGGTTGTTTGTCCTTGAAGTATCAGAACTCTTAAGGTCACCCACACAACATCACACTTTCGGGGCCGGTAGTCTCAAAGAAATGGAAGCATCCTCTTCCAGGTAAATCCTAACCAATTCCAATCCCCGCTAACTTCTGAAATCCTTCTGTTCTTGATTATGCATCCCTAACCCTTTTCTCTAGTACTAAAGTTCCAGTCGGGAACTCGTTGCCCGAGAAAACTTTATTTGACGACCCCGTTGTTCTTGAACTAAAGAGAAAACTGAACAAACAAACCAACGCATACTTATGCAGCCCTACAACGAGTGCGTTGCCAGTCTCTGACAAAATTACTTATACCGAGCACGATTACAGCCACCCACCTCCGAGACCAAGACACAACTGTAGTGACAACTCAACACTTTGCGATGAACAGACGGAAAATGGTTCATCTGACAAGCGCACTGTGATAGATCTTACAGGCGACAGCGACGAGTAAGTCTGGCCTTTTAGAGCTGGGGGGTGAGAGAGTGTAATAACACATCGTAGAGAATATGAAACTAAAACAAATTCACAACTCAAATCCAAAGGCTGGAGCTGCTCGGCCATAAGTTGGATCCAAACATTTCACAAAGATACTGTGGACGAAGAGGAGGCCTATATATGTGGTTACTGTGGCAAGTTTTACTACACGGAAAAATGGAAACGCCAGACGGGTTACTTTCATTTTTTTGATAAGCACAGATCAAAAGAATGCGACAGAAAGAAAGTGATTCATGACAAGTTGGATGATTTCAGACATCATACGAAGTATATGCATGGTGGAAAATTAGGCACGTGGACAGGGGCATTAGAGAAAGCTTGTATCGTAAAATAAGTTTCAGATCTCACGCTTTAGTGCCGTCTATTCATATAGCTGTGTTGACCACGTATTACCAAGAAAATGGCAATGGGCGAGGCTTTGTACAGAGATGGTAATGGCGTATGATTACAATATTAACGGGATTGGTGGTAAATGTGGCAAGCAATTCACACCAGAGCATATCTGTTGCAATAGTCAGAAATCCGGGTAGTTAGGGCGCTATGACACCCTAACCACTCCGATTACTACTTCGGCCGGTTATCACGTGACCGGCATGCAAGAGGCATGGCAAGGGGGATATCTCCCTGCCACTTTAACTTTGCCATCAATAAACATCTATCCTCGCAAGGGTGCGGGTGGCGCCAGGTAGGTCGTTATGGAGTGCTTCCAGTAGCTGTGTCCAGCCGCAACTGAACCGACAGACCCTCATCCCCCATCGTCTATTCCCGAGCTTTCGGTGATGCCTCCTCATTACCGGTTGCCAATTACTGGCTGCCACTATTTTTATCTCCGTTTGAGCGAATCTAGTCTTCACAATACCCTGTCCGCCCGGTTCCTCTTCCCTAGTTGGTCTAGGCCTCCAGCACATGTGGTCCGATCCCGGATGATGCTGGCTCTGCCTGCATGACCCCACCTGTCCTCCTCCTTCGTTGGTGTTTTGGGCTGTATGATTGATACGAACCGCGTTGCCCACTGGCCTAGACCTGTCGGCTACAATGACATCTGTGTCAAGGTATCTAACGGGGAGCGGAGCGTTCTACTCATTCATATTGATAAATCCGGCGGCGCTTTTGATATTCCATATGACGCCTGGAATTATCTGACCACAGGGAAGTCGGCAACTGATGACCCAGTAACAGGTGGTGGCATCCTGATGACTTGGGAGACTGTCGATCCCAACGATTGTCGATACCTACTGAAGAATGCCAAACTATTCCGTTCTGCTATAAAAACATTTTGGGCGCTCGTCTTCATCCCTCTTGCTATTACTTTGGGTGTCTCACACTAAGTCCGTCACTTCCGCTCGATCGCCTTCAAACTGGTCTTCTACAAACGTTATCTCCCTGGCTGCCGCCCTCCTCGCCGTTTAAATCGACCAAGAATGAGCAAAAATACTACCAATCACTCAATCGCGCCGATACAGAAACTTCACAACGACATATTTCTAGAACTCCTCCTTCGCATCGAAGATTTCACAACCCTGGCCAGTGTTGTCGGAACCTCCCGAAAGTTTTATCATTTGTTTAGGACTTATGGTCGTGTTGTTTGCAATAGCATCTTAGCCAAAATGTTGGCTAGCTGGAGCCCCTGTGAGCTCCAAAGTTTGTTAGACCAGCTGGATTTTGCGGTCAATCGCTGCTTTATACCAAGGGTCCAAGTGGAAGAAGCCTTCACTGCTGCATGGTCGGTTCTTGCTACCTGGCAACTTCAAGAACGGCTTCTTGAGCTGGCAAGGGAGCTGGCCTGTTCATACTATCTCAACGATTGCAAGGAGGCTGCTGTCAAATTCCTCAGAATGGTATGGAATGGTTCGCATCCGTTCGAGTTGCCACAACACGCGGTACCTATGACTTCGACTTATCGGCGTTCACAAAGTTATTATATGATAGGGGCATCCCTGTTATACATGAAATGCGAGGGTGAGGCAGGGGATAGACAGATAGCGGGAGAACTTGAGCATATGCTCTTCAAAAATTTATATCTGAGGTAGCAATACAGGTAAGACATTAGCCAACGTTACAGTACTGTATGTATAGTACAGTACAAATCACTACTTCTATCCCGTATTAGATGGATTCTGCCCCATCAGACTAAATAATGCTATCCAAGGGAGTGTGTATAAGAGGTAAGGGAAGCCTGCTCGAGCCGAAACTGGCTTTCTCAGCCGCAACAAGAAAAGGTATGTCGCTTTACAAGAGATATAGTATGTACTATTTCTGGGTTGAATGCGAAAGCATTGGTCCTATGGTGGGAGAATAGACTTTTCAATGATGACAGGCGATCTCTAGAACTAGCTTCACAAGTTGCTCTTCCATATCTGCATTGACCAACCATGCTCTGCTATGCACTATTCGGTCTCTATAGCGGATTCACTATCGGCTGCCATTAAGCTTCATGACTCCTGAAGTACAGTAAAAGGCGAATAGCGTGTCGCGAAAAATAACAGTTATTAGTTTTAGGTTGGATCCACTTCTGGCGACTTGTGGCTTTGCAACCCCACAAAATTGTATTCTGGGGGTACCATTTGATTACTCTTAACAATTGCAAAGGAGCCAATTCTGGTTGTTTCTGTCTGTGCCGTTCTTATTATGTGCTTACTCCCCTGTCCCTTACTGTAACTCTTCTGGATTTTACATATATGATCAGTATTCCACCTCCAGCCTGATTTCCAGCCGTCCAATATCTTCAACAACTAAACAGTTGCGTGCTCTCTTTACCATGGGCTAGTCCATAGTATCTAGACATTGTAAGACCATTCTGGCATTATCCTCGATATGATTAAGATGCGTCGCACAGACAGCTCTTCCCTTTTAGGCAAGAGAGGGGGCTTTTAGCCAATTACAGCTGCGTCATGCAGCCTGACGTTGCCACATTATGGCAGCAAAGTGCATTTGGCTGATGAAGCTAGCAATGGTGACCACAATCCAGGATCAAGTGTTCTACATAATTTTCCCAACGCCTTTTGATCAGTTGTTGAGAAATGGTATCTGTTGATTTTAGCCAAGTTTCCAAGTGGGTGAAATGATGGACCCACAGAAGCCCGTAGAAACTCGTAGAATTATGGGGGGGAAACCCCAGCATGACCATACTGGCAGCTAGCGACGAGCGTGAGCGACGAGGCAATGTGGCAACAATCGTTCTCCAATTCCTCAGCTGAAGAGACGAGCCATCATGGAAGACCTCAACTTGGACTGGTCGTTCGACTGCGCCAGTGACAGCGCAACAGCTGAACGATATAACCATGTCGCCGACCATCCTACCCTGGTAGCCCAGCAGGCAGACCAGCCCAGCAATGACGATGTTTTATCACTCTTGCGCCTTAGTGATTGGGACCGCAACAAAGAGTATAACAAAACTAACCTTGAATGTATTCAGTACGACCTTATGTGGAAGGTATCCAAATGTCAGAATATCAGAGCGCAGTGTGCTTTTCAAGATACAGATCCAGATCTCGTCCTAGCCCCGAGCGACCTCTGGAGCGACAGCCTTGAAGCACAAGTCAGAGCTATCTTGAACGACGATAAGACCTTTCCAGGTGATTTATACGTATGCGAAAAAACGATTATCAACATCTCCATTAGTTCCAGCCGTCAGCGTGGCCTGAAGAAGTCATTCAAGGGCTTAGATATCGATTGGAAGCTTGTGGATAGCCACATGGAAGGCCTTAGTGATCTGCTTATAAAGCGGAAAAAGATAACCCTGAGTATCGAGTTCATTTATAGGGAGGTTACTAGCGAGTCTACGACTGTAAAGGGCAAAAACAAGGCGCGCAGCGCTACCGCGAAACAAAAACTTCAGAGAGACGCCGAAGCTGGTCTTTGGGCTCGAATCTACGAAAAGTATCGTTGTCGAGGCGAGAATTGCAGGAAAGGACCACACTGCTGGCCGGACGGACGAGGATATCACCATGCGCTGCTGCCGAAGCACCTCGAACCGATCGCCGAATACATTAAAGGGACAATGAAGGAAGGGGAAACAGAGGAGGATGTCAATATTGATGTTGAGATCCCATCAAGAATCCTTGGCGAAGTACTTAGTGACAGCCGCAAGCGGAAGGCAGAGGACTCTGCCGACTGCCGCAGCTGTAAAGCCTATGGGAGGCATCGTGATGCTGGTTGGGACCTTGGGGATGTGGTGGGGGATAGAAAGGAGAAACTAGAAGAATATTGCAGCTGGTCCTTGCAACAAGTTGAGAACGACGAGTGGAGAGCGGCGCTGCAGGTTGCGATTACCTGGTCGTTGCATGAATACCTAGACCTGAATACTATCAAACAGCACCCGAAGGACACTGCTGCTTTGATGGTTGCTGGCGGGGTGAAGGCGGGCATTGCCTGGCAATTTGTGAGCAACGTTAGAGTGTTTCAACAAGAGACAAGGAAGTCTTAGAACACATAAGACACAGATAGACTTTCATCTTAGACTCTGCATTCATAAAGTTTTTATATTCAATTGGGTGGCTGTGTGATATGTATTCTTGCATGTCGAAAGTGACCTTCCGCCACGTCCTCATCGTCACCGACCACGTCGACGCACCACTCTAAAAACATTTTAAACTGCCTTGCAATGAAATCTTCATTCTCATGCCACTTTTTCTTAATGAACTTTTTGAGCACTCCAAAGTGCTCCTCAATAGGGTTAAAGTCGGGTGAGTATGGCGACAAGAACTCTAGGACAACTCCTGCGTCTCGGCACATTTGCCTAATCTTCTCGGAATGGTGCCACGAAGCGTTGTCCATTACGATGACGGATTTAGGCTCTGGAAATCTACCACAGTGATGTAGCAATTGAGCTATGAAGTCTTCGAATAAACTACTGTCCGTTGATCCTTGGTATACTCGCCTTAGCATGATGCCATCCTGCGCGTAGGCTGGGAGAATATGCCATCGTTTTCCGCGACCGAACTTAGTGACCTCTACAGGGGAGGACCCTTTCGGTGACCACCCCCAACGCCGGTATCCGGCCCTTCTGTCGCACCCAGATTCATCAACAAAGACTAGTTGATAGGACTTATATTGCGATATTCTATGTAAATAGTGGTCTCGGAGGTCGTCATCTCGTTGCTTCGCGATTCGACGGATTGTTTTTCTAGTCCAGCCAATTGACCGCAGGCTCCGACCGATCGATCGCTCCGAAATCGTCTTTCCGAATTGGCGATAGATGAAATCTGCCATCTCAAAACGATACATGTACGGCTTTTTAATCAGTATGTCACAGAGAGCTTTCTGCATAGACGATGACATGCGGCTACGGCGGCCACCGCGCCTTGTTCTTTGGGCAGTCATTTCTAATGGTTGTCGCTTTAAGCGTATTCTCTGAACGGCGCGCATGGTGCACGTAGCTGCAGAGGCAATTATCCGGTTCTTAAACCCTTTGGTTAGTAGAGCTTCAATCAGAACACGCTTTGCAGCATCCAGTTGTGGCGCCATAGTGATTGGTAGCTGACATGAAAGCAAGAATAATGAAGTGGAAGAAGAGCGAAGCGGGAAATGCATTCGAGAGGAAGGCGTTGATTACCCTCTCTCTTTTTTCCCTTTCCCCGGGGGACCAGCAGCCAGTTCTGGCTCTGTTAGTTGTTCTTCTCTAAGTACAATTCCACAACAACCGTAATCAACCAAGCCACATAAGCCACAGGCCCACCCCACCACTACTAAAGTTGTTAACTTAAGAATCAGCGACACTCAATTCGCCTTCTACTGTAAAGCCTGGATTTAGTGCTGTCAAACTACAATGATAACCTTCATGATTGACTAGCCAGCGGCGAATATGCTAATAGAGAATGAAGCCAAAAGGAGCGCGTCAGTGTCGAAGAGTCAGCAACGGCGGCTCGTTCTCATCTTGGAGGACATCGTGCTGTTCGATGCCATGTCACCAGCGAGACACGTATGGACAAGTCTAAGATGCAGTCCAGTCAATTCGGAGATTACGGAGGTCACTGTGTCCCCGAAGGACTCATAGCCCACTTGGAGAGGTTGGAAGCCGCTTTCTTTAGAGAAGTGGATGACCCAACTTTTTGGGACGAATATCAGTCCCAGTATGACTACATAGGTCGACCTGGCCGAGTTTATCTTGCTGGACGCCTAACTGAGTATGTTGGCGGCGCGAATATTTGGTGCATCCGCGAAGACCTAAATCATACAGGCTCCTACAAAATCAACAATGTTATGGGCCAAGTTCTTCTTGCAAAGACGATGGGAAGGAAAAAGATTATCACGAAGACTGGAGCTGGTCAGCACGGTGTAGCGGCGACTGGCGGATGACTCTAGCAGTAACTGGGAATCACAAATGGCCAACCCAGCCGCAGAAGCCAGTACAACTGAGTCGAGAGCATTAAATTCAGCGCCTTCCACTTTGGCGGTGTGCGACGGTGAGTGACAAGCAAACATCAAAGGTGGACGGAAACATACCTCAAATTATTATGACTAATAAGCCGCAGGTCGACTTCACATACCATGTGCTCAGCTGGTACCCAATGCGCCGAAGCAAGCCATGGGAACCTGAGGGCAGCTTCAGAAAAAAGACTCTTTCTGGGCTCCGGAACGAGTTGCCCTTTGACCTCTGTTCGTCAAACGCAAAAGCTCTCCGTCTTCAAAGGGTGGCCCCTCGGACAAACACGGAGAATCTCGTCTATCCCGAGCAGGAAGATCAATTCAATTTCATTAAGCGGCGTCTTGCAAGGTTCATCATCGCTTGTATCGCGGAAGCAGTGGATGGAGAAACTGTACATGTAGATTTCGAAATTGAGATGCTGCCTGATGCGGACTTCGCAAAAAGAATAAGAATTTATGAAGATTTAGACTTTGAATGGTAGTTGTAATAAATTTATATATGGTTTTTGACGTTTGGACTGCTGTAGCTATAAGCCAGTGCGGAGGAAGGACCAATCAGGGACCAACCAGATTTATTTTGGACAATCAGATACAGCCTGTCAGGGTCGCAGCTTCACGGAGCAGACTTAGAAGCAATAATTAGATTATGATAGCCCGTAAGGTCAGATCTAGATACAAGACGTAGCGCGAAGAGGAAAGAGAAGTCGCGCTATGCGAGCGGCGCGTCGCCGCAAGAAAAGGAGTCATGGCGAAGGCGAAGCCATGACTCGTGATACCTCTGACACCACCCTGGCACGCGATCCCGTGACACAGCCATACCATGAAGTAAATGGAACAGTACTATCAGAATGCTACTGTACCTCCTTGGGCTTAGGCCGCCAGAGAATATATATATATATTTGCGAACATATGTACACGCGTTTTCAGAAATCGGTTTGAGCTGGTGGTCCTATGAATAGAGAAGCGGGAACTCGGTTTTGGAGGAATCCAAACTCAGTACGTAACGGTCCAAACGCCCACGCCACTTCTGGCTAATGCACTCAGGTGCTAAGGCGATGGAAACCAGTCGCTCCTTGATGATCGCGGGTGGTGTAGGTGTGACGTTGACAAACGGTCTTCTGATTGGTTGTAGTTGGGCGAAGCTGGGCATTCGGTGTCGGAGGAACCAAAGTCAATGCTCCGGACGTAATGGTCAAAGCGTGATCCGACTCGATGACGGCGCCCAATCCTGCTCTCCAGGCGGTGAGCAACTGGTCCAGCTCAAATGGCTCACATGGTTCCGTATCCACTCTCATGCGGAGACGAGCTTGATTGAAACTTCTGGGAAAAGGCGCATTCATTGGTGGGCCGCTTGAGTGATCAACCTCCCCGCCACCTTGTCCGTCACCTCCCACTCTGTTCTCTGCACGACGGAGCTACCTGCGCCATCCCGGTATGACTAGCCCTCAGTTGATTGGATTATGTGCTATAGCAAGTGTCGCTGTCCGCCTTACGTTCGGTTTCACTATGGATCTAGTATGTGAGGGGATAGGCGACAATTTCTCCGTAGTGTGAACGTCAGACCAGCTAACTTTATACAAGCTTGGCGGAATGCCCTGTCTCGGGGCTGGGCGGCCACGCCTGCAAGCCTCCACTTGCACTATTTGGTGTTTACGTATACGTAATCAACAGATTGTGCATATCCGCTTGAGCAAAGCCAACCAATCATACTCGCCTCCAGCCTGTCACGGAATAGCATACTGCCGATGTCCGCCAGTGCCCACTATCCAGGCCCAATCATCTCAACTTCATCTTGTACATCACCTGTTGTTTTCGCTCTCCATCCTCAACTCTGTCTAATTTGAACCCCATCTACATCAGCGTCTCGGCTCGCCTCCCTTCCACCCTTCGTCTTGCGCACGCACTCGCTCATGTCAGACAGATCTGTATCCAGTGTCCTCTTTATTCATCTGCTCCTGGCTGCTTGTCCGACTCCTTGCGCGAGTAGGTCTGGAATCCCGTCGGAACTCATCCAAACGTCGCCTTCGCGGCTTATGTTTGGGTCTGTCACCCGTCGCTCTAGTCATTCTACTGCTAGTTCAAGGGCCTTCAATGCATCTCGAGTAGGGTCTGGATCACGCCGGCACTTGTCTTGTCTATGACCAGCCTGCGACGGGCTCGTTGAAAGGGAGGAAGGGACGACATGATCACGGTAAGTATTAACCCTTCTGGTGCCTGTCTACTACGTTCTCTACGTATACATCCAGAGTTTTGAATAAAAGCGAATACAATATGTCGTCCGACGAGGAGATTTTCCTTAAATGCAAAGAGGTCTTTGTCACGTACGGAATTAAGGGGTAATTAGGATGGTGTCACGGAAGGCACTATGAAGGACGTGGAGATTAGGGTACACTAAGGGGATATTAGTGTGGGATGAAGGGAAGGGAAACCACTGCACACCAGTGGTTCACCAGAGCTATAAAAGGCAGCGTCCAACCTAACAAAGGGTTGGGAGGCGAGAGATGAATGCAGTCACCCTTGAGAACCCTATATTCTGACCTCTCCACTCTGTGCCACGAAACCTTCTGACAGTCTTCGCGGTGCGTGAAGATATTAAAGGTAGACGACGGCCCGAATTCATTGACCAGCCCTTCAGATTTGTCGCCAAGTATAAGTCGTCAGGTTCGGTCGTCTTTCGTCTTAGCTTCTCCATCACCGACAGCGCCTTAAATGAAACCGTTATTTATCTATAAATTACACCCAACCGTATTGCATCACTGAGGTCTATTATCTGCGACACGAGCAATACAAGCAAGGCGCCTCACATTGAAATCGTCAATCAGAAACTAGACTGCAATGTAATCCGCCTCCAGTTCCAGCTGCGGGGCGACATGCATGCCCAAGTCATCGTGCCGACGGATTTCAACCTCGATGAGTTCCCCGACAGCCTAGCGCGGTGTGCCTTTAACACTGCCACCTCACTCGCGGCCGCTTCATTATTTTCCGTGTACGTTCCGCACAATGTTTTGTCGTTGAAGCAGTTGGGAAATCTCGTCCAGGCAATTCCGCAGTTCCCGAGTTTGACGACAGCCCAACAGAACGAGTATAATCGCATGGTGGATTTGCGCGGGCTAAACAATGGCAAGGGTGGCAAAGAGTTTACACCCGATGACCAACGGACACCAGCCACGAGCGAGCCGCATGATACCACCATTCCCTTTAACACTCCACGTTACCCAGATTCACCCCCCGCATATGAAGAATGCCTGAGTGAGGGACAGCAGTCGAGAGCCAGGTCCGATGTTGCAGCCATCTCTGCCGACAGTCCCGTCGGCGACCGTGCCTTGTCGGAGTATGGAGGCAGGGAACGGAATGCTTTTAAACGCCTGCTCAATCGCGGGAGCGAAGACATCGACCTGCCCTTATCTAAAAGAAACGCCCAACTCTCAGGAAACGTGTGGCGATCCCGTCTTGCAAGTCTTGACAGCCATCAGAGCATGTTGAAGTTGCGGCTCGAACGCCAGTGCCAAGAAATCAGATAGCTAAAAGAGGGTGCCGAGGAACTTCAAAGGCAGAATAAAAGAATCGAGGGACAGCGTGATGACGGGGAAGAATACTGCTGTGTCTTGGAGAAGCGCCAAGTTGAGAACGAGGAGGCCATCGAGTCTGTAGCCATCCATGCTGACGAGCTGGCTGGAGAGTTCGAGAAGCTCCGGAAGCAATTGCTTGACGTTTGTGATGAGGTGAAGGACTGGGCGGAGAATAACATGCAAGAGATGATGGACAAGTACATAGAGAATTGGCTTGAGGAGAACATGAGCCAAAAGTTCATGGACAAATGGCTTCAGGAGAACATGGGCGAAAAGTACATGGAGAAAAGGCTTGAGGAGAACATGGTGAAAACCATGAAACGTCACATCGAAGACCAGGTTGCGACTAAAATAGCTGAAATGAAGACGAAGATGCGCGAAGCCCTTTTAAACTAGGGACTGCTGCTGCTTGGATACCAGTACATTTTACATCGCGACAAAAGCTAAAGATTATGTGCAAAGAATCCAGGCCCATTGCTCGGAAACAGAAGTGAAACAGGATGAGTTGTGGGTATAGACGCTGATGATAGTTCTTCTCTGCTGTAATATAGCCATACCAGACGACTGTTTTTATTGCTGTGCTTCATTTGCCGACGTAGCTGGAAGCTTAGTAAACAGGTCGAAAGAGCATGAATACACATCGAACGACTCTCTTTCTAGTCGTATCCATATCCTGACCACAGCTTTATCAGAATAGATGTCACCAAGCAACATTCGAAATACAAGCTGCAGCTTTGCTGCTCCAGCAACCAAGCATAAGGCAAACTATATGACGACCTGTCGATTGGAAACATACTCGCGGCTTAGATGTCGGGCGAATGCAGGAGGGTGTTTAATACACATCCCTGGCTGTCGATTTAGGTGGTTAGTGGTCTAGGGACAGCACAGGATGTAAGGACTGGACTGCTACCGATTTTGTGCTTTGTTCGTCTAATTGGAAACTGATAGAATGATAGTAGACGTTGAGCTTGTAATAATGCTCCAATATTCTCATTGTAGAAGGCTATAGTACGAGATAGAACTCGGCCTATCTCATCAGCCTGGAAGAAGTCGATCTCGCTTCGCGGTGAAATGCCTACAATGGATACTAAATAGGTGCGATTCTGTTGATAGGTGTAACTTGGGTTAATCTGCCCTCGAGTATTAGAGATAAGATGACTTATTAAGCTGTACAGTAGTGAAGCCTTCTGTTTATCGTCCGCATCTTCCTTGGTGGTAGTTTTTGTTCGGCAATTAAGCCAAAATGTCAGTGTGTCCGTGCAAAAGTCTCTGGTTCGGATTTCGTCCTCTAGCGCTTTGCAGTTCTCAGTGGCAACACAGTACATAAAGACTATCGACTTGACAACGTGTAATTACACTTCTAGATTAGCCTTGCGAACTTAGACACTAATTGATACTAAGGATAATTTACAAGGTGTACCCGTCTTTTGCTATGTATCTTCACTGTCTCGTTGCATCGACTATAAAGCTATGTTACGAGCAGGTCAGGGCAACCAACTGTGGCACAAAGCAAAAGCTTCGGTAATGATGACTCCGGCATTATTATCCCCTGTTCTACACGATATAGCTACGCCGCACAGCGACCAACTGTACCGACCGTAACACCTACAACAGTACTTGGTCTGACATCCTTTATCAAAGCCTCGACTTGTGCTTCAACTGGCCTAGTATGTCGTCCTTTTCGTTCCCAAATGTTGTTAATCCACCAATAAATTGTTCCAGCTTCTCTTCAGTAACGATTGGGGCTGTGATGTAATCTCTGGCGTCCGTCCTTGCTACCAACTCAGGAAGCATGGGATTTAACTTAGTAAAAGCCTCGTCCTCATCATCCCAGATTTGGTTATGGTTGCCAAGGCCATGTTCGATATACCAGCTGGCGTCTTCTCGGATGCAAGACCGCACGAAAAGATCTAACACTTCCGGGGCCACACAAGGGCTCCGTAAAGCAGCTTCGTAGGCTAAGCGCTGCCCGGTGGCTTCAATCATTCTCCTGCAGCGGGGAAGAATGTTATTATTAAAGCTGTCGCCCCGGTGGCCGCCAGGCATGGAGGAAAGCTTCGCAGCAGCCTCTTGAAAGAGGCCGATTTCGTGTTTTGCTAGCGGGCTGTTACCATCGTTTGGCTCGGGCAGCGAGTATTTGCCCATTAACAGCTCCGATGCTAGACCTTTTGGTCAGGTTAGCAATATACCGTGTCGAGCGGGAGAGAAAGAAAAAAACCTACGAATGCAAATAACTAGCGTATCGCCCTCTGCTATCGAGTTTCCTTGGAAGGTTGATGCCAGTTCGATAATCTGGTTGTAGGCAAATAGGCCCTGCCACCCGCACCGCTCTGCCAGTTCAGTTATCAGATGTGATGACTGTACTACAAGCGTCTTGAAGGCAGCTGCGAGGCCTCGGCGCACATCCGGGTTATGCTTTGGGTTCATAAACTCCTGAACAGTCCACAGAGCATATGCGTGGAGCACCTCGCCATACGCAAGCGCTTTCAGGATAGGGCGATTCTGGGTACTAAAGCGTATAATTGGCATAGTTTGGCCATCTCGGCCAGTCCCAATTTGCCGACGCTGGCTATATGCTGCAGCGATGCAACCTGCTATTTTGATGGCTGACACGCCCATAATGGACAATGACAAAGTTCCTACGGATACCCTCCAGATCTGCGTGAGAAAGTCTTCTCTCTCATTTTTTGCCTTTGAAGTTGATCCGAGTAGTGCGCTGGGATGTAGCCGCACGTTATTGAATGTCGTCACGGAATGATCAAGTGGTTTTGTACCGGGCCGTATCGGGAGGAATCGTGTCACGATTCCCGGACACATCCCCTCCGTACTGTTAATCGGCGTAAGGAACGGTTTCACCCCCCGGTCTTCACCCTTTACGAAAAGGCGTGCGAAAACGACAGCAATCCGAGAGATACCTGCTAGCGGCGTAGCAGGCGGCATAGCTTTGGCAGCGGCAAAGGTAGGCGTATTCAGAATAAAGAAGCCGTTGTCTTCCAGAGTAGCAGTTGTTTCCAGATTACGGGCATCGAGGCCGTGTCCCGTTTCTGTAAGCATGAACTCTCCGCAAGTCCTGAAGTTGAGGAGGTCATCGAGTGTCGTAGCCAGGTCGGGTCGGCTCGCAGCAAACCCAGCAATTGTGCCAATGCAGAGATTCAGATGAATTGTCGAAATGATGAAAGCCGTCATGTCTCTAGCGGAAACCACTAGTGGAATTCAGTAACCAAGAGTGTTTCCACTTTTTCTTCTTAACAGACGTACGTACTATCAAAGTGGAAGTCCCAAAACTTTGGTGTCAGGTGAAGTACGTCATCAATCGTCAGACCTGCGCCTGAGTTAATAACAAGTAAATAGTTACTGGTCTCTAATAAAAAGGTACTCGCCACTTGTTCGACAAAGCAGCTTAGCACGCTTATAGTGTAATTGAATGTCGGACTCTGATGCCTCATGGCGACTCTCATGCTCTGGCTTCCACACGTCATGCTGAAATATAGATGGACGAATAGATGAACGAGGACTCATTTTGTAAGATGAGGGGCAGGATCGAAGTAGGTAGAATGTTGATTTGTGGTGTTATCGTTGACCGTGAAATGGCTTGGACCAGAATAGAGCATAGTTTGAGATTCTGTCCAACTACCAGACTCTACAACCTCGCTAGGGTATTATACCGTCGTAATATATAAATGGCGAAAAAAAGTAGAGTATTTTCTTACATCCGTACTACAGTAGATACGTAGTGTTAGCGTCAAAATGCATTTGTGCGGAAATTTGCGTTAAGGAGCTTCAAACGGCTTACCCACGGGGCGCTGATCGTTTATCCAGATTCGCACATCTTCTACACCACAGGTTTCCGTATGTGAATATAGGAATCCATAGTCAGCTGTACAATAAGGAGCCAAATAAAGCTTCGTTGTATTGTAAATCCGCTTTGCCTGTTGTCACGGTTAGGGTGGTATTCTGCGTATCTCCGTGTTAGCACCTACGCCACCACGGCCATTCAACATAGCTACTAGGTCATGTTCGCCACATATTTAAAGAATAACTTAGCCTTCTAAACAGAATATTCTACAATATTCAATTCACGACTTATCAGTTCTGCTTATATCTTGGATACAATGAACCTACCTCAAGAAGACGTCGCTTCGCCGCGATCAGTTGAGAACTGCCACAAGCTTCGGCAACTAGCGACAAACCTTCTTGGTGCCGTTACGGAGTATACCCTCCGCGGCAATATGAGTGGGACCCAAGAGACTTCTTTGAAGTCTAGGATTGTCAGCATTACCCAAGATATCCGCAGCCTCGTTAAGGACCCGAACGATCAATGGCAGCTGCACAACATCCAGAGCCATAAGATGGCCGCCATCAAGCTTTTCTTTAGCTGGCACGTCTTTGAACATATCCCCTTGTACCAATCCATCTCTTACGTCCAACTAAGCGACCTGCTGAGCGTTGATTTTCCACTTCTCGGTAGGCGTTCCAACATAACCCCATACCGAATACAAGCTTTATTAACTATACAAGTCCGAGTTGCACGAATGCTGATCTCCACTGGGGTTCTGGAAGAGGACGGACCCGACCGGGTTGCGCATACTGTGAACTCTAGGATCTTTCTTCCCGATAATCCTTACGGAAACTTGAACCAAGTTGTGTAAGAATCTGCTTAAAGAGTAGTAGTGCTTCCGTTTAGCTAACTGCATAGGCTGGAATACGGATTGTCTAACTGCCATGCCGTTCAGTATTTCGACAAAAATGGACGAAAAGAACCGGATGGTGTCGGACCCAGTCCTTTCACATTCACAAACGGTCTGCTTGATAGCAATATATGGAACATCTATGAGGACCAAACGAAGGCGGATATCTTCATGCGCGCAATGACAGCGTTAGACCGCTTCGCGCCTATTACCGGTACTGGACTATATAGCTTCGCGTGGATTGCAAATGCATCCACGACGGAAGACAGTAAAAGGCCGCTGCTGGTTGACGTTGGTGGTGGCAGGGGCCACGCTGTTGAGGCTATCTGTAGAAGCACTGGACTGTCATTGGAACGCTGTGTGCTGCAAGATAAAGAGCCTGTCATCTCTAAACTTAAAGGATCGGAAAGGCTCTCGGGTCTGCAGCTAATGTCTATCGACATGCACAAGGAGCAACCAGTTAAAGGTGTGTTGCCACGCTCTCGGCTAGATCCAAGCCAAGCCCGTCCTTCTACTGACCTGTGACCAGGAGCACTAGTATACTACATCCGCCATTGCCTCCACGACTACAGCGATGACGTAGCCCGCGGCATTCTTCGGAATATCTCCGACGCGATGACGGCTGATAGTACGCTGCTGATTGCCGAGCAGGTGATAGGCTGGCCTCCGAAGCCTGAGTCTACCGCCATGGACATGCTTATGCTAGCTGTTGGTGGGAAAGAGCGGACCGAGGCAGAATGGCACCGTCTTTTGCAAAGCTCCGGGCTGGTGCTGGCACGAATTCACGAGACCCCTGGCTCGTCGCATTGTGTCATTAAGTGCATTAAAGCCGCTCCTACAACGCCTAACTAGCGTCAACTCGCGTAAGAGCATAGATTAGGCCTTGCTGAAGAACGGGTTACGAGGCCGGGAAGGAGTAGTCGATAAAATAGAGCACTATTTGGATCTGAAAACTGGGGGAATGGTGATACATATGAGACTACACTCCACATTGGAATCCTTGGAGCCAGTTTCGTGTGTCAAATTGGGGACCCACACTCCCATGTTCTACTCGATGGGTCAAGATATAATAATTAGTTATCGTAGTTATCGTACATACAGTACTGTACTGTGTAGTACTGTATATATCCATATAGACCGGGAAAATATCAGGTTCCCCAAATTGGCTACATAAGTTAGACAGCCATATAATTTCGCATCAACCTCTCCTCTCTGTTTATCCTTGCTCGCAAAAGGGCCGTAATCAATGAGGACAGTAATACAGTTAAGCGACGGGCCTAGATGTCAGCCGCGGAGGGTCTACACTTCCAGGTACGACCAAATGGTCTTGGAAAACGATAAAGATATTGACTGGTGGTGGTCTCTGCTGGCTAAAATCTTTTCGTGGTTGCTGTTAGCGGGATACATCGTATTCCCCTCCACATTTGCATCCCTACAACGATCGAAAACGCTAGAGAGTATCGGCAAGGTTGGCCACATCGTATCCGGATGGGTGAACGACTTCCTAATCTCCATCGCCTCTATTCTCTCAGGAGGGGCTTCCATTGGCCTGGCTTACTTATGGTTCAAATGGCGCACAAATTACATCTGGGTAAACCAGCAAATCATCATGTGAGTCTCACGATCCGTACCCAAATCCGCCGCTTATAGTCAGCCCTACGCTTGTAAACTCTCTCATGGGGTTTTTCTCGACCATGCTTAATCTTTATACTGTTCATGGTGGCGAGTGGTCGACGACTTCCATAATCACAGCCACCGTGACGGCGTGGTGGCTTTGCCTATCTTGCATATTATGTCTTATCTACCGTTACCTGCTTGGGAAACTTCAATCAGTTAGTGCACACGATGTTGAACAATGGAATGATTTGGACAAGAATTAGAATATACATAACGCTAGGAAACCTATTAATCATACTTAGCTTTGGCCTTGTGTCTAGTTTTAAATCTTTCGCACGTCTTGGCCTCTTTGTTCTCCCGCCTATAACTAAGCAGATAGAAACATTTCGAATACTGTATCTGAGGATTTGAAGAGGAGTACTGTACAGTAGCAAACGTACTGTAATGTTCACTAGCACTATGCGGTTTGAGGTCTATCTCCTGCAGGCTTCAGCGGTTTTCGGTATGTGCCCCGTTCGAGTTTCGCCCCAAAGGGAAGGGGGGCTAGGACACTTGCACTTTGTGCAGTTCAGTAATGCGTCAAAAATTGACTGTGCTGTTTTTCCAACGGTAAAGGACGGCTCCTCAACTGAAAAGACGAAAGGTTTGGCTCCAATCATAATTATAGGCCAATTTTACGATTGTGCGCAGGAGAAACTGGATTATAGTATTGAGCTTTTGCGCGAATTGCTAGGGTAATGCCATCATAGATTAGTGCCCCCTCCATCGTCAACCACCTTATGAACAGCACACCCATTTCCTACTCCTCTTCAACGTCATGTGGGCAATCGCTTTCCTCATGCAAGCAAAATCATTTTGCAGCGGCTTGTGCGCGCCGTTATTTTTCAAAGAAGACAAGTTGGAGAATGGCGAAAACATATGGATCAGCACGGCACATTCTGGCGCTGCCATTCACACCGTAGTATGGGATCTTTCTCAACTCGCGAAGAGTACATGAAACACATCCAAGAAGGTCATAAAGTCAATCTGAACGACTCCCAGCTACGCGCTTTAGCGAAACAAAACTGTCGTAAGACAGCAAATTAGTGTTTGCAATGTAGAAAAGATGAGACCGCAATTCAGGGTGATATGGAAAGCCACATTGTTACAAGTGACTAAGGGAAGACAAAAAAGGACGCCTAAAGTGGCAAGCTCTCTTCTGATGCTTCAGAGGCACAGGTTGAAAGCATTCGTAAGAGCCAATCGATGAAAAAGGTAGTACCCAAGGCGCTGGATTATACGCTGTCAGCAAGCTTTATATTAACTTGTCCCTAAAGTTTAAACACGGAAGCTGACCTGATTTTGATTGTGAAAAATGGAAAGTTAAAAGTATATAAGAGGAACACGTACATTTTAGGTACATAGAACGCCAAAATCTGAGATCGTTATTAAAAGTCATCTTTGTATTGCGAACTGTACCCTTTTGCTTTCCCCAAGCCTTGTGTTGATAATGAAATTTTGTGCCATATCCATCAACTATCTGTGACCTTGGTAACCCCAAACAGGTTTCGCTTGTAGATGTCTTGGTCAGTCTTCTTTCACGGACGTCGCATTGCGACATAGTGCAAGATAGACCAATCAGATATCATGACAATTTGAAATACCTCGTGAATAATCTAATACTCATATCTTCTCGATTTTGATTCGTCCAATGCCATGGTAATGATCCCTTTATATCAGTCAAGTCTGTCACGGAATAAACGTCAATAATGCCTACGAGCAGCAACCGATTGCACGCCGTCAGCCTTGGAAATTTGAAGTGACCAGAGTTTCGATTGTGTCTTAAACCTCCCACAGAACATCCACGTCATCGAAGCGGCTCGTGGGTCACAAACTTTATACATGGCTCGGCAGGGTTCTTTCCCGTCCAACGAGCCTGATGAGTGAGACTGGGAGACCGAAACACTTATCTTAACGTCTCTCGGCAATACCTTAGTCGGTCACTGGCTTCCAACAAGAGCTCCGAATGTGACTGCTCAAGAATCCGTCCCAGTAAGCCTAGCAATTCGGCCAATCCCTCGCTAAGGTTCATTGTCGACTCGTCATTCAGCTCATCCAGCGTCGCAAAGCGGGCAAGATATGGAGCAATTTCGCTGTGTTGTCCCGGCGGCATGTTTTTACTAGGGGCCTCTTGTGCCTGGACAAACGACCAGATAGTCAACGCAGCGTAGTACATGATCCACGGTCGGTGAGGATCAGGTTCGTCGCGGCAAGAGTAGAAGACGGATATGGGCTCGGGAAGCGATCCAAAGCTATTAATCCGTGTCTTTGGTTCTCGCTTATCGACAAGGACACGGTATAATAGCTTGAACGCATGTAGCACGGCGTGTCGCGTCGATGGAAAGGTAGACCAAGTCCTTATTCGTGCGACAGCGCTACAATGATCCCCGGTGGAGATATTCCTCCCAATTAGGCGCTTTACGCCGGCATATAATTGACAGTCGACTATGTCAACGTGGAAGCTGATGTGTGCCAAGTGATAGAGTACGGCGGCGGAGTGGATGGGGCCATTTGAGCTTGTGGGCTGTCCCGGCGCTTCCGGTGTGTCATCTGCCCCAACAGCATTGTCGAAGCTCTCCTTCCACTGATCGAAAGCCCGGAGAAGGATCCTCTTCCAGCCTTCATGTGTCTCCGTGCTTGCTGTGCGAAGGTCATGCCATTTGAGGTGTAATTCGCGGCGGGAGAGATGCCAGCCGACGCTAAGCAATCCGGACATGATGATCATGCGGCCAAATATGTGCGTCTTTACTTCTTGTCCATGCAGAGCGCTCTTCAAGCCATCGAGGAAGGACACCTGCTTGATACCATACATTCTATAGTTTCCTTCAAGCTGGCGAAAAATTTCAGGCGTGGAAGCCGTCCAGAGGCCGTCATCGCAAGGCAACGGAAGCCGTATCTCATGTGGTGCTATATCTGCTGTATGACCGAACATGGCTGCGTGCATGATATCCAACATAAAAGCCGCAAAGACGACACGATGCATGGACTCTGTTTCGGCCCATCTGACCTTCGGCCCATCTGACCCAACATGTCCTCAAGTCGAGCGAAGTACTATTCCTGGATGCCGAAGCTTGTTCTTCGGGAGGGAATCCACTGCCTGCTATCCCGATGAGGGGACTGCCTCTGCGAAGGAGCGTCAAGGTAGCGGAGTGATATTTGTGGGCTCGCTCGTGGAAACGCCTGGAAGAGAACATCTTCTCGTAGAACTCGAGCAACAGAAGCGACTGGGCGATGAAAAGTCCCTCTGACGATGATGCTTCCTCCTCGGCGGTAAGTATTTCCCAACGAAGACTAGATATTATGACATCGGAAAAGCCTCCGTATTGTTCTAGGCTACCTGTCGAGTCTCTACTGCTTAGCGATGCGGCTCCAAGGGCTAGCATGACCATTACCAAGTAGATAGGGCAATAGTTGGGCGCAAATGTTGGCTGATGTACGATCGGTAGCCTTGGTGAGATGTTTTTCCAATATTCCTGCAAGCAGTCTCTCATCATATCCAAGTTCAGTGCAGGCAAATCTCCGCCACTTTCCTGCACCAAGTCATGGATTCGATGTTCGAATTTAGGTTGTTTCTGGCGGAAGACCTGCAGCCAACGCAAGACCTCTTGGCGGCGATGTTCGCTAATAAGCATGTCGCTAGCCTCGACATGAACCGGTAGTATTTGGTCAAGCTGTGAACGACTGTCAAGCGAATCGTAGTCGTAGTGGATGTTGTTGTTGAACGTCGACTCTAGGCCGCCTTCCAAGAACGGGATGCTTGAGGTACTGTCGAAATGGCTGAAACTTGCTTGGGGGTCGAACAGCCAGTCGACAAAATTGCCTTTTGACAAAGCCTTGCCAGACTGAAAGTTGAATAGATTAAGCGATGGTACTGTTGATGACGCCTCCGGGCCTGACGGTTGACCGCAGCCAAAGAAGTCGTTGTTTTGGCGCACTATGTCGATTGATACCTTGTCAATGGACGGCCATGTTGATGTATGTCCAACACAAGCGGTCAATTCGAAACCAGGCGTGGCGGTTGTTAGCATGGACGCATTATCAAAGTCGGGATTCAACAGGATGGCTGCGTCATGAGGTCCTCTTGACGGTAGCTGACTTGTTACGGGGAACGGCGGTCGCGATGACTGATTTATTTTTGGCGACGACACGACAACTCTGGGAGGCGCATCTGACGCAGCGGAAGGAGTAAAACTTGGAGCGTCCTCTGAGGTCTCTTGTTGGCGCCGCACGGAGGCGGTGTCTTTGTCTCTAACCGCCGCTGTCGCGCTTTCGCTGTCGCTTGTCTCCACCATGATCTCTTCTAGAACAGGGCTGCTATCCCGATGACGATACGTAGTAGAGCGCGTATTGCGGCGTCGTCGGCTAATAGGGGGTAGGCCGTTGTACAAATCTAGTAACTAGCAACTAGCTGTCAGCACTGCGAGCAGACGGTGGGAACCTCTTAACGTTATAGCGGTTGCTTACGAATCGATTTACGTCAGGTATTTTCTGACCCTTGGGCACGTAGATTGCTCCGTCCAGTTGTTCGTACGTGGGATTGAAGTGTACGGTGGCGGAGAAGACCTTTGCGTCTTTACCTAGTTTGACGGCTCTGTGCTTGGCGGTGCCGCCACGCTTGCGAACTTTCTCCTTGGACGCGTGGTCGTAGGTATAAACAACCCCATCAGACGAAGGCTTCGGTGCCATGATGCCCGATGAATTATGATACAAGGCTTAGCTCTTCTTTCTTGACCCCGTTTCGGATCTTATGCCCTCTTCTTTTTTTTATTAGGCTTATAATGTTATTATCTTTTTCAACAAGTAAATCCATTTCTGGCTTCGCTACTGACGCGGCCAGATACAAGCTGGGAGTCGAAATTGGCTCTAACAGTCTCTCCAACGAGTGCGATTATGGAATACAGTCTCTTACAGTATCACAAGTACTTCCGCAGCGTCCCTGGTACATATCTCCATAGCTTACCACACAGCTAGTTAGTATAGCTCAGAGGTGGGAAACACCATGTAGAAGAAGTGCCAGTGTTGGGGCGTCGGGGCAACAGACCGCATATCACCGGGAATCTTACTTAGCAAAAGACGAAACATAGAAAGACTAAAAGAGTTTGTGCATTCAGGACGATATTGTAATTTTCCTAGTTACAACACTATAACACCAACCCAACAGCAAGGACACGGATCGGACTACCAACAAGATCTGCCACGCCAAGCGCTTTTTTTTTCGGAACAACTTTAAGGGCAAGGTTTACTTTCCTTTCTAACCTACTATCTTAGGAGCTAGAAACGGCTTTTAACTATTGCAACTGAAATCCAGCATATAGGCAGCAAGTCTTTCGAGCCTGGCACTATACCCCCGAATTGACGGGCGTATATGCTGCGTTTTCTGCATTCCTATATACAGTGCCAAACTAGCCTGTGTTTGAAGGTTTATATAGTCTAGTAATAGCTTTTAACCTTAGTGTGGACTGCAAGACTAAGCACATGGTCGTAATAATAAAAACGGCTTCGGTTAAAAACTAGTATTTAAAGGCCGCAGTCGATACTTTTCGTCAACAAGGTTACGCTTTCTGGGGCCGGATTGCTTTACGTTATAGCTTGAACTATAACACACAACTCGGAAAAAGCCTCTTTTCGTACTACACCATGGAATACTACGATGAAAGTCAAAATGAAGTAATACTTAGCAAAGCCATCCAACACGACTTTGTCGGAGTTGAGAGGACAGCCAACTCCACCGATTCTTGGTCTTCCGGCTTCAATACACCCTCGTCCAGCAACAACGGGTTTCCCGCTGCTGATTTTGAACAGCCACCAGCAGCCCTACAAGGGGACTTTTACGTTAACCCGGAAACAGAGGACGCACCCACGACGACAGTTATGCCTTGGGGGTTGCCCGGTCAAGTTCAGCATGGAGTAGCAACAATGACATCAATGCCGTCACTAGGCCGAATGGACAATCTGGATCAATACAATAGCAATGAAGTACACATGGTAATTTGCCAAACTGTTCTCATTAGTTCCCTGGTTATTCGTAGGATAGGCGATAATTTGTTCGTTAGGATGACATGATTTTCCATGTCCTAGTGCGAACACCTGAACGACTTTTCAGGCGGGAAATCGCCGCGGACGCATTTCAGCAGCACCAACTTGATTCACAACGAAAGTCAGATACACTACGCTACATGCTCACGACCAACACAGACCTGTTATTGAGAGACTCAATAGGAGACACAATTCTGCATACGCTAGCTGGTGACTTCGGTCAGCCGGACTTGTTTACCGAGACGGAGGGGTATGATATTCTTAGGCTCTTCTTCGACATAGGCAACGACGGATTCGGACCATTAGTCAAGTCTTGTTGTCTCTCGATGATTAACTCTCAGAACGATGGATACAGCTTTACCAACGAAGGAATCATGGGACCGTTCATGCATACCCCTCTCGGCGTAGCCATCTTGTATAACAATATTGAATGTGCGAGATTGCTGCTCCAAAACGGTGCCGACCCTAATATCCCAGGCGAATGGGGAAAACCGCCACTCTTCTTTGCACAACGGAACCGCAGTGACGAAGCCATCAGGTTGCTAATTGAGTCTGGGGCATTTGTTGAACCTTAGTTGGTGAGTTGAAGGCTCGCAGTTGAAGCCCTGCTAGCTATAGCTTTTTTTGCTCAACTGCGCTGGTGTGAGCGCACTGCGTGTATATTAAGTTAACAGCCCCCGAAGAGGCGCCCCCTGAATTTGATGGCGATGTGTAGACGTACTGAGTGTCTTGTGGATCTAATCTAATGGCTTTACCATGTCGCGAACACAATGGAGAGAATCACCAGTTTAGTCTCTGTCTAAGAATCAATCTTAGTATATTTATTATGTCGTTATACACACGCGTAATACTCGTTCAATCATTAAATTGGCGTCGAACGAATATCTTCTGATTATCCGCCACAACAGATAATAGAGAAGCCAATATTATCGCCAGTGTGGGTAATTACCTCCTTCTGCCTCCAGTGCTCTAGCCTGACTTTGGAGATGAAACCGCAAAGCAAGGGCCTTAAAGAAACGGCTCCTTTGCTGAATGCGAGCGTCAACCCCTCGCGTGTTGTCGGATACTTTGTCGGATACGGTTGTTGGCGAGTTGCCTAATCGACCTACACGGTCTCGACGACCTGTGCTATTCTTAGGGCTAGACAACTCCTTCCGCAATGAGTTGTTTTTGGCCTCCCTCCCGCCCTCACTGCTCTGCTTCGCCTCTTTCGCCTCCTTCGCCTGCCTCGCCTGCCAAAATGTTATTGCTATATGCTTGAAAAGCTTAATCCTGTTCGCATCCTCGACTCCGGTATGTTCTCCAGCGTCGGGCACTGCTTCAGGCCTGGGTGATGATAGAGTCACATTGCTCTGTTCGTCCCCAACATTCTCAAAAAGCCAACTGGGCATTACTGGGCTGTCTTCCTCCTCAAGCCCCGCTATGTCCGCCAGTTCCCCATCTGGGAGGAGAAGCTTGGACCAATCCGCGGAGTTTTCTCTGAGAGTGGGCTGCTGCGCCTCGGCGTCATCCATATCCACTTCGGCAGGGTTGCCTGTGTCAGTTACGAGCCCGTCCATAGTTTCTGGTTCTGCCACAACATCCACAACTGGGCAGCTTTGGGCGTTAGCAGGAATGTTATCGTTCTTTTCTTGCTCGTAGTCCTCCTTGTCGTCTTCCTCGTCGTCGTCGTCGTCGTCGTCGTCGTCGTCGTCGTCGTCGTCGTCGCCGTCGTTATCCGAGTTGGGGGACGTGTCTTCTGGGGGCTCTACTATCCCAGAGCCCTCTTGTTCAAAGTCCAGGTCGTGCTGAGCGTCTTCCAAGACCTCTCGTTGGTGCACTGCGTTGTCTTTGTCTTTGTCTCTGACTGCTTCACTGTCGCTTGTCTCCACCGTGATTTCGTCTAGGACGGGGCTGCTATCCCGACGCCGATGACGGGTGGAGCGCCTGCTGCGACGTCGCCGGTTGATCGGCTGGAGGCCGTTATACAAGTCTAGCAACTAGCAACCCACCTATCAACACTGCGAGCGGACGGCGGGAACCTCCTAACGTTATAGCGGTTGCTTACGAATCGATTTACGTCAGGTATTTTCTGACCCTTAGGCACGTAGATTGCTCCGTCCAGTTGTTCGTACGTGGGATTGAAGTGTACGGTGGCGGAGAATACCTTGACGTCTTTGCCTAGTTTGACTGCTCTTTGCTTGGCGGTGTCACCACGCTTGCGAACTTTCTCCTTAGCCGCCTTGTCATAGGAATATACAACCTCATCAGACGAGGGATTCGGTGCCATGACGTCTGAGGACTTATAATGTAAAGCTACTATCTTCTTCTTGACCTCGTTTCGGATCTTACTGCCCTACTATCGGCCCTGTTCTTTTTACTTAGGCTTATAGTGTCAATATCTCTTTCGAAAACAAAAGTCATTTCTGGCTTCGCTACAGACATGGTCATACACGAACACCGCGAGCCTGGAGTCAAAACTGGCTCTCACGGTAGGCTCCATAATACTCCAACAGGTGCATTGTTAGAAGTCAACCTATTCATCACCAACCAGTGCAGGGGCAATCCTAGCCAATTCCGCGGCGCGCGTTCCGGACTACCATAGTTTGACACGCAATGACTCCGGGTTGTAGCTTAGGGTCTAGAATTTCCCACGTAGCATTCACTGCGGATAGGAACATTGATTCCGCGACATCGGCTATAGCGGGATTCGTTCGGAGGTGTCACGGCACGTGATGAAAGGAATATGCGGACCACTCCACCGCAATTTTACCAAATTTATAATTTACGTTGAAAAAAGAAACGAAAAAATTGCCAAATTGGACTACCGATCTGCAAAGGCCCTGTATCATTACTAATGCGCATTAGGATAGAACACGGTCTGGTCGGTCGAAGGAAGCTGCAAACCTGACTCAGGGACATATCGCAATTATCCTAGTCAACGTTCAACACTATATACTAACCCACATAGCAAGGACAAGGGCCGTAGAACCAACAACGCAAAGCACTCTTTCTAGGGATAACAAAGGACAATCTTTTCTTTCTTTTCTCTTTCACTGCCTTTCTCCATCTGTTTACGCATTATGCAAGTCGAATTTTCTTCTTTGATACCCCGCCCATACTCTGGTCCCCACTCTTTGGAGAGTATTCCGGGCTGCTTGACATCGCGCCCTTCACGGTAGCATGATTCGCGTTCATGTTACCGGTCGCCGCTCCTGCCAAGGCTAATAGCGGATAGAGACCCTCGTCAAGACCCTGATCAAGACCCTGACCAACACCCTGCTCAATACCCTGATTTGAACCCTGATCGGCGCCCTGGCCGATACCATGACGTAGACCTTCCGGAAGATAGCTATTATAACTCTCACCCCCTACGCTAGACTGCAGCTCAAGTATGGAGCCTGGACTGTCCGATACTTCCAAGTTGACGGCGTCAAGAAGGCCCGGTGACAAAGGCTCGGCAGCTACTCGGAACCGCATCAATTCAAACTCCAGGCTCCTAATATACATCGTTTGGCTGGCGACGGTCCGACTTTGCAGCTCGCTGTCAGCCTTGGTTTTGTCGTAGTCTCTTCTGAGTTCGAATATCTCGGCGTCTTTTGAAGCAGCATATTGCTGCCACCGCGAGACACATTTCTCCATCTCCACAATGACAAGTGTGACAAGTCTTGCCGGCAGGCTGTCGAGACCCCAGTCGGTTGTGTGCTGCGGCATCTCCATTGTGAAATACTGTAAGGGTGCTCGTCTAAACAACTTAGAGCGCTCCGCTAGCTGAAAGGTAGAGGAGCCCAGTGCCTTTTCAGTCATGACTACTGATATTGGTTCCGGGCGGTTGGTAACGCTTGTGATTGGCTTTTCTGATACTGCTGCTCGTGCTTCCCATGGCTGACTGACACCGAAATCTGCTCTGGTTCTGCAGCCATAAAAGGCGCCCACCCAAAGCGAAGATTTTGGCTTCAGCAAGCATTAGAAAACCTCCAATACCCAGTATCAGACACCATGGACTTTTCATTCCCAACTGCATTCCAGAAACCGCCGGTCATGTATCAACATCAGCCTCAAAACCAGACCTTCCAGTCTTCGCGTCAGGCTTCCCGGCCGGGGCCATACCAAACCCCCCGAGGCCAAACCGGCCCTTCGCGGCGAATCCCTTACCAGACGGCTAGGCAGCCGAACGTTCCCCCGAGTATCTCTCGGAACGATGTGTCAGCCGCTTACCCCTCAGATAGCTTACCTCAAAGTCCCTACGGCCATCAGGTAGAAAAACCTTCAATGTAAGAATCAACCCGCTGCTGCTTGCCTGCTAGCGGCTTACATGTAGCAGATCCCCAAATGCTCCCGAGGTCCAGAAGGCCAGCCAAGGAGTCGCGAATGAAGAACAGATCCTCCAGCATCTGAGGGACATCAGTGCCGCATTATCTGGCATAAAGCAACAGTTGTCTAATCACGGGCAGGAGTTTTCCACTTACCGACAGGAAACATACAATCATGCAGCCAGGTAGATCACGCTCTCGGCATTCAATGTTACTACTGCTAATTTTAACTCCCAGAATTGAAGACCTGACAGATGCGGTTGATTATATACGACAAAATTTAGAAGCAGCAGGCGCCTTTCTTGTATCGGGCGATCCTGCTCTCAACGACAACGGGGACATGACCAAATTACTCAACTGCTAGTTAACAATGCGAGATGGCGGCTTGTACCAAGACGGACATTAAGGGAAAGGGACTCTTGCAATAGCTTTGCTTTTACATGTTATCTATCCTAGTCTCATGAACGCCTTAACATTTTCATGATTAGAAATTATCATCATTCATTTTCTTTATTAAACTTCTAAACCGCCTTTCCGTTTTACCTACTTCCTAACCCGAATGTCCCGAATAACGCAGATTTCGGACATGTGCTTTTAAGGCCGAGGACATCTCTAACACACGCTAAATCCCGAAGTCCCTCACTTCGCAATCTCTTCCGCTTCGCCTCCTTAACCTGACTCTCGCAAATATCTCCTCGCAATTCTTGTTGCCTGATTAAAAAGGGAGTAATCTAATATGCTGGTGAGAAAACAAACTTTCCGGTTGTAAACAAGGTCCAAATGATGGCGGCCTACGACCAACCCACATGGCGCATTAGCGTAGATCTAGCCCTGTCTCTGCATACGTCCCCATCCCCGTGGACGGGGCATGACCAATCTCGAAATGGCGATATCTGCCGTGCAAGGCTGGTTTAGGCAATGAAAGACATACCCCTTGTCCACCTCGTGTAGACGTCCAATAACAGTCAACCTTATCCAGACAACACTGTCATGAGAGACCTACTACGTACATGAAAGTAAGCATTCTTCCGCTTGTTAATTGTCGGAAGGCGTGAACTGCATGCTTTTCACCGGCTTGCTGTGCTTAGCCTCCGCTTCCCATTGGCCCTGACGGATGCGTCTGCACACAACGGAGCTCTCCTCGATCCAAATGTCACACTTCGTAGAGTTCAAGTACAAGGGTCCCTAACCCTCATGTTTCGACGTTTTTCACTACAAATGCCGCTATTTCTAATTCTTTATTTGCTTAAATTCGTCGGTTAATCGACACGCTGTTTTGAAGAATAGCGAATTGCTGTTAGAGAGAAGCGCATCCAGCAGCCCTGGAGGTCCTACCAAGCGACTGCCGAGATCACTACGAAGAGAAATATACTCCTCTTGAGACCTTTCAGCCGCCAGCCGCCTATTGTCCCAACGACCGGGCCTGCCGTCTGGTCGGCATGGAATCCATAGGAAACTTCAACAGCGGATTAGACCCCAACCTTCCCGTTTATTGGGTCAATCGACCGTCTTTGACTCCTCTTTATCCCCTCCCCCACCACAGCAACCATCCAACGCACAAGCCTTCCGACTACCTATCCGGGGACTATCACACTCTCCCCGGAAAGCTGTTGCGGATTGCCAACTCCCTTGCTCAATGCCAGCCGGCCAACAAAGAGCCACTTGGCCGGCCCTACATTCGAGTGGGGACTGGGGCATGGCAAGGGGGGTGGTCACGGACCACCATGGGAACCTGCCTGGAGCCATATGGGAGACTGCCCTGACAGAAGATCCAACGGCGAAGCTTATGGCCATGGAAAGAGATAGTCTTGACGATTTGGCCTGCTTTGTATGCTACAACCTTAGGCCGCGATCAGATTTCGATCGTGAGCAGCCGAGGACTGCTGTTAAGCATGCAAATGGACGGCCTGAGCCTTATGACGACGTCAAGCAGCCTGTGGTCTCGCCGCCGGCGCACCAGCATACATGAGCGCGGCCAACGTCTGACTTCATTGGCCGGGTTGCATTACTGGGTATGCTACTGCCAGACTTTGCGCGCCTCATTAAACGGCCCGAATCGAGACATTGATGTCTGCCCGGGTTGCCGCCAAGCCTGTCCTTTACGGAATCCTGCACTTTGTTGATCGGGCAGACATACCTCAAATGCCCTCCAGCTATGTGGGGTTGGAGACCGGCATTACCCTGGAGAGTGTTTGGTTTAGGGTAGGTGTACTGTAGTAATTGCAGGGAATATGTCGCTATCCTGCTTTACCAGAATAGGAAAGCGTGATGTGGTACCGGCAGGGGTTATCGCTACATGGAGGAAATCGTGAGAACCCCGAAATACAGTAGACGCTGTAATTAATCTTTTTCACGGTTAGTAAAATAAGAATCAGACTCCGTTTCAAAATCATGCTTGATTTTTTCCAATGACTTGTGCCACCTTGGGATCCTTCCCGGCTCCGTGAGTGTGAGTAAAAGTACATTATCCATTCTACATCCAACACAAGGTGGCGGCAGGCCGCGCACTAGTGCAAGCGGGACCATGCCGCTGTACTCCACGGGAAAGGTGAACGTGATTATTTGCGGATACCAAGACAGAAACGTGCCAACAACAAAGGAACAAGCAACGGATGGACCCCTTGGCAAAGGCTTATTGATCCTATCGGGTGCGTGATGCATATGGCCGTACACTGAATGATAGCAAGCCCTATTTAGCCACTGATTATCCCGTGTCTCCCGAACTCAACATTTGCTAACTATTCGGCTGGGAAGATCCTAGAACAGTCCATTATACCACACGCTTGATCGCCTTCTTTCGGCACTATGGCGGCGAACAAAGTACCCAATGAGCTTTGGATAATGATTGGCCGAAAGATTGAGTCAGCAGCAGAGCTCTTCGTGATGATTCAGTTAAGTCATCGCTTCAATCAGCTTTTCGGGCCTCTCCTTTATTGGCACAACGTCAACATTGACAACAGCTCTGCCCTGCTGTGGGCTATCGAGCAACGTTCGAATCAGCCACAAATGGTTTCAATAATCAGAAACTTGCTGGAAGCAAACGCAAAAACCGACATCACAGATGAGTCTGGCAGGCGGCCACTGCTTCGGGCAGCGGAGTTAGGTCATAGCGATATTGTACAGATACTCCTCGAGAACAACGCAGACGTCAACGCACAAGGCGGTCATTTCGGCAACGCTCTCCAAGCTGCATCCTCAGCCGGCCATCTGGTCGTTGTGCAGAAACTCCTCGACAACGGTGCAGATGTGAACGCACGAGGCGGTTATTTTGGCAACGCTCTCCAGGCTGCATCCTCAGCCGGCCATCTGGTCGTTGTGCAGAAACTCCTCGACAACGGTGCAGATGTGAACGCACGAGGCGGTTATTTTGGCAACGCTCTCCAGGCTGCATCCTCAGCCGGCCATCTGGCCATTGTGCAGAAACTTCTCTATAACGGTGCAAATGTCAACGCACAAGGCGGTCGTTACGGAAATGCCCTCCAAGGTGCAATAGTAGAAGGTCACGACGAGATTATAGAGCAACTACTCAGTGCCAAGCCACAGAGTAAAGATCATGAACTCCGGGTTGCATCCTTTATGGGCTACGATAAGGCCGTATGCATGCTTATCAGTAAAGGTGCAGACGTAAACGCTCACGGCCTGTTTGTAAACGCTCTCTACGCTGCTGCTTCAAAAGGTCACGATCATATAGTTAAGATTCTTCTCGACAACGACGCAGATGTTAATGCGCAAGGTAGTCACAATGAGAACGCACTCTACGCTGCAGCATCAGAAGGACACGAGGAGGTTATCCGCATGCTCCTCGAAAAGGGTGTGGATGTTAACATGCGAGGTGGTTGTCATGGGAACGCTGTTCGGGCTGCGTTTAAGAAGGGTCACAGCAATATCGTGAAGCTTCTACTTGATCATGGTGCGGATATCAAAGCACACATTGGCCGGAACGGCATCTTCGAGGGCCGAGGGTATGAGTAGAGAAAACAGCCTAGGTCACCCCTAGCAATAGCAATACACTGTGGAGGCCCAGGTATAAGTTTTCTCGGGACCGTAATGGCAGTTTTGACTATGCTCTTCAACATAAGGTAATTCTTCTGACTTAACCTACGTAACCAGTCATATCAACGTCTTTAACAAGTCAAAACATGAAGCTAAGTATACACTATTTAGATTTCAATCAACCCCTATAATGCGTGGCCGGCGGTACGGAAAGGAGGTTTGCATCGTACGTTGTATCTCTATGATTGCTCACTTTCGACCCAGGCCATGATATTTCGAATGCTCTCGTAACTGTAATGCCTCCGTTGGTATTTATCCGTAGAGGCGAGGGTATATCCGGCTTTTTAGAATGTTGCGCTTCATGTGTGTCTTGGTTCCTAGGTTCGTCAACCCCAAGAGATGTTATTCCATCAGGAGTATGCTGAGTCCGAAAGTGCCCCTGTTGTGATCTCGACGAAGATCGGTGCTTCGATTTGAGGTGGGCGAGCAAATTCACAACCAAAAGGCGTGCAGCAGGCAAACTGGCACAGAGTAAGGCAGCCGCCTGTTCGATAAAAGACCACATAACAATGTCAACATGGTCCCAAGTCGCGTCAAATGTGTCGGCGTACTGGACTAGAAATTTCATCCGAATCATGGAGGTTAAGCAAGCACTAGAAATCGACGTTTAGGTTAGTCGCCGATTGTCCGCATGAAGGAAAAATAGTAAAAAATTGGAAAAAAAAAAGGAAAAAAAAGGAAAAGAAAAGAAAGAAAAAAAGAAAGAGAGAACGGATGCGTACAAGAAGCCGATGCTGAATAGGGCTAGCAATGCAAGACGCCGATGGAGCGAGATCTGTAGCCGCCATATTTGTGGGATAGGAAGTACAAGAATCGCAACGTCTTCCGCTATTGCCAGAGCACTATTGCTGTAGCCGACGGCTGTAAGGTTAACGCACCTCCTTTCGGTTATATTCCGGTCCCAAATCGAGTTTATGGGCAGGCATTGTATGGCACTAGGTATAAGCAAGGCCGCTCCGTGCAGAAAGATCAATAGAGTCAGAGCACGAGCCAGTCGCTGAAAGGAAGTTAAAGGAAAGATCCGCATCAAGAATAAAACGATAGATAGCTTTCCGACGGCTTGGAGTACTGCATACAACAGTGAACCAACATACAAGAGCTAGAGTTGGTTAGACCTCCTGTCGGATCAACGGGATAAATGCTTGTTAAACCTTGAGAATAACGGTGCCGTTGCCAACCTGAATCGTCCAGTAGTGCATCCCAAATCCGATGTATGCAATATATAGATACGTAGTAGCGAGTGCGCCCAGCAAGCCCTGGTCAAAGTTATCAGCGATAGTCTCAATTGAAATTCGAATACGTACGGCAGCCAGGATTGTGATGTAATCATCGATCCAGAGTCTTTTGGCGTATCTCGCTCTGGCGAACAGTCGAAGGACGATAGTGGGAAACACAACGGCAGAGCCAACGATGATGGTACGCTCTACAGCGAGGCTGCGTGAAGCTTTGGGATACGCCGCGCATAAATCTCCTTCAACAACAGCAGCGGCTTCTTGGAGTCAGCACGCTTTACAGCCATAAGTTGTGAGTCCAAGTATGTACATGCATACCCAGTTGGTCTCCAAAAGAGCAATAGGTCTGCGCGCAGATTGATAACTCTGCCTGTAACGTGATGTTGCTGCAGACGCAGGTCGTCACATCTCCCAAACCGCAGGCAGCAGACTTAAAAGAGTCGATAACACAGTCGTACTAGTGGACTTAGGCATTGGAAATCAACAAGGAGTGACGGCTTCTTACAGCGCAAGCAGGCGTCTTGGACAGAATCTCGACTGCATCAGCGGCCTGCGCCTGTTGAGGCCACATGAGAAACAGAAACGGTAGCAAAAGTTCAAGGGACATGGCGCTGGAGTTAGCAGTGGCCTACGAAATCTTGACCAGGAGCCCGTCGTCTTTCAATGAATCTGAAACCAGGCTAAGCTCGTCCTGTATAACAACTAGCAAGTTCTTGGACTCGCCAAGGATAACGGTCGATAACGACTTCACATTCAAAGCGGCTTCCTCTGGTGCTCCGAAGCTGGAGACATGACTTGGTTGTATTCATTAAAACAAACGAGTCTTACGCTCCGCAAAAGAAATCATCAGCATCTCTAATCGACCGTAATTTGCGATAGTTAGAATTATTTACGCTGTCTAATTGACATCTATTTACGTCCTCTACGAAAGTTTCTCTGTCTATTTCTTACTAGTTACCAAATGACTACCCTGGGATCCCAGTGTGGGTGAGTCAGGCCTTGGTATTTCCGTTCCAAAATTACTATCAATCCTCCTTCTCAGAGGGCTAACATCTGAACTAGATCCCTTGGTACCATCGGCCGCGTTCGTCCAACCCCGACAGGAAATAATGCGTCCTAATTCATTTACGATCGAGAAATTGATATTGTTCTCTGAGATGTCGTCTTCGTATGCATGGATTACACGATTGTAGCGATGCATGGGCCTCCGCAGATTTGAAGTGTCCGTTGTGGGCTCTTTGCCGCATATATCGTCGTTAAGTATAGGCTCACAGGGGCTTCTTTGTTGAATAGGGATAGCCCGGGTTAGCCTCCATAGAAACGTAGACTTCTGATACTGGCCATAATCGTCATCCGAATCCGAATATAGAAAGCTCTGGTCAGAGGTATCGACTAGTGGAGGTTCCGCTTGAGTCCTCGAGGTTGGGCCGTTTGGATGCGTTCGTTTTGGCTCAATTGGCTTCTTCATCTTGTTGTCAACGGTACTACTACTGTAGCTGGCTGCGTAATATAGTTGCTTTAGAAGGGGTTATTTCAGTTTATGTCTCTCTTGTTGGTATGTAGCAATGCAAGTAGAAATGATATTGCAAAGATTTCACCCATGAGCTAAAGCAAATGGAAGTGAAGAACAATACCACGCTATTCGGCAGTATTCAGGTACTAAAATGGATATTCTCCTCTTGCTTGAAAATAGGTATACTACGGAAGATTGGTTATGTTTAAGGTACTGTATTTTATTCGCTACATGATATCCTGTAAATCTTAGAGACTATAGGGCTGGAAAGATGACGTATAACCCCAAACACCCGGGTAAACGCCAGTGATAGATCCATTTCTGGCTATAAAGTAATATACTAAGCCTCCGTTAACGAGCTCTGCAACGAGCTTGCCATCGACCGCCCAGCCAAATTGTCCACACGAGCTGCTCGGCGCTTGGTCGTCAGATCTAAGAATATCTTGGCGCCGGGCAGAGTTGCGTTTTCTGTAATGACGGCTATTGAGTGAGAAACATAAGTCTGTCAACCGTATCTAGGTTTTGCTGCTTACCGTGGCATCCTTCGGCTGTGTTGAGCAATACCGTGGCAGTCCGAACCTCGCGGCTCCGCGGCTCCTAATGATTATGACTGATAAAGTGTACTAGGTGAGTCTTTCGAGGCTTGCATACGAAGCTGTTTGATACTGTATCAATTGAGATGTACAGTAGTAAAGATTGATTCGCGGCTTAAACTATCGGTGCAGGCGCGAGGTTCCTTGGACCGAATGAATATAAGTCAGATAGATGATATCCACTTTCGGCTTTACATCTCACCCTATTATCGCCAGACTCGGAGACATTTGATAGCCGCGGTGGCGCCATGTTTTAAGTGTTGTCTTGGCTGGACTTGGTCAACTTGACAGAGCGGGACGAAGCCTTATCCCATCGGGTGCGGCAAGGCAACAGGTACAACATTGTGAACCACAAACCGGTCCATATTTCTCCAAGTTCAGTGAGAAACAGGCATAGGACTGGAAGGAAACTCACACTGTCTGTTCCTGATTAGCTATAACTCCGCATGCTATGTATCTGTTGCCTTGGCGCACTCGATGGGATAGCATCGCTTGATCCTCACATCACATGGTTGCAGAATTCCAAGCCGTTATTAGAACATGACTACTACAGTGTACAGTTTTCTCTTTGACTATTGTACAGTACAGTATGTCTTTGATTACTATCAAGTTACTGTAATTCTTTCTATTTTACTGTGTTTATGGTGTAGCTTCATCTTCGTCCCTCTGATTTAAACCTGATAATAAGTTATCGTCGCTGTTGTGTACTATTAGTGCTATTCAACCTAGAGACAGTGAAGCAACTTTGATCAGGTGAAGCATGCCAGTGTAAATGGGCGACTGTAGTTATTTATGTCTCTGATGATAGTATTAGTGGTCCTTGAATACTTCGTGCTCATAACATCGTTCCTTGGATTACGTCCTATTTCGGTGAGCTTAGTTCGTTCGTCACAGTGTCTCTTTAGCTTAGGTTAATATAAAATACCCTAGCAATAGTGTCCACGAGTCTACTTCTCGTCGGGTCGTAATTCAAAACATCTTCATAATTGCAGACAAAAAGGCTCAAAGAATTAGAACAACTTTGTGGTAAGAGACAAGTTGCTAATGAGTAATTGCCCCCGCGTAAGAATCCACCGACAGATTGAAGCCGTAGCAACAGCTGTATGCTTTGCAGTACAACGAGACGGTTGTGTCCGCCGTTAATCCTATTGCAACTAAAATAAAATCCACAGTAAGCCCCTTCGGGGGCACTATCCAGAATAGTTACAGCCAGTTGTGCCGCGACCTCCCCGGTATTGACATTATCTTATTGTTCTTAGCATCTACGATTTGGAAGTCATACTGCTTATCGCTGGTCCTGACGGGAGCAAAGGTAATGCTTTCTGGGATTTCCTCGTTTGGTCCTTGCCGGATGTTCTGACCAGGGGCGGGGCCATCACATCGGTCCCCCTTGGGGAACAAACGCCTACCGACACCGATTTCCGCTTCTTGCATCCACTCGGTATGAGACATTTTTGTCTCACGATCAAAAGAATCGACAATACCGATTAGTTGTTGGGCGATTGTATCGAGAGATGTCATGAGAGATGAGCGCCTGTTGGCGAGGCTTCTCCAGTAGTCAAGCTCATGCCGAAGACGACCTACCTCGCGGGTAAGCTCCTCTAGTCTCTTTTCTTTACTAACAGGCGTTTTCTGAAATTGTATATTGCCTGCGAGAGTGTCCATTGCATGCGTTCTACCTCCCAAGGCTCCTACTTCGAAGTCAATGTCCGTTGGTATTTGTGGCCATCCATCTGATGGTAACAAGCGGTCTTTGCGTCCCCGAGATGTCGCCATCATGCTCTAGGGAACAATGTGTTACTACAAGGTTTACTCTTGTGTTCCAAGCGGCTCTGACTTTCGTATAGGGCTGGCTCTAAAATGGATTTTTCTGTAAGTCTAGAATAGATTTTATGTTTCTATGTAAGGAACTTCGAAGGTACAAAGAGCGGAATTTGGATTCTAGCTAGTGGTATTCTAGGACGTTATGTATAACGGATACACTCTAGTATACATACATAAATTGGGGACAGTACAATGGATTTTTTTTATATATGGTTAGAATGCCGTACAGTTTGCTAAGTACTTGTTCTTATCGCTGCGCATTGAGGAAGCTGTCTTTGCTAACAACATCCGCAGCCTTGTCGTCAGCTCGCGAAGCTCGTCTAGAGCTTTGCAAGCCGTTAAACAGACTTGTCTATAGGCTAGGATGTCTTTCTCTAATTCACCTATCTCTTGATAGAGCGAACGCATGGCAGCCTCGCGCTGCTCGCTGGTCTGCTTGGAGATTCTAGAGAGCAGATCGTCAAGGTCGAAAGTGTCTGAGTATACACTGGAAGTTTGTCTGGCTGCCATGTTCTATGTACTAACTTGCGCGCAGAGGAAGAAATGGAATTTTTCTAGTTTTATTTTAATATGCTTATAAGCATGCAAGGAAAGTGAAGAAAAGCCGGAAGCACGAGGGCCGGCTTTGGCTTCAAAGATTCTAAATGTATCCTGCCAGCACTGACCAACTACATTTAACCTATAGTAACAAGAGCAGTCTCCAGAGATGTATGGAAGAGCAAAGCAGTCAAGAAGCAAAGACTGGCTCCATAGGTTACATTCTTAGTTATCGGCATAACTTTTACATATATAGCTCACGTTTCACGAAGCCTAGGGTTGCCCACCTACCCTCTATCTAGCTAGGTCTACCTTACAGATTTCCCATGGGGGCCGAAAACACGGGGACAGCACGGCGGATGTTTTCTACTCGACTCGACAAAGAGGGAATGGAAAGAAATAAAATGCATTAAATTACAAACTTCTAACATGCTAGAATTGTTTACAATAGGTGTTAAGTTGAGCCAGGGTTTCAAATTATCATCGCTGGCAGGAAGCCACGTCAACAGCGGAATGAGATGGCTCAACGCTGACGGAAGATACCACGTCGGCAGCGGAATTGAATGAGATTGTTCAACGCTGGCAGGAGAAACCACGTCGACAGCGGGATAAAAGTAATGGAAAGTGTTCATCGCTGGCAGGGGAAACCACGTCGACAGCGGGATAAAAGTAATGGAAAATGTTCATCGCTGGCAGGGGAAACCACGTCAACAGCGGGATAAAAACGAGATTGTTCTTCGCTGACGGAATATACCACGTCGCCAACGGGATAAAAGTAATGGAAAGTGTTCATCGCTGGCAGGTGAAACCACGTCAACAGCGGGATAAAAACGAGATTGTTCTTCGCTGACGGAATATACCACGTCAACAGCGGGATAAAAGTAATGGAAAATGTTCATCGCTGGCAGGTGAAACCACGTCAACAGCGGGATAAAAACGAGATTGTTCTTCGCTGACGGAATATACCACGTCGCCAACGGGATAAAAGTAATGGAAAGTGTTCATCGCTGGCAGGTGAAACCACGTCAACAGCGGGATAAAAACGAGATTGTTCTTCGCTGACGGAATATACCACGTCGCCAACGGGATAAAAGTAATGGAAAGTGTTCATCGCTGGCAGGTGAAACCACGTCAACAGCGGGATAAAAACGAGATTGTTCATCGCTGGCAGGAGAAACCACGTCGACAGCGGGATAAAAGTAATGGAAAGTATTCATCGCTGACGGAATATACCACGTCGCCAACGGGATAAAAGTAATGGAAAGTGTTCATCGCTGGCAGGAGAAACCACGTCAACAGCGGGATCATAAAAGAAATGTTGTGGCTGCCGAAATGTCTACCATACGGATGACTGCTCCTTTTATATTTTTTCTTAATAAACATGCTTACTAACGCAACCTAGCCGTTTCATGCATCTGGGGTTGATCATTTCCATTCCAGGTGGAAATGCTGAATCAAAAGCGGATAATGTGGGAACCGTGAAGGCAAAGGACAAGGAGCTCCCCTGGTTGTGAGGGGAGTAAACAAAAGATCCGCAATCGGTTTGCAATCACCTCTTAAGACGCCAGAACTAGCTGAGTCTTCTATGAAAGACCCGTATGCCTTCGGGTTACAGTATCCTTACATATCACTTGGTACATCATTTCCTGATCAAATTTGACACTTGGGTAACAAGCTGATGTCCTTGGAGCCGTATACGCCGCCCCTATGGACTATCTTAAGCCGTCAGTATCTTAATGTGGAACCATTGATATAATATTCATCACTGACATAATGCCTGCTACCTTGATTACTATGTAGGTAGTAGCCGAAATCGCAGTAAATGTATGGCCGAAGCAGCACTTCGGTGTGTAGAATACTCACGAAGGAAAATAATTACGCTCTGTTACTAACTCTGAGTTCAACATGTTGGGATACAGTACAGTATCAATACCTTATCTGCTCTATACTGTAGTTTGCTCTCAAGGATTCAGGTGGTTATGGCGTTTATAGTAGCTACAGCTAGAAAAAGACTACTGCTGATGACGAGGACGTGCAAGCAAAAGAGTAAGAGAAGCATGAGGATTCCGCATTCACTAAAGAATATTTGAAGGCCCTTAGACCTGACGATTTCTTGGTTGTTATAGCGTTTCTACTTTACTAAATATATGGTGATATCCTACTTTCAACAATCCTTTCCTCCAAGACCCTTTTTTCACCCATACGTAATGGCCGACTATCAGATCGGAAGTGAGCACCCCCAATCGCTCACCAGCGACTTCGTCATTGTCGGTGCTGGGTTTAGCGGCTGTTACGCTCTTCACAAAATCAGGGAGCTCGGGTACTCTGCCAAGATCCTGGAGGCTGGTAGCGACTTTGGAGGCGTCTGGCACGTTAACAAATACCCTGGAGCACGAGTTGACTCAGACACTCCGTCATATCAGTTTAGCCTGCCCAAAGTCTGGGAAACGTTCAACTTCGAGGAGAGATTCCCTGGGCATGAAGAGATTCGGCGGTACTTCGCACATGTCGATATAACTCTCGGACTACGGAAGGATACTATTTTCAATTCTCGTGTAGACGAGGTAAAGTACGACTCGAAAAGTAAGAGGTGGCTTTTTCGCACAGAAAAAGGCCAGCGTATTGAATCGAGGTTCGCTATTTTCGCCTGCGGATCTTTCAATAAGCCTTACATTCCTGCTTTTCCCAACCTAAATGCCTTTCGCGGCCTACTTATCCACCCATCGGCTTGGCCCGAAGGTGTCAAACTGGACGGCAAGAAAATTGGTATCATCGGCCAGGGGGCATCAGGGCTGCAACTCGTTCAAGAACTCGCGAAGCAGGATATTCTGTTAACTGTTTTCATACGAGAACCATGCCACACCCTTCCGATGCAACAGAGGCGACTATTATATCGAGAATCCGAGGAGCTGAAAAACTACTATGATGGCATATTTTCCAAGGCTAAGTTCGGCTCTTCGTCAGCTATAGGGTATAATCAGAACTCCGATTTCTATCATCAGGCAAGCGACAGCGACAGGGTTGCGCTTTACGAACGCCTGTGGGATAGAGGGGGCTTTGGGTTGACGTTATCAAACTATCGAGATATTATGTACGACAAGACGGCAAATTCAAGCCTATACGAGTTTTGGATGCGTAAGACTAGGGCTCGAATGTCTAATCCTGAGAAGATGGATATCGTTGCACCATTGAAACAGTCCCAGTGGTTTGGCGCCAAACGAGTCAATCTCGAGATGGACTACTACGAAATGCTAGACCGCCCGAACGTTAAGCTTGTTAATCTCAAAAAAACACCGCTTAAATCATTCTCTCGAAATGGCGTTGTGACTGAGGGCCACGACAGTACTTTGGACCATCACGAACTGGACGTCGTGATTTTGGCTACGGGCTATGACTCCGTGACGGGAAGCTTATTGGGTATGAATATCCACGATAGGCACGGAGTGCGCCTGGAAGAGAAGTGGAAAGACGGAATAAGCACCTACCTCGGCATGCTAGTACCTGAAATGCCGAATGCGTTTCTCCTGTACGGGCCTCAAGGGCCTACAACTCAGACAAACGCCCCATCTTTTATCGAGTTGCAAGTGGACTGGATAGCCAATCTTCTTAAGAGGATGCGAGACGAGAGTATCGACTTTGTGGAGCCCTCCCAGGAATCTTGTCGGTTATGGACAAAGCAGGTAAACAATGCCTTTGAGCCAACGTTGTTTCGAGAAAGCACGGCATGGTGGACTGGTGCGAATATAGAGGGGAAGAAGGTTGAGCCACTTGTGTTTTTCGGCGGTGTTCAACGGTGGTGGCAAGAGTGTCAAAGTTCTCTGAAAGACTGGTCTAAGTTTTGTGTCTCTGGGATGTAAAACAGTCATATAAAGATATTTGTATATGCTTAGTCTTTCTGCGAATTCATTTCTCGAAGCAGAATGCGCTGGAAGGCTCCAGGCTTTATCGGCCTGAGCTGTGATAATGGACCTGCAACTTGAAGTGCATGGATGGTTTAGTTTTTATTGTGAGAAGTATGAGCACATCCAGCAAACTCACTCGAACTGTTGTTATTGCATAGCTTAATCAACATACGTGAGCGTCTCCAACACATGTTATTTGACCGAGCTGCTTCGACCTCCTACGAGTAAATTAACTACGAAAGCGCCAGTGTCCTCTCGTGAACTCTGCAGGGCGTGGCTCATGGTGGACATTTTGCAGGCAGATAATAAGGATTAGACGGTTCAACGAAAGCCAACGGAGCCACACTTGAACATCGTCTGGGATACTAGCACGGAAATGGTTGTTGTTGTCAAAGGCTTTGTAACATATGCCGTGCCCAACAAAATCCTAGTGACACAATCTGCTGCTTCTGTCCTCTCCATCATACCACCAATCCATAAATCTCTTTAAGGTTCGTCATTTGGAGCCCTAAAGAAAAAGTAAGCCCAGGTCTGTTTGTGCCTTTCAGCCTACAATACCAGAGGGTTGACTTGAACCGACTGCTATGGTAAGTCCTATTGAATAAATGTACAAATTCCTAGACCGAAAGCGATACCGATTTCGTCTCGGCCAAGGTGTTCTCACTGGTTTCATCGTCATCCAGCCCTGAGTCGGTTTCGTCAGAAGTTCCGCCAGATTTTTGCAGAGGTGATATGTGGATAGCTAAAACTCACCCCATGGGCAATTTCGAGTGCAAAATCGGGTTTCATGGTCAAGGCCTCACTTCATTTATTTGGTGCGTCAGGTTCGTGTTGAAGGGATCCCAGATCTGGAAAAAGGGAAGACTTGATGTCCCGAGGTAACTGTCGGCCTTGTCGCAAGTCCAACTAACCCAATCACGTCGCTGCTCGCCGTTGACATGTGGCTTGAATCATGCCTATTATATGCACCGACTCTGTCATCTATAGCATGCCTTACCGTTGGTCGTAATCCTTGTTCTCTCGTCGAATAGGTGACTTTATGAGTAGTTGACTTTAAGCAGGTAGAGTAAGTGGTTGACGGCCATCTATTGTGGCCCTTCGATAGTGATCTCTCTGCTGTTCAGCCAGAACTGGACGCCTGCTCGCTCCAAAGTTCTTAAAGCGCGACGGCCCCTAGTATAATCCAATGCCTTTTCACAACTTACAGTACTGCCAACCGCCATGTTTCAAATCGGCTGGGTAATACTTGCTTTCATCTACGCTCAAGCCGTGGGTATATGCGCAAGCGCCAATTGCCTTTCAGGATATCGCAATGCTGTTTATTTTACAAACTGGTGAATGTATAATCGCTAGGATATGAATTAAATACTTACGGATAGAAGGTCTATATACGCTCGGGGATACCATCCTCACGATCTTCCCGCAGAGCAGATCAGCGTTCTCCTCTATGCATTTGCTAACGTGCAGAGCGACGGTTTGGTGTTAGTACGGCGAGCCATATTGATCAAAGCCTTCTTACTAGCGTTACAAACAGGGTCTCCTCTGATTCTTTTGCGGACCTTGAGAAGCCATATGACGGCGATTGTAATTAGTAAACCACCCAGATTATCTTTTCGGACCACTTACGGCTCCTAGCTAGGAAAAAGTGCGAGAACGACGTCTGCGGATGCGTGAAACAGCTATATCTCCTCAAAAAAACCTACCGCAAGCTTAAAGTGCTCCTTAGCATCGGCGGGGCGACATATTCAAGCAACATTGCTGCGGCCGCTGCTACCGAAGCAAAGAGAGCCCTCTTTTCACGAAGTGCGATCGCCCTGATGAAAGACTGGGGGTTTGACGGGCTTGATATTGATTGGGAGTATCCCGTTAATGAAAAGGAGGCGCAAGACTTCGTCCTACTATTGGGCAAACTACGGTCGGAGATGGATTCATACGCAAGCCAGTATGCGCCTGGCTACCATTTTCTCTTAACGATATCGTCACCCGCTGGGCCTTCGAATTACGACATATTGCCGCTCAGTAAGATATCGGATATTATTGATAATTTCAACCTGATGTCCTACGACTATTCCGGTCCATGGAGCTCTATGACGGGACACCAAGCCAATTTGCACTCAAGTCCCATCAAGCCTAACTCGACACCGTTTTCTACAGATGCCGTCGTCGAGGACTATATATCCAAGGGCGTGCTGCCTACCAAGATTCTTCTTGGTATGCCCGTGTACGGCAGAGCATTTCAGCAGACTGGTGGGCTCGGCCAGGCCTACTATGGCGCGGGCAACGGGTCGTGGGAGCAAGGCGTGTGGGACGCCAAGGCCCTGCCACGACCTGGGGCGATGGAGTATCACGACACGGCAGTTGGTGCCAGTTACAGCTACGACACAGATACCCAGGAGCTCATATCCTATGACAGCCCGTCAGTGACCAGACAGAAGGTTGCGTATATTATTGAGAGCGGGTTAGGTGGGAGTATGTTCTGGGAGGCGTCTGCCGACCGAGGTGACGAGACAGGACTTATCCACGCCAGCTTCAACGCTTTAGGAGGGGCCGCCAATGTAGACTGTTCTGAAAACCTGCTGCATTATCCCAACAGTCGATATGCAACTATCCGCAATGGATGAGATACCTCCAAGTCGTCAATATTGGATTTGCATTGTTTTTGGAAGTCGATGGATATCATCATTGGGTAGTACGCCCTCTAGTTAAACAATGACTTTGTACCAAAGAACGCAAATCTCATCTAGTTCTCTATTTCTCGACCGCCTTTGTTTTCGAATCTAGCATTGCCGCATGGAGCTTGAATAACACCTAATGCTTCATTACAGCAATAATAGTGCCCTGCAATAACCAAATACACCACAGGCTTGTGGGATGTATCGCAAGGGAGCATGCAAGTTCTGGCTACAGCATGGTCGTTTTGACTTATCCGGTCGAGTACACGTTTGAGATTCGGGCTTTAACTTCTGCAACGGAGACGAGGGGGTCGAATAATCTTGCGGGTCCTCCAGAGGTAAGGTGCAATAATAATACTGCACGGCTTGTAAGTAAATGAAGGGAAATTATGTACTGTACAGTAAGTAACGCCTGAAGCTACTTTGTCAAAGTCAATCGTATACAGAAAACAATCCCTAAATGCCTGGTCTCGATGTATAAGCCATTTATACTCGTTTTGTGCCAGGTTTGAAGCTGGCTAATCCTGTAGGGATTCACACAGTCGTGTGGCACTAGACGAACGGGGTGAGAGAATCATGCACACGTTGCGAATGAGGCCTTTTTAATCTATTCTGTCTCTTTACTGTGCAAATCACAGCTGATGTAGCGTTCCACGCTACATCATCCTTCTCCTCCCCATCTCGTCGGGCGCTTGAAACTCCTAATGCGAGGAATGTTCTTCATATTGCAAGCTATGAACGGATATTTATTCTATTTTCTGTTTTCTGTTTCCTAAGTATAGGAACCGGTACGAAGTCACATGATATACCTACTATAGCAAATCTGTCCGTCAGATGGTTGAGCTGCATGTCATTGGCGAATGGTGGTTGCTGGAACGGCACATCTTCGATTCGCTTTGATATCTTGCCGAAATCTCCGCAGTAGACCTTTGCCTGCTTAGACGAATGACGGCCGTCTCTTCTAGTTTGCTTGAAATCGTTGTTTTCACAGTCTGACAGCTTGATATCAAGGAGCCTTGTCCGCAACTGGGCCGGGCTGAGTGGGACGTCTTTAGCATCCCTTCTCGGCCAAAGGTCTTCGGACAAACCGAGAGTCAATGACCCAAACTGGAGTGCAACGCAGTCTCGTTTGGAATGGGCGCACCGCTGAACCTGGGGAGAGCTAACAGAGGGGTTAGGGTCATTGACCCAGTCGATCAATGCTTCGCTGTACTCGTACAGCCCCGTCAGCATGCACTCGATCATCCTTTCCCTCATCCGCGTAATAGATTCTTTTCAAGGTCAATACCTCATCAAGTGCGTTTATGGATCCTTTTTCTTACCTTCGACTCCCGGAGGGAGCGCCATGGAGCTGAATGAACTGACGGTGCTCACTTTGGAAAGTTCGTTGAGATAAGATACCTGCGGCCTAGAAACACCAAAAGCACCGCCAGGAGAGGTGAAAGCTGAGGAGGCAGGCTTGGTTTCTGGAATGGGAGCGCCAAATGCTAGTCTTTCGCCGACCCTGTTGAACACAGCAGTAATGCCGAACTCCCAAGCGATCCAGAGCCAGTCAGGCTCACGCCCTTCTATGTCAATGAGAAGAGAGAGTTGCTCCACCCATCCCTGGACCCATGGTTCAAAAACGGCGGTGAGAAACCATTTGTCTGAGAATATTGCAATCTCCCTTAGCTCAGAGAGGGTTAAAGTGGAAGGCACTTGCCCGAACTGGATGTGAATGATATTCATCAAGGTCATCACAGCAGTGTGGCTATCCTCTCTGTAATCTAGGACAGGCCGCTCATCTTTACACGCCTCTACCCATTCACCTTCAAACATGCGTCGCCACACCTGAGAGGCTCGGGCCATCGCATCTGAAGAGACAAGGAGCGCGTGCAAGACTGATTTACCGTTTTGACGGCATTCAGTGACAATGGTTACGTTGTTGGAACCATTTCCTATGGTAATTGTCCGTTCAATGCGCCCAAGAAGCTCACTGGGGGCGAATATCCCTGACTATGAGGCCGTTAGCCTCATTCGAAATTTTCCCAGCTCCATTTCTTGCAAGGGAGCCAGGTTCAGCAATCTATCAATTCAATCACTGACCTGCGTCTTCTTTGGCGACATTTCTAGTGGCGTAATCGAATGATTGCTATCGTTGAAGGGGCCGGGGCAGATGGTCAAATATCCGTCGTTGAACTTGGGGAGAAAGTAGATGGTTGAAGCATCGGAAGGAGGAACTGAAGACGGGAAAATGCGAGGGGGGCGACACGCCTCCACGGTGACCTTAAGGCGGCGCGTACTCCTCACAGCTATCGTTCTGTTAGCCGGCTGGCTGTTCAGTCTCCGATCGGGTATGTTGAACGACGCTCGCTCATGGCGGGGGGCATGCTACACCCCGTCCTTTACCTGCACGGCGCATCCGAAGCCTGCGTTTGTTGTCTCACTCCCACAAGTGCTGCCCTCCCCCGCCCACCCTGACCCCTGAACAGTATTGTGATACCCCACAGGTCGGTCATACAGGACAGGGGCATGGCGCTTCCGCTCATTTGAAGCATCTGTACTCACCGGTGCCTTTATACCCCAAACAAATTGGGAGGGCCTTTATGGAGAAGACGAGGACGTCGGAACCCAGCTCAGTTGGGAAGATGCCGTTCTCCATGAAGTAGAAAGAGATACAGGAGCTGAACAGTTGGAGGCTGAGTCTGATCAACCAGCTGGTACCGACGAAGGCTCTGGACAAACCGGGGACGCGGAAGTCGACCTGGGGAAACCAGAAGGCGGCACGGGAGACCAGGCAGAAGCCGGCACCGATGACCAAGCCAAGAATTCTGATGCCCAGAGTCGTCCGTACCCATCCCCTGTGTCTCTTCCACCGACAGCACTTCTAGCTATGACGATTCGGGATGATTCGGAATTCCTACAAGCAAATGCTCAGAAAGGTGAAAGTTTATATGATGTCTTTGAAGCATGGAAGGCAGCGTTTGCGGCTGGACGACAGGCCACGCCGGTGGGCATCTTTGAAGGAAAGCAGATCGACAAAGCAAAGCTTCAACGACTGTTAAAGAATCCAAGTTGCCTACACAGGCGGCAGATGCCTCCGTTACCGCGAAGCCATGCTGATCTTAGAAACCACCCCATGGGTACGCTATTCGAGACGGCGGAACAACAACATCTACGCAGTCACGCCGAGATGAAATCTTGGATTGAAATAAGTCGAAAAGACACCCGTGCGAAGGACTGTCAGGTCCTAGACTGCATGTGGGTATACGTATATAAATTCGACAAGCATGGACGGTTTCAAAAGGGCAAAGCACGCCTCGTGGTCAGAGGAGACCAGCAAATCAAGTCAATACATGAAGAAACCTATGCCGCAACACTAGCAGGACGGTCTTTCCGGACACTGATGGCGGTTGCTGCACGCTTCGACCTCGAACTAATCCAGTATGATGCCGTTAACGCGTTTGTAAACGCAAAGCTAGACAAGGACATATTCATGCGCATGCCTCCAGGCTATCGGAAACCAGGAATCATCCTGATGCTCCAGAAAGCGTTGTATGGCCTAAGAGAGTCACCACTCCTGTGGCAAAAGGACCTTATGGCTACGCTGAAAGACCTCGGGTTTGAAACCGTTCCACATGAGCCCTGCTGCATGATCAAAGGAGCTATCATTATCTTCTTCTATGTGGATGATATAGTCCTGGCATATGAAAAGAAGAAAGAGAATGAAATCAAAGAAGTAACAGGAAAGTTACAGAGACGATATAAATTAACGGGGGGAAAACCACTACAGTGGTTCCTTGGAATCGAAATCATTCGAGACCGAGACAAGAAACTTATCTGGCTATCACAGTCAGACTATATTGACAAGATTGCTAACCTATCTGAAGATAGAGATCAGCGACATGACATTCCCATGAGACGCGAAGAGCTAAGACCGTATGAAAAACAAGCTAGCATAGCGTCCATAAGGCGATACCAACGCAAGATTGGATCAATTCTATATGCTGCCGTTATTACTAGACCTGACATAGCTTTCGCAGCATCAAAACTAGCCAGGTTCAACGCAAACCCAGGTCCAGAACACCACAAAGCAGCAGACCAGGTTCTGCTTTATCTGAAGAAAACCAAATCGCTTGCCTTGCAATTCGGCGGAGACGATGAGTTCTTCGTAGCAAGCGATGCCTCGTTTGCAGACAATACAGAGGACCGCAAGAGTTCCCAAGCCTATGTAATGCGATTGTTTGGAGGCACTATCGGTTGGAGAGCTAATAAGCAAGCAACCGTTACTACTTCAACAACAGAAGCTGAGCTACTTGCTCTTGCTCAGGCAGCCAAAGAAGCTATATTCGTATCGCGACTACTTAAGGAACTTGGACTTCAATTGGATGAATCACGGATACGAATACAATGCGATAACATCCAGACAATACAACTGATCAACAAGGACATCACCAAGTTGCAGACAAAACTCCGACACGTTGATATACACAACCACTGGTTGAGACAGGAAGCTCAATTGAATAGAATCAAAGTGGAATACAGACCTACTGCAGATATGGTTGCAGACGGACTGACTAAACCGATGAGCCATACGCCATTCAAGACGTTTATCAAACAAATCGGCCTAGTGGACATCTCCAACCACCTAGAGAAGAGAAAGCTGCCCACACTGGGAGAAATGGAACTTCTAGGTGAAATGGAAAAACTGGAAAACTAAGTAACCCAGCGGATCAGTCTCTGCCTAAGCGGCCTCAACTGGGGGGGTGTGTTAGATTGACGCCTGCGTCCGGATAAAATGCTAGGAAATCTAGCTTAGTTGCATTCTTGCAATATGCTGAAACCGGGAAGAACGGGTAGATACAAAACAGAACCCCGCTTCAACCGGAATGGGTAGAATCACTCAATCAACAACATGAATCACTCTTTGCTCAATGAACCCCAGGTGTATTGCATCAAACTAATATCGTTTATCTAACACCCCTAGCAGCAACCCGGTACGACCGAATGCACGTTGATAAGTGGGGCCGCGGCAAAAAATTCATGGCGGTATCCCATCGACTGCGAGAAGGCAACAGGTACATACACATGAGGGGAATTAGCCAGTAAGAATACAGCCAAGACTTTTTCTAGCCAACCATATGGCCTAGATATTTGGTATCTCTTTTATCTATATTCTGACTATGGAAGAGGTACCAGCAAACATCTGTATCACATATCGCTACTCCATATTGCTGGCACCCTGACCTCGTCTTTTTCCCATGGGATCGTGAGTTTCCTGTAGCCTCACCTAATGCCTTCTTCTGTCGGTTACAAGCCACACAGCGTAGGGATTCTTCCGTTTATCCCTTGTGAGTTGTTACCGATCCCTAATTTCTTATATAGTTTGTGGCTTGCCTTCTTGCTCTTCAGCTTTCCAGCTTTCCAGCTTTCCAGCTTTCCAACTTTCCAGCTTTCCTGCTTTTCTGCTTTCCTGCTTTCCTGCTTTCCTGCTTTCCTGCTTTCCTGCTTTCCTGCTTTCCTGCTTTCCTGCTTTCCTGCTTTCCTGCTTTCCTGCTTCCGCCCTTCGGGCCGCCTTCATTGGACTCAGGCAGCAAGGTGTTCTCGGGCACACAACAGTTTGCCCCGCAACTCAAGCTTTCGCCCTCTTCAGTCGAATTTTCTCTCCAACACGACACCCATCATCACTATGGTCATTCCCACCATCAAATGATTAACCATAACTACGACATATAGATACTATTCGAAGTAAAGGTATCACAAAGGTCATGCGTCAAGTGCAAGCTGAAGAAGCTGATGTTGGGACAATATGCGCCCAGGAGGTACAGGCAATGCCCTCAAAGTTTGCGAAGTAATCAGCATGCTGAAACGTCAACAGCTGTCTCTGAATGAAGTCGAACTGGAGTGGCAACTGGTTCCAGATCTGCAAAAGAATACACCGACACAGCATGCAACTAAGGGGTCGGTGTTGGCGATTGTAGTTGACATGACCGAACCGAAGGGGCACATCCGAGTTCATGATAGCCAAGACGAGCAAGTTGGTGTGGTCCAGGGTCGGGCTAACAAAGGCTGCATGGTGATAGTCCCCTGGACACCTGGGTGGCAATACATCTGTTACGGTCCGAACCGTGTTGCTTATGTCTATTCTCAAACTCAGAATCCTACATAATCTGCTCTAATTCCGTTGAAAGACGCATTATCTCTCCAGGGTTGCATCTGAATGTGACAAAAGGCCACTGCTCACTGTCAGGTATTGTGAGTTGCACTTGGAGATCTGATTCCTTGGTCACCGCTAACAGCCGGAAAGTGTTCAAAACCCCCAACTTGTAGACCTTCCCAGTGAGTGGAGCTTCCCACCAATCAGTGTGTGCTGTGCTGCTAGTGGAGTTGTCTTACCGTCGGACAGCCGTGGGCCATTTCTTGGCTCAGCAATGTCCAAATCACTCAATTCGTGCTCCTCTGTAATGCGCCTGATCTGCGGAGCTGGTTCTCCACGAAATTCAGTGTCGGCAAACTTGCGTTTACAACCTTGCACCACTTTACAGTGGTCGGCCGTCGCAATGGCTGGAGGTTCTTGATATCAGAGCTGCTCCAACCATGGAAAGAGTACCTACAATTTTCTTTGATTCCATTCTCATGCTTTTCTCTATATTTGCCAGCCACCATCTTGAACCCGTTGGATATTGTGATTATCCGTTTTAACTGCTCGAGGAATGCGTCATGTTTCTTTATCTCGTAGAGTGCAGTCTATGAAAAAGTGAACGAACACAGTAAAAACATGTCAAAGCCGACATCGTCATGAATCCTCTTCAGGAGTTTGAAGGCGGCCTTGCGCTTCGACATAGTGGATGCGCTGTCTTCAGGGCGGCACCCCCCATCTGGAAACATGCTGATGGCTGTGGAAAGGTTGGCCTCGTGCCTGCTAGTTGTTTCCACATTGTTCTCGAAATACTTCAGCAATTTCTGCAAGGATTGAATATGCTTGTCCATGATGAGGAGAGAGACGAGGACACGGGAGAGAACGAAAAGTTCAAATTAAGGAGAGGGAGAAAGCAAGAAAGTGAGAAAGTGAGAAAATGAGAAAGTGAGAAAATGAGAAAGTGAGAAAATGAGAAAGTGAGAAAATGAGAAAGTGAGAAAATGAGAAAGAGGAAAGGTGAAAGACAGGAAATAATGGAGCCTCGGCTGTCTTCAGGTAAATTCGAAGTCATTTCGGCGTATGGCGGATTCGCACCATTCAAATTATAATAGGCTAGCTTATCGGTCGATACTGATTGGCTATACGCGGAGCAATCCTAAACATGTCCATGGCTCTCATGCGGATATTAACGTAGTGCCCAAGATCAGATGGGCAAGCTGAATCATCAATAGACCACCGGATCTGGCGATATGAAAATCCGAGACACTTGAGATACTACTACTAGATTCAACAACGAAGAATAATATTTGTCGTTGCTCGCAACGGTTTCAAGGCACACCGCATGAATGTCAATACCACAATGAAGTCTGTTTGCGTACCCCCACGTTGTGGAGTTTGCCGTTTTGAGATCCAACACGGCGACAGCATCGTTGCAGGTAAGATCCACATAATATTTGTGACCACTAATCTGATGTTCTTAGTGCGGCCGCTCGACTCCGAACGATCTCAGCCTTACAAGCATAGTATTGTGGGCTTTACCGACAGCGACCCGGACATGGAGTTTTTCGAGTGCTGTGGCAGATGCCATCATGATGAGCAAAGAGTTGGCTATCATGTTGAATGTATTAGTGGCATATCCAACGCAACACTATCAAAAATTCTCGAGACAACTGCATCTGCATACGACCCCCCCGTAATTGCCCAACAAAGACGCATTCGATGGTTTCAGTCCCGTTTAGCTACAATCCTCAAAACAGCAACCCGCCATATTCTCCATTTACCGGAGGAAGTTCGTAACATCATCGCCAAATGGGCCTTGGACTCTCGCATTACCCGTCATCGTTTGGCCACCGATTATGCTATCAAAAGATGCACGGGGGAAATGGGCGTCGTGTCGTCCGGGTTGTCCGTCAAGATTTGCGAGAAGATTTATGCAAGATATGTCGATTTCGAGGGTGTCCAATACATTGCCTACTTGACGAATACAGCCAGCGACGAGAGAGACATCATCCTGTTCGATCCAAGTTCACCAACATCCATCGACAGCTTGTATATTTCAAGTGATCATCTAGGCGTCCGACAGCTGTTGTTTGCCTGTTCCTCAGAACAGTGCACCATCGAACAAGCAGTAGGTATTTGGTGGAGAACAGTGAAACTGGAAAGCCTCGGTGGTCTTATCCGGTCTCGTAGTGATGTAAGTATAGGTCTGGTACGCAGGTAGTCCCGGCAGCTAAATCTACTTCTGACATTAGGGATTGAAACTGCGCGATCTCCATGGTGCAAATACTGTGTTGTCCGATGTCTTTTGGGATCTTCCACAGTTTCCACCCAGGCATATTCGGTTTGAAAGCCTATGCAATGCAGAACCAGGCGATCACATGTCGACAGTATCTTGTAACGATCCACAGAACACGGCCTATTCTCTCTGCTGGAATCGAAAAATTGTGATGCTACATTCACACCGAGCCGAGGAGAATCTCGACTTTTATCAATACATGCGAACCACGGACGAAACTGCCTTGTGGTTGTACATGCCAATGCATGCGGATGAGATACTGACTGAAATTTGGAGATTCAATGGTCCATTCAAAAGTGCTATTGCTCTACTAGTTCGTCTCGTTCTCTTCCTGAGCTGTTTTGAGGTCTGCTCACATCGCACAGTTGGTGACGAATCAGGGACGCTCGATCTTTCTAGGGGTGCAGCCTCGCACAAACTGGAGCCGTTCCGACTACACTCTTCTTGACCTACCTAGCAAAAGCTCGAGCCGTATTTACGCTGAGACGACAACATTTGGTGTACGAAGTTTAGGCTTCGAGACGCCCCGACCTAATCCCCAAGATCGAATACCCAGAGTTGATTGGCCAATCTCGTCATATCCGATATTTCGCCCTCATGAGAACTTTGCCTGGAACAGAGCCAAACTCAGTGACGTAGTTCAGTTTGTCCCATGCTACGGCAATATCCACCGAAAAACTATCATCATTGGACTCTTGCTCCATTATACCGACGGCAAAACAGCTTGTGTTGGTCAAATCAGACTCGATCGCTTAGGAGATGCTTTAAGTATTCATTCTGTTCGGAAACTTTGGCTAGGTTTTTGGCTGACGGACGACGGACCTTGTGTATCGCATGCTGTCTTGGCCCCAGAACAGCCCACGCTGCTAGATTGCGAGAGTTGGTTCGGGGTGGACTGGTGTGGCGACCTTGAATGGTGGTTTTCTAACCGACAGTGTCAGCTATTTTACCAAGGGCGGCTCAGTCCAAGAACAACCATGTTCGGGAGGAGCAGAGTATGAAAAGTGCACTGGTTTCTAAGGACCTGTTCGGAGAAAAGGTGTGTTTGGGTGAGATTGTACTTCGTCCAAAAAGGACGTTGCTCACATGCCACATCATCAACAACCACAACAGCAACAAACAAATGGCGATTATTTGATAGTTGTAAGAAATTTTACGATGACAATAGCCTGCATACTTAAGCAACCCTAAGCTAACCCTGAGGAACTAGAGTGCTTGGCGAAAATGGCTTCTTGTGCTAGTCGATGGGATAGGCCGACCCTTAATTTTATTTCATCAATTTCCTCCCACGCCTCAGCAAATATCAGCTGCCATTCCACCAACTTATGAGCATCAAGAGAAATCGATAATGAAATATCGTAAGTCACACTGTTCCACTTTCAGCCTGTTTCAACTGTTGTACAATCGACATGAGTGTCTCTCTAAAATCTGCTACACACACACACAATTTATTACGCCCGGCGGCAATGCCGAAAGGGCAACTAAAGCTGATTACATGTACATTTCTGACTTTGTGCCATGGTCTCCTTGAAGCCCATACTGTCTCCATTTTCTGCTTCCCCCTCCATTTTCTGCCCTACTCGCTACGGATTCCCGCGTTTTAGTGTATTATGGATTAGCATGCAATCTCGGAGCCTATTCTGCAAGTGTTCAACGTCCTATCTACGGCGGCTGAAGCGGTGCGTGCTGTCTGTCGCGGGTTGATGGTTGATTGAGATTATGTCGGTTTTGATTAGTTAAGGTGACTCTCCCCCTCCGTTTCTCATCTTGCGTCCAGCCGACCTGTTGCCAGCGCGAAGCGTATCGTCGCTCGAACTGCTTGCATGTTTGGCGTCCATTTATCGTCATCCGTTGCGCTTTTGCCCCAAAGGTAAAAGGATATGTTACTTCTCTGTGTTTTTGTGCATTGGAGCATCTCTGCCTGATGTGTCGTCCACTTTGTGCAGCGGAAGAGGAAGTGCTCGACTGTCTCTGTCGCTCGACCGCAGACACAGACGTGTGAGGGCACTACATCTATCCGATGCAAATAGTAGTTCAGTCTCGCCATCCTGGTTCTAAGCTGTGCAAGAGTGGAGGCTTCTTTCCAAGTGGCTGACGGCTCTACTCTCCGGAGTACGAGCCCATGTGTTGTAAAGCTAGAGATGCCCGACGGCGCTGTCGCTGATTACATGAATGGGGTTCATCATTCAGTTGATTCGTTTCACATCGGTACTCTTCGCGTCTCCGGCATGATGGATGCCGCCGGGCGTAATAGGCCTAATAAATTGTGTGTGTGTGTGTGTGTGTGTGTGTGTGTGTGTGCCTGTTTTCGATAGGTCGCATAGAAGCCACGGCAGTTTTGCACATAACAGGTGATTCAAAAGGAGTCAAGAGGTTGATGGCGCCAGAAGTGGCCTCAAGCCAGGCATTGGCAGATTTGATTTCAGTGTGTCTCTACTGAAAGCGTTGCAGGCGAACTCAACACCAATTCATTTGGGAGCCAGAACCGTCTTTCTAACGAGAACCAATAAGCAATCCCAATGGCCTTCCTAGTTGTCTGGGTATTTAAGATTGCGCATAGCTCGTGTCGCCCTAAGTCTTTTTAAACGTACATACATACATCGAAACACCTTGGAATTAACTCTAATGGACTCTCTCTGGCAAGTAACGCGTTAAAATCAGTGAAAGTGAGCTTACAGGAAGTAGGAACAATCTAATCGTTGAAGACGAGCGCTGTTGCTTAGCAGTTTCCTTAGCTGTGAATATCCCACATGATGGCTCGCAGGAGATATCAGCGCAGATGAATGGTGCTGTAGGAGATCGGTTCATGTCATATTTGGTAGGTTGTCTCCGCGGCCCACTACATGGTCGAGAATTTATCACCAAAATCGCCGCGCTGCTTGCATGCTTCAAAATACGATCAAAATCAACAACCTCGGATCTTTGGCAAAAGGGAAACCTGGTTTTTGAACTCGATAAAATAATGGACTACGACTTCAGGCACGTCTACGTTAGCATGAGAGTGTTGGAACAGACCTTGCGGTTCTCTGTTCAGGCACTCGAAATTCAATCACCAGGTGAATCTTTTGCGCGCGGTTTACTTCCTCCGTCTTACGGCCATAATCCTGGCTTGGTGTCAAGTCGGCAGCTGCAGCTGTACTGCTGTATCCGTAGCTTGTTCCCAAGTACCCACGAAGCATCAATGTTCCGAGTTCATCGTCTTACTGAACCGGCCAGCTTCGACTTGCCTCGGTCCATTAAAGGCTCAAGCGAAAGCGATTTTGACTTCGAGTTTTCCTCTCAAATAGAATCAGAATCAGATGTTCTGTCATCTGAAGATGAACACACAGAATCTTCGATTTCAGAGTCAGATTTCAATACGGAGCCAACCATGTCAGATGATTACCGTTCCGGGGAAAGCTCTGAATCGTACATAGATGAGGTGGATGACCTAGATTGAGACCAAAAACTTCCTTTTCATTTCGTCCAGGGCTATTTTTACAGAAGCTGAACCTGATTTTGATTATCTGGATAGATTCTACTGACTACTCCGTTGCTTCATTAAAACTCGATGTAACTTCCATTACCGCTGGCTATGTCGCACTCTCTTTACAGGCTTAATAGTGCAAGGATTTTAAGACACAAACTCAAATAGTGCAAAAGTAATATATATATATATATTTCGGTTCGTTTTTTCTCCAGGCCGCTTACACGGCATGTCATCCCAACGGGCCAGCCCAAGAGTTTTACCTCCCCTTTTTACCAAGTATCGAGGCGAGGATTGATTGTAGCAGCTTTCCTCAACGCGTAAGGGCCATATGAAGCAGCTATGAAGTTACTCTGCATATGTCAGCACCAGAATACGTCTTGCGAGGTTCTCACATACACTGTCGTCTGGTTGGTGCCCCGACTCTAGTATTTTGAGAAAGTCCAAGGCATCGTCGGACCACCCAGGTATGCTAGCCCCCAGGTGCTCCATAATACACTGCAGAAAAGCGGCTGCAATCTTGGGAGATAGAGCTAAAGCCAGGCCGGGATACGAGGAAGTCTCAAATTCGGGTACTCAATGGTTATTGGCAGGTGCACGCTGTTTGGTTGTACATTCTTACCAATTTTAACAACACCAAAGGGCGAAACTCGAATAGACCGGACTCCAAACCGCATCGGCAAATCTTGGAGATGTTTAATGCCATGAAGGAGCTAGGAATGCTAAGCTAATGCGACCAATTGACTAACTAGGACTTACGAACCTGAGACATCACTGCAGCTACCTCCAACTCGGAAGTTATGCGAAGGTCAAATAAATTCAAATCTACAAGCTCATATGTTATATAGACGCTGTCGCTAAGGTAGAGACCAAAGAGTTGTACGATATTTGGATGTGATGATCTGGCCAGAGTTCGGAAGCATGCGATAGTCATATGAGGCACCTCCTTTACCACAACTGAGTGAGGGCCTTTGAAGTAGCCTCGGTGCACACCAATCCAGCTGACAGCATCACCCCGTGCTCTTTTGTGATCATCTTTCGGATGCCTTTCGGCATAGACTGCTGGAAGCGCTCTCACGTGGGTTATTTCGCAATCACCTTGCAAAAATGGCGCACGCCTTAACATGACTGTAGAGTGGGCAGCAAAAAGCAAACAAAAAAAACAAATTAACAAAATGACACGGCACTGCCAAGTGGACCTCATGGTATTATATGTTGGGCTGAAATGGGGACCACAACAGGACAGTCATGCATTAAGGTGAAAGAAGCGAATAAGAACCGTAGAGTATGTATCACGCTGGGTGTTGCAGGTTTCGGGGTTAGAATCATCGCTCCAGACCTGACCAATTTTCATGGCCTAAGCGAAAGAGCAGCTTGTGGCGTTGTCTAGTATCGGCGAACTCAACGAAGCCCTCCACGCGTCAATAAGATGCTGGTATCCTGAACTGGCGTTAATGGAGCGACAGAAAAGCGTCCCTTTTTTCTCCTGCGTCACTGAGTGCAGTTCTGTAAAGTATTATGGCACTGTGCAAGGCAGTATTGAGCTTAGAGCAACTATATCTCCACTTTTGAACACAAACATTTTCTCTTTCTACTGGGGAAGGCTACTGTACTGTACTCCGGGGTACGTTGATTTACTCAACAAAGTCAAAAGAACTTGGCACGGCTTGATTGTTACAGTTGGATCCGAAATCGGTTTCCGGCATTATTGTTCTGGCGTTTCCAACCAAGAGACAATAATGGACCTGTTTGCTGACATGGTACCTGCGAACGCCTCCACACTACTTGCTAGAGAGAAAAGGACACAGAAAGTGGCAGCTGTTGTGGGCGCTCAACCCTATGTTTGCAAGGTAAAGAGCTGATCATGGATTACCTACAGGGGTATCATCATCTTCTGTCAGCAAGTGGATACCAAAATGTCCAGGAAAGAAATGTTTCTTGTGTGAAAAGCATGAAACCGATTTCGAACACGACTGTAACAACAACTTCCGGGCGGCTTCAAAGGCTCCTGAATGTGTACAGATTCATTTTTTTTCTTTTCCAAATCTCACACTATCTATATTAGTGGTGATTTGGAGGGCAAACTTAAGCTTAGAGTGGCTCTTTGTGCTGGTCTGAAAGCCATGTAGCCCACTGATTTTAAACGGGGTCACATGGTACTGTCGTGCACCTGACAAGAACTTCAAGGACATGAAGGAAGGTTTCTATGTAGTTTTACACACACAGAGAGAGAGAGAGAAAGTTTATTACGCCCTGGCTAAGCCATAAAAGGCTCTTGTGTCTATCTTAGATGCTCCCGTTGTTGACTTTTACGTTTGGGCAGGGCATAGTTCCGGCTGAGTACTGCTCTAACACCTCCGTAAGCAGAGTAAAATGGTGTTCAATCAGTTCGTAGGCGCGATCCTCAAGAGAACATGAATTAACAAACCCAAAAGCCGTTTGTGGCTTCTTAACCCCAAAGAGTAAGTCCTGCCTTTCTCTGTACAGTATGTAAAAAATTAAAAAAAAAAAAAAAAAACTCGTAAATGCCAAGACTCAAAGTTATCCGCGAAAGCAGAAACCGACTTCGAGTATTTCTCCGAAATATTGCAGTCACCTGGCGCACATCTGGCAACACTTGCTAGTTCCTGCCCCACAGATTATGGTAAAGACCAGAAAATGGGTGGCATTAGGCGATAGCGATAATGGCACCACTGAAACCAGAATGGCTCCAGACAACGGTCCGAACATGACTGGATCGTATTGAGCAAACCTAAGTCGGCCTGGACTGGACCAGATTGAGCCAGAGGGAGCTTGACTGAGCCAGAATGAGCTTGACCGAGCCAGAATGAGCTTGACCGAGCCAGGATGAGCTTGACTGAGCCAGAGGGAGCTTGACTGAGCCAGAGGGAGCTTGACTGAGCCAGAGGGAGCTTGCCTGAGCCAGAATGAGTCGACTGAGCAAGAATGAGTGACTTCGACTGAGCCTGGCTGAGGCCAATCCAAGTTGACGGATTAGGCAAGGCACTTTGGCTGTCTTGAACGAAATTTTTAACACTAACTATGATTTTGTTTGTTAATAGCGTCCAAAGTCAACTTTTGTTCACGTCACGCTTATGAAAAAGTAACTCACATCATAGCTGATAGAGCCGCCACTACTTGAGTACCGGGGGGAACTTGATCGCCATAGCGCATCGACTAACAAATAAAAAACAAGAACAAATATACTCATAGCATCTCATGAGCAACGAGTTCAACGTTTCACACCATCGCTGAGTAAAAACAGTGATGAATCAGGGCGCTAACCCGGCTTTTCTTGCGATCCTGGGTCCAGTCAAACATTGGAAATAGTAACCACAGCCTTGTACTAGGTGTGTATACCTACTCCATCGTCTGTTTCTAGGCTGTATCCGGGTTTCAAGCCTCATTCTACCCGCGGAGACGACGCAGATGATAAGGACGATATTGTGAAACATATGATTTGAGACCCTGAAATCATTGAGAATTTCTGCGATAATCCGGCGTTACTCAGCTACTCGAAACATATTATTAAGCAGTTTTGTATTGCGTGTAAATGACTGGAATTACTAGTTCTATCTTTGTTTTGCCTTAGAATTATGTTTCGCGACATTTTCCTAATTACTGCTGAACGCTATTTAACAGCCGCTCGGCAACCACGGTTAGGGTAGCCTTTGTTTCCGGCCCGATGGTGATTATAATGAGCTTACCGTCATCTGGGAGTTACACTGGTGTCAGTAGCCCCTGGCGAAAGGGCTGTTTAAAGGAAAGAGAAAATACGAAGACAGCTCGCGTATTTGTCTCCTTATCGATGTCTTCGGGTTGGTGAAGGTGACGTAACTGTAATCCTCAAGTTGGGTGTGTCGGCTAATTTTCGGTATTCTTGCCAATATTGGTCATAATAACGACTCTTCCCTCTGCCAGGACAAATCGCGTGTAAGAGTAGTGGTCTGTATTTTGTCTGGGATGATGCCAGAGAGGATTGAACCACATTAATATTTAGGCTTCCTTCACATATGCTCTGATAATTGTCAACATTGACCAAAGTACAGTATGCCACCAATATCGGAACATGTTACTTCTGCAGAGCCATTCACCTGATCCTCTTTTTCAGGACGCTTTCTTGCCTCTTTCGGCTACAAAAAGAGTTACAAGATGTGATAGCTGCCCTCCAATGTTATAAACGTGGTTCTAGATTAGGGCCTATTTTACACGGTGCATCCTTTCTGGACTGGACAGTGTACGAATCATGTATCAGTGGCTTTGTCTCTCTATGTTCACTGGCCGTCGAGCGTGAAAATCACTGGAGTGGCGGGAGTTTCAAGTGGTTAGTTCAGTGTGTATCTTTGAGGGCGGCTGGAGTTGTCCACTACCGCAGGCTTTGCGCAAATCCCAACCCTGTAGTTAGCGTTGGACATTGGGATTGATCTTCTGTTTAAAGCCTCCCTGTTAGTTTTGATTCCATTCGTGCTACCCTCATTGCCTCCTTTTACTTTTGCGATCCGCGTTTGAATGCGTCAAAAGTGTTCCAGTTGCTCAACTATCTCTGGGTAGAGGTATGACTTAATCAACCAAAAGAGGAGAACGCATGTCGCTGTTACTTACTGAAAATACACTGTTCCAAGTCGCAGACACATCAGTACGCCTAGTGGTGGCACCGTGCACCTTAATCTCGCCTCATTATTGTTACCCAGCTGTCCATTTGCTAGTACGTAATGTGTAGTCTGAATGAAGCTATTTGAAATGATTTAGCCTTGGTTGAGTATCCCAGAGCCTCCAATCAGGATCCTTATCATAGTGATTCATCTTGGTGATTCTGGGGATGCTGGGATCACCCTGTCCTACCCCTGGCCTCACCATAGTGATACCCAGCTTCCCCTGGATGGTGAGCTTAAAGCAGCGAAATGCACCCAACTCACCCTATTGGTCAAAGGGTGATGACCCGAGGAACCTCCGAATGTAGATTCCGTCTGTTGGCATATTTTCCAAGGCTAAGTTCGGCTCTTCGTTAGCTATAGGGTATAATCAGAACTCCGATTTCTGTCACCAGGCAAGCGACAGCGACAGGGTTACGCTTTACCAACGCCTGTGGGATAGAGGGGGCTTTGGGTTGACGCTATCGAACTATCGAGATATTATGTACGACAAGACGGCTGTTACGATCGGTACATTTAGTTACTGTACGCCGTAGCTATATAGTGCAGAACAGGGGATAATGATGCCGGAGTCATCATTACCGAAGCTTTTGCTTTGTGCCACAGTTGGTTGCCCTGACCTGCTCGTAACAACGGCAAATTCAAGCCTATACGAGTTTTGGATGCGTAAGACTAGGGCTTGAATGTCTAATCCTGAGAAGATGGATATTGGCGCTAAACGAGTCAATCTCGAGATGGACTACTACGAAATGCTAGACCGCCCGAACGTTAAGCTTATTAATCTCAAAAAAACACCGCTTAAATCATTCTCTCGAAATGGCGTTGTGACTGAGGGCCACGACAGTACTTTGGACCATCACGAACTGGACGTCGTGATTTTGGCTACGGGCTATGACTCCGTGACGGGAAGCTTATTGGGTATGAATATCCACGATAGGCACGGAGTGCGCCTGGAAGAGAAGTGGAAAGACGGAATAAGCACCTACCTCGGCATGCTAGTACCTGAAATGCCGAATGCGTTTCTCCTGTACGGGCCTCAAGGGCCTACAACTCAGACAAACGCCCCATCTTTTATCGAGTTGCAAGTTGACTGGATAGCCAATCTTCTTAAGAGGATGCGAGACGAGAGTATCGACTTTGTATAGCCCTCCCAGGAATCTTGTCGGTTATGGACAAAGCAGGTAAACAATGCCTTTGAGCCAACGTTGTTTCGAGAAAGCACGGCATGGTGGACTGGTGCGAATATAGAGGGGAAGAAGGTTGAGCCACTTGTGTTTTTCGGCGGTGTTCAACGGTGGTGGCAAGAGTGTCAAAGTTCTCTGAAAGACTGGTCTAACTTTTGTGTCTCTGGGATGTAAAACAGTCATATAAAGATATTTGCATATGCTTAGTCTTTCTGCGAATTCATTTCTCGAAGCAGAATGCGCTGGAAGGCTCAAGGCTGTATCGGTCTGAGCTGCGATAATTGACCTGCAACTTGAAGTGCATGGATGGTTTAGTTTTTATTGTGAGAAGTATGAGCACATCCAGCAAACTCACTCGAACTGTTGTTATTGCATAGCTTAATCAACATACGTGAGCGTCTCCAACACATGTTATTTGACCGAGCTGCTTCGACCTCCTACGAGTAAATTAACTGCGAAAGCGCCAGTGTCCTCGCGTGAACTCTGCAGGGCGTGGCTCATGGTGGACATTTTGCAGGCAGATAATAAGGATTAGACGGTTGAACGGAAGCCAACGGAGCCACACTTGAACATCGTCTGGGATACTAGCACGGAAATGGTTGTTGTTGTCAAAGGCTTTGTAACATATGCCGTGCCCAACAAAATCTTTAGTGACACAATTTGCTGCTTCTGTCCTCTCCAGCATACCACCAATCCATAAATCTCTTTGAGGTTCGTCATTTGGAGCCCTAAAGAAAAAGTAAGCTCAGGTCTGTTTGTGCCTTTCAGCCTACAATACCAGTGGGTTGACGTGAACCGACTGCTATGGTAAGTCCTATTGAATAAATGTACAAATTCCTAGACCGAAAGCGATACCGATTTCGTCTCGGCCAAGGTGTTCTCACTGGTTTCATCGTCATCCAGCCCTGAGTCGGTTTCGTCAGAAGTTCCGCCAGATTTTTGCAGAGGTGATATGTGGATAGCTAAAACTCACCCCATGGGCAATTTCGAGTGCAAAATCGGGTTTCATGGTCAAGGCCTCACTTTATTTATTTGGTGCGTCAGGTTCGTGTTGAAGGGATCCCAGATCTGGAAAAAGGGAAGACTTGATGTCCCGAGGTAACTGTCGGCCTTGTCGCAAGTCCAACTAACCCAATCACGTCGCTGCTCGCCGTTGACATGTGGCTTGAATCATGCCTGTTATATGCACCGACTCTGTCATCTATGGCATGCCTTACCGTTGGTCGTAATCCTTGTTCTCTCCTCGAATAGGTGACTTTATGAGTAGTTGACTTTAAGCAGGTAGAGTGAGTGGTTGACAGCCATCGGTTGTGGTCCTTCGATAGTGATCTCTCTGCTGTTCAGCCAGAACTGGACGCCTGCTCGCTCCAAAGTTCTTAAAGCGCGACGGCCCCTAGTATAATCCAATGCCTTTTCACAACTTACAGTACTGCCAACCGCCATGTTTCAAATCGGCTGGGTAATACTTGCTTTCATCTACGCTCAAGCCGTGGGTATATGCGCAAGCGCCAATTGCCGTTCAGGATATCGCAATGCTGTTTATTTTACAAACTGGTGAATATATAATCGCTAGGATATGAATTAAATACTTACGGATAGAAGGTCTATATACGCTCGGGGATACCATCCTCACGATCTTCCCGCAGAGCAGATCAGCGTTCTCCTCTATGCATTTGCTAACGTGCAGAGCGACGGTTTGGTGTTAGTACGGCGAGCCATATTGATCAAAGCCTTCTTACTAGCGTTACAAACAGGGTCTCCTCTGATTCTTTTGCGGACCTTGAGAAGCCATATGACGGCGATTGTAATTAGTAAACCACCCAGATTATCTTTTCGGACCACTTACGGCTCCTAGCTAGGAAAAGGTGCGAGAACGACGTCTGCGGATGCGTGAAACAGCTATATCTCCTCAAAAAAACCTACCGCAAGCTTAAAGTGCTCCTTAACATCGGCGGGGCGACATATTCAAGCAACTTTGCTGCGGCCGCTGCTACCGAAGCAAAGAGAGCCCTCTTTTCACGAAGTGCGATCGCCCTGATGAAAGACTGGGGGTTTGACGGGCTTGATATTGATTGGGAGTATCCCGTTAATGAAAAGGAGGCGCAAGACTTCGTCCTACTATTAGGCAAAGTACGGTCGGAGATGGATTCATACGCAAGCCAGTATGCGCCTGGCTACCATTTTCTCTTAACGATATCGTCACCCGCTGGGCCTTCGAATTACGACATATTGCCGCTCAGTAAGATATCAGATATTATTGATAATTTCAACCTGATGGCCTACGACTATTCCGGTCCATGGAGCTCTATGACGGGACACAAAGCCAACTTGTACTCAAGTCCCATCAAGCCTAACTCGACACCGTTTTCTACAGATGCCGTCGTCGAGGACTATATATCCAAGGGCGTGCTGCCTACCAAGATTATTCTTGGTATGCCCGTGTACGGCAGAGCATTTCAGCAGACCGGCGGGCTCGGCCAGGCCTACTATGGCGCGGGCAACGGGTCGTGGGAGCAAGGCGTGTGGGACGCCAAGGCCCTGCCACGACCTGGGGCGATGGAGTATCACGACACGGCAGTTGGTGCCAGTTACAGCTACGACACCGATACCCAGGAGCTCATATCCTATGACAGCCCGTCAGTGACCAGACAGAAGGTTGCGTATATTATTGAGAGCGGGTTAGGGGGGAGTATGTTCTGGGAGGCGTCCGCGGACCGAGTGGACGAGACAGGACTTATCCACGCCAGCTTCAACGCTTTAGGGGGGGCCGCCAATGTAGACTGTTCTGAAAACCTGCTGCATTATCCCAACAGTCGATATGCAACTATCCGCAATGGATGAGATACCTCCAAGTCGCCAATATTGGATTTGCATTGTCTTTGGAAGTCGATGGATATCATCATTGGGTACTGTAGTACGCACTCTAGTTTAACAATGACTTTGTACCAAAGAACGCAAATCTCATCTAGTTCTCTATTTCTCGACTGCCTTTGTTTTCGAATCTAGCATTGCCGCATGGAGCTTGAATAACACTAAATACTTCATTACAGCAGTAATAATGCCCTGCAGTGACCAAACACACCACAGGCTTGTGGGATGTATCGCAAGGGAGCATGCAAGTTCTGGCTACAGCATGGTCGTTTTGACTTATCCGGTCGAGTACACGTTTGAGATTCGGGCTTTAACTTCTGCAACGGAGACGAGGGGGTCGAATAATCTTGCGGGTCCTCCAGAGGTAAGGTGCAATATAATACTGTACGGCTTGTAAGTAAATGAAGGGAAATTATGTACTGTACAGTAAGTAACGCCTGAAGCTACTTTGTCAAAGTCAATCGTATACAGAAAACAATCCCCAAATGCCTGGTCTCGATGTATAAGCCATTTATACTCGTTTTGTTCCAGGTTTGAAGCTGGCTAATCCTGTAGGGATTCACACAGTCGTGTGGCACTAGACGAACGGGCCGAGAGAATCACGCACACGTTGCGAATTAGGCCTTTTTAATCTATTCTGTCTCTTTACTGTGCAAATCACAGCTGATGAGAGTTCCACGCTACATCATCCTTCCCCTCCCCATCTCGTCGGGCGCTTGAAACTCCTAATGCGAGGAATGTTCTTGATATTGCAAGCTATGAACGGAGATTTATTCTGTTTCCTGTTTTCTGTTTCCTAAATATAGGAACCGGCACGAAGTCACATGATATACCTACTATAGCAAATCTGTCCGTCAGATGGTTGAGCTGCATGTCATTGGCGAATGGTGGTTGCTGGAACGGCACATCTTCGATTCGCTTTAATATCTTGCCGAAATCTCCGCAGTAGACCTTTGCCTGCTTAGACGAAAGACGTCCGTCTCTTATAGTTTGCTTGAAATCGTTGTTTTTACAATCTGACAACTGGATATCAAGGAGCCTTGTCCGCAACTGGGCCGGACTGAGTGAGACGTCCTTAGCATCCCTTCTCGGCCAAAGGTCTTCGGACAAACCGAGAGTCAATGACCCAAACTGGAGTGCAACGCAGTCTCGTTTGGAATGGGCGCACCGCTGAAGCTGGGGAGAGCTAACAGAGGGGTTAGGGTCATTGACCCAGTCGATCAATGCTTCGCTGTATTCGTACAGCCCCGTCAGCATGCACTCGATCATCCTTTCCCTCATCCGCGTAATAGATTCTTTTCAAGGTCAATACCTTAGCAAGTGCGCTTATGGATCCCTTTTCTTACCTTCGACTCCCGGAGGGAGCGCCATGGAGCTGAATGAACTGACGGTGTTCACTTTGGAAAGTTCGTTTAGATAAGACACCTGCGGCCTAGAAACACCAAATGCACCGCCAGGAGAGGTGAAAGCTGAGGAGGCAGGCTTGGTTTCTGGAATGGGAGCGCCAAATGCACCCCCAGGAAAGGTGAAAGCTGAGGAGGCAGGCTTGGCTTCTGGAATGGGAGCGCCAAATGCTAGTCTTGCGCCGACCCTGTTGAACACAGCAGTAATGCCGAACTCCCAAGCGATCCAGAGCCAGTCAGGCTCATGCCCTTCTGCGTCAATGAGAATAGAGAGTTGCTCCACCCATCTCTGGACCCATGGTTCAAGAACGGCGGTGAGAAACCATTTGTCTGAGAAAATTGCAATCTTCCTTAGCTCAGAGAGGGTTAAAGTGGAAGGCACTTGCCCGAACTGGATGTGAATGATATTCATCAAGGTCATCACAGCAGTGTGGCTATCCTCTCTGTAATCTAGGACAGGCCGCTCATCTTTACACGCCTCTACCCATTCACCTTCAAACATGCGTCGCCACACCTGAGAGGCTCGGGCCATCGCATCTGAAGAGACAAGAAGCGCGTGCAAGACTGATTTATCGTTTTGACGGCATTCAGTGACAATGGTTATGTTGTTGGAACCATTTCCTATGGTAATTGTCCGTTCAATGCGCCCAAGAAGCTCACTGGGGGCGAATATCCCTGACTATGAGGCCGTTAGCCTCATTCGAAATTTTCCCAGCTCCATTTTTTTGCAGGGAGCCAGGCTCAGCAATCTATCAGTTCAATCACTGACCTGCGTCTTCTTTGGCGACATTTCTAGTGGCGTAATCGAATGATTGCTATCGCTGAAGGGGCCGGGGCAGATGGTCAAATATCCGTCGTTGAACTTGGGGAGAAAGTAGATGGTTGAAGCGTCGGAAGGAGGAACTGAAGACGGGAAAATGCGAGGGGGGCGACACGCCTCCACGGTGACCTTGAGGCGGCGCGTACTCCTCACAGCTATCGTTCTGTTAGCCGGCTGGCTGTTCAGTCTCCTATCGGGTATGTTGAACGACGCTCGCTCATGGCGGGGGGCATGCTACACCCCGTCCTTTACCTGCACGGCGCATCCGAAGCCTGCGTTTGTTGTCTCACTCCCACAAGTGCTGCCCTCCCGCCCACCCTGACCCCTGAACAGTATTGTGATACCCCACAGGTCGGTCATACAGGACAGGGGCATGGCGCTTCCGCTCATTTGAAGCATCTGTACTTCGTCGGCGTTCCCTTCGACCCGGAGTGCTATTCCCATACCCTTTGCCTCGTGAGTGTTGATATCATTAACCATCCTAGGTCTGCAAATAATAGCTTTGGTGCTGGTTCTCGGTCAGCAGCAATCCCCTACATGATGGGGGAGGTGCCGGGATTCTCCAAGCATGGCCAGCGCCTCTGTATTCCTTGTCGCATCGAGCGCTTTCGGAGACTTCGACTTTTCTTTTGCCTGCACAATTATACCATCCTACGGCCAGCGGGCAGTAACACGAGATGCAAACCTGCGATGTGCATGGATGACGACAGTCTCCGAAGAAACGGATGAACGAGTTCGAATTCGTAAACTCATGGCCATCGTGAGATTTTCAAGTTGCTCCTGACGAACGGGGCCAGCGCATATTAACAGTGAAGGATTGACGTTGATTCTGCCTGCGTCTTACGATGGTGGACTCGACTGCACTGTCGTGCAAGGTGGGTGGGAGGCTGGTGGGATGACTTGCAACTGGAAGCTATGGCCACCAACTGGTTCTTCTACCAGGGTCATCCGCCCGGACCTCCAAGGGTCTCTCTTCCTCTCCACCTCTTTAAACTCACATCAGTGCATCCGGGTATTATCCGCGCACTCATGCTGCTGCGATGCGTGGTGGTCACAGCTAGAGGAGCTACTTCAGAGATGGCCAAAAAGCAAAATGATCCCACCTGCTCATTTACAATCGGCACTGTATGCGTTGGGTCCTCACCGGCTGCTGAGGCCTAGCACGTACCTCCCCCCCCCCGTGAGGTGTTCAGCTCAATCTGTTTTCATGTATCCTGCCAGACGGTGGATCCGGACATTGACCATTGCATATATCGAGGCATGCATTCAACTGTTAGATTGACGCCGGCGTCCGGATAAAAAGCTAGGAAATCTAGCTTAGGTGCATTCTTGCAATGTGCAGAAACCGGGAAGAATGAGTAGATACAAAACAGAACCCCGCTTCCACCGGGACAGGCATGAATCGTACAATCAACAACATGAATCACTCTTTGCCATACACTCGGTTATTTCTCCTATATTAAACTATCCAAGTCGGCATTTCGTTCATGAAACCTCCGCATGGAAGGACATATGTAAATGGCCGAATTGTCTGGAGAATCTTTTCATAATTCAAGCGCAACTTACTCAGAAGCGATGGGCCTATTGGCTGCGTGACATACCGCAACTATACGCTCATACGTCTGACATCATCCTTGTCGCTGTCTCCCGATGAGACAACTGGATAAAAGCCCATTTACTCATCTAGACAGTCTTTTCCTACTACATCACATCATGGGCGCAGCTGGCTGGTGGGACGTACTGCCGCGTGACATATCCTCCGCTCCACAACTCGTGCACAAGCTGTCAGGCTGCGTTCTTTTGCACGATTCTGTTACCTTACGACCGTACGAGCGCATGGACTCCAGTGCAGAGCGCTCTAAACTGCAAAGGCGCTCGCCTCAACGCTCTAGCAGCAGCGGAGCGTACGTAATGCGCCGGAGCAGGTAAGATCACCCTTAGGGCAGGCAGAAAGAAGCGTCCCATTCAGTCTCTCTACCGCAGGTCTCAGAGCCTGCATGCTCTCGACCCAAGCCAGAATCTTGACAGCCTCTATCGCTCCCCAAGTGCTTGGTCTGTGCGATTTGCCGCGAAGCCAAAAGAAAGGTGTGGGTTAAGTAGTGCTTGGTCAGATCATTCGGATCATGTGCTTGTAGCGGGCTTGTGTGACTTCGGAATGGCAGTTGCCCTCTGGCACCCACGTCAAATGGGCAGCTTCGCTGCCTTGATGGCCTGCTTCGGATGCGACGAGATGCTGGTGAATTATTTCAGCACGATGGCCGGATGTATCTCACCGAAGATGGATGCAGGGTGAATGAACGGTATTTAGTTTTGCAGAACTTCCCGACAACTTCTATCCCAGCTTAACAAGATTACGACAAGTCCATCACGACCCTCCAACCGAGAAGCTGAAAACAAAGCACCCCTTGAAATAAGAAGCTCTAATCTCTGCAATTAGTGGGCAAGACCCATTGGCAATGTATAGGCAAGTTGTGAAAGAAACATAAGTGAAGACAATGACCATCATTAATGACTGTACAATCTTCAAGCACTATTTTCACAAGCATCATCAACAAGTCGATAACGTAGTGAGGTGCAACGCAGTGCGTTGACACGCATTGGGTTGTTGATGTCTTAAGGATTTAGGAGTTTCCCTTACCTATTACAATAAAGTTGCGATCAACTGCAGGACGTGAACTGGTGTGAATTCGTGGCATGTTGTCGTGAATTCTGAAGCGCACCCTCGTTTACTACGCAGGAAGCGATGAGCTTATTCAACTGATCTAACGCTACTGGAATCTCACACGATAGTTGTAAAACCTTTGATCATGTATGAGTGAAGGCTTGAGCCCTGTATTGATTGTGATCCAATTGTTGCAATGGCCAGAATAATCGTCGATAACGCCAACGACTTGGATTTATTATTTACTGGGTCTAGGCTGGCAAGTTATCTACCGTCAAGCAGAAGAGCCTTTGTACTGCCCACAACGCGAAACCACCAAGCCGCAGCACGTTCCAGTTGCTCTAGTATCATACGTCTCGTGGAAATAGATACCACCGATACTTTAGGTATTATAGGTCTAGCGAGGATAGTTTGTTATGGCTATTTAGTAAATAGTTCGAATACCAAGACCGATACGAGGATATTCGGAACCCCGTCGCCACAACGTAGCTAGTTTCATTTAAGTAGATTCAAGGGATAACCAACTAGCAGTATATTACCTCGGCCCTATATACTATCTTATAGAGGAAAATATTCCTCGAGCTCTTTTACTACTTAGTAAGGTTAGGATAAATATCGACGACGGTATAGCGGCTAGTGAAGTAATTAGCAGAATAGGCAAGTATGGAGCGGTACTTTAGTTTCGGAATTATTATATAGACGGGAAGCATTATAGAACCTATTATCAAGCATAGCATAAAGCAATACGCTGCATGGGAAGTGTAAAAGGCAGAGCAGATGCATCGGTAGACACTAGAGTTAATGCGGAAGTTACTAGGACTCGAGAAATCCGATATAGTCGTCGAATGAACGACCTAGCACGCTTGCTTAGAACCAGGGGAATCACGAAGACTAGAACAACGAGATATATTCTACTACAGTGGCAACGCAACCCATCAAAGGCTACCCGAGGGTCAAATACCGTGCAAGATACTATTAGAATTCCCAAACACATCTATAACGAACTAGGCACATAGTAATCAGGCTAGGAAAGGTGTAAAAGAGTGACTTGATTTAGCAAGAGGGAAGCACGTACTTATACGCCAACACCCAAGTTCCAGAACTCTGAACCAGGCCTCCGGCGGTGCTATTCATTTGTCAAAAAGCAATAAAAGTCGTTGTTAGTCTCAACCTAAAAAAATCTCGCCATTACGGGTCTTTTTAACTAGTCTTCCCTCGATACTTTCCACTTAAAGCTACCACAATTATGTTCAATGTCGAACCCTACTTCCCCTCCGCTCCCTGATAATGAAGACCATTTCTTATCTAGCTTGCTGCCGCATACACAAAAAGGAACCACCGTTCCATCATATGCTGGAAACTCAACTCTCCTGGCTATCCTGCCACATTTACACTGCACAACCTTAACCTTGTCGTGTTCAATATCCCTCATATTAAATCTCCATGATTCCCGAGTCCTCCTCGAATTGAACCAGCGATCCACGCAGACCTTGCACTCCGTTTGCTTCAACACTATCCAACAACTGGACAGAGGTTCAAGAGTGGGACCACATATGTTTCCACATGTACATGACCATACTCTAGCATTTTTCAATTCAATAATCTTCCAGATAGGCGGCATTCCCCTGTTCTGAGTACACCTACTCAAATAGGTACCCAACCGTGGGCAAACCACGATCATCCTCTTGGTAACACACGCATACGCATGTACTATACTGGCGCCGACAGCATAGAAGAAAACATGACACTTTCGGTCGATAGCCTCCTGGCTCTCAAGCTTTTCTAACCAAAAGTAATCACTCCGTAGCAAATGAGTAACCCAGGTATACAGCGTCTTGCAAGTAAGTGCTACCCGCACTAGTGACTCGTCGTTAATTGGAAGACATCTAATGATGTTCTCCAAAACTTCTTTTGGGAATCCTAATAAAGAATTTACCATTCTTTCATCTCTCGATTAATCTCACACTCTTCGTTCGTTCAATGTCAACATAGAAACTTACGTTTCTTTCTATGATTTTTGTCCCCAAAAAGTCTAATTCTTTGAATTCCACAAAAGATGCTTTCCAAGTCTTCGCCGCAGGCGCTGTACAAAAAGATGCTCTATCCCAAAAGGAACGAACGCAGCACGCAGGTGCGTAGTGTAGGTGAAGCTATCATCCTCCCTTTTCCCAAAATTGCGGGGGCCTGTCCCCTTTATATTTCTCGATCGTCCTCAGATACTAGACCCAGAAAGGTAACTTCTGGTGCACCATGTGGGACCACTCGCAATCGAGGGCTCCGCTTCGACTACTGTCTCCACTCTAGTTGGTAGATGGTCACGTCCTCGGACCTTCGAGCTCGTTTCCATTACCTGTGTCTGTAGCCCCTCAGCCTTCCTCCATCGCCCTAGCTTTCTATAAGCCAACGCAACGTTTCTTATAATCGCCCTCGCGTCATTAGCTCGTTCCCCTACTTGCCAAAATAGCCCGTCCGCTTCTGCTGCCCAAGATAACAGAGCTTGTCGACTACGGGCTTTCGATGCGGCCCCTTCTTCCGCGAGCATCCGTTGAATTATCTCTGAACGATCATCTTCTATTGCCACTACCAAAGGCGTTAGGCGTAGGCTAGTGAGTGCATCCAAATTAGCTGCCTTTTCCAGAAGTAATTCGAAGACCCTAATATATTTATTTACGGGATCGGTGCTAGTTTATTTGCATCGCCAGAGCCCTCTTCTACTTCGTTTGCAGCCAAATGAAGCGCTGTCATTCTCGTGTCCGGGTCTGCCTAGTCGATGTTCACACGTGTGCCTCTCAGTAATAATTCAACAACCGGAGCACGTCCGTAGAACGCAGCCCAAGATAGCGACGGCATTCCGTTCCTGTTCGGTGAGCTTGGATCCGCCCCCACGCTCAAAATCATTTCAACGACCACAACACTTCCGCTCGATGCGGCACACGAAAGGGGCGCCAGTCCGTCGCGATCAAGCGAATCTCGAACGGCTCCTTTCCCTAGAAGTAGCTTGTCGACTTCTTCATTTCCTCTCTTGGCCGCCCAATGTAGCGGCGTCATTCCTCCACTGTCGGCCACGTCTGTGCGAACTCCTCTCTCTGAGGGTGGCTTAAGGGCTTCAGTTAAATTTAGGCTGACTCCCTCTCCTAGCAGTAGCTTAGAGACTCTCTCATGGCCTGTTTTGGCCGCCAAATGTAGCGGCGTGACTCCTTCCTTATCAGGCGCATCGGCAGAGACGTTTCTGTTTAGCAGCAGCTTGACGAGTTCTTCATTTCCTCCGAAGGCTGCCCAATGAATTGCCATTCGTCCCTCCCGGTCTTGTAAGAGAGAATCTACTCCTTCCGTTGTAAGCGGTAATGTTACGGCCTTGAAGTGGCCGTCCGTTCGTTCTCTCCCGCGGCTGTTCTGCTGACGGTCCCGTTTCCCTCCTTATGTTCTCGCCAGTTCATGACTTCTTTGCCTGCCTGGTCTGGCATCCCCTTGTCCTGGATCCCTGCGTAGGCCTATATTCATCGGATTTCGGTAGTGAAGCCCGACCTATGCTCCTGAGCAACTATGTTCCTGACTTCCCTCTTGGCTTGGCCGATGATCTGATAATAACTGCTTGGTTATCAAGGTAGATAATCATTCTTTTTCTGCTGTGAGAAAGCTGGCCGCAACAAAAAGTGCTTTCGCAAGGGATGTCCCGGTATGGTCGGCAATCTGCACAATCAGACATGAACATAGTTGAACAAAAGTCGGTGGTAGGAGGTAAATAGAAGGGTGCGCATTCAGCTTATGAAAATTAGCTCGATGTGGCATAATCACTCGCTCGGGCTATGCTCTTGACATATCCGGCCAACCAGTTTCAACGTTTCCTGAAGAGTCCCTATGTATAGGGCCTGTTTGATATGTGGAGTGCGGGCAAGTCGTGCTCGCCACAGAGCCCGTCGTTGCACCCTCCGTTGGTCCTCACGGCTTCTGTTAATGTGACGCCTGCGGGTCAGGTCACTCCAAGCCTGGAGTTCCGGTTGCCGCGGCCCTGTGCTTGCCGCCAAGGGCTCGTTGACCAGGTGGAATGCGATGCACAGGGTCCCCGCTAACCGATGTCTGGGACCCCTGGTGCGCACCATAATGGTTCGCGGCCATGCAACAAACAAGAACAGATGGTCCTGTGCGGCCGCCAGGTTCAGCACCAAACACACCCTAGGCACATCTGTACAGTCGCGGATGTGCCAACCGGGGGCATCTCAGGTCCGCGCCATTGCCCAACGAAATGCGCTCGGCCAATGCGGCTTGCCATCTTATATGCCAACCCACTTGCTGTTTACACCACATCAGGTCGAGTGACCAGTCCAATTGTGGAAGGCTTGGCCGGAATGGAGATCAGGCATGCTCTATCCCATCAAAAGTACTGACTCTCCTGAAGTTGCGGTTTTTAACCCTCTCCAAAGTGACTTCCCAAGAAGATAGATCCTCTATGTGGGAAAAACCAGGGACGTCCGCCGACTTCACAAGTTGTAGATCACCCATAGGCCACTCGGGCACTCCGCACACTGGCCCTGCCAAAATCAAACATCATGGGTTCAGTCACTGGAGACATTTTCGCGTCCGATGGGACCACAAAAACCACCAGTCTCCAGTCAGCGCCCGATGTGGACTTCGATAACGGCCATAGCGACATCACGATTCAAAAAGCCGGTTCACTCCTACCGGCACCTCAAAAATTCTTGTCTCCTCAGACGCAATGCGACGAGCTTCCAACATATTAGCCCCTTCGCTGTCAGGCTCATTTGCAGAAGCGCAAGGGCAGACGAACAGAAGATACCAGCGAGGCCGCAGTGACTATTATGGATATCATCCACCTACGCTTCAGCCGCGTCCCTGCCACTATACGCCCAACAGAATTTGAAGACCTTGCCATATTCAGCGACAAGTTCGACCTCACGCACGTCGTGGCTGAATGGCTGGTTGAATAGGATTGCTTGGCAGATCGATTAATCGGGCAGCGAAACCGCGTGGTTGTGGATTGCCCGTAGCCAACGCAAACCGTGTCGTTGTCCGAAACGACTCCATGTTTGGCTCCCATTGATCGTTATCCACCCTCTCTGCCGCTTGGCCGCAGTTCCATCGATGAGAGGGTGCTGCAACATACGTATGATTCGATGGAGAAATGAGTTCAGTCTTGCAATGTTGTGCTCGCAATGCCACTTCGTAGAGCGAATGAACTCAATATGGCCCGAGCTATTTCCAAAATGCGATGCTGCTTGAAGTTCGCAGCTCGGATGGCGGAGCCAAAACCGGATCAAACATGAATTTATCTGATCGGGATCCTTACCAGGCTCAGGCAAATTAACAAGCTCCATTTATGGTAATCTCACGCAAACCCTCATTCCCCAAGTTTACAGGTCTCCGATCTTTCGCCAAATCGAACACTGGTCTTCACCTTTCCATCGCCTTTCTTAGGCGAGGAAACTTCGCTCTTGTAAGTATTAATCGAAGTGAAACTCAGAGACATGATATGCATCCCTAACGTCACTTCGCTGTCTCTGTAAACTACACAACCAGCGAGGCTATGGAAGCGATGAAGTTCAAGCTTGCAGGTGGGCGACAGTACTAGCAGAGGTAAACTTTCTATTGAGAAGCCGAAAATGGCTGCTGGGCATATCATACAAAGGATGTAAGCGTATTGGGCAATGGTTTTGCTTTCTTGTGTCCCATGCAACCATGCTTGGGAAGTCACTTCCCCTCCCCGAAGTCTGTTTCGCAATGGAACGGCCATGAAGCCCATGTCTTGGCTATCTACAAATCTTTTCTGATGGGTTTGGAGCTACACATATGAAGGAACTTCTCGCTGTTTGGGACCTAAAACAATCAGTTGACGTCTCGCGCTCTCCCATTTGACCTGGCAAGCGCCCCGCTTGCAACCCTCCCTGTGTCTACAGGATCCAGACTTCTCATGAACTCTCTCACCACGCTATCTAGCCGAAAGATGGATCTCAAACTGGATGAGTTGACTCCTTTCACCTTCAAACCGCGCAGGCTCCGCGCTCGGCTAAGCGCTACGTACGCCTGCCCGTGCTCAAAGATGTTTGAAAGATCAACAACGACACGGTCAAGGCTCAGACTCTGACTTTTGTGAATAGTGATAGCCCATCCCTGCGCGAGAGGGATCTGTGTTCGCGATAGATAGCTATAGGGTGACTGATCACCGTACCCGATGACAGCACAATCGGGCCCGATAACCCGCTGCTCGCCATTTGCGAACTTGACTTCGGGAACTAAAGTGCGTCAACAACGCTGTCAAGCGTGGCCTCGGATTTTGGGGAGTCGTGGGCTCTTACAAAAGACCTCGTTACTACGTGCAAGTCTGAGATAGGCCACAATCTGGTTGTGCCTCTCGATCGCAGCACGAAAGCCGTCTTTGTCACTTTCGTAGTTAATTTGCTGCGGCGGCCGAGGCTCCTCCACCATGCAACTATCCACGAATCCAACTACGACGCCTTGACGCCCGTTGCAGAGACCACGGTCTAGATTGACATCGTGAATGTCGGTTCGTCGTCGGAGTCGTTGGTGTCCTCGACAGGTGAGCTTTAGTTGGTGCTGCCGCTTCGGTGACTGCTCCGAGCGCGACTCGCCGCTTTTATTTATTCATTCAAAACGTAACTGCGAGACTGATTGTTCTCTCTCAATGGGTGGTGGCACGTCTGGCCACTCGATGGCGGTTCGGGAATACGTCGCATTGCGGTCAGGGGTGACAGAGAAGTGCTTTCCCAGGAGGGCAATTCAACCCCTGAGCCTTACAACCCCACTCACGGGCTGCCGAGCACCTGTCGACAAAAAAGTGACCCTGATGTGCGGCAGCCGACTCGCACTGTGTGGGACGGAAGTAGAAGACGCCGTGAGGGGTTCCGGGACGGGGACGCTCTGCAAGTGTATGTACACTTGGCCTGGTGTTTTTGCGGGCCGCTGCACCTTAGCACCGACGGCCTCTTTTTTGCCCTGCACCAGCTGTTCGTTCTACAATAAGGTCTACGGCGAAAGCCTCGATCTTCTCCAAAGGAAACGATAGACTTGCTGTAACGCAAGCCTCATAACTCATCGCATCCATGCTCTGTAAAGTGCTTAATCTGAAGCAAATCGAGTAGTATATCGCATAATGAACGACAAGTACAGGAGGTGCTACCTGCACTAGACTGTCATCCACCACTGGAACGTGCTTCACGATGTTCACCAACACTTCGTTTGGGAATCGCAGTAACAACGATTTATCCATCATTTCAATCCGCTTACTCTCGCTTTCGCTCGAATCGCTTTGCTTTCGATAAATTCCTTCCGTCATATTAAACCTCAAGCCATTTCCTTTGGTTAGTATCCAGAAGCAGGGGAGGGCCAGGAAAGGCCTGACAAGTACATAGACACAGAACTAGTATCGGAAAGACTAGTATAGTGATTCGGCCCAAAGCTGACAGGGAAAGCAATTTCTGAGCGGAACGGTTCGGTATCTAGGAGCGAAGAGCCGGAGCACTTATGATCGTACACTACATTCCTGCCATAGGGCGGTCTGAGACAGGCTATGAATAAATCCATCAATCAATCAGTCAGTGATAGGATGTCCTGGGACAGGTGGGGTGTTACTACGTCTCTATTTACGAGGAGAAATCCAAGTCAAATCGTTAGAAACCTTCCTTGCATTGGTCTTACTTCTGTATGTTTTCTTACTAGTACGGATAATGGCAAACGTGGCAGGGATCTAAGCGCCGTAACCCTTGCCATAGCGATAACCGGGCAGAGGCGAAAAGGAGTGGTCGCTGTGGTCGCTGTGGTCGCTGTGGGTCGCGAGCATTGCTACACCGTCAGCGGACAATACTGTACCAGCAGAAGAAGCAAAGAGATAAATGTTGTATTGCTATTGTGCCGATTATGGCGAGGAAACGGCAAGACCTCTACGTGGGGTGTGAAGTGGCTATCCACGATGGAGGAGCGCGGGCCGCCGATTGTGGTACCTCCTGAATACCCAGCATTAGCCCAAAACGGCTTACATATTTCGCAAACTGGAACACCGCCTTCCGTGTCCGGCTCAATCGCAACTGCTCCTCGCTTCACTTCCGTCCGTTCCCAAAATGGTGAAGCCACCGTTAGCCAAGCCGTGATGATTAGTGACGAAGATGAGGGTTAGTCACTTCTGAATCTAGTTCTATGCACCGCCAAAAACCAAGAGACTTTGGACATTAACTTTACCAAAGCCGCGTTGACGCAACAATGCTCGGCCGCGATGAACAGGCAATTCGGCTACAGTCATGATGCTGATATGATCAGCACAGATACCGACTTCACACAGCAGCTGTATCACTGCACAAAGAGTCTCTCCCGTTGCGAGCACATCGTCCACCACCACCACTGTCCCGCCTCTTGGCACCACATCTCGACCCATTTCGATTTTCTTCCCTCTTGATTCGTTCAAAGCCGAAGATGAAATGTGTGACGGAGGTTTGATGACAGAAGCAGTGGGTGAGGGGAGCTTACCGGCCTCGCGAATCAGCGCTAATGGCACGTCGGCCCGTGAAGCCAGCGCCGACGCAAAGACGAAGCCACCGGCCTCGCAACACACCACCGCATCGACTTCAAGCCAATTACCGGTGAAGTGAGTGTGCAGCAGAGAAGAGCACAGGGCCAGCCCACCCGGCTGCTCAGATATGCCAAGCACGTGACGAAATTCAATGCCTGGGCGCGGGAAGTCGGGTGACGTGTGAACCATATCGGCCAGTCGATGTAGGTCCTCGTGTAGGAAGGGGAGCAGATATTGTTCGGCAAACGTCTTCGCCATCTCGTCACCAGCTGTGTCATTCTTGAAGATGAAGCTGGGGCGGTAATGCACGGCCCCCGAATTCAACCCTTCAGCGTCGCTGTTGTTATTGTCCTCATCGTCAACAACGTCGTTGCCGTTACGCCATCCTCCACGGGCCCGCAGTGTCTCTCTGCTAGCTTCAACGCGCACATCGAGCATCTTCCTGTCTGCTACTAGATGTGATAAGGATGCTACTGGCGCTTCATCCCTCATACCAGTTATAAGTAGCACGTCAACGTCCGCGGCGTTATATACGACATTCACAAAATGTTCCTCTGGAAGCCGAGGGTTTTCTTGTACCTTTTGTTGGAAAAATCTTATCAGCGCTGACCGGTGTTGCTCCTTGTATCTTCGGTCGTAAAGCAGGCCACCGAGGTCAGCACCACTCTCTTCCGCGTATTCTTCCTTCATGGCACTGCTGATGCTGACGACTCGTACTGTTAGACTGTTGCCGGCGCATCTGATGAGCAAAGAGGCCCAGGCGTCAGCGCAATAGTCTTTACCGGCGCCGCTGTCACCCGTAACAAGTAAAATGAGCTTCTGTACCATCGGCGCTTTCGGGAGAGGGCACGTGTAAGAAAGGACACTGTAAGGGTCTGAGGCGTGTTTCAAATGAATCAAGCGCGGCTGGTTCGGTCCGAAGGCCTTACTCGCTAGTGCGGCGTCCCTGGGGTCCGGCCCTAGGTCGGCGCCGTAAGTTCCGCTGCTCAAGGGCAACAGGTCCCTGGCGACGTCGTAAACCCACTGCTCGGCGGCTCTGGCATCTTCACTGCGATCTTGTTCACGGGGCCAGACACCTGTGACAACGCAGGCAAAGTCCCAGTCTCGATTGCCGAACGCAGTTGCATCCTTGGCCACGTCGCCGACCGCTCCACCGCCTTGGAGCAGATGGAGATAACAAAGTGGGGAGGGACGAGTTTCAATGGCCCTTAACAGAGCATTTGCGACGGTATCTCTTCCTATGCCCTTAAGGAATAAACACCGCTTGAAGGAAGACGTCTTACCGCCCACATGCCCGCCGTGCATCTCAGTCATGTACATCTCGGCCTCGAACAAACCAACACTGTCTAAGAGCCTGCAGTTGGCTTCTGAACCCAGCACTTGAGTCAGGAGCGTGAGGATGGGCGCAGATGTCGAAGAGGTAAGCCCAGTCGTGGTAGATTCAAACAGCGTCACACCAAGATATAGCTGACCGGCGTCCCAGTATAGATATGCGTCTGCAGAACAGTTTCGGGGAAGATTGCTAGCGACCGATTGGTCAAATTCGCGAAGCCTGCGCCGCACCTCCAGACTGTCACGCATGGGGATAATCCAGTCTCTTGTTGTGAAGGTTGGAGCCGCATACGCCATGAAAGTAACGCTGACGACAATGCCAAAGTTGGTTCCAGCACCTTTCATCGCCCACAGCAGATCTTTTTCGTTCTCGGGTCGCACGGCACCTGCTGGTTGGTGTTGGCGTGGTACGTGACCGACACAGAGGACCTGACCAGAGTCGACGCTGACAATTACGGCGCCGACCACAGCGTCGCACGTGAGCCCGTGAAGCCTAGCCAGATGCCCGATGCCGCCTTGTAGCCATAAGCCGGCTCCTACGCTAGGACGGGCGCCTAGAGGCACTGTCAAGCCGGCCGCCATGGTCTTTCGGACAATGTCGCCCGTTGTACACCCGGCCTCAGCGATGACCAAACAACCGGAGCTGGATCTCGGTTCTTCCACATCTTCCCCCTGGGTGAGAACATGGAGTCGATCGAAGGCAGCCATGTCAACAGCGACAACATTCGGCCAAAGACAATGGCCACTATGACCCCCGCCGATAACGGTCAGGCCGACATCGTGGTTGAGAGCCCATTGAACACAGTTCTGCACATGTTGAATCTCAGTCGGCCTCATGATCGTGGCAGGGCAGCTGAGACGGGCCTTCCGGTTCTTTACCGTCTTGTTAATCACCACAGGCACCTTTGCCATTAACTCCGGCAACGCCGTGGAATGCCGAGTAAAGGCTGCCATGATGTCGGGCGAGCTGAACAGAAGATGTTCTTGAGAGTCGGCTTCCTCCCGACGGCCCAGGTCACGACACACCTTGCGCCACTTGACTAGGACGGCATCGTCCTCCTGTACCGCAGAACCCGTGATGAAAGAAGCAAAACAATCTATGGTCTTGTCGTTATTTGCCACACGAACAAGTCCTGTAGGGAACGAAGCCGTTCGATGGCAGACCAAACCGTCGAGGTCCATGGTGACATCGCGATGGAAAACCACAACCATTCCGCCTTCTGCCTGCTCGACAAGCATTTTCAGCGCTCTTTCAACGAAGCTGCGTTTCGGTTGCATGCCGTACATACTATGGCAGAATAGGACGACGTTAAACTTTTCAATAGCATCACCTGGGCCGGTATCTTTCCCGACGTAGCTGTCTAGATCAAAAGGTACTGGAAAGATGTTTAACGCGTTTTCCAAATTTGGCAGCGGGCGATGCTTCTTCGTCTTAGGGGTGCAGAGCCATGTCCCCAATTTAGTGGCGAACAAACTGTTAGGCTCAAAAGCAACATAGCTCCTGATTTTCTGCCTTAAGTCAATTGACAGATGGCCGAGTACGCTTTCCGGACCGGGTCCAATTTCTAGCACGGAAATATGAGTGCGCGAGTTGAACAGAGGGTCGAGCAGCCGAGATAGTTGAGGGTAAACAAATTCTTGATACGTCGTCCAGCATGAGCCTTGCATTAAAATATCGAAGCCAGCCTCATACTGTGTGTCAGACAATGGCTGCCTTGCTGAGGATGGATTCACCTGCCTCAGAGCCTGCTTCAAGGTATCGAGAGTAGCCATTTTGGTTTAGCAGAAATATGTGGGTGGTTCTCTTGACTGATTTGGAACGTTGATTTGGGTGAGCATCCTGAAATTTGAGTTCCAAACATTTCTCTACTTTTCACTTCGTCCCCCCAGGCTGTTATAAGCCTTGAGTTATGCCTGGTCTTTGCCAGGTCAGATGGAGATTTGGACCAGCAGGCTGTGCATGCTGTCAAACCCCAGAACGGGCAGCTTTTGGCCATCAATTCAATCTCGATGGATGCATTGCATGAAAGCTGCATACGACGGTTTTGTATTAAACTGCAGGCCACAAGGCACAGGATTTCATACGGCTTAAGCGACTCAGTTGTCAGTTTTCATGGGCTTGCCACGACGGTGCAGAAAGCCGGACGAACGGCTTTGCTTGGAAAATGTGCGCTAAGTCCACATCGCGATTGTGAATAACCGACACCACCCTATTTCCGCATCAATAATGTCCAAGTGTTCGGCCTCCTGCAGCTGCATCGTGTCACCATCTGGATAATTTACTTGCTGGTGAGCGCTGCGGAGAAACAGAAAGACGACAAGGATCTCGTATAGCGACGCGATGCATGCTGGGATGCACTGAGCACAACCCCCAAAACCAACAGTGTTGGCGCTGCGCAGGGAGAATTTTGATTCGGGTGGGATAGGGGAAATCCGGCCGCATCCCTCGTTGCTTGGGGGTACTGACTGCACCATCACGCATGTACACAACTCATCAACTTGCGGGACTTTCCCCGCAATCTAGTGCCAAAGGATGAGGTCCTAGTTGAGAACTCTGGTGTACATACGTGCTCGCGCAACTGGGTCCTCGACCATTTATCTGTATGGACTGCCTTGCGCTCTGTTCGTACTATGTTGTCACGGGATCGCGTGGCGACGCGCCGCTCGCATAGCGCGACTTCTCTTTCCTCTTCGCGTACGTCTTATATCTAGATCTGACCTTACGGGCCATCATATTCTAATTAATGCTTCTAAGTCTGCTCCGTGAAGCTGCGACCCTGACATATGTACTCGCTTAGCACATTGCCGTCGACTGTACGTTAGACGTTAGTGCACGGGAGCTACTACTGTGATCCACATAGCATTTGTGGCCTGTTTGAGGTACAAAGTCAGCTGCAATTTTCTCTTACGGTTTACCAAAGGATAACCCAATCATTCTATTCCGATCCCCCTTTTTCTGTAATTTTATTTTCTCAGTACCCAACCCGTCAGTCCATGCAAGCGAATCTATCCTGGATCTGCATGTCTTGCATTGCTATCATGGCAGCTGGCGCAGCTGGTCGTATGGACGATTAAGCCGAGATTGGAAGAGCGCTAAATCTTGCTGCTACCAGCTAGTAGAGGTGTGTGTTCGTAACAGTAGAGCATGTCGCGTCAAAGGCACGGTGTGCGGCGTGGTATTCTATCACCATGGTACCTAAGAATGGGGGTGCCCGACGGCGCCCCACAACGACCCGAGGGTGGGCGACGCGCGCCCGCCAAGCTGCAGTCACACAATGCAACCCCTTCGTTTGGTTAGCCGCAGTTTCTTGCAAGAGCTGCGCAGATAAGGTTGGCGCCGCGAGCGTCATGTGACGAGCCGAACAAGAAACAAAGAACAACAGCTGAGAGGGTGTGTTGTCTCCTGCATTCTTGTTCGCGACCACTGTGAATGTTCATCAACCTTGGAACTTTACGCGCCCAGGAATTCGCGCCAATGCACCTATTAATGGATGCTATGCGGGCACAGGCATGTGCTAAAGAGTGGGGATTTGAGTACAACCAATCAGTTAATCGACTGTCAGACCTGACTGGACAGAAAGTGCTGTCCTGAGGCCGTTTTACCTCACATATCCACGTTCAATGATCTTGGCAGAGAGCTACCAATGGCTGGCTTGGAGGGCTCACTTGCTTCCAGTTCCACCTCAGGCTCGTATGCTGCTCGACGCTGGTCGATGAGCTACAATTGGCCAACCATAAAAGTCTGAGCCACAACTTGACCCAAGGGTATCTTAAGTTGCAGCACTAACAGGGCAAGTGGCAAGCTTCCGAGCTTCCGCGGGGATAGTCAGAGCACAAAGTACATCTTGGCGCTTTGAACCCTGTCCCAACAGGTACGCCGCGATAATCCAGCTTCAACAAGCAATTATGGGCAGCCTTGGTCAGGCGGCAAAGTCGAGCCTGTTATGACCTCCTATTTTGTGAAATCGGTAACCCAATCGCGGCCGATGCAGTGAACGTTGGAGGTAATGAAGAATTCCCAAAGAGAGAATCACTAGCAGGCAGCACCGCAACCCAGGATGGAGCCACTAACGGGGTATTTATAAGTAGACGGGCAGCAATCCTCCCCAATCTTTTTTGACGCTTGCATCTTTTTCTTATTGCTTTAAGTCATACGAACTAGGTAGGTCAAAGCCTTCTGATATACTTCACACCTGTTAACGTATACTGACTTGAAGTCACAGGGGCGAACCGAGGGTTGTTAACGGAAAGGGCTGTTTCCTTCAGCCGCTGGGACGGCAGATCATGGCGAATAGTAGGTGCTCAATGCGGCCGAGGAATGTATTTTTTGGACACGGGAGACAGCACCTTAAACCTGTGATGAATGGTGCCCCCCTGAAAGAATGTGGCATGCTTGAGGAGGGCGGAATCGAGGAGGATAATTCACCCACTCATGAGACAACTGACTGGGCAGCCTGTTATAATCCTTCTTGTGGGGTTGGATGCAAAGAGATGCAACTGGACAGACTTGGCCGTCAGCTGAAGAAGAAATGGGAAAGTCACGGCCGTAACCAACAGGATGTCAAGGAACTGCTCATGACGTTTCTAGTTGGACAGGATGACAAAGTGACCTTCAAATACAGGGCAAAACAGCCCAGAATCTGGGTGCTGGATAGGGAGCGGTTTGAGAACAAGGGAATCTGCTTCGTAAACGAGGCTGTTGTCGTTTGGGAGCCGATGGCAGGAAGCTCAGAGAACGGGGAGCAGTGGAAGGGAGACCCACCATCACATATTGTTTTATGTGGTCAGCGTACTTTGTACCTAGAGAATGACGATGAGGTTGGGTCCGCAGAGTGGTGTTTGCATGACAGGATGCTATCGATGGTTACATTTCATAATTCGGAATGATTGGGAATTGGAATTTTGGCTTGACAACGTTTCAGCTCCCTGCGGTGGAAAAAGTGGTGATGTTCTCGAGGAACGAAAATGGAGAAGATGGGGGAGAGAACTAGAAGCTCGCATCTGGGGATAACGGATTACGCAAGAAAAAGCATGAATTTAACTTGAAGCAGAATGGAATCATAGGAATCAATCTCATCGTCTTGCCTTACTCTCAAGTCCGCATCGACTTTATTCTGCGGCGTCGATTCGGGATTGGAGCTGTCGCCTCCGACCAGTGTGCATGTGGACAAGCGACAGAAACGGTCGAGCATTTTCTCTTCCGTTGCACCACCCAATGGACAGCACAACGCGTACCGATGGTGTGTCATAAGAGCCAATCACGGGTTACTGCTCCTGAGTTGATGATGCCGCTTGCAAACTTCCAAACGTCAGTGCCCATCATAAGCTGAAAGCCTCCTGTGTCGAACATGGCACGCCAGGCAGAATGATAGGTCAGAGGCGGGGAAGGGACTATCGACGTTGGTGACGAGCCACAGGTTTGATATTTTTTCCGCAACGGACGTGTGGGCTTCCAACACCCCGGCCGGAGAATTGCGAGCGCTGAGGCATATTCGATCTCTACCAGCTTGGGGCAGATTCCGAGCAGACCTATCAGTGCATTGTTCGAGTAAACGCATTCAGCGAATCGAAGCATAGTCAGACTGTCGAGATTTGGAACCTGAGCAAGAGCAACACAGGCGCCGAGGCCGATATCACTGCAACAGGTGATATCGAGTTGCTCCAGATTCGGTGCTCTTTTCAAAAAAAGGAAGGAGTCCTATGAGAGGGAAGTTCTGTTCGGAAGAGCTCCCAAAAACCATGGTGAATTGCTTCAGATTCGGCAAGTCTACGTCGAGAATTGAAAAAGACTTGGCGGGGATGTCGAAAAAGATTGAAAACTCTTCGAGGGCTGGAAATATAACCAGTAAAATACATGCTGTGCGTAGCATGTCTATATTCCAGGGACGGGCATCCATGATAAGTTGGAGGGTTTTCGTGGTCGAATACGCGCGGTGGTCGTCGAGGTTAGACTGAACGGTCAAGTGCGATTCTGAGATCCCAAAATCAATTTCCACTTCATAATAGCTTCTTGTACCCTCGACAGAGAACAGTTTTCCTTTGGAGTTATATTCGATCAGCAAATGTTCTATTCGGGTAGTTTCGGGATTCGACTAATGTTGACGTCGTGGCTAAGCCGCTCGTTGCCACTGCCATCTTCGTTCTGTGGCGCATTGAAGGTCATCTTCATCAAGCGGGTGATTAGGCAACTGAAAGGAAAAGTCGCCTTACTTGGAGGCATGGAGCACAATTTATGTAAGCACTACTACGCACCGTAGAGTCTTCTCGGTATGCAGCAAAGATTATCCGCAGAGTACAAATTTTATGACCTCATCTTCAGGCTTTCGCATCCTTGCAGGATGGTCATGCGCAGGCAAGTGTCATGCATCGACGGGCGCATGTTTTCATGTTCAGGACGGTCGCCGTATGATGCTTTTGGGAATCGCATTCCCACACGTTGGAACGCGGTGAGTCATACTACTTTTCCATTGCACATCGGTCATGCGAAAAACCATGGGTCCCTTATAGCCGTGCTGCAGAAATTGGCGTGGAAGCAGGCGCAGGATGAGTGCAACGCGGCCTACTGGCGTCTTTCACGGCAGGCTGCGTCTGGCTATCTGTTCAACCAAGAACACGAGCCCGAATCCGGGATGTTGACCCCTAATTGAAAAGCCTTCGAAGGTGGGCAACCTCGCACGCGGCTAACCTTGAACGGGCGTGACAGGTAATTAACCGGTACGCTGTATTCTCCACTTGGAAGAGGCGGGGCGCGGGGTTGTCAAACTGCGGAGCACTAGCCGTTTGCTACCACCAGGTTCTACCTCACCGACGTGCTACATAGATGCCCCGCTGCAACACGCGGCGAAGTTGGATGGTCATGCATTCACCGTGCAGGTGCCACGTCGTCGATGCTTTGGCATGCGTACCGGCCTTCAGGGGGATCAGCTGCGGCTGCAGCCGCTGGACAGCCACCGCCATGCCAGGCGGCAGGTGTTGTGCAGCATGAAGACCCACTCCGGTGTGTAACTCAGGGTGACAACAGACACCCCAGTTGCACCCGCATATCGAACCGTTAGACACGGCGGCTCTTGAGACGTCAGATTTGTGTTTGGGCGGGCCCTCCGCCAAGTACTATGACTACTTGCCTAAGTTGACCGATACGTATGCAAGGCAGGTGCATTAACTTCTCCCAGAGGAAGTCGCCGTATTGGGGTCTGCACAGCTGGGGGTCCGCTGATGGGCATCCGTACAGTTCGACACAGCCGGAGACGCTATCTGTGTTGAGGTTTCATGTTTGTACTGTAGCTTGAGCTCCCATGGCTTCTGCTGGGGTATGTTGTTCTCTGCTTTGCCGCCTTGGGATGTTGGCCGAATCTGCAGCTCTGTTTGGCAATTCAAGGGGACGGGTCCTCCGCGATTGGCTGGAGGAAGAACTCTGCCAACACGACGTGGCCAGTTTGAAGAAACGAGCCGAGAACGGTTACATTCTTGGGGTATCCAGTCCCTGTTTTGAGTATCTGAGGCCGGGGACTAGCAATTGAACTGTTGCCCTGGTTGGACAAACTCGTCCGACCCCGATGCGTGGCTACCCAGCAAAGGTGGCTAAGAGGCGAAAAAAGTCCGGTCAAGTTAAAGTTGGTAACCGCTACCTAAACACGACTGCTGCGAGTGAAAAAGGAACAAATCTGTCAACCAAGTTGATATTCCGCAAAACACCTGTGACACCTGTTCAACGAAGAGTAATGCTGGGCTCCTCACACCGGAACAGTATGTGTGCGCCACGGCCGTAATCAACCATGGATAGGTCTCACAACTTTTGGACGCCGTCGCTGCAGGCTGAGTTTCATCGCAAGCTTGCATCCCTCCGACAACTGACCGAGATCCCATCCGAACCACGAGCTTACCCTTTGCAAATGATGTCACAATCTCAAACCCACTCCCTTTCCACCAACGATGAGATTCGAATCGCCGATTGCATTTCTTTCCTCGCCCATTGTAAAGAGGGAGGTAAGTTCGTCTCAACGGTCACCTTGCGCGAACATCCAGACCGGTTACAAGTGGTACTTGCCGGCAACACAAAACCATCATCGAGCGTCTGCGAAGAACTCACGAAAATCACGGCTCAATTAAGCAACCTTAGCAGAGAGGGTATGTCTTGTGAGAGATTCCTTACGCTCAGAGCCTAATATTCATGCCAGGTGGCCTGAAACATACGGTTCGAGAGCTCCTCGACATGGTACTTTGCTTTAGCAGCAGCCGCATTCTTGGCAGATTGCGTCCGTCGTGGATGTCACGGCCCCGGCGTCTCAGATCACCACAACTTTCTCTGCAGGAAAACTTGAGAGACTGCATAAAGCAAATTCGAGAAATTTCGTGCGCTCCTGCGCGAATCGCACAGCTCCTCGAACTGCTGGAGGACTTGATGGAGGCTCTGAAGCTTGTCGACCATCGTGTGGAGATCAATGCCCTACCGGAAACTCTCAAGACGATCGTTATGAGTTGCGCGCAACTGGCACGTTTGGGGAGCACAAATTCGATAGAGGAACATCTGAAATCTTTGGGGTTTCGAGCACAAATTGCCGAGAGCTCAGAGATCCGCCAGGTTGATAAGCTGGCGAGGTACTTCTTCACATGCAGAGACCTAGCTCGACTTTCTAAAGAACCCAGCTATCGACATTTGTTCAGCCATATCGAGATCACGACGCTGGAGTCCTCTCCTCGCTTGGTTCGTCCGGGGAGTGTCCAAAATTGCTTCGTTCACGCGGAAATTCAACAGGTCTTCTACTTAGAAAAGCAGCCACATGCGCCAGCGCCACGAGCAATCGGATGCAGCAAGTCCGCATGCTATTTGTGTGATCTGTTCATTCGTACACATGGCGACTATGTGGTTTCTCAGACTCATGGTCGTCTCTACGAGAAATGGACCCTGCCTGATGTTGATTGGATGGACACCGCCCAGGCGGGGAGACTTCAATGCGTAGTTCAGAGCATGATAAGGGACATGCAACAATTGATTCAACGGTTCGAACACGGTGAACGAATTAATTATCGTTACCCGCTTGAAAGCCGGGCATGTCTGCCTTTGTTGAGTGGAAACAACTCAAGCCTAACTGGACGACGCGTGGAGAGTGAGGACGCAGTCCAAAGACGGCAAAGCAATGCTGCAGACGAGATGCTCCCTAGATGCCAGTCGTTGCCCGCTATAGTCTCACCTTTCATTAAGATCACCGAGCGAGACCTACCGTGGAATCGATATGCGCGGATGGGGCAAGGGCCATTGCACGTTCAGATCGATGAGCTCTCTATTCACCTGGAGTTTGCGTCGACAGCGACCGGGTTACTTTCGATCTGTCCTCAGCAATTCGACTCCTCCGACGAAATCAAGATCATGAGCGCACTTGACATCCCCACAAACGCGGAAATTAACATCCAACGTCCTCGAGCCTCACGGAGGCTAGCATTCGGGCTCTCGCTCAGGACAACCCGGGTTATTCAGGTTGAGTTCATTTGGGAGACACCTTTAGTTTAATAATGCTTCTAGGGCCAGTGCGATCCAGTACTCCTAGTCAACGGAATGAACGCAAGCATAACTCTAATAACAACCAGACCGCTCAACACCAAGGCGTACCCTTCCGTCCATTTTTCCAAATCTTGCCAGTCGATTGTTGTAGTCGCGTCGTCGAAGACCTTCGCCATCGCCAATATCGAGCGGGTTGTGGGGTTTACTCCCAGCACGTCCCTCATGGCCTTGTTGGAGAAGCCGGGAAATTTACTCTTGAAATTGCGTAAAGCTGGCCAAAGGGAGCTGGATTTCTCCATGATCTTGTCGACCCATTGTGTACGATTGAGAGTCATAGCTGCTGCCGCGTTGGTTAGTGCTTGATCAGTGTTTTTGTGCTCGGTATACAACCCTGTGAGTCAGAGAAGAGAGTCAAGGGATTCGGTTGCTGAGTCTTTTCGACCTGACGACAGTCGCTTTGCAGGCTCCACTGTGAGGCGGGCGATGTTCGTGGGAATGGCAGAGTTGCCCAGGCTGCCGAATGATTTGGACGAAGGGCAGCCGAGGACGGGCTAACATCGGCGCCCGGTGGCTGCTGGATTGATTGGGCTTTCCCATGTCCTCGGAGTGACGCCTCTCATCTCACATAATCTCCAGGCTCCAGGGCTTCTCCCAGAGCTGCAATTGGCCAACCATTACTTGTGGGTTGAGCCACCATGGAGAGGCGCTTTCCATGCCCGATAACAGGGAGATTCAGGCCGGTGCGACCCGATTGGCAACTGGCGATTTCCCGAACTTCCCGCCCCATGTTCTGAGAATGACCGCCCCACAGGTTGTTGGGGTTTCTGCGGCCAACCTCTGTGTCTGTGGCAAATACAGTAATGTTGCTGATGAAGAGGGAGTAGCATGTTCTGGCGTTCGGACTGTGACTCATATTGAAGCCACGGTGTTCGACAAGTCCCAGCATAATCCATTTTTGGAGTCATCAGTCACGTGGTCCTACGAGTACTATGTGTGAACACATGGCATTTCACACGGTATAATCAAGCGTCCGTGCCCTCAGAGACCTTGAAGAGTTCAACTCAACAGGACACTGTTTTCGCACCTAGCTGTAGCGAGAAGAGCAGAAAATGGAGGAGTAAGGATAAGTGGAGACAGTATGGGCTTCAAAGAGACCATGGCACAAAGTCAGAAATGTACGTGTAATCAGCTTTAGTTGCCCTTTCGGCTCTGCCGCCGGGCGTAATAAATTGTGTGTGTGTGTACTGTATGTATCTCTTCTCAAACTTATTGTTTTGAGACGCATCTTCTGCACGGTGCGCACCGAGCATGAGGCTTGTGAGGCTATTAGCTGAGGCTCGAAGCCGTGCGCTAGTCGAGTATCAGAGCATGCTGGGCAGCATCCCATTGCGGCGTCATAGGCATGTCCCACATCAACGCGTTGGTTATGGCGTGTGAAGGAAGAGGGAGAACCCTGGGACGGAAACTGGAAGCAGATACGGGACACCACGCACATTCAGGACGCTGGTTCTTGACAGAATACAGTACCAGTAAGTCATCTCTGGCTCTACTGTACCAGCGGTGATATCAAGGGTACTCCATCACTGATCACAAGGATAATCAATCAAGCCACTTGATCCACAGCTCCACAGCAGGATCACTAAAGAAGTTAAGTAAAGAAACCAATACAGTACAGCCGCGTTCGAATCGGATTCATGAGTTGTCCTGGACATTTTGCTACCCACTTACGGAGAAGGTACAATGACCCATGCACAGTACCTGTTACTGTAGAAAGATGACAATACTTCCTTGTGGAATCCATAATCAGCTCTTTCCTTTGCAAACACAGCGCTAAGAGCCCATAATGGCTGCCGCTATAGGCATCCTTTTTTTCTCTGGAAAGTGATGTGGAGACGTCCGCAATGCTATCGCGCCAAAATGTCTCCGCTGACTTTCAAGCTGCTTCTGGCCCTATATCGTTCCAGCCAAACCACGGGAGCCTGATTTGGCTTCATTCTCTCTACAATGAGTTCGAGTCAGCATTCTTACGGTACAGTGTATGTACTGTAGTAAGAGAGATGGGGGGCTTTATTTGTCCAAAAGCCAGAACTGGATCTACGCAACCTTTGAGTCTATTTCGGTGGAAAGGGCCCGTTAGCGCCGATACGGTTTACATTAGCGTAGGTAACATAGAGCCGGATTTGGATTATACCTTATGAACATCCCAACCCTTAGTCAGAAATCGTGCTCATGTGGCTGAAGCCGATCTACTGTAACGTGCTCGACATCATGTAAGGTTGAGGAGTTGCGAAAAGCAGCCATTGATTGCGATTTTTGAACACCGTGATGTTAGGATCTTAGGCTTCATATCCCAAAGTGCCATTTTGGGCTCCTCAACACCAATTCACGTTGAGTGTACAATGTCTGCCACCCAGTAGACAGAACATGTTTCTTATAAGATTGAGCATCTTGTCTCTGGCCTCAAACTGTATGGTACTGCATAGAACGGGAGACTAAAACTTCGCTACAAGCAGGATACGTCAGCAAAAAACCAAATATGGACAAGGCGGACCAAATCGCAGCGGTATGTGTCCTTTCTTTGTTTTATATTTTCTTCTGTATTAATAATGAATTTTCTCTTTCCCTATCAATCAGTGCAATATCTGACTAAATCTGCTGGTAGTGCTCTCAATTACGAGCTGTCGGGCTAGGCGACCGAATCATCTTTCCTTCCGACTGTCGATATCGAGATTTGGTGGCACCGCACTGGTCTTTGACGGCTGAGCTCACCCCCTACTGCGTCATTCAACCGGAAACCACCAAAGAAGTAGCCAAAGTTGTGTCAGTACTTAGCCAAGCGAAGGGCTGTCTCTTTGCCGTCCGCAGCGGTGGTCATACGCAGTGGCCTGGAGCAAGTAATTGCAGTGGAGGCATCGTCATCGACCTTTGTAGGATGAAGAACGTCGAGTACGATGAAGATCGAAACATCGTTACAGTACAGGCAGGTTGTCGATGGAGGGATGTCTACAGCAAAGCTGATGAGTACGGCGTCACAGTCAATGGCGGTCGTATGGGTGATGTCGGTGTCGGCGGCTTCCTGTGCGGCGGCGGCATCTCGTGGCTCTTGCCTCGATACGGCTTTGGTTGTGATATGGTGGTCAACTACGAGGTTGTTCTCGCTAACGGCGATATCATTCATGCTAATCATTTGGAAAACGCTGATCTATTTCTCGCGCTAAAAGGTGGAGCGTGTAACTTCGGCATTGTCACACGTTTCTATCTCGAGGCGATTAAAGGAGCGGAGGTTTGGGCGGGTATGTACATCTGCCAAAGTTCAACGAGCACACAACATATCAAGCACTTCGTGGATTATATCGATACGATTGAAGAGAAGACAGACACATCCTATTGTCTTCTTTGGGCTTGGTCTTCTGAAGCGAAGGATGTGGTTCTCTCCGTAATGGTTTGCAATACCAAGGGTGTTGTCGAACCCCAGGCCCTCTCCGGGGTTATGGAAGTCCCATGGACATCCAAAACGGTAGACAGAAGAAGCGTGACGGCGCTCGCCCTGCATCTGGAGTCGCCACAGCCCTTTTAGTAAGTGCCTTAATTAGCCTGTGGCACTTCGCTGGATCTAACAAGCTTACTTCCCTAGCAACAAATGGTTGACGGCTACCTTTGCAAACGACAGCCAAATTCTCACCAAAATTGTCGAGTTTCACGAGAAACTGATAGAAAAGCTTAAGGTTAGGATACCTGAAAATGATTTTAGCACCGTCTGTTGCGTACAGGCGCTTCCTAAGCTCTACGCCGAGCGAAGCCTCAAGAAAGGCGGGAACGTTATGGGCGTAGAGAGACTCGGAGAGAACTGCTTCATACTGTTGCTAGGCGCCCACATTAAGGTGTACAAGGATATGGAGTACGGGTTCAGGGCACTTCAGGAGTGTTATGAAGACATCGTCAAGGACGCCAAATCGAATGGTGTATTCAAGGAATGGCTGTACCTCAACTATTCGGATATGTCGCAGAACCCACTGCCGACCTTTGGCGAGGACAATGTGGAGAAGATTCGAGCGGCTGCATTGAAGTATGATCCCAACGGCATATTTCAATCAAGGTGTCCCGGCGGGTTCAAGATCAGCAAAATCCCAGGCAAGGACTGCAAAGAGACATAGAAACCAACTAAGCAGAAAACCGCCTTAGTCTGCGGTCATTAATTCTAGCTCCATTATGAACTTAGTTTGAAAGTCTAATTTTTTATGTTCGTCTGGTGTATTCAGCCAGCATTGGCGTCAGCTGTGACAATCATTTTCATACTGAACAGCCCCAGACCGAGTCGCTCACCATTTGCGTAGTCCGCTTGATGAATGGTGAAAAGTGGTCATCTCATATGTTGGATCAGGACTGTTATCGACGTCAGATGTAAATTCCTTTCAACTAGCTGTCACGCCACAACTAAGATGCTTTTGCCAGAGCCTTGGCCAATTCCGTGAAGTCCCCGCTCAACTGACATGCCGTAATACGTTCATTTGGTGTCGGGCTCAACATTCGTAGTGTTAGCTGATGAACCTGGTCTACGTTTCTCTTTAACTGCTCCCGTACCAGCCTAATGCTTTGCAACCAGTTCCACATAGCTACTGCTGCAGACGACGCGTCACTGCTATGTACGTCCGCAATCAACCATTGCTGTCCACTTTCCGGGATGGCAATGTAATCGAGTAGATATACCGCCACGATCCCCAAAGCATAAACATCACCTGGTGTCCCACGTCGTCCTCTTGAGAGGAACTCCGGTGGCAAATACCACGGCGTGCCGCCAGTGGAAGACTCCGCTGTTGTGGATGTTCCGAGGCCAAAGTCTATCAGCTTTGCACCTATCTTCCGATCATATAAGATGTTGCCCGGTTTGATGTCATTGTGGATGAGCTTCTTATTGTGGAGGTACTTCAAAGCTGCCGCCATGTCTCTGAGAACACGCTCTGCGTCCGAAGAATCTCCCAGGAATCGCTTGTCACCTTTGAAGTCACACCACTTGCTCTTCCCAAGGTCAGGCGCGTTGACATGTACCATGTACAAGACTTGAAAGTGAATATCGCCTCCAAGTAGTTGCACAATATACTCCTGCTATAAATTAGAGGCGGGGTTTCTACCGGAATGGAATCATCACTTACGGATTTGATTTGTTTGTGGGTGTCGAACTCTCGTTTCCAGGATGCAGCACATGAGTCAGCACTTCGGCCAGGCCTTCGCTTCAAGACCTTGACAACAATAGTTTGTTTAGGGAATCCCGAGTGCCTCGCCTGAAAGAGCAAAGCCCCTCTTGTATCGCAAATTGTTTTCATTCGAAAAATTGAGAATTCACATGATGGACCAGTGGCAAGCACCGTGCTGTGTTTCGGCACATCTATCAAAGACGCGATAGACTTAATCACCTGAAATGACGTTGAACCTTCCCGAGCGTTGCCTTCTGAACAGTCGACGTCTGCTAGTGGCCGCTTCTTCCTCGGCACCCGTTTGGGTCGGCAAACTAACGAAAGGCTATGTTTTCGAGGGAAGACTTGGATTTGAAAAATGGGGAAACCAGACGAGATGCACAGCCAATATCCTGGGCTGAGGGCAGCAAGGCAAGATCGTTTAATTGATTGCGCCGCAGCTACGTCTTGCAGGACCAGGGGCTGGAATACAAGGGGAGCCTCGGAATGGTTTTTGACTCTGACTTCATCGGTGGTCGCGTCGTAACACAGGTCGCACAGTATCGGAGATTGAATTCGGCATGTTGTAGGCCGATGTTCATCGTAGACGGCCAGACATGATGCTGGCGCACATCTGCGTACTGTCTTTGGCTTGGGGTTGACCAATTCTAGGCGATGCTGGCAATCGGTGACGTGGAGGGTCTCGACATCGACGGGTAAAATGAGAATCCTGTAAGATAGATGCTTCGTGTCCAAGTCGCAAATGTGGACCTCCAATGTTTGGGAACTTTGAGAACAAGTCCCGTCACCGAGAGCGTTTTGGTCTGCAAGATGGCTGTGCTTGGGGGCTCCGTGGTCCCCTTCAGAGAATGGGTTCGTGGCATCTGTCGTTTGGGTCATCCTCGAAAGTGGCAAGGCAAGCGCCAACAGTGATTTCATACATGACTGCGGAGTGGGATCTCTAGATATGCTTAATGGGAGCGCTAAAATGCGTCCAGCAAACTGACCATTGTTTCAAAGATATTCGTCAGTGACCAACACATTTCGTTGCAGGCGCCAGCGCGTTTGAGAGCGCGTATGCGGCTAAACATCGGATAGCAAAATTCACCACGGTACTCCTCCTGACCTCCTCACCTACTCCAAAGCTCCGCAGTTTCATACTAGCACAATGAGCACCATGGGGTCCTGGTCTCCCGATGACGACCATCGCCCTGAAGAGCTGCAACGGCAGGCGTCGAAGTTTGGTTACACTCCGGCCGAGATCATCGACGCCTGTAACACCGCAATGGTTCCAATTCTCAGTATCCAGGAATTCGAGAAGGTCGTTCAAGAAGTTGGTGATCAGGCCGGGTCCCCTCAGGAGTTTCTGCAACAATTGAAACAGGAACGCAACAGCAAATTAGCGAGTATGCAACGAAATTTCAGCAGCATATCTGACGAGTTGGCTGCGCATTCGTCCTGTCTATCTACATGGTGTGCCTCCATTCGGTTCTCTCGCAACCCTTCTATTAATACCTTAATCGAGCTACTCTCCGCCCAGACGAACAGCACGCCCAGCAGAAACGATGTGCCAATCGATATACCTGAGCCCCGAATCCCACAGAAGCGACCGACGAAGCGAGCGAGGAACCGAGGCGGTGGCAATGAACGAACCACGAAGACTAGAGCGCAGGCGACCGACTCGAGGACAACCAAACGCTCAACAAGCAGATACAATCTCCGCCCGAGACGGAAGAAGAATTCGCTTCGTTGAGCCAGGCTGATTTAGCTGTGGGATGCGCATGCAACAAATTTACGCTCGTTTAGCCAACTTAAGATGTCATCTAAGGGACTGATGTGAAGCCTTTTGACAAGCCGGGCCACAGAGGAGATTGAGACACCCTGACAAGCTGGGTTGGCAGAGACACGAGAAAGGCTTTGATACCGAGTCAAGTTGCTCAAGCGAAAAATCATCGGCACAATGATATCACGAGAACGAGGCTCTGTACGACTGGGAGGCTGCCCGTGCTGAGGCTTTGGCGGTTCGCCGAAAAGCAGTCGATTTCGGTCAGGCAGGTGTGTGGCAGCAGGGTTCACGACAGACCAGAGGATTGGTACTGCTGATTGTCCAAGAGCCAGAGAGCTGGACTGCTGGGCTCGCACAGTGAGAGCGATTTTCTTCACGGGGAGTAGTGCTAGGCAGAAGACAACCTCACCATGCGGCAAGCCGCCTAGAAATGTGACCTAGCGCAAGGTTGCTTGAAGACTGGCGAGCGTGAGGATTGGATAAACTGAGAGTCTCTCCTCTAGGGCCAGGCCAGGGAGGCCCCAAGGACGGGAAAACACATGCCACGAACGCTCAAGGGCGTTGTGAAATATTGAACAGTACCCTGGGGCCTGATCATATGTAAGGTAATGGCAGATGGGAGGGTAATTTTATACGACATGCATTAACTATACTCTATCACTGCGTTGTTCGTCATCCCTCGTAACTGCTTTCAAGTTATCTGCCGAAAAATACCCGCCGACAACTAGCTCTTTGCATAATATCAGGCCCGGTGCACGTATGCCTCATGACTGTCAATACCATTTCCACTGACGACCTGGCGCGGGACTGGACCGTCGTAACAATGATTTTTTGGCCATCAGGAACTCATTGCGCCATGTGGAAGGTGCCAAATATGGTTGATTAGTTCTTGGCCTCGTCGAGATTGTGGGTCGCCAGAACCAGACGATTCATCGTTTAGCAGTGCAGCCGTGACTTGGCTTGGCTAGGGATGGCCGCAACTTGGCGAGCGCGTGTCACTCCGTCCTACTCTGGTCAACCAGGCGCTATCATGCATGTCATTCTCAGGTACCAGTGTGCAGAGCCATTCCTTGGAGATACCATGTATGACGGGAGGTCTTGTACGCGCGCCCCTATTGATTTTGGCAATCGCTCCGATCTCGGGCGCCGAAGTTTCTTTTTCTGCTTGGATTGAGAAAAGGCCTGCACGAGGGCGCAGGTCCCGCGATACGCCGGGATGGATAGAATCCCTACAGCTGCAACATCAAGGGCCCTCCAGTCTATGCATAGATATGCGGAGGCTCTCTTCCGCGCCCCAATGTCACAGGAAGTACATCCATTTGCGTCGTTCCAGAGGTGGCATTAGCCTCTGCAATCAAAACCAGGTTCAGCTTCCACATTCTGACGAGCATTTGTCAATAACTTACATATGTATTGTGCATTTCGACGTAGCAAAACCTGGCGCGAGTAGGCGATTATGGGTCCTCGGAAAGTGGCTCTTCAGGTACATTCCAACCCCGCACGATTGCATGATTGGGGTGCTACGGTGTAAACTTTGGCTGGCTCGGTAGGATGCGGCCTCCCGTCATGCAAGCAAACGCGTCCATCAGTGGCGGGCTGCCGCTACCTAAAGTGGTATTCCCCGCCATCCCTTTGTTGTGGCAAAGGCAGTAACTGTCAACAACCTACCTCCAACTTTACATCAGACACAATCCTGTCAAAAAACGCCCACGAAAAGTACGGCATATTTAGTTCACTGCCCTTTTCTCATTCTCATAATCCAATGGCAGATTTGCTCGTAACAAAAGACAGATTCTTGGAGACTGTATGTCTTGCCATCAAGTCCAGCTTCGCGCTCCATGAAACCATACGTCGCTTCCGAGATGAAAGAGCTCTCAAAACGGAGCTCAGGGAACTGATTAGAGTCTCTGGCTCCCTTGTAGAGACATTCCTCGACAGTCCAATCCTCTTTCTCGACAGCTCTACCCTCAATTTATCTCTTCTCGTGGGACTACTCCAGCGCTGTAGCCAGGCATGCGATGATCGGGCGACGCAGATACGTCTTCAGCAGGACGTCGAATTCACAGCTCGGCTAGCTGTATATCGGTTTAGTGTTAGTATTGCCTTAGTAGATGCAGGCCTGTGAGTGACTCCAACTCAGCGAACATCTTTCTCAATTTTTGTGCTAAACTGCTGAACTTGCAGGCGCCGGGTTGATATTTCCTTTGAGAATCTCGACACCTATAGCGACACGGTTTTCGATACCGCAGACCACTTGAGGGCCTACCTCGAAGATCTCCGCAAGCAGATTGAGCGCCTCGGGACTGCCATGGGCTTGCAAGCGATATTCCAAGAATGGGGAAACACTCTGGAAGTTCTCCACTGGTGTGACCAGCTGAATGCGCGGCTTCAGGAAAGGAGAAACACTCTGGAAGTTCTCCACTGGCAGCTGAATGCTCGGATCGCCAAATCTCAATCAGTATCAGCAGAGCACATGCATTCTCCAGGCCGTACATCGGCACGCAATGTTCTTCAACGTTTTCCGCGCGAGATTGTTCTGTCTCTCATAGATCTTTTCCACGACCAAGACACACAACTCCAGGAGACGGTAGACAGTTACAGCCAGTGCAAACAAATTCTGTCGGAAGCTTTGTCTGAAGCAGCCCATACCTCACCAAATGTCATCGAAGACATCAATTTAACAAACCAACAATTTAGACTTTGTGTCTCAACAACCGGTACACTGACTTCAACTAGGAGGCTACACATCACAGACGGATCCCATTTCCTAGGTGGGCAAATGTCAGACGCAACAGTGACGTCTTGTATCAAAAGTCTCGCACAGCTTAATGAGCAAGTTAACTGCCTGGGCAGACCAGTTATTTCACTGGAATTGGCGAATTTTCTCATGCATGCTTATCGAATACTTTGGTCTTGGCACTGTACTAGGAAATGAACATGCACTCTGCCTCTAGGAAGAGCTTGGTTTCGAGATTCTGCTTGAGGAGATTTGGTTGATCGGCATGATCCATGGTGCCTGTAACGCTCCGATTTCCCTTCACCAGCCCGCTAGATGGCCTCCCGGTGCCCCACCATGGCACCTGATTTATACGGTACTGGGCCTTGCCATATTGAAACGGCAATATTTGTTTTTTCCATGACACAGTGGTATCGAAAAGCACAGGCAGAGCAGTCAGAAACTCGCGAAGAGGAGCTTCGAGTTGCTAAGGATAAAGCCCTCCTCATTCCCACCCCCACTAATGGCCGAGCGTCGTCATGTTATATTGAATCAAGTGCGGGCAGACGATGAAGGGACCCTAGGGGCGCACGGAGTAGAGAAGGTTGGGAAAGCGTTACCCTCGCATTAAACACAACATGTATAGTTCTTTTCTCGTTGGAATGAGTGTTATTGGATTCCAAGGTAACGTTGGGCCGTTACCACATCACATGGCCGACTGTCGGAACGAAGCAGTGGAATGGCTTGTAGTACGTAGGCAAAACCACACGACACCACAAAAAACCTGACCTCCGATCCGTGGTGCACTCCCCGTCGTGGGTCCGAAAGAGTGACTCACTATCTATAAACAACGTCTGAAAGCCGTTTGGATAGGTTGGGAGCCTGTCGTAGGCCTGATCAGGCCTACGAGTGACAAGCCTTTCACATATAAACGTCATCAGATTGGGTTTGATATGCCTTGAGGGCCGGCTTATTTATGAAAAACACGTTGCTTACGCTTTCTCTAAAAGATCTGTAATGGTTGTGTACGATGTCTCTTCCATCCTCCTATGGCCTTTTACTCGCGCGCTGCCCCGTGCCTCTACATTAGTGGGCCTCATGCGCTTTCAAGCCCCTTCGGTTCAAGAGCAAGAAGACGATCGTCATACTTCGCCCTATGGCCCCTACAGTTGGACTGCGCTACTAGATGTACTAGGTTCGCCGTTTCCCATCAAGCTGGCGGACGAATCTTGCAAGAAAGAGCCATTCACTCCGCTGTTGGGAGGCGTCAGATGGGGAGAGCCTTCCCCACCGTCCGGTCATCTCAAGTTTGAAACTCAATGCTATCGCCCATCAAAAGTGTTGATATGCACAATAAAGAAGAAGTGCTGCTTCCAAACAAAGCAGAATATTTGCAGCTCATCCTCTCTGTTTTGTCCAAAAGCAAAGAATGATGAGCTTGCGAATACATTGGATGATATCGAGATACGTGCTCAACGCTGTATGACTTTACCGCAATACGTAGAGACGTATAGGAGGATAAGTATTGTGCGTGGCTAGACTCAAACTATTCAGGAGAGAACCCCTAATGAAATCAGAATAAAATAGGATGCGAATGACGCTGATGCTGTTCAAATCATCTGGCTCGTCATCTCCAATTGGCTTTTCTGTCACTTAGGAGGGAATGTTAGTCGAGTAATGTGGCCGGCTGTAGATGAGTGTCTTAAATAACGGAGCTCTTCTTGTATCTTAACAGCACAACAATGGTAGCTGGTCCAATGGAAGCAGGCTTAGCGTCATATTGACTCTGTATTACATCACAGCATCACATCACAATTATTGAAGTTTCGGGCACAAAAACATAATTCTTTTTGTCGAGCTCGCAAGTTACTTCCTGTTGCAATGGTCAGAATACCGGGTTGAAGTGCCGTACGACACCAATTCCCCCTTTCCATTTCAGCTGTCACGAAGCGGAGAGCCGTGTCGCAACGGAAGTGTCACGAGCAGGATCAGCGGCGCCGAGACGGGCACCTAGCAGGAGGAATAGCGGAAACAGGATTTAGAATAGAAAACATCTACGGGTCCCATCACCGTTACACAACCGTTGGGAAGCCGAGGACCGATAGTCGTACCGACCGGCGTTATGAACCACTGCCCAGCTAGTGGCTAGACGGTTATAAAAGTAGTAGGCGTCATCTTGTAAGGGATAAGGAGGCTAGAGATAAATGCAGTCACTATTTCATACCTACATTTTAGTGCTATTGTTCTTGACCTCTTTACTCTGTACCATTAAGCCCTTGACATCAGCCTCCCACTTCTACTGAGTTCTTGGTAGATAACTGCGATTATTATAGTACCGTGACAATTTTAATGATATGAATCTTATCCCACTTTCCGTGTATTATGAGTTCCATGCGAGCACTCTCAAACTTAATTGAACTAGTCGTCGTCCTCGCAAGAACTTGGTTGTAGTTCAGGAACATGGCCGCCAGATTTATTGATGAGGCATGATGTTCCTGGTTCTATGATTAGCACTCTTCATCATTCAACTAGTGCAAATCGCCATTTTCATACCATCAAGTATAACAAAAAATCATAACAGAATATCTGGCGACCGTTTCAAGGGGTTATGGCACAGAGTTAAGAGGTCAGGTAGGTGGTAATAGCAACTGTATTTATTTCTGGCCTCCTGAACCCTCCAGGTTTAGGGGATCTCCTCTTACATTGGCTAAAATCCAATGGCTGGATGCCGGTGTCTGGGGGTTTCAAACATCAGTATTTTGCCCAAATGCCAGCACCCTACTGCCCCAGTTCGCGGGACATTCACTTCTCTGTGACAGACAGTCTCACATCTTTACTTCAACATTACTTTTAGAAGGCTACTGTAACTCTTCACTACTTCTTTCACCACACAATTGGAGCAACCTGGTTGCCCTGCTCAATACATTGCGTATGATCCACCAAAAAAGTAAGCTGTCACCCATCTGGCCTGCTTAGTCCTTCTTCATCCTACCGCCAATGAGTCGCTGCTCGAGAACCACTGTTAGTGCTACTCCAGCGCGACAAGCCTGAGTCGCCTCCAGGCCGCGACTGGTTTCTTCGAAGCTGACATCGAACGAGACTGCTACTTTGGCGACCTCCTCATCGAGAAACATATTTCGTCTTATTGAGTGGCTTATCTCCAGCCCCAAGATCAAACCGGACATTACCCGTATAGGTGTAAGAAGAATTCTTCAACGCGCGGTGAAATTCATTGATGTATGTTGCATATGAAAAAAAAAAGAAAGAAAATGGAAAAAAAGCTGTAGAAGCAAAAGTTAAAGAGGATGTGAGAGATGTATTCCTCTTGGCTGCCTGTTAAGTCGTCTATTCATATTGGTCCTGGGTGGCCTGTAGCCGGTGGGCGGGCGGCAACGAAGCTACTTCTACCCGGAATCTCGACTCTTGCAACAATCAGAAACTGGAATAAGTCTTGAGCACTTTCCCACCATCATCGTTCGCAACGGTGGGCAGTTTCTCGTCATCTGCTTCCTCACGCGTTGCTTGGAGAAAGATTATTGACAAGGTTTGGTTCCCTGCGGGAGATGGGCAACGGCCTCCAGAGAAAGGCCAAGAGCTGGAACATAAAGGCTGAGCCCGAATGGAACAGTTGAGGGCTCTGAGAAGGTCTTTGTAACAGCACACCATCCTTGGTTCTGAAAACATTCTTTTTCATCATGTATGTACTGTAATATAACATGCCATGACATTTGATTAAAGTCAAAGATTCCAAACCGTCACTAAAGTCATTTACTTCGTCGGTAACTGCATCCTTGAGCTTTCCCCCAGATTCGCATTGACGACTTGGTTAAATCTCCACTGGATTTGTAAGTCTTTCCTGCGCGCGACATCTATAAAGTTCATAAGTTTGCCTCCAGCGAAAAAGTCCCCATTAGCAACAAACTTACAGTATCCTTCCTGCACTCAGGATGTAACACGGCTCAAAGAGCACCCAAAGACGAGGTCTCAATTCCATGCTCGTTGGGTGGTGGAAGGTGAGTTTTATCGCATTTGCTGGATGGGTTTGTGGACTCATCCACTTTTACACCAGCCACATTCGTACCTCGTGGGTCAACCCTCGCCCCCTGTGTTAATCCCGTCATGCTTGTCTTCCTCGCGATCGCGTCTGGTAGGTATTTGCGTGTGGATCTCCAGTTTCCCAAGTTCCGATTGCAAAGGTCGAGGCCCCTCTTCTTGGACGCGAAGCTCCTCCTTTTCTAGAGCGTCAATCTCCTTTTTTAGAGCGTCAATCTCCTTTTCTTTCTTGCTGATTAGAAGGCTAAGGAGTAATAAATTATTCTCGCGTTGGGCAGTTGTTGTGAGCTCGCTCTGTGGTGATTCCTGTTCCATCGCCGAACTATCTTCGATTTCGACCATCGTGACAAAAGTCGAGGTACCTTCAATCCACTGGTGCCACTTAATGAGCTGGTCGGTAAAGTGGCAATTACTATGTGTCAATCAAACTAATGTGACTGAACATGAATAGAACGAGGGAAAAGATGCGGGATGCCAACATTGACGATGTCGAAGGGAGAATGAGGATCACACCGTCTTACCGCATATTTACTAAAGCAACACAGTGTGATAGCCAACGCGACGCGTTCTATGTTACCTTTGTTGGCATAGAAACGTGACGCGTCGGCGCAATGTTTATCCATTGACGCCAATTCGAAGGTTTGTCCCCCTTTGAAGAGGGTAAGGTAATAATCAAGAAATGGATGCAGCCAGCAGATGGCACCAGCTGGTACACAAAGCCAAGTGGACACAAGTCATGGTTATAAAGTCGGGATTCCGCTTATTTCTTCCACAATTATGCAACATGGGTCGGACATTAAGAGACATTGAAAGAGCTCTTTTTGACTTGTGGAATGGTTTGAACGCCGACGTAGACAAGGACATCCTTAACAGGTGAAGAAGGCTGTCGCGCTGTGTACTGTACACTGGGAGTGTAGGCTTAATTAAGTCTCATGATTGGGTGTGTTGAGCTTCCAGAAGTTGCACTTTTTGGTGCCATGATAAGGGTTTCCGGGCTCAAGCAGCCTTGACGTCATTATGAAGATGGCTTGTAGCTGATTCGATGATTATTGGTGGTTTCTGTGGCTCCTGCCTAGATGTTCTTTTCCACATTTGGTACTGTAAATGGGTGCCGTAACTGAACAGGCAGTCTTCTGCTCCGTCCCTAGTTTTTGCTTGGATTTGTCGCTGTTACCCAAGAGCCTCAGAAATGACTGCCATTGCAAGGCCTAGTTCAAATACCCTCCAGCAGGGTTTAATGCATGACTCAGTACTGCACATGTGTAATATCGTATATAGAACGTCCACGCGACACGACTTTGCCTTGCGTGCTTGGCTGTTTGAAGTTCCCCAATCTCTAGTTCGACAAGGATCTTTTAACAAGACTAATTCAGATCGGATCAAACTGAGTTGCACGTTGTCAATTCTAGATGTATGGAGTACTCTGGTAGTGGACCTAAACGCCAACTTCGCCATGGGGTAGTCCTTGAGGATCACTAAGCAAGTCAGCCTGTGCGTGACTAGCTCTCGCTTTAAAAAGTGGAGATTACTTTCGCGTCCACGTTGTTTGGCGCAAATCCCAACCACCACACCGTGTCCTTTTCCCCGCCCTTCACATTCTCTCTCCAGCCATACCCACTACATCTCACACATCTTTGTCTCCGTCAGCAACCGTGGAGTCTTGGTTCGCGACCAGAGTACCTTGTAATCCTCTTTCGTCGGATCTTCACATAACTACCCGCTGTTCCTTGGACGACTCGCTTCGCTCATTCCCTGTCATGTCAACCCCTAGCGCCTCACTTTCCCAATATGAACTGCCTAAGGACATGACAGGAGAGACTCGTCAAATTGCCGACGAGGCTCTCAAACATTTTTCGCTTAACATGTCTTCTCCACCCCCGGACGACATTCCCTTACCAGTTAATGGTTGCTGCTGCGAGTTCCCTAGGCATTGTCATTAACAAAGTCATGGATCCCAGTCATAGAGCTAAACTGGGGAACGAAATTGCCGATAGAGCAGGCTCGATAGAGTAGGCTCCGTGAATGATATACATGGGACGAACATACTTACACACGCGGCTGAGCAATACAAGATAACGAGGTACTCCCTGTTTCTATTGGATAAGTTCCGAGTGCTAACGTTTTGGTTAGGAAACTAAGGCAGGCTGTTTTCGCGAGCATAGCTGAATTCCTAGCCTTAGATGACAAGCTCCGGCACCCGTCCGGCCCACCTACGAGAACCTGGGACGAACGATCAGATTGCGCGACCGCGGGTGACAACCAAGATAGCGAGTGAATAGTAGGCGATAATGCATATACATTAGAGCTGTTGGCGATATAGTTAGGGAGTTGTCGCCTAGTTGCTAGGGAAGAGATGGCTGCACCTCTTCTGTACTTGGACCAGGACCAGTGCCATCAAGCTCAGACAAGCTTGTAAATCCACGCTTTTTGTGCATGAAAGTCTGTTGATGGTACTATCATTTAAGGGGTAGAAGTAATGACAGATACCTGTCTAGCGGTACGGTAGCATAATCCACGCTGTTTAAGCAATATTGCGACGTCAAGCTGTGCGCGGTCCAGACCTTACGATAACACGTCCTGTTCATCGTCCGTAATTACCAATCCAATACGGACATCTCTATTGAGTGGTACACTTCTACCTACATGTCAGGCGAGCTTCAGATTTCGCGGAATTTTCGCGGACTTCCTATGCTGTCGCTCATTGATTGGAATCCTTCCGTGGAACATATATCTGGAAAACGCGCAGGTGCGGTCCTGTCCCGCTTTAGCGTGTGTAAAAATACAATAGTGGTCCATGTAATTGACCATCCGAAGCTAGCCACGCGTGCCACGCTGCTTTTAGCGTTGCCGGCCGCCCCGGTGTTTGGGTAAAGTGGCAAACTGGATTGAGTGATCCGTGTATGGCACTGTATACCTAATCTCAGGAACTTGATGCATTATCCTAAGATGCCAATCAACAAGGCGTAGGGCTTGGAGCGACATCACCCGGGCGGGCAGTGCCCAACGGATTCAAGAAGTTGCAATCGCGAGATAACACCCTCTTTGGTGACTTTGAAGAAACCAGTTTGCTATAGTAACTGCAGACACAGTCCAAAAGGGCACTCTCGTCCCTAAGCACAATTGCATGAACCGCCACATACTCCGTGTCTAGTAAATACCACGGTCTGAGATAGCAACTATAAACTGGTAGGTTCCAAATTTCTAGATGTCAGCGCTTGAAGATGGGGTAACTCAGGCGCGAGATACATACCTAGTTATATGCTGGAGTCAGAGTCCTCATCCGCCGCATTGTTCGCAGTCTCCGCTCCTTCCGCACTCTCATCAGGCGACTCCGTGACTGAGGATATGGTGGCGATGAGGTAAGATCGTAGACTCGTGGCGTTCAGGCAAGGCTGTTCCACAGCCCCTTCAGAAGTCGGTGCTGAAGATCGCACATGTTTTCTCCCTATCAAACGAAGCGCCCATTCGCATTCGGCTTTGAGGCGCGGCTTGTCCGTGTTTCCTGCATCAGAGCATGACCTTCATAAACGCCACGCGCATCAGTCCCATCGCAAAAAGTAATGAAGAAAGGGCATACCTAGGAGAAGAGTAAATTTGGATCCCAGAAGTGAGTCCTGCCGCTATGCTTGTGAGATCGCCAATGCCGCGGCCTCTGTACTTTACCTTCTCCCAATCCCGGAACTCATGACATTCTTCACGTATCTTCACAGCCAAGGGATCAAGGCTTTTGTCTAACTCAGTGCAGACACCAAGGCACATTCTCAATACAGCTTCCAAGGGAGGCAGATCGACCTCGTCAGGGGGTGAAGTTTTGAGCCATTGCAAGTGGCTGAAGAGTAATCCGAACTGGCCCTGAAAGCGGCACACTGATGCAAAATCGCTTTTCGCAAAGCGGACGACATTGTTGATCTTGTTCGCGATTTGGTAAGCCGACTGAAGCACCAGCTCGTAACTTTTGTCTGTCATGACTGTGAACTGTGTGTTGATGAACAGCGACGCAATGAAAGCCAATTGCTCTGCTGCGAGCACCGAAGGAGGTAAAGCCATAGATTTATGGCTGCAGGCTCCAACCTGCCCACCTACGTAAGCAGCGAAGGGGCAATTCCTGTTGGCGCTAGCAAGTGAACAAGATAATGCTTAAGCTGCATTTTTAGTGAGACGCAGTTCGAATGCCTGCACAAGGGTGCAGGGCACGGCGACCCGTCGGGCGCGGATTCGACAACTAAAAGAATTGGCTGGGGTGGTGCCTCCGTTTTTTTCTTCCTCCATATCGCCGTTGTGGACTGGTGCGACCCCGCGACGCTCGGAGTGGAGGAACGGCCACTGAACTTGGCACCCTAACATTCTAAGTCATCCACAGTGCACATAGCGATACGCTACTTTGCCTGTTGACACAATGATGTCCATGCTGAAGCGTTGGTGTCAGTCATGCGTCCTCGTCACTCTGCATCATGCAGGCTGGCGGCTCCGTGATTGAGGCCTCGGCCTGTTGGCCTGCCCCTGACCTGACCTGACGAGTCTGCCTTGCACGTGTAGCCTCAGCTAGCCTGACTTGGGACGCGCCTCAGAAAACCACACAGTTACCAGCGAAAGCTTCCCAAATGTCAGGAAGTGTGCAGCACAATGGCTCTCTCTCCCTCTCCCTCTCTCGTTCTACGGATCATCGAACTGGGCAGGCGACCGCACTGAACGCACGGACCATCTGCAAGCCCCTCACATTTACATGTTCACACACGCAGTCCCTGTATGTAGCTCCCGACGAGCAAGGCGCACTGCATTCGCAGCCCTGGTCATCCTCGGCGAGTAGATTTGAATGGAGATCAACTTGAGACTCTTACCGCGGGACAGTGATGACCCGCCGCTTCACGCCATAGTAGAGATGGCCAATATCCCTCTCGCAGCATGCGATGACTGATTCAACGGCGAAGTCCCACATGCTATCGACGAGACCGAGACGCCGAATGCACTGTTGCCAAAGTATGTTGCATTTTCCCTTGTGGAAGACCCACAGATCTAGCTGAGGTTTCCTGTAACCACGCTGTAAAATAACCGCTCGGCACCACTGACGACACCAAACACATCAAACCCCCGCCTTCGCAACTGCACCTTGACCTCCATTCGCCCTGGAAAAAAAGCAACAAGACTTTCTGCGAAGATGAAGATGCGTAGAATCAGCCGCTTGTTGAGTTAAAAAAGGAATGAACGTGGCGAACCGATTTGAAAAGACGGGCACATCCAGAAGTACATGTGATTTTCCATGTCGCCATTGTCATCGAGGTGCTATTGCCTGAGTTCTTGACATATTTGGGTGCTCGTCCATTCGCACGCCATCTCAGCGGCTCGGAAGAGGTTGTTAGCGTAACTGCCATGAGGCGGCGGACGATTGATTGGTGTTACGTCCTCTACGCTATGTGGACCATGCTGGCGACCGTTTACTGGCCACTCAGCCGCGGTGGTATCTTCGGCAAATTCTGGCGAGCAACCTGCTGTATGTGTTGTCACGGGCAAGGCAAAGCCTTCAGCTGACCCTGCGAGGACGTATGATAGTTAAGTCTTCGGCGGACGTGTCTCGGTGGATTTTTCTAGGTTTGGATATTGAAAATACGCTAGGTTAAGCTTGACGCTTTTTGAGACTGAATGTAATGTTACATTGATGGTTATTTTCTGCCTTTGAAGGATGTATTACGTTGGAAGTTTCCTTGGCCAGCAGCGTGATGTCGCTCCAGGCTTGCTTCAACAGCGTGCGCAATTTTGTCGGTGAACATTTACTGAGGGTACTTCGTGGTGCGAGTCAGAGTGTCCACATGAGAAGTTCAAGGCATTACTTGCGGCCGCCAGAGTACTTGAGGAGCGAATCTTTGGTTCCAGAAAGATCCTTTGTCGACGGGGACCCTTTGCCAGCATCCTACCTACAGCTCCAACGAACGTAACGGGCCAAGACCACTTTTCTTCCTAGCATTAGTGTGACGATAGTGTCAACGCTCACCGAACACACCGAGCTAGGTGTGTTTTACGTAAGCTACATGAATCGCACACCGTGGTCGTGTAAGTAGGCGCTTCCTCACGCATTTACCCTCTTTCTAAATCAAGTCACTCTTTTACACCTTTTCTAGCCTGATTTCTATGTGCCTAGTTCGTCACAATTAGATAGGTTCAAAGCTTCACAAAGTGAGCACGGAGACGTTCAGTGACAACGCTCATCGAGACGTCCCGCATCTACCCGTGTGAATCCAGGTAAATGATCACACGAAGAGGTAGCCGCAGAGGCAGGCAAGTACCTGAAAGTCACCTGTGCATTCGTACAATAGGACCACGCAGGAAAGCAGTGAGATGCCACTCATATGTAAGAGGGACCAAACGAATCTCAGAGAGCAGGTGGGAAAGGATGTCTAGGATGCTGATCGGATTCGTACCCAGAGGACTCATAGCATCTTTCTTTCATGTTATTAAAAATGCATGGATCACGTTCCGTCAACTGCCGCATTGGGAAGAGCTTCTGATCTTGTGCGTCACGGAATTTATTTGGCGTTTTAAATCTCAACAAAAAAATGCTCAAGATGAATTAACTGCAAGTCTGAAAAGTGAATAGTGGTTGGGAAAGGTAAATACTGAAGATTTCAAAGCAATTTCTGCGTTTATTTTGTCGTTATCGATAGCTTATCATTAACAAAAGGTTGTAATTATCAGCTTACGATCCGAACAGTTCGTTGGGACCAACACCCCTGCTTTTTTGGCAGCAGTGACATTAGAGTTCTCAACTTCCTGGCTAGAAATGCTTCAGAGGCTTCGCACTCCCAATGCAGCCAACCTTGCGTTAGTTTGGAGGAAGTTCTGTCGTTCTTGTACGCAGGTGCAGGGTAATCGTCAATTCTGCATGATTGCGAATTGCGATCTCGATGGACAGTTTTAGGGTTCATTCTATGGGGAAATGCACAAACCCTGGCCTTTACCAAGGATACTTATTCTGTCTATGAGGTCGAGTATTAAAGAGTCAATAGTTCCCAATGCCGGGAATTTTCTTTGATAGGTTTCAATTTATGATTTCACTTCTCGTCGAATAAGCCTTGTCTCGCAATACTATCACAGTGTCTTAACTTTGACCATGGCATGCGAGGGAATCGGTTTAGGAAATCAGGCTATTTTGGCTAAGATTGACAAGCTGAGAGAGTTGAACATTGGTGCAACCATCCCATTGCCCCAGGTGGGTCAAACTCGCGGATTTATTTTCAGACAACTCATTTCGTGACAGCTTCTCGTCGTCGGAGATCAGTCGTCTGGGAAAAGTTCTGTGCTGGAAAGCCTTACAGGGTTCTCTTTCCCTCGCGCTCCTGGTCTCTGCACTCGCTATGCGACTCAGATTACATGCTGTCGCGAGCCAGAAACGTCTATCCGCATCTCTATCATTCCTCGCCCCGGCGCAGATGAAATCCTCAGGGCTAAGCTTCTTGAATTCAAGCGCCAAATGTCGGGCATGGATGGCAATGACTTTGCCCAGGTCTTCAAAGACGTTTGTGATCTCTACATTGCTCTCATATTGCCCACGCTGATGATACCGTTTCAGGCTAACGTTACGATGGGCATTCGAATGGATGCAACTCAGGAAAATACTGGGCTTGCTGCGTTCAGTGAAGACATCCTCAAGATCGAGATCAGTGGCCCTGACGTCTGTTCTTTCCAAAGCCTTAGTTCCCTATTCTATGACTGATGTCCTGAATAGCAAGAGCATCTAACGGTGATTGATGTCCCGGGAATTTTCCGGGTTCCCACGCCAGGTAAGCCATAGCTGATCCACTAGAGGGTCATACGCCGACTGACGGTCACGCAGGACTCACCGCAGAAAGCGATATTGTGCTCGTCGAGAGCATGGTGAAGTCGTACATGGCAAACAGTCGAACTATGTCAGTCCCGAGGGTTCCCTTTCCAAGAAGGTCTAGTTAACTCGTGGCAGCATACTTGCAGTCATATCATGCAGCGTTGACATCGCTACTCAGGAGATTCTCAAGCTTGCCGAAGTTGCTGATCCTGACGGTGTGCGAACAATGGGGGTTCTTACAAAGCCGGATCTCGTTACCGAAATAGTTACCCAAGGTGTGATTATTGACCTGGTTCTCGGAAAGCGCAGTACCCTCAAACTTGGATACTACATTGTCAAGAATCGTAGCGCAGACGACAATATCTCCTCACTTTCCGAGCGTGCCGCTGCCGAAAAGGCGTTTTTCATGGCACCTACTTGGTTGCCGATCAGGGACCGCTGCGGCACAACGTCTCTCAAGCTCAGGCTCCGAGAACTACTTTTCCAAATTTCGAAGCAAGAAATTCCCCATGTGAAGTTGGACATCGAGCAGCGTTTGCGTCAGAGCAGGGCAGATCTAGAAGCAATGGGGCCTTCCCGATCCGACCCGAGTTCGCAGAGGATGTATCTGGGTAAGCTGGCCTCCAGGTTCTTGGCCGTCACTCAGTCTGCTTTGAACGGTTACTACGCCGGCGATAAGATATTTGGCAGGCTGCCTCAACTAAAACTTATAACGAAGATTATGAAGCTCAATGAGGTCTTCTCAAACATTTTCTGGAAACGCGGTCACAAGCAGCATTTCGGGCCTACGTGGGATGACGAGGGTGAGAATTCATTTGGACGCACCATCGATCAGCTTCCCTTTGAGATCGACCTCGCCAGATACCCCGAGCTCGAAGGTGTAATCCGTACGGATGGCTATCAATGCCCCAAGCCCTTGAAGGGTCCCATCATGAGTCACATCGAGGAGGTCTTTGAGTCAAGCCGTGGACCTGAACTTGGAACAGTAAGCGACTCTAGCTGCGAATTGCATCACTACTGACTCATAACACCTTTTTTAAGTTCGGCGGAACGATTCTTGCTACGGTCTTTGAAGAGCAATCGGAGAAGTGGGAGCAACTCGTGATGTCTCATGCGAGCAATGCCATTGCCCTGGTCCACGATTACATTTTCCAGCTCCTTACTGAATTGTGCCCAGAAAAGCAGGTAAGGGACAATCTATGGGATGCTATTTTACTTGAAAGGCTGGTGGACTCGTACCAGCGGGCGATGAGCCACTCGCGGTTCCTTCTAGATATCGAGAGGGGAGGTATGCCGAACACTTTCAACCATTACTTCAATGCAAACCTTCAGAAGAAGCGGTGCGAGCGCATGACCAAAACTTTCAGCGCTATGGCTGTACACTCACCCTGGAATGATGAGAAGGAGCGATATGTGCCTATGAGTAAAGTTGGTCAGCATGCTGTTGACAAGGATAACGGGCAGCAAGTGTGTGAGGATATCCTCGACACACTAACGAGCTATTACAAGGTATCACGCAAGCGCTTCGTCGACGTCATTTGTCAGCAAGTAATTTTTCACCTTCTGCTCGAAGGGAGCAACAGTCCGCTGAAAGTTTTTGACTCGGAGCTGGTCATGAATCTCAACCACGACAAACTGGAGCAGATCGCGGGGGAAGACGCGGAATCGAAACATCAGCGGCAGGCCCTAAAAAAGGAGGTGAAAAGCTTCGAGGAGGCTTTGAAGATTTTGCGATCTTGAGTAAAAGAAAGATTGTAAAGAGTGGCTTCCGCAATGTCTAACGTAAACCATTTTGGTCGAGCGAAGCCATTCAATCTAAGAACCAGACAGTACACTACGATGGAGTCGTTCATTTATAAAGTCTAAAGCCCGAGAATGTCAAGCTGAATGAGCCATTATTTAGGCCTTGAAGAGGATCAGTGTCGTGAAGTTTCTTCGCGCCACTCAGCCCGAACTGCCTCTCTGACCTTGCTTATGATTCGTTACAAAATCTCTAGACCATTCCATCAAAATGTGTAACAAGGTAGGGTGCCGCATGCACAAAGGGCATTGGACGTATGCTGGTCGACAGCGGTGCCAGTTTCAGCGCTTGTAGTCGGTTGGGATCGGTTCCGTTAGTACAATTGTTGTCTCAAGAAGCCGGCCCTTATGACAGGCCATTGCCTCATCAACTTCTAGTCTCAAGAAGGGTACGTGGAATGAATCTATGGTTCCTTGTATGTGAACCGACCGCTCGTTAGCCTTCCGATAGATATCTGGCATTGTGTGCTCCCGGGGTTATGCCTGAACCCGGCTGCAACTTTGAATGTCGGAAATCCGAAGCCGCCGGTCGACTAGCCGGAAGTGGCAATGTAGCATACACCAGATGAATTGAATGATAGGATCTTCTTCTTCTCTGTTGACGTAACCGATATCTGGGAATATGAGATTCATCGCCAAGTCCCATATGAATAATAATTCCTATGATAAGGTAGACCCTGTCTACAGAATTCTTCTTCCCCTTAATTATTTATGGCTGGCTCTTCCTGGAGCCGAATTATTGACCGGATAAACGCCTAGCTTCCCCAAAATTGGAAAGCAGTAGTGGCCCAGCCTATAATTGATGTTTGCCTAACTTGGAACGGCGATCAAGCCTGTGAACCGAACTCGCCCTGATCCCAAGATTACCACAAAGACCGCGAAATGACCTAACGTGCGATTAAGCAGACTCAAAAAAAAAAAAACCGTTAAAATATTAAAGGTGAAAAGACGCGTAGCTTACTATAACAGCAGAAGGACGATCTCAAGCACTTTTTCTGCTACCAACTTGGAAGCTGGGGCGATGGACGGAAGCTGAGATGCTGCAGAATCAGGTACTAGCAACGAGTTCGAAGGTGATGTGACTGATGTGCTTGCTCCTGGCTCTGTTTCTACGCACGTGAAGAAGCAAGGTGTACTGGCGGCGACGAAGCCGTGGGAAACAATGAGGTGGTCAAGTCGGAAAGGATATCAGATCAGTCTTTCCCTCCAGCCGACTTTAATCGCCTACTTGGCAGGAAAACTTTCGATGAGTGTGTCCTAACATGAGTTGGCTAAAACATGCTGGCTGCAGGCAAGCGCTGGCCAGCCAGTCTTCCATTTGGTACGAAGCCTCTGCTTACACTATTGGCCAGCCTTGCATGAACCCCTCACACCCTCGAACCCTTCGTCGCGGAAGTCAAACGAGACATTCGCCGCATGCAAGCTCCAGGACAGCCCCCCGGACAACAAAATACTTGGCTGGTTTTCTGTGGTAGCAGACATAGAAAAACGGCCCTTTTTTATCACCCGTGCTGCCGAGTAACAGCCTAGGAGGGCTCCTGATGTTTTGGGAATTGGGTACTGTAGTACAGAGTACAGCAAACGATATGGACTTCAGGCATGACGTTCTGGCCGTTGGGCGACACCCCTGCAGCCCATGTTGCTTCGCCACAGCCACCGAGATGTGACTCTTATCTGGTTGGCTGGCGGTAAAAACTGTTCGTCCCAACCAACACGCAAGGAGGGGTTGGGAGTGGGAGGGTAGGGATGTGGGGACTGAAGCTGACCCCCAGAAATATGTCCTGTTGCATGTCAGCTGGACGTGTAGAACCGCCAGACATTACATCCTGATCCGGCGAAATTGTTGACACCTCAAGGATAGCTTTTACAACGTGCCGATTCAGGTCGAAGTATCCACGGCCCACTAGTACACGTTTTGTGGTGAGTGGCGCAGGGCAACCTCCCGCTGAGGTTCCACGGGCGTTCGAAAGGCGCCGATATTCCCAAGACCAATAGAAAACGTTGCGCGAGGCGGTGCATCTTCCTGGTCTCGAATTGCGCTGTTTTCCACTTTCTCTCTTGCAGGACAAGCCTTAGGGGATGCAAGCTGGGAGCAAGCTGGAGCAACACAAATTTCATAGACCTCCCGAAGGCAGGCCCGGCTCGTTACTTTCAGGCAAAAATATTGGGTCGCAATCTCTTGCCCATGGAATGCAAGGGCTGGGCAGGAACTCACCATACCTACAATAGTCGCAGTGGTTCCAACCAAAATACCTGAATCAGGCATGGGGTAAACCCTTGCGCAGACGTTGTAACCAGTCAGAACACTCGGTGTGAGACCATAGCAAATGGAGGCGCTGTCATCATCGAAGGCTAACTGGCAGCAATGTGGCAGACATACGCCAATGATCACCGAAGGCCATGTGTTTATAACGCGCTGCTAATCCACACAGCCTTTTCGACTTTTTCCCCTTCCTCTTGCCATTCCCATTACCTTTCAGTATGCTTTTAAGGAACGACCCGCCGGCCTCAAATGGCCAGTCTGCTCCGGAACCACTGTCATTTTGTACGGCATGTGCACATCTGAGTCAGCAAGGTATGTGTGAAGTGAATTACCAAGGCACTATCGTAGTTCTCAGGCTTACCCTCCGGATAGGTGCGACCCAGGCTCCTGTCGTTCACGAATTTCACAACATAACAGTGGGAGATTATGGAAAGGCAATAATCTCATGCCAACCAGGAGCAACAATGAAAATTGGCAACGTTACGGGGGGCCGCGAGAGTGTGCTGGTTATTGGGAGTTTTTCCCCAGGGAGTTTTTTCCCAGAGGCTGGTGTGAACGCACCAACATCGCCACCAGAAACGAGACTATGTGCACTAGAGGCGATTGACAAAGCGGAAAAACTGGAAACCGGCGCTAAATTCGGAGGTTTTAGACTGGACGAGAAGAGGGCTCTTTTTCTTAGCGATCTCACGTGCAATGCGAAGAGACAGGAATTGGAGCAATGCTTGAAAGATGTTGGTAGCGACTGGGATATGTCAATTTGCACAGAAGTGTACGTTTCCCTGCTAGCGCATTGTAAGAGATGGCTCAAGAAAGGAGTCAATGGGCCTGTAGTGTGTCCTAACTGGCTTTGGGCGGTGCGAGAGGATATATATGAGGACATTCAGAAACCTGAGCCTGGTCGTCTGGAACGGATGCGAACATGGGTACAGCAAGCCCCGACATGCTCACTCAAGAGAGGCAAATGGGCCGATCACATTTTGTTGTCTCTGTGGGAAGAAGCAGAGAGACAGCATGATAATTACCTGTCCACGATGGTTGCTTTTACGTTGACATATAAGGAATCATGTCAGAAAATGCCTATTTAACATGGATAAAAGGGCTGATAGCAAGTTGATGGGGTTTTGGGAGGAAGCAGCGGATTGAGGAGATAACGGCCTTGCCAAGTTGCCAGCCGTTTATTCAACTGAGAACGAATTGTGTCAGTAAAGGTTGCCGGAATTATCCAGTATTCGCTTTCGTGTTGATCTTTTAGCGTCTCTTAAATATGAACATGCGATTTTTAAGCCATCTCCCCATAGTTTCGGCGTGATGGTTCAAAGGAAGTGACCAAATGGGAGACCTAAGGGCGACTGCATTCACCCCTGATAGACTTTAGCGTTTCCCTTATACCGGCTACAGCCTACTGTTGCGCAAAACGTCTGAAATGTTGTGCAGCCTTAATAATTTGTGCCATTTCTCTGCCTTGGTCTACGGCCATTTCCGCTCGTGACACAGCCGTTTAGAAAGGGCTATTGAAGCCTATGAAGGGCCGATGCCGTCTTAGGAAGAATTGAAATAGTTTGATTTCCGATCAACCAAGGCCAGAGACACAGCATGATCCATTGTAATGCCTACGAACGTCGAAGGCGCTTGCCCACTGGGGTAGAGGGCAGCACTCTTACCCACACTTGCTGGAAGCGTACATTGATTACAGCAGCAATCTCAACTCAGTATACCCACTTTACAACTACGATTTGAACGTGCGGGCAGGATAGTCAGATTTGACTCTCTCCTGTGGCTTCAATAGTATTGACTCTATTTACAGCTCCATCTATAGTATCAGAGATCCTTATGATCATTCTCTCGCAAGATCTGTCGGAGTCTGTCCAGTTCGGCTGTTTGATCACATTTTAGGCACTCCAAATAGAAAATTACTGAGCCCAATTCTTCTTTCGAGACATCCTTAGTCACCAAGACCCGTATAGACACCTCAAATGATCGGAGTTTCGCCACAAGACTTGGTAATACATCGAGAGTTCCCTCGTTCGAACGAATCGCACCCGTAATCGTGTTGGCGCAAATGGCGTATTCACGCAATAGACTAAGTAACTCCTCCGAAAAGACGCCTGGCAATTCTCCTTTGTTTAGCTCCATTTGTTGCATGTTCATGGTGGTTTTGAGAAGCGTCTGCGCAATATCGTCCTTCATAAGCAACTTGTAAACCTCATGAAGGCCCTCGTTCGCAATTACTGCATTTTGATACACAAACATTGATGACAGGGTTTTGCATAACTCGAGAGCTGCATTGAGTCCGACCAACTGATTGTGTAAGATCAGTTTATCTTCGTGCTGGGTTCGGATGTCTGTGAGATCCTCTTTTATCCCCTCCAACTTGCGGTGTTGATCTGGTGAAAAACAGCGTTCAGTCCTGGATTCAATCAGCCAAATCTATCAAAATCGGACAGTGCTCTGAAATACCATAATGTGCAAAGACCTATCAACTTAAAGTAACAAGCAACGAGCGTATCGAAGCCAGAGGCTTTGCCCAGCGCCATATCCATACAAGACTTGAGTTTGCCTTGACTTGATCCCATGCTGCAGTTATCCAAGCACGAAGTAAGAGTTCTAATCGCATCAGCAAAACAGTTTACCAGCACTTCTACCCTATTGAGTAAGGATTCACAGGAAGCGAGAAGTTCAATCTTGGCATCTGAAGATTCCAGATCCTTGTAGAGGAGGCCTGCCCATCTTTCTCTGTGGTTGCTCAACTTGTCCAGAAGCACCCGGCAGTCCTTTGCAACGTCGTGTAAACCGCCGTTTTGCGCAGCACAGTGTGCAGCTGACATTTCGCACCCTGGGGATCGCAATCGTTTGAGTAGGTTGAGGTGGATGGAAACCTAGTCTAGCAGCTTGAATCGATTGCGTGATGATTGGCCGGATTGAATATCTCGCTTTCCCCGCAATTGTGACGTTTTCGAGATGCGCAGCTTGGCTTTCGAAAGTGAGGGGTTGCGCTCAGTACAACTTTATTCGTAGCGAAATCTAAGATGCAATGAGTTTCTTATCCTCTAATCGATGAGCGAACAAAGTAGTGGAAGAAGATTTCAGCCTACGCCGCAAAATTTGTGGAGGAAGCAATAATCGAGTGTTGTTGTCGGAGCGAGAGATAAAAGAATTCACATACAACTTCGACCTCATCAGGCAATGTACTCTCCTTTTTCTTCTTCTTTTAATTTGGTAACGGGACTTGTGGGGATGACGGGGGATGTGCCAGTAGGGAGTGACTTTGAGGTTCTTGCTCAACCATCGAATAAGTTGGCGGTGTTGTACAAAATACCCATGCAGAGATTCCGCTCGCAGCACAAAGCTTCTGCCGCTGAGCTTTTCTGTTTCTTTAGGGTTTCTGTATGTTCACACTCCCGCGTTGGGCGCTACGCCCAAATTTTACAACTCGCGGCGTATCGCACTGTGGCGCCGAGCCAAGGACGAGCACCTGCCCAACGCTGCAAAAGCCTAGCGTAGCGGATGGAAGGGGATCACAATACTCGTGTTGGTGCAAAGCCCCATATTTAGGAGTAACCCTGCTGTCCCGTAACAAGGGGAGGGCGGGGTAGGTTGCTGACCTCCCCAATCAGCAGGCAGCGACCATTTTTGGCCACTCCAGATAGCCATTACTATGGTCTCATGGGTAAGTTAAACCCCCAACCAGTGTATCGCCCCACAAGCAGAAGGCCCGCCCACCAATGATAGCAACCAGCCTGGACAGCTAACGTAAGCGAAAGTTATGGAATTTCCTCGATTTCTATGCTCACAGGTATTTAACTGGCATACTTCTCCCCTTTATCTACTACGAGGTAGTTTTAAAGTAATAGCTTTAAATACGCTGCCTTTCGATATTTTATAGCTATTAAACATATAAATGCCTTTTATATAGGCTCTTTCAACGTTTTAGCGTGGAAGAGTAAATATTACACAGAAGGCAAAGGGTGGCAGTATAGCTACAAAGTGGTCGAAGGCGGCGTGGTCCACGTATCCCCACAGGTACAAGAGCAGGGGGTTTTACTTTTGCCTGATACCATAGTAAGTATGACAAGGATAAGTGATTGTGATTGCAACAGTGGCGTGCGCTGCTGCCCCCAACGATCGTCCACAAACACAATGCATTAATAAGAGTTACTCACTTGCGTGATAGGGCAGATCTCGGCGATACGCCGGGCGGGCTGCAAAGCCAGCAGTCTTGCAGGCACGAGCGTATTCTGAGGCTTTTCTAGCAACTAATGAAAATGAAGTTCCGTAGGCGACATGTGTCTACGTTGTCATGGTTAGAAGATCCTGCAAAGTAAAACGTTGGCGCACTTGCGAATGGTGTGCATTTGCGCGTATTCCTGACCACGTCGAGTGCCTAGATCGGTGAGAATTCACAGTGACCTATTGGGGTGTGAGCAGCAGTAAGCGACAGCGGATGATGCAACCTATTAGTCGTTGCTTTTCCTTCATTATACCACTCACCAAGTAGTCTTGAGCCCACGGTGCCTAATAATAGCGGCGTTGTTCGCGTTGTGAAGGGAAGTGGATATCAGCCAAACGGAGCGGCTGGGAGTAATTGCTGACAGCCCAATCGTCATTCATAATGAGCGACTCAACGCCTAAGCGGCCGCTGTGCCAAATACAAAGAATGCTATGGCCGGAACAAACCTTCTAGGCAGGTTATCGCTGCTGGAATGTTCTGGCCGGGCGGGCATTTGTATCCGTTAGCTGCAAGGTAGATAAGCTGTGTAGCCAGCGAGGGGAATCTCTTGTTGGCGGCACCAAAGCCCCATGTTGCGGGGTTCTTTTGCAACGCGGGGCGCCTACAGAGAAGCTCGAGGAGCTCTTGGTAGCCAAGAGCATGATAAGGACCGGCGGTCGCGCAACAGTTGCGCGACTGCTCCTCAACCAGCGGCTAGATATCACGCAATAAGTCATCAAGAAACGATGCTTGCGAGTGCATTTCAGTGGAACCCACTTTAAGTGCCTGCACAAAGGCGCAGGTCACAGGGCGACATGCCAGTCGCAGACCATCGTGGGTGTAGCCGCTTTCTAAACTCACTGAAAGCCACGAACGGCATCAAGGTCTCCAAGGTCCGCTACAGGTATTGCCTGACCAACTACGAGGAGATCTTAGGAAGAGGACTTTATGGACGTAATTTGTTAGCGGGTGCAAGACTAAAAGTTATCCATTACCCCCGATGAAAGCCGCTGGCTGTGCCAAGTTGATAAGTCCTTCAGAGCTAGCTGGTTTCTGTAACCGAGTGGCCTCTGCCCTGAATGGTCTGGAACAGTGTGCACCTTTCGGTTATGCGGTGCACAGCACCACGACGGAGGACGCCCATCAATGAGCATGTACCTCTACTACACATCTTGGCTCAGGCAAGCCCGCAAACCCCCCGTCGGACAAGGCTCGCTGTCCCCTCCCAGCGGGCCACTCGTATCGCTGTTAGTGCATTCCCGCCTAAGGTCGCACCGCCACCTAGCAGTCGCCTACGGCCTGCAGCGTAACAGCAAGCAAGGCCAACAAATTGCAACAAGGCATTTGAAGGAAAAGATGGGATAAAAGGGGCGTGCGAGAACCAATGGGGTCCTTGCCCACTGCGAAGCCAAGCCTATCTGGCACCCGAGTACCTGACGCTCCAGGATATAGCTTTTCATCAACGGACTTGCGCTGATGGCTAGTGGTTAATGGTCAGTCTGGTCGTCCAGATCACCACCCTCAGCCCACTACATGGGTTTATTAGCCGAGCGAGCCTGCAGCCTCTTCTGCAAAAGCATATGAAGGGGCTACGACAATAGGATATTCTCCTGTGCGGCAGTTTTTGCCTCTCAACTTGTTAGCCAATTCGAACAGTCAACACGAGCAACAATGACCGACGCAAGTTTGTACCAAATAGGCCAATAAACAGTTGGAGATGCTCTGCGTTGGCATACTTTGGAAAATTTTGCGCGATGTCCAAACATTACGTCCCGGCAACTCTCACCAATTCATCACAGAATTACTAAAGAGTCCGAATCGCCAGAATGTCCGGGAAAGTTGCCTGAATGCGAAAGTTTGACCACCACTCAAATTGACCGGCAGAATCTAGAAAAATGGATCGAAACTGCTCAAAGGAAGCTGCGAGAGCCGTTGCGAGGTGATGTTGAACGCGTGTACAACTCATGCCAGCAAGTTGGCATCGACTCGTCAGCCACCTCGCTCGGTGAAATTCAAAGCACCAAAGGATTTTGGAGTAGAGTGGTATCAGAGCTTTCCCCCGCTATGCGCATGCTATATGGACTCAACTGGGAGGGATATGTACACGAGAGCTGGAATAATCCGAAGCACCAACTTTCGATGGATACCGACCAGATTTGGACTGGTGTAAAAACCCGTGCAGCCAAAATTATGGAGCATTGGGACGAGTTACAAAAAATCAATGTTGAAGCCTTCGGAGTGGCTTGTGCAGGCTTGATACCGCAAGCCAGAACAACATGGCTCAATCGCAAGACCAAAGACAAACTTCACAAAATCCCCATTGCGCACATATGTGCCTATCTGAAAAGCTGTAGGGGCCAACGACCTTCTCCGCAACAGTTATGGTCTCCGATGCTTCACCTCGAGGACCTTGTCTAGGGCGATAAACTTCCACCATTTTTCGAGGTACCTGCGAAGCGTCACCCGACGACATTCCGCACATTTGACAGTCACTTCGCCCCATTGGGCCGCGCCGCGCTCTGCATTACCGACATCCAGCTGTCGGAATAGCTCATCTTCACGGGCCAGTCCAGCAGCAAACACGAACTGGGATTGGACTAATGAACGTCAAGACATCGATTTGGCCTTCAAGCGAGCCATACCTATGTCGGGGAAAAATACGGCATTTCGTTTGACTGTAGCACTAGCATGGACGTAGTTTCCGCGGGGTGTACTATTACAGTGCTGCCCAGCACTGGTTTCTGGCTTTTAGAGGCCCAGACGCACACATACGAAATCCTAGTCCAATGCGTTTAGGGCCTGGTGGAGGAGGTTGAAACTAGCTTGCCTTGGATTCGGACTCTTTCTTGTCGAGCATCCACAACAAGGACAATGGAGACTGGTCATTCTTGGGTAGATCTTTCCGGCTGAGGTGCTATGACTCTGAGCACATCGTCGACTTAGATTATCCGTGTCTCCTGACGAGAGCCTCACTCTACGAGGCTCAAAATGACTTTTGGCAAGTGAGACTTGATCCCCGGTATTGGGAAGATCGTCTTGAAACGTCTGAAAAACACGACGGGAAGTTGATGAACCTGGTACGCACCACTTTCGGGCGCATCCACATGTTCAACACCATCAGAAGCCTTCTTCAAGAGATGTCAAAATTCCCTTGTCCAAGGCAGCCAGAGAGCTTTGCTGAAGATGACAACTTCTTGAGACTCATGGTCTCTGTGAGTGGCGTCGTCGACAGGTTTATAGACGAACAATTCAGCCAGCTGAAATATATCGAATGGCCTAACCAGGGTTCAATCATCTCATTGTTTTCTCATTTATTTGCGCAGATGAAGGAAAACAACTATATTATCCGGCTCGTGAGCCCATTTGAGGTCATGCAAACGGTTGAACGAGAGCTTGTAAGAGCTTGCAGGCGCTGAGTGACTCATCTGTATTGTTAGTGTGTTCACAACATACTCTATTTCTGGTGTGTATTCAATGCGCTGCAATACTGCCTTACAGCCAACAACTTAGCAGACTGGCAGATGAATCGAGCGCGTCCCTTGGGGATGCACAATCAGGGTTCTCAGTGCAATGGGCCAAAAACAAAAATGCAAATTTGACTACTTGTCTCGGAAAGGGAATGCTCAACAGTCCGAGTTCTGGAGCTATTTAGACTATCTTGGTTTTTGTCAAGTGCCCGCTAACTTTTCGGGTCCTCTCTCGTCAACTGAGCTTTCACAAGAGTCCCCTGTAACAGTTTTCCGTGTCAAAGCTGCTATAACCAATGTTGCCGAGAATGAGAATCCAGATAAGAGGCCGATAACAATGGCATACTGCCAAGAATGTCCGGCTACAAACCAAAGCGCGAGGCCCAGTACAAGCTGTAATATTGTACAGTCAAAAAAGATGATCGGTGTCCACGCTACTGCTAGGCACACCCGAGTGGGCTTGTGGCTCTCTTCAAACGTGAGTGAAAGCATAATTGTAGTCGTTGCGGTGAATGCTGCGGTGATTGCTGAGCTGACGATCAAGCACGTCGATAAACTATGTAAAACTGACGGAACAGCGGGCGACTTGTCGAGCAGCATGACTATAGCAGCGCACCCGAAGACCGCAGAAGCGACGGTAAACGTCGGATATAATCTCCTTAAACGGGCAAACATGACGACGTCTACGTGGATAGTGTTAGCACTTGAATGAACGGTAATTCTGGCGAGACTTCTACCATGTGGTGACACATTCATCTTGCTTTCTATTATGGGAGCTAGGTATCGATTGCTTAGCAGAAATGCATCCTCCTAGGCTAGAGACGCTTTATGAGCGGTATTCGTGACTGAACATGGGCTTTATAAAGATGGTATCTGATGTTCCACAAGTTGGCCAAAATGCGAATTTGGCTTTATCAGCCAAAAGGCCAATTCGGCTTTCGAGACCACATGTACTCCAGTTCGCACGAAGGGGCTTTTGTGAATGTCCAGTCTTGATTATTGCGTCAAATTACTCTTGCGCTGTTCCTTGGCCACAACCATATCAATGCGATGTTCATGACTGGCTTGATTTTTGCAACTACTGTACTGTAAAAACACCGTGTTTACTACAGTATACTTAGTCTATCACCGAATCGCATCAACATTTTGACTGCCTTTCTTCACCTTCATTCTCATAGCCCAATACTCTTCAACAAAGTTTTATGGCATACTGTACTCTTCAGCCTGGTTCTCTGGCTTCCAGCTGCGATCTGCATATCTAACCTATGACACATACAGCTGTTTCACACTGCCTTTCACATTGTGATTGGCAATTTTGAACGCATGCCACTATTCCCTTTTGCTCATATGAGCTCAGAGGTACATAGCAATTGCTGTAGTCTTACTTGAAACTATCAGTGAGCCCATGACTGGCCGGCTACCGCCGCAGACAGATGACGAGCTGTTGAAGTCAGCCACTTATCTGATTAGGCACGGAACTTAATTCCCGTGATTCCGAGACGTTTGGAACCTTGCAACTCTCTTTACTGATACGAGTGGGAAATAAATCATTAAGCCGAGAGAATGCGAGGCGATGGGGTGGATGGGAACTGCCAGGCCGTGTGGCCGCTATCAAAGTATATAAAGATGATGAAAAGCCCTTCCCCAGGGTATTTTGCGTTACCGACTGATTCTGCGTTTATTTCTACCTACATTCATTGTTCAGGAAATGATGACGTCCCCAAGTACTCCAGTACAGAGGCTACCTTCATCATTTGGAGCCGTTGAACAAGAGTGTCTTGTGGAACCTGGGTATCTGTTGTCAGGAGTCGATGAATCACAAACTTCAAGGCTTAATGATTCATCGATACTTGTGTCTGAGACTGAGTCTTGCAGAAACACGACCACAATCTCTGGACAAACAAGGAACGAGGCGATCCTAGAAGGATTGCTGTCGCCTGCAAATGTGCCTTTCCCCCATGGCACATCATATATGGAATTCTCGTCACTTGAGAAGTGCCCTGAAGGCCTCCTTGCATATCTTTGGCTCTCCAAAAAAAGATGTTTGACGATATACCGCTGGACTATAAGCAGCTCCAGCATGTGGCTGCTAGTTCTTATTCTCCATATTCTTGTTCTTCACTTGCTGCTGATGAACCGTTGATGAGGTATGTAACCTGTATGTTTTCTTCTAGCAGAATCTAACTTTACTAGTCTAAGTTGGTCTGCTGTTGGTCTAGATCCCGCATTCTATAATCAAGACCTCTGCTCCTATCTTCCACCAGTGCCTGCGAATCTCGACAACGCGTCAGGAGACGTCGTTTGCAATTCGGCGCTGATATACTTAACCGACCCCCTTTACGCAGGTAGAGCTCAAATCGTGGGGACGGTCTATGATTCTGAGAGGCCCCATCAGTTCTTCAGCCCTGGACAAGTGAGATTTGATTTTGAAGGCCAAAGATTTACGGACATAGACTGGACACAGTGCATAGACAACTCGAAAAAGAGTCCTTACAATATAAACGACTTCAAATAAAAGGTCGATAGCTCTAGATATATTTGGAAGTTAGGTAGTTTAGGAAGGTCTGTTCTCAGTAGCTATTCCGCTCTACGTGGATAGTTGTATATGTTTCGACCTATTTAATTATAACATCGATTCAAGTGTCTAGTAAGGCAATAAGGGCATGTGTATAGTACATAGATAATGAAAAGACATTGCATGAGCTGTTACAACACCCTAGAGCTGTACTACTGTATATAATAGAGCTACCAATCTTGCACTCTGTAATGCTGCATCCAAGTAAGGCATTATACATAGTACAGTAAGGAACCGTGTCTATTTAGTTCATTGATACAGTAGTCAGCGAAAAAGCCTTCATCCTATTCCCAACTCTCTGATCTCTCTCCGCTCGGACGTGTAAGCTTTTTGCTGCTTACACAGTGTGGATATTTTGTTTGTTTTACAGATCTACATCGTAGATGTGGTGTACGTCAGCTTAGACCGGATCCACACACTAGAACATGTTCTCCATCTCCAATAACAGACGTTGGGTAATCCAAAACTGGCCCTTCAACCCACTTAAGACCCCTGGTGTTGATGACACAAAAGCCATTGTTTGCTCTAAGAAATTGATGGAGTACCCCTGTCAGTGAAGAGCTCCAGTGGGTTGGTATCGCCGTGCTAGTTCAAACTGTGTCGATGCCAAGATGCCAGACGTCCGTGCGGAAACACATCAGAGAGTTGCAGAGAGTTGAGAATAAGCATGAAGCCCTTTTCGCTGACCCCTGTATCATAGTATACCCCTTGTTTTGGCCTGTTGTCGAGCTCTATTAGCTACAGTAGCATCCTAGGTAAAGACCTAAGAAGATAAGTGCTCCAGACAAAACAGGCAAATATCGTTATTTCGTTGTTCAGAATCAGGTTTGGCTTAGTATAGTGATACTAAACGTAACCCCGGCCGTGCAGCCATTTTCGGCTAAAGATGGCTAGAATCTGTGGAGAGCTAAATCCATAATACGAATACAGTCTGTGTAATATATACAGTACCTTTACCGATAGTACGACAAAAACCGGGTTCAGCTTCCGTGTTCAAGCTTCAAGGGTATCATAAGCCAAGTCACTATGGGGCTTACTCACAGTGTGTGGTCTGGTGCCTAGTGTGTCCGGTTCATCAATGGCCTAACAGGAGCCATTTTCGGCCCTGAAGGCATGACTCATAGTGATGACAGGCGCTAAACGCAACACCGTTTCTTCTCCCTCCTCAGTTCCCTCGTCCTCTTGCTGCTTGTTCCAGGGCATGATCGGCTTCGATGCCTCGATATAGCTCCTTGGCTGACACGGTAAGCTTTCAGCACGTTCGCTAGCTAGCTACCGACAACCGAGGTTGGCCCTCCAATCCACCGAAGACCCCTGGCGTTGGTAACCTCGGCCCCAGTAATCGCAACCCGCACCAATTGAAGAGCAAGAGCCCCTGTTACGGCCATGTCCCAAATTCATCATTTTGGCTTGTGGCGCCATGTCAAGAGACATTCCTGGAATGACATCTAACCCCTCACGCGGGGTCGGCGCCTGCAGCTAAGCCAATCAATCACGGGATATCCGACATCAGTATTTTGATTCACCATTCAAAGAACGTCCACCTCCTCCACGGTTCAAGTAGTTAGCGTGATGATTTTACAGAGATCTAGGTCCCTGATTCGCTTCGGAAGTACTGATTCAAAAACGTTTGCCTAGTTCCCTAAAGGAAGGCGACTTCAACGGTTAAGGGTAGGATTCTTAGCCTGTGGAATGGACAAACCTATATTTGGAAGGATTTACACATGAAACCATGAGCTAACCACTCCCGGAGGCGTGGGCCAAGAAGGTATGATAGCGGTGGTGATTGGTGAAAATTTGCCTGCACTGGTGAATCCATATCTGCAGCGGATAATGTTCTGGGAAGTCCCGTGCCCCAATAAGCAGCTCTGTTGGCGCTAAGCTGTGCTAAAGTCTGGCGGATTGGCGAGGACACTCACCCTCGACGAGATTTCTGGCTTTCCGCTTTTTCGCTGGATATATAAATGGCGTCTTTTGGAAACCATTGCCCGCGAAATGCAACCCCCGACACAACTCATTTTGGGCTTGAGAACGGAGTATCTATTCATTATGAGCAGTTCTCGCAACGAAGAAGGAGGGAAAAAACGTAAGGGAAAAGGAACGAGGGACTCAAAAAGAAGAAATCAGCGAACTCGTGGAGACTATACCAGTAGGGTGACAACAGCTGGTGCAGGCACCCCAGATGATCCTTCTGTTAGTCACTCCTCTGACTGATCTCCATCTGCTAATGACTCCAAGATATTCTGGTACCTGGGTCGTCCGAAGAAAGGGGCGGGTGAACTTTACGAACAGATGATCCGTGATGCGGCTGTGGTAACTGGTCTAGGAGTGTGGTACATCAGGTATCTTCGCCCTTGGCCCTCACGGTATTTGGATAGTACCTACCAACTGATAAGCGCATTATAGGAGTCTTGCTCACGACACTACCTCACTTGGTGGCTCATATGTTCGCGATGATCCACACATCACTGTCTTCGCAGATCAAAATTTGGGGGGGAGCTCAGATGAAGATTTCGACTATGAAGGCCATATTTACGTTGCTAGGGATGAGGATGGCACTCCATATCGACTCCTTCACCCCGAAGAGTTTGAATTCCCCGATCTGTCTGCTCCTGTGGTCCTTTACAGTGCTGAACAGGAGCCTATGCCTTATTACTTGGACGATGCGTATTATGATAACTACGACTATGTAGAAGATGAACCGCAGGCCGATGCAGGTACAAGTGAATCTAAGGGCAAGAAAAAGAGAAAGAGGAGAGGGAAAAAATAGAGAAACCAATTCGCTGTAATCCATAGTTATGACAAGTTCAGCATAAAAATAATTGACTCGTATTCAACCTGTCTGAGGGCCTTTAAGCGATTTTTCTGCTGACACTAAATGTTATGCATACCGAGAAGCAATTTAGCATAGCCTTACTGCCATATCTATGTAGTTTCATTCTTAACATGCCTAATATTTAGTGCGTGAAAGAAAGTGTTGGTGTCTGTTGTTCTGTCAACTGTTTGAGATGTCGTCGTACGGCGGCTTGAAGCTCGGCGATGCATCCTATTTTCAAATGCCGCTTTGCATGATCAGCGTCTGCATTTTGGTCTGCTTCCATCCCAATCGATGAGTCGTATAGTACTTATTAAGACCGTTGTGGTTGTGACCAGATGTGCCTGGCTCAATTTGAGGCAATTACTTTCGAAGAGCTTGATACAGTACTAATTCTCTGTCAAATGCACTGTGGAGCACGTGACGTAGGGTCGTGCATTCAGAACTTAAATACCGACGACCTCCCTCCCAGCCTTACGCAACAGCCTTGGACACACCTTACCGCTAGTTTACTTCAATTCTTTAGATCAACAGATCAAAAAAAAATAAAAGTGACGAGGAAAAGACATTGATCCTTTGTGAAAATCCATATCAGCATTCTTACTTATTTTCACAGCACCAATGGGCACCACAAGCCGACTTAACAGGGCTCCTAATCGTCAACGGCAGCTGGACCTACTCACGCATCCTGATCATATGTGGAGGAGGCTCTTCGTCCGCGGAAAAAATGACGAACTCGAGAGACTTCAAGGATTTCGCCCTGGTGGATACTTTCCTCTTCATTTACACGATGAGCTTCACAACGGCCGGTATCGAATCATTCACAAGCTCGGCCATGGCGGCCTTGCGACTGTCTGGCTCTGCAGGGACGAGAATGCCGATACACCCACATATGTGGCTATAAAGATTCTTGTCGCCAGCGAAGTGGAACACGAAAACGCCGAAATCAAACTGGCAGCTGCCCTGAAAAAGAAGGGCCTAGACAAGATTGCCGCTGGACAACACTTGTGTCTTCCTCAAGAGCACTTTATAAGCCAGAGCCCAAACGGACAACACATCTGTCTTGTCTTCCCTGTGCTTGGACCGACGGTACATGATGTAACAGAACTGTTCGGCCCCGGAGAAAGCTTGCCCAGGACTGTACAAGAGATTTCACGACATGTAGTAGAGGCTTTGGGTGTGTTGCATGAGAACGGGGTCTGCCATGGAGGTATGCTTATTTGTTCAGCGCATTATCATTAATCAAGGCACTTAACATATTACAGATTTAAGACCATCAAATATCCTTCTAGGCTTACAGAGCCTCGATGGCTTGAGAGTAGATCAGGTGTTTGCACGTCTCGAAGTGCCAGAAACCACCGATATTATCATTCGCAAGGATGCCCACCTGACTTCTAATATTCCTCACGCACCGAAATATCTTGTCTATCCGGTTGACTTTGGAAGCATCGATGCAGAATTTGTACTACCACGTGCAAATATAATTGACTTTGGTCAATCATTCAATTTGTCTCATCCACCTGCGAGCTACGGTATTCCAACTAACTACTCGGCCCCGGAAGTTGTCCTTGATCATCGCGGTACTGCAGCTATGGACATGTGGTCACTGGGCTGTACGCTATACGAAATACGGCTAGGACAGCGGCTATTTGACGTCTTCCAATTGATTGACACCCGCAAAGAGGACTATGTGAATGAGGTTGCCTCCCTCCTTGGGAAACCCCCTGGGCGATGGGCAGAATTCTTCGAACAGGACGACGAAGCCGAGCTAGACGTATCCCCGGACCATCCATACCTGCAAGAAGAACGTGTTTATTCAATATATGAAAAACTTGCAAGTCGCCATGACTGTAGAGGGCAGGATTGTGACCACCCGCGATTCCAAGTCATTTCAGAAACCGAGGCTGCAGATCTAGCGGATCTATTGGAGAAACTACTAAAATATCAGGCGGAGGAACGGCTAAGCGTGCGAGAAGTATTAAAGCATTCATGGTTCAACACAGATTACTGAATTAGACTTTGCTGTTTGCCTACCTTTTTAAAATTGAACACATAGCCTTGTGAATCGATCACCGCAGGTCAAGGCTTAAATAAAGATCTTACTTGTCCTGATTCAAACTCTTTCCATAGAGGTCCCCAATATGGCGCGATCTGCCATATTTTCCAACGCAAGACTAAAACACAATCAAGCGGGCAGGACGGGTCAGAAATATCTACTTAGAAGTGGACGTCAGATCACTCGGGTTGCTACAGGCGTTAGCGAAAACTGATCTAGCACGGCGGTACCAACGCGATGCAGCCGTCCACTGACAGGGGTGCTCCATGGATTGCTTAGAGTAAATAGTAGCTTTTCTATTATCCATACCAGGGGTCTTAAGTGGGTTAGGGGGCTAGGTTTGGATTACCTAACGCCTGCTATTGAAGATGGGGAATTGAAGAGTGTGTGATCCGGTCTAAGCTGACGCATACTACGTCTGCGATGTAAATCTGCAATTCAAACACAATAACTACACTATGTAAGCATCACAAAGCTTACACGTCCGTGCGGAGAGACATCAGAGAGTTGTGAATTGATACACACACACACACACAATTTATTACGCCCGGCGGCGGAGCCGAAAGGGCCACTAAAGCTGACTACACACACATTGCTGAGATTATGCCTTTGTCTCCTTAAAGCCCATAAGTGATGTCTCCATTTCCTGCTTGCACCTCCATGTCTGCCTTTGTGGAGGTATAGATCTGAGCGCAAAGGGTGTTGATTGGCCCGGAAACTCCGGATGCCTTCCGAGGTTCGGCGGAGTCATGAGTTCATGGAGTGCTAGCTTCAGGCGTGGCTGGATTCATCCCGCGCATCGCACAGCTGAATTTTCACAGCAGCTTTGCGTTGCGGAAGCGCATCGTTGGTTCAAGGGCGGAATCCTCCCCAAAATTCCGATAGACCACAAGTTTCTTACATGCTTACATCATATGGCAGTAAGTAGCTGCCGACCATGAACCAGCTCGTTCACTGATTCTTAAATGAATATGACCCAAGGCTCAGGACTGAATGGCGCACATTCGGAAGTAGGACGGGAGCTTATCAGAGAAAGTTCGAGCGCGACACTGTAAGCTGAACAACATGAAGCGGGCCAGTATGTCACTTCAACTCTAGGCTGCAATACCAGTGTCTTTGCCTGTTGCAGACTCGGAACATGGATTGGTACAGCCGCGAGGGCGCTGCAGCAGTTCCCAACAGCATCGAGATCGGCTTACATACAATACGTCCGATGCGTTGCTTATGACCGGCAAGAACAGGTGACACTTCAGAATGACGGAGCCTGAGGCATGGGCGCGCTCGTAATCAGAAACTCAACAGCCTTGGATGTTATCATTAGACCAGGCTCCAACCCTCGACAAGGTCCCTTAATAACGCGGCGTTGTCTGTCACATATAGCTATTCTCGTCGGTCCTTGCAGATGATACCAATGTGAACAAACCAGTTTCAACAGTTTTTATGCGGACACAGGCGTCAATCTAACAATCGCATCGAACCCCTACCTTTCCAATGTGCCCGTCAGTAGCTGCCCATCAGTCCGCAATCCCCCCGCAGCAATGTAAAGCCTAAGAATTTTGATTGGTTGGAAACACCGGAAGCCTTCCCGATGCAGCCCAGGTACGCTACGAATACTCTATGGGTCATGGGTTGCCAGCTGCAGGTCTGTTCGGAATCGACTCCGCTGGCAGCATTGGATACCCGCTAAGGCTGATGGACGCATAATGTCAACGAGCAAACTAAATGGGTAGTGGACGAAGGCTTATTAAAGAGGAATCATATACTATATCAGGATTGAACTATTATCCTCACAAGCAACTGGTATATCTTAATCTGCTCATCAAGTGGGCAAATGGTATGCTTAGACTGGACGGTCTGTACACGCAATTGCGATAGCGGTTCCCCAGAAAGTAAAAACCCTGCGATCGCGGAAGTTCAACAGACAGACGTCCCGTACAACGATACACCTCAGCCAAGGAACCTTGTCAGTCTTGCATGCAGTACTAAAAATTCGAAAGCAAGGATGGCTCGGCCGCTAGGGATGCTGCAGCAGAGACCCACAGCATTGAGATCAGACTTTGAAGCGTCGTGCAAGAGCACCATCTGGCACAGGTGCATCGGGGTCGGTGCCGGATAGACCGGTACGAGTGGAAAAGCTTCAGGTTTCGATTCGTCTGATGCTGTGCATGAGGCTTGCACAACATGGAAATCATTACTTAGACCCACAGAAATAGTCCGAGACATGGGCGCGCTCGTCAACATGATTCGGCTGTCGCAACAGCACCGGAGCTGGTCTCCTTTTATTGACTTCTTCGTTCTCGTACTTTCTTTGCATGCTGCAGCCAAGTTTCCCTGTACTAACGAAAAAACAGACAAAGACTTGAATGACATCGTTGAAAGTTCATTGAGAAATATCATTATTGGATAGAACAAACGATGTAGTCAGCAAAGTGCTTGGACGCAGCTTCGTGTGAAATAAAACCTACCATAACCTACTACCCAAAATTATGAGTGTGAGTTGATTCTTCTTTTGTGAACATTGGTGATGCAATAGAACCAAATGTTCCACCAAATTGAATCAATTTGCATCGTTGACCTAATTCTCTGCGGCATGTCTCTGCGGTACATTTCCGCGGGGTGCTTTACGTACAATAGCTGATAACTGGGCAAAGATATGATGACACACATGTCCTGCCTTGGAGGCTCGTTTATGAGATGTGATAGACTCCGCAGACAATGTAAGCCAGCCCCAAAAAGCAAACATGTGCCCGGTCCTCTCTGGAAGCAGCGCTGTCTATCTTTGCAGGATGAGGCGTCCGATGGCTGCGGATGCTATGCACAGCATTCCAGACCAATTTTCGCTCTCAATTAGAAGGTTTCTAAACACAACCGAAGATGTATTATTGCATAGAGCGGGGAACCCTTAACCATGCCATTTTTATTCTTTGCCGCTGTCCCTGAGAACTGCTCTTCTGCCTGATTACTTGCGTCTAACATTCAACACTACTTCATTCAAAGTTAACGTTACTGTTGCCTTCACCGATCCGGCCCAACAGCTGGAAAGCCTACAAAAATTTCGTAAGCTTGTCATTCTACAACCGAATGCAAACTCAAACCATTGATTTGTACCTACAGAGCAAGCCCTTATGGATCAGGGATGCCACACCAGTCCGATCATAACGACCGAATCTGACTATGGACCGGCGTTTAATCATGTCATGCTGCCGGATGAAACTCCCTCTTCATCGCCTGCTAGGTGTTTTCCATACCAGGAGTGGCCTGTATTGAACAGGCAAATGTTTGGGTCTATGTGCACCTCAAGCGACTCTCTTAGTGCAGTGGATTTTCTACAGTGGGAGGCAGAACATCAAGCGCAAGTGCCATTCAACGAACCCGAAATGACTCAGGACCATGTGACACCTAGCGCAGCAACAAGCCCTGAGAGCTGGTATTTCTATCAACACCACGATCTACAGTCGCCAGTATCTGCTCTTGTCAGCCCGCCTATCAATTGGCCAGCTTCGCTCTGGTCCAATCTTTCTCCAGCAACAGCATGGCAGCTTTACCAAGACAATCAAGGCACAGGAAGGGTCCAAGGACGAACATCAGCAGGGGGAAGTGGTACCAAGAAGCCAGTAAGTAAGCCACTCGCAAGACGATTCTCACTAAATATCAAATAGGCTCCAAAAACAGTACTATTCGAGCCTCCGGACGATCCGTTTCCCCAAGGCATAAATTTGTACGATAGGAACTCCGAAAAACCGTACGTCGACGGTGAATACCTCAAAAGCGACATGCCGCTAAGTCGAGGTAGGGAGAGAAGCTGTAGTACAAGTAACAGGGCAGCCGCAAAGCGGTGCCGCGATAAGGCGAGACGGCGCGAGCTTGATCTTGTAGCCATGGATAAACATGTCACCGAAGAACGAATGTACCTTGAAGCTTGCGTTGTGTCTCTAAGGGAGGAGGTTCTTAATCTTAAAAGCAAGATCCTCCAACATAGCCACTGCGACTGCAAAGCGATCAGGATGTACATCGTGAAGGCAGCCAGTGATGTGAGCCTTGGCGCAAACTCCACGACTCGGGACGCAAGGACAGGATGAGAAAGAGGGCTTTAATCTTGCCAGCTGAGATAAGATAGCAGTCGGCTTTTTAGCGGGTAGAACGCCATTGCATAGCAGATGAATATGACGGATGTAGATCCAATAGGGTTAAGTAACGTTTGAGCATGACAGACTGAGCCAGGACTAGAGGTGGGGCCGGCGTGACCGGCACGAAATTCGAGACATGGTTTTGAGCGCTGATCGACAGTAAGTGTCACTTTTGCTTTCCTGATTTATGTATTACCCATGACTTCGGTTTAGACGAAAACTCTGTTTACGGCTTCACAAAACGCGATCAATCTCCCGTTGATTAACATACACACTGAATACTAAAGGTGAAGATTAATTATCTGTTAGCAAAGACACAATTATTGAGTATCAGTCTGTGTCATTGCATAACATGTATCCAATCCCAGACTTTGTAGCTTCACATAGTTGCAGATGAAAACTCCTGATAGTCCTCGGTTTCACGCACTCGCAGTTCCTGGAACCTTTGCACCAACCTCTCTGCCTTTGCCGCAGAAGGGTCTGTTACCGCCAAATCCAGATCGACTACCAAGGAGTGTGGGACACGATCTGACATGTCGTGATGCTTACCCCTGAGCTCAAGGTCTCGCTTGATGGACTTCGCGTACCGTACCTCCACGACGCCCCTCTCAAGTGCCATAGAAAGCAAGCTTATCGTGATCCCCCCTGCTATTGGAAGCTACAATAGAGCGTCTGATAGCTCGCTATGCAGAGGCGGAAGTAGAAGTTCCACTCTGAGCTGTGTCCAAGAACGTTAACTTCGCGGAGTATAGCATTAGCAAGGTAAAGCAATGCTGAGTACCAAAAGAGGCAAAAGGAGGATTTCGGGAAGGCTTGTCGGTATGATAGTACGACCCTCTTGAGCTGGTTTGTGGAGGCTCTATACACAGCTTCAGGTGTTGCTTCTTTACAAGCAAAAGACCGAAGTTGCAGTGTAGAGACGCTATTTTGCCGAATGAGAGGACGGAACAGATCGAGGACGACGAGATGGTGATAGATGCTGTTGCGGGTCGTTAGAATTATATTCGCTACATTCAATAAACTCCACGGAAAAAAGAAAATAGGTGGTTGGACTCACTGCAAGGCGATTGATGGTGTGTACGCTGGCTATCTTGAGCCGTTTCCAGTGGTGAACTATCTGCCCATAATAAAAGTCGTCCATATGTCTCTTCGGCAAATACCAGTGACACAACCCCAGCGTAGGGGAGTTGGCGTTGTCCATATGTAACTCGAATCATGTCGTGGGCTATGAGGAAGAGACCACAATTCTCTTTGAAGAAAGCATTTATGTCCCCCTGGCGCTCGTCATCATCGGACAAGGATACCCGAAGTGGCATGGAGAAAGTCCTGTCTGGTATCGGATAGCATGGCGGATGCACGATCAAGCGTTTGTGTAGATGCATTGATAAAAGCCTGCAGTGAGCTAATTAGTAGAAAGAACACGCTTGTCTATCGAAGGGATAACCCGAGGTTTTACATACGTTGAGCAGTTGAAGAGGGCCCAGGCAGTTTGTGCGGTAACTCGTTGAGCATCCGGTCCTCCGTAACACTCGAGGTCAGGTGCCTCAGAAGAATTGACGTTAAAAAAGCCAAGCCGTTTAGCCATCTCTAGAGCATCGTTAAGGTATTCCACGTATTCTATACCTGCCCCACGGGAAATTGCGGTAATGGCCAGATAATAAACCGCAGAAACATTGCAGATATTGTCTGTTTTAGCAGTCTTACCGCGCTGCCACAGTTTCTTGGCCTCCTTGTAAAAGGCGTAGCCTATAATTGTGGACTGTGGCTCAAAAACTGTATATCCTTGCTATGTTACGACGAGTGTCAGTCTATGTCGATTTGCATTGTCAATGCATGGAAACTTACACAACCCCACGCAAAAAGCGAACTGACGAGAAACCTAGAGCAAAACTGATTCCTAGACAGCAGCCCGTCGAAGAACAAATTGACAACAAAAAGAGGAATTAACTGGTGGCCGGATTCAAAGTAGGTTTGGAGCACTCCAATGGCGAATTTGTTGCTGATGGATACGTTTATCCATCGGGTAATGTCTAGAGAGAGGAGCTTGTCGTCGCACAGCTCGGGCGGCTTTGGCGGCACGATAAAGTGTGAGACGTCAATGTGCTGTTTTCTCCTTCGTTCACCAGGAAGTGAGAGGCAAAAGTAATCATCGTTCGAGTCGAAAATGCTGAAGTTAATTACCGTGCAGGTCAGCCATCAGAATGAAGGGTCTTAGTGACGATAAACAACACCAGAAATATGTTGGGTTTGGGAAGCTCAGACGAGCTTATTAGAACCAACTCAGGAACCATGCTATCTTGTTGGACCTACACTTTCGGGCGACTCTCATTCCAGATAATTTTGCTCGGCGAAAGAAGTTGCTCTAAGTCCAATTCCGAAGTTTTTAAAGGTTCCCAGGGCGGGATAGGCAACGGGGTGTCTCACCACCAGCCCAAACTTCAGAGACGACTGTGTCGGCGGCAGAACCGCTCGGTTAAATGTCATCTGTGAAAGCCCAAGACAGCGAAGTCGAAAAGCCGAGCTAATTTCCACCGGACGACGACCTTCCTTTAAAAACTGAAGGGCTTGTAAAGCATTCTCCTTGGGAAGGTGTTTCAAAGTGCCGAGCAAGACTGCAGCATCTGCATTTTCTGCAGCCTTAGCCTTGTCCACGATCTGACTTCCAGCGGGGATGGCGTTCAGAATGGTTTGCGATACTGTCCTGTATTCACACTTTATGCCATGGCGCAGACATTGGAACCAGACCAGTTTTCCATCGCACTGTTTGGAAATGTCAGCCGTATTCTGTTCATCAGGCATGCCACCTCAGTACCCAAGGAAATCTGAGTCAGGGGCTAACTGTCAGAGATGTTGGTCACGCACAGCAGCCTTCTTCTCACGAAAGAACATGCAAGCTCTCAAACAATAGTTCCCTCATCTTTTAAGTTTCTTGGAACTTATAAATCTGCCGACATCGTCGGCGGTGTCCATCGTCATGGTCGCCGTTGCCCCTGGCTTTTTGGGTGAGCGAGGCAGAAGTGCTTTGATTCCTCTGGCATCTTGAGACATCAGGGCGAAAGATCCGAGGAGGTCTCAAACGAGGATAGAAAAACCAGAAAGTTGGAAATGTCGAAGGTGGTGAACTGTCTGGACAGGAAGTTTCGGGGCTGGCCAAAAAGGGAATGAGCACTGGAGCAAGTTTAAGTGCATTTGCCACTGTGAGGGGAACCAACTGGACTGGTCATACGATCGATCGCTTTGTGTAACAGCGAAATAAATTCTATTAGTCACATCAAAGACATGTCCAATCAAGCGTCATTAACTCATGATGTTAGATAATGGATGCCAATTCGATGCAGCAAAGCTGTGACTCATTTACCAAAAAGTTATTATTATGCTGGATTGAGGGATTCTTCTCATCGCGGTCGAAACGGGGTTCTGTATTGTATCTATCCGTTCTGGCTATTTCGTGCATATTGCAATGTTGCAAACAAGCCAGTCAAAAGAGCCTGTTATCCGGACACAGGTGCTCGTCTAACAGAAACACGTCAATCGCGTAGTAGGCAATAGACCTATTTTGGAAATCTTCTCCTCCTTCTCTCCAACCGGCTTGACCTGGCCGTTGACGAGGCTATGACCAATTTCACAGGCCGGTCCCCAGAGACAACGACAATCCCGACGAAGCCGGTTCCGACCGGCTTGATGATAGGGATCCCTGCCAGTCGAGCTGCTGTCCCCGATGGCTCTAGCACATACATAGAAAGAACCCATAAGGCTAGTCTCCGAGGCCTGGTCGGCATCAGACGATGAGGCAGCAAAGCAGGCCGTTCTGAAACCGACACGACGGGTTGTGACAACACTAACTGCCTTACTTACGGGAGCAATCTAACACCTCTTTCTAGATAACCATTTTGCTTGAGTCTGACTCTTCCGAGACCTCCGGAAGCAGCAGGTCGGAGCTTCTGGCACCTACCGGAAGGACAGCGGGATAGATGAGATCCTAGTTAACGACAGGCAGACTGAAGAACGTAGTATCCCTTGGGGTGAGATGCATTATATCCCCACTATCGATCGGAAGGTGTGTTGTTATAAGTGACTTTCTATCAGTGTCTCCACACTCACTAGATTTTCCCTTTATCCTAGATTAACCAGTTCACCTGGAAGGATGACGCCCTTGTATACTTATTAACAACAGTTTTCCGACAGGGCCGGGATGTTATCCACAGCCAGAACACGTAGACAGCAAAGGTGTCTTTAAAGTATTGGATGGTCCAATGAAATCATCAGCTCTGATTAGCCCTACCTCGCTCTTGGCAGAAGTGAGGTCTTCCAACAGTCGAAGGAATACGGGCATCCTTGTGAAGCCAGCAAAAGCAAACGCTGAAATCCCAGTATTGATAAATATACCAGGTGTCTGTATAGACGGTGATGTGGAGCAATGAAAACTCGTTATATAGCCTTGCTTAACGAGGGGAAGGAAATGAAGGTTATCGCCACGGCCGTTATAGGCCGATATAGCCTCCTGCGCACACGAGTCTGGCCGGCAGTCGTATGACTAATGTTCCGACTCCCAGACTTTACATATGCGGCCACGGGCGCCGATGATGTTGACATCAACAATGAGAAGCTGTTCGCCAGAAGAACCCAAAGCAAATAGCCAGTTCAGTCAGGGCAGAGCTTCATGGCTGGTCTTGGGGTTGCGAATTGTAAAAACAGAAACAACTGGGGACTGAACTGTCATCCACTCAGAACAATGCAGCGGCCATCTGTCTGGATGGAAACCGAAGGTGCTTAAATGGAAACCGTCAACTTGCGACAAGAAGCAGCCTCAATAATTGCGACGAGCGATTCGAAGCGATTCAAAGCGGGCGGCTTGGCCGCGTTGAACAACTTGATACCCCTTTGGACCCCCTATCAGCGGCGGCCAGTTTTAGCCTAGTGACAATCGAGAGGGGGAAAGTTTGGGTGATGGAATAGGAAGGGGGTGTTTGCAGCCATATGTATGCCTGTCTCTGTCTTTCTGATTAATGTCTTGAAGGTGCCACAGTCGAAGCATGCAGGATTAAGATTAGACATCCGGTTCAATCATGAGGAAATTGTGTGGAAATTGGTTGGCTTGTTGTTGGGCGGCCTCGAACGAGCGTACCATTCGAAAACGGCTTGTGATGAAGCGATTGATGCTAAACCGTCATCGAGCGTTGGTAGCAAGCAGTGAACTATGCACAGCCCGCAAAGGTGCATGAAATCATTGACCTTGACAGCTGAAGGCGATCTCTGGGCCAGTCAGTGAGTCGGCGATGTGGATGCAGGTCGTGTTGAGTTGCCAAAGTCGACTTCATAGTTGATTGGCCCATGATGTACTTCTGTGAGCAAAATAACGTTGGCGGTAGAGCACCCAACCACTACAATCACCACCCTTACCACATCTGGGCAACCGTCACCAGCCTCTGTCCCCAAACAGAACCCAGCCTCTATGGTCCAGCACCCCTGGCAGGAAGTTCTTATTCCTGGATCTCGCTTGCTTTCATTGCAAGGCTGCCGATGCAGTATAGGCGGGTCGCATCAGCTATTCGCTCCGCACCCTCGGACGGGCGAGGCCAGTTCCAGCCTGGTGGTGCCAATGACGGACTTTGCAGATGTCCAAGATGGCATGCTATGTAAAGCAAGACGCTACAGAAGAAAATAGAGAAAATCCAAGTAAAAAATGAGAGACCTAAAAATATCTTTGCCCGCTCGCGGTACATACATTCATACTGTCTTCCATTCCAAGATAAGAAAGGCAAGGAATGAAGAGGGAAGAAAAAAGAAAAAGAATCAATGCCCAATGCTCAGAAACAACTGTACACCGCAGGGTTCTCCGTGGCTAACAGCATTCAACTTAACGCCAAACTACACACCCCTCCCGTCGCTTCCCTATCTTCTCTTGAATCGTCCCCGGAATCATTCAGTCATTGCTCTTTTCTGCCCTTAGAGCCCCATTGCTATCCAATCAACGCAACTCCTACACGCCCTTCAAGTTTCTTGTCCAACATCTCTCTCCCCCCCTCCTTATCATTACTTCTTATCATGCAGACAACTGTTGCTCTGCACGTCACGAATTGTCATCTCCCATCTCCCACGGCCCTGATGCTTGTTGCTCCCAGAACCACGATACCACGATACTAAATACCGTGGCAAAATCCGAACCTTGCCGCTCCAATCAACCTGTCGCCGCCCGACCTCCTTCGTCATTTTCTCAAGACGATTGGTGAGAGTCGAAGCAGAACAGAGCCACAACCAAAGGCAAGCCAGGCAAGGTAGCTAAAGGGAATGGTAATCGCGCCATCGACCTCATTAGCAGTGCCCAATCCACCGCCCTACCGACCACTCCGCCTCCTGAGACATATTTTTCTACCAGGTTCAAATAGCTTCCTTCGATACCTCCCGACACTCCTGTGCCGTTCAAGAAGACCTTTGCCATGTCGGACGAGCCATTGCCGTCACTACGAACCCTCCCCCCATTCCTCCCTCTTTCCCCTTCTTTCCAGACGAAAGCGTTACAACCGGCATGTATTTCTCGCTGGCCAGCTGCGAAGCAGCCACCACTGCCGGCGGCGGCGTCCCCATCTCAGTCGACTTACCCCGACGACAAAAAGGACTCGATCGGCAGTCTGCTGTTAGCATATCCGATGAGCTCGGGCGAATCACTCATTATGTCACCGGATGGCAGCGCCAGCCAAAGAGACTCGGCCCCAGTATATGCCTCCGATCGGTATGAAACAAGGGGAAGAAGGATTTTGACGACCAACCTATTGTCTTCCGTTGACAATGAACACCACGGCGCACAAAGCTTCACGGTCAATAAGGGCCTGCCGCCTCACCTGGCAAACTACAACAAGCAAGGGCCGCTCGCTCCGGCCAAGCCGGACCAGACTCCGACTGTTGGCAGCCCGACAAGCCTTGTCTCGAGCTCATTGCCGCAGCGACCATTTTGGGGGAGTTCTTCTGTAAAATCTAACCGCAAAATAGAAGTCTCCGAACTTCAACTAGCAGTCAGCTGTGGGTCGACGGCCGCCTTGCAACCATACACCGCGCAAACCTCATACTCGGTCGCATCCCCTGCAACCGAGCGACAACAGCAGTCGTCCCCTCGCAGCACATCAAATGTGCCCCGCCGACATACTCGACCCGTCCCCTTCCAAAACCAGACGTCGGAGGCAGGCAACATGGGCCAAGAGGTCTCAACATCGAAGGGCAAGATCTCGCACCTGCGCGATGGCCAGGAAGACGCAAACTGGGGAGCTTCTTACAGCGAGGCGACGCTCTCGCCGACCCAGTGCTTGCCGACGTCCAACAACGAGAACGAGGATGTCAAGGTGCACATTGTCGACAGAGTCGTGTCGCCCGTTTTGATAGCTTTGTCTCCTGGATCTGCATGTGACCAACCAAACAGCAAGCCGAAGCCGCCGATTCCGCACAAGGCAGTCACGGCGCGCAACTTACAAACCACCCACAGCCTGCCTCAGATGCGGGTGGGAGGGCCCGTCACCAGCAACGAAACCCCTCTTACCATCACGAGAGACTTCGCAGTCAGCCCCGTCATTCCCCATGCCCGGAACCAATTGTCGCCTCGCTCCGCCCACAGCCAGCAAAAGCTACAAAAGGGCCAATGGCAGCAGTTATCCCGGGAGAACGCGCACTACGCGCCTCGTGCGCCGGCACCGAGCCCCGCTCAGGGTGATCAGCGGCCAACCTCGCGAGACCCTCGCCCTCACCCGCAGCCGGACGACTACCGCCGGTTCAAGATTAAAGGCCGGCCGGCTGTCGACCCGCGCCCGTCCTACTTCCTCTTTCAAGACTCGGAGAGTCCCAGCCTCGGCATAATTTACAAGGCGCTCCCGCTCAAGGAGAGGATGCTTGACTGCTACGTCAAACACCGCGTCATGGACCGCACGCGCAATCGCAAATACGCCCTCACCTGCCAGACGTGCGGCAAGGCCGACACGGAAGACCGCTACCAGTGCCAATTCTGCTATGTCCGCATGTGTGGCTCGTGCCTGCAGGTCTTCAACAGCAATCGCAGGGATCTTAGGAAGCTCATGGCGCATTTGGAAGGCAATCCGCACAGCGGCGGCTCGCAGAAGCGTCCTGCCACAGCTGCAAGTATCGAGCCGACAGGGAAGATGGGAGAGCAGAAGCAGCATACGGTGAAGGTATCAGTGGAAGAATACTATCAGGCCCAGTCTCAACAGGTTGCGGCTTGATCACGGACATTACCATTATTTGCTTTGAGTCTGGGCCCCGCTGACCTGGGCCCGCGATCCTTGCCTCATACTGCCGGTCTCTGTTTCATCCCACTGGTCCGGCTGAGTTCACGGCGCCCGCACTTGTAAATGCTAACACAGAAACAAAGAGAAGCAACACATCCTTCTACCTAGGAGGCAAGAGCGCCTCAGACGATGAGAAATGGAAGCCAAACATGCAAGCGGTCCGAGCGACGATACGATTTGCGCTGGCAACAGGCCGGTTGGACGCGAGGTGATGAAAGACGAATATGGAGATCAGCCCTCCTCCCCCACAACATCAAACTCGACATGAATCCAACTACATACAGTAGCCTCATAGCTAGCCGTCGATTGAGCAAGCCAAAGGAGAAATCAAGGAATTGACTGTGTCACTAAGTATCTTTCGTCGCTTGCTTCTCTGGGCCTCGATGGAAACGGCATTTGACAAGATAATGTGATAAGCTTAGCCAAGCCAAATTTCTCACTCGGTTGCCACAGCCTCTAATCCCTCGCCGTGCTTTCGGTTGTACTAGAAAATGTTATCTTTGACCACTTCGATAGCCACCAGGATACGTACTATAACGCAGTCTTCACATCGAGCGCCATGTACGAGGACCCACCCTGGACAGTCAATGCCGTATTTGAATTTGTTGCGGCAAGGATAGAGATCCATGGTTCCCAGAAAGAGAGTTATGCGAGAAGCTTTGTTTTGACTTAGGCAGAAGTCTGCGTGTCTCTACCCACAGGTGAGGGAAACCACTCACCATATATTCCCACATTATTAACCCCTCGTGGCCACAAATCTTAGGAAACACTTCCATTAGTTCCGATCTCAACGAATGGTGCAGAACTTGACCATCGTGTCACATGTTTTGTCAAGGGTCTGATAGGACTGCGTGCTGCCACCAAGCTCACTGGGCCCAGCCAATGAGTTTGGTCTTCCAATTAACGAAGTTGGGCACGCCCCACCGACGGTGCAAGACACTTTGGGCTTGTCTACCTGTCATTTGACCGTCCAATTAGTGTACGACCTATTGCATCGAACACTGTCCGCAACAGTTCCGTGGTAGGTAACAGTGGATATCAAAGAGGATATTCCCGGCCTCGGCAAAAGTAATGTTCATTCGCACTTTGATTGGATAATCCTTACACACACACACACAGCGTTTATTACGCCCTGGCTAAGCCATAAAGGGCTCTTACGTCTATTTTACATGCTCCTTTGTTGAGATAGATCAGTTAATACTGTCTTTCATCTGCTTATGCATGCGTTAATGCGATATTCAACCGAACGATGACATGCCCAAATAAGCTACTATCAGCTGCCCCGTTTCTTGCTTACTCTGATGGCGCTGATGATTACTTTAACGCAGAATAGACTTAAGAGGGGCCAATACCGTCTTTTCCCGTCATCGTTCGCGTACTGGGTGGACCTCGGCAAGCTTTCTTTCCTCCACCATCTTGTGTACAACTCGACAGTTGGTCCCACACACGGCATTGCCATACGTCCTGGCCGCATGTACCCATCCGAAGTGACTGATGGAATCGAAACCCATTTTGATCAAAGTTCATGAAAGAAGCATGGCGATAATCTTGCCGCAAAGCTGCATTTGGATTAGATCTCGAAAGTGAGATCTAGCTGCCTTATTGAGTGACAAACGTGTTATTCGGGCGTACTGATACTAGATGACGGAGACCGTCAATGTGTCGCAATAGAGCCCTCACATGCCAACCGAACACCATATCCTTGAGTACATGACTTCTCCCAACACTCCTTTAGCGCTTTACCACAGCTCACAAGTGGGTTCCTGGATAGGACAGTTAAAAGCCCTTCTGAAATCCTTTGAGTTACAGTATCCAAGGGGCCTCTGATACGGGCAAAAGCAGGGGAATGAACATCTTTTATGAGGCTTATGGCATCATACTCCTTTGTTGGCGTAACTCTGCACCAGTTCTGTGCATACTTGAGGAAGAACAGCTGATCATGCGAGAAGGCGTTCTAAGCCCGGCAAATCAAAGTCTTGAACCTTTTTATCCGCCTGGGCATGCTTCCACGCCGCATATGCGGTTGTCAACCCACCTGCATCAGCTATGTTCTCGCCGAGCGTAAACTTGCCTCTGACGGAAACACGTGTGCCGTTGGGTGCCAGAAGAGTGAAGTTCTGGTACTGGTCGACGAAGCACTTCGTTCGCTCTCGAAACCCCTTGGTACTGCTATTGTCCCACCAGTTTACCAGAGATCCATTTGGTGCATAATTGTGTCCAGTGTTACCAAATCCATGTGTCAGTTCGTGTCCGAGAACTGTCCCGAGGCCGCCGTAAGTAATATATGATGGGTACCCAGCAGCAAAGAATAGTTTCTGTTGCATGGCCGCCGGGATGACGATATCGTTTAATGCAGGCAAGTAGTATGCATCAACCCGTGAGGGCAACATATACCAAAAACCCTTTTCAGTAGGCTTGCTTAGGTAAGACCAAGTGCGGTTGGTTGAAGAGAGGGCAAGTGAGAGCATATTTTCTAGGTGGCAACTGCCAATAGAAGCACCACTGAAATAATCCGAAAGACTCTTTGGATTCGTTGTTTCTGGGGATTGATCTGGGTAGCCGATTTTCTTCGTGATAGCGTTCACCTTTTCCTCAGCAATCTTTCTAACAGGGGGGGAGAGCCAGTCCTTATCGCCAAGACGAGCAATGAACGTGTCCTGAATGGAGCTCATAAAGCTTGTTGTGAGTTCACGGGCTTCCTTGGAGTATGATTTGTCGAGAAAGAAGCGGCTGACAATCCAGCCGAGGCCAGATAGGAACTGAGTCCATTCTGGCCCAGCGTTAATAGAGCTAACACACTGTCTCCACCGAGGTACTTTCCCGACAACCACAGGATCCAAGCCGCCAAGCAAAGATATCATATCGTTCAGACGGTTTGTGACATCAGCTTCGACATAGCCAGAAAGCACTGTGGTTGCTCTCCAGATGAAAAATGTCTGAAGCGTCTCTGCAGTTGTGTTGGAGAGAAGTTGAGACAGGTTGCCGAAGTAGCCGGGGGAGAAGACTAGCTGTTCTGGGGTGTATTCTTGTGGTACAAGAGCCTTGACGATGCTACCGTGGTCAAGCTCCGGAGCTATCAGGGTGACGTCTTCCAGCTTGAACTTCTTTGCTGGCTTCTACAGAGGCGTTAGAATTGCTCTATATTAAGAGGTGTCTGGCTTACGTTTTCACCATCACGACTATCATCCGTTTTCACTAGGGCCTGGAGGTTGTACAACCTAATCGCGGTTCCATAGCGTCAGGGTGAACGGTTTTAATGTTGTTCATTCCGGGTTTCATGAGACTGTAAACAGATAGTGTCAGATACTGACAGGCGGGTGACCTTTCAGGCAAAGCACAATCTAGATGGTCGCCGTTGTTCTTGGTTGGCCATGTGCTGAGGCATAGTTCATAGTAGCACGTGTATTAGGCTGCTCACGTAGCTATACGTTGGCTTCGTAGGAGACAATGGATCGGCCCTACTACGGACTGTTATACTGTTTACACGTATGACCTGGCACAGCTTTCTTTCATAACACTATTATCAAGATATAGAAGTCAGCGTAAAAAAGCCTTCATCCGATTCACAACACTCTGATGTCTTTCCGCACGGACGTGTAAGCTTTTTGATGCTCACACAGTTGAGCTTAGCACGTTGATACGATAGTGAGTTTTTTAACATGACTGAAAGTAGTAAAGGTGGACTTGAGTACGATACGTATGTTCGTAGTTCTACATGGTGGCCTAAGACGTCGAAAGAGGCGCACGATATTTAGCTTAACATGAGCTGGAGGCCTACTGAAACCTCACGATGTTCATTGAGCGTCTTTTGAGGCCATTGTTGAGTCCCGTAATACCTCTAAGTCTTGAGTTCCAGATTTTGCATAAATGCACTAAGACTATTTGACTCACATGAAGTGAGTCTGCTTAAGCGCATCATTTGACACATACGGTGGTGGATCAAAGACAGATATATAACCCCAAACAAGCGGGGAACTACAAAAACTGGCATGTGACTCAAACGTGGCTCGGTGTTACTTTCCAGCAGCCGGTAGTTACTATTCACCTCACAGGTAGACAATTATCTTTCGTAATACATTACCATTACACACCCGCCATTAGAGTATCTAAGCTTATATGTTTATGCGTTATGTCGACAGTCTTGCGGGTGTATAAGTGTTTGATCACCCACGACTCCTCTGAACTGCCAATAGCAATCATGAAATCTCAATTGCTTATGCTAGCCATGGCTCTCCGGGCCATAACATGCTCGCTGGCTTCTGCTGAGCAACAGAATGCCGTTTAATTTTATAACTGGCATGTCCGTCCCGCACTCTCGTGTTCGATCAATCGCTGACCATGCTATCTACGGTCACGGTTTTCAACCCGACATGCCGCTTGTCTCTAAGATAACAGCGATGCCTGCACGCGGTGAGTCCCTTCCATCGACGCTCCAAGTCAACTCGGCTACCGCTCAAGTCTTTAGAACCAAAGAAAGATTCAAATGTGCTTCAAAATAAGACGACAGCTCTCCTTACATCTCACCGCCCCTCAGAGCTTGTTGCTCGTTCTTCTCGTAATGCCGCAGCTATGGATGTTTTAATTCGACAGTGACTAATGGTGTCACAGGCAATTCACGTAAATGAGCGCAGAGCTCACTGTTGATATCGCCATACTAAATCTGACAATCCATACCCTACATCTATTGAGTTCGAAGTACGAAAGACATGGGTCTACCGTTATCTGCCGGTACTATTTTGTGCACCCCAGCTCTGGTGGGGACCGTCAGAGGGAGTTTTATCGGGGTGAGTCACTCCTTTCTCGAGTGTCACTCCGTCCGTCATGTTGATTGGTGCTTAACGGAATTAAGTTACCGGGACAAGCCCACGTGCTCCACATTGAGCCAATGACTGGTGCAGCTGCACCCATCCTAATTCAGTGGTCACTACCTTAATTAATTTTTATTAATATATTGTAGAGGACGGAGCTGCTCCTTCAGTTGTTCCCTTGCTCAAACTTTTCCTGTTTATTCATGCCAGCCAGCCCTTTTGCCAAAACAAGTTCAAGATGGCAATACGGTCCAGTAGCGTCTGGGGAAGTTGGCGACCTGTCAATTTGAAGGCCAAGCTTTGGAATACCATCAGCACCAATTACCACCTAGGTTTCACATCCTTCGGCGGCCCCCCAGTGCACTTCAAGATCGTAAGTACTGATGACAAAGCGCGCCAAGCGTCGCACACAAGCCTTTGGGCATTATGCGTACTAAGGAATACCTGTCTCTATTATAGTTCCAAGACAAATTCGTCCAGAAGCTGCAATGGATCGACGATCAAGTGGTAAGCAAAGGCTTTTCTTGCAGATTATTTGCAAGAAACATAACGCTAATGAAAATACAGTATCAGGAACTTTTCAGCGTCTGCCAGGCCTTCTCTGGGCCTGGCAGCACCAAGATGCATTACTGCATTAACCTAATTCATGATGGTTTTCTCCCTGCTTTACTCAGTTTCTTCATCTGGAGGTCGGTAACTATAATCACTCAAGCAGTCTTTTTTAGTTTGATTTAATTCATTCTTAGCTTGCCCGGGGCTCTAGGAATGTATGGGCTTTCTATCGGAGTCTCTAACATTGGAGATACTCTTCCTGGTCCCGTTTACGCACTCCTCTCGGGCCTCAACGCGTCAACTGTGGGCATTATCGCAGTCGCTGCCGCTCAATTGTCGGAAAAGGCCATCACCGATAGGATAACTCGATTACTCGTCTTTTTTGGAGGTGCGGCGGGGATTCTGTATAATGCGCTTTGGTACTTTCCTCTTCTCATGTTCGTGGCCGGGTGTGCAACCGTCGTCCATGACTATAACTGGCTTCATGGCCCTATCAAGACTGTAGTGGGTTTGATGAAGAATCCGACAATACGGCTTAGAGCACAAGAGCCAGAGTCTATCGAGCTTTCACAGGCACAATTTGTCGACCTGGATAATAATGCTACGACCACTGCCGCTTCTCTCAGTACTACCAGGGAACATGATGCGATGGCCCGCTCGAGCCGTGCAATTAATGCACGGACTCTCCCTGTTGCCGAGAATTCACATGCGGGGGCCGAAGCAGAACCACGCGTCATCCCGTCAGAGCGGTCTCTCAACTTTTCCTGGAGCTTTGGCCTTGGTATTATTATCTTGTTTATCATCACCTTCATCGCAATTATGGTCCTTCGTGGCGAATTGCCGGTCAAGACGTATCTCTTTAGTTTCTTCGCCAACATGTATCTCGCAGGGACTATTATTTTCGGCGGCGGTCCTGTTGTCATTCCACTGCTCCGCGAATATGTTGTTGCTGAAGGCTGGGTTAGTCCACGCGACTTTCTTATCGGCCTCGCGATTCAACAGAGCTTTCCCGGCCCCAACTTCAACTTTGCGGTATATCTCGGAGCTCTGACAGCGATACATGGTGGATACAATTCGGCTGTTGGAGCAATACTTGGATTTATTGGTATATTTGCTCCGGGCCTTATTACAGTCCATGGTACAATGGGTATTTGGAGCGCTATTCGTGGCCTTAGATGGGCCAAGTCACTCCTAAGGGGGGTTAATGCCGGTTCTGTGGGACTTATCTACACCGCGGTTTATCGCTTGTGGCAAATCGGGTATATTGACGAAAGCTTCCAGCAGGGCACGAGCCTGGCACAGGAGCCTTGGTGGGTTGTTGTCACAGCCTTGAGCTTTGTCTTTGGCTACTCATTCAACTTAAGCCCTCCAATTACTATCATCATGGGCGCCGTCTTGGGCCTCATCTGGTATGCAGTCAGGCTCCCTTAGCGATTGCTACGTTGCCTGTTACGCTCAGCACCTTTTCGAGCTTCAAGAAACTGTTCGTATAGCGAGAGGTGGGGAACGGTTTGTACTTAGACAGCCTTGAATGCTGTATATCAGCTCAACCAAGGCATATAAGCAAGGCAGCAGGCGTATAGAACAGAACAGTCAGGACAGACCGACACCGTGTTCTAGTTACTTGGGTGTTGATGAATTTAAAGCAGCAATTCACTTAGCTACCCAATAGGCGGAATCGTACTCATCTATCCACTCTTGAAAATCAGGGCCTGCCGTTGCCCAACCCCTGATTCCTTCAGTCAACACCAAGCTTTCCATATCGTCAGGACTTATACCATGGTCGTCAAGGTAGTGTGTGAACCACCCGGCTGCTCGCGTGCCCCTTCCACGCGATGAAGCGTTAGACATGTCAGTCAAGGTTACCAGATCGTTTTCCTATCGAGTCAAGCCAGACAGATCTGGACAACTTTACTGCTCACAGCAGTACCATATAATTTTATGCACACTAGCTTCTTTGAAGATGCCATAAAGCGTCGGGATGCTCGGATATAGGCTTTGCGCTGGCAAATTGATGGAGCCACGTATGGTGCCGCCCTAGTGTCAGAGGGTTCCGTGGCACAGAGTGAAGAGGTCAGAATGTAGGGGTTTCAATGGTAACTGCATTCATCTCTGGCCTTTCAACCCTTTGTTGGGTTGAAAGCCGCCCTTTATAGCTTTGGTGAACCACTGGTTGGGCAGTGGTCCCCCCTTCCCCTTATCCCCTACTAATATCCCTGTAGTGCTCCCTAATCTCCACGTCTCTCATAGTGCCGCCCGTGACACCATCCTAACTACCCTTTAATTCCGTACGGGACACGTTCCCCCCCTCTGTCTCGGCCTGTCCACAGCGTCGATGAAGCCGGTGCCCCACCGGAGTACCACCGGTGATCACTGCTTTGTGTCTCCTTAACACCTCGTGCTCTTTTCCGCTGGTTGGCTGCCTGCCTGGGGACAAAGGCCTATGCCCTGTATCCCGTATCAGGACTTTACGCTTTCCAGGTTCGGATGCTCCCGAAGATTGGCTCTCGCCCAATCTCGGACCAGTGCTCAGCCGGTATCTATACCTAGACTAGCCTGGGTTGCCTCCTCCGCTAGATAGACAATCAGCCAACAGGGCAGGTGTGAAATTACACTCGTACGGCTGTACAATTTCTCTTAATTCTCCGCGAATCGGGGTTTTGTGGGTTTTCCCGGGCCCCGGTGTTTCCGGGCGCTAGTGGCCGAAAACCGCCAACTCCGATACGAGATGGAATCGGCATTTTCCATTCTGTCTGCCGGCGGTACCGGGACCGGTCCCCACCCGGTACCAGTCTGTACTCCTCGTTTTCAACACCATCTTGGGGTCGAGATATGCTGTTGAGCCTTAATTCCGCTCGCTTCTTTCAGGGTTTCGTGCCCGCGTAGGCCCTAAGAATTCTGTTAGTTTTCCCTTGTTGCTTTCAACCTCTCTTTTCTACTTTTTCCCTTCGTCAGTATCCCCTTTCAGCAGCAGCAGCAGCACCAACAGCACCAGTGGCCCCCCAGCTCCGTCTCCTCGGGAGAGTTCCCCCGATTCCTCCGTCTCTGCCGTCGACGACGGTCGAGTGCTCTGCGGCGCCCCGTGTTGTCGCTGCCTTTTGGCAATGGCGAACTGGTCTCCTACCAGCAAGGAGATAGTTCAATGCTATGAGTCGAAGGGTCGGTAACCACTGCCTCACCGGTGTTCCTCCTACTAATTTCCTGTTTTTAGGTGCTTCTACGAAGTGTGCCCGTTGCGCCGCCATGAAAGGCGGTAAGGTGTGCGTTCCTGTAAGTTCTTCTTCCCCCCCTCTATCGAGCCGCTCCGGTGGCTAACCACTGCGTCGTCTATAGGCCACCCGACAAACTCTCCTCGCCGCCCAGCGGCTTAAAGAAGTCATGAAGGAGGCCGCTCACAAGGTCTCCATCAAAGACTGGTGGGATGCTGAGAAGGTATGCTTTATGCCGTTAATACACCAGTTGTCAGCCAGTGCTAATCCTCTATAGGACGAGGTAGTCCTGGCGCAGACCGCGGCCAAAAAGGCCCTTCAGAAGAAGAAGGACCTCGTCAACAATCCCGAAAAGCGCAAGCGGGAGGAGGAGAAGAGCGAGCTGCTCCTCCGGGAGCGCGAGGTCGCAGCGGCTGAGGACCTGGCGCGTCACACCAAGAGCCTCGTCCGTGCTCAGGAGCACATCAACCGGTTCCTTCGGGACCAGCGTGCTGCCGAGACGGTGGCTCTTGACACCGCCCAGGCTCAACTGGTGGCCCTCCAGTCCATCTCTGCGGCTCTGACCGCGCGCAACAAGATGTACCAGAAAGTTGTATGTGTATTGTTCTACTCCTACTCTCAGCCAGTGCTAACCCGGTGTAGCATATGGAACAACTCGCTGCGCCCTCCGATGGGGAGGAGGAGGAGCAGGATGTGGAGGAGGGTGGGGCTGCGGCCCAGGATGACGATGAGGATGCTTAATTTTTCGGCTCCGGTTTTTCTGTTTTTCTGCCGTGTCGCCCTGCTTTGGCAGTGGTTGGTCACTGGTGCTCCTTCGGGCAGTTTTTAATTTTCGTTTCTCGGTTTTCTTTTTGCGGCTTCGGCCAGTAATGAATACAATACCCGGCCGGCGTGCCCTGGTTTTCCCGGTTTTGTCCAGGCATAACTCCTCCAGTACCTACCCAGTGCTCCGTCGCTGTAGAGAAACCTCGTAGAGTTGTTTTATGTCGTCTGCTACGTTTCGCTGTGGTTCCCACGAATCTTCCCCTTCATAGCCTTTCCACTTAATGAGGTATCGCCTGTTGCGTGGTGGGCCTTTATGGGCTAGTATTTCGTCTACTTCGTAGATATTGCCTTCTTCTCCTTCGATTGGGATGTCCCTTGGCTGGACACCGGGGCCGTAGAATGGCTCAAGCTGCGTCGGTGCGAATACATTGTGAATGCGGTATGCAGGGCCAAGGTCAAGCTCGTACGCTTTTCCTCCGTTAACCACCTGGGTGACCCTAAACGGTCCTAGGTACTTATCCGATAGTTTCCGTGATGGGCGTCGTTGGCGGATATTTTTAGTTGATAGTAAAACAGGGTCACCTACTTTAAAATGAATGGAGAGGTGTCTTTTGTTGTAAAACTTCGCGTATGTATTGTTTGCGTCCTGTAGTGGCTGGGTAATGGTGTCTCTCCTGGTTCGCATGTTGTCTATCCTTCCCTGCGCGGTTGGTACGACTGTCGAGTCTTTGTATGGCGTGACATCGTTTGGTCCTTGTGGGAGGTATCCCAGTAGTGCCTCAGCCGGTGGTAACTTAGTTGCTTGGTGCCAGCTATTGTTGTAAACAAACTGCGCGATAGGGAGCCATTTAATCCAATTGTCTTGTTCCATATTGCAGAATACTCTTAGGAAATGTTCTATGTTCTGGTTTTGTCGCTCTGTTTGTCCGTCTGTTTGTGGATGATAGGCGATGCTGAATTTCCGTTTAATTGCTAACTGGTGGCACACCTCTGCCCAGAACTTGCTAGTAAACAAGGACCCCCTATCCGAAGTCATTGTTTTCGGTATTCCGTATCGAAGAAAAACTTCTTCAATTAGGAGATTGGCGAGACCGTCTGCTGTAAGGGTCTCCCTAGTGGGTAGATATATGGCATACTTCGTGAAACGATCCACCATGACTAATATAGTATCGTAGGGTGAGCCTGACGCGCCCTTAGACTTAGGGAGCTTTGTTATGAAATCCAGGGATATGTGTTCAAATGGGCTGATGGGTACCGGTAGGGGTGCGAGTTCGCCGTATGGGAGGTGATGCCTGGGTTTGGTTCGTTGGCATGTTGCGCACACCTTCATGTAGTCCTTAATATGACTTCTCATCCTTCCCAGAAAAATGATTTTCTGATTCGTTTAAGCGTTTTCGTGACCCCCTGGTGTCCTCCGGTTGGCTCATCGTGGAATGCCGACAGGATTTGGCCCTGTACCCCGTGATTTTCTGGCACATATATAGCGTTTTAATACCATAGTACGCCGTTATGATCGCTTTTCCAGTGTTTTCCTCTGCTAGCCCATGCTTTGCCTTGTACGAAGCCGTCTGTAGCTTGTGCTGTAGCGATGGTATCTTGTAGGCTAGGCGCTAGGTCTTCCGGGCTGGGTTGGCCTGGCTGGCCAGAGGTTGGCTGTCTCACTCGGTACGCCAGGATTCGAGGTCCAGCAAAGCGTTGTAGGAAATCTTCGAGGAACGCGCTGCGGGCTTCCTCCACCTCCGTGTCTTGCGGAAGGTGGTCAGGCCTTCTAGACAGGGCATCGGCTGCCTCAAAAACAGAATTTCAAGACCTGCGCATTATCGCTTTTCTCACAAAAATAGTAGGCCGCCGGATGAGGCATATAGGATATTGATAAGTACTATAGCAGATCTAATCTGTTGAAACCGTAAAACTAGAGTCTGCATCAACTCAAAAATAAGACAGCAAGGTCACAATGTATACCACGACTAAAAGGATACGCTAATCCTAGCACCTTCTCCCTAAGCTTATCTACTGATGCCTATGGTAACTCGTGGAGCCCGTTGCTAATCAGAACGATCACCATTTGACCTATCAGGATCAGGCCCAACAGGTTTTGTAATCCAGTCTTTGGGTATTTGTGTGATGAAGTCATACCAGTAATTAGCCATGAGGTGATACCCCTTGCTCGACGGATGGATGCAATCCCGATATAAGATCCCGTCGCCCAGACTCGCAAAGTTTACGGCCAGAACTCGGCGGCCGACTTTTCTCCTTTTCTCAACGACGCCAGGGATCAGTTTTTGAAAAGAAATTGTCTGCGGTCGCTGGTCAGGGTCGCAGGTGTTGATGATTTGGGCCACGAGAACAGTCGCATCCGGGCAGACGGTAACTATCTTGTCGATGAGGTTACCAAGCCTTATTGCCGCACCAGTAGGATCATGTCCTTGTTGAGAAATACCAGGCCTTGGGTTCATGTCGTTGGTGCCGGCGTGGATGAGGACGATATTAGGGCGCTGTTTTAGAGATGTATAAATGTTGTTGGTCATATATTCGATCGTCATTCCGACCCAACCCGCCTTCGTCATATTAATACTATAGGAGCAGACAGATACTTAGTATTTACTCACATAATATGGGTCAGACATATTACCTGATGACGTCGTGCCGGCAAAAACAACCTTATTACCTAGTAAATACCAAGGTCAGATATAGGTCATAGACAGAGCAACTGACTATAGTGAATAGAATTAAAGGAGAGGATACTAACCAAAGAGATTTTCTCTTAACTTCAGTCTGCAACCATTCTTATCAAAACTAGACCAGCCTACGGTGATGGAGTCACCAATGGGGAGAATTCGAAGTTCGACACCTTCTTTGATGACCTGCCCAGGGGCTACGCCCTTATACTCAAGATAGCTGGCCGCACCGAGAGTCAGTGATGCGAAAAGATTGGCAACAATAGCAATGGTGAGTTTCATATTGAAAACAGCTAGCAAGCAGTTTGGAATACGAAAGGACACCATCCCAACAATATGAACCTAAGTAATCCACAGTAGGGTAGCGGCGGCTTTAAGTAGCAGCCCTCATAATACTCTGAAGGCCACGGTTGCCCAGTCCGAGACATACGGGCTTCTGCCTATAAGCCACTTCGGGGCTCGGAAGCAGCGATCGGCAGAGCAGGCTCTGGTTCTGCTCCAAGAGTACATCTGCAGAGCATGGGGGAAGAGAAAGGTCCTCAGTCTGGTCAGCTTCGACGTCAAAGGCGCATACAACGGAGTGTATAAAGAAACACCACTTCAGAGACTCAGCGCGAGGGGAATCCCAGGAAAGCTGGTGAGGTGGGTCGATGCGTTCTGCTCGCAACGGACAGCAAGCATCCAGGTCAACGGCCAGGACTCGGAGGTCCGCTCCCTGCCTCAAGCTGGGCTACCTCAGGGCTCACCGTTGTCGCCTGTCCTGTTCCTCTTCTTCAACGCCGATTTGGTCCAGCACCAAATCGATGAGAATGGAGGTTCGCTGGCATTTGTAGACGACTATACGGCATGGGTCACCGGACCATCGCGAGAGGCGAACAGACAAGGGATCCAGGCCATCATTGACAGAGCCCTCGACTGGGAACGACGAAGCGGGGCGACATTCGAAACAGACAAGACGGCCATCATACACTTCACCCGCAACTGGCGACAACCGGAAGATTACTCAACCTTCGACATCAAAGGGGACACAGTCAGGCCCAAAGACCGCAAGAAGGTCCTGGGCGTGATCATGGATACCAAACTCTATTTTGAGAAACATATCGCAGAAGCGGCGTCGAAAGGCCTCGAAGCCGTGCTGGAGCTCAGACGACTGAAGGGCCTATCTCCGTCAACGGCGAGGCAACTCTTCGTGGCGGCGATAGCGCCGACAATAGATTATGCGTCGAACGTCTGGAAACACAGGTGCAGAGCAGCCCAGATGAGGGTCATCAACAGGATACAGAGGATTGGGGCTCAAGCGATCATTGGAACCTTCAATACAGTGGCCACAGCGGTCGCCGAAGCAGAAGCAAGCATACAACCAGCTCAGGAACGATTCGGCAGGAAAGCGATCAAGTTCTGGGTGCGTCGCCAGACTCTGCCTACGAGTCACCCGCTGCGACGTATCAGACCTCAGAGCTTCAAGAGGCACATCTCACCTTTCCAGAAGATGGCCACAGCATACCAAGACCTACCAGTAGATAGGCTGGAGACCATCGAAGCGTTCCCCCAGGCACCCTGGGAAGACCGAATCCGTACGGTAGTGGAAGAAGACGGCGATAGGGCGAGCAAGGCGGCCCAGACTGGGTGGGCCGTGAGGGCTGCAATAGGCAGCTCGGCAAGAAACGGAATCGTGGGCTACGGAACAGCAGTACTGCTCCCATTGTCACACAGGAGAGGCGGCTCCATGACGACAGGATCAACCACCGTCGGCCCTAGGACAAAGCAAAACCCATATACGGCGGAACTCATGGCGATAGCAGCGATGCTGAAGTCTCTTTCGAAAAGGATCCGTTATCGTGCAATCTATGTGTTTTCCACCAACAAAGCGGCCGTCATAGCAGCAGGGGGACCGCGACAACAATCAGGCCAACAACAGATCCGTCACATTAATGAGGCAGCAAAGACGCTCACAAGTAAAGGCAACAAGGTTACACTCTTCTGGCTTTCGGCTGAGGTAGAGTCCGATCTCAAGCTCCAGGCTAAAACGGCGGCGAAAGAGAGTACGCAACAAGGAAGGACGCCGAGGAAGAAGCCAACTAGGGCCTACTCAACCACACTTAGAAGCGCAACGAGGAGAGTACAGAAGTACTGCAGACTACCAGAAGGGGTAGGACAGTTCTCGAAAAGGGTTGACGTTGCCCTGCCGGGAAAACACACACGGCAACTGTACGACTCGTTTTCATGGAAGGAGGCCAGCATACTGGCCCAGCTGAGGACGGGGATGGCAAGGCTCAGCTGGTACCTGCACCAGATTGGGGCAGCCGCCTCGGAGCAATGTGCATGCGGACAGGCCGCAGAGACGGTCGAGCATTTTCTCTTCCGGTGTACCCAATGGACAGTACAACGCGCACCGATGATTCAACGAACTAGTACGCATAGAGGCAATCTGTCATTTTACTTCGGCGGGAAGACCGCATCCGACCCCGGCGATTGGTCGCCATACATGGACGTCGTGAAGTTTGCCATGGCAACGGGACGATTCGATATGCAGATCAACCAAACATAGGACAGCAACAGCACAACACTAAATTTCCAACACCAACCACCGACTAACCCCTCACGCACCCTCGTGCCACCGACAGCAGGACTCGCTTCAGCCGCCGAAAATAGGGACCTGAACACTTGGAGAAAGTGCTCCAAGATGGCCTGCTACTGTATTAACCTCACGAGAAATAGCAATCATCGGAAGGAGCAATCAAAGAGGACGCAGACGGAAGTGGATCTCACATATGGGGCTTATTTGGAGACCAGGTAAAAACTCAACAAGGGGCCATGTAAGATAGACGTAAGAGCCCTTTATGGCTTAGCCAGGGCGTAATAAACTGTGTGTGTGTGTGTATCACTCTTTGCTCCATCAATCTCAAGTGTATTGTGTCAAATTCGCATCGATATTCTGACAATTGAATGCATGACCTGAAATATGCGAGCGACTCCAAATGCTCATGACTTCTAGCTTTTCTTTCGGCCATCCTGCTCCATACAGAAAGATGCACTGTGAAGTCAGCCATCGCAATGCGTCCAACACAGCAACAGACGAGTTCACTAACCTCGAACAACATCATTTTTTCTTTTCTGAGAAGGTGGTGGATTTAATCCTCACACACATCCTCAACCAATTTACAACTTGCTTAACATAACTAGTCCCTTCTCTACCACTGCGATTCGCTATAGGATGTCTCAATCAAACCTTGAAGGCTCTCATTAGCCGTTCTTAGTTGTTGCCGAGTAAAGGCCCGTAAGTCATTCTCCAAATGCAGAAGACCGCTCGAACGAACCAAAACCTTTTCATCCTCAAGCTTGCGTAGGTTTGTAACTTTGTCAGCGGGGTTTTGTTCGTCAGGCATTCCGACGTGACTGCGTCGTCTGGTGGGGAAATGATCGATTGGAAGGAACAAACTCAGATCCGGTGGGGCAGAAGATGCACTCCCCTTCGTTCCATTACAATCGTTCGATTTTGGCTTTGACGGTGGTTCATAAAGTAGCTGTTTATTTCCTTGCTGAATAGCCTGCATTTTTAATCCCTGTTGGGACTGGCGCCCGCAAACCTCCAATGCATCTGGACTCTTTGGTTTGATATTAGACTGAAGGTGTACTGCGACAACAGATCCTGTTAAACTGAAGGTTGATTGTGTTCTGTACTTGAGATCTTACACTTTGGTGATATTTGCGAGTCGTGTAACTCATTTAGGCCATCACAGCTGCACTTCGCACTCGTCTCCTGTGCCGAAGATAAAAGAGTTTTGGAGACTACAACTTTACCTTGCCACGTATCAATCAAAAGGCACGTATTGTCAACTTCAGACTCCATGCACAACTGCGGGAAAGCCTGAAAGTCACCAAGTCTCGTCCTAACGCAATTTAGGGAGGTGGAGATTGAGCTTTCCATCACAGAAGACCGTAGCGTGTGAACAATGTGTTGTTTGAAAATGACGTGTAGGCAGGTATGTATAATCTGGTGGCTGTTCGGATCAGCGCTAGGATACTTATATTCTTGGCTAAGGGTTGATCATTTCCCTTTTCACCACTATCAGGACCCTTTTCTCCTCGCATGTTCACGTCATTTGGTTTCTGTAACAAGTGTCACGGCCAGTGATCTCCCTTCAGAGCCGAACTGTACTGCAGTCACACTGTTCCGGCGGACAGTGGGCAGTACAACAGGCGGCAAGGTCTTCAGGAAGGACCTCAACGACTATACAGTCTTTCAGGGACGAATCCGGAGGCTTCAGAGGCATAGCCGGCATCATAATCAACAGTAGACTTCGTAGCTTAAAATGTTGATTTGGTACTGTAGGAGTCACAGCTATGAAAACATCAGGGGAAATGACGTACCGTAGACGTTTCGATATCGGTGCTGGGGAAATATGGATGTAAAGTGGGTAGTTTTGGTCTTGGCAAAAATGAGGTCAGTCCGTCCCCGATGGGATACAGGAGCCTGAAGTTCCGCGCTTAAGGGACCTTACATTTATGTCGAGAATAATAATTTCTGTGCGGAGTAAGACAGTTTGAATTGTCTATGCAGCTTTCTGCCTTCGTTTGCTGGTGCCTGGTGCGTTCGTTTAGCATAGAGAGATTCTAGGTGATATGGAAATGGAGCAAAAAATGATTTCAAAAATGCTATGGGAAAGCCTCTTACGTAAGTCGTTGACCACATTAGCATTTTCTTCGAACGGCTGACTCTGTGAGCTCTCTAATGCGGTTGGAAAACATTCCTTGGTCACGAAACTGAATGTCATATAATGCAAACGCCCTGATTCAGTCCGTGACGGCCACAAAACGGCTTCGGTTCCTAGCCTTAACGCCACCACCATGCATGTAGAAGTCGAACCTCCAAACTAATTACAAATATCCCGCCTCCCGTAGAGGTCTTGATATTATGCCATCATAGCCCCTTGGGAATGCATCGTGGGAGACCGACATAGAACGCAGATCCGAGACGCGTTCCTTGGGCTCAGAAAGCGGGTTTTCGGCTCTGGATGATAAGTCAAATATTTTCCAATCTACAAATCCATCTCTTTCTGCTCCGTCAACGCTAGGATGTATATTTCGAGTCTTCCTCCTGCTCCTCCCGCAGCTGCTGCGGCCGCCATACTCGACTGGAGTAGGTCCTGCGCTGCGCCGGAAATGTATTCCTCGATGTGAGAGCAGCTACATCCGCCGTGTTAAAGAACCATGTTCTTCAACATCAAAACCTTTCCTCGCAGTATGGCTGCGTCGGCCGTCAAGCTCCGGTTGATTTTTTCCATAATAGATGCCTGCGACTGCAACTCCTTTATACCTTTCTGCTTCTTCTGTCAGCACTTATATGCGGCTTCACGGTTGCGAGCGCGGATGCGGTTCTTCTTGTCTTCGGAGCTGATTTCGTCCCTGACTTCACAGCCGCACTGGCGGAGGCAGTAGAGGCACGGCGGGCCACCGCAGCCTTCCGTTGCTGTGCTTTCGTTCCGGTCGATGAGGCTCCTGTTATTGTGGAGGAAGATGTATGCGTAGCTCGCGCGTTCGTTTCCGAGAGACGATGTCGACCTCTCCTTCGTTGGGGTTGCTCCGTAGTTTCAGCTGGCTGCGGCTTGGTTTCCTTATCGGTCCTGAGAAGCATGGGGGCGACTAGCGGAGAAACACTGCTTGTTTGTGATGATGCGATAGAGCTCGTCGGTGACGACACGGAGTCGCTCGCGGGCGAATCCTGACATCCTCGTGAGCTTTGAATGGACGACTCGAAAATGACCGAAAGAGACGCCCAGGAGTTGAAGTCAAGGCTGACGGCGCCACAAGGACTGGTTGCGATTCACTGACTGACGGTTTTTGCGCGTTCAACTTCCACTAATGCTGAAGGAAGAGCTAGGCCTGTTGGTTTTGTGGTTGGGCATACTGCTGCTGTAGGTGCTGCCGTTGCAAAGTCTTTGTCGATCGTGTTGGCGAAAGCGCTGGGGGGTGTTTCGAATAAGGTGCTACTCGTTAACCCACTTTGAAATGGACTCGCACCTGCCGACCCCAAATCCATGACTGCTGGGCCCAGCCGTGGACGAGGACAGAGAAATAGAGTTTACCAGGTTAGCTTTGGTTTACCAGGCTACGGCCAGTTGGCTCAGAAGGGCCGTTATAGCGTAGACTGTGCGGTGATGGCTGTGCTCTTCAGGTATTCTAAACTGTCGTAACAATTGAGCTCAATAGAATGGCAAGCTGCTAATTTCCTCGCCTGAGAAAGTGTTCTATCTTCTGTACAGCTGACATCTAGTCCAAATAAAGTTGATCGTTGAATGAAGAACATTTGTAGTTTAAGGAGGGGGTCAAAAGAGGAGATAATAGGTGCTCACTGAAACAAGCATGGGCACGCGGAAATCAACACACTTCCCAGCCCAGTCTTCTACATGGCATGGACATCTGCCATACAGTATGTATGGCACGGCATAATGGCATGGGCAGGACAAACCAACCATGGGCGGCTACTGTATGTACCCTATGGATCACAGACTATTCGCCTACCACTACAACGACTGGAGGGCCTCAGGGCCAGATCACTATGCTGAGAAAGAAAGTGGTTAACACCTGTGTGCTAGCACTGTACAACGAGGACCCAAAATGCTGCCCCCCTGTTAAAGTCCTGATTTCGTCGCCCCAAAGGAGGAGGTGCGGAGGTACGCTCCGGGTGAATTAACACCTGATTGGGTCTGCAGACTAGTCACGTCTGCGGCCTAGTTTTGCATGCCAAAAAAACCACGTAAATGCGGTCGTTTTCCAGCCTTCCCGGGCACACTCGTGACATTGTCTCCTCCTCTTCCTCTTTGCGTCAAAAATGTGCAGCCATAACGTTTACCGAATGTCCGGGGATAGTAATTGACCCGTTAGTCCGAGGACCATCCAGGTTCTAGGTGGCGAATGCCCCCGGATCGTAAATCGATTCATTATACCCAGCTTTCAATAGTTTTCAATAATATAATACGGCCATTCAAAGCTTCCAGAGAGCGTTGCGAGACTTTTTTTTTTTTTTTTTTTTTTTTTTTTTTTTTTTTGATTCTAGAAACGCCACAGTTGAATGAGCTCATGAGATCGCTCTCCCATTCTCAAGTTCCATTGCATCCTCACGTCTCCTGTTGTTAAGCAACGAGCCTTCTCCCTCAAGCATTTTCAAAACAACCCAAGTAATGGGAATCCCACGGTTACTGTCCATTCATGGCCTCCTCGTAATGGCAGACTGTGCACGCCCAATTTTGACCTATCGAGACCGAGAGACCAAGACAGTATACGGAAGGTTGTTCCGTTTGGCGGGGCCAACTCCGATGGGCTTTTCTGATTTCGAATCTGGTAAATCCCATAGTATCCACCCCAGCATATGAGACAGACTGGGGCCCCCTAGTCTTCTCACGGACAAAAAGCTCCTGGGATCCAATGAGTATCAGCCGCTGTACCACTCGTGCTAAGTTGTCTCGAGGGGCCAGTTGGCAATAGACACATGCCTCTGAGGGGAGTTTGCCAATCAGGGGACGGCCAAGACATTTTCTAGCCTACCAAATGGATCAGATTATCGGGAACAATCGAGCTTGACAGCCCGGTAAGAGAAAAATCGCTCCGAGGCCGTACCGAATGAACAGAAAGGTTGCAAACGCACCCAAAGCTCGCCAAATCCGCCTGCTTACACGCTAGCGGTATGGGGACTATGTGTCAGTGAATTACTCCGCGGTAACCGGAGGCCCCGGACGTGCCTGCCGATCATTGAAATTGAATAGGTACCTGTACCACTACCAAAGAGGCTAAGCTGTCTCCAGCGAGCCGATACCTTGAAAAATATTGGTTTTAGACGTCCCGCCCATGGGTTTGAGCGTTCCTACTATGATTTCGCCTTACAAGCCAAGAGCTGAGACAAAGGTCAATGCGCTTAATTCAGCTGGATCATTTGGGCAGACTTGTATTTCTACCAATCGCCACTAATCAATCCGGCGTTCATCTAAGAAGCCGTGCCAGGCTGGATTGAGGCTGATACAAGCTAACTAAAAGGCTTGATTATTCGGCGCTTCGGTTTGTGGCCGATCGGTCATCCCGAAACCACTCAGCTTCAACTCAGCCCGTTTGTAGTCACAGGTCCTTTCAGAGAACAAAGGTTCAACGAAGTGCTGATTCTCTGTCTTTCCAATTGTGACGACAAAGTGGACCCACTATTGTTGCTGGTACAATAGTGGCTTATATCCTTCGTCACACCAATTAGTCAACGTGGACTTGCTGCCGGTCTTGTGTCATCGTTCGCTTTCGTAAATTTTCCAAGGTCATCCCATTTTCTCTAAAGGAATTCCCTCGTCGCAGATTGATTCCAAGTGTGCAATTCCAAAGTGGCGGTCATCCTCCATCGCACTAAAACAAAGCCTAGCGCATTATGGATGATTATGGAATCAAAAGGAAGGTCACGAACTCAAATGCATGTGCGGGACGTTGTAAACCCCCATAGTTGCCTTACAAGTAAGTAGCCGACTACAACACGTTTTGTAAGACAAATAAGGGAATGTGAAACAAGGGAGAAAGGCTGGAATTCAAATACTGTTGTGTATCTGTCCTAACCGCGAAAATCCTTTCACTTTTTATGGCAATGAGTCAAACATATATGAGGGAGCGTTCTATAGAAGGTAGTTAAGTCTCTGAACAGGTTAAGATACAACAACGCCAGTGATACGCTTGAATAAGCAGTCCAACCCTCAAGCGATTATTTGTTGAAATCTTGCGGAACTTCTTCGTTTTTCGGCGCACAAGCTTGTCTTACGGCGCTTCATTGACAACCTTGTGCAAATTGACGTCGCTTTTCCCGAGAAATCTATCACTGATTCTTTCAACGTATACTGTACATTTGACCACCCGGAACAGTCCTAGATCTATCCTACTCGGTTGCCACCATGGCTGCACCTATCAGCCCAAACCAGAAGTCATCACCTCTACCACTAACGCCGTGGCGACAACACGGCGAGAGGGCTCGTTTGTCAGATAATTCGTACTCCGTCATGAGAAATCTTGAGAATTTGGAGACTCACCTCCGGGTCGCCACCAGGGACCAGCTTTTGCTCCTTCAAGCGAGCACTATTGTTCACAGAAGCGAAGGCAGCCAGCCCTTGGGAAGCACACCTGAGCTTGATCTAATGTCGCGGAGTTTGTCTAATCTGTGGATACTGAAAGATGAGCTTTAAGGCTTTCTGCCGCTTGTTTGGACACCGAAACTGTCAGGGAGCTTTGAGTGGCAAGTCTTCTAGCCGCAAAAAAATCAATACCGCATAGTAAAACAGATTAAGAGGGAGCATCAAGAACAACCTTGGAAAATGAAAGTGAGCATTTTTATAGATCCCAAAATCATCTTCTGAAGAAATAGATCTTTTCACGTCGTAATGGGGAAAAAATAACCCAGCGGCGCCTGCGGAGTTTTCCTGTTCCTCCCACGTTTCAGCCTTTCTCCTTCAGAGCCAATGTATCATGTGCTCAATCCCTCAAAGCACAGCAAAAACCGGGAGAACGCCAAGAGAATCGCGAATCGTGAGTCCAGTTCCTGGGGAGTTTGGTTATCAATGGTGCTTGAGAGAGAATAGGTCTTCTGCGGCTGATGCCTTGCGTGCGTTGCTGGGTCAGAAGGGCGAGAATGTCGTCGGCACTCTCCGTGTTGCCAGATGGAAGCGTAAGTTGAGAGGCAAACAAGAAACCTCCGAGAACGGGAACTTAAAACTGGACTAGACCAGAGAAGTTGCTGAAAAGTGCGGCAGGTGTCAAGAATCGATAGGCTGTGGCTCATACGGTTTAGTGACGCTATCGCACCAGGCTGTCGAGGGCTTTGAGAAGCTATTCGCACTCGAGACGAAGCTTCGACGGCCTTGAGATTCGAGGTCATGGAAGTCGTTCGCTGATCTCTCACCAGGACCATAGCCTACGCTTCGTGGTTCGCAGCTTATCTGACGTTAATCTTGGAAAGTGAGCATCCGTCACATTCCACAGTGAGAGACATGCTGTCCTTCGTGCGGATGTCTGTACCCGTCTCAACGGCGATCAGGCCTCGCACAACGTCTGCGTTTTGCTCTACTACTGACGAAAATAGAGGCTGTCGATCCAAAATTCACACTTTTTCCGTGGTGGGCAGTTGACTCTCTTTTCGCGCAGTGGCATGTGAGTGTGTTGGCCGTTCTGGATTATTCATGCTCAGTGTTGCACAAAAAAGAAAAGAAGAAAGAAAATCACGTCTGGTCGTGATGTGGCATCATTTTGTCAAGCGATAACAGTCAACTAACATGTCTGTCTATCCACTCCTGCACCGCTGAGCCTTCTCTTGGTCTGGCCCTGAGTGAGCATTTGACTTGTTGAGCGAAAACTTGCATATTTCAATATGCTGCATTAGGTGCGCCCTCTCGAATTTCGATTCGCATCCTTGGCCGGAATAAGGACAAAGCACTTCCAGCTTATCGAGTAGGTCAGATAACTCGGTTGATGGTCTAACATCGCGCTGTCTGAGGTTTCTTCTGTCCATCGGGCATGTTTTGCTTAAATCCAGGTGACGATGGAGGCACGAGTAGCAAAAAGCGTGATGGCATGGCGTAACTAAAGGTGCGACCATATGGCATTTGCAAATGGGACAAATGAGTCGGTCGTCAAAGCTTCCAACATACTCGAGTATTTCAAAACATAGATTTCGAGATTCATCAACGCCTAACGTAGACGGCTTCGTGTTCCCATGTCTCGCTACCTGGCGTTAGCGTGGGGCGGGGAGCGAGAGTATATAACAGAATCTAGGGCTGACCGTCGGGAGCTTGAGGAAATAACCAACTATCTTTTGATCTCACCGCCTGTTCTAGTACAGAGTTCACAGAGGGTGTTCTCGTCCGTGTGGAGGCTCCGTTGTGCGGGGAGGGCGGCATTTAGTAAGAGATTCGACGAGGAAATGAGGAGCGCGATGGTTGCACAGTTCACTTCCCACGAAGACTTCCCACGAAGGCGTTCTAAGTAAGACCGCTGCCGATAACGAGATGGATGTCAGTCTATGTAACAGCCATTTTGAGCAGTCTAGGGCGCTAGCGCCAGGCCGTGCAGGGCGCACTACCATGGGGCCCGTCTGACGTACCGATGATGGGTGCAAGTTAGCCAGCAAGATTCGGCAACCGTAGTTGTCGGTGGTCTATCCAAGTCACTCTGTGTCAATGCCTTGCTGCGAGCAGGAGAAAAGTGGACGTGGATATTTTATCACCATCACATATGGCAAAGGGGGGGAAGGAGTGGGGTACTAAAACCTGGCCAGTCACAGCGAGAGTTCTGGGGGATTGGATAATAGCGTCCACCGCCCACGCAAAGTCAACGTCGCACAGACGCGATACAAGGCACCCACTGTTAGCAATTGTTAAGAATATAGAAGGCTTCGGCCCATCGCACTAGCATCTTCCATCATCAGCCCACGTGAGCCAAATCTCACGATCATGGCGGTCTCCCTAGATGTAGGGCCATCGATCACAGTACATCTCGACGGTCAGGGCGAGTCCGGAAACCGATCGCCAAGGTCAGAGTGATGGAGCAGGTCAGCTACCAGGATAATGGTGAGCTTAAAGACGAGATCAACAAGCTTTCAAGTCTCGTCCAGGATCTCCTACGACGGGACGCCGAAAGGGAGTAGTTCCTGAAGGACTGTTTAAAAAAGATTGAATCCTTGGAAAGAAAACTCCGGGAGGAAAAACAGAGTTCAGCCCGGCACCAAAGTGGTCTAGCAAGCTCTATGCATGCTGTCGGCACAGAACCCAGCGAGACTGCTCCGAGTCTCCGACGGCATTCCTTGGAGACAGTTCAGAACCGACCGGTACCGGTCCATACATACGCGACGTTGGCAAGCCAGCCACTGGCCAGAAAACAAAACGAACCAACGCTAGCAAAACAAGTTACAAAGCGGGCGCCCTTGAAAGACTTACGCGTCTTCGCGCGCCTGCCCCCCGAAAGCCCGCTTCGAAACAAGAAGGCCTACGACATTTACATGTTCGTTCGAGAAAAGCTCGGTCCTCAAGTTCGAGGAGCTCTCAAGGGGATAGACCATGCCAAGACAGGATTAGCACTCCTACCTTCGTTAGCTAATGGCGCAAAAGTCTTGCTAGACAACAGTGAACATGTTGCTGCCCTTCTTCAGGCGCAAGCAGTCGAGCAGCGCGATGCGTGGATCCGGGCCTACATCGCAAACGTCCCTTACACCAGGCATTTTTTGGTAAGCATCACCGAGCTAGAAATCTCGTCCGAGGAGCTACTCGAAGAAATCCAGCTTACAACAAAATATGCCAGAAAAAGCATACTTTTCCAGAAAAGACGAAGTCGAAAGGCTAGGTACGGTTACAGCCTGGTTCAAGGCGGAAGCCGTAAGGCAACTACCAAGACGCCTCCGTTTGATGGGGGCCAGCGTTTTTGTGAACCTGCAGTTTCCGAAGGAGAAGAGGTCTCCCCAATGCCACCTGCTCTATCACACCCAAAGTGGTGAAAGGGGTAGTCCAGAGGAGGAACAAGGCACAGCTACGGGCCATTCGGGCCGAGAGAGAGAGAGATCGTGGAGGATTGCGACCCAGCAGTCGCACCAACAATCCCGAGAAGGAGGAGAATTGATGGACTGTATTCCGTCACATGGTACACAACAGGAGAGGGGGGACCTCTAGGATTCTGCAAATCATGCAAGCGAACGTGGCCAAGCGACCGTCTGCACACGGAACAGCACTGAATCTAGCGTACGCGGCTCAGATTGACATACTCCTAATCCAAGAGCCCTCCATTCGCTCGGAAGAGAGGAGGCTCACAAAATACCATCCTTGTTTCGAGATCTTTACCGCAGTGGATAACTGGGTTGAAGGCAGACCCAGAGTGCTCACTTACCTCCGCAGAGGAACGGGGCTACGGGGCGTACAAACACGCCCTCTATCGGTTCCATCCACGGACTTGCTCTTCCTACAACTCTGGTCCGGAAAGAGGGAACTTCTCACAGTCATCAACGTGTACTATGCCCCTTGTAGCTCGCTACGACCTGGTCAAGGAGTTTGGGATATCATAGCAGCCTGGCAACCTGGACCCCATGAACGAGTGCTGGTGAGCTTACCAGAAAAACATTCTCATAAGACAGAAAGATGCAGCTGCAGGAGGCAGATGGCAGATGGCAGAGTGCATGATTATAATTGATGCAAACGTAAGGGGGCGCCATGTTCCAACAACGCTGCGGGCGCGGCATATCCATTGGCACAATCGTGTCAATGTTCAGTCATTGACGCGGGGTGACCTTAGACGGCCACTCTTCCAATGCATGCCAAGACGGGGATGATGATACAAGCAAGTAGGTCCTGTATTCCCCCTTCGCATGTGCGGGGCAATGAGCATACAAAGAGTTGACATTCTGCTGCCCATCCCAGCAACTCACCTCCCTGATATTCATGCCAAACTCCGATGGCTTTCACTTGCGGTACATGCTGGCAGACGTGGCCGACTTGTAGGTCTCGCGATCAGCATGTAGCCGCGAAATTCCATGAGGTTCCCGACTTCGAATGCGACAGTTGCGACCGCTATTTCCAAAGTCAACAAGCTGTCGAACAGCATATGAACGCTCGTGACCACTGGGCTGATTCAGCCTCTGACGAACCGAATCACTACTGCGACTACGACTCCTGCTCCGAGGTTTTCCATGATGAGGAAGACCTGAGAAACCACGAGATCGAGAAACATTTCTATTGCGACCCATGCGACCGAGAATTTCAAGATTTAAACAGCATTAAGATGGTTTGTCATTAATCCAGAAGCCACTATAAATGTCTGACGTTTGTAGCATCGCAATAGCAAGCAGCATCGAGGTACAAACATATCTTGCCCTTTCTGTCACGGTCCATACGTGACTACAGGCGGCGTTTTCCATCATCTTGAACAGGGTGGATGTTCAAAAGCTCCCTTGGACCGGATCAAGGTCTACGAAGCAGTCAAAGGCAAGGACCCAAATGGTGTGTTGACCGAGCGGTTGCTTAATTGGTCTGGTTCGAGCAGTTTTGAGGCGACTCACAAGTCCTACAATGCCCGCGCTCAGGCTTTTGAGTGTTTCCTCTGCGGGAGTCACTTCGAACGCCTCGACTCACTCAACCAGCATCTTAATTCCCCTAAGCACCAGCACCAGCAGGATCTTTACCACTGCCCGAACAGAAGTTGCGGCAAGAAGTTCAGAACCTTGGCTGCCGTTGGTAATCATTTAGAGAGTGAAAGCTGCAACTTCATGCGCTTCGAGGATGTTCAGGAGACGGCTAAACGGATTTTCGACCCTGGCCACATGATCGCGTTTTAATCCGAACTTCATAGAAAGAAGCCGTTGTAATTTGTTGTAAGCTACAACGTATTAAAAATAGGATCTTCTAGTGTTTCTACTCCTTAGTATTACTGAATCGATTGCCGGGAGAAAGTTCCGAATTCAAGTTGGTCTGCAAAGTTAGCAAAGAAGCGGTAAGGGGGGATTGGATTATAGCCTGCAGGTTTATGAACACTAGATTTCTCACTGCCATGAAAAAGAAACATCATATGCAGGAGGCCGTCTAGACCCACTTTGCTACTCTGAAGGCTTATTCGTCAGGTCTAGGGAACGTTTAGCTTGTTACTCTCCGCACTTTTAAGTGAGGATCCCGCCTCTAGTTAACAACTCATCTTTCCGGTATTAAAAGTTCGACACAACCCCTCTCTCTTGTAGGTCGATCAGCCCAGTAAGGGTAGACAGGGACCACCCTGATCCATGCTCCAAAAGTGGCTCTTCAAAAGTCGAACGACAGCGGTTGGTTGGCAGAAGTCCTCGTGGTGGAGCACCGCCCTGCCGATGGTTCCAAACGGCTCGTGCCTGAGAGGCTCATCCAGCAGAGGTGTCCCTCCCAGTTGGACTCGGCCGCGTGAAGAAATAATCCAGACCGACCAATACCACGTCTTCGATATATCATTGAGGAGAACTCTTCACGCGGACTAAAAGTTCAATGGGTGGGGTACCCGCCGTCCGACAGCGATACGACGTGGGATCCTCCCTCAAAGATTCGCGAAATTGCTCAAGAGTCGTTCGACGACTACATCACCCGAAAGCAATCCGGCGAAGGGCATTAAGACATTCGTAATTATGTGGAGACTTCCAAGTCAGATATTACACATTGATCTTGTTCTGTTATCGATCTTCTAAACTTATAATCAAAATGTGTCACCCAAGCGAATCGGGCTTTTCCCTTCTGATATGCAAGGATTGATCTGCGATCAGAATTGAGGATGCAACGTTTCCGTTAACCTCCCTGCTGCACAACGCTATGTGGACGTAGAGTAGGCAGTCTGAGATCCTTGCGTGCCCCTTGCGTGCCCCCTTACCTACACTACAGTCAGGTGAGCACGATCGACTGGACAGTGACCGATATCGAGCCAGCGACTGGTGAGTAGGAAAGTATGAATCCTCCGGGCCCCAGCGATGGAACTTGCCACAGCACAATCCAACCGCGGTTTTCGACAGCGCCACCCCCGCCGTCCCTACTGGCACCGGACACCACGAGAAGGTCTGCCACATCGTCCTACTACTTATTCAAACAGCATCTACTGTGCTCACTGGAGACTAAACGAGATGGGATGAGCATAATCAATATTGCTGGCTGCCAAGCTGTTTTTGCCTGACAGTAACTACTATTTGCATCGAATCGACGTAAAGCCCTCACACGTCTGTGTCTGCGACCGGGAGACGAAGGTCTCTGAACAAACCAAAACCAACATAATCCTAATCAACAATCACCCCGCGACAAACAGCACGCACTGCTTCAGCCGCCGTAGATAGGAGGTCAAAAGGTGGAGAAGCAAGTAGAAAGGGAGCGCAATGGGGGCTTTAAGGAGATCAGGAAAACAGAAATGTACATGCAATCAATCAGCTCTGGTTACCCGGTTCACCGCGGGCGTGATAACGAGTATGTGGGTGGGCGGGGTGGGGGGAGATAAGAGGCAGCCTTCAGAATCAACCAACTATTTGCGCAAGGCAAACCTCCAGGCCCAGCCCGCTCCAAAGCCAACGATAGCGCGAATGGCGACAGACATAAATGCAACGTAAACGTGAATTGAGACTTTCCAAAGGGAATCGCTGGCAGGTAGCACTGCAACACAGAGGTTGCAGGGAAAGGTTCTTGATTCCCAAATCTGGTGCTGTGAGCTCCTTTTTGTGGTTACGCCATGCTGCATTGGGCTTCGCCAACAGCTGAGGCCTGACACTGCTGAATTTTACAGTATTCGTGCTGTTATGTATGCCTTCGAAAGCATCCAGATCGCGGTGAAAAACTTGTGGTACTGAGTCGAGGGCGTTTTTCCCCACCTAGCCGAGGCGGGGTTGTAGAGCACTGCTCCAGTCGACTACCATTGTCTGGTAGCTTCCGGAGATCCGGGACTTCATGGGGAACAAGCGTATTTGCAGCCGCAAAACAGCAATATGAGGTTACCCTCGACGACGCAGTACAGTACATGTAAGTGGTGGCGACTTATTGTCGAGCGGCGACTCCTAGACGCGCGCCCGTCTTCATCGCGTGCGGACGGGGAGCCGGGCATATCCTATCCCATCTCCTGCTACTGTAGCATCGCATGTGCGGCGGCGCTGAGACCCTCGCGGGGCAAGATGCTCATCACCTCCGGACGAACGTGCCTGGGCCGGCTTGCACCCTGGTGCGCGCTGAGGTTTAACACCGACTGGCTATGCGCATTGGTCAACGGTAAGGACTTGGTCTGCTTCCTCCCTAAATGAAGTTTCATTATTTGGCAGTAGACTGAGAGCTTGCAACCATTCGCGACTTCGCAGAGTTGGTACCTATGCGTAGTCCTCGGACTTATTACTGGAAGAAGACGAGCTGGCAGAACGTCATGTAATTGGCCAATCTTCCGATCCCACCAAGAAACTAGTTTGGCTTGAAAGCAAAACATTATTTACCTGAGTAAGCAAATGGTCAACCACAGTGGTCCTCCTATTTGTGTCGTATTGGGGTGTGAGCACCAGTAAGCGCCAACGGATAAGGCAACCTCTAAGTCGTTGCTTTTCCTTCATCATACCACTCACCAAGTAGTCTTGACCCCACTGTGCCTAACAATAGCGGCGTTGTTCGCGTTGTTCGCGTTGTTCGCGTTATGGGAAGTGGATATCAGCCAAACGGAGCGGCTGGGTCGCTGTGGCCGCAACTTGGCGACCGCGTGCAGCCCCCTCTCGCGTTGTGTACAGCAGCCTGCAGGGACGTCCGCCTGCCTGCGTATGGAGGGTTATCAACCACAAAATGGCAAGTCTGCACGCCCTTCCCACCCCTGGCGTGGTTTGGTCGACGGATACGCATCCTTTGCGCACTTTGCGCGGAAGAACAAGTGACGATTGGACACTAGTTGTATATAGCGCCCAGTCATAGAAAGTGTCGTCTCTTGTCGCCATGGCGCCTGGCATCCATGTCGATGTAACTGCTAGTCGAGGTTTTACAGCACCAACAAGCCAATCAAATAATCAACAGGCTAGGTGCAAATAACTATTTCGCGGCGGAGTCTTGGTTGCGTCGTAATCCAGCGTATCGTATACTTGAACGGCTCTTCTAGTATAAACATGCTATGCACTATAAGGGACAACCAAAGTGTCGGCCTGGGACGCCGATGGGGAAGGGGGAGGCGCTACTGTACTTTTCCTGTGCCGCTTGTGGCCCTTCCAACAGCCAGGCCTGATACAACAGGTGCTTTTCCAAAGGCGCCATGCCAAGCAGATCAGCGGCCGCATTAAACGACCCCTCGACTCCGTCCTCTGTCCTTTTGAAACAAAGATACACTCATTCGTCGCGGAACTCTGGTTGACCAACGAACGACAGGGCGCCTTTTCTGATAAGGAGCCTCTCACAGTGAAGCATGGCCGATTCTCATCTTTCATCACACGAAGAGTGCTCGAGCAGCCTTGCGGATCATCCGATTGGATACCGATGGCTGAAGCGGGCTACGCCAGTCCTGTATGTTCGTCACATTGTATTTGGTCCTTTAATACATCTGCTGGTCAAGCGGCCCAGCTACATCCCTATCCTAACAGAGAACGACCGAAAAGCCGACAGTCTGGGCAGGTAGTAGTCACACAGGTCAGCGTTCCGTTCTCAAGCAATGAGTTGCGCCGTTTCTTCGTCCATTCAGCCCTCCTCAGAGTCCTATTAATGGTAGAGGTAATGCCGCAGGCATCAAACTCGTCGAATAGTACAGCAAGGGTTTCTTGGTGTTAATCCATATGAACCAATGTTTCTTGTAGTACAGTAATAGGCAATGTCACAGGGCAAGAATCAGAATGTAATGTACAAATCAAGACACGGTTGGGTTGTTGGATACGATACTGGACTGCGGGGAAAGTCCCGCAGGGTTGATGAGTTGTGTACTTGCATGTTGCGGGCAGGTGCAGTCAGTGTACCCTCAAGCAACGAGGGATGCGGCGGGATTTCCCCCATCCACTTGCCTAATCAGAATTCTCCCTACGCGAGCGCCAACGTTGTTGGTTTCGGGGTTGTGCTCAGCGTATCCCAGCATGCAGCGCGTCGCTGGACAAGAAGATCCTTGTCTTCTTTCTGTCCCTCCGCAGCGCTCACCAGCAAATACAATTTCCAGGTGGTGACACGATCAAGATAGCTCCGAAAGTGTGGCAGGCGCTGTGTTTCATTCTGCGGTACGGTCTGTTGCCATCGTCCATCGGCCGCGCGTCCAGTGTATTGTTGTATGCACCGTTGCCGTTTATGAGAAGCAGTACGAGAAGCGGTACATTTTTCTCAATGTCGTTCTGTAATCTCTCCACATATCGACATCCCAATAGAGGAGTAGGATGCCTTGTCATGCGGGAGGCCGTCCGTCTGAGTTGACTGGCTGTCGTTACGACCACGTCAGAGTATTCACCAATCTCAGTACATGTCTTTCCTTTCCTTCTTCGCATAAATTTTGCCGCTACTTATGGCAAGCATTTGAATATTTGGCAACAAGGAGCCTTCATTACTGACGCAGCCACAAGTTCTTATCCCTACATTGTTTCCCACTCTTGGTTGCTTAGGTGCTAACGACGTATCTACCAACCGACAAGTCATTACTATGGAGACTGAAAGTTTGACTTCTGTTCACGGTGACATTGCCGAGGGGACCCTGCTCTCAGTCGATCAAGAACTCCCTATAGCTGATGGGGTCATTATCCAATTCCTCATGCAACGGGTGCCGGAATTTCGCAAGTTGCAGGAGCTTCGCAAACAAGTAAATATCATGATCAAAAGACAGGCTGATTTGACTCTGATCTTAGTGAAATTTATGTAGGGATGGAACAACCCTCAAGGCGATCAGTATTTTCGCCAGCAGCGCGATAGAGCCGACAAGGCCAATGCAAGGACTGCCAGATTCTTCTACAACATGATGCAGCGGATCGGACAAGAGGTTCACAGCGCCGTGGGAGCCTTTGCAATTCAGGACAGCAACCTATCGCGACCGATGGTTCTCGACATGTGCGCGGCCCCTGGAGGATTCCTTCACACAGCTCTCGAGTTGAACCCGAAAGCTCAGGCGGTGGCGTTCAGTTTGCCTGTCGAATCTGGAGGACACAAAATTCTTATTCCAAACAGCAAGAGGTTCCAGTTGAAGTTCTTGGATATAACGATGCTTGCGGCAGATATGGGATTGGTGGATGTACCCGTTGAACACCCAGATCACAGCAGTTTCTTGCCGCAACAGCTGAAGCCAGGCGATCTATTTGACCTGGTGATTTGTGACGGCCAGGTCCTCCGAACCCATGCCCGCAAACAATACCGGGAAAATCGTGAGGCTTATCGGCTGACAGTGACGCAACTGTGTCTTGGTCTCGAACATGCAAGACCAGGTAGCACAATGATTGTATTATTACACAAACTTGAGGCCTGGGACACAGTCTTACTTCTGAACACATTCAGAGAATTCGCCACTGTAGGGCTGTTCAAGCCGAAAACCAGTCATGCTAAGCGCTCGTCGTTCTACATGATCGCTAGGAACATTCAAAGTCAAGGACCCGCGGCCGCTCATGCGATTGCGAAGTGGAAATCAATATGGAAGGCGGCGACTTGCGAAACCAATGAGGAGTTTGTGAAAGTTTTGCGCGGAGGCGAACCCAGTGTCAAGGAGGTGCTTGACGAGTTTGGCTTAGAGCTCATCGTTTTGGGAAAAGACGTTTGGGCCACTCAGGTCAGAGCCCTTGAAAAAGCTCCTTTCATTAAGCAACGATCGTAGCGATAGCCGTTGGTTATTGCCTCAGACTCTTTCCAATGTCACACACAGACAAATACACGCCTGCAGACCTTTACTACGTCTGACAGCAAATCCGAAAAGGCAACTACAACGGATTATGATTGATTCACAACCTCGCACGTTGTTCTTTTCCAAGGAAGATTATCATAAAACTGCCGGATATGCTTCCCTGGTAGTGCCGCACCAACTTTCTTTGATAAACTTCCCACGATCGAACTCGACGCCGAGCGGGACTGCAAGAAATGGGGTGCACACCATTTGTGTCTGAGCCGTACAGGAGCCATGAATCCGGTAGTCGGCCTTAGAGCATTTAGCCGGTTATTGGGAGCAGATCATTACGAAGCTTCACGTGTTTACGTACACAACGCAATAGCACGTTGCGATACTCATCATCAATTCATAAACTCTCTTCACCGCATAATATCCCAACGAAGCACAGGCATATCTTTCCGATATTACGTTCACCATGCGGTCAGATAGCGCATAGATTTTCCTAGCAACTCCTCACAAAGCTGTTGCAGTAGGACCTTTTCTCACTTTGGGATTGGAGAAGCGTCGTTGGGGAGGCAAACCACCGAGGACGGAATACTGTCGACACTTCTTTGCATATGATAAACGACCTGGCGGGTTTAGGTCTATTTTCCCATTGGCTAATGCGCGTCATCGGGTCCTAGATAAAAGCTCTCCGACCGCCGCATATCCACCTTGTTCTGCCCATGAAAGCCCCGTCCGACCACTAGGGTTCATCATTTCAATCCCTAACCATCCCTGTGTTTATGAGCAACTCTACCACGGCCTCGTTTCCCACATTCAGCTGCCCACAAGAGCAGTGTACGGCCGTCCTTGTCTCTAGAATCTGCGTCCACTCTACAATCAAGTAGCAGACTCAAAACGTCATGTCCGTTCTGAGCTGCCCATGAGATCGGACTTCTGAGGCGACCGTCACTTGCGTCGATATCGACTCCTGCATCAAGTTGAAGATGGACCACCGCTACATGACCCTCTCCAACAGCCCAAGAAAATGCAGTCCGTCCATCCGTGTCTTTCAAATCGATGCCAGTGTCTGTTATACCAAGAAAGAGCTTGACTATATGATCGTGGTCGTTACAAGCTGCCCATGAGAAAGCAATCCCTTCACTGCGGTCTGCCTTGGCAATATTGACTTTCCCCGTCTTGAGCAGCCAATCGCAATGCTGGCGGGGCCATTTTGGACTTACCATATAAGCGGAGTCCAGCCGAATTCATCCGGTAAATCAATGCCTGAATCGAAATGTGCAGCTGCTGCGTCGAGGAAACTATGTGCAACACCACCATGGCCAGACCCAACGGCCCAGGAAAGTGGCGTCCTATCATCTATGTCTTTGGACAAAATATCCACCCGTTTCGTACCGAGCAGCAACTTGATGACCGTGTCGCAGCCATTCCCTGCTGCCCATGATAGAGGGGTTCGGCCCCTTTTGTGTGGGGCATCAATGTTGATTTCGCCTGCTTCGAGAAGTAGTTTGAGAAAATTATCATGCACCATCTCAGCCGCTCGCGAGAATGGTGTTCGTCCTCTTCTATCCCTCCGATCAAGCTCAAATTTTCCCTTACGGAGAAGGAGTTTCACCGGCTCAACGTGTTCGTTGGCGGCCGCCCAAGACAGTGGTGTTCGGCCGACATGATCAGCCGAATCCACATCGGCAACACCATGGTTGATGAGTAGTTGAGCGATCTCGCTGTAGCCCTGGCCTATGGCCCGAGAATGCTGTCCTACCGCATCCAGCTTCCGCTTCGATATCGATGCTTGCCTGTGTTGAGTAATAGCTCGACCGTGGTTTTGTGTCCCCCTATGACAGTCCAAAATAGCGGAGTACGGCCAAGGCGATCGGAGTCATGGATGTTGATTCCTCTATCTACTAGCAGCTTAACAATGGCGTCGTGCCCGTGCTTGGCAGCCCAGGACAGCAGAGTCCGGAGTTGAGTTTAGGGGGCTTCGGCCGGCTCTCCAAGAGATATGAGTTTATGACTGTGCTGCTCAATCCGAAATATGACGCGAGATGAAGCCCCGTGACATTGCCAGCAACACGCTGAGAATATCCGCGCCAGGGGCGTGCTCTCTCAATCAGTAGTGCCTGGCCACAAGCAAGGACTTTTTTCTCGCTTCGTAGAAAATTGATGATCGCTTCGTCTTCCTCCATCAAGCCTTTCTGAACGTGCTGACCCCAGTATCTCGCTGCCATAATCATAGAAAGGGTACCTTTTTACCCTCGCCTCAAAGTCCTCGTCGCTCTGGCAGGAGCCGTCGTTGAACGCGACCAACGACAAGTATGCCGCGCAGACTTTGCCGATCTTTCCTACAGCGTCGAAAAAGCAATTCAGATGTCTCAAGTACTCCAGCAATGAGGGTTGGACAAGTTGAATAGCGTTGCCTTTTTCATTCAATGATATAAATCCCTCGCAGGCCGAGATCATGCTGGCAACAGCCGGAATATTGTCGGGGTCGATTTCAGTCATAGCGTCCAGCTCCACGGCGATGGCATGCTATGCTGGAGCTCCTCTGCTGACAGTGGCCCTCTGGCAAAGGCAATGATTCTCAAGGCATCCTTAGCAAGTTGTTCCGAAGGCGACTCGTTGATTCTGTTGATGATCCCGTCGAACGCCTCTGTAGTGGCGTCTGGTCCCGTTGGAAGCTCTTTCAGCATATTTGGAGTGGGCTGGCGTGACACCCGACTCGGATCATTGCTATGGTGTTGTGATATCACTATGAGAGTCACGAAAGATAGGACGGAGCACGCCGTCACTCCGTCGCTGCTCTTCAACGTGGTCGGGCACTGAGCCGACCGTGGTGAGAGGGCGCCCATTTGCGTGCTAGGCATCCCGTCGCTTCAAGCGATACGCCGAGCGAGTTGGCCAGACGTATTGGCGGCAGCCATGGCCCAATCGGGACGATGTACGCGCGCGCCCTGCGTGCAATATATCGGCACACACCCCCATTCCGGTCCTGAGATCCGCCCTAGGGAAAAACGTGCGCGGCATTGACTAGAAGGTGACTCGTCAACGACTCCTGGGCGGGCCGGACCGACACTGCCGGCTGGTTCGTTTGCTGCTTAGGACAGGTTGCTTTCGTCACTAGACCAATGTAACAGGCGTTGAAGGGAACGCTGCAAGGGAGAAAAAGAAGGCTTGAATGACTGTGAGGCGAACAGACCGTTCAGAACGAAGCTACGACAAGGTTTCGATGGCGACCAGACTGAAAATCGCAGAGAAAGAGGGAGGTAGATGGCAGCCTGTGGATCCAAGGAATTTGATCGACCGCCACAACAGCGCGTACGGGTGTGACAAGCAATTGTCAAGTGCCAAGCTGTGCGGCGCTTAGCTACTGGGGTTGAGACGGACCATCATTAGCATCCTAGGACGACAGGCCAGCTTGCGGCCAGGCGCACGACTGTGCAATCTACGTGGCCACTATGTGTATAGTGATCAGGCTTGAAGTGCACAGTGCCCACTGGCGGCGACCGAATGCGGACTGTAAGCCACGTCACCGACAGCTCCAACGACACCTGCGTGGAGGAGCCCATGGGTTCTCTGTTGGGGCGACGCTGGACCCCGGCCACGGCTCAGGAGGTCAATGCACACAACGCGCTTTCCCCTGCGACAGACGACCAGGATGCCTTGCTGGACCCGGCCTCTCTACGCGCCCACCAGCGGAGGCTGTGTCGCCCGCTGACGGCTGCGGCTCTCACAGTCTGGTCATGCCAGGCAAAGCTGGCCGGGCCTTGGACCGGACGCGAGTCGCCTCCTGCATTTAGTATTAACGTCTCCAACCGACCATAGGCGCTTCTTCAGACGTCAGCCGGCAGCTGTATCTGCATGGCAACAGGAGTCGCATTAGTACCGTCCGCGCGCCTGTCTGTTGTTGCCGTAAGCCATCCCTTCACATTCACTTCAAGACCGGACCAAAGCACCTACAACAGGGCCCGGTATGTTTGCCCCGAGATTCATCGTACGTTCATCGAAGTAGCGTCGTACAGTGGCTGACTTCAGGAAGGCTCAGCATGATTATCACCAGGGACCTCTACGGGCTCATCCCTAATCTCGCAGATTGGATGAAAATGATGTCATCGAAGGGCCACACTGTCATTCTCTTGGGCAAAGACTTACTCCATCTGGCCGACAGCTCTTTCAACGACTCCTTGGACAATAGGGTGACCCTTAAGCTGTGGTTGGCTGTTGTTGCGAAAGATATCGGCATAGAGGACAAAGCCGGTGGCTACAGTTGTCGCATGTTGATAGGGGATGATGTGGTGCAGTATTGCTCGAAGCAGGATTTAACGGAAGCCCATATCAAGGGACAACTTCAAGGTCACGTTGGAGGTCGCTTGGTCCCGCTCCCAGGTGCCTACGAGAATAATCGCTGTCCGCAATGGTTCAAGGTCGACGGAGGGCCCAACATCGACCTGGTCTGGACCAGAGGATACGATACCGAAGAAGGCGCCGATGTATACCTGTGCCCGGTCGCATTCGAGGGGCGATGCCCTCAGGAAGTGGAGGGCTTCAAGATGTCCTGTGACCCGCTCACCCCGGGCTGGGTCAAGGGGGAGCCAAAGCACCCGCAGGACTTGCCCTGCTCGATTCCCTTCGTCTTCGTTGAACCGGACGCGAACGGTCAATCGAAGGAGGCTAGTATACTCCGATCTCAGCGAAGGACGTTTCAGAGCCGAAGCAAAATTCATTTGATCCTGAACGTCGCTTGTGGGAGGGGCCTCGAAGCGGAAGTAGTCATCGGCGGAGAGCCCTGGATATCCTTGGACAGCATCGTCTATGATGGCTGAGGTCAGTAGATATGGCTCAGGGGAGGATAATATCGGGTTTTCGTGGGTGGTCGAAGAAGCACCTTGGTTCAACATGGAACCGACTTCTCTCGATCCGCTGGGAAAAGACCGGCAATCCATGAGGGCACTGAAGGATGTTGTCACTTAGTAACAAGAAAGAGGAGTCTCAGACGAACAGCCGTGACATTGTTTATAATAAATGTAGTTCAGCCACGACTGGGCCTTGCTTTCATGGCCCACCCTAGTGGGACTCTGTTCGTTCTGCTGCGTCTCATTCATTCTAGTGTCTCCAGCTCGTCCTCCAACCAGAGCCCCGATAGACCATTGGCCTAGCTTGTAAAAGGCCAGAATCTCTGCCCAGGGAGATCAAGATAGAACTGAGAGAAAGATGTTGCATATGCCAAAGCTAGGTGCATTCGGCGGGGTTAGAAAGCGCAATGCAAGGTCGGGACACATATCGCAAAGAAAGAGAATCTTAATGAGATGAACAACGTTCAGCTTTTATGAACTACTGACCGTTGTAGAAGTTAAGCTTTGTGTCTGTTCCATGTTTGAGTGTGATACTTGCGATGAACACCTAAAGGAAAATGGAGGGTTGGGGAATTTTCTTTATTGCTTGGACAGGTGGATGTAGCAATGGTAAATTATCATCGCGAGTTGCTCTGATAAGACGGGCAGCGTCGAGCAGTTACATAACTGGCGCGTATGCTTTCCTGGCAGCGCTGCATCGACCCTCTTGGAGAATCGCTCGACCTTGTCAGGCAGCACGCGCTCATGTGACACTTTTGAACGTGCTACGTTAATCGTTGTTGAGTTCATCATTGGAAACTGTACCTGAGGTGTGGCGCCGTCTTTAGTCGCTTCGCGCGCTTGTGACTTTGCTTGCTTAAGCAGTTTGTCTTCCTCACTTGCTGCCGTCCACTGTACTGCGATGATGTTGTTGTCCTTGCGAAGTTCCTCCACCGAATCGTACACGCTGCGAATGTACACCTGTCCAGACTGCTGATGTGTTACGACCCAAGATTGGTTAAGCGCCCAGAGTTAGCCAACACATAACGAAGGAAACCGAACGGGAAAAGAACCCGATTGATTGATCTTAATATATTAGGCAGATGTCCCTTCTGGCCGCAGTGGAAAGATGCAGAAAGTTCTGCAGCCGAGTCTGTAAAGCTGTGGATGGATCGCCTAGGGAATGAGCACCCCTCCACGCTGACGAGCATGGCCAACCTAGCGGCGACATATAGGAACCAGGGGCGATGGAAGGAGGCCGAGGAGCTAGAGGTGCAGGTGATGGAGACGTTTAAGAGGGTGCTTGGAGAGGAGCACCCCGACACGCTGACGAGCATGGCCAACTTAGCATACATTTGGAAAGAAGAGAGACGACAAGGCGATGCAGTTCATCTTATGGAGGATTGCGCACGTCGCAGACAGCAAAGCCTCGGTGTAGAACACCCGGATACGATTTCTTCTATCTCAGCCCTCACAGTTTGGAGAGACCAACTGGAAAGAACTTGTTCCCAGCCTCTACGACGGAGCAACAGTACTAGTAGGAAAAGGTCTATTTACTTGTGTATACCATGTTTTAAATAGCAGGCACCGCCATACTTGTATCTATGGATGGAAAAGTGCTGACGCTGATACTTCTTAACTGGTAGTGTGTATTTGTTCTAGACTCTAGGACATGTCTCTCCGATTATGACAGTATATGCTTCACTTATGGCGGTCTTAACGATCTACCCCCAAAGCCCGTAGATGCACTTCCACTCGCATTCTAACCAAAGTAGCGATATTACTTGACGCCTGCTTAGGATAGTGTGCGGGTTATCCGCTCTTCATTGGCCTACCTGTAATAGACCCTTCACTGTAGTGTTGGCCATGGCACAAACTAGGAAGGACACGTGAGAAGGCGTTCATCCTGGGTCTTCATTTTAGATCAAGCAAATTCAAATGATTATCATCTCCGTTTACTGCAGGTCGCGTACCATTGCATTCTTCACTTCTCACCGCTCTCAACGGGACGTATACCGATGAGATTCGGGCTGTCTCTATCATAGAATCTACCGAACGCCTCTTTTAGATTTGCGTCCTCCAAGCAATCAAAATTCACTCCAGCATGTTGCCACAGCTGCGACACCACGATAACTCCAGTTCTACCCATGAAGTGCATTACAGGCGCACCCGTACTATTGTTCATTTCGTTCTGGAATAATTCGGCCACCTCACGGCTCCTTGCTCGGTGCTTCCCTGGTTGGTGTGGAGTGGCCAACAGTGCTACGTCCAGACTGGTTAGCATTCTACCGACCCGCATTAAACTATAACAACCGCTCGGTCGTACTCACTTGTTGCCACCGTCGTCGCGACAGTGCAGATCAGCAAATAAACCACAACCCGAGATTCCTTAGATAGTGGCTCCAGCACCTTTGCGTCTCCACCTGTGTTGTATGCATCGATACACAGCGGTATGAACCACTTAGGCAGTCTATTCATCGCATCGTCCCATTCCTTACTCCCCTGATCTCCCTCCGACGTCGACTGGATCCAAGCAATCTCCCAGTTCAACTCCATGGCTAAAGCAGCCAGCATCCCAAGCCGCTCTACTGTAACCTCAATAGAAAGAAACTGAAGCAAACTTGGCGCAGTCGTTCCATCGCGTGATATCCTGTGACGTGGTGGCGAATTCCAGGTGAAGCCCCAGTCTTCGGGGTTTAGCAACCTGCCTTTGCTAAACGCAGCGTGTCCGTGTACATTGTTCATATTCAACACAACTTTGCTGCCAGCAAAGTAGAAACACGGTAACATGTATAAAAAAAAATTATAGAATTGTAAACCGCTTGAGGTTTCCCGTTCGGCTCGAGCCAGCGGCCCTCCGTCCTTAAGTAGGTTCTCACCCCAAAAGCGCCCTTGCCCTGCTTCCTGCATTACCAGGGCGGCAGATCGGGTCCAAAGTCATGGCGCGAAAGCCGCTCATCACAGCCGCTGGACTGGTCTTGGCAAAACGCACTTGACATAGCACCCCCAACTCAAGTATGGCTGCTGTGATGAACCCCAGTCAAGACTGGCACTATCATTGGCCAATGAACGGCAGGACGCGGCTTCTATCCCAGACCGCTCTCGATGACGCCATATCAGATCCTGCAGCAAATCAGGGCATTGTATGCTATCAACCCAACCACGGAGGGCGTTGCGACTCTGACAACCAAAGCCAGATCCAATCGCAAGGTTACTTCCGTCTCAAAACCAATGAAACACAAACGTTGGAGGGAACGCAGCAAGGAAGAAAAACAACGCTTGAATTAATTATTGTGAGGTGAACAGATCGTTCAGAACGGAGCCACATTAAGGTTTTGATGGTGACCAGTCTGAAAATCGCAGAGAAGAAGAGAGGCTGCGTCGATGGCAGTCTGTCTATACAAAACTGTCGATATAGCAGGACAATTAATCTACTCTGGTCGACCCCATTCTGCTGGAAGTTGGGCAACAACAGCGCGTATGGGTGCGACAGGTCGTTGTCGAGTGCCAAGGAGTGCGGCGCTTAACTACTGGGGTTGAGACGAACCATCCATCATTGGCATCCTGGGACGAACGCTTGTGAGCGGCCGTGCGCTGGGCGAGGACTGGAATCGCAACAGGCCAACTTGCAGCCAGGCGCATCGCTGTGCACACAATCCAACCCTGAGCGATACGCTCGTCGGACGAAATGGCGCTACCCTACAGGCAGATAACTGCTACCAGGGTCGCCAGGAATGTGTGTCCGTTCCGGCATGCACACCAGGTGATGGCGCAACATGACCGTCCGCAGAGTACCGAAGTGCAGAGTGCTCATCGGCGGCGACCGAACGCAGGTCGGAGGTCACAAACAGCTCCAGCGACACGCGCGTGGAGAATCCCATGGGTTCTCTGTTCGGGCGACACTAGGCCCAGGAAGTCAACGTACACAAGGCGCTTTCCCTGCGGCAGACGAACCAGGATGCCTCGCTGGACCCGGCCTCTCTACGCACCCGCCAACGCATTCAACTACACGCCCAAGAGGCTGTGTCGCTGCGCCTGCTGACGGCTGCGGCCCTCACAGTTTGGTCATGTGAGGCAAAGCTGGCCAGGCCTTGGACTGGACGCAGCAGTCGCCGCCCACACGCCTGTGCGACACCTTCTCCTGTAAAAACTTCTTCTTGGCAACCAGTGTTAAGATTTGTTAGGTTTTTGCAGGGCTTCGGCCCGCCTGTCGATCGGAGCCGGACTGCGTCGAAAACGAAGGACACAATCGGAGTAAAGCGACGAGGACGAAACGACGCGACGCAATCGGATCCACGCAAAGAACGACGAAGCATATTGGTTAGTAGGAGGGATACGCCGTGTCGCTTGGCTGATAGTAGCCAATGGACAAAAAATGGGTCTCTCTTTCGAGAAGACGATGCGAAGATAATGGGGAAGTCATCAATATGCTTCTTCTCTTCTCGAGTTGGGCTTGGCCTGCTCTTTTCTCCGTGGCCCGGTAACGACAAAAAGACCCAAGTCGCCCTGACTCACCCAGTACTAGAATCCCTTCAGGAGGTACCCTTGTTCGATAGCCGTACATTCAATTTAGCGAAACGCCTGTACACCAGACTGCTTTGTTGGGTTGGGTCCATATGTGAGACAGGTCAGATTGACACACCCTACCGCTTCCTGGATCATCAATATATGGTGTGGTGCGAGGAGACTAGGAGTTCTGCGATTAACATCAATAAGGCCTTGTGGACTGCAATGAGAACTATGAATCTTGAACCCGTGCGACCAGATCAATGCTAGTATTATTTTTGCCCCCTGAATCTCAATGAATATAAAGATGATGAACCTACCGTCAGCAATCTGGCTGCAAGCCTAAACTAAGTGAGACAGGTGAGACTCTTCGCCGCATATTCGACTAGGGGAGCTTGAAGGTTAAGGAGCCATATGCAACTGACCGGACCCCCTCATTGTAGTTCACCGAGAATACCACCCAAGAGAATGCCAACATGCCACCGGTTTTGTTGGCTACGACTGGCGAGGTCGTCCACACGAAAATAAAGCTCCTGATGAGACCAGTGCTACCGTTGGGCGTCAATGATGCTCAGGAGCAGATCAGGGAGGATTTTCGGCCAAAGCCGCATGGTCGCGTTTCACGGGAAGATGCTAATTGGCAACAGACCGCACCACCGTGCCGTACTATGTCAAATGTCGAACGAGTCTTTTCCATATTACAGCACACATTGACATATCTTCAGCTGACAGCTTGCTCAAACACCAAACTGTATCTGTTCCTGGTGCACCACCAAAAACCACAAGGCTTTGATCATTGACTTCACCAAAGCCGCGTTACCGGTTAAGTGGCTTGGCATCAGAGAAAGAGCACAGGGCCAGCCCACTCGGCAGCTGAGATATGCCGAGCAGGTGACGAAACTCAATGCCTGGGCGGTCGTTGTGTAGGAGTGGGAGCAAATGGTGTTCGGCAAACCTCTTCGCCGCCTCGTCCCCAGCTGTGTCGTTTTCGACGATGAAACTGGAACGGTGATGCGTGACGTCTGGGTTTGATCTTCTAGTGCCGCTGTTGTTGCCGTCTGTATTGCCAGCAACATTGTCGTTGCCGCTTTGCCATCCTTCAGTCTAAGTTGCATTTGAGACCGGCCATACGCGACCGGTTCGATCCGAAGGCTTTACTCGCTAGTACGGCATCCCTGGGGTCCGGCTCTGGGTACGCGCCGTAAGTTCCGTAACGCTGATGACAATGCCAAAATTGGGCTCCGCACCTTTCATCGCCCACAGCAGATTGCTTTCGTTGTCGGGGCGCACGCCAGCGGCTAGATGGTGTTGGCGTGGTAAAGTGCGCGACCGACACAGTACCTAGCCAGACTCGAAACTGACTATTACGGCGCCGACGACAGCGTCGCATGCCAGCCAGTGAAGCCTCGCCAGATGTCCGATGCCGCCTTGTTGCCATAGTCTGGCCCCTGCTCGAGGCACTGCACACCCGCCGTCACGGACTCTTGGACGGCCCGTCGTACAGCCGGCGCCGGCGATGACCACGCAATCTGAGCTGGATCCCGGTTCGCCTACGTCTTCTTCTGTCGTGAAAATGCGGATCTGATTAAAAGCACCCATATCAACTGCGACTTGTCATTTCTTCATCGTGTTTGGTCAAGATGCCGAAGCTGTTGTTGGCATTGGGTTACCTCAGTCTTTTCCAGCACGCTGTGCATGCTGTCACAACCAGCTTTTGGCTAGTGGCTCAATCTCGGCGCATATACTAGGTTACGTGGTAAGGCTGCATGTAATTACTATGTTTTAACTGCAAGCCACGCGGAACAGGAAGTGGCCACTTTCCATGGGCTTGCGGGAACTGCGCTGGAAGCCGGACGGACGGCTGTGCTTGCAGTACATAGACATGCTACGCCCGTAAGGTCGTTGATAAAACGATGCAGCTTCCTTTTGCATCAGTGATGCCCACGCGTTCGGCCTCCTGCAGCTTCATCGTATCATCTTGTAGGAAACTTGCGTATGAGCTAGCGGCGAAACAGTTAAGTAGTCGGGTGATTGGAGGAAAATCCCGCCGCTTCCTGCAGTTGTTGGGGGTGCTGACTGCCCCTACTCTCCCCGCTATCCAGGGGCCAGGGATTGAGGTCATAACATCAGTACTCCATTGTACGTACGTGTTGGAGCAGAGCAAAGCAATCACACAGGCTCTGACTAGACTAGACCCTTGACCATGAAATTACCATAGGCTACTCGAAGTACCCGCTCCGCACATCGCCTTAGACTGCACGGTGTTGCAGGGGCACTTCACTTGCCTGTAGGCAATCTGTCGCGGCGGGATTAGTCCAGGCAGAAGAAGGTACTGTCCTTTTCCTGTGTCCCAGACACTACCCTCGGAAGTTTCGAGACCGGCAAGAATCTCCCGAGCAAAGAAAACCACGGCTCTACAATCGGCGTATTTACCCCACCCACCCATCACGGATCATCAAATCTTGTGCCCTGATTGAGACACAGCTCAACTGCAAACTTGCCCAAAGTTTGGTTCGATCCTGAATCAATCGGCCTATTTCGCTCTACGACTTCCATCGTCATTTGCCATGTAACTGGAAGTGGTGCCGCCGCTGCCCGGCTTATGCCTGCAAAGCCCTCCGCGCCCTGGGCACGTAGTGTCAATTTGGACCAACCTTTCATGAGCCATAGTTGCTCAGTCAATGTCTTGAATTGCCTGAACTAAACATGAGGCAATAAGAGGATACACAATATCACTGTCGGGGTCCATGAATCAACTTTCGTTGCGTCACTAGCTTTGTCACCAGCTTTGGTTCACGGCAACGCGAAGAACTTGCAAACGCATCACAAACACGCGCACTTCAATGGTGTCTTTAGATTTGCCGCTTGTCTGCTACTGCTAGTTCTGTCAACATTGAATGTTTTGGAGCCGATTACCGTTCACGACGATCCTGAAAATGCTTTTCCAACTTTCCACGCAACCCAAATCAGATTGAACTATTGTAAGGCTCTCAAATAATCAGGAATCCTCGACCGCTTGAGTCGGCCCAAACTTCTCTTGCACCTTCTGCCGAATACGACTTTCGAGATGAGCCCCAACGGCGTTGGCTGGTTCGTACCATGACAAAAACGTATCACCTTTACTCCCAGCCCAGTCAACCAAATCAAAGGCATTGTGAAAACGACCGTCCCCAAACGCAAGCTTGAATAGACGTCTACGGTAGGCAGGACAACGGCGCTCGTCTGCTTTGTACAGCCGTAGTATCTTGACCACATCCCCCGTATCATCCGCCGTATGCGGAACTTCAATTGCCTGCCACAGAGCTGTCTGTCCCGTATCAGGGTTCACAACATCCCATGCCGTAGGCTGAGCCTCCAGTAATTCTCGGGTTGCTGCGGCTGAATTGTGCAATATGGGCCAAAAGATACTTTGGCCAATTTTTGCTCCCGCTTGAATAAGCTGTGTTGCTACACGCCATTGCTGGTTTGCTTCGGCGAGGAACAGCGGCGTATAACTCCACGATAAACGCTCCCCCATGCCATAACGTGAGTAGTAGAGGATCTCGCTGTCTTTCTCTGCACCGCTTTTAATTAAGAGTCGAACCATATCATCAAGGCCGAAAGATGCAGCTAGATGGAGGAGTGAATAGCTGGCCTGAATAGATTCTTTGCTAGGCTTGCCGCTATAGTCGACGGGTACTGTTGGTATTGTAATCTTATGCTGGAATTGTCGGTTTGTTTGGGCTTTGGAGAGTGGTACTTGTTCAATAAATGATAGGGCCTTCTGCAGTTCTACCATGTTCACTTCGCTTGAGAAAGCATCGTCTCGCCAGGCGGAGTGAATCCATTCAACAGCGTAAAACATGCGTAAATGGTATAATGCGAGTTTATAGAATGGTTTGCATTTGACCACAAGTAAGTGAAGATCCCTCTTCTCGAGGTACTCAAAGATCATTGCACGGATCTCAGAAGGCAATTTCCAGAAAGACTCTACAGTCAGCTGAGGCTTGATCTTGGCCTCATGAGGCAGCTTTCGGGAAGACTTCATGGTCGGATGAGGCTTGCTCTTGAAAGAAAGCGAGGAATGGAGGCTGACTCTATCCACGCATAGATATCCCTGATGTAGGGAGCACCACATCATTTATGTCTCAACAGACCTGTCAAGTCTGTGCCTGTTCCGAATAATCTTGGCAGTGGCTGGCGTGGAGGGCTATGACTCTGGAGTTCTCGGTTGCCTCCAGTCCCACCTCAGGCTACGTACGGCTGGTCAACGAGCCACGATTGGTCAATCATCCACGGCTGGGCCACAACTTCGACCAGGGCACATGCCAACCCGCCCAGAAGCCACACGCAAGTTGGAGCACCAACAGGGCAAGCGGCAAGCTTCCGAGTTTCCGCAGTGATAGTTGGAGCACAATGGACATCTTGGCCTGCCCCAACGGTACGCCGCGGTGGCCCAGTCCCAGTGAGCAACCAAGGGCAACCCATGGTTACGGCGGCAAGGGTCCAGCCTGTTGTGACCTATCAGTGAGAGCATTGAACCAATCGCAGTCGATGCATCGTGGCTCAGGCTATCTCCCATGGCACCATTAAGAAGCGTAATGGAGGAACCAACAACGACTAAGGATCGTTCGTTGGAGGAACGACACATATGGAGACTTCCCAAAAGCGGAAGTAGCACCCCAACACGGGATGGAGCAATCAACGGTTGTTTGTAAGCAGACAGGCAAAATACTTCCCACAACAAAACTGGCTTTGATGTTTATGTTTTTCTCCCTTTGCTTTATCTAATAATACGAACCAAGTAGGTCAAAAGTCCTCTACACAAGACAAAACCGGACGGAGACGTCATGCTTAACCTCCGGATCCATGCGCTGCACCATTTGCTGTTTGGGATGAAATCAAGACAGTAAACATTCAAAGCGATATCCGCGTGCCAGCTTATGTCTGAACTCGAATGTCAACCGAGGTCGAGGCTTTTTCAGTCGCTGAGCAGGCCGTTATGGACAGTGAGCTTCTCGCTGTCGATCCAATGCCGTCAGCAGAGACCAGACCAGCAAAACCGACGACATTAAACGACGAGCATCATGTTGCCGAGGCCACTGATCATTCTCCAATCGGATTCCTTCTTTCTTCGTGACACTTAGTCTCGACCCTGCGGGCTTTCAGTGCCATTCTCAAAGGCCTCTGTGCGGAAGGCCCATGAAGCTGTTGAGACTACAGCAAGGATGTGGATCGATTCTTTCATAGCCTGCCTTCCTTGAGCCTGTAATCGAGATTTGATTTTATGGCTTCTAATCGCAGGCAGGAAATGTTTGGCTGTGTGATCAAGATTTACGAGATTTTCTTTCCTTGTTACGGAAAGGAACCGGGATTGACTCGGTTTTGTGTGACCTCAAGAAACCCTTGTAAGCTGTTTAACTACGGCATCTTTTTGCAGACTCATTTGTGATCAGGACAGACAAAGTATCCGAACAGAGCTAAAGACGAAATGGGCCAGAGAGAGTATATGTTCGTGAGTTTATACTCGATCGTTGCAGGCGCAACTGTGCAGTGCCGAACCGCAGTTAGTGGAAAATGAGTTGTTTCTATTGAAGTGTTTCAGCTGCGACAGACGTGATGAGAATATGACGATCCAGCAACTGAAACGGGCTACCGAGCGCCACAACAAAACCTATGAAACATCATTCTTCTGCCGCTGGTTCCAATGCTTTCGTCTCTTGTGACGCAGCACATAGTCTTTTCTTGCTAACATCATGCCACAGATATCACATTCACTAGCGACGCGAGGATACTGCATCTGTGTCGCCCAGTTTCTGTGCACTTTCCAGACATGCCTTCTCTTTTCCTTTTCCTCTCGGAAGCTCGATACACAATCATTCTTGGGACACTTTCTGTGCTGCAATATGTGGTCCCTGCGGAAAGCGTGAGCCTAATTTTCGCTCGACCAACGATTGCAAAATATCCGCAAGAAAGTCAAACTTACAAGCCAGGATCGATATAAGAACAGTCTTTCCAGCGACAGCGGTTGCCTCTTTTGGCTTCTTTTTCTGATGAAGATGTTACATTTGAAGCAGGATGACCAGTGACTTGTGAAAAACTGAGGCTTTCTCCGGGCCACAAGAGCTGTGGACCCACACCCGAATTCTCTCCCAGAGCAGCATCGCCTTCCTCTCCCAAACCGCCCATCACCGTCAAATTCGCATTCTCACTGCAGACTGTCGTCTGTCGGTGAAGCGATGACAGCTCACCAACATCTCAAAAACATTGGGAGGGTGACAGGGGCCTAGGGTTGGCAAACGGGGTTGCTGAGAGATAGAAAGATAATTCGGCCGTAAGATCATCTTCTGTGTGACGGGTTGTCAATGGACCTGGATGATCTGAATTCGATGAGTTCAGGACGTTCTCGTGGCATGGCGAGTCGAGTCTGATTGATAACTCGTCGTCGTTCCATGACAGAAGGGGATCATTCGCCCCGACACGAAATGCTGTAGTGTGCATGATGGCCTTGCCAGTGAGGGCAATAAAGAATGACACCCGACGGCTTGGTTGGAAAAATTATCAGCAGTCACTCTGTGGGTTTTATAGGAGCTGAGATTTACCCCTCACCTAACCGTGCTCATCTTATTTGGTTGTGAAACTTAGGATCCCACCCGAAGTTTCTTTTTCATAAACGCCGATACCTACCGTTACCTTTTCGTGCAGAATGACCGCTGTTTAATCCTATGCCGCATACGTAATCTTGACCGCCACCAGTTCTCTTCCTCATCAGTGATTCGTAAGTCGCCCTGACCAATCAATCATTCCGGCCCCCCGCATGTTGCTCTGCCCACCGCCAGACGCATCATCGAAAACAATGATACGGGGCTCCAAAATCTGAGATAGAGAGTATGTTATATATGTTCATCCTATCATGTCGATAATGAGTAGATTGCAGGCTGCATCATCACCCGCTTCGATATGGCTTCTGAGATCGCGCCCACTGGTGACAGACAACGGGAGGATGACAAACTCGATATGGTTACGCTCACTAGCAATCTTACCATTCAGCAAGAACCGATTCTTGCGGGGAATTATTCAACCGACCGCAGTGGTGCGTCCATAGACAACTCAGGAAAGGCTCAGGAGCGATTTGTTCTCATAACTGCCTTGCTTAACCTCATTGATCCTGTGCGCGGTGAACCGACGGCTCATAGTCTCGACAGGCACCCGCACGACGACTCTTGGAAGCCTACTCATCACCAGAAAAAGTTTCTTGACTCGTTTGCCTTGATCTCTTCGACATCCAGAAAGGGGAGTGACACTGCCTCTGCCGCGTGCTTGGAGCAGGGTAACCCAGGCGGGACGATCCTTCGTCTTGCCCGGAATATGGGCGTTCCCAATACCCTGATCGATCAGCTTCATGATATCCTTGAGGATCTCATTGTGGTTTCTAAGAGGGGTTCGTTTTTTCCAACATGAATATGAGAACCGAGACGCGGACATTTCGGATTATAGAAAGAAAACCGCAGGAAATGGAACCAGTCATTTTGAGAAAGGTCACCGCTCTGGTTGAAGACAAAATTCGCGGACTCTTGGAGAAGATTTGCTCTTCGGAAGTTCACGCTATCATTGGAGATGTGATCACTAAATTGAAGCAATTACCTGCAGATGATGCAGAAGCAGAGAGCTTCAGGTTATGGGTCGGAAACCTATCTTTACTGGCAGCTTCAGATGCCGGTCTAGACCTTGAACATCTCATCATATACGTGAAATGGGCATCACGCGGCAGATGGACCTATTCAGAACAGCTTGAAGAAGCCTTTGGGTCAGAAGATGGATCCCTGCCTTTGTGGTTGAAGCACGTCTATAAGCTCGGGCGATACTATGCTGCAACGAAAGCGATGCTGAAACTGGCTGTAAAACAACCAGGCGTATTCACTGGCATACATATCAAGGCCGTCGAGGCGCCTAGGCAGGAGAATTTCGCGCTGGGCAACCGGAGAGAGCCTCTCCTGATGGTTCTGCGGAATATTACCAAAACTGACCCGATCGAATTGAGAGAGAAACTGGGCCAAATCTGGCTAACGAGTGATCCCGAGAACAAATTTCTGCGAGCTTGTACTTTGAAACTCACAGTTCATGCCGAAATGCAGCTTCTCAATTTCTATGACCGAAATCCTAACCTTACGCCGAGGCTCTTGTTTATGGGGACAAGCAAGAAATCTTGTTATCTGTGCCACGAATTCATTTTACGTCATCCCTTGAGCATCGGCGTATCGGCTTGCCACCAAAAGGTCTACCCAAGCTGGGCTCCTGCTCCATGCCGTTCTGCTGTCCGAAAGAAGCAGAAGGTTCTACTTTGGAATCTCAGTAAACACCTTGAAGAAACGGCCGCCCGTGATCTTGAAACGAGGTTCGGAATCCGGCGATTGCCTACCATGGATTCGACTGCTGGGCCATCGCTCACAACCACAGGGACCCTTTCAACAGGGTTCTGGACTCAAAAGTCAGTTATGAGTGCAAGCACAGCAGAAGATCAAGACATCGGGACTTTGGGCAGAATGAATGACTGCTGCCCTCCGTGATCGCTGCCAGGTAGTAGCTAAGTAGCAGGCTGTTGGGAACAATTGGCAGTAGACTAACCCAGCCCCGAGCAATTGTGGGGCAGGCTAAATATGATCAAAGGTTGAATGATAAGCTCATTAGTTTGAATATAACTCTGGATTCGAAGTAATGATGTAGACCAACTTGACTGCATGGCGCGCCACAGGGGCTGATGGCGGCACGCCTTTGAACATGCATCGATCACTGTTGTCAAAGGCTGTGCGGGACATAGTGAAAAGGTCGTTCAGGTGGCCCAAGGTGAGCCGCATTCATCTCTGGCCTTCCTACTGTAGCCTCTAATGGATTAGGGGCGCTTACCTATCCGGGGGGCATCACTTTTTGGGCAGTGGTGCCTGGACTATTACCCCCTTTCCACCGTCCTCTCCTTATATCCTACTTGCAAACTGACTTCCCGCTGTGCTAGCCCGCCGACTCTTCCTGCCTCGTGACAACTGTGCTTGGGCTAAGGTTGTTGAAGCCTGATGCCACAACAGATTGAATCATCTCAGGCCCACCCCTGGGGCTGGATGAGAACCTAAGGCAGCCGACGTCAACATAACCTCTATGTGATGTCCTGTTTCCGCCCTCCAGGTCATCCGTAGTTGGGCGTCTACCGCGTCTATGTTGCACGCAGCAGACCTGGACAAGACTGCGACTCTGCGATATCGACATAAGCCGTCATCACCAACATGTACTGCGTTGTCTAGGGCAACCTTACATAACTGTTCATTCAGCGGCTGCAAATATGCCTGTTCCCCGTGAAGGTCCGGAACTTCGGAAGCTACTAGGCAATGGTAATCAACTGGAGAGCAATGCTCCACGACCCCGCCTCGGCCAGGTGGAGAACAACGCCGTCGACTTAGAACTGCAGCACAACTTTTTCACCACTATCTGGTACTTTTAAAACGCAAAAAGTAGCATCGTAACCGTAAAAACCAGCTCACAATACTACTTTTGGAACCAGGAACCTTTGCCTGCAACCTCCATCCTTTGTTGCGGTGCCTGCCAGTGATTCACTCTGGGAAGTCTCCCTTTATGTCGATCTTCCTAGCTTCCTTCGTGGCTGTCAATTCCAGCCGTCCCTCCTTCCCCATTCGCAATGCTCCACTACGCTTCTTAACGGCTCTGGAGCTACGGAGTGGGGCAAGTACAGTGTGCTCTGACTATCACTACGGAAACCCGGAAGTGTAGATACCACTGTCATGCCATTTGTCACGCAGCCAATAAGCCCACCACTTATGGGGTGAAAAAGATTATTGTATTGAAGATACTGTCTAGAAGTGTATGTGTTGATTATATAACCATTGATTCAGAAATTACCTATTCGGAGGTTTGCATGGGTAAAATGACGACCTCGTTAATTTTATACGGGAAACAATAGCCGGGGTTGATGTTAGATAAACGATATTAGTTTGATGCAATACACCTGGGGTTCATTGTGCAAAGAGTGATTCATGTTGTTGATTGAGCGATTCTCCCCATTCCGGTTGAAGCGGGGTTCTGTTTTGTATCTACCCGTTCTTCCCGGTTTCCGCATATTGCAAGAATGCAACTAAGCTAGATTTCCTGGCTTTTTATCCGGACGCAGGCGTCAATCTAATAGTTGGATGCATGCCCCGATGTATGCGATGGTCCGTGTGACAGAATGCCGTCGGAGACTCGGAGCAGTCTCGCTGGGTTCTGTGCCGACAGCATGCATAGAGCTTGCTAGACCACTTTGGTGCCGGGCTGAACTCTGTTTTTCCTCCCGGAGTTTTCTTTCCAAGGATTCAATCTTTTTTAAACAGTCCTTCAGGAACTACTCCCTTTCGGCGTCCCGTCGTAGGAGATCCTGGACGAGACTTGAAAGCTTGTTGATCTCGTCTTTAAGCTCACCATTATCCTGGTAGCTGACCTGCTCCATCACTCTGACCTTGGCGATCGGTTTCCGGACTCGCCCTGACCGTCGAGATGTACTGTGATCGATGGCCCTACATCTAGGGAGACCGCCATGATCGTGAGATTTGGCTCACGTGGGCTGATGATGGAAGATGCTAGTGCGATGGGCCGAAGCCTTCTATATTCTTAACAATTGCTAACAGTGGGTGCCTTGTATCGCGTCTGTGCGACGTTGACTTTGCGTGGGCGGTGGACGCTATTATCCAATCCCCCAGAACTCTCGCTGTGACTGGCCAGGTTTTAGTACCCCACTCCTTCCCCCCCTTTGCCATATGTGATGGTGATAAAATATCCACGTCCACTTTTCTCCTGCTCGCAGCAAGGCATTGACACAGAGTGACTTGGATAGACCACCGACAACTACGGTTGCCGAATCTTGCTGGCTAACTTGCACCCATCATCGGTACGTCAGACGGGCCCCATGGTAGTGCGCCCTGCACGGCCTGGCGCTAGCGCCCTAGACTGCTCAAAATGGCTGTTACATAGACTGACATCCATCTCGTTATCGGCAGCGGTCTTACTTAGAACGCCTTCGTGGGAAGTCTTCGTGGGAAGTGAACTGTGCAACCATCGCGCTCCTCATTTCCTCGTCGAATCTCTTACTAAATGCCGCCCTCCCCGCACAACGGAGCCTCCACACGGACGAGAACACCCTCTGTGAACTCTGTACTAGAACAGGCGGTGAGATCAAAAGATAGTTGGTTATTTCCTCAAGCTCCCGACGGTCAGCCCTAGATTCTGTTATATACTCTCGCTCCCCGCCCCACGCTAACGCCAGGTAGCGAGACATGGGAACACGAAGCCGTCTACGTTAGGCGTTGATGAATCTCGAAATCTATGTTTTGAAATACTCGAGTATGTTGGAAGCTTTGACGACCGACTCATTTGTCCCATTTGCAAATGCCATATGGTCGCACCTTTAGTTACGCCATGCCATCACGCTTTTTGCTACTCGTGCCTCCATCGTCACCTGGATTTAAGCAAAACATGCCCGATGGACAGAAGAAACCTCAGACAGCGCGATGTTAGACCATCAACCGAGTTATCTGACCTACTCGATAAGCTGGAAGTGCTTTGTCCTTATTCCGGCCAAGGATGCGAATCGAAATTCGAGAGGGCGCACCTAATGCAGCATATTGAAATATGCAAGTTTTCGCTCAACAAGTCAAATGCTCACTCAGGGCCAGACCAAGAGAAGGCTCAGCGGTGCAGGAGTGGATAGACAGACATGTTAGTTGACTGTTATCGCTTGACAAAATGATGCCACATCACGACCAGACGTGATTTTCTTTCTTCTTTTCTTTTTTGTGCAACACTGAGCATGAATAATCCAGAACGGCCAACACACTCACATGCCACTGCGCGAAAAGAGAGTCAACTGCCCACCACGGAAAAAGTGTGAATTTTGGATCGACAGCCTCTATTTTCGTCAGTAGTAGAGCAAAACGCAGACGTTGTGCGAGGCCTGATCGCCGTTGAGACGGGTACAGACATCCGCACGAAGGACAGCATGTCTCTCACTGTGGAATGTGACGGATGCTCACTTTCCAAGATTAACGTCAGATAAGCTGCGAACCACGAAGCGTAGGCTATGGTCCTGGTGAGAGATCAGCGAACGACTTCCATGACCTCGAATCTCAAGGCCGTCGAAGCTTCGTCTCGAGTGCGAATAGCTTCTCAAAGCCCTCGACAGCCTGGTGCGATAGCGTCACTAAACCGTATGAGCCACAGCCTATCGATTCTTGACACCTGCCGCACTTTTCAGCAACTTCTCTGGTCTAGTCCAGTTTTAAGTTCCCGTTCTCGGAGGTTTCTTGTTTGCCTCTCAACTTACGCTTCCATCTGGCAACACGGAGAGTGCCGACGACATTCTCGCCCTTCTGACCCAGCAACGCACGCAAGGCATCAGCCGCAGAAGACCTATTCTCTCTCAAGCACCATTGATAACCAAACTCCCCAGGAACTGGACTCACGATTCGCGATTCTCTTGGCGTTCTCCCGGTTTTTGCTGTGCTTTGAGGGATTGAGCACATGATACATTGGCTCTGAAGGAGAAAGGCTGAAACGTGGGAGGAACAGGAAAACTCCGCAGGCGCCGCTGGGTTATTTTTTCCCCATTACGACGTGAAAAGATCTATTTCTTCAGAAGATGATTTTGGGATCTATAAAAATGCTCACTTTCATTTTCCAAGGTTGTTCTTGATGCTCCCTCTTAATCTGTTTTACTATGCGGTATTGATTTTTTTGCGGCTAGAAGACTTGCCACTCAAAGCTCCCTGACAGTTTCGGTGTCCAAACAAGCGGCAGAAAGCCTTAAAGCTCATCTTTCAGTATCCACAGATTAGACAAACTCCGCGACATTAGATCAAGCTCAGGTGTGCTTCCCAAGGGCTGGCTGCCTTCGCTTCTGTGAACAATAGTGCTCGCTTGAAGGAGCAAAAGCTGGTCCCTGGTGGCGACCCGGAGGTGAGTCTCCAAATTCTCAAGATTTCTCATGACGGAGTACGAATTATCTGACAAACGAGCCCTCTCGCCGTGTTGTCGCCACGGCGTTAGTGGTAGAGGTGATGACTTCTGGTTTGGGCTGATAGGTGCAGCCATGGTGGCAACCGAGTAGGATAGATCTAGGACTGTTCCGGGTGGTCAAATGTACAGTATACGTTGAAAGAATCAGTGATAGATTTCTCGGGAAAAGCGACGTCAATTTGCACAAGGTTGTCAATGAAGCGCCGTAAGACAAGCTTGTGCGCCGAAAAACGAAGAAGTTCCGCAAGATTTCAACAAATAATCGCTTGAGGGTTGGACTGCTTATTCAAGCGTATCACTGGCGTTGTTGTATCTTAACCTGTTCAGAGACTTAACTATCTAGGTTTGCGGTACTGTATCTTCGCGAAAAATTAGCGGTTTGTAAGCGAAAAGCGGTTACTAGCCGCTCCGTGGTTCGTTGTCAGCGTGGGGCAGCAGCCCACGCACCTTCTCCGGGCGTAGCCCGTGACAACTAAACCATATTGTTCGCTGACCATTTACACAATGACACTTCAGGGTCTGGTTCAGGGTCGGTATTTTTACCGGAAAGTACGAGCGTTCAATTTATTGGTGGGATAATCCGGCCCATAATCCCATGGCCGTCATCTATGGATATGGTATTGAAGACGTTTAACTTCTCCAGCGTCATCTAAACCGCCTGCAAGTTCCCACGACTCAAGGTGTCGTTGTGTCCTTCAGCGGTATATGGCGATCAGTCTGACTTAGATACTTAGGCAGGTGTATGTTACACTCGAGCCATTACATATCACGTCCTCACATAAATTTAAAATAGAAGCGCGATCTAAAGCTTGTTGATGACTTTTCTGCTTTGATCGCTGAAGACTTTTACTCGTGGTGTCTATTGTTGCGGTAATTAGTATGCATTATAAAGAGCCCCAAGTAAGGGCTTAAGGGTTTTCAAGAACGAAACATACGCTATCAATGTCGTGGTAACCCTCAAAGCGGCAATACTTATGATGACAGTCACGAAGCCATCTGCAATGATGTCCAGAGGTACAATCGATGTCGACACAATTCGAACCCATGCTGCAGGGTATACCACGGGACTAACGAATATCAGCAGGAACATTGAGTGCATGTGCCATCATTGAAATCAGTACTTGCCTTCAGCTTTAATACCAGCAGCTCTCCCTGACTCAGCTTATCGCCATGAATGTACTGGCAGGCTAGGTTCTTACAGTTGTTACGGAGATGGTAGTAATTGCAAAAGTTGGTTTCGTGCTTTTTCACTTTCCCGTTGAAACTGCTCTCTGCTGCGGGGTTTATCTCAGACAGCTCCTCGTCGACGCGCTGGCCATCCTTGTTGAGCAGGTAATACTTGAGGACTGGGGCCCTCTTAGCAGGCGAAATGTCGATTACGATTGTCGACGAAGAGTTTGTCACCGCAGACCACGAAGTAGACGTCTCCGAACCGTTCAAGGGCTGTTTGGGTGAGTTGGAAGGGTTCGCAGTTACAGCTTTCGCAGATCCGCAGTTATTGACCGGCTCGGTTTTGGTCATAATCACCAATGGTCTAGCGAGGGCGGCGGTGGGGCCGGCGGGAGGTATCATATCACCGGCGGCCGGTCGAGTGACTCTCTCGGATAGCTTCTCCGGCATGAATATAGACTTTAAGCTAATCATGGGAAAGCCGAGCCGTTTGAATCCTTCTTCGGCCGGTGTTGTCTCAACTAGCGTCAACTTTCCGGCTACTGTGTGGTCTAACTTATAAGGTTCAAGGACCGGTAAGTATCCATTATCGTGGCAAGGCCCGAAAAAGATGTGCCTGCACTGGTTCACGCGGACCATCACACGGAGCGTCTCGCGGATCTTGTGGTCAGCGGATTCCTTGCCGGAGCCAACGTCGATAAAGCTGAAGAGGGGCTGCGCGCGTCCAAGCCCACGTCCAAACTCAGCAAGGGTCCTCTCGTTTGCAGTATTTGGTATGATATCGGAGGCATGGAGCCTCTTGGCTAGTCCGTCGATATTGAGCACTACCTGTAGGATAACGTTCCAGTCTTCGGTAGCCACATTGGGATTGGCACTGGCAACTTGTTTTTTGAGCTCTGTACACAAGAAATGGCCGGCTTCAGCGCCGCCTTCGGCACCTCTTCTTAACAAAGCCTCTTGGAAAATCGCGCCATCGCCGTCAATGATCGCAAAGATGAACGGGCTGGATTCCTGTGCAACACATTAGTTGCCGTCGGTCTCGCTCTCATTATGAACAAGGTTTGTAATGCAATATGAGGTGATGCGATTGGACATACATTAGCCTTAACTTGGTGAGTTAGTTCTTTGGCTACGTTGTCGGCTTTGGTTTGCCACATGCGACGCGATTCAACCTCGTTTTCAAGATCGCCGCACTTTTCATTATACAAGTGCTGGAGCAAATCGAACCTTCGCATAAGATCCTGTGGATTTGAGTCAGTAATGTCCTCGTAGCAAAAACGGCCGCATCCATCGTAGTACTTTAATCAGGTAACCACGAGAGCTGGCATTTGGGCCCAATCTGACCTGGATTATTAGGTCGCGGGTGCGATCACTGTCGCGGCAGATTTCCAATTTTTGGGTATATGCGAATAAATCCACTCCATTGTCCATGGCTGATCTATGTCGTTGTCTTCGGATGTGGCGCCAATCGGTCCCAGTGTGTATTACTAATTTAATGTGTCGCCAGATGGAACGCCGTCGGCACTGGGTGTGGATAGACGTTAAAAGCAGGCGGGATGTGTTTTAATGTCTTTTCTTAATTTTTGTTTTCTTTTTTCAAGACCGAATGGAGACTTCGCATTGGTTAAGCTCGGTAGGCTGAGCCAAATACTAAGGCTCCTTGCCCCTCTGTACAATGCCACAATGATAGGGTTGACTGTGGCGGAGCCAGATATCTGCAGGGTTCGAAAGCCGCGGCGACGACAGGATAAACAACCAACTGGAACGTACATCGTCGTGTAACGACGTAAAGGCACAAACCGCGGTGACAAATATAAGAAGTAGACGTTTGCTGTGCGGCGTGGTTATCGGTGAACGAAGGACTGGCTAATAGACCTGCAGCAAGCCTTGCTGGTAGGTATTAGTCGCAATAACTTGTGCGTCGTGATGGCGGCCTCTACTTCTTTCCTAGGCGCCCAGAAACACCGCTCAGAGTGTATTGGTGGCACCAGACAGGCAATGGGTACTGGAGATGCTCTTCTTGCGCGTGGTCGCTGAGGTGAAGCCCCATGGACATGCATACAACCACCATTGTTATGGGCTCTGCAGCATGCAGCCGAGTGGATACGGATCGAGGCAGAGAACACGGATGTCTTGCTGACAAGGGTAGCAAGGATCCATTGATGCAAAATGAGCCTGATCCGGGGAAAGTGGTTGGGTAGCCAGTCAGCGGAGCAATGATGGCCTGGACCGGGACCGCTGTCGGATATCGTTTTCGGCCTCGACGAGGGAAATTTGAGGAGGTCTCATGCATACCTCAGTCTACATGGTAATGAACGAAGTTTGCCCCTCGGCGTGGCGCACGAACCTCCTGGGAGCCCCCTGGTATTCCCTGGCGATTGCAACTTCTTGCTCTTCCCTGACACGGCGTGTCGCCTGTTGTGGCTGGCCGTCGTAGGCACTTTGATCGCAGATTTCGGGGCATCCCAACGGGCGGCGAATTGGCGGTACATTGCCCTGAACTTCAGTTCGTCAATACATGCTTCTCATAATGCAGAATGAATCGTGCGCCATCCAGTGTACATGGAGGTCGGGTTTTTTCACCGTTAAGAATCCTGAACTCAGGTGGGTGGGTACTGATGATTTCGTAAACCTATCAAAACACATGCGCATAATTTAGCGCCCTAAACTACCCCAACATGGTTGCATGCTCCCCACAAGGCAGGCGTATCGCCTGGCGGAAGTGCCCAGTTTCCACGGGACGGATCGCCATCAGTTGAATCCGCATGTACCAATACATTTCTAAGCCCACAAGTGAACAAACGTGACACTGTGCAGCCTGTGTGTGTATTGGGCAGCGACTGACAAGAGGCCAATCGTTTCAATATCCATCTTTACTTCATAAAGGCTGATGTGTAAATAGTTAATTGGATAAACATTCTGGGCATTGTGCTGATCAGAGATGTTCTAGCTCGGCTTCCACTCACCGACCTTGTCACCCATGCCCGTGACCAGAAGCTTCGCTTGAGAACTATCTCGAGCTGCTCTCATCTGCATCTGTCGTACTGGCTCATATTGTCAACCGTTGGTTTTTCAGTCGTCCGAGCTTGCTCCAACGAGAAAGAACGTTCTCTGCCGCAGCATGCTGACAAGTACTTTAGCCGCTCAGTCCTCGACGCGGTGCATAGCGTGGTCAATGGTGCTGCCGTATGGGCCTACCTATATTAATTGACTCTTGGAACGCTTCGGGGAGATCGGAATTGAGTGATGCTAGCGTGACATTCAACTTGGGCTAGGACCCCATAGTGTAGTGATGCATAGCCCATCAGTCGGATGTTCCGCATTGCTGGGGGAGGGGCTTCTAGGAGGGCAGCCATTGGCCCACCGCGCTGCAAGTTGGGACGCGCGATGCACGGGCCTTTGACAAGCCCGCCAGTATCGCCCGGCTCGCACAGAACTGGAATGTCACGGCTTTCTAGAATGGCACCGCAATGGCATTTTGTAGCGAGGCTGCGGAGACTAACGAAGTGTAGTATCCAGGCCCACAAACCAGAGCTGAGCAATTCATTGGTGAGAGGCCTCTCGTGAGATGGAGCCAAGATGCTGATTGTGTGGTCAACCTACATAGTAACCAGGGCACACTGTAGCAATTCCCGAAAGGTTGTGAGTAAAAAGGGCATCCAGCTGTGGTTGTCCGCCGCCAGGCAAAAGTGATAGATGGATGCATCGTCACCGCCACCTTTCTCCGATGGGATGGAGCTCAGTGCCAGGGTCGAGGACGTCCACCGACGTGCGGAGGTCCCATCGCACATAGGTTTCTGACTTGCATATGGTCACCCTGCGTGCCTGCCTCTCGAGCGCTCCATTGCATAGAAATCACCATAGAACGTGCCGTACGTTGGCCAACCAGAGCATTGGTCTTGGGGTGGACCACTCCAACAGCAAGCCAGCATGCCAAGAATGCGATACAATGAGCATTTTAGTGGATAGCGCAGAAAGGTTGACACCTAGTGACAGCACAGAAAATATTCAGTATTAAGCAGTAGCTTAGGGTAAATGTGAACTCTAGGGCTCTGCTGGATGTCTCTCTCGGCCAAAATGGCTGAGAAACCAGCCACCGTGGAAGAATTCTCTGAGCCCCAGGTGTGCAGCAGCAACGCTATTAATATCCTCATTCATATTCAAAGGATAGCATCTCCCAGGCACAAGCCCCTGTCCCGTGCAAATCGATAGGCCATTTCACACTCAGGTGCATACAGAGGCCACCCTGCCATAAACACTCGATCATACCATGTAGTCTCTCTGCCATGCTAGGTCTACAACTTCCTTCGCCATTTCATACAATACCCAAACACAAACGTCTGCGCTCCATGTTATCTAACACCCCACCTATTCACATGTTCCTAATCCATTGAGCCCAGCCAATACTTCGCATCCCGGCCATGTAAGAACAGGGAGGCAGTCCTGCAGCGATTTGGCTCTGTTTCGTGAAATATCGACGCAGCACAGCTATGCTTATGCTCGACATGTTGGAGGCAACCCAAACTTCCTCACTGGAGGCACGGGAAGGTTTTCCGCACGACAAATGTAAATAATTGCAGGAGGACTTACTGAATTTAAGTGTGATATACCTGGATACGTCTATGGAACTTTTGAAAAACAAACTTGTGGGGATCAAGCCGAACCCTTTGAATTACTCAACCAACTCAACACAACGGTATATTACGTACACGTAAAGAAATGATCTTTTCTCTCGGATATCAATCTGTCCGTCAGCACCTTGGTTCACGTTGGGACTGCTGTTGTGTTGACAACGCGTGTAAACCTCGTCGAAGGAGCCTCGTTGGACTCAAAGTCCGGGAGTCCTAAATCTGGGAAGACCTTCTGCACTTTGCGGGCTAGGTACTGGTGCCACTTGCCTTTTACTTCGACAAATGTCGTCTTTGCCCAACGATTGCGTGCGTTTCGCTCTTGAGTCTCATTTAAGGGCGGAAGATGGTTGAGGGGGAGTCGTTCCATGGAAGCGTTCCAGGAAAAGTCGAAGAACAAGGGAAACGACAATCGAGGGGGTGCCCCAGCTTCTGGTCGCCTAACTCGATGAGGGCGCGAGCAAAACCGACCGTGAGTCAGCTGGTCGAACATGTCACCAACTGGATAAAATCCAGGATGTTAGCAGTAATCCGTTGATCGCGTGACTCGAGATATCCTGAGTTCAATACCAAACGTACTGTTTATGACCAGCGCGCCCTCAATGACCGGCACATCAACCCACTTATCAGCTGGAGACAAGACTTGTAGCTCCGTGAGACAACGAATTTCGTAATAGCAGCCAAGGAGAAAAATACTTACTTGTAGGCCAGTTGAGTCGACTTTCAAGATGGTGAGATACCCAAAGTCTGTATGTGAACCAATTCCAAACCCGTCCTCCTCGTTTCTGTCCTTGGAGGGGTCCGGGTGAGTGGACCGCACATCCGTCGATGCCGCTACCGGGGCGTACTTGAAGCAGCGGAAAAGGATGACAGGTTCTGGATCAAGCCAGCGGCGACGAAGGTCTCTTCTGTCAAGGCCCAGGCCCTCCGAGAACATGTCGGTCAGGACCTTGCCAAGGTTGTTAACTTGCTCGAGGTATGCCATGACGTCAGATCGCACGCTGGGGAGAGATTTGTCAGGAAAGCGATTGCGTCCGTGGAGCGGCTTTCAAACAGATGGTGATCCTCGGGGTGCTCGGGTCCGATGTAGAGGCCTTCTTTCCAATCTTTATGGCCATGGGTTTGTTCGCCGCCGAGAGGCATATAGCCTCGCCACGCGACACCTCCTTGTGCAACATCCAAAGCCATCTTGTCTTTCAAGGGAAGGTCGAAAAACGATTTCGTCGACCGCATTAGAGCGAGCTGTTGATCGTTCGAAAGGGAGGTGCCAGTGAGCAAAAAGAACCCCCAGGTCGACGCTGCTTCATAAATCTCTCGAACCACCGTTTTGGAATTCTTTGCGTCGGGGTCGGAAAGGTAAGGGGCCATATCAATAACGGGTACCGCTTCCATGTTGACCACTTCGGAAAGGCTGGTCAGGCGTATTTGTGAGTTACACCGTTCTACTCTCAGCAGCAGCAAAGACGATGTCTTGCGCAGATCAGTAGAGGCACCATGAACCGCGTAGAAATTGCAAGGTCGTTGGAAAGAGTCTCGGGGCTCGACATAAGAGAACGAATCCCGCGAGGTGAGGTCCGGGGTTTCATTCAAACCAAACAAGAATACCTAGAGCGACCAAACATGGGAAAGTAACCACCATACGCCAGCGTGTGAGCGGGGTCATACTTCTTTGAAATACCTTGCACAAAGAGGCGCTTAGGGAAAGGGGAAAACTCAGGTCAGCGTTCTGGCGGACATAACCAATGCAGTCTTCCAGCAGTCAGCGTCCGCTCTTGATACTTGGCCGTAGAACGGTGCAGATGCGCAAGGAAAAAAAGAAAGAAATCGGAGCGGTCACCAAAGATGGACATGTGTGTTCGTAGAACATGGCGCATTAAAGGCACAGTGTGCTGCGTGGTACTCTATCAACACGGTACCTAGAATGAGGTGCATGATGGCGTCTGGTCAACTGTGCGAAAGGGGCCAACACGTATCCGCCAAGGTTTAGCCATAATGCAGCCCCCGGTGTTTGGTCGGCCAAACGACAGCTGTGCAGCTAATATTGGACCCACGAACGCCATGCGATGAGCCGAATGAGGAAGGGAAAGCAACAGCTAAACGGGCGCGTTGTGAACTGCGCAGTCTAGCATTGCTCGCTCGCGGCCCACAGCGACCACTGAGATGCTCATAGACATAAGCACCTGACGCGACCAGGAATACGCACCCCCGAGCTTTCTGCAGTCCCACCCCCGCCCCCTAGATAACATAGATTGCAGTCTCGTTCATACATACATACAGTACTGTACTATTAAGTAAATGCTGATCTCGTTTAGACAACGCCACTCTTGTCCGTTTGAGAAAACTTTATCCGACGTTCAACATTTTAGCAGCTGCTTTCGGTGGCAGTGCTCTCTTGTTGCTGATGAACGAGACCCCAGTGCCCGTATCGGCACTGGGTCACCTTGTAGCATACCTCTTGGCCACTTCGGCAGTAATGGCAACTTTCACAGTCATTACCACTACCATGCTCTCGTTTAAGTTCGATACTGATCAAGACCTCACCGCGATGGACTGTTTCATGGCTTGGGTGCCGGTTGTACTTACTGACTGCGGAGTCCTGGCATTCGCTTGTGGGTTCGTCCTTTGGTTCACCGCTAGGCACAATTGGTTGTGTGGGGCGCTCATTGGTCTACAACTAGAAGTCTTACTTCTCATGACAGCCAAGACTGCATTCTGGATGTGGAGTACAGTCCAAGAGGACGTAAATAAATAATCAAGGAGCCTATGTTAATCTTAAAAGTTCGGGAGTGTTATGTGATAGAACCCGTTGTTTCTACACGACGCGTTAGTGCAATTGAAAAGTCCGGTCACGCCTTGCCATAGAGCGCCGACGCTGAATGCTTTCTGGTGGGCAACAACATTGTCCATTGCAGCCTGATGTTTTTTCGTAGTTCCGCGCCCTGCTTTATGCGGTGGGGTGACGATGCATCTGCTCTGCCTCTTCGTACTTCCCCTGGCTTTCAAGTACAAGTGCCAGGTTGTTCATGCTGGTGAGTGTCAATCAAATGCCCAGATAAACAGTAGGTCTGTACTGCATTCACATGCAACTTTATATGCGCCAGGAGCGCACAATGGCTGGGCATTCTTGTTCTGGACATGATCTGCAGCAAAACAAGCCGCGCACGATTTTCAGTCACCCTTACTGTCTTGAGCAAATTGGCATGCAGCAGCTCCAACAGGTATTGGTTGCCTTGTTAAACCATTCGCTTCCAAGGCCAATCAATCCTTTCTTCCTTACACTTGCATGTATAGTGCGCTTGCAGCCAGTGAATGCAACTCTGGTGCTGCGTGCCCGCCCCCGTGGTCAACTCAACTCAGCAACCCCAGCTGTCGGCCTCGTAGCTACACTTCGCCTGAGACCCGCACCAAGTACTCTTAGAAACAACAACAGGATCGCAGGCCAAATGGGCATACCGCGCGCACCTCTCTCTGAGTCGGGCGGATTTGGAGAAGGATCAACCATCGGAAAGCAAAGGCTGCCAGAGCCTGACATGTTCGAGGTCTATTCTGCAACCATGCAGCTTCCGCTGCGGGAGGCCAAGTGGGTGGAGGCGCCCCATCATCGGGCTGGCAGTATGGAAGATACGATGCTTAAAACCCACTGAAATCCCTTTAGTTTCTGGAAAAATATCGCTTGCTGTTCACTCTTCCAATTGTTCACTCTTCTACCGGCGAAGTATCCTCTTGCGATGGACGTTCAAAAGGTATCCAGTGAGGATTGGTTCACTTCATTGCTGCGGCAATGGGAGCAAAGCGCAGCACGAGCACAACGGCGTAAGGGGCAACTGGTGCGCGACCACCCTCCCAGCAATCAGCTCGTGTCACAGTTCATGATGAAACTGCAAATGGCTTCTTCCAAGCAAGAGTTGTGGTCAGGCACCATGGCCACGTCGCAACTCCCTCCACCCTACGCTCCTTGCGTACGGCCCATGAGCGAGCTTGAACATATCGCCATTTCCGACATGAAGCTTGAGACACACCATCGAGGCATGAGAACAGCGCTTCGCGTCCTCACGCCACCGGATCGTATGACAGCCGTCATGGCTATCGTGGAGGACGAGCAGGGGACGGCCCTGTTGCTCCAATTGTACTATCAGCCGGACGAATCGGTCGTGCCCGCCAAGGAGATCATGCAGCTTGGCGACGTTTTCATTCTCAAGGAGCCCTTCTTCAAGATTGCAACCGATGGCTCATACACACTGCGGGTTGATCACCTTGGCGACATTGTTCGGTTGGCGAATGGCGATGATCGCATACCATTACAGTGGAGAAAGCAGCCTCCAACTCTCAAGCAATCGAGCAAAGACATCCGACTTCAGGGAAATGAAGCAGTACAGAAGAAGGAATGGGCTAAGGCACATCGCCTGTGAGGGCACCCAGTTCCTTTGTTTTGATCCTCTCCCGAGTTAGGTCATGTTTATGAGCAATAATGCTGATTCCCACAGATACACGTTTGCCATTCAGACTGCGGAGACACCCGACGAGGAACAGCTGGCTAGTCTGAACCGCTCGTTAGCAAACATGAGACTTGGACGGCCAGCGGAAGCTTTGTCGGACGCTAGACGGTGTAACAGCCCTTCTGAACCTTCCGAGAAGGGTCTCTTCCGGGAGGCGCGGGCTCTGTATGAGCTGGGGTACTTTGATCAGTCACTCGAGAGGCTCGAGAGTCTCACTGCTCTCTATCCAAACAATACAGCCGCGAAGCCCGAGATACAGCGAGTTAAGGCTCGCTTGCGCGAACAGCATACGGGTATCTACTCTTTCCGTCAGATGTACAAACAGGCCCAAGAGGTGCCTCCATTGATCGACTGCGCTACCTTCTCCGCGCCCGTCGAGGTACGCGCATCGCCTGGAAGGGGCAACGGCCTCTTTACGGTAGTCCCGGTTTCTGCCGGGCAGCTGCTCATCTGTGAGAAAGCTTTTGGATACGCCTTTGCTGACAAAGACCATCCTGAGACCATGAACCTCCTGATCAACATGGCTACAAAGAAAGGTGTCGTGGGAGGCCAAGCCCGCCTTCTCAACCAGCTCATACAGAAGATGTACCATGATCCTTGGGCACAGAAGTCATACCACGAATTGCACCATGGAGAGCATGCAGTCCCTTCTGTCTCGGACGTTGATGGACACTCCGTGATCGACTCGTGAGTCATCATTTGCCCTGGCGATTCAATGCGCCGACTGACCATCGAAGCTCTCTGGTCGCTCAGATCCAGTCTCTCAATGCCTTTGGCGCGCCGAAGACCTCCCGCGATTCATTCTCACGAAAGATCGCTAGCAACGGAGGCCAATGGACCGTTCAGGAGAGCGAATTCGCAACGACCGGGCTCTGGCTGTTGGCCTCGCGGATCAACCACTCGTGCATAGGCAACTGTCGCCGTTCCTTCATCGGGGACATGCAAATCATCCGCGCGACAAGAGACCTCGAAGCCGGCACCGAGCTCCTCTTCGCTTATCGGGCGCCGCAGCATCTGGAGTCCTATGCCGATGTTCAGAAAGGCCTCAGCTCATGGGGCTTCATGTGCAACTGCGAGCTTTGCCTTAGCAGAAAGGAAACCACTGACAAGACGCTTGCCCATCGCAAAGCCCTTACCAAGCAATTGTCAAAGGTTCTCAACAGTCACCAAGGAACGGTTATCCCAGCTGTGAAGCGAATTCTTTTGCAAATGGAGAACACCCACTCGCCGGGTGTTCCCGAAGATATCCGTCTGGATCTGTGGGACCCGTACTTCGCGTTGGGTGCCGTCTTGCTCTCGGGAGGCAAGCCTGCGGAGTGCATTCAGATGATAGTCAAAGGCATGGAGACGCTGGGTTTTGGCATTACGACAACTGCTAATGGCAAGATGGCATTCCAGGTCACGCGCTGGGGGTACCTGACTGACATGACGCCGTGGGCGTTTCTCCATATCTACAGAGCTTACGAGAGGCTGGCTCCGGAGCTTTGCGTGGCTGCCAAACAATATGCTGGCATGGCTTACAGTATCCTGGTAGGCGAAGAGGAGACTCTAGGGGACGAGTTTCCACAGCTCGCGTAGCTGTCGAATCAGAACGTGACGCCGGAAATGTGCGGCCAACGGAAATGTCAGCTGACTCACAGCCGTGGCTCCATTCCCCAGCATCTCTCTTGCCAACGACATACTGTACTTCTCCTAACGAACAAAGTTCTAGCTATGAGCTTACGCCTTTATTGTAGCCCTAATTGTAGATTGCAATAATATCTAACTGTATCCTATCGAGTGCGGCTGGACCTCATTTTTGCCAAGGGCGGGGTAAAGCCAATAGGGGAGACTCCAGAATGGTCAAACGAATGGGAAGGCGGAGACAGGGGTCAGAGTTGAGACTAGGACCAAGAAGGCAACTTTTGGTGCTTAGCGTAACGGGCAAAAGTGGATTACATTTGAGCAGTCATGCTGTATGATGAGGACGATGCTTCAAGGGCTTGGTCAGAACCTACGGCCGGATGAATCATTACAGCCACGCAGCAGATATTTACAGCAGATATTTATTTACAGATAACAGATGTCCTTAGGATACCAGCGAGTAGCATTTTTACATTTGATGACCAGTACTGGTCTCGTCCCTCGGAGCTACACCAAGGCATATGCACTGCGCATGGTTGTGAGTAAAAGTTATTAGACTTGTCGAAAACGAAGATCAACGGGATTCTGGAGGGAACACCCAGAGAGCGTAGTGACATCACGGTACGAACATTGGAAAGCTCAAGCGTATGGAGAAGCATATAAGACTAGTCTAGATTAGGCAACTATTGGTGGTAAGCGACGCGGGCAAGAGTGGAGATAAAGGAGCCACTGAGAGAGAGGTTGGCACAACCGAAAAGGGCAGTTTTGCCTGCGGTAAAAATGTGGGACAAATGCTTGGTGTGAGAGGGTAGCCGAAAAGCATATAAACCAGGCGTCTTTCGCAAAAATTGAAGGCAACAGGGGGACACGCTTGATTTGCCAAAAACAACAGAAGAGAGGGGCGGTACTGCACTATTCATTTTACAAGAACGGAGAGCATAGTGATATTTTTCTTGGAAGGGTGGATATCAAAATGGCAATGTCGAGGCCACAGAGTGAGGAGCTTAGGGACGTTGATGAAAGTATTGTTCATGTTAGGCCTGCTAGGAGTCCCTTTGACCATTCGGTACCAGAGAATGATCAGGGATGTCCTTGGGATTGGTCGACGTGTTTCACAAGGCGTTGTGAGCTTCATGAGAAGGAGCAGGCGTTGCGACTTGGAACCAGGCTTGTTTGGAGATGGCCTGCGTCTGCGGCTCCAGATGAATGGGCTCGATTAATTGGGAACATTTTGATAGGTGGGATGTTCAATACGTGGAGGGCGCAGGTTCATGTTTGGATATTGGATGAAATGGCGAGGGAAGTAGTAGACGAGCATGCTAGAGTAACGACATGGTATGATCAGGTATTTGTGGCAGGATGGCCCCTGTATGCACCTGATTATGAAAGGGCCTTTCGGGTTTGCACGGGACAGAGGCTTGTGCCTGGAAGAAGTTATCCTTTGAATAGGAATGAGGATATTAGTAGAACTGGCTCTAAGGCATTCGACTTGTTTTATAAGCTAGGTCAGTGGTCTGTGTATGCAGAAGATGGAGGAGACCTCACAGGAATGGTTGATGAGTCTGTGCATGCACAGGAATCTTTTGATGGTCTGGATGGAGATGTTATAATGGTGAACGGTATTGAGAGTAGCGCACAGCGTTCCTTTGATAGTCTGGATGGAGATGTTAGAATGGTGGATGGTACAGAAAGTTGCGCACAGTGTTCTTCTGATGGTCTGGGTGGAGATGTTATAATGTTTAACGGTATAGAGAGTTGTCAGTGATGACATGGACTGGCTCCTGTACTTCACTGTACTGTATCTACAAGCGTGAAAGAGACAAGATTATTGGACGGTTCGCGCGGAGACGAAGGAAGCGCTGAGATACAGAAACACAAGGAAGAGCACACAGTACATAATTATTTTGGAAAGAACGAAGTCATACAGTAGGAAAGATTGTTATACAGAATAGAGGCAGTATTGTAACCATGGTAAATGGAAAGATGCACGTGACTAATCGCAATAAATGGTGTTTAATGCTGGAGGATCTCCACTCGCCTACCAGTCAGCCGAGAGGGAATGAGTGAATTGGTCCAAGGACATAGAGAGGCTCGCGAATGTCGTACAGTGCACGGACCGCCGATACTCCCGCCGTGCCTCATCTCTAGCTAATCGCAATTATTAGAAAATCTTATTAAAACATAACAAGAGCCTCCTCAGTGGTGACTTGCGAAATGGTAATGCATCAGATTATATATGCGACTATTTTGAGGACAAATAATTGTCAGAGAAAAAAATAACAGTTAGCTCTGGTTGAAATCGGATAACTCGACCTGAAGCACAACCAATGAAGATCGAAGAATCCCTGTGCACCCAGTGTGTGGGTCGGTGTTCCGGAGGAAGCCACATGAGACTGTCAGAGCCTTTTGTGATCCACTCTTCATTCGCGTCAAGACCAATCACAGCTGAGGCTGAATTTGATGTGCTTCTCTGAGGAGCAGCTGTGAAACGGTAGCTATGGATTTCAAGCGTCATTGGGTTCCAGAGGTTCCAGAACCGGCCCAACTTGTCACTTGGTACCGACAACACAAGCTCAGTAGGCAAGAAGGTGACCTGTGTCCTGCTGTCGCTCCACACCGTGCGAGTCGGATAACTGGGCCCCATGCTTGCCGACAGTTGTTGGGCAGCCGTGGAGTATGGTTGTACTATGTAAGCCTCAGTGGGTATGAATCGCCTCTCTTGGGAAAGCAATCCTCTGCCACCCTAATTTGACTGCGACGTATCCCCAATCGGCCATCAGGAAGATGTAACCGGTATGCCAGGGGTGTCCGGTACATTGACTGAAGCAACGCGCAGTGTTGCCCAACGGCTGTTGACCGGCTGTCACCCGCCGTTCTCTCCGCGCGCCCAGGGGCTCGCTCGCAGTCGGGGAGCGGCACGGCTCTCGCCAGCTACGCCGCTGCCCAACACCGCTGGCCACTAATCATGAAATAAGACACTCAGGTTTTTAAGAGGCACCTTCACTTGCAAGCCCTGATTGTTTCCGTCTGCTCTCGCAATTACTTTTCGACAAATGCTTAGCCTAAAGCGCCGAGCCGCGCTCGCAATAGAAAGCGGAGGGATTTGGCGACAGTTTGATGATGAGGGTAGGACTGCACGCTGTGAGACGCCAGATGACGGCAGTGTCACAAAGTTTCTGACAACGTCGAAGGCTACGGGCCGAAGGGACCTGACAGCAGTTTGAGACTGAAGCTTGTCAGACGTAGGAGGTCTGTTGTAGTTCTAGGACCACTCACGTTGTGGATGGCAAATGGGGAAAGACTGCTCTGATTGCTATGAACTTGTGGGCGGCTTGTTCACACGTTATGGATCGGCTACAACTGCTCTATGACGGTCATGAGGGCGTTAAAGGTCAGCATTGCATTAGGGATTATGCACGGTAACCGGCCGACCTGGCATATCACAGAATGATTCCCACTTTCGTTTCTCCTACCTTTTTACTTCAATTGCTATGTAACAGCAAAGTGAAACCCACGATTGCAATGCGACCATCGCGCCCTCATTATGTCGAACTGAGATGCCACTTTTGACAGCTCCAGTATTGTAACTTTTTCATGCCGCTTTGAAGGCTTTCATATTATTGACGTGGTACGTTCATTGCCACTGCAACCTTTTGTGAACATCCATGTTGACACTTGCTAAGCAGAAACCTCGAGTCAAGGTCTATGACAATGGAACAGCCCAGATACTGACATCTTCAGCAGCCGGCGTACTTGAGACTGCTAGTCGTCAAGGTCGCATAGGATCGCATATGCTGCCCAAAAGCTCGCTCGTGGAAAAGCATAGGGAAAGGCTTGATAGGGCGTTGGATCCTACCAGTGAGGCTCTTACGGCGTCGACGAAAGTGTTGGTGCCCGCACCCTGGGAAGCTGAAGCAAAGGAAGTGGGGTCTCTTCGCCCTGGGCAAATAGTCCCAAAAATGGTCAACGTAGACGAAATGAGACACGAACGATGAGTGTGCATGTGATCTTGGCGATTATTGATTGGGCGTTGTGATGGACTGAGAGCATGACCTGGAGCCTGACCGATTTGGGCACCGGCGGGGGCAGCCATAGCGAACCACAAAATGTGCTTTGGAACTTGTCGTTCCACCCTTGCAATCGGTTCTTCCAATTGACAATAGCACCACATTACCCTGGCTTACGATCGATATTGAAAGCGCATTATACACGATGGAATATCTCTCTAGCGAGGAACGGTCTTCGTCACCCACAAGGCCGGGTTCGAAGGACAGGATCACCCAGTTTCGTCGGCGAAATCCCGGTCACCAGCAGCGCGAGGCCTGGTTGTGGGAGAATGTGGCTAGGGAGGTGGTCTATTGCATCAGTCATCCTTCTCTCAAACCATCAAACACCTTGGTGTCTAGCGCACCAGGTTACGAACTGGTCTGTAGCTACAACTGGAGAGTCAGTCAGGATGCGAGGATCCACATACCTGGTAGGGTTGAAGTACCTTGGGAAGATGCCACACATGAATAACTTATTAGTAGGTTTCGCTGCGGTCTTCCAGAATGTCACCTTGCCGGTTGCCGTTCCGGCAGATCGAGGAACCTATTTCATCGATCAAAACGCGGCACGCGTCCCTGAATATCCTTTCGCGCCGTTGCTTCGCGCTACAGCGTCAATGAACCCATCTTTTCGCTTCGAAAACATTGATATCTTGGTGAATCGAAACAGCCTTAGAAAACTTCTCGACTTCTCGGCGGGACGGCTGCAAGATAGCTTTCGCATCAATCTGCACCTAGTATACCAAACTCTGGTCATCGAGCGTTGCGAGAGGAACGCCCGCGAGCTGATCAGTGGTTCTAAGAATTCGGGGTGGGGCAGGAACTTCGAGCGCACGTTTACGACGTACCCAACTGGCCTTGAAGACAGTACATCACACCACCGGGCTCTTCGATACCAGCTGGGCGATCTCGCGTGTGTCGTGCGTTTTGAGGTGGACGCATGCTATGAGCAATTGAGCGAGTGTAGCGGCTCGGATTCGCCGGAGCGCGCAATGGAGCGGTTGGCATTAGACGACCACGAACGCTGCAGCTCTGTTTACAAGCTGGGAGGAAAGGCACCAAGCCGACCTCCGCAGGTTGGTCACGGTCTTGACCCAACTACGCGACGCCGTCAAAGAAAATGGGGGTAAGCACTGCGTCGCGATCTATGAGAAAACCACAGAGGCCCAACAGATCAGAGTGTACCCAGCACTTGGTACCACAAAGGCTGTGCCAGATGATTTGAGACGCATGCTCTGGGGCTCAAGATCAAGCGGCCGGCCCCCGCTTTGAGAATCATACTTTTTTTTTTCTTAACTCGAACTCGATTAGCTCCGTCTTGACCGTACTTATCGGAAATTCCACTGCCATAATTTTCAGTCATTCAAATCTTGGTGATTGTTTCCCTTCTGCAAAGGATTAACTCAAAGTCATCAACAGCTGAGTCAAGCGGACATCGAGAATCGATGTCGAAATTTTCTAAAAAGCTGCGCGTCTGGAGGAAGTGCTCCTCCATCCACTCATCTGTACTGGACCTTCCGCCATCTCCTCAATATCATCATAACGGCCGGTGCGTCCAGACCGCCGCATCCATCTAACATTTTCGCAAAATTTTGCATGAGACGCTGGCGGGAAACTCCAGGTTAGAGGTACGGTAAGGGTCCATGGGCAAGGAGCAAAGGCGTACCATAGGTACTGAAGTGCCCGGAGACGAAGGAGGACGACGAAGATGTCGAAAGTTTAAGGCCGAACAACGCTTCAGACGATTGCCCACTCAAGTGTTCGTGAACCACGTTGTTGGCCATGCGCAGAAAAGCTCTACTGTCGCTGGTGACGCTTTGTACCTTAAGTATTATATACCTTATATACCTTGAATATTTGAGGCATTTGATAAACGTCAGCTGTTGTTCTTCCCTGCGAGGTTTTTATCCCTTTACAGAGGAAGAAGCTTATATCAATGAAGGGTTGAGAAATGCTCTAAGCGTATCGAGCAGCTGCGCGCATTGGCCACTTTTCGGGTGAATGATCGCTCGAGCAATAGTAGAGTGGGAGGCATCTCGTTTACGTTACGTGTACGTTACGCCATTGCTTTCATTCTGGTGCCTCCAGATCCTCCCGCGCGGAACGAAGAATCAGCACCAAGGAGGAGTAAAGCTGAAGGTCGGGCTGTCTTCGTCTCCTACCATTAGGAAACACAGCTCGTCGCAACTTATTGATAAGTGGGATCAGTGGTTGATAATTAGGTGTGAAATGCCGCTGAGCCTTTTTAAGAAAGGTTTTCTTGTCATCGATCATGCCCTTCTTGGATGCGGCCAGCTTGTAGTCATTGTCATAATTCCAGTCATCAAACACAGTCGGCCCAACGTCTTTTCCGTTCGCACCGTAGTTAACGCATATCCAGGACAGCACCCAAAAAAAGACTCCAGGTGCTCGCCCAACAGCGCTCTGATGGCCATGAACGCCCTCGTTCCTGTCTTTCCCTGCGCACCTGATGCGATTTGCCGCTGGAGCGGGATGGCGAGGTCGAGATCAATCAAAAAACGCTTCCAGTGATGAACTGCCGTTGCTCTCATTGATCATGAGATTGTTGATAGACACGTCTCGGTGAAGCACCCCTGCATTATACAAAGACTAATGACCTTCAATGCAAAATGCTAAAGCCGCTAGTAGCGCCGCCGGAGTGCTGGCCTCGTAAGTGGGTCTGCCATAGTCTCGTAGAACAACGCGCGGACAGACTCTGTTCGGCGAAGACCCCAACAATGATCTAACCTTGATCGGTGAAGTAGATCGTGATTGTGTATGGGGAGGTAAGGCCGGAGCGTGCTGGCTAGACGATCGCTTTTTGTTCGTGTTACTAGCACTCAGCCTTACCGTCCTATGAGTGATTGGCTAATACCCCATCGTAGCGTCTAGCTTGTCGAACATTGCTTCGTATGTCATCATCTGTACCGTCGATCTGTGCCGTCTCGTGGTGATAGTATCGAGCTACGTTAACCACACCTTTATCCGTAACCTGTCTGAGGAGCTCGCCCTCGACGTCGCGTTCGGGGTACTGCCACGAGTCTTTGACAATTAACTGCGTCTGTGGATATCCCTCAGGTTGTGCTCTCCAACAGCTTGTGGCGGCAGATGGATTACTCTTGAGTTCCCCAGGCACAAGCACCTCTCGCCAGCGTACACGAGACTCTGAGCTACCGCTAACGTGGTTGACTATACCAACATCTAGTTTTCGCTCAGCCGTAGACCCGTGTATCGGTTTATTCAGTTCGGCCAGTAGTCTGCGTGGATGCGTGTTGTTCGGCTGACGGGCCACTGCGAATGTAGATTACCTTTGGAGGATGTCTTCGAGCCACCGTAGCACATCCTGCTCGCTTGCAATCTGGGGTCATCCCTTCCAGCCGTGTCGGAACAACGGGTCATTTCCCTGCAGGCATTGATCGAAAAACTCCAAAGACGCTGCCTCCAGGCCAGCCACATGTCGAAAGTATGCGTCTTTGAAGCCAGGAACGCCTACAGACATAGCAACAAGCTCTTCTTTCAGGATGCCATCGACTTGCGGTGTTCGGACGAGTTGACGAAACTGTTTGTGGTGTGCAACCAAGAATTTTGTCGATGTGAAGAGGCTCGTGTTCGAGGGGGTGGCGTAATTTCCGAGGTTGCGCTCTCTGCTTGATTCCAAATAGCGAGATCGTCGACTTCTCCGGAGACAGCCTCCTTCAGGAGAGGCTTAACACAATCGAAATCGGACTCGTCGGATGCGACGGCAGAGATGAGTCGGAGGAGATCGCTTTGGAGGGTGCCCTGCCTCGTTTTCGACAAAAGTTGAGCGGAAAGAGTATGGCCTTGCAGGACAACGAGGAGGGGAAGTGCCAAATTGCGAAGGTCTACATATGAATTAGCCAGACATGACGGGAAGGCGTACACCAGCGATCGCACCTTTTCGCGTAACGTGGTCCAAGGCCTCGGAACCGCAGGGCGTCTCTATGGCATGACCAAGAGTCCTGAAAGTGCTGCGAATCGCATTGAGTTATTCCCCGATCGGATTGCTTCTCACCTGCTCTGCTCGGTCAGACATGGCGGACAGGGCGAGCGAAAGGAGTAGAAAGGTGAGCGACGTTGGGGGCGGCATGGATACATGGTTCAGCTAGCTGAGCTGCTCTCGGAAGTTTGATATTCCGATAGCCCGCAGATCCACTTCGGACCACGTAATTGGCCCAATAACTCAAAAATCAGAGCTTTTGTCTAATTGAACTCAACGTATTGCTTGTATCAAAAGGTATTGTGTCTTGAGGAAAGGGTTTGATTTGGCATATGTAAAGGAACAGACGCCGATCTATCTCGCGTGGAGGATAATTCCTGATGAAGGATGAAGCAGATACGGATTTATCTCTGACGAGTAAGGAACGGCGCCGTGTGTTAATGCTTACGAAGGCCAGTGACGATCTATTTCAGAACTCAGTCGTCAGCTCAGTTGATCCAGCACTGTTATACTGAAGCCTCACCTCGGTTGTTCGGTCTGCATACGTGAAGGCATACTGTAGCTCAAAACAGTTGAGCTAATGAGGATGGCCCGTTCGCACATAACGCCCCGGGGCTATGGCATACAGTAGTACGCCGTCAACCATGACTCTGTTGATTATTGTCCTGTTCTGACGTGCGTCCACAATCAGGTTATGTAGCTGAGGCTTCATGTGTAAGGCAGTCCCGTCGCGTCAGGGGCAGATCGACAGGCTGAGACTGCAATCACGTAGCCGACAGGCTGCATGTTGCAGAGTACGGACTGAGACGTTGGCAAGGCACGAATGTGTGCGGCACACCCCGGGGCTGCATGCTACCGTCTACATCAGATGAACCTCACGGCATCTTGCTTTTTGCCGTAGGAAGGCTACGACTTCACTCGTGGTCAACTACACAGCTTCAAAACGGGAGGTTTTCTTCGTTGTTGAATAAACTGCCATTTCCTAACAAAATGCCGTTCTATCGTCTTCTCGTTCCTTGTAATCTACAATATGGTGAAAGACGCCGCGTACAGGCTCCGAATGTAGCCTTCGTGGTCGTCCTCCAGGACCCATGTGCCAGAACTCAAACTTCTGTATCGCTCTCAGCACCCGCCAGCGCTGATAGGGTGCAGACTTCTTGCCGAGAGCAGAAAAGTCCCATGTGCAGAGCATGAGGGCAAAAACCGGCATAGAACTGCTCAGTGAAGAGGTGAACTAAGTGGCTAGCTAACTAGGCGGGGAAGGCTTTGGCTGTTTAAGGGTGGTCTGCCACCTCGTGCCACCTCGCAGGCGGCTCCAATAGTGATATCCAGGTTACCCACAAGTACCTTCGCTCCTTTTGCTCGTGTTCACTTGATGTAGAGACGAAACAGGGGCGCCGAAGGCGGCGGAAGACGACTTGCATATGTCATCGATGTGTAGGCGGAAGTCAAAAATTTCCGTCCCAATCGTGGCGATGACTGAACACGGGGGTTCTTTCATCCCTGATCGCCCCCTGGCATTGCCACATACCTAGCGGTTCGCTCATCTATTGTCATATGATTACCTCGTTTTTACCTATAGCTTGCAACAGTCGGCATTCAGGGGGATTGGGGTCGTTCTGAGCAGAGAGGCGGTCCCGCAAAAGGAAGATTGAGGTCCATCGAGTGACGGTTGCGTCTGAGGAAATCCCAGAGTACGGCAGCAAAAGCTCCTCTACATGGGTTTCGTTCTGATCCTCACTTGGCTGTGGTGTTCGCCTGCGCAGGAAATAATAGCCTGACTCAACCGTACTTTTGACGTTGTCGCCTGGGGCGAAGATTGTATTCGTGTGTCATTGCACATGCGCGCTTGTCGGTCGCCTTCTTTCCTTCCTTCGTGACTCGTTTGTGATCACATCTTTGCTTGGTCTTCACCGCTTCTTCGTCTGTATATTCTCGGGCTGGAGTGCAGGTATACTGACTGGCACATGGCTTTTACCACTAGTGGTCGCCAGAGCGGAGGCAAACTGGGCGATGCCATTTAGGATCCGGTTGTGAGATAGCCGCATGAAACTCTGCCATTGGGTTGCATTAGAAAGTAACGTCGGGTCTGCAACAGGTTCGTCAGCTGCATTGTTGAATATAGCTTCCACATATCCCACCGCTTTGTCGCATCGCTTCTGCAGCAGCTGCAGAAAGTCTCCGCGTAAGTTGGTCTGGCTACTGACTTGTTGAACAATCCAGTGAAAGTCTGCGTCTCCAGAATTGGAATGGACACAATGTTGAATTTTCTAAGATCGATTTGGATTCGTTAGATATGCATCCGAATTCCGAGGCTAACAGGTGTTGCAAGTCGTTAGTGCTACCTGCGTTGTCTGGAAGTGACGAGCCCATGATGCCTAACGTGCTGGAATGATGATGATGATGATGATGTATTTAACGTCCAGAGTGCCGAAGGACGTGTCGGGCAATACCGACATAGTCTATACTAATCTAAACTATGTTACAGGCCACCGTCTTCACCTAACGTGCTTGTTCAATGGGTCGGGCAGATTTCAGAGAAGAAATTGGTCGCCTCCATCCATTCGCATAGAAGGGAGGCTCCCTCTGCGGAACCTAGCAGAAAATCAAAGCTTGCTTTCGCCATACGTTGGCGGAGATGGCGCGGCGTCGCTGCTGGAATGAGATTACGAAGTGTGGAAGCAGTGTGAGCCTGAGGAGTCTGACAGTCGTGGTTGATACCCGGAGTTTAGCCGTGAGCGCTGGATCGGCTGGCGTCTGCGACATGTTGTATTGGCTGTTGACGGACAACCAAGACCTGGATCAAACTTATCCGTGAAGTTTACGATATTACTACGATGCACTCTTCAGGCTTACTACCAGCGTATAACGCCTCCTGCTCTGCCATGTCTTGCTCGACTCGTTTTCAGACTTCGCTCATATATCTCTTACTGTTTTTAAAGGGGTTTTGTCCATCTTCTGCAATAATCAGCTCACCAACCCGTTCGTGTTCAGCCCTATTCCAATCCAGATAAGTCATCATCTCCTCCTTCGTCCAATCCCTTGGCGCGTGTGAGGTACTGCAGCGTCCTTTCATCCATTTATAGTCAAGACACCACTCATAACACTTTTTGTCATAACGTAGCGGAAGCCCCATTGCCCTCCGATATTCCTGGTTTGTTTTGACACTCCCACGAGGCCGAGCAGCATACCAGGCGCTTCTTGCTGTACAGTACCGTCCGTATATCGCCTGAGGTGAATCGTATCTTGGCAGCGAGGGTGAATGCGAATGCGCAAATGATGATAATACCCGAGGTGGTGATATACTGGTCTCTACCACTATAGCAATAGTCGGTTGAACTAACTTTGGTACGTCCTGCAAGGCGTTTGAAGGAAGTTTCTGTGTGTCTGTCGTCGTCCCAGTAAATATCGCAGCTGATACTGTGGCTGGATGTGGAGAAGGTGTCGGTTCAGGCAATACATGCGTGTATCGCAGAGGGCACGCCTTTGAAGTCATAGTATGGCCAACTGTATGACACCTACTGCACTTGCTTGGGGCCCGTGAAGCAACTTCAACAACTTCGAACCCGCTAGGCTCTTGTCTAGTGCTTGATTTGGGAATACTGGGATTCTCTAATTGCAACCTGGGCTCTATGCGCTGGCGAGGCTTCAGCAATAGCTGCGGCGCTCCATCACGCCTCAACTGCCAATGTGCATGGAAGTGCTCATGTAGAAGAACATGATTCTGTTCTTGTAAAGTCTTCAATTTGTGTATGCATGGGAGACCATATACTCGAGAAAACGTCCCCGTACAGGCTGTGGAAGGATTTGTGTCTTTCTTCGTGAGCAGCTTCCGTTGCTCTTCTACTTTGCGCAAGGCTTCATGCGATACCCAGCCAAGCACTGCGCCGTACATTGATCCCGAAAGCTCAACTGGTATCCGTATTTGCTGTTTAACTTGATTTGACTTTAGATCCGATAGCTGATTTAGTAAAGCATGCTTCATTGCTTGCCAAGCTTCAAAAAGGTCTAATGTGGATCGTTTCAAGTGCGACTTAAGTAGTGCATGAATACCCTCAACTCGCGAAGTAGCCACATTGCCAAAATGGGTATGCTGCTCGACCTAGGCTTTCACTAGCTTCTCCTTGTATGGTTTCAACCAAACGGACGTAACATAGCCGGCTTCTTCGAGATGGTCCAGAAGATATCGTTCCTCAAACTGGGAAACGCGCTCCTCAAAAACCACCTCCGATGGCGAGCTGATGATCGAATGCCAGGAGATATCTCAATCAGAATAGGATGAAGGGTTTTTCGCTGAGTACTATAAACAGGCGCGAAGGACTGTATCAAATACAGAAGGTTGCGAAGAATCATTTACTGACCATCGTTTGTTGTTGTTGATGAGGGCTAGCTTTTAGCTATGCACGGCGTCTTAAAGACATGCATCAATATTTCACACAGGTCTCCGCGGAACTCAGCAACCAAAGTAAGTGATTGAAAAATCTGGTGGCTTCGGCTAAATGGCAAGGGCGTTGGGAAAGGCAGATGAGTAATAGATACACAGATACTAGTACTGTACCGTCTTGGACGGAACAATAGCACACTCATCGGTCTACCAGACCGATCAGAGTAACATGCAAGAGGAAATCGTGCAACACTATCTGCAGACTAGTGCCGCCACACCGCCTGTTGAACCGCCTGTTGAACCGCCTGTTGAACCGCCTGTTGAACAGCCTGTTGAAACGCCGCTTTGCCCCCAGCTTTTGATGCTACCCGTTCAATCAATATCGATTCTTATATCAACAGGCACCAGGGCCACCGGCTCAGTGTTATACTGAAGGATATACAGCAGTTCAGCGGGCAAATCGTCGTTGACAATCTTGGAGATGCCTAGCCAGTCTTGTACTTGATGCGTTCGTACCAGGCAGCCCGAGTTCGACCGCCTTTGCTCTCTATGCTGTTAAATTAGCTTCCGCCCCCGTTGGCGGCAGTGAAGCCCAAAGTGCTTCACTGAAATTGCATCTCTAAAAATGCGTTTCTAATTGTACATCCCCTATATCGAACTGGTGAATCAGCAATACACCCCAAAGCCACAGCCCCTCAAGCAACTCTCTCTTTTTCACCCCTCAAAGCCCCTATCCCTAAACCCATCCTCTAATTTAATTTCCCCCCAAATTAAGTCATTCAACCCCGCAACAATTCCCACACCCACAGACGCTTGGCTTATAAGCAGTGTTCAATATCCTCTCATCGAAGTTGACTAATGTACGGAGAAAACGTCAGGCTGTTTGCCTAGGCGATGCCATCAACAAGTGAAAGCGCTTCCCCTCTCGACATATGAACTTGACCTAGGTGCAGCAAACATCAACTTGGAATGTATGAAGGCAAGTACATCTCTGACTTTCTAGGTTCAAGTAACTTGCTCTCCAAACTGTTGGAATTATTGATTTATATTACCAAATCTTTCCCTCCCGGTAGAAATACATAAGGAGGTCGTATGCAAATGAGCCTAGGTCACCAAAGAGCGCCTTTGCTTCATCACTGTCTAACAGGTCCTTGTGTTTAGCAAATTCCTGCAAAATAGTGTCACGCAAGGCCCGATCAGTATCAATGGTCGAGGTGTATGCTTCATGAGCAGCCCTCAGGAAACTGGCTGGATCCCATTCTCGAATAGTAGCAGTCTTGAATTTGGTAATAGCGAGGTCCTTGAGACCGCTAATTGCGTAATTTTCTGCAAGTGTGTATACTCTCGCGTGAAGTAGAATGCTGGGAATTTTTACTTGGCTATTCTGGTCTGTCTCTGGTAGACCCGCGCCGTGGTTAAGTATTTGAGGCTGTTGGTAGTCCAAGCGATAAAAATACTGGATCATTATGTCGACAATAGATGGTTCATCGTCCGGAAGACAGATAACGCTATCGCTAGCTTCCTGTATGCCTATGTCAGCTCTTGTAACTTTGTTAAGCAGAAGATGGCTCACTTTAAAAGGGTTACGGCATGCCACAGCGAGAAATTCGGATCGAGGACAGGCAATTGCGCGGTGGACTAGATATTTCTGAGAGGTGGAGGATATTATTAGATATGAGTAGATTCCGGTTGAGTATAGGCTGGCTTTGTGTTAGAACGTAGCTAGATCGGTGAAGGTCACAGAGCCTTGAAAAACTTGCCTCTCGAGAGAGTCATAAAGTTCTTTCCGCGGCTGACAGGTGGGTTCCATCTTAGCCTGACTGCGGTGTCGTTCGAGAACGGGGGGAAAAGTCCCACCGCGTTTGTCCCAGTGCCGACACACGCGATGACTGCATCTGGTAGCTTCCCTATTTTCTCCAGACATTGCCTTTTGGTTTCTTCCCCCATGGCTGATTGAAAGGTCCGCACAATTAGGGGTATCGGGTAAGGTCCAGATGGTGTGCCGGCTAAATAATACAGTTATGTGCAAATATTCCTTCCTCTTTTAAAACACTCTTTTATTCTCTAAACCTTCTCCACATAGTGTGAAATACCCTCTGAAACACACTATCTACAGTCACACACCTGCATACCGGCTAGGAAAAAGCGGTTATTCCAGGTATTGTGGCCTGTCGCCCACACTGTCATTATGTAATTGGATCAAACACGGGCATTTGCTATATACCTTTGAGTACCTCCAGCGCTAGGTAATCACTGCCAATTGCAGCTTATTTAAGAGCCATTTCTGGATTATTGTCGACCATGCTAGGTAGATCTGAGTACTTTTCTGGCTCCACTCTGATTTAAGAGTGAAGTTGTGTGTATTCAAAGAGGAAGATATTTTTGCACATAACTGTATGTCGTATCGGTGTCCGCAGCACAAGCACGCAAGGCTTCATTCATTGCTTCCCGACGTGTTTGGTCTCCTGTCTTGACTGTGGCAATTTTAGCTCCCAACATTTCCATTTTCCCCATGTTGACTGATTGTCTTAACTCGTCCTTCTTCAACAAGAATCAATAAAGTGACAGATGAAGAAGCAAATGAGAATACGTACCGCTCCAACGTAGACAACACACTGTAGGCCAAACTTGGCGCATAGAGAGGCTGTACAGTCGCGTTCGAAATTGGTTTCATGCTTTACACTTGAAAAACATTGTTTTCCCAGATATTTTGGTATCCACTTGCTGAGAAGGTACAGAACGACACATGCAAGGTACTTGTTAGAAAAGTACTAATACTTCTGTGTGTAATCCATAATCAGCTCTTTACTCTGCAAACAGTAGGCCAAGTGCCCCTAACAGCTGCTTCTGTCGGTATCTCTTTCTCTCTGGAAAGTATTGTGGAGACGTCCGCAGGTACCGTGTCGGCAAGCAGGTCCGTTATTGTCTCTTGGTTGAAAGCGCCAGAAGAGTAATATCGGAAACCGATTTCGGATCCAACTGTAGCAACCCCATGCTGACCCGATCCCGTCTCCGTAATGATCCTTTTTTTCCCCATTCGCTTGGCCAGGAGAACTTGACCTAAGGCATTAACAATGCAGCACGATCCAGTGTGGTTTAAATCTTCTCGAGCGAGCCAAATTGTTGCACCACCTGCGTATGCAGTCAATCGGCTAGCCAAGTGAACATGACCTGGCCGGCCAATGTAGTCGGAATAACTCTGATACTCTTCCCAAAAGCCCACATTACCGACTTCCCGCATGAAGGCGGTCTCAAGTTCTGACAGAAATGTTGTGAAACACTCTGGCATGTATTGGCCGCCGTATGCCCCAAAACGCCTAGATAAGGCAATCATCTCTGGCGAGACTGTCGTAGCCGCCCTCTCAACGCCAAAGAAAGAGTCATGTAGTACCTGGATGTGGTGAGTGGAGCAGGTTTTTGGCTGCGTCAGCCAGCCGATTGTGTGTTGCGCTGTGGTGCAAGGCCTTTTAACCAACCAACTGCGTGTATAGCGACCTGCCCCATCCTGGGCGATTTTGTTTGACTGGGTTGAGCCATATCTGGTTCTCTATCAACTTACTGGAGCCAGAACATGATGCGGGGCACGGCATTTCGTTCTCAGAGACAGTTGGCCTGAGCAATAATTGGCGATGGTAGATGCTCCATGGTAATCAACATAACAACCAACTGTGAAAATAACAGCCAAAAATAGCTTATTATTGCAGCCCCACAAACGTCCAAATATCGATCGTGATCTTTTCCGAATCCGACGGTTCAACCAAGATGATGCGGGACACGCGCTGCATATATTTACACACGCTCTGTGCTAATGTTTGACATTCAAAATTGACTCCTCCCTTTCCTCTTACCAAAACATTATGAACACCCCGGCAGTTCAAGATTTCAAGGATCATGGGTTTCTGCCTTCGGACCCGCCGTGCAGGCGACTATCCTCCCCAACGTATCAGCCTTGGGAAGAAATGATTTCTCAATTGCCGGCCTTGATCAAGTCAGGAAAAATTCGGAACGAAACCAAGGAGCTACCGCTTCTGAGTACAAAGGATTTACACCACGAAACAGAATGGAGACGCGCATATGTTATCATGTGCTTTTTGGCCCATGGCTACATTTGGGCCTCAAACCCTCCCGCAGAGGTTTGTCGATCACTGCTACGAAGACTGATATAATAAAACTGTTTCCAGGTCCTGCCTTCGAACATAGCTGTTCCACTTCTCGAGACGTCTAACTTTTTGGAAGTACCTCCGGTCGCTACCTATGCCGCGTTGGCGTTGTGGAATTGCAGAAAGAGTGAGCCTGGCATGATACAGCTCGAGAACCTCACGGTAGAGCACACATTCACAGGCACAGACGATGAAGCTTGGTTTTACATAGTATCGGTCGCCATAGAAGCACAAGGCGGGCCGATCATCTGTCTCGTCGCTTCTGCTATTTCAGCCATGCAAGAGAAGAGATACGCAGCGGCGAATGAGTTTCTGTGGGAACTGGCTGTTCAGATTAGCAAACTTAGCGACATCTTAGGGAAGATACAGGAGAAGTGCCGCCCTGATGTCTTTTTCCACGAGCTCAGACCTTTCTTACAGGGTAGCACAAAATCAGCGGGTTTGCCGAGAGGTATTTTCTACGACGAGGGTCACGGAAAGGGAAGCTGGAGGCAGCTCAAGGGTGGAAGCAACGGGCAGAGCTCCCTAATTCAACTTCTCGACATTGTTCTAGGGGTAAAGCATGCCCCGTTACAAGGCAAATCTAGCGATGCACCTCAAGCGGAGTCGTCTGCATGTTTCTTTCGCGATATGCGAGAGTACATGCCTGGACCTCATCGACGATTTCTAGGTCAAATTGCTGATCATCCCAACCTCCGCGAGCTCGTTGGCTTGTCCGCAGGTGATGAGGCGCACAAAGAGCTTTGGGAGGCCTACACGGCCGCCACGCAAAGCTTGACTGAGCTAAGAACTAGACATTTAGCGATTGTCACTACTTATATCATCCGGCCATCCAGGAAGAGTGAGAGGCAGGAGGAAAAACGCGAAGAACTCCATGGTACAGGAGCCACAGTGCTGGTCCCATTTTTGAAACAAGCTAGGAATGAGACGCGTCAAGCAGGGAAAGAAATACTCGCAGGTTGATATAGCTCAAGCGGAGGGATGACTCTAGGAATAATGTATCTTACAGACCGTATGACATCTTTTGTGGGTGGAAACGCGGTTCTCGATTACCTAATCTGTCCGTATACTTAAATCCGGGTTCTTAAACTAACTTAGGCTGAAATTAGCTTTATATAAGGCTGTTGGAGGCATACTGTCTGAAAGATGTGTCCATAATCGATAAGATATTCGAAAGACCAGGGCTTGGCGAATATATGTATTGTGAGCCATCTTGGCTGTCTGTGGAAGGTATTCCCAGAGGTATCGCAAATAGCTTGCGTTTGCGCGTTGTGATGTGACTAGGGAGTACTCCGATCTACACACGCCTGAGATAATCCAACATGATACGCACAAAGAGAAAAGCCATGATGAATGGAGATGTCGCCTTCCGCGCGACACGATAGTCTCACGCGCTTATGCGGCTCATCAGCGGGTGTCCAGTAACAGACGGCCTGCAGAGTCGTATAGGGCCACCCCCGGCGCTCCACCTAAGCGTCAATCACCTGGATGCAAAGTCCGCATTTGATGCTGCGGTGATACAGCCGTGTTCGAAATCGGTTTCGTGCTTTACACACAAGAAACATTGTTTTCCTGGACATTTTGGTATCAACCTGCTGATGAGGTACACAACGGTCCATGCAAAGTACTTGTTAGAAAAGCGACAAGACTCTATGTGTAAGCCATAATCAGCTCTTTACTTTACATCTATTGGGCCAAGCGCCCACAATAGCTGCCACTGTAGGTACCCTTTTCTATCTGGAAAGTATTATGGAGACGTCCACAACTACTGTTTCAGTAAGCAGGTCCATTATTGTCTTTTGGTTGGATGCGCCAGAAGAGTAATGTCGGAAACCGATTTCGAATTCAACTGTACTGGTGATCATGTCTAGTAAGCTACGGTTACAGGGGTGCTTTCTAGAAGACTTGGCGCAACTTTTGTTGCTAACTACTCTACCCTCGTCGTTTTCTTACTACTTAATCAAAAAATTCAGCTTCTTTTTATTTTTACTATAAACTTAAAATAGTAGTGGCATTCCTGCATTACAAGTCGATCTTTTGCTCTGATTCCCTCGGCTCTGAACTGTTGCTCGAACTTCCCTGACGGCTTTGACACCCAGTCGGGTCTGGCTGATATGTCCCATCTCAGGGTCTCTCTGCCGTCTCGCATGTCGAATCTGCTGGGACACTTGCCAAAAGAACCGGTGAATCTTTTTTGTATTCCTTGCGGGTCGGCAGACGCGCGCAGCAGCAGCAGCAGTTAGCGACTTCTGGGATTTCGTGTCGTGGCCAGGGGCTTCCATGTGGGTGTCTGCTGTTTCTTCAATCTTCGTAGCGCCTAGTGTCGTCTGCATCTCCACCATTTCCCAATCTGTCATGTTATCGTTTGAGCACTCTTTTGAGCACTCTCCCTGCCCGCTGTTGTCAACTGGTCCAGAAGTCGGCAGGCAAATATTATTGGTGAGATTATCGCAAGTTGATATGTCGGCATCCATATCAAACATGTCGTGCATGCCAACCTCAAGCAACCTCATAAAAGAGATCTCCTCGGCCGCGTTGGTCTCACCCGCGACATTAGCGTCACTAATGGTGAATTCCGCTGTCATTTCGTTGAGATTTTGACTAAACAGGCACGTTTCTGTAGACAACTCATGTTGTGCTGGGTTCATGGGATCTTCATCCAAACCAGCGTCGTCTTTTTGGGCGTCCAACGCGAGGCCGCCGAAATCGGCAACATAACTGTCGATAGCTTCGACGTCGTGGGGGGCATCTGGCTCCTCGTGCGCAATTTCCTTGACATCGTCATTCGCATTCGCGGCTTCAGCTGCGCTGGCATCGTCCTCCCCCGTCACACTGTCTGCGAGCTCCCCGAATTTGTTATCGCTCGTCTCCAATGTAGCGTGAGTGGACTCAGGGGTCATAGTTTCCCCCCGTCGACGGCGTGTGGCCCGGCGCGTGGCCCTGCGTTGGCCGCCGATCCTAGGCATGCCGTTGGCGAGTTCCGCAAGCTAGTCCGAACCCATGTCAGTTCAAACCGCTCAAGCCTCAAGAGACTTTTCTGCTGCCAAGACTCACAAACTGGTTTACGTCGGGAATACTTTGGCCTTGGGGGACGTACACAGCCCCGTCTAGTTTTCCATAGGTCGGATTGAAATGGATAACGGCCGAAAATACTCGGGCACCCTTGCCCAGCTGCACGGCTTTGCGTTTCGCGCTTCCTCCACATTTTCGGACCTTCTCTTTAGCCTTTTTGTCATATACAAAGGCGACCTCGCCGCCCGATGTCACAGGAGCCATGGCTATGTGCCTTGAGAGATTCTGATAGAACGTAGGTTCGAATTTGATCTAATCGATCACGGTATTGGCTGAGACTGCATGCCGTGATGTGACTGCATCGCTCTCAAATATGACTTCTCTCGGATAAAAGCCATAATAAGCTCTATGGTATGCTGTGATATGCGACGCTTCGAGCTCTCAGTACTTTTTCTCTCCCTTACGACTTGTACGGTATAGCGCTTTGCAGATGTTGAGCCGATTTGTGCTCTACCAGCCGCAACTTAGACAGCTAAAATGGCTTTCCAACCGTGTTTGCAGGCTGCGCCATCTTTTAAGACCAGATGGCTAGCAACTAGGCATTGGCTATAAGCGTTGTTCTGGACGACGAGTCTTTCGCGTTGCCCCTGCATCCACTACATCCAAGTTCTGCTCTTCGTGACAGAAGATGACTTGACTACTACATGTGTGATAGGATCTAGACTGAGGGATAAGAAGCAGCTTGGTCTCGATCACTTGTGGCAAAATAGCGACTAGGTTACAGTATAAAAAGCCGAAGTCAAGAACACTAAACGTTTATAACCTACAACCATATGTACAGCAAGCACGGAAATTGTCTAATACATTAATTTTACTTAATTGTGCGCTAAATAGAGAGAAAGCAACATCCTCATCCTCCATCAAAATACACGTCTCCCTGCCGAATCCATGCTGGCATCTACGCGGAAGGTGAGTTGAACCGCGTTCGGAAGTGCTCCTGTTCAACCAGTTAGAGCCAATAAAGATGGTATTCACTGATCCCCTACACGATTCTTAGGCGGCAAAATCTTGTGTTCTCTCTATTGATACGTCATGACCCAAGACCCTTGTGGTTATTGAAAGTGGTAGCTTTGGAGAATGCTGAAGGACTGTTTCCACATTCATTCCGTGCAAATCATTCAAGAACTCTTCGTCCGTGCTATCGTCGTGATAATTGACGGACACGGTATATACATGCGCTTCATTAGGGATGTTGCAAACTTTCTTTAATATCTGGAGCTGGCGCCGACGGAGGAGATCGGTTTTCTGTAATGTACGCATGTTGAGTTGGTGACGGAAAGATTTTGTCGGGAGAGATGAGCTTTCTAAGCATGCCACCTAGGGTCTGTCGGGCTTGTAATGAGAGAAGTGAAGTGGTCTGATGCCCTGGGACTGCAAGGTTTTGCTCCCGGGCGGGTGGCCCTCTTTAGTACTATAGTATTAGTGGCGTTGCCTGTGTCTCCGTGGCTTAGCTGATTGCACTTGCGTAACTCGCCTTTCACTTCACTGTTATGTGGGGATAAGATGGGGAGAAACCGCGGGAAGCGTGCTATACTGTAGGCAGTTGGCACTAGCCAGATTATTCAGAAGGGCTATCAAAAGCAGCTAGACTCTCGAGAACGACACAAATGGAGGCTAGGCTTATACTAAATCGTTGATTGGCTGGATTTCTAAACGTGGTAACCCTGACCCTAGCGTCAAGACCGTCTTGGTCCAGAAAATGGGACTACAGTACGGAGTCAATTCTTACTTACGAGTCAGAGATCCATGTCTCTCCACACAAATTAAACCAATGGAGCTACTTTCTGCTCTGAGTCACCTGGAGAATCTAATTCGGACCCCTCCCTGTCGCAAGACTCGACACTTGATTGGGTCGATGGTCCATGTCATTTTGCGTCAACGAGGGCTTCCACATACAAGCATCATCCCAGAGAGGAGGTTGACAGAGGACTAGTAAGCTACTCAGTATTTTATAGTAGGGGTACTACACATGCGGGGCGTGTCCTTTTGCAGCCAGCAGCAAGCCACGTCTTTTCTCAACCGGCCGTACCACGGTACTAAGAAGCGGGCGAATGACTCGACCAGATTCAAATGAACGCCTGCAGCTAAAGCCGAGCGGTTTGTCGCCATCTTCTTTGTTACTGACGTAGACCTGCAAATAGCCGCGTTAAACGTCAAGGCTCCATGTCATCGAGTGCTTTTGGGCTATATACGGTATTCTTCACTAGATGACATAATGTTCTTGATTGGCTATAGCCCAACGTGCCATATGCTGAAGTCCAGCAGCACTTAATAGGATAGTAAGGTGCCTGGCGTTTACATTCTCTCTCAATGTGTTCCAGACTTAACTTTCGAGTGAGTTTCACGAGGACAGATGGATGATGTGCTATCTTGCGACAAAGTGCACAACATCCGTTACGTGTCCTTGGAAATTAAGTTAATAAGAATCATAACTTCCGATCTTAAGGCTTAAAGATTACTCTCAATTTTCACCTGGTCCAGTGTTACGGCCAGCTAGTGACAGTAGGGTGTCTGCTAACAGAAGTTGAGGCTACAAGATTAACTATAGGTTGCGTATCGTTTCACCGGTAGGTCGTATTCGTGTGAGCTAAGCTGAAAGTCATTCAATGATGAATCACAAGTTGGTTGCTGAAGAACTATCTGAGATGCCTTGAGCAGGTACCCAAGTCCTGATCTATGTACATGCCTTGGAGTGAGCGTCTAGGGTGGTTCTGGTGAGCGCTCACCCTGCTAATCATGAGCGCTCACTGATTCCTTATCAGTGCCCCCTACCTTATCCTCACGTGGCCTGTACATAGTATGATCGTTCTTCCGCTGCAGAGGGTGACCCGTTGTTTCCCCTGTGTCTTGTATATGTCTGGCGGCGTAGCCGCTGACTTGGGTGGGCCTGTCAACCCTCTGTTAGGCATAACGAACGGGGTCGTAACATCCAGCCGTTATCGCACGGATAGAAACCTATTGAGCATTTCGGCATATTTGCGGCTGTAGAAATAACCTGTTTAGCACTTCAAACCAGAGGAAAACCACTAGACTTTATACAAAAGATCTTATTACACGGAGGACATTCTATATGCAAGACACAGAAGGGGGCTTAGCAGTATGATAACACTCAGCTCAGAAGTAAAGATCATTTACCAAGACTGTTCGTTTCCAGAAGCATCACGAACTATTATCACAGCGGCTCGTATGAAAACGTATGGGTGCTACTGTCTATTATTAGTTGCATTTGTAAAAGATGGGGGAAAAATAACGAATAAAAAATCTATACACCAGTCGACGGAAAGCTTCGTAGAAAGACTAGCACCAGAATAAATCATTATTCCAAGAAGACCGATGTCTACCGCCGGTACTAATACCGAGAACAAGAACGAACTGACGTTTCGAAACCAGCTCCCCGCCCAGGTCGTATCGCCTGCAAGACGCTCTGCGTACACCACCATCTAGGATACGGTATTATAGTCTAAAAGGAGCTTGTCAACATGACAGCACTCAAGGGGTAAAGGTCATCTACCAAGAAATTGACTAACCAGGAGTGTGCATGGGGGTGTGTGATTCCAGCATCATGGGGTCCTGTCATAGCGATTCGGCTGATTACAAGGGTGATATTGTGTATTATTAGTTACGTTTGCGAAGAAAAGGGGCAAGGAAACCACCTATAAAGCCTAAGCACCGGAAAGCCTCGCAAAATGAATGGCACAAAAACGAAGTATAACTGCAAGAAGAAGGATGTCTGTCACCGGCACTGGTATCGAGAACAAAAACGAAGGACGCGGAGCATATGATGCCACTGGCGTTCCGAAGCCACCATCCCATCCACAGCCTAAGCCTAGATAGCAGATAATGAGGTAAGTCCTGTCGACGACATTGCCGTTTGTTCGGTCTAACACGATGCAGTCGGATGGCGATTCCGTGGAGTATAGAGTATCCGAGGGTCGATTAAGTCGCGAGGGCCAGGGAACTTTCGCTGCACATATCAGTAACACTTCTGGCTAGAATATTACAATTTTAAAATATCAAGTTCTTCAACAAATGCAGATAGACAAGTAGTACCTTTGAGAACCGCCTTGTATGATATATGTTGCCAGTTTAAAAGCTGCCTCTGCTGTGAGAGAGTTCTGTAGAAAAAGGCAGGCAAAATTCAGGGAAATCGATAAGCCGCTACTTAGATTCCTTTTTCAATGCTTCTTGTTTCGTTACTTATAGCATCTTCCATAGTCGGAGCGTCGTCTTTAACATACGTTCCATACAAAGCAAATGTGCCGTACCGGTTATTGACATCATGCTTGGCCCTTTAAACCAGAAGTTCGTATTCTTAGTCGCGGTCAAATCATGAATAGCGTCGGCCATTTTCTCTAAATTTCAATTCAAGCAGTAGACGTAAATCAGCTCTGGCCCATACTTCTATCTCCCATCAGCACCATTCCAAGTCACCCTATCGTCCTGCCCCGACCACCTGGGAAAAGGTTGGTCTAACGAAGACGGCCCCAAAGTGAGACAGCCAGAAAGAAACCAAGATATATTGAGAAGCGGCTAAAGCTGGCATCATGCGAAGCGGTTGCGCTGACGGGGAGAGTCGCGGTGGTGTGCACTGTTGGCTTGTGATATGTCCAAGACGGTTCAACATTGCCACCAGGCTTTGTTGTTGCTGTTATTGTTGTTGCTGCTATTTGAATGCTAGCGATTGTGCTGACGTTTAATGCTTCGTGGCCCAGACTAGCATTCCAGAACCGGTGGTTAGATACGAAGGTGTTAGGTAGTGCGGTTGTATGAACTGCTGTCGTGGTGATCGCGTCGCCTCCAGTGGCCCATGTACAAATTCGAGAAAGCTCAGTCGCCGCGCCTGAAGACGACGGGACGGCACTAACTCTCGGAGGAGCCGCAGTATACACATTGGCGAACGCCCAGATCTCCATTGCGGCGGAATTCAACTTCGCTCGATACACGACTGAGGCTACGAAGTAATCTTTTGACCAACCCGTTATATATGGCATTCATAGAAGCCGAAAATGGCTCTAAAACCTACAGCGTTGCTCGTAGTACGCAATCCTGTTCTCAAAAATGTGGGTAATGAAAGTGCTGCCAGATTTGGCTCAACTGGCATGCTGTCATATACAGCCCTGATAACGTGAGACGTTGATCGTATCTCCATCGCGAACTTGCATCATCAAAGATGACACGACTGTCTTCGCAAACCCCGCTCCCTATTTATTTCGAGCGAACAATAACTGATAGATATGAAGACCTTTTATTCTTCCCCACCGCGACAGATCATTCTTCGCCAGCAGCAGGACCAGGAACCCTCCCCAACCCCGCTGTATCTCAGCTTGGGATAAAAAAAGCGCATAGCGTTATGGCTAGCAGCACCAGGGACCAACCAAAGTCGCCGTTCCGCCCGGAGAGCAAATTCTCGTTAGTAACTACACTCTCGTCATCAGGCCCAACAGTATGTCTGAGAGACTTGGAGCTCATCAAGGGATAACGTTATGGGCCAATTATCTTGAGGTCAGAGCATCCGCAATACTTATGAAGTAATTGAAGCATCGCACTGGCCCTCGGCTATATGCCGTTCGACCAGACATGGGCTACCATGAAGCGAATCCAGTCAGAAATAAAAGCTTTTCGCGCTTCCCCTCGATCCTGGAATGTAGAAGCAGGACTATGTATCCGTCTAACTTGCACGTTAAAGCTTTGTGGAGCCGTTGAGAATTCACAGACGGGAGGCACCGATTTAACCCTACTGTACTGTACGATAATACTGTACTTTGTCTACAATCATGCTATTATTTCCCTTTGGCATGCTGCTCTGGATAGCGAAATGTGGTGATACTGTATCTTGGAATGAGTGGTTAAGACATAACTGTTTTGAGTCGTACCTAGCGTAAACCAACGGCTGGCGGACATCCAAATCGGCTACCATTGAAACACAGGGGGGCAACTCCAAACGCCAGGATAGACACCTATCACATGACCATCGTGGGACATAAAGTAATACGCCGTTCTGCCATTGACAAGCTCCATGACAAGTTTACCGTTCGTAACCCAGCTGAACGTAGCTCCAGGTGTGATTGATTGACTGACATTGCGATTGTTCCTCTTCCTCGGGCTATGATGGTCGGCAAGCAGTCAGTCTTTGATCATACTGAAACTATAACGTCTGACACGTACCCTGGACCACGTAGCCTGGGAGGTTTTCCTTTCTCGCTTTGGACTGAAGGAGGCGGCGGTTTGAGACTGGCGAAGGGGTCCAGTTCGGCTTTCGA